GCGGTAGGATACCTCGTCCAAAACGTCTCATTCCCAAACGCCTGCGGCGCACCCCAATGCACCTTCTCCCAGCCAATCACCTCATCAAAGGATCGGAATTGATCGATCCTCGAACTAATATCCTCAAACTTCCCCTCGCAGTCATCGCACCCACAGCATCCGTACGTGGCATTACACGGTGTGTTGTAGACCGTTGACCAGGAGGTATTCGTACTAATAGGGTAGACGTCCGAGAGGATTATATCTGCGCCGGAGGCGTAGTTCTCGTAGTAGAAGTTATTGCAGTTCAGGGCGAGGGAGGTGGGGTGGTACGGGTCTAGGGCGCGGATGGTGTCGTAGGCGTGTTTTGTGGAGTTGAGGGGGTTGGATTTCCCGTCGGGTTCGTCGCCGGTGTAGTAGAGGAGGAGGGACGGGTGGGTGTGAATGTGGGAGATCTGGTTGATCATTGTGGTGAGGTTGGTGGGGTCCCAGAGGAGGTCGTATTGGAGGTGGAGACCTAGGGTGTCGGAGAGGGTGAGGTAGGGGGTGAAGGTGGACCAGGGGAAGGGGGTGTCGGAGAGGGTGCCGGTGGGGACGATGTGGATTGTGTTGTAGCCTTTGGAGGTGAATGTGGCGAGGGTGCTGGGGGAGGTGTCCCAGTAGAGGGACCATTGGGCTGTGAAGAGGAGGGGGTTAGTTGCGGTTGATTGAGCGGGTATTGGGGGGATGGGTACCGTAGTAGGTGTAGGGGATGATGGGGGTCCAGGTGGTGTTTGTGCCTCGGAGGTAAGAGAGGCTGTTGTAGCGGTGGTCGATGCGGGTGGCGCTGCCGCCGTCGGCGCGGTGGGGGAGGTAGTACAGGTCGGAGATCGAGGTGAAGATGGTGGTGGTGTTGGAGAGGGACGCGATGGTGGTGATGGTGTAGGGGGTTAATTGGGGGGTGAGGTTGTCGAACGGGAGGGGAATTTCGGTGTTGGTAGTGTTGAGAGAAAGGGTGTGGTTCGTTATGGTGGCGACGGGAGTACCATCTTCTGCGAGGATGTGGATGTTGAGGTGTAGGTGTTGGGTGGTGGAAGGACTGGTGGTCTCAATGGGTAATGGGTCGCCGAAGAGATGCGAGATGGAGGTGTCGACGAGAAGACTCCCTGTTGCGTCGGTGTCGAGGTAGATACTCATTCGGGGTCGGACTTTGAAGTTGAGTAGTGGGGTGGACGAGTATGAGGGCATTTCAAACCAGCCACCGGGGTTGAACGAGGCATTGCTTTGGTGATGTTAGCTATGGTTGCAGTTCCATGGGTAGGTAGTGGATGTACCTGGCTCGGTAAGCCTTCCCGCACCAAATATCGACTCCCGGCGGGTTGTTGAAGCCCAAGGCCAATGGCAGGCTGGCGGCAACGGATAAGAGTTTTGTCCACATTGTCTGCATGGATGTGCATGAACAACAATGCCAGGTACGCCGTGTGGAAAGCAATGGATACTTATCCAGCAGCATGCATGAGACGATGTAACAATACGGCCCCGATAGTGTCCGGCTGGGCCGACAGGGATGGGCTTATCACCGCGTATCTTTCCCCCGACTGATAGCTGACGCCATTTTGCTGTCGGTCTCCCCGCACGCCCGCCGTTTAATCTACGAAGATCGACATGCCTCCAATGACTGCTTGCCACACGGTGCATGTCCACCAACCGGTCTGCAACGATGTCACTGTGCCATTGTTTCGGTGGGGACCCAGAGATGTGAAGCCGTGGCAGTCTCGACTACTTCTGCACCTAAATCCCGGCCGTTCTCCTCTTGGCCATCCGCAGTCCATCGCACACAATGAAGCTCAATTTCCCCACCTGGACAGCCATTGCATGGCACCTGGCTGGGAGTGCCAGCGCAACAACGCAGGTCAGTATCAACCAATTTGTCAAAGAAGATTTCTTAGAGCCTTTAGGTCTTGACAGATACAATTGAGGGCAACGCTGATTGCAACAGTCGACCTTTATCTCCCTTGACCAATACTTCAACAACAAGGCATTCGGAACCTATCCCGGAGAGACATCTTTTGACGCCTTGAATCAGTCGTACCCTGATCCAAGAATCATCGGGATCAATGGCACCTATACTTCCCAGCACACTGGAATCGTGTACAATTTCCCCGGCTATCGTGGCCCCTCCCTGCCCGATAATGTGGTCTGCGAAGGCCAGACAATCACCGTGCCTGGTGACCAATACTTCTCTGCATCTATGCTGGTGACATCGGACGTCGAACTGTCCACTGTGTCTGGAAATGTGACCTACACGTACTCGGACAACTCCACTCTCGTATCAGAACTGCGCAGCTTGCCGTGGTGGGCGTTCTTAACGATCAACCGCGGCGAGATCATCTTCCCCTACCGGTATACTGCCAGTGAGACCAACTTCAACACCTCCCACATCTTCGAATACACTGCAGCGCTGGACTCGAGCAAAACACTGCGCTCCATCACTCTGCCGGTCACTACCAACACCACAACGGGCCGACTGCACGTCTTCTCCGTATCATTGTGGGAGTCTCCTGTCTCGTCCGCACAAGTCCAGTTCATTCGCCCAACCCAAAAGTGGACAGAGAGCGGCAACCAAGTAGTCGAAGTGACCATCAACAACCCAGGGTCTGAGTGCATTTCAGGATCCGGCATCGCAGTATCTTTGAACATGTCCGGCATCCAGACCATAGAGCCCGGGTACATCAGACGACTCTGCCCTGGTGACCAGAAACGCGTCAACATTGGCGTGAATGGCACAGCCAACGGAACAGCAACCGTCATTCTAGACTACACCCACTCCACCCAGCACCAAACCTACGCCCACCCCCTCTCCCTCGGCCTCACCGAGTGGACATCCGACCTCTCCAGCCTCTCCCAGCACGAAAGTCCACAATGGTTCGACAACGCCAAATTCGGCATCATGATCCACTGGGGTCCCTACTCCGTTCCTGGCTGGGGCAACTCGACCCCCTATGAAAGCTACGCCGAGTGGTTCTGGTAAGCCCCCCTTCCACACCCCTCTCAGTACATCCTAACCAACCCTAGGTGGTACACCACCCACCGCGCCGCCGACAAGTCCGACACCTACGACTACCGACTCCGCACCTTCGGCCCCGACTGGAACTACGACGACGGCTTCCCCTCCTTCACGGCAGCCAACTTCTCCCCGAAAGCCTGGGTCGACCTCATCGCCAGCTCAGGCGCCAAATACTTCGTCTTAACCACCAAACACCACGACGGCTTCGCCCTCTTCGACACCCACAACACCACCAACCGGTCCTCCCTCCACTACGGACCCCGTCGCGACCTCGTCTCCGAGCTCTTCACCGCCGCCCAAACACACCACCCCGCCCTCAAACGCGGCACCTACTTTTCCCTCCCCGAATGGTTCAACCCCGACTTCGGCCCCTACGGCTTCGCCCAACTCCCCGGAAACACCTCCACCAGCTGGCCCGGCATCATCGCCCGAAACCCCTACACCGGCCTCGACGAGCCCTACACCGGACGCATCCCCGTGTCCAACTTCATCTGGGACCTCATGGTCCCGCAAATGTCCATCCTCGCCCACAACTACAGCACCGACATCCTCTGGTGCGACTGCGGCGCCGCCAACGGCACCGCCCCCTTCGCAGCAGACTGGTTCAACACGGCCCGTTCCCAAAACCGCCAAGTCACAATCAACTCCCGTTGCGGCGTCGCCGAAGTCTCCGACTTCGATACCCCCGAATACGCCACCTTCAGCTCAGCCCAACTCCGTAAATGGGAATCAAACATGGGCATGGACCCCTACAGCTACGGATACAACCGCGCCACTGCCCCGTCTTCATACATGAACGCCAGCACCATCATCACTGACCTCGTCGATATGGTCAGCAAGAACGGGAATTTTCTTCTAGATATCGGCCCCCGTGCCGATGGGACGATCGTTGAAAGTGAGGCGAATAACCTCCGAGAAGCAGGGAAATGGATCCACTCTCACTCCGAGGCCATCTTTAACACAACATACTGGTTCATCATGAGCGAAGCCAATGCCCTCACTATTACCGACGGAGAAATCGGAGTCCGATTCACCCAGAGTGTCAACGCATTCTACCTCTTATTCCTCGCCTACCCAACCGAAACCGTATACGCAAATGCCCCAGTACCCCTACTACCCGGCGACCGGGTAACAGTCTTCGGCAACGAAGCAGAAACGGAAGTAAACTGGACAGGAACCCCAAGTCAGGGCTTCACATTCCATATCCCCGATGGAGCATGGGAAGGGGAGGAATTCACATGGGTCTTGAAAATCGAGTATCTTGCTTAGTTGTAGCCTACTTTTTGTGTCGACATGGACGGGGATATGTTGTTCTAGGCTGGAGATGGATATATATAGTACTTTCCAACCATGGAAAGTAGTAGATGAATCATGAGACAGTATGACGATTTCAACGACTTATGTATGTATGTATCGCTATGTGAGCGAATACCCAAGGCTACGCTACCCACCTATTCACTCCCTTATCACTCAGGTCTAGTGCTATTAGTAGTAGTGAGATAAGGCTCCACTTTACCCACCCATCGAATCAGAACTCGGCTTAGGTTCAAGACGATGTTCCACATTCGATCAAATATTCTGGCTCCGATTGACGCAGGTGATGTAGAGATGAATATTTTGCGTGAGGGAGAAAAATGTATCGTGATTTCAGTTCAAAATGGGTCCATTGTAGGTGGAAGCTAGAATTGCGACGTAGATCTAGATAAGTAGATACAGTAAGGAGGAATTGTATATAATCCTTAGGCTGGATAATCTAAAAAGCAGAAGAATTCTGATCCGACTCTAAGCTAAACTAATAGAACTAAACGCCTCAGCGTTCTTGACACGGGCGGTAGACAACCTCATATCGAAGACCTGAAAAGCATGTTTGACGGCCACGCGGGCACGTCGAACACTACCTAGGTTTCGGATCCGCTGCATTCGTTCCAGTCTGTCTAGGACGAAGCGACGATGGTCCTCATCTTCTAGGCCGGAGTGTCCGAGGATATATAATGGCCAAAGCAGGGTTGGAGTATCCGGGAGGGTGGAGATGATGTTGATCAACATGCTGACGAGAGAGAATTTGGTTGTTCCTTCATCGATTATCATGTCAGCATCGTTCACTCGTCCAATGAGGTATATCAGTGCTGCGAGCCGTTTGGTTTCGGCGATTTGGCTGAGGTCATCTCTGTCCTTGGAGTGGTCTGGGAGGGTTTGTGTGATGGTGGATAGGGAACAGGCGATTTTGCTGGCTCTTGAAATGTTGCTATCGATGGGTCTGTCCTCTGTCTCTTCGTCGGATGTGTCTACCTCCTGTTTTGACGGGTTAGGTTGGAGTCATTGACATTGAATCCGACCATACCCTTACTGCATGGCCGACATTGAGTGGTAGATCGGATATGTCATTTATGAGCCCCATCAGCCGTCGTGAGCAACCCATGATTGTGTCAATCTATGTCGGGAAATCAGAACATGAACGGAAAGGATTTAGGACCACTAACTTCGTCCAGATTGTCATTATCCGACCAAGTGTATTTACCTTTCACACATCTTTTTCCCGGTGATGCCGTCCGACTCATAATGGCATGAGCTACAAAGTACATTTCGAAGAATTTGCGCAAAGAATCGCCTGTGGTTGCGTTACAAGGTACACTGGAAATCAGGTCGAGGCCTCCCTGGAGATGTGTTACCCAAGATGGGTCGCTTTCGTGCGAGATCTGCATGGATATGAAAACGTCAGTGCCACGGACTACGACGAAAGTCCCCATAGAACATACAGCATGAAAGCATAGCATGAGAACCGTAGCGATTGTACCATCGTCTATATTTCCAAGGGAAATTGCCTGCTGCAGCCCCTTCAGAGCTTTGTTCTTGTAGACTAGCGCCTGGTGGGAGAAGCGACTGTCCCCGAGCAGACGGAGCTGATTTGCTGCTACAGATATCACAGCATTTCGGAGGGTTGTATCACAAAAGGCGAGTGGCGTAATAAGACTAATGTACGGGTTATTTATCGTGGTGAGTGCGCAATTGGGCCCGATGCCGTGAATGAAGAATTCGAGCAGATAGCTTTCCGAGTCCGGGTACACCGTGAGCGGATGGGCCAGGCACGGATCCATCGGCAGCTTGTCATCCAATTCTTCGGCTTCTGACAGTATGTCAGACCCTTCGTCACCTGTCGATACCCCGTCCATGTTGCCAGCGACCTCAGTAAAGTTACTGCTGACTGTATTGACAAATATCCACCGCCCAACATAGGCGTTCAGTGGCACGCTACGGAACTCAGAATCTTCCTGCCAGAGCTGCGGTTGACTTGTTAATGTCCCTATTTAAACATTGAAATGTGTGAGCGACGGCTGTGATAAGTGTGATAACCATTAATAGGAGCCCAAAGATGTCAACTCACCATGGCGGCCGAAGCCAACTCCGCGCTGGGCAGCATCGTCCTGAAACACGACCCTCAAACCGCGCTCACATGGCCAACCATGTCGTTTACAGAGTTGACATATAGGCAACTCCTCGGTACACTGGACATGCTTGGCTTGGGTCGGGGCAGTCAGCAACCGAAAGTGCCGCTGGTCGTCTAGTCCGTACCTTTGCACTGGGCGCATCCAGACCTCCGACGTGGTTTGCGTGGAGCAGAAGGCATTTATGGAGATGCGAAACAAGCAAAGACTTATGCAGGATGCTCGATACGAGCCTGGAATATAATCGGGACGGTCGGGGGCCGAGTGGCTCGGAGAGAAAAGAGGAGAAAAGGGAGTGTGGCCGGGGAAGCGGGGGAAATCCCGGCGCTTTTTTTATCAGCGCGCGCCACTTTAATCCTGCCACTAGACCTGCCTGGAACACCTGCTTGGCCTAACCCGAGCGATAACCAACTGGGCGCCATTTCCTTCTGGGTTACGTTCATCAAGGCTCGTCAAAATCGTGTCTAGGATGATCGCGATATTGACAACAACGATACTTCAGGATATACTTTCTATACCTTTCACAATACGCAGACCTCAGATAGCGAGCGCGCTGATGTGTTAAAAATAATGGTTAGCCCAAAGCTCATGTGATGTATCTAAAGTGTGTTTGCTGGAAGTCAGTCTCATCGGTAAAAGCATCCGCCGTCCCATTAGCCTCCCCCGCCTGCGGATCGATGCCGACGAGTCGCCGGTTGAGATGCACCACCAGAGCCCAGTACGAAGCCATCAACGCAACGCAGACACAATAGCTGACCAACATGGCGACAAACCCGCCCGTGTAGGCAGGTGCCTGACTAGCGCGAAATGTTTGAGGGCCAATCAGGTTTCCTTTGCCGGATGTTAGCAGTGATTAAAGCGACGAAAGCAGACAAACAGAAGTTTATTCTGCATAGATATCTTACCAATAGCGTATCCAAGATACAAGATCGAATACTGGACAGTCTTCTTTGTGTGTCCTGCGGTATTCGCCTGCGCTATCGAGATACCAACGACGTATGGACCAAAGTAGGTGTACAACAAATATATACCAACAACCTGCCCCCCAATATTCGTTGGTGGAAGGGAGTGCACCAACACCGATCCAACAATAGGCAGGCAAGCTGCAATCATAGTAACAAGACATCGACGATCTACCCAGCATGCGGCCAGCCAGGAAAAAAGAAACGCGGACAAGGTTGACATTATCCCAGTGGGCATATTAAGGAGGGATGTCTGGACTGCTGAAAAACCGAGATCCTTGATTATGATACCGTTGAACGTAGTGAGGCCTAATGGATTAGCGATCAGTGGCAAACAGCAGAAAATCGCATCTTACCTCCATTTGGAATGTTGATGGCAATATTGAAGAAGAAAAGTAACCAAGTCTTAGGGTCCATGGCAGCTTCGAGGGCTTGATGCCATTTCCATTCCTTACTAATGATACCCGTTTTATTCTCAGCGAGGCGTTGAATTGCATAGTACTTCTCCTGATCAGTCAGAAAAAATGCGTTCATAGGAGAATCCGGTAGGATAATAAAGGCTGTGATACACCACAAAGCGGAGATGGATCCTGCAAGACTTAGGTGAGAGCAACACTCCTTAGAAATAGGCTGCTCACCGACAATCAAGTAGAGATACTGCCAGGTGGCCAGTGGCGCAGATTTAGGAATGTGTCCCACCACCCAGGAGAGAAAGCCGTTAATCACAGAGCTAAAAGCAGCGAAAACGATTGCATTCCGTGGGGGTTGTTCTGCTTTCTTATAGAACCCTGCGATTATCAAGCTAATTGATGGGACAATGATCGCCTCAAGACAGCCTATACTTTTGAGTGAGCCAGAGACATCAATCCGGTCAATCTGCGGAGACACACCCATACAAAACCTCAACGCCATCAGACCGCCCCAGTTCTTGCATGCAGGTATCAGCAAAGCCATGCACGACCAACCCAGGGAGCATGACGACAGATATTTTGCCGATGGAAGTCGCTGTACTAGGTATGAGGACGGCGACATGCCGACAATTGACTACGGCAGGATTCCATTGTCAGCGTGAACAATATATTGAGAGAGGTGGCCGCGTACACCGATCGACAAAATCGATCCAGCCCAGGAATATTGCTGGCCGACAAGGTGAAGATCTGGATGATGGTCAGACTGGTTTCACCCAAGCCTGGAATTTCTACCTTCTTCCAATCCATAAATTGCAGCCGTACTAAGAGCAACCTTATCCACAGCACCTAAGGTCGCTGTCAGGAGCAACTTCCGGGACTGTTAGCTTTCAACATGACAGCGGTATGGAAATAGCCTACCATAGGAATTAGAATGCAATCAATCTTGCGTACCAGCTTCTTTTCCGCCTTTGATGACATCGGTGGGTATGCTACATGTTGGGCGAGGTATCCAGCAGCCTGATCCATAGCTTTGGGGACATTCATCTTTCTGTCACTGCGTTCTTCGATGCTCGCACGGTGGATGTTCAGCAAATCAGAGGAAAGGCTGACAGCAGGTCCCACAAAGTGTCGGAGACGAACGCTTAGCTTAACTCGGGCGAGGAAGATATATCGGCGCTGGGCCGGACTCCGTCTTCACGCCATTGAACATGGGGCAAGTTTGATAGTGATTGGCTTCTAACTGATAAATCCGGAGTAAAATCGAAATAAAGTGGCCCAAAAGTACGGCTGGATAGACAGCTCATCATCTCTGCCAGAGGCTATACCCATGAAAAAAAGAACATAAGCGGCCGAACGTCAAACGAAGCGGAAGCAGCATTCCGGCGGGGGGATGAATGCTGGAAGGATTGGGAAATTAGCAATGGCTGTCCGGGCGATACGGCTGGTGGAGCCGCTGGGAAGGAACTGGCGAATGATGGAAGGATGTTGGTTGCTTCATCGGCTGGGCCGCGGGCTCTGGCGTGACGGCCTGAGGATCTTCCCCTCACCCTAGTCCCAGTACGGAGGACTAGGCTGGAGGGAGGTCGTCTAGAATCCCTCCCACTTTCGTTTCGACCTGCCTCACCACAGAGCCACCTCAGAGCGATGGACGCGATGGTTTCCGGCGGACCGGCCGACTTGGTTCATAAAAAGCTACCCCCTGCAGCTCCAGATAAAATTGCTCGACGCATCCGGTCAACAACATTCACCACCATGGAGCCCAGTACAGGCAAAATCAAAATCGCGATCGGTTCGTATCCTCGGATCCATTCTTCCGCGCACACATTACTAATTGACAATTGCCTCGAAACAGACCGAGGAGGTACCTTCACCGATGTCTGGGCTTGCCTGCCGGGGCATCCAGAGATTGTCCTAAAACTACTTTCGGTCGACCCATCCAATTATAGCGATGCCCCTATAGAAGGTACCGAACTGTCACCACGGGTGGAATGACAAGAATAGCTAACAAATCAAGGCATCAGGCGTGTGCTTTCCATCTACTACGGCAAGGAGATTCCGCGCGGCATCCCTCTTCCGAAGGGAGATATCGAATTCATCCGCATGGGCACAACCGTCGCTACAAATGCACTACTTGAGCGAAAGGGCACACGGCACGCATTTCTAGTGACAAAGGGATTTCGCGATCTCTTGGACATCGGATACCAGTGTCGACCACGACTCTTCGACCTCGACATCGTCAAGCCGGCTGTGTTGTACGATGAGGTTCGTGAAATCGACGCTAGGGTGACCATTGAGGGATTTGATGAAGATGTCGATGGTATCTTCAAGTGTGATAAGGAGATTCCAGGAGTTCTTGTTCGTGGCACAAGCGGCGATATGGTGCGGATCCTGAAACCACTTGATGAGGAACAAGTCCGTGACACTCTTAGGGACCTCCGTAGGAGCGGAGTGGATACGCTGGCTGTCTGCTTTGCCCATTCCCATGTATTTCCCGACCACGAAAGCCGGGTATACCAGATGGCCATGAAGGAGGGCTTCATCCATATATCATTGTCATCCACTGTGGCCGCAAATATGATCAAGATGGTACCGCGTGGGAGCTCAGCTTCAGCAGAAGCATACCTGACCCCGGAGATTAAAAAGTACTTAACAGGGTTTATGCAAGGCTTTGAGGACTCAAATCTAGATGGCGTGAGATGCGACTTTATGCGGTCTGATGGTGGTCTCGTCAGCCATGACCACTTTAGTGGTTTGAAAGGAATCTTGAGTGGGCCAGCAGGTGAGGCCTACAACCACTCACATCGGTTTGTGCTAATAGGCTAGGGGGTGTCGTCGGCTACGCACGAACCACATACAATGGGATAACCAGGAAACCTTTAGTCGGCTTCGACATGGGGGGTACGTCAACGGATGTGTCACGGTATGGAGGACATCTTGAGCACATTTTTGAGAGCACCACTGCTGGTGTGACAATCCAAAGCCCGCAGTTAGATATCAACACGGTCGCCGCGGGCGGGGGCTCCATTTTGACGTGGAAAAATGGTCTTTTCACAGTGGGCCCAGAGAGTGCCTCATCGCATCCTGGCCCTGCATGTTATCGGAAAGGCGGGCCCTTGACAGTAACTGATGCGAATCTCTTCCTTGGACGGCTACTTCCGGAGCATTTTCCCAAGATCTTTGGCAAGGCGGAAAACGAGCCTTTGGATTCCGACATTGTTAGGGGAAAGTTCGATGAATTGACAGCGACTATCAACTCCGACACAGGCAATTCAATGAGTCCGCGAGAGGTGGCTTGTGGATTCCTTGATGTTGCCAACGAAGCCATGTGTCGACCGATACGAGCGCTAACGGAAGGGAAGGGATATGATATAGGTACGTGTATGGATTGGACGTAGTGGCTTGAGATTGACCAAGAAATTAGCAAGCCATAATCTGAGTGTGTTTGGAGGCGCTGGAGGACAACATGCATGCGACGTCGCGCGCAAGTTGGGTATCTCTACAATTATTATTCACAAGTATTCAAGCATCCTGTCTGCATATGGTAAGTGGCAGTTTCCTCGTGGTGGCATCACTGGCTGACTAAAGGTGGAAATAGGTATGGCGCTTGCGGACGTAGTGCAAGAGGCCCAAGGGCCAGTCAACGAGATATTTGGCGATGAATCCCGCAGCAGACTCGATGAACGGCTACTGCTCCTTCAGGGCAAGGTGTGCGATCAGTTAATTGACCAGGGTATCTCAGAGGACGATATGATATATCAGAGGTATCTCAATATGCGCTATCAGGGAACCGAGACGGCAATTATGGTACTCGAGCCACCGGACCGCGACTTTAAGGAGGAATTCAAGCAGATGCATCTTCGGGAATTCGCATTCCTTTTCCCCGATGACAGGCCAATCCTGGTGGACGATGTACGTGTCCGAGGAATTGGATCTAGCGGAGATGCCGAGAAATCAGATGGGCGGATAGTGGAAGAAGAACTGGAGACTTCGTCTTTCACCGCCGCAACATGGCGTGCGGCAGAACACATGGTATGACGCAGAACATCAATGCTGTCGGAGGCTAATCCGATGCAGACAAGAGTCTATTTCCGCAGGACGGGAACGTGTCGTGCACCTGTATTCCTACTACATAAACTGGCCCCACGCACCGTGATTGCTGGGCCAGCTATTATCATCGACCAGACACAGACCCTGGTGGTTGCACCTGGTGCAGAGGCCAAAGTTTTGAGCAACCATGTGGTCTTACATATTAGGCCCACATCGCCAGGTGGATTCTTTGGGGATTCTAAAAGCGTGGACAATATTCAGCTATCGGTATTCGGACAACGTTTCATGAGTATCGCGGAGCAAATGGGCCGTGCTTTGCAGAAAACCGCCGTGTCATTGAATATCAAGGAACGGCTGGATTTTTCCTGCGCACTGTTTGGTCCGGATGGTATGTTGAGGTATCGTCAAGAATGAATAATGCTAATATCGTGCAGGGGGGTTGGTTGCAAACGCTCCTCATGTGCCGGTGCATCTGGGTTCCATGAGCTATGCTGTCAGGTATCAGCACGAGCTCCACAAAGGGAAGCTTGTTCCGGGAGATGTCTTAGTGGCCAACCACCCGGAGGCAGGCGGCACTCACTTGCCAGATATCACCGTGGTCACTCCGGTCTTCAACCAGACCGGAACAGAGATCGCGTTCTATGTGGCTTCCCGCGGACACCATACCGATATAGGAGGTTTAGGAGGTACATCCATGCCGCCTAACTCTACGGATTTATGGCAGGAGGGTGCAGCAATTAGATCCTTTAAGCTGATTCACGCGGAGAAGTTCGACGAAGAGGGTATCACTCAAATCCTTCTTCGTCCCGGCGGGTACCCGGGTTGCACAGGAAGTAGACATGTATCGGACAATATTTCCGACCTCAAGGCGCAGGTGGCTGCAAACCACAAGGGCACGGCTCTAGTTCAGGCCCTGATTGAAGAGTATAGCCTTCCGGTTGTTCAACTGTACATGAAAGCGATCCAATCCAACGCTGAGTGGGCTGTGCGAGAATATCTGCGCTCCGTGCTCCGCCAGGTGGGCCCTCGCCTATTGTCGGAAGATCAGATGGATAATGGCTCGCTGATCAAGCTTGCGATCACAATTTCGCCTGATGGCTCTGCCAAATTTGACTTTACTGGGACTGGTTGTGAGCTGCTCAGCAACATCAACGCACCCCCAGCCATCACTCACTCTGCCATTATCTACACCATACGTCTTCTTATCGGTACTGACATTCCTCTAAACCAAGGATGCCTTGCCCCGATAGAAGTCATCCTTCCCAAAGGTACATTCTTGAACCCATCCTCCGGACCGGCAGTCTGCGCTGGAAACACCCAAACATCCCAGCGTATAGTGGATGTCATCCTGAAGGCATTCCGCGCAGCTGCGGCGTCACACGGCTGTATGAACTGTCTAGGGTTTTTTGGGGAGGGGGGGACTGATGCCGAAGGGAAAAAGCTCACCGGATATGCTTATGCATTCGGGGAGACAATCTGTGGTGGGTCCGGAGGAACCCCCGCCCGGGCCGGGGCATCCGGGGTGCACACGCATATGACCAACACAAGGATTACCGATCCCGAAAGTCTGGAGAAACGGTATCCGGTTATCCTTCGGGAGTTTGCCATCCGCCATGGTACTGGAGGAAAGGGGATGCACAGGGGCGGCGACGGGGTGGTCCGAGATATTGAGTGTCGGGCACCACTTAGCTTCAGTGTCATCACCGAACGACGGAGCGTTGCCCCGTATGGGATGAACGGGGGCGAGCCTGGAGAGCGGGGGGCGAACTACTGGGTTCGAAGGGTGAAGAGTGAAAAAGGGGAGCAGTGGCGATGGATTAACATGGGCGCAAAGAACATGGTGCGCATGGAAGCAGGTGATCGATGTGTGATTCACACTCCTGGTGGAGGTGGCTGGGGGAAGGTTGATGATATGGATGAGAGAATGAATGGGTTTACTGGATACTCCATGCAGTATCCACGGGCATCTGGTAGTGTTGCTACCCATATAATGGCGCAAGAGAGTTCTGCGTGATAGAGCAAGAGCATATGAATAGATAAATGATAGACCTATACGAAGCATACCCCGCAGAAATCAAAGAGCAGAGCATTAACTCCACACCTTCCCCCAGCTATCACTCTCTCCATGACCCCATGAAAGCCTAACTAACCATTTAACCTTCCGTGGCGGAACCCACACTCAATTAACTTCATAAACCACCTCTGACACCTCCATGACGTCACTTCCCCGGGCATACTAAAACCTCCTCCACGTACAACAACCATCCCTGCATACGATCCCCAATCCCTTGACAAACCCTCACACAAATCACCAACCAACCAACACACCACCAACCATGCCCCCAACCACAACCCCCCACCCGCCCCCACCCAACGCACCAACGAACCGCACCCCTCCCTCCCCCAAAACCCCGACACCAACACCATCGACTACACCCCCGACCCATCTCACTCACTACCCATATCCCCCTCCCGACATGAAATCCAACAACACATCATATCCCTCTACTGCGGCAGCGCCTCGGAAGACGACATGAGGGTCTACTCCGAGAAAGCCATCTACGACGATCCGTTTAGTTATTGCGATACACGGTACCATACATACCCTAATCCCAGCACATTCCTTCCTCTTGTTTAATGCACAACTCGCTGATTATAAATCAAAATAGATACAAAATCGCAGGCCAATGGTACGGTATTCCCAAACTATTCGCTAAATCGGAGACGTTGGCTACGGAGGTGACTGCGTCGACGGAGCATGAGTTGGTTTGGAAGCAGAGACAGCGGTATACATGCCGTGGTGTACGGGCTGCCAAAATGGAGGATAGTCTTGTTAGTTTGCGGCTTGAGGATGTTGGGGAGGGAGATGGTGGGGGGGAGAAGGTAGTGTATCATAAGGATATGTGGAGTGAGAAGGATTATGATCATGAGGGGTTTGGGGCTTGGATGAAGAAGGTTAATGGGTGAGTTTTATTCTGATCTGGGGTTTTTGTTGGGGGGGTGGGGGAAGGGGGTTGGAAAGAGTGCTTGCTAATTAATGGGCTTGGTTTGGTTATAGGGATAAATTGACGGGGATTACGCAGCCACCGGACTCACTATAGATAGAATTCACTTGTCACAGATGTGGGTGTTTCTATTCTTCATTGATTTTCTGGTTTTATAATCAACAACAACAATCTATACTAAAACCACACCAATCCTCACCATTATCATGAGACGATAAAGCCCATCACCCCACAGAACGCGAACAATTCCAAAAACAGATATCCCCAGACCTACATCCTAAACAATACCACCTGATATCTATCTATATACAACCAACCCTTCCCTATCAAGACCATATCAACTCCCCCACAGTTTGTATTTTGTTCTTGGCGGATAATGATATCACCCGCACTCCGTATCGAGAAAGGAATGTCCCCGGTGGGGAAATAAGTAAGTATAGTAAAGTTCGTACTATCTAGTGTTTAAAGAAGCAAAAAGAGTGATTATCGATTGTGGCGCAGGGTAGGGTAGGTCATATGGCGGGATATGGGCACGGTTCCATTCCATCGGATCCGGTCGGGGCCGGGGGTTGGGGATTGGGGGAGGGAGGATGGTCGTTAGGGTACCAGCATTATGTGTGGTTTGACTGTATAGGTACCCCTTCTTTCTCGCGGGGTTTTCTTGGTGTTCCTATGTTTGTGTAATGGGGTGGGGTTGGGACGTATATTTGATGAGGTTGAGGTTATGAATATATAAATTGGGTTAGAGAAACGGTCTCAATCTGATAGTAGCTAATTGGGCAACTCATATACGAACCAACAAACATGAATATATACCCCCTCACCACCCTCCTATCCAGATGAACAAAGAAACCCTCAGAAAACCCTCACTCTCACCCCCTCCGTTCCCGGTTTTGCATGCGGGAGAAACATATCTCGGTAAACATCGACCGACTCGCGGCCTGTTTCGAATAACTCAAAGTCGAAGTTCCGATACACGTTCGCGAGCGAAATGTACATTTCCGCGTAGGCGAGGTTAATACCCAGACAGGAGCGGGTTCCTCGGCCGAATGAGACCAGGTAGCGGGTGAGTTTGCGGCCGTCAGGCGCGACGGGATCGTTGAGCCACCGCTCGGGCTTGAAGGTGAATGAGTCGGGGAAGATTTCTTCGTCGTGGGAGACGGAGTAGTTGTCCATGCTGATTATGCTGCCTGGGGGGATGGTCCAGGTTTTGTAGACGAGGGGGAATTTGTCGGTGGTCCGGGGAGAGCGTTGGATTATGCCGTAGGAGAGGCGGATGCCTGGTGAACGGGTGAATTAGTGTTTGGTGGATTGTGGGGGCACTGGAGGCAGGGGAGGGACTATACATTCTTGGAGGCATGCGGTTAGGTATGGGAGTTTTTCGAGTTCGCTTAGTGGAGGGAAGTTGGTCGGATCTGGGATCGCCGTGAAGAGCTCATTGCGTAGGCGTTCATATGTTGATGGCGTGCTAAGAATGTGGTAGCTGGCGACTGCGAGAGCGTATCGGGTGGTTTCAAAACCAGCGCCAATGACTGTGATGGCTTCGTGTTGAAGTCGTGATAGACTTGTTTCTTCGGGCGGTAGGTCTGATTCCAGTAGGGTGTTGAAGACGGTTTTACGTTGGGATTCTTTGGTTGTGCCGTTTGCTTTCTGGGTGAGGATTTGGGAGATTTGCGTGGCCATTTCCTGTGCCGGTTAGCGGTCATCACATTAACTATAAGATCCAAGGACCGGTGGATATCTACCCTGTTGTAATGATTAACCGACTTCATCCCAGGCTGCACTGCTTCCACCAACTTCTCCGGGAGTGCATTGATTATAGTGCCCACCCAAGGGAACTGGACAAATACGTGCACGGCATCTAGCAAATCGAACATTGCCTGGATAAATGGAGATCGAAAGTCCGGTGCGTCGATGAACCCGTAACCGTCATTAAAACAGTATTGGACAATGATATCCGCAGCAATGCATCCCCATAGCCAATCGAGACGCAGGATCTTCCCCGTCCCTTTGTATTCTCGACGAAGCCGATCACAGAGCTTGTAGAGCTTCTCCTGCATCATGGGGCTAGCGTTGGCAATTGATCGCTTGGAGAAGAACGGGTTCAAGGCGGCGCGTCTGGGACGATGGGCTTCATGCTTGGGGGTCGAAAAAGTGCCTGTGGAGTTGTTGAAGCGATGTTGAAGATGTTCCAACTTATCCCACGGCAAGGAATTGGAGAATATCTCTTCGAAAAAGGAAGAGTCTCGGATATGGATCTCATCGGGACTGATGCGGATGATGGGTCCTGGCGAGGATGCACTGTCAGCTCATTGCCCTGTGGTCGATGAGGGGGATGCTGCTACACTCACCGTACTTGTCATGCAGGCGATGGTATTGAAAGAGAAACTGGCCACCCGGCGATTTGAAGACCTCATAGTATGTTTCATACCAGTACGTAAAGGCGGCGAGCTTCGGTCCCGGAAACTGGGCCAATGGGTGCAGAGTGAGGCGGTAGATTCCCAACCCGACGAAGTATACGAACCAGACGGCTGTCACAATGGCACACAAGGCAGTAGGGGAGTCAGCGACCGATGAAAGGCCGGCCACTAAGCCCTGGATCACACCCATGGTTGAGAAGAAAGCGACACATGGAGAAGAGGATCACAAACGGTGAGGATCTCGACGGGGCGTGCAGATATAGGTGCTCGGGGAACGGATCGTACCTAGTGGCCGTATAGAACTGGTCGGTAGTTTGCGAGGCGTCCCGAGGGATTGGATCCCGCCAGACATCCCGGTCAGTGCCTGCAATGAAAACCTACTAGACTACTAGGTAATACGGTAGATGCCAATTGACACCCCCCTTTAGTGGAGCAGGCCCGTGCGGACTATGGGTTCTTTTGCTGGCCTGGGCGGTCGGCTTTGCCGCTGATTTGCGCCCGGCTGAAGAATTGACTCCGCTGATAGTCGCTCGCTGCCTCCTGCAAACTGGCCAATGGTGAATGGCTGGCCTGCTGCTTGCTGCACTTGCTGCATCTGACAAATTTAGGGAGGACGAGGATGAACCTTATTTCCGGGGGAGGTTATCGGGGGCAAGGCATCCAAGACCGCATGTCGGACCCGGATGGGAAATTCTTGTAACGAGTAACCTCAGTGGATGCGGAGATTTGACCCCCAGGACGGGAGTAGTACCTGGGCATCAAGGTTGGTAACTCGGCTGTCATACATGGATAGAGTTCGTGGGCGCCCTGCCCGGAGTCCAGGTGCCTTGGCGGGGCCATCCCGTATCCAGGATTCCAGGCTACCCACGGACTCCCTCTTCATCATTCGGCAATGCATCGACTCCACCATTCTGCAGGATACGAAGTGGAGGTTGTTCTCCACCTACCAACGAGGCCTCTTTGTTCCTCTGCCGTCTTTCCCAGTTAGGATGGTCTCCGGGGTCCTGGTGATGACCGGCTCGTTGTGACGGTGACGCGGACACAGCATACCTACATGCATTAGCGATGTGTTACCGGCATTTCTTTAGGCTACTGTAACATCTTTCATGGCCTGAAAGAACAGGCTGCATCCCTCATTCGCCAATTCCTGCACTCTCCCCGCTGCTGGCAATCCGGAGGTTCATGCGTGGTTAACAGGCCAACCAGGCTTGGTAATAAGCTTTCGCATCGCAATAGCCAGTGGGGATAAGCAGCTGCATGCTGCTGGTGACCCTCAGCGCGGCAGACTTCCTCAAAGAAAGTCCGACGGGTCCACTTTCCAAGGCCCTGCCTGGCCGGTTTCTGTCACCCGGTCTGGCCCCAACGCTCACCCCATCGTCCCTGACGACCCCAAAAGGCGATGCTACTCGAATGGCTTTACCGATATGCTTCTTCCAATAGGTAGCCTTGATCGGAGGGTCGCCAGAATTGAGGCTTTCCCTGGGCTTCTAACCAGATTTTCTGTGCCACCATATCCGACGGTCACTGCAACAGTGGCATCAGCGTGCGGACCGACGCTCTGTGTCTCTACCTTTAATTGTATCACCATGAAACCTTCCATATGATTGGCAACACCAGTACGCTAATAAGGCCAAAGTCCAATTTCCTTGAAGGCGAGACCAAAGCGTATCTAGGTTCCGCGCCCACGGTAATGAACGCTTGGGCCCTGATGCGTAATGGATACGTGGTTCTCGGCTGATCCCCATCGAGGCTAGAATCCTTCCATGTGCAAGTTCTGTACGTCTTCCGTTCGCCCGTTGCATCACCCGTTGCACGTTGGAACCGGTCTTGTACGGCTCGTTCCGACCCCGAATGCCGTCATCAATGGTTGGCTCTACAAGGCTGCTGCGACTGGCTAAACTGCGAAGAACTGTGGGCATGGTAAGAATATTTGCTGGAACTCGGACGACCTATAACAGCCACTCAATTTATGATGCGAACACTGCTTTACAAAATCCGGATTTTGAACCCGGTTAGCCCGGCCCATGTGTCTCGCCCCGGAGTGGAGACTCTGAAAGTTAGTCTGTCGGTGGGTATGCCCTCCTTCCTTAAGGACAAACGTAAAGGTCTGATCTCAATCACATGGTTTAGGCTGACTAGGTCTGTGATGAGAGTTCCAACCAACTCTCCACCTCTGCTCACTACATCATCTCGGATGTTTAATCCTACCAGTCACCTACCGTCTATTATCATGAGGCAGAGGCCTTTCGAAGGGGGCTCAGATCAACACGATCCACAAGTAACAAAGCAGATGGTTATAAGGTTATGATGAAGGCTGGCCTAGCTAGGCCCAAGTCAGGCGGCTGGTACACTGAGCAGCACCAAGACAAGTAATCAGTCGTGTCACGGTGTTTCTCCATTTGGCTTCTCCTGCGAAGGGTCAAAGTCCCCGAAAGCGTCGCCGACCCCCTCTCCCCGCAGATACTGCAACGGTGTCTGGAAATTGACAAACCCGATGTTCGGACTAGACAGCTCGTATCCCATTACTTTCTGGGCTACAGGAGACCAAGAAAACACCTCGGCAGCGGTATTCGCAAGATAGATGTTTTCCTCCTGTCGATGAAACCCGCGCGTGAAGAACATGCCATGTACCGCCCGTCGTTCGCTTTGTGTGACATTTGCCCCGCCCACATGGTACAGTCCTCCAAGCATCACCCAACACTCAGTCGGATCCATCTCCGCCGCCACTGCTTCGTCAACCTTGGGCACCCGGTCGGATCCCCAGAGGTGGCTGCCGGGGATGGCGATGGTGGCGCCATTCTCGACCGTGGTCTTCACCCCGGGAACCATGAAGGCCATCATCACATCCGACCCAACCCGATACCCGGTAGCTCGCTGATCTTCATGATCAACATGAAAGTTCTTATCGTCTCGGTGAAGTCGCTGTGCCTTGGCTCCGGGGCCGATGTCGAATGTTATTGCGATGGAACAAATGGCCTCACTTGTGTACGTGTGTTTGGTCTCCCCGTAGAAGTTGGTGGTGGTTTTATCCACAAAATGGGCCGTCAAAGTGCGGATGAGCGGGTCAATCAGCCAGTTTTCTCGGGCCGTCTGGCTGCGCCCCGCGAGATTGGCACAGCGACGGGTTTCTGGGGGAAAGAGATCACCCTGAATTTCTTAGCGGGCGAGCTCTGAAGCTGCCACAACCCATCTACTTACATTCCAAGGCTTGTCAGCATCGAGGTATGGCTGCACCTCTGCATTGGCTGTCTCCGCATAGGGGAAGTTCGTGATGATATGAATAAAAGCAAGTAATCTTCATTAAGATATTTTAGAGATTGAAAACCTTAGAAGCATACAAATCAAACTGGTGAGTATCTAATATATCATAATGGTTATTCAAGCCACAAATGTGTCCTCTTCCTGGTCAATTAGGGTCTCCGAGTCTTCCACATTAGTGGTCATGGTCGTGGGGGTTTTGGGATGATCATTGGTCGGCCCAGACAATGATGTGGTTGGCGATGATATGGACTCATTCATTATGCTTGACGAGCTCACAGGAAATTTGGAAGGGTCCGACCTAGTCCTATTATCGTTATCAGTATCTTCGTCGAGCTCCTCGGGCTCCGCAGCTCCACTGATAGGAGTGACGAGATTCATTAACCACTGTAGTTCCAGAATCCTTGTATCTGGAAGGGGAAGTTTAATGGGGTCTGGTGTCTTTAGTTCGATTATGTGACCCGAGAATATAGGCCTTTGGGTTTTGATGTCCATGAGCCCAAAACCAAGTGCAGGGAGATTAAGATCTTCGGGGAGCTCCGGAACACGCTCCAGGGGAAAATGTCCAAACGGCTTCTGTGGCTGGAGCCATACTAACTTCAGCCGCAGCCAGGTGTTGCCGGGATCTTTCGCAAGGAATTCCAGCGCGAAATATCCTCTACTGTGGTATCTGTGCACCGTGGGGGCAAAACAAACAAGATTTTCGAGTCGCTCAGTTCCGCCAGTCTCGTCCGAAAGCGCTGACTTCCAGCGCAGTACTTGATCATTCGTCCAAAATCTCTCTAATCCCTCCCAGAAGGTTTTTGTGACCGGACTCTCGCTCTCCTGCATATACACAGGGAACAAATGGGCTACATCACAATTTTCTTCCCTATCCTTTGTGACTACACACATCCTGTCTCGGAGCCGACACTAGATAGGAAACAAAAGTCAGTATGCCCCAAAGTTTTTGCAGCTGCTGGAAGACTAACATGCTTCACTGCAGAGAAACTCCGCATCTTCTTGCGGCGGGAGGACTCAAGATTGTCTCCGCGTCGCTTCTTCCCGGTGGCAACTGGTGTCGTCGGGGTGGACGCTGTATCCTTCCTGGACCCGTATCTCCTTCCTCTTTATCCGTTGATATATTGACCCTCAGCGCCGTCCGAGCCAGAGCGATACTCAGTTCGTTCGCCGGCGAGGAACGCTGGTCGGATGGTGATGTTGTTGTATAACGTGCGGGTGACGTCAAAGTTGATGAAGCTATCGACCCTGAAGGCCGTTCCCGTTCCCGCTGTGCCCCTAGATAGATCAAACAGCAATGGTTAGCTTTATATATGTGAAGTAACTAAGAATAACCAACATTTCTGGACGATGCCGAAATCCTCGGTTATTCGCATATGGCTATAGATGCCTTGATCATCCTTGGCTGCTATTTCTCTTAGCTTCACAATATTGGATAGCCACATGCATGCCCATGCAGTGTGCAAGGTTGGGGGGTTTGGTGCTGGCTGTTGGGCGACTACTGCAGCTGCAATCCTAGCAACCAGCGCACCCCTCTCGGGGTCCGAAAAGATTTGCTGAACGGTAGACATGGCTTCTATTGCCACCGCGTAATAGTCGAGGCTTTAAGAAGGCTGAAAAGGCTGATGATCGTTTTTTCTGCAAGCAACGACTGATGCAGAATGGAACTGAGGAAATAGGATGAGGGGAACGAACTGACAATTTATCTTGGTCGATATTGTGTCATTCTGCCATGACGTTCCGTAATGGTAACAGATCCCAAAAAATGACAGATAGCCCCGTATTCTATAACATTCTATGATATACGGTATACTTACATTCAATTAAACAGAATAAACGATGTAACAGTGAATTTAGCTGCTGTCACAATAAACAGCTATACTGATTCGTGTTTAAGGGAGTATTCAATGATATCAATCGTATTATTTCACTTATAGTAAGATTTTTACTGTTAATATTGAATTGGAATATGAGGAATTAGGAGAATTCTACCAATGCCAGAGTATCCCTTCTCTTTGTAATCTTGGCCATGAGCGCTTTCAGCCTAGATGGTCTATTCGATTCTGGAGCGCCAGTGAACAGAGATTGGCATGCGCTCGGTGACCTCTACCGTGGGAGGGCCATGGAGCAACTGAAATCCTCGCTGCAAGACCTTGTCATCGGCACAACCATCAACGGACAATTATAAAGACATTCTGATGGCATTATTCAACATGGTCACGATTTCCGTAAGTTTCTCCCGACATATAGTCTGCCCAGGCACGAACCGTTGGTAATAATTCAGCTCCTGCTTGAGTGGTCAGTGGAAGGATGAGAAACTCAGCATACTACCTGCGAGACATTGAGGCCATCATCGAATTTCATGAACTACAAAAAGCTGCCCGCTCATACAAAGTGCGCATGCTTGATAGTATTCATCTGTCTTCGCGTATTGACAGAGCGTTCTTGCTTCGACGATGAACCACCGCAAAGCGCTGTCAATAAGCCGGGCGACCTTTCTGCATTCCGCGCGCCTTGTACATAAGACCAGCTGCTTGGACTTTCTTCGCGACTTACTGGTGTCACTACCCTCCCGTATGACTCAGAATTATGTCAGAATGTTGGAGGGTCCGCTTTGGAGGTTATTTACTCCATCCCGCAATCCTTGCTCGAGGTAATCTTCCAGGCGACACACATGGCTGGCGAGGTACAAAGACTACAAGATAATGCTCGACAGCAAGCTAATGGCTATGGAACATTTGCGACCAAGATCAAGAATTTGGAAAATCATGTCTGTGACTGACAATGTCAGACTCACCGCGGCCTTTCTCTCGGACCAGCACTTGAACCCCAGAGGCAGTGCGTCCCATACCCTCTTGTTCAGGCAGTCCACATGGCCCTAATCATATACTTTTACCGATGCATAAGAGACGTAAATGCCGCAGTACTGCAGCCTTATGTTCAGTAGACCATCCAACACCTTTATGAGTACGGCAAACAGAGAGAGATGTGGGGCGATCGATCATCGAACATGTGCTGACCGGGATTTATTGCGGGGTGCGAAGGCTTACACCCGCATCTCAGGCAGGAGTTGGCCAATTGTCTGGAACGGTCTGGCCTGCCCACAGGAATCCAGATCTCTACCGTCGCCCTTGGAGCCGTCCGGAGAGTATGGCACGCCCAAGGCTTTCCCAGTATGCCAAACGTTCCATGGACTCGAGTCCTGAATAGGTTCAGCGAGCTCAGGGTGTTAGTGTCAAGTTAACACAATCAATAATATCTCCTCCAAGGACGACCACCTACCCCTTCGTCATTGCACTAGTAGACGCAGGAATGAAGGGTATTCCTGCTTAATCATCGGCATCCTAGCCATTGCTCTTGAATGCATCTTCCTTCCCTCTCCCATCCTCCGCACCATGGCCCTTCAAAACCTATTACCCTCATTCCTAGCCAAGGTCGACGAAAAGGGTCGCCCACGATGGGCCCTCACCATCACCGCCATCACAGCCACAGTCCTGACATACATGAGCTTAAGCGGTACCCCTCCCCCCTTCCCCCAACACCCCCTTCACTCACCCTACTTACCAAATCCCCCACCCAGCCAATGGCCTCAAAGTCCTCAACTGGCTCATCGCCATCACCAGGGCCTCCATCTTCACCAACTGGGCCATCATCACCATCACCCCTAGGCGATTCCACTTCGCCATCAAAGCCCAAAACAGCACCGTGCTCTCCCGCCCCTACGGATAGGAATCATTCCACTGGCCCCTTGCCCCAGTAATTTCCCTCATCTATCTAGGCATAGCTCCGGTAAACTTCCCCTCTCTTCCTCTCCCTCATCTATGCTAATAATCACAGTATGGAACCAATTTCTCCCTCTACAACTTCTTCTCCTACCCCATCGGACCAATCTTCATCATCATCGCAACCATCACATACAAGCTCATTCATCACACACCGTGGCGTGACCCCGCCACTGCGAATTTGGTAACGGGCCGTGCAAAACTAACTGCGAGGGAAATACGGCAGTTAGACGCGTATTATGAGAGGCCGGTGTGGCGGCGGCTACCGACTTATTTCCGGGTATGGTCGATTTGCGGTGTTTGTGGATTTATGAGGAGGTCATGTTATGACACTCGACGTTGTCTGAATATCTCGTTTGGGTTTTGCTTTTGTGGTCGGATATTTGACCGTCTCTCTCCTAGTCTATGCTACCAGCTTGTTTTATTTCTCTTTAACCCCCCCCCCCCCCCCCCCTTCCTCTGTCTCATTTAAACTCTCCATTTTCTCTTTCTCTAGTTCCAGCCCATCTCCCTCCGCTAGCTGCTACCTTGGTACTACCGGGGATACCCCCCTTTCACACTCCTCTGCTTGTCGCCTCATTAGTCATTGGAGAAAGATATTCATTTGGAACAATCTTTTCTCGAGGGATCGCGCCATCAATAGCTGGACTAGTACTAGTAGTAGTATATGTTGATTGATATAGAAGGACTGGCCAGCATCCAGATGTGGCTTTTGGTCTACTTTTTTGACAGACTGCTTAGAATGTAGAGGGCAGGTAAGTATGGAAGTGAGGTATAGGGTATGCCGATATATCAAAAGGTATTATTCGGATAATTACGTGCAGACTAAGTAGGAGCGAAACAGTTCCATCCAATTACCCAACCGACGCAAACGTAAACGAAGGTAAACCTAACCTAGAGAAACTCCCCATTCCCATCATTAAATCCATCACACATCCTGAATCTAGTCCCAACCTCAACCCCGAAATCCAGGTTAAACACTCCCCTCCGTCTCCGATTTCATCCGTCTCGAGGCCCTCCCCTTCTCCGACCAGGGGAAGTGGAACACCGGCACGATGAAGAAGCTATTACTGTCGTCGGCGATACCCGCGAGAGCTACATACCAGGCGCCGAAGGCGCCGAGTAACGCGAACAGTCCGCCTGCTTTGATGGCCTTTGCGTTGGGGATATCTGTTCCGTTGCGGTGGAGGTAGCCGATTGCTAAGAGGAGAAGGGCGATGTCGACGACCATGAAGAGACCGCAGAAGACGACGGTGGATTTAAGTGTGCAGAGGACGAGGAGGAAGGTGAATATGAACCAGCCCTGTTTTCTTACTGTTAGTTGATTGTTGTTTCTGTGGGGAAATGGAAGGGGGTTACCATGAGGAATAAGCCAAAGGCATCGTAGAACATGCCCAAACTACCACCATCGGCTTTCTCGTACGCGGCTTGAATGTTGAAGCCGCCAGGTGTGAAGACGATAGATAGAGAGATCCAGAACCCGCCGTAGGAGGAGAGAGCGGTGGCACCAAAGGTATTTCCGAGAGCCATTTCCCTGGGTACAAAATAGGGTTAGTGGTGGGTTTGGCTTGTCTGGTGTGTGTGTGTAGTACGTACCACATCCCCGCGAGAAGCTGGACTAAACCTCCATATGCGAATGCGGGAGCCACAATCATGTTCGGAGCAGTGATGCCCAGAGTCTGCATGTTGATTGTACCCAGGAGGAAGGTTGTCAAGGCGAACCCACACAGCCCTAGGGGTGCGGGATTGGCGAACTTGCGCTGCTTCGGGGGCTTCCATAGGCCCGGTTGGAGCTCACCCGCGAAGGCGGGGAAGGTGGTTTCCGCAGTATTGACATGGGCAAGAGGCCCGAAGTCGAAATGGAAGCCCCTTTCATTGGGGGTGATTGTGGAGGTATTTGTGAGGGTTGGTTGGGCGGGAGTGGCTTTTTCCTCGCTGTCGGTTGATGGGGGCATTGTTGCTGTTGAGACGGTCGGAGAGATATCAAGGGCAGTGGTATTGGAGTAGAGGCCATGCTAGGGCTGGGACGACCCAGCTAAATAGGATATGAGGGCATCGCGATATGTTGGGGTTGTGCTGGATCGCCTCCTCCAAGCGGGGGATCGACGACTATCTGGGGCGCGCATGAGGGCATGGTGGAGAGAGGTTGATGATCGATCGAGTCGACTGGTGACGGTCACTATCGCAGTGATGTCTCATTATTTCGACGGGACTGTGGTTGGTTCTCATCATTGGAAGCCAGCAGGCAGCGTGCCAGTGGAATCCGGGGAGGAGTGGAGTGACGCCCCTGCCGATTGCGGAGAAGCTGTCCGTTCGAGGCCACGATCGGCGTCATCGACTACCCCCTGCGAATCATCAGCGTGGAGGCGGTTTTGAATTTGTTCACCGAGAGGATAGACTTTGCCTATTCAATAGCCATGTGGACGAGGCTATCTCGCCTTGATGGAGCCAATTGTGATATCCGCTCGTGCGAGCCGCAGTCGTCAGCTCGGACACAAGTGAGGCCGGCGGAGACAAACGAAATGAGATCGACGGATGCTGCAGGGCCTCAACTACCGAGCTAGCTGGATCCGGGCATCCTCGGATAGCCCAACTGCCGCGCCGGGCACATTCGGCTTCTCGGAGGAACCTTGATCCAAGCGATCGGTGACGCCCTTGCATCAATGCAAGGGATGACCGTGGATTGAAGCAAGGTTCATAATTGGGGAGATACAGTGGCCAGATATGTTTGAATCGTAACAAATGCTTGGGCCGATCAAACTTCAGATCGTCGCTTGTTGATTAACATTTGGCGTAGCATCAATGTGCACAGCATCCCTATATATTGATGCCTGAGGCATAAAATATCAAGCCCGCCGTCATACACTCAGTGCAAGTTGAAAGGTATGGTCTAGAAGATACTTATTGCTCACAGTATTCCAATACTGAGTGATTTGGTATCTTTTGCTGTTTCAATTCTTGCTCTAACAGGGGTTCGTTGTGGGTTGCACTTTGCAAATAAACCGGGCGAGATATACATATTTATTACCTTGTAAGTCTATGTTGCTTCCGTTTTTCCAATAGAAGGAAGAGAAAAAAGATAATTAAATAATAATAACAAGAAAAAATGATAGAAATATAAAAGGTAGGATAAAAAGAAAGAAAGGAACGATAGAAAAGATACAAAAGGGGCTATGGCTTGTATCCACTCGGGGATCTAAATAGCAGAACCAGGTATCCTTATCGAGGAACGGTATTAAAGCACACACGGTCAGGTTCTGCTTACATGGCATATCCTGAGCCTCACAGTATACAAAGGGCACATGTAGCCCAATTGAAAGTGATTCTCCAATCAAGAATAGTAACGATAGTCCACACAAAATGACATAGTGGAACGGTGACAATGTGGTTGGACTTTTGTCGGAATATAAGTCCGAGATACATGTTCAAGGTCTCCCAGCGAATGTAAAATCAAGGCAAAACTCGTGCTACACCCTTATCTGCAGGAAGTCCACTGTTTCCCGGGCTGGGGTAGGACTAAGACAGAGAAGGAATAGTTCAGGAGAATTTAGACACCAGTCTGGACCGTACTAGCCTCTGTTTGGTGCCCAGGGCATTGGAAACGTGGCCAGCCAAGGCAAAGGTTGGCATGCAAGGAAGATCTAATGCATGACGGAGATGTGTCCGTGTGCCAAAAGGTCTGGGGAAGAAACTGGGTCGGCCCAGCGTACACTTCCCACTACCACATCGCCCCCGATGGCGGAGGGTATTTTAAGAACCGGAACCTTAAATCCTACAAACCCTCATTATGTCGTCCATGGCTGGAAGTCCATTTAGCCTCTCCACTTTATGTTTCTCCTATCCTTTACTGTGAGGTAGTGGTCGGAAATGTATGGCCCACAGGCCATGGTCGTGCCGCACGTGGCAATCATTGATCCATAATGTGGTGGGTAAGGCCACCCAATGAATGAGTGCTACATGACTCGGGATATCTTGCCTTCTGTCAAGCTATGCTGTCAGATAGGATGCCATAAGGCGGCGAAGAGTGAGCTTGACCCCACAACAGTCTGGACACCAAACTTATTCGGCGACAACCGGGGTTCCCCAGGTTCCAATAACCTATACTAAGTAGCATACTGAGACCACCATGAGCAGATGGGTATTAGAATATTAGAATATGAAGGTGTGCTCAGGTATAGGATGACAATGGCGTCTTTGGATAGTGTTTGATTCACCATGCTTTACGGCACACTCGATCAGGGTGTAACTGCCGGCCCTGAGAGGAAAAGGGTGAAACAACTCCGGAGAGCCCACAATCATATGATGTGAAAGAGTCAACCGGAGTCTGACACCTACAGCTAACTACTGGGATGGCTGTGGTAAACGTGGAGTTTGCTTGCTTTCCGGGGCAATCGGTATGCCGCCCCGCTTGTCACACCCCGAGTGGCACGTGCACCGCGGCAACGGAGTCGTGGGTCGGATGCCGGGCTCTGATCGGCTTCGAGCCCGGAAAGGGTGCGCACCAATCACACATCACTAAAAGGTCAAGGAAAATACACCGCTGTCCAGTCAGGGAAAGGCTGCCTGTTATTGTTTTTCCACCCCGGCAGTCACCCCGCCCCCGCCCCCGCGTTGCCGACCGTCGCCTTGCCGGTAGAATTCCTAGGATGCAAGTAGGATGGCTTCAACGTCTGTTTTGGTGAGGATTCTGATGCTCTGTGTCCAAAAAGCGCTGATGTGCAGGTCTTAAACGAATAGCTGGATGGTTCTGCCGCCGAAGATAAAAATGAATGTGAAGGCGGTCAAGGCCATGGCAGTAGGTACAAAAATGCTCAGAAGTTCTTGGGGTATGCTTACTACCCCAAGCTTCCTTATTGGTTCACAGGACGAACATAGTGTGTATAGAATCATTAGAACAGGGGTAGATCAGACAATCCCACTGCAGGGCTGCGGCCGGCAAGCAGCGGAAAAACAAATTACGAACGGTTTGAGGCTCGGATAGGAAGGCGGAGAGAGCCCAGCGCGGCTGTCCCCAGAGAGGACTTACCCGCGGGTAAGAGCATCCCCGGGATTCCCCCCAGCAATGCAGCTCGATATCACAGTCGATAATTGATTTTGATATGCAGGTAATCCTGCTTATTCGGCAAGGCCATTACGGCCTGCCGTCTCTCGGCTGTTCAAACGAAGACCTACGAGAACTGAAACATCGATCATGCAATCCATCAAGCCCGTCGGCATGTGGCAACGGTAACTTGGGATGGTTGGTACCGCCGCAATGCCCCCACACGGAGTTGGAGCCGATCGATTTGCCGTCACCTTCCATTCTATCCAGACTCGCCACGACCATCCGGATCGTGTATATAGACCTCCGGACCTCGTTCTGTTTCCTTTTTCATCTTCCTTCTGTATCATCCATCTCCTCCAACATCTCCTTGACCACTATTCCTCTCTCCCCTCACCCACATATAAATACCGTCACAATGTCTTCCAGCTTCCAATACGACCCCAACTTCACCCCCTATGTGGTCAACTCCATGGGACCCAAGACCCCCGAGCGCGCTCGTGTGGTCCTGGGCGCCCTGATCAGACACATTCACGACTTCGCTCGTGAGGTCGAGCTCACTTCCGCCGAGTGGATGATGGGTGTTGAATTCATCAACTCCATCGGAAAGATCAGCACCCCCATCCGCAACGAATGCCACCGTATCTGCGACGTTATCGGTCTTGAATCGTGAGTTCCCCACACAACAACAAACCGCACAAACGCCAAAAGCTAACTATTCTTTAATAGCCTCGTCGATGAGATCGCCAACAAGATTATCACCGAGCAGGGCCTGTCCCCCACGTCCAACGTCATTCTCGGACCCTTCTGGTCGCCCAATGCTCCCTTCCGCGACCTTGGCGCCAGCATTATCCAGGATCCCAACCCCAACGGCAAGGTCACCTACATGCACGGCGTCCTCAAGGACATGGAGACCGGCAAGCCCATCGTTGGTGCCGTTCTCGACATCTGGCAGGCATCCGCCAACGGCCAGTACGACTTCCAAGATCCCAGCCAGAGTGAGAACAACCTTCGCGGCAAGTTCCGCTCCAACGAGAAGGGCGAGTTCTACTGGTACTGCTACCACCCCACTCCTTACTCTCTGCCCACCGACGGCCCTGCTGGTGTGCTCCTCAACATCATGGACCGCTCTCCCATGCGTCCTGCCCACATCCACCTCATGATCACCCACCCCGACTACGCCACCGTCATCAACCAGATCTACCCCAGCGACGACCCTCACCTCGACATCGACTCCGTCTTCGCCGTCAAGGACGATCTGGTTGTTGACTTCAAGCCCAAGACCGATGACCCCAAGGCCTCGCTCGACCTTGAGTACAACGTCACCATGGCTCTGAAGAAGCACCACCGCAACCCCAACACTGCTCCTCCCGTCTCCTCCTTCGAGCGCTACAACAAGGCCAACCAGAAGCTGTAAAAATAGTCACCATGACGGTGATATGAAGCATTGATGTACATAGTTATGCATTTGTCGAACTTCAGCGATGACTCTTGATGTATTGTTTGAATACAGATTTCTATCATCTTTTCCAGATCAAACTGTGATTTTTAGAATCATGCGCATGCGCCTTAGTAGACTCACCTAGACCTTCTAAAATGACACTTGCATATGAATGCTGGGTCTACGCGGGGACCCCGCAGACAGAGTGAGCGAATTAGAACGTAGCCAAAGTCATGACCCTGTCGGGGTGTTTTGGCCACATCCCGTGACCGACAAGGCGTCCCCGCTTTTACGAACTCAACTCCTCAGAGCCCATTGAGATGCGGCGATGGTCTTGTCCCATGGTGCCATCGGCTATATGTACATTCGTTACGCCACGGAACATAGCATTGACTTTCTCTAGACCGCTCTCAACCCATCGTGGCGAATGATAGGCACCGGGTATAAACGATTTGGCTTCGCTGGGACCCTCGCCATGGCACCACCTACGGCAGACCCCCGAATACAGTACTGAGTATACAGTCCAAGCTGCTATACAAACCAAAGTCGCACTCAATCCAAACAGCCTTTTGGGTGGCGTGGGAGTAAACCGCGGGTGAGGACACCAAAGATGGCTGGTCTGTGTTTTGTTTTACCCTTTATGACTTCTTACTGCCTAGGCTAACTCATTGAGATTTGCTTATTAGTGCATCCGTGGCGAGAAGAAAACACATAGGTATCCATGCAGTATGGACCAGATGTCTCCCTATATTCGCCAATTTTCACCAGGGACGCCCCAATCCCGAAAACATTAGAGTTTCTAGACCCCAATATCTCCCATCAGGCGACGAACAACGCATTGAGAACTGCGGTATAATTTGGCAACAGCATGTGCTGCTGACGCTGAGAAATCATGCAACAAAAGATGGTTTGGGTGTGGGGAAGGAATAGTGATAATCTAGGAGAGACAGTGATGGCCTTTCGTGTTGGAGCACCGGGAAGATATACCCGACTTCCTGAAAGGGAAACTCCGAGCTAAAACCCCGAGGCATACTCCGACCGAAAGCAAGGTGCTTCCAAACATCACGGTCTGCCCATCCAGGACTATATAAGTTTGAGCACGATGCCAAGGTGTCAGTATTGAGGAGGTAGGAGTTATTTCAGTTTCAGGGTCTCTACAAGTCTCGTTCGGTCTCATAGCTCGATTCCTGTGGCTGGGATTCTACAGTCTATACCAATTGACCTCCACCCGACAAGATCCTTATTTAATTCATTGATATGACACCACCACTAGTATCTAGAGCTTTTCACGACCAACACGTCGTCATTCTTGGGGGAGCATATGCTGGCCTCTCCACGGCGCTGAACCTTCTACGGATCTGCGACGGGACATTCAAACATTCTCTTAAACGGGATGGCAAAGGTGGTCTCCCAGAACGACATGGAAGAGGCGGGTTTAGAGCCCAGAGCCTACCTCCACCACGAGCTCCGCAGAATAAACCCAGAATTACCATTCTAGACCCCCGAGACGGTTTCTGTAAGTCTACCATCTCCATCTTTGTTCTGCTGCCTCGTTAACACCAGTTGGAGACCATGCCGTCGAAACGCCAATGGCACACACTTCAAAAGGCTATATCAGCAAGCCATGGCGTACGTGGGACGAGATACCCGAGCTGAAGAAAGGTGGCGTTTCGGTTGTCAAAGGAACCGCCGTGAGAGCGGATCCAGGGGCAAAGTCATTGCTCTATTTGTCCACAGACTCAGAACAGCCGCAACAAAGATCCCTTGATTATGATTATCTTGTCGTTGCTACGGGGCTCCGGCGTTCGTGGCCTACTGTTCCAACGGCAACAAACAAGGCAGAATACGCCACCCAAGCTGCGAGGTATATCGACTACCTGCAGACGTGTAATTCCATTGTTATCATCGGGGGAGGTCAGTGCACTTCCCTGGAAGAAGAAAGAAGACCATACAAGGGACTAAGTTTCCTTTAGGTGCAGTTGGGATCGAAATGGCTGCAGAAATCAAACACAGCTATCCCTCCAAGGACGTGACCTTAATACACTCGCGCCCCTCACTTTTGTCCTCCGAGCCCGTATCCATCGAATTCCGCGATCAAGTCTACAAAGTCATCCAAAGTGGTGGAGTGAATGTCCTCCTTAGCAATCGTGTCCTCGAAGTGACCCAAGACGACAACTCTCCAAAGACAATAACCCTCCAGAACGGGCCCACCATCTCAGCCGACGAAGTCATCTGGGCCACCTCATCCGCAGCACCGATCACCGACTTCCTACCCACTGAAGCACTAGACGAGAAAGGCTTCGTGAAAGTTCTCCCAACGTACATACAAGCCACCTGTTTCCCTCAAAGCCCCCAACACCCACCCTGACACAAAACTAATGAGTAATCTCAAACCACAGCACCCAATTCTCCTCAAATATCTCCAACTCAACTTCTCACTTCGCCGTCGGCGATGTAATCTCCACTTCCGGAATCCGCCTGGCCCCCGGCGCCATCAGAATGGGCAAGATAGCCGCAACCAACATCGCCCAGATGCTCGTCGCTAAGGAAGATTCAGACGCAGGAAAACCATCCTTCTCTATAGAGCAAGCACAAGCCCACGCAAAGCCACCAAAAGCCAATCTAAAACTAGTAATCGGAGCATTTGGAGCCGCATATGACAGCAAAACAGGGGACATAATGTGTGGACCGGAGGTGAAGCAACGGATCTTCGGGGATGATATGGGATTGACTCGTGAGTTCAATCCTTTTTATTAAATTCGTACGAGTTGTGGCATACTGACAGGATCCAAGGTGCATTAGGAGCACTGGGGATATCCTCGACTCCCTAGGATGATATATAGAACGTGGTTCGAGAGGATAACCCAAATATTGGTATCGTATCTTAGTTCTTTTGTAGAAATAATATAATCCAATATCAACTCGGGAGTCAATCACCATCATGACCTCACTAGCATAGCTTCATTATCCCATCTGTCTATCACACCGCAAGTCCAAATAAAGTAAAGATCATATTGTGTAGAATAAATTGGATCCTGTCCAATTTTGACCCAATCCAACCTTCACTTCCAGGGCGCGGTGATGAGGGATGGATGGATGTTAGTTGGTAATTCTTAGTAACCTCTCTCACACATACACAATCTATTAAGAGTACGCCTCATGATATCGCCGAAAACTTGCTGTGAGGAAGATTTAGTGAACAGAGGGAGGAAGACCATTTACCCATGTGAATATGATGATACATTTCTCTAAAAAAAAGTAAGAAAGGAAGAAAAAGACGAAGGGAGTAGCAGGGTGCAGGGTGAAATAGCTGGCCAGACTCTTGGTTTACACTTAATACTATATAGCGGATTCAATGTCATTGGGTAATATGTCATGTTCATAGACGCAGGAATGTAAGAGGTTTTGTGTAGTTGTGAGGGATGATTAGAGGACTAAGGCTGGTCTTGATGCTCGTATATGGCAAGGAAAGAGTAGCTGGTTCATTAACCGTGTAGGTGCTGCTCGTGTTTCAATCGATAACTTGGAGCTAGTTGGTGTTGATAATGGGTCGTGGGAAACGAGTTGGTCGGTTGCGGGAAAAACAAACATCGCAGCGTAGATTTAAACTCCTCGGTACTCATACTAAGATGAAACATCATCCCATTCCATCGGAACCATCAATACTAACACAGTCCACGAAAAGGCAGCCAGAGAGGCGACATTTCCCATAGAAGACCAAATTATCAATCGACTGACTGTTATATGCCGTGACCTTAGGGGTCCCGCCCCCGTCATCCAATGGCTGCGTAACGGCAAATATGTCTCGGCCTATCATCTTTTGTTGGTTGATAGCTTTAGCCACACCTAGGCTTTGATACACCGGAAAAGCCCCCTCTTCGGTGGGTTGGAGGTCTTGTAACTTCTGCAACCAGCTTTGAATCTCCAGCCCAAGTGGAAGACTCTGACATCGTAGGAGTCCAGCTAGGAGTAGCCCGGAGAAACCGATTGTGTAATTGTTTCTGGAGAGTGAGGTGTGCATGTCTGCCCCTTTTGCAATCTGAAGCAATATCCGAACCCAGGGCTCCTCCTCACGACATTCATGGTCAAGGGTCTTGGGGTCTTTGGTGTGTAAGTTGCGCAGGATTCCTGTGCCTTGCATGATGCGTGCCACGACATAGTATGCAAAGTTGAGTGCTGCATCGTGTGTTTGGAAGTGTATAGGAGGATTCGAGTCGTCGGATTCGCTGTTATGCACCACGTCCGTGTAGATTGGTTGCTCTGAGGGAGGAAGACTCGCGAGCCAGTCATCGAGCCTCTTACTTTGTTCGCTCAGGAGCAAGCAATACGTCGTATATTCCTCGTCGTTCACCTGATGGCCATCCTGATGAGGGTCTTTAGATCCCAGGCCATGACTCCAATGCCGGAGTATGGTCTGGGAGTTGATTCGATGTGATTCACACATGATACTCAACCCGGTCACTCTTCGTTCTTGGATCGAGTTACAGCCTCCTGTTAATGACCTTGGAAGAGAAATCGATGGAAGCTGCTGGTGTACATCAATAGAGCTAAAGTAGGCACGCGCCCACCAGACAACATATCGAACCTGCATCCAAGAAGTAAGAAGGGCGTTCATCATTGCGTCCCCAGAAGACTCGGGGAGCTCAGTTAGCAATCGTGTCAGTCCGTCCACGTGGCAATTAAAGCCATGAAAGTTGCCCATGGAGGACTCAACGTATGCGAAAAGAATGAGAACGGCTAGAACCATTGTGGCATTGGATTGGTAATCAAACTGGTTCAGAGCGGTAAATCTTTTGATAGCCGAAGAGTAGTACAGCTGACTTCTTGTTTGGTGGACAAGACTCGGACTATATGACCCCATGGAACTAGTTGATAATGTCCTCCGTTCGGCATGCTGGCGACTAAGATTGCAAGAGGACAGTGCCAAGATCGCATCGCTCAGGATGGGGTGCTCACCGGCAAGGCGGGAGGTCCAGTGGAAGAGAGGGTGCAACGCTGGCAGGCATGAGTCCTCCCAGTAGGTAGAGTAGAAGATATCCCTTTCAACGTGCTGCAGAGACTTGATAAGGTCAAGGTTTCCGAACGTGCGGCTGAGAGAGTTTTGTTCCGAAGTGACCTGCGACTGCAGTTCTTGGGATGGCGTTGGAGAGCATGGTTTACCGTTTGCGCTCGGACCTGCTACCATGCGAAACTTGATCTCCGGTCGAATGGTTTCGCAGATTTTACCAAGTCGTTTGCAGGTTCCACATATTGGCCTCTGCTCATCGCACTGGGCTTAGGTTAGCTTCGGGACTCTACTCTGTGAAGGCGGCTGACAAACCTTGGTTTTCCTTTCGCGACAGCTCTTACAGCCGTTGCGCGATCGAACAATATTAGTTTTCTTGGGTCTAGGAGGGGCGGGCTTGTACATCTGTCTGGGGTGTGTTTCAAGACATCGTTGGTGAGTCAAGAGCTCGAAGTGGCGAGGCTCCGCCGATCGAGCGACAACCGCCGAGCACATCATGTGACCTGGTGGATGTAACCAATCCTACGATGGTATGCTTTATGTCTTCGGTCTAGAATATGGTTTTCATTGGCTTTTCTTTACATCATTCCAGCGTCCCTGAAGCTTGTATTATTTGTCTATTCTATTTCTATGGATCACACTATCTGGAACGTGTCTTAACATTACGTCCTGTACAACCAACTTATCAAGATATATACTCTGCTGTTTAGGTCTTGAAGCTGCAGAATAAATTGGAGGTACTACTAATACGACTATAAGGTATGATATGTGACTTTGATGAATACTGAATAAATATCTCCTATACCTTCTCCTGTTTCTTTCGATCGTGCAACTCCCCTCGCTCCTGAACCAGGGCCGATATAGCCGCACCAGTGTCACCTCCCAGCTTAGCGAAGCCTTTAACCACACCATCCCGATCTCCAGGCCGCATTTCCTGACTCATCTTGAACTTGCCCTGCAGCGTCCTTATCTCAATCTCAATTCCCACAATATTCCTCTGCATGAGTTCGATATACCGTTCCGGCGCATCGGAGACCTTCCATGGCTGCGGTCTGTCGCCACCGGTATAGCCCATAACCGATCTCTCCGTATGCTCGGACAAATCATGAAGTTGTTTGGCCAGGAACTGCCCTGCCTCAGGTGTCCTGGAGTCGTAGTACAGAGACAGTTTACCGTAGGCCTGCACCGCGGAGTAGTTCCACGTCGGTACCACTTTCCCCGTGTCCGGTTTGGTTTCGGTGTAGTATTTCGGAGTCACATAATGGTCGTGTTTGCCGTTGAAGAGAACGAGAACGTCCTGGTCGGGTTGGAGAACACCCGGTGGTTTATTATCCACGGCCTCAAGCATAGCCTTCACTTGAGGGTTCTGCTTGGCAATGTGGGCACGGAGGCAAGGCGGCTTCGAGTCCTCTGGCTGGTCGAGTACAAAGGGTACATGGGTGCATTGGAGGAAGTCTTGCTGAGAGGAGTCGATGCCGGTGATGAGGATACCCAAGGGGTTTTCCTTGATAAACTGAAGTAGGACCTCGCGGTCCGGTTCATTGTGCACAGAAGGGATAAACATATTCGTTAAGGTAGCAAGAACAATGGCCTGTACGATTAAAAAAGATAATTGTGTTGATCAGCAATATCAGGGAATTGGTGCACCTTTAAATACCATTCACTGTCGGGAACTCGCCCGATGTATCATGAGTCACGGCCAGCCGTGCTCACATGCTTTGAAAAGTTCGATTGACTGAGATAAGAGACAAATCATAGCGATCGAATAAGTCATCACAGGTCCAAAAACGCGTTTGAGGTGCAACTTTTACCTGGTGATAGTAGCTCATAGGTGGTTGATTCGAGATACCCCACCGAAATGGCTTCCGTCGCTCTCGCACACCCGATCGGGTAAAGCGCATAGTCGAGCCACCGCGACTCGGAATCGGAGCGGAACTCTTCCGCTCATCGCTTGGCACGTCAACGCTGCAGAGGGCCTCGTCAGCCTGGTGGATATCGATGGATTGAGATACTTCTGTAAATGTTATGCAATAGCGATGCCCGATTCAACTGATTTTCTGCTTATTTCAACACCCTCAAAGTTGTCGGTTAGAAGACTGCCCATACAATGCCTGTAGGAGGGCACAGATGGAAGGAGCAACAGAGGCATCATGATGTTTTCTTTCCCGCATCATTCATGTAGGGGTGACTCAACATACATACTCTAAGATGAAATTACACCTCACTGTCATTATAAACAACCCATCTGAAGAAGGGATGAAATGATACATCATTACACCATACTCTGTCTGCCATCGACTCATGAATCTAAAAGACATCTGAAGTTCCAGTGCGCGGGGCCGCCACGACAATAGCAAACCTCATTCTTATAGCCAAATGCAACAAATCTTCACGACTAGGTATGTATCCAGTGTGGTGGTTGCAGTTAAGAGCGATGGCATTCCTCTCCATTGTGCGTGACAAGTACATCACGTGATGTGATGTCTTCATAAGGGGCGGAAAGGCGTCTTGCTAGGTGGATTCCATTCCTGGATTCCATACCTGTGGGCCCACCATCACAATGTTGGGGGTTTCTATCAGAAATGGCTGTCGCGCTCCTGATGTTTCCCTCTTAACTCAGTCTGGTCCATCAATCGGTTGTTCGCCCATAGAACCTTGCCCCAAAGAGTATCCCCTACGACCCAAAGGTTATCACAGAGCCTGTCCACGATCAATACCCCGGCTGCCGACTCCGGAACGCCAAACCCAGACCTGTTTTCCTACACGTCCGGTCGTTATTTATACAACGAGAAACTTCGCTTCGAGGAGCGCCATGTCGAGTTCAACGTCGAGGCATTACGAGAAATAGCCGCGAGTGCCGTGGGTGGAAAACACGTCGTGCAGCTAAGGAAGCTTGCGGAAGGTGGCTTCAACCGAGTGTTTGCCCTTACGATGGACGATGGGCTTGACGTGATAGCCAAAATACACTATCCTCTTACCGTCCCCAAAACATATTCAACCGAAAGTGAAGTTGCGACACTGGAGTTTTTGCGGCTAAAAGGTATACCGGTTCCGCGGGTTTACGCCTATTCTTCTACGAGCGACAATGCCGTGGGAAGCGAATACATTATAATGGAAAAGGCTCCCGGACAGCCATTAGAGCGCCGTTGGTTCGAACTTTCCCCTAAAGAAAGAGTTCGGTTGGTAACCAGCTTCGTCGAAATCGAACAAAAATTGTTCGCGATCCCCTTTGCCTCATATGGGAGTCTCTACTACAAGGACAGTTTGCCTCCGCACCTCCAAGCAAACCTCTATGATACACCTGGGAAGGAGGAACGCCGTTTCTGTATCAGACCCCTCCGCCGATTACATGTTTTGGCGAGGGAAGCGTGCTGCACTCGATTTGAACCGCGGGCCTTGTTAGTCTCTTTTGTTCTCATGATCCTTGGCTGGTCTTGTTCTAACTATGTGTAGGGAAGGATCATCGTGATTATGTTCGGTCGGTAGGCCAGCGAGAACTCGAATGGGCCACGAAATACGGCAAACCCCGACAGAACGACTTCCCCCACAACAACATGATGAAAGGGGAGATCTCCCCGGATATTTATGCCGACCTCCTGAAAAGGTATATCTTAATATCACCACATATCTTGCCAAGCGACCACGCGAATGCAATGAACAAGCCTACCATGCGCCATCTAGGTAAGTAGGTATATATTTGCCTTACCCTCGTATACTAATTTTTCCCAGATCTCAACCCCCCGAACGTGTTTGTGAACGATTCTTGTGAAGTCTCTTGTATCATTGACTGGCAACACCGTTCGACCCTCCCGTTACTACTGACAGCGGGGAATCCCCCGCTCTTTCAGAACACCGATTCTGAGCCCCCGAAAAGCCTTGCAAAACCCTCCCTACCGGACAAATACGATTCACTGAGCCTGGAAGAGAATTCCGAGCTGACGAACTCCATCGTCGGAGAATGTTATTCTACTTGTATATGGTCTTTAACGGGAAAGACAACAAATCTCATCTCCAGGCGCTTCGCTATCCTCTGTTAGCAATACGACAACATGCAGTTGAGAGTGCTGACCGGCAGTGGAGCGGGAACGTGATCACCTTGAAAGGTGCACTCATTCGCCTCTGGGAGCATTGGGACAAATTGATTGCCGACAGCCAGCAGAAAGTTGAATGTCCAATATTCTTTGATAAGGAAGACGTCGAGGAGTTCCTTGTTGCTGAAGGCCATTGGTTCAAAGCAACAATATTACTCGAGCATTGGCGATCTCTTCTAGACGACCTGGGACAAGATGGATGGGTCAGGCACGAATCCTATGAACAGGTCGTGTGAACTAACAAAGAGTTAAAACAGGAGTGGCTGTCACTGGCAGAGGATGAAGAAGACTCTGTGTCTGTGGATCAGTTTTGGCCATTCCAGGATCACGAAGAGTATGAGTGATCGGCCGTATCATCGTCATATCTATCACTATATTTTCTCCTTTACTCTATCCTAATGGCATTGATGAGCGTGTCCGTCTAACATTGCATTTACCAAGAAAGAAAAACCAAAAGCCAAAGGAAAGGGGAGTAGGTAAGGGTCCGTCTGCCACATACGACTTTGGCCGTCGAAAGTGTCCAAGGTGTATACTTCCCACCAGGCTGCTACTGCTTACTAAAATTCAACTCATACATACAATCGATCACCAATCGATCAGCAATTTCTCCGGAGGTTTAGTTCAGCTTCTAGAAGAGCCAACTCAAGGCGTAGTAAGCTGGCCCGTTATCTGCGTGCTGGACATCCCCACGATTGAAACAAAAGGCCTGCATAGCCACCCAAACTTTGGTGGAAAAACCAAACAAAGGCATTTTGTATTCTTTAGAGTAAAGAAAAGGAATCTTCTACGTGGGAAGATCTTTGCGTTCTTCATCATCCCCTACCCCATAGCAAAATATCACAACGAGTGGTCCATATCGACAGAGTGACCTAGTTGTCCCCCTGGAGGATCTCTAGGGTGTCTTTGTGGAAGGTTATTCAAAAGGTCTCTGGATATCATTTACTTTCCCCTTGGGAAGTTATATGTGGACAATCGCCTCAAGTTATAAGGGATATGTTTCTTAAAGATGCGACATGCATTATGGCAGGCACGACCTGGTGCTTGCCTCAGGCAGCACCCGCCCGCGAAGAACGCCGGTATTCTCCGTGCTTTTCTCTCCCACCTTCTCTCCCCTAGCTTCTGACGAAGTTAGATCAATAAATAAGACAGCGCTCTACGACTTGTCACTTGTTTTGGAGATAGAGGAGGTCATATCAATCGCTTGGACAAAGAACGGGATGAACACATTCATCCGAACAGCATCTCAGGTTTATATCATCGGCCAGTGACAATCATCAACATCTTCGAACAGCACCTCCCGACAGTTGCTCGACCTACGTGCTTTCAGACCGAACCAATCTTTTTGAGAACAATGAAGGTTGCCTTGTCACCCGCTCCCCTTCTATAGTCCTTAAGTTCCATGCTAGCGACCTTCACTAGATGTTCTACCTCCAATCGTTCGACTTCAGCTTTGAAGCCACCCGATAGCCATATATCCTCCAAAATGGTCGCAACAATGATACCATTTGTCTTTGTCACCCTCAAAAACTCCCTCAAGGCTGGGGCTGGTCCAACATGACCATGGGTGAATGTGCCAGCACACGTCACGACATCATAGACGTCGTCCGGCTTCTCAATCGGCTGCGTCAGGTCCCCAATGTCAAGGTTTCGGTAAACACCCGTCTGTCTGGCCACTCTCAGCATGGCGGGTGACAGGTCAAGGCCATCGATGGTGACAGCGCCACCCCGTGCAAGTGCTTCTCCGACCAATCCAGTCCCGCACCCGGCATCGAGTATTGAACCTTTGACATTGGTGGCGTTCTGGAGAGCGGTTTCGGCAGCGAGGAAGGGAGCGACGTAGTCTTGGGAGGCGTCGGCAAGATCGGCGTTATAGGTGTCGGCCCATTCGGCATAGAGGGTTTGGCAGTCTTCTTTGCTGTTACTGGCACGAGCCCGAGTCAGAAGCGCGTTCTCGGTCAATGTTTGAGTTGCCATGGTGATTGGTTCACTCCAAATGGTGCAATATATCAATGAGGTATGAAGAGCAAAGACTCGATAGGATCAGGGCATATTCACCTGGGGGCTTTGCCCGCTGAAATAGTCTTCGAGATTTTCACACATGTCGAGTACGTCTGGCGTGTCACTCACATGGAAATTGCGCCATTTGCGACCAGATTCATAGGGTCGGATTTGTTGTGCGGATGAAAGATGTATACTGAATCGATGCCGCCCCGATTCTTGGGGCGCTACCAGCGGCTGCATAAATGCCTATTGCCAGCGAAGCCCCCTTGTTAATCTCTATCTTGATCTTATTTGCTATTTACGTACAGTAGGCCCCTGGAACCCTAGGCACTGGTGGGCCTCGGTCCGTCTCTGCCTTTCCACCGACGTAACTGCAACCTGCGTCTAACCGATGAAACATCGAAACTTGAGAGCCGGAACCATTGGCTAGATATTCGGCAATCATGCGTTCATGACGTCTTCTCGTGGGGGTTGCAACTTGACCCAATCCGTGATACTAACAGCCCCGCGTATAGCATTGATAGTGGGTATTCTGCTTAGGGCATGCACGGACTGTAGAAGTCCGTGGGGGAGAACTTTCCAGACGAAGCCCCATGCAGCCTTGATGCTTGGAGGGTTTTTGTGAGGTAGGTTCCGCGCCCGACCGGTGCTAAAGATAATGGCACCCTAGAGATGAGGTTGAGTAATTGCTGCAGCTTACTTAGGTGCCAACGGTACTATCGAAGACAGAGGCAGAGCATCAGGCAACTCCCACCTCTGGCACAAATGAAAGGAGACAAATCCAAACCCACGACAGGCACCTATGAAAAGCTACGGAAATTAAATCCAACTATCCACATCGCTCACCGACTAGCACTTGCAGATCTCAGGCATCTGGCTCGAAACATCTCCTGATCAAAGACATATCATTTGTTAGCCCAATGGCGTGCATGCGTTTAAAAATTGCGTCTGGAACTCGTGTGATTCGCTACTGGGACGACCTAGTATCAGCTGTACCTGGTCTACAGAGCTCTCTGGGAGGATCCATTACCCCGCCTCGAACGTTAGATTCTTTTGTCGAAGGTGCTGCTGCGATCCCAGGGCCCTCCCGATGATTGGCCCCAACCCCGCGCCCGTGAGACTTGGGAGAAAGCCAGAAGAGGGGTAGGCCATAGACGGAAAATTCTCGATGATATGACCACCACTGACGTGGTTGAACTCGCACCTAGGTTCGATCATCGTCTGAGTGTGGAAACGTGCGCATCTCTCTGACACCGGGTAGATATAATTCGCCACTCAGTAATATATGAATTTTCGGATGAAATATCATGCGCACTTTATTTGTGTCTAGCCCGTGTGAGTTCTGAGGCTTCGTATGCGCCGCCTCACCAACCGTGGTAGTCCGTGTAGCTGCAATTGGTTAGGAATGGACGGCGCTGAGCGATAGCGGCCATGGGGCAATATTCCCGTCTACGGCATTCATGATTTTGTCTCATAGTACGAATATTCCCTCTTAAATAAGGTAATTTTTCTCTCGGAAAACTCCACAGAGATGCGTCAATAAGGCCTCAGACTAGCAGAAATCGCGCATAATACCAATTATGCTGATCGAGCTCGACAATACTACTTTGTCTGTATGAAACCGAACCGCTCCTCTTTCTGTCCCTTCATTGGCAATATTTATCGCAACCAATAAGACGGTCAAAGGAGATCCCACCATGGTCTGCCCCAGGCACACCGGCCAGGCTAAACATTCTTCCTTTACTCTCTGTCTATCTCTCTAAAGACTTACCTAAGACCTCACTCAAGACCTCATTCAGGCCCTTATTTAGAGACATGTGCATAGCCTAAGTATTACTAAATCAAAGAAAATAGATTCTCGCCTGCCTTAAGAGCAAGGTATTCCCACTGTACGACTAGATGGTAGATATTTCGCAGATATCGAGGATAAATAAACCCTTTTATTGTTATCGCTGCTCGACGCTTTTTGCTTGACCGCTTTATACCATTTTTTCCGTTTTGGTGTATCTGGGATGATTCAGGGATATTATAGTGAATCAGCAGATTCTTTCGTTTCTTTGGCACACAATATCCAAGCATCATTTTCGGAATTTCTATATGCATGAAATATTGTGTAGTTCATACCAGTAGGCCAAAACGGAAATCCACTGGCCATCTGGAGAACAGACGGAACGAAAGACTCTGTGTCCCAACAAATATTCAAGAGGATATGGATCAATTTTGACTCACAATCAAGTATCTGGCAGTATATACAGCATCGGACTTTGTAACTGCGGGGTGCTCTGTTCCTGCCTAATATAATCGATGTCTCCCTGTTCCTTGTGCTGATTGTCCACATTTCCGTCGTTCTTCCCCCTCCCCCACCAGCTCTTCCCCTAAGGGGGGTGGTTACAACAATGTCGATGTTGCTCATCATCGTGGCAAGCAGTTGGCTGCGCTGCTGTCAATAAACACGAGCCATCGCGTAGTCCTTGGGCGCCCCTGACTGGCAAATTTCCCGGATGGCGGCGAGCAAGGCGGAGAAGACTGGCTTATTATCGTCGGCCATTTGAGCTATGCACCGCACGTCGTCATACGGGGACTCATTGCCGGCGAACAGGCTGGCCTCTACCTCAGGCCTGGTTTTGCCGCTTCCAGGAGAGGCAGTGCTCGAGGATTTGGATTACGGCCCGTCCTTGTAACCCATCGAGCTCCCATGAAGGTGTAATCAAGATCGCTGGATCTTGGACGACCACCTCCCAGTCGTCTGTCACATTAATGTCTGATACCGGTAATCTTCCTGTCACAGGCAACGGCTGATGCTGATTATCTCTTCCAAACCACATGCAAGGACCAATGGCCAATCCTTTTCAAACCAACGGCAGACCGCTAACGTCAAAGCTCCCTTCAGAGAATTGTAACCAGGCAACGGCTGTTGCCGAATGTCTTTGAAACAGTTGATATTGGACCCAACTGGTGCTACGCGCCTTTCCTTGGCGCGAAAATGGTCCGTCGGCAGATAGACTACCGCCCGACGTGGCTATTCTAACATGGAAACATACAGCGTCCACGCACCACAGAGGGGGGAAATGCGTTGCCCACCAAAGCGGCAGTCCACAACTCGGCAGCAGGTGCGCACTCGATAAGGGGTAATTCCCTCGTGGTCATTATCATTCCTGTGAGAGCAGGAACCACAATAATCTGTTGCCTGCGCCATATCTCACTGATCCGGTAGCCTCTGGGATAGGGCAGTTGGGTAGGTTCTCCCAGGAATTGACTCTATGCGAGAGGGGCAGAACCTATCGCGGGAATTCTATCATTTTATATGCAGGCAAACCCTCTCAAAACATGTATATTGCTTCCGGGTTAGCGCCAAACACTCGACAGAGCCTTCTGGTGAAGAAGTCAAGTCACTAAGAGGAACGAAGGCTAGTCACTAATCGGCACCATGACTGGAATTCAGCTTTAGCCATAGTAATGAATAATACCATAATTTAAGAGGGATAGTCGCTCACATTCCCATACTCATTCCCTTAACAGCCCATTCCCCATCCCTCCTTGATTCCCATTACCCTGATCCAGTCACTTAGGATAAGGCTTATTGGCATTATAAATAGCGGCATCTTTGCTTTGAGTTCCTCAGTTTTTGCCTTTACATGATCAACTGATCAACCACTTACATTTTATTTCCTTGGTCATAAGCAAGGTCAAGATAGGTATCACTCTCAATCTACTGCAGTAAGTCATATCCTTCAGAGTATTCCTCATTCTTCTACCCCTAACTGACACTCCCCTCATTAAAGGAAACCTGCTGCTCAAAAGAACGAGCTCGACTTTCCCTTTACTTTCTCGAGCTTTAGGGCTCATATCTTGCGACGACACACCACAGCAGCAGCATATCGAAGTGCTATCAATACATCTCAAAAACAGCCCTAAATCCGGGTCGACACACAATAGGTCTAATCTGCCTTGGTGTCAATCTTCCAGAACTGAATGGAACGGCTATTAACATCCTTCTATCAGAAAGGATGACATACATCACCGGCACATCTGGCCTTGATACTCGTCATTTCACGCCCGGTCATTGTCACCAGTGCGTTAGAATGATGTTTCATATGGAAATGGAAGTGTCCCTGCCGGGCAATTTTATTTCAACAACACACTTCTCAAGACGGTGGAAGACACAAAATATCACTGAAAATAATACACCTTTCCTAGACAGACGCTACAGCGGGTCTTTGATCCAGGACTGCATGACCCAGGGCTTTAGAGTTCTGCGACCATCGACAGAGAGCACCCGTTTCGTGTATACAGGGGGTGTATGGTATCCTTTTGAAGTAAGGTAGGCCATTGGTGTTTACCGACGAAGGCCCATCGAGCATATCCGCTCTCACATGTCAAAGGCAGGACGCCATACTGGATCGCGACAATGACAGTCACGGAAGCGTCACCAGATTGGGAGGGCTTTATTGATGCTTTGATTCGTGTCCTCCTGGTCAACAACGTCGACCTACAGGAGGTAGGTGGGATAAAGGGGGGCAAAGAACGTGCATGTTTATCCGCAGTCGAATCATTTGCTACTTCAAATCGCTAATAAAATGGCAAGCATTCTGGAAACAGAAGGCTTCGACGAAATGTGTCAAGCCTTCGAGTTACAGGTTCCGAAGTGAAATTGTTCACGGACATGGACCTTCGCCCACGACGATGAAGGTATGATACAATCTTGCCCCAGGCACAAAGCCTCCGGGATGATACAAGAATTTGTCTGTCCGGGTTCGTCCAATCCGATAATCTAGGGGCATCAAAGGGTACACCTCCGGCCACGAATAGGAAAACAACGGCGGGACCTGATTGAACGGGTCATGTGTTCCACATTGCTATTACAATGTGGCGGAAATTCGTCCCTCGAGATTCTGGCCTCGAAACGTCATTCTTGACAAGCGAGCTTTTATCACGGCTCCGAGATTTGCGCAGTCCTATCAAAGATTGCAGAAGCTTGTATTATGTTTGCGGGTGCATCCCTATTGATACTCACGAGTGAATCTGAATGGTTATGCACTGCTTGCTATTATGAACCTAATGAAAGAGGGCTACATGCAGACAACTCCAGACTGCGAGTACCGCGCCCACGGAGGCCTCTATCGGTCAATGTCCACAGTATCCCGTTGTGCTTCTTTGCTACCGATGTGGGAGGGGAATGTTTAGAAGGGCGTCGAGGAGGGACATTGGAAGAGTTACAGAGAGCCAACAGAGAAAGAACCAGTCTGACCAAATGGTCTAATGGTGAGCCGTTGGAATACCGAATTAAGGAGACCTGGGGAGCGTCCTTGCTTCTCCTCCCGGTGACGAAGATCGGGCTGGCGATAATGGGAGAATTGGACTGGGACGATTTATCTGTCTGCCGCGAGCTAGAAATTCTCTTCGAGGGTCCTATTACGAGGGCAAAGTCAGTAATCACAATGTTGATTCATAGGATGAATGATTATTATTTCATACATAGCACTATGCTCATGTGTCCATGCCTTTGTAAATAGCTCTTGGCTACTGGAAGCAGGCAGAAGAGGGGTCATTTTTGGGCGGCGAGCGAGCAGAGAATATGATTCAGATGATGTCCTACGGCTTGAAATACCCACGGATGAAATAGGTATTAGCAGACATCCAGAACATGATACTATATTAAGTTCTAGATTTAGTTGAAAATGCGAAGAAACGGTTGACGTTCTCGAAGCCATACATATCTTATTCTCTCTAAGTCAATATCTATACACAAGGAAGATGGACGTGTGATTTGAATTATCACAAGGTTGTATTAGATATCCCCTTACTGAGGTCTTATTGAACGGAGGTGCTGCAACCACACCGGTCAGGGTACTTCATGTCTATCTATAGGATTTCTATGATGAATAGACTATATAATTCGGCCGATTGACTAATCGAAAGGTTTGGATGGGCCTGACCGGTGTGACTGCAGCACCTCCCTTAGTGAATGGTAGTAGGTACAGCTATTTATTCTAGGCCCTATCAGGTATAACATTTAACGACCTCAAGCTCTACAGATGGAGGGGTAACATGAATATATCTGCTTCGGGGAAATACATAATATCTATGAGTTAATACCATGCCTCACACCTTGGTAAGATTACACTAGGTCCGGGCCTGTGGACGGCCGAATGCCGTCCACAAAACAAGGGGTTGCAAAGCACCTCAATAGGCATCAAGCAACTAGGAACATATAGTTAGAGACATTCTGCTGGGGGGGTTAATCAAACACCATAAAAGAGCACTATCAAGTACTTTTAGAAGGCCTAACTAAGCATTTCTGAAGGACTCAACCAAAGACTTTTTGAAGACTCCGCTAAGCCTCACGGATTATAGTACTCCATTCAGACCTACAACCTGAATCTATAAAACAGGCTGTACTCTCTTTAAAAATAGGAACTGATCCTTAAAGCTGGAAGCTTCTCTAGCTACTTGGCTCTTTTACGCTTCGCAAAGAAAAGAAACTTAACACATGTATCAAAATCTGTCTCGTAACTTATGATTACTTCCAAATTTCGGTTTTTTCCTTGAAAGTAACACAAGCCGTTGGGAAATATGACATGAAATAAATCATCTTGCTCTCCGTCAACTCGTCTGTAACCTATTCCCTGCCAACAACAGCAACTTCAAGTTATTTACATCACCTCTCTTCTCTTGTATCGCCATCTAACTTTGTTTGTCTGTTGTTCTTACCCTGATCCCCGTCCCAAAACACTTCGTGTTTGCTACCAATCTATTCTTGAGAGAATGAGCTCACCAGGTGCTGAATTTGCCGACCCTGAAAGGCGTCGCTTGATTGCCCAAATTTCGGAAGGGTTTGTGGACGAAACTCAGAAGTCAGAACTCGGGACAGTCTGGCCCTGCCTATGATTGGCTGATATGGATATGTTGCGGTACTACGCTGCAGCTGATAATGAGATCGTTCGTGACAAGTTTCGGTGTCACGCAGCACAGACACTGGTCCAAATTTGTTATTACCCTCTGTCTCTTTATCAATATACCTGGCTAAGTTTATCTTGCTATCATTCTAGGGACGCAGCTAGGGAGAAAAAGAGAGCCCAACGCGTTTCCTGTGGCTTCGTACACCCCACGTTCTGACACGCGATCGTCTTCTGCCCGACCTGACGCGTTGTCGATGAGCGCCCCTTCTGTGCTTTTCCCGCCTCCTATAACTTCCACCACAAATCAACGTTCGACTGACTTGGGGCTAGCGGCAGTACAGCCCGCTGTGGTGACTACAACTCCACAGGATAATGGTGGGAGTTCTTCTGCAATGACACCTACTGGAGGCTCGAGGAAGCGCCATGACGAGCCCCTTGAGTCGTCTGTAAAACATACAAGACGGCGAGTAGATCCTCCGAAACAAGTCGAGAGCCCAATTTCCTTTAATTCAGAGTCAATACTAACGTCGTATGAATCCTGCAGTGCCGAAAGCGTGATAGAGCGTGTGTGATTACTCGATCCCGTGCAGACTTGGCGGATATCATACACCTGCACCCTTCTGACCTGTGCGATCCACTAGATATAGTCACTAAGGGCTTTTGGGAGGGCCTTGGACTATTCTGGAACGCGGATCGTGTTGCTGAATGGTGACAGGCCATCTTCGGTGGTTCGTGTGGGACTGGAAAGATCAGGAATCTTATTTGTCTAGAGCCCTCAGCACATGTCTTGTACAGGAAGGGATCCTTTGCTCTCGAGCCCGTCCGAAAAGACCCTGAAGGATGTTCGATGGTTCTCAAATTCTGGTGGTTGAAACCTGAAAGTTTCTGGCCTAATGTTCCGGACCTTCCCAGGGACATGGATACGGCTAAATATCACATTGGCTTAATGGACTGTCGAACCGAGAAGCCAATCCAGTCGGGGCATGAGATTACCCTGGAAACACCGGATCCTGACAATTTCCCCCTCCCTGACTTCCGGATACTGGAGCTCCAGTGGATATTACACAGGGTAGCCGCCATCAGCGGAGCAGCTGGAGCGTGGCATCTGCATCAAGAGCCTGAGAAATCCAAAGACAATGTCTCGGATCTATCACCAAAGTTATCTGCGGCTGCCACCTTCGATGACAGACACCCTAAATGACCGCCTATCTTCATTATGTGTCATGCATCGGGAAGCTTTTGTTTGAGCATTAAGCGAGCATGATGATCTTCTGCCGCGCTTGTTGTCCCTCCTTCCTCTATTTACATGGGTTGTGTTCCCACCCAAGTACCCGTACGATGCTCAAATCGCTGTTCACTTCCCGTATCGTCCATACTTTGTTTCATAGCTGAATAAGAGTGATCTTCAATATCGCTGAGCTAGTGATATTCTTTGGATCCTCCCAATAACTGCCCAAACGGCTGTATCAATGACGAATTGTTAGTCATGTTTGCCACGCCACCTCCATAGTACATTCAAAGGATACTCGGAGTTGAGCAAAGCCGGGTACCATAATGTAAAGATTCATATTTAAGTCGAACAAAAATTCAACAATTTTGTGTCAAGCGATGGGTAAGTGCCAGCGAAGCATGCATCTTATGTTGGGGAATCTCCTAGTCTTTCTCTGCCGATTTCTTGCCGTGCTATTCTAGTGACAATCACAACCTAAGACTGTGAACGACAACGCGTAGATTTCAGTCGAGAAGACCAATGGATCCCATATTGGAACCATCGTTCTTCTACCTATAAAAGGTAAAAGAAAATTTCCGTGTGTTCTCCATATAGACGCGTTATATCGTTTTTGGTCTACTGGTCTGAACTCTGATAATCAGCACGATGTAACGCATTACTAAAGGCACGTGGTTAAAAACATTTTGAATGACACGCTTCCAAAAGACACTGTCAAGCATCTAAACCAAACCAAGTGTTGCTCAGCGCTAGCGCACTTTGAAAGTGATGTGGATGGTGTGTATAGCGAGACCCTGGGTGGTTGGGAGGAAGGGGACCAACCTCCTCCCCAAGCTTTACGTCCACATTATCCGGACCTTCCTCCGCACCAACTACGGCCCCTTTACTATCTGTTGCTAGTTAGTTAGCTACTGAATCTCCACTTCTCATTTTGTGAATCGGTCGTTTCCCTATTTCCCTACACTTGGTTACAGCGTCATATCCCGTCAATACCCTAATCTTATCTGGAACCTTTGTTGCAAGGCTAGACCGGATCTGGATCTGCAGAATATTTTTCCGTTCCGGGACAGGACACGCCGACCGCCGACGCCGAATCTCCACCTACACACTCCGCCGGTGACGTATAGGGAGTCGTTGGCCAGGTCTCTTCAACAAGGCGTTCTTTAGGCTCTTTCGACACCACCCACTTTCGTGAAGATGTCGGCGACAATATACTCTCACATCGTTGACCTCGATCAGCTGATTCCCCGAATGGTGGACATCGACGAAGAAAGTAAGTCAATAAGTTCACGGAGTCTATGGCTGAGTATCTCGCCAACTGACCTAAACTCATGGATAATGACAGTGATACACTGACACCATGGGTTTTTGAACACTCTCGGATAGCCGACTATGAATCTTTCGATGACCGGCCCAAAGAAAGGACACAATTCAAGGATGTTCTCTATCGCCTCTGTATGCAGACGTTCTTTGAGGCCGACGAGGCTGGCGCGCTGGTGGATGCGTTGAAGCCGGCTGAAACTGTTACACTGCCCCGAAAGAACTGGCAAACACCCAGAAGGGAGTATTTCACAGATTCCATGATGTTGCAAGGAGCGTTTGTCAGTAGTTTCGTAGAGACGATCTATTATAATTTGAGGGATATCATGGATGGTGGTCCCGAGCTTCAGTCAGTAACCTACTCGGCTTAACTCTTATACTTGCACTGACTATTCCCCAAGCTTCCCTGTTTCGAAGTTCCGGCAGGAATACGTTATTGGTGGTCAACGATATGCCAGTCGTCTGGATGGAGCAGCTGTCGTTGGTCTACCAGAAGCGCGTATACCAGTGATCTCTTTTGTTGGGGTAGGTGGATTATTGTTTCCTCCCCGTACTTTGCCTACCACTCTTCACCATGGCTAACTGGTGGTTCATGTTAGTACTACGAGAAGGAAACCTGGACCGAGTTTCTCCGGGAAATTGTCAGCATCATGCTGGGACAATTGGCTAAAAATATCGACAGAGCCGGTTTACAGACTCAGGAAGTTTTTGCAGTAGGGCTGTACGGGCGTTGTATCTATATCGCCCGGGGATACTTTACATCAGATCTGATAGCGTGCGTACACACCAAAGGATGCTCAGAGAACGAAAGGGTCGATTTGCAGTTCACACGTAGTTACGATCTACGTCTAAAAGAAGACTGGATGGAAGCTATTCGTGGGTTCACAAGGCTATTACGATATCTCGTGAGCGGGACGGCCAAAGTAGGCTCTATTCAGCTCCATGTGGATCACACCGCTCCCAATCCACGGCCGCCCTAGAAGCACCCTGGCGTTTTTCATCAACAATACCATCGATATACCCCTCCGGTATACCTCTTCCCCCGGACAGCGGTTGCTTCCGCACTGAGCTCGACGCTAATTAAAACAACCAAGAATCCATCTATGCCTGTCACCAGATTTATTCCCAACGCTAGATTCCAGTCTTCTGCTAAAAGCACCCCAATGCTATCTGCAGTCAACCTCTGGTCCGTACAAGGGTATGGTCATGAGTTCGAGCCAAAGAACGAGGCTGTTCAGAGCAAGCTACGGGAACGAGCTTTCAAATCCCATGAACATCCCACACCATGATATGGGTTCCGCAAGTCTTTCATTCCCCAATCATGGACCGGCCTCGCCCTAGCTTCATAGTTTGTCCAAACATTACTCAACCCTTTTTCAATAACCGGTCCACGCTGTTCGATCCTTAATTACACTGGAAGATGCCGGGAAAGGGGATGGAATGGTTGGGTTTCTTTAAGGGCTCAACAGCTATTGTGGTAACAAACGCTATTTGGTTTCTTCTAAATGATGATACAGAGTTTGCGGTTAGGGAAATGTATTGTCTACATGGGTAGGGGTGGTTCCGATTTGAAGATCAAAAGGGTGTACGCACGGGCTTTGTTTGCGGGTCTGGAGAGTTCATGTGTTTGTACCATAAGGCAGGTAGGAGGGTATCTAGTAGGGGCAGAAACCAAGTCCCATGCCTTTCCAGAGCGATGGTATATTCACCCTATGGCCGCTATCGCCATGTCCATCCATCCCCTACGGAGTAAGTACATTGACATGAAATAGTCCTTCCACGAGGCTCTGGGTAGTGGATCACCGGTACATCCGTAACAATGATGACGGAAGCCCCACACGCCAAAATCAAAAACACAAAAAAGAGAAAATTGAGCTCCGATAGGGGGAATCGAACCCCCGGCTGCCGTGTGAGAGACGGCGATGTTAGCCACTACACCATATCGGATTTGATATATTTGAACTAATAACTTAATGCTACATGATGTAAAGTAGCATAAAAGCCATGAATGGTCAGAAGGCCAGTGGGATACGATGTCATATCTCGACCAACATCTCTGACTAGAGACTGGATATTGCACCAGGAATTGGAAATGGGTGCCAGCGGAAGTTTTTCAATCATGGACCATTCCATAATTGCTAGGGACGTGCTATCAAAGCAATCTAAAGATAGGCTGAAAGCATCAGGAATGGGAAGGATGAATGGTGGATTGTATGCATAACCACCGCCCTTGGCGAATATTCTCTTTGGAGGCAGCGTGAGGTAATGGTTTATTTTAAGCGCTGGGACCTCCGATGAAAGAACACACTTTACGGGTTACTGCTATTCTTAGCAACAGCCCCTTGCAAGCGCCTATCTATCTAGTAGTCTTGACTGCTTCCATGAAGTAAGAGTAATCCGTTGCTACGTACCATGCTGGGCTACTAGGCGATCGGGATTGGCCTATTTTGATTGGTTGGGATCGGGTGCGAGTAATCCCTTCTCCGACCGCGGCGCCAATCGCCCGCGTCACTGTTGTTCTTCTCCCTAGATAAAACAGTTCCGTTCCATAACCCTCCCACAGGCTTCAGAGGCAAGAGGAATCGCAGCCTTCTTTTCTATGTGCTCTTGTTGCTACGATAGCCAATGAATATCCATGGACCCCATTACCGGCGATCTTCTCAAACCCTCTATTCCCTTCACCAAGGGAAGGGTATTTACTGTCCGATCCCATATTACTCCACCACCGACCCCTGTGACCCTTAGAGGCTGCCTTGATTCCAGCTATGGCGAGAAAAAAAGACCGCAACTCACCCCAGAGGCTTGATGCTTGAAAAATCCACCATTGCCAGGAAATCTGGGGTCAGACACTGTCGAGTTCGAGATCCTAGATCCCATCAAAGTTGGGGACGGACATAATGCGCAGGTCTTCAATATTCGTATCCGCAGTGTCCCGCCGAACTCAAAAACACTCCAGGGGGGGACGGAGCTAGTTGCCAAAGTATATGACCCTCTTTACCAGAATGACGACGGCGGCTATCTCAACCCTTTCCTTTGCATGGACAAATATTACACACATGAGGTACACGCCTATCATGTGCTTTCCTGTTTGCAGGGAGGTTTAATTCCTCGGTTCTACGGGTCGTACTCCCTGGATATACCATGTTATGGAACGGATAATGGGCCGGAGACACGCGCCGTCCGCCTAATTCTAATAGAGCATATCCCGGGGTTATCAATGCTAGAAACTGACCCGAACCAGTTCCCTCAAGCCGACCGTCAGCAGATCATGAAGTCCGTGATTGAATTTGAAACCGAGGTTTACGACGAGATATACTTCTCACTGACTTGTACCCTCGGAATATCATGATGGTGCCATCCGACCATCCTCATCCGGAATGAAATCTGGTATTTCTGGACTTCGGCAGTGCAATCTTTAACCGGAAACCGGATGAACCGCGGATCGCTCATCTGGATCTTTTCCTCGGCCAATATATCTCACCTTTGATTCGGTGGAACGAACGCAGGATGTTTGAATTTGAAGAATTGGTTGATTGGGAGTGGGACTCCTGGCTCGAATCCGAATATGCTCATACCGCCGACACTATCACACCGGCGATGCGTGCTTTGTATTGTCCTGAGGGCGTGTAGCAACACTGTGACAGCTAATATATATAGAGATACAACGAAATCTGGCTTTTATGCATTGATATTCATCAGCGATAGTACATGTCAGGATTTGATGTTCCGAATGGTATTGATTGATTTAACTCAACCTACCAGAGATTTAGCTCCCTTAATCCCATAGTCCAAATCTGGACACTTGCTTGCAGTGGACCCAAGTGGAGGTATGAAAACAGTGATATCCAACACAATGAAGCTTATTGCCATATCATAGTATGCCGATGACCTTGAGCTGAGCCAGAGAGTATATTGCTTGATTGGTGTGTGAGGTGTACAGGTCATGGGGATGGTTACCACGATCCCAGACCGGACAAGGAAATGCTCCCAGGTACACCTTCAGATCGATAACCTCTTGCATGGAACCTAGAAATAATGTTATGAAGATGGTCCGCTAATCTAGCATCGAGCTTGGTCTGGTGAAAGGGTGTTCCGTAGAGGTAAGTCTCAAAACGGGTGATGATATCGACGTCACTAGAAACAGAGATTCTTTAGCCTGATACATTTCTTGTGAGCTAGCTCTCTAGACAATAGATATGAAGTCTTTTACCGTATTCTCCCTCCAGGAATCGTGTGGTATTACAAGTTCACATGCTTTAAGTGAAGCCAAGTAGCGGTATCTGTAAGCGGATTCTGCAGGGGGTCAGACGGCGAGGTATGCTATCTTTCGAGACTTGAGGTACTAGGAATGGGTGCAATTCTGTATCATGACGTGCAATATGTATTGCAGGGGAGAAGAAGGCAAAGTCCGTAAAACTGATTGTGAGGCAGACGTTGGAGAAAAGAGAAAAGGGGAACAAGAACGAAGGCAGGAGTAGATCACCTGACATAGAACTTTTTGGGGACGACAAAGGCCTTGCTATTTGTTGTATCTGTCACATTCACTAGGATTCTACATCGATCGAGACTTATAAGTAGAAAAGTCTATGTAAGTATAGATCCTGTCATCAGATCTGTACGGAAATTCAGGGCTCAGGCTAAAGATCTAGATCAAGTACTGTGTTTTGGGATAGTTGACAGAGATCTTCAGAAGTATATAATTTCGTTATCTTTCCTATGCTTCTAGAGATGCCTTGCTTGATATTTACTGAAATGCTTCAAAACCCCTTGGGCTGTGGACGGCCTTAGGCTGTCCAGAGGCCAGGACCTAGTAACAAGCTACGACATAAACAGCGTTTTTAGAAGAGAGTAAGCAACACTTCCATTGAACAATCTCGAACAAACAAGAGCAATCAATATCCAAACGAATGGCATATGTCCAGGAACATAATAAAAACTAAAATCCACCTCACTTGCAATCTGAATCCCCCCCAGCCAATTCTTCCCACTTACACACCCTCGTCAGGATCACATGTAAGAATCTGACGCTGCTCCTTATTGCGAGGCATCCAACAAAATGGGGAAAGTGGAATGGAACCCTTAGCAAGTAAGTTCGCTCGAAGCGTCTCCAATGTCGCCGATCCATTGCCCCCTGTTCCAGACTGACTCTGGTCCCTTCTTCCTGATCCTACATAAATCTCTCCCAAATCTTTAATCAGTTCCTCCTGCCACGGCAGCCGATACTTCTTCACCTGTTCCCCCATCCAATCGTAAAACATAGGGTCGAAACTATCTTTCACAAGAAGATGTCCATGGGGTAAGAGCCTGAATGTTATCTCAAAGAAACGCTCAATCAGATTAGACCAATAGTCAAAGCCACCGAATATCTCCCTGTCACGGACCCACAAATAGTGCAGACACTCGAGAAAACGAGCAGGGATAAGGACATTGTTCGAAGTGTTGCATATCACCGGGTGACGGCCAAGGTGATGCTTATACTTAGTATCTGGCGTTATGACCTTCTCCAGGCCGCTGTCGACAGGAAGAATAGGACAGTCGGAAAGAGGCTTCCTATCACTTCTCAGTATGCACCGAAATTTGTCACCACAGGTATGAGGCAAGAAGAGAGATTCGGTCGCGTCCGTATAGTATGAATCCCTGACACTGGGGACGCCTTGAGGTAGGGGAGGTGCATTCCACAACCATTTGGACTTGTAGTAGAGACATATGTCAGCGTGAAACGTCTTGTCCTTGGCCGGGTGAAGGGGATGTTTCGTGCCAACTTGGTCAGGTAAGATCTCTAGATGGACAACGTAATCTGGGATCAGGGACGGTGTGATGTATCGTTCCTGTTTGTCAGAGTATCGGCATCGGTACCTGGATGACGATTCATCAGTCCCGGGTCGGTTCGGATACATGTAATTCCAAAGGACATCTTTGGCTTTCTCCATGGCTTCGTCCTCGATCAATAAGTCCATGGTGTCATTTATTTCACCTTTTACCTGACATTCGTGTCTCCGGGGCGGAGATGACCCGAAGAGCTCCCAGTCGGGAGCACTTTGCCCGCATTTCTCGTCTTCGAGAACATTCTGCCCACAGATTCGTTCGCTAATTCCAAGGATATTTAGATAGTCATTTCCCCAGAGAATATATGGAATGTTTGCCCCGTTGAGTAGAAGGGAAATGCAAATACGCTGTTCCGCGAGAGAGTCACATCCAGAACATGAAGATGCCTGTGGAGAACTTTGGTCTGCCGATTCCATCTTGGCTAGCTTTGAACTGAAACGACCAGTGAATTGATGTATCTGAAGGGATGGATTAGTATGAAGAGAAAGAAAGATCGAAGAAGTGCAGGCCAATTTATAGTCTTGCCTCTAGACGTCCGCTAGGAATCTGTCTGGTCCTCACAGCAAGTAGCCACTAAATAGCACTTCAGAATTGGACTCTCTCCTTCGGCATGGTCCCGGAAGCCAAGACGGGAGATGTCGACTCGATTGGTTATACCAACTGGGGTGTTTCATACTGTCGTGGTGCTACTGGCAAAGGCACTGTACCTTCCTAGTCGGAAGTATACCTTGATTAGGCTTGTTGACTTGGCATTGAGGGTAGGCAGGTACCATTGAAAATCATATCAGATATATTCTACTACAGTACGAATTGAATGGTATCAGTCTTCCACCAGTGGCAAACAATTCTGACAGACAATGAACCTGACACATGGGCCTGTTGATCTGGCCCTAGGCCGTTAAACTTCACATCTGATATCAGAGCCTTCAGTGATATCTTCTACATTGGTGCTGTTGTACTTGAGCAAACAGTGCTAGCTTTCATGTAGCAATAAATTGCAGATATATTTATCTTGGGATATTTTAATCGCGGGATATAGGGTTAGGGAAGATCATACTATCACGCGTCGTCCGTTACTAACATGATATATAGTTGTTCTTAATATTTTTTCTTGGTTCCACTCTGATAGGTTCTTCATATACTTCTTATTCGCGTTAATATATACCACAAATCGCAACATAGATATGTCTATACATCCTCCAACCATCACAAAAACCAACTCCGATGCTTCCTCCAATCCTGCCTCGTCGCCTCCCTCAAATCATCCACGTTAATCAAATCCACCCCCTCACGCACCAACACATGCCAAACATGGTTTCGGAGTCCTCTCGGCCAGCTCGGTGTCCCCCAGTACCTGACCTTCAAGCCTCGCATATGCGCAGCTTCGATCTGCTTTCGAATGAGCTCCAACTGGCCCTGCGAAAATCGATTGCGAGCCAAACTTCCAATAGACTTGCGGAAGTCGACGGAAGCGTAGTAGCTATTCTTGTCGGAGTAGATGGGTTCGATGTCCGGTTCAGGGTCATTGGTGCCAGATGGGAGAAGAGGGAGTTGGTCGAGGGGCGCATCGTAGAAGATGTCACGGTAGGTTTGGTTTGCTGTGATGAGGTGGAAGGGGGCGTCGCCAGTTGCGACGATGGTGATGGGGCGGGTGATGATGTCCGTGCCGTTGAAGTAGGTGAGGTACTCACCGTCGCGAAGGGGTTGTAGTTGCGACATGACAATGGACCAGGTTTCTTCAGGCTGTTCTTTGAAATCGATCAGGAGGACGAGGGTTTGGGATGGGTCGCTGCCAAAGACACCAGCTCGAGGTCCGCCAGGCTGATGGGCGGGTTCAAGTTGGCTGGAGCGGGTGTTGTGCTTTTGGAGGATGTCGAGGAGGGGGTTGAGGTAGAGGCTGCGGAGGGTGACTTCGTGGTGGAGAGTGAAAGGAGTGTGACCGACGAGGAGGTCATTGTTCGAGAGCCAGATGTCGGCTTCGACACCGATACAGCCGGCGCTGAGGGCCGAGTGGAGAGGTAGATCGCGCCAGTAGTCGTTGTGGGAGTGGCATCGCACGGGGAGGACGCCGTGGGTGCTCCAGTGGGAGAAGATGGATGGCCGACCGGCCGGGAAGACCCAGGCGTCGAGATGGGCATCCAGATCGTCGGGGAAGAGGTAGACTAGACTGAACCAGATCAGGGAGACGAGTTTGACGAGACCGCTGGGTGGGATGCGTTAGTGTCAGGTGATGGGAGGGGGATGGTAGTGGCTTACAGGATGATCACGATACCCCAGAATGGTCGCTTTACGAGGCGGCAGATCATCGCTCTTCGAGAGAACGGGTGAATGTGACAGTACAGATGGCGACATCTCCAGAAACTACAAAGGCTTCGCAGTCGGCTGCGTGGTACTCGAGTTGCTACTCTCTTTCGCCTGCGTCTGATGCCGAAGTTGCCCAACGGTAGGGCCTCGGAAGACTCATCCTTGTCGGAGTCTTCCTCGGGAACAACTGCCAGTGAAGAGCTTTTGGAGAGGAGATGGGAGGAAGGCTCCCCTTCCTCGAATTGGTTGTCAAACGCCATTGCTGCGATTCAACGTCGTTTCTCAGATAGCGGGAGACGTGGTGAAAACTTGTCCGGCAGGGTCCGGGGGGGTTTAAGGGAAAAGAAGGGACTAGGCAGCAGCACCGATCCTGGACGGTGGCGCAGCCGTGAAGAAACCAGTCAGCATCCTCCGTTGCCCCGGAAAGTTTGCACTAGCTGAGTGGTGCCAAACAGCTTGATGGCCGTTTGGGTGGGGAGCCAAGCCGATTGGCAAGGCTTGTCCGGATCAAGCTTGCCGATCCGGCTATTTTTGGTCGGACCGTGCAGCTGACGACGCTGCCAGCTCTCCCACGAGAGTCATCGATACGTTTCATTCAGTTCGTTGGTGTGTTGTATCCACCTTGACGTGATTACAACGATAGTATGCCCACTGTTTATTAGCATCTTAAATGCTCATCAATTCTTAAAAGTATCATATTTCCCCACAGTCCAAACCAGCCCCACAGTTCTCCATGGCAGCGATCTCCCCATTACCTCCCTAAGATCGGTTTCACTATTGACGTTCAATTTAATACAAGAATTCCAAAAAGCAAATCATTGAAGCTATGCGCTATTGAGCCCCAAAGGTCTCTACGCAGATTACTAGTGTCTGCATTCAACCGTCTATTGGCTCTATACCTCTGCACCATGGAATATCATGTTAGTACATATCTCTCCGTCTACTGTCCAGATAGACGTGATATAACGTTTATACCCTACTGGTCGAGCCCTGTAATATATATACATCTTGTTTACTACTTCCAGTCATATTGAGAGTCCGTCTGCGTTTGCAAGAAAAGGAGAATTTCGTCATATCCAATCCGGAGACTCAGTTTTCTCTTAATAATCAGATCAATTGGGAGCTTATGATCCACGTTCATATACTACAAGTCAGGTGATCATTGCACCTACAGTTGGCATTTTTCACCTTCGATTCTTCCATAGATATGCTATCATCTTCATTCGTTTTCGATTAATTAATCTTATCATCACTATCCTATATACATTTTAAACCTCCGTATCTTACAATTATCCTATTTTCCGACATACCATACCACGCATTCAACATGTGGAAAAGCCGTTTCAGGCCTTCTCGAGCCCAGAACCCTTGTTTATTGATTGCAGGTGAGGAATCATTGCAGTCAGAACAAAAGTTTACTCAAGATCCATCTCCACACTGGATTTCTGACTCGCACGTTGATTGGTTGAAATCCCTTGGTGTTTGATTGAGTCACCGGAAGACCGAGTTCATTTGCCGATGTGGGGCTACCGGAAATCAATTCTGGGGTACATTTAACTGATCATACTCTTCATCATCGCAAATAACATCATTGTCAAGCTATGACACTATGAAGACATACATACAATCGCTACTTATACTCTAACGAGCATTATCGTCAAGATAAATCTATATACCACCCTTCCTAACCAATACCCCCGAAATATACGGCATAGGGGTACTTTCAAACGACCTCTCCAATTCAAAAGATTCCCATCCCCCATCTTTTTCAGCTGCCATCTTCAACGCCGCTGCGGTATCTCTATTCAAACAGCAATTCCCCATATACAATCTCCAGCCCATCAGCTCATATAAAACCTGGAAGCCCCTCGCAATCACGGACCCCTTTCGCGTGCGCCACGGGTTGACCACATGCTCAACAACGAGTAACTTTCCGCCCGGGCGTAGAAGGGTGTACAGATCCTTGATGGTACGTTGCATATCGGGGACTGAGCACAGGACGCGTATGCAAATAACAGTGTCGAATACACCCTCGCCGATGTTATCTAGATTCTTGAGGACGGTGGTTGGGTCTGCGTTGTTGGTGCTCACGAGGTCTTGTTTCTGGAGTTCGGGGATAAGATCTGCAGCTTCAACGCCACAGGGTAAAATATGGTATTTGTCGCTCAGGCCTTCTGAGATAGCACGGGCGCGGAGTTCGGCGTGCAGGCCGTGGCATGGTTCTGCGCCGTAGATGGTTTGGATGGCTGGTGAGCGGAGGAGGGGCATTTGGCTGCCTGTGCCGGGACCAACGTCGAGGACGATGCCCGAGGCGTGCGCGAGAATGGGTGGGATTAGATCTGATGAGCCTTGTATTTCGCCTGAATTCTGGATTGGAGGGGGCGGCGGGGCGTCGGATTCCCGATTTGCTGTGCGAACAGTTAGGGAATGTGATGGATTAAGAGGAATCGATGGAGAGCTGTAAACTGACTACTGAAGGCTACCCAGAATCTGCCGAATGCTTCATCGCGAAGTCGGCTGGTATAAAGCAGAGGAGCGAGAATTTGACCATTCAGGATACTCTCAGCGTTGACTGTGATGTAACCTGCGGGGTATTTTAGCTGCTTCTTCTCCTTGTGTTGAAACATATTCTTTGGGGGATGAGAGGGTTACTCTTGAAGGCCCAGAGTAGGATCTGGCCTGGTTCCATGAGGGAATTGATCCATTGCTGCGTGGTAAGGTCCCGGGTAGGCATCTTAGCTTTACTTTAAATCACACTCGACAAGTTGTAATCTAGTGGGATATCTTAAGGAAGAAAGAGACCCGACTAGAGCGGCTGGAAGGCATCCACCGGCGCGGAAAAACCATCCGGAGAGGTTGCCAAGCCCTAAGCCGGAGAGGGGAACCCGAATTGATTGGTCCATCGCTACGCCTGTCATGATAGGTGTTATCAGCAGTCAAAGTACTGCTAATAGTCATAGCCATATCTGTTTTATCTCTACCGACTATTCTAGGCTAACCCAGCCAACTAAACCTCCATCGTCTCAGCCAATTCCTTCCACAGCGCACACAGCTGAACAGATGTCTCCGGAATAACCTCCATTGCCGTATCATTCGTCTGCAGCCGTAGACGCTCCCCATTTCCCCAGGTCTTCCACTCCGGCGCCGTTGAATATCGGTATGTATTCGGATTCAACGTCTGCACAAAGCTGATAAAGTAATGCATGGTCACAGGGATGATCTCCGCATTATACGACAGATAGGATGACCCGCTACTTAGAGTCCCGGTAGAACCAGCCCCGAAAATTGCCGGTAGTTCAAACGTATGCGGTACACCGATACCCCCAGCAATATTTGATTTATCGATTATATTCACCCGGTAATTCCAGACTGCATTGGGGGAGTACTTTGCAGTAGACAATGCAACATGGTTTCCGGGGCATGTGAATGTCGCGTCTCCGTAGGCCGCCGAGGAGGCACCAAAATATGCTGCATGTCGGGGTAATAATTCCCCCCGGGGGTAGGCCTCATTGATAACCTCTAGCTGTTCGGTACTCAGGTTAGGATAATTGTTCTTCAAAAATCGGGACACGTCGGCGCTACTCGTGGCATTGTAGGCAAAATTGGAGCCCTCATTGGTATCGTCACCGACCATGACGGGAACTTTGATGAAGTTGCCTGCGTCGAAGGCGCTGTACAATTCCTCCGGAACAAGACTGCCATCGGTGACAGGTAGCCAATACCAATCTGGCAGTGGAGAACTGCTTCCCCCAGGGAAGGGAGATGCAGTATTTCCTTTTTGGAAGGTAGCAATATCCTGCTCTCGCAGGCACTGTAGGGCATCAGAAGCATCAGAACAACCAGTTTCGTTCGCAATTCGGTCAAATTGGAACTCCATCTCCGCCACGGTCCGTTGAGTTGGCCAGAAGGATGATTCAACGATAGCACCAATGAATAAATCTTCGTCTTTTCCACCATAGGCAGTCAGATGGTAGGCAACGGAGCCAGCACCAGCAGACACCCCATGAATCACGATATGATCAGGATCTCCCCCAAACTAAACCCATTAGCACATTCTTCCCTGGTCTGGCAATGGGTGAACAACCTGCTCGATATATTTCTTCACCCAGTGAAGAGCCTTGCGCTGGTCCAGAAGTCCCGCGTTGAGATCACCATTTTGTCTGACTTTCTCACTGGCCAGGAAGCCCAATGCCCCAACGCGGTAGTTGAGAGTTACAAAGACGATGCCATCTCCGGAGTTTTGGATCACTTGGGTCCCGTTGTAGTTGGCGTTAGAGTTTTCTGCATATCCTCCGCCTTGTATGAATAACCAAACGGGCAATTTGGATTGCGGCGTGGCCGTAGATGGCTTGAAAACGTTGATGAAGAGGCAGTCCTCGCTCACCTCGCCAGCGGTTTCTGCCTGGCCCACTCCAATGCAAATTGGCCCGTACTGGAAGAAAGGTCAGCCACGCCAGGTACAAGATATTTGTTAAGGTCTCAGGCTAGGTATCACCTCTGTAGCACTTTGAAGTGTGTTGTTTGTCGGCGGATCCTGAGGTGCTCTAAATCGAAGATCGCCCACAGGAGAAGATGCATAGCGCATGCCAAGAAACTCATCTACTCCCGCCGCAAGCCGGTTTCCTTGGTACCTGGCATAACTGAGGTCGATTACTGGACTTTGGTCACGGTTTGCCAGCCTCGGATGCCCAAAAACAGCATGACAGAAAAAGCTTAGCCAGAAAAGGTTCCGCATTTTTCTAGAACCCTCAAGGCACTAGGGACGATACTTCTCCTAGTCTCTCAAAACTCCTACGTGGGCTCTGGAATCGGAACCCTCGGATATATATGTCCCAGCATCAGGAGACAGTAACGCCCGCTGTTTCTCCCCATTATGCACCTCGGACACAAGGAAGCCCAAACCCGACTACTACCGAGCCTGAAAACAGTATGTCTCTGGTGGAGAGCAAATAAGCAGAAGCAGCGGGGTTTCTGCATGCAAGGGAAAATAATCCAGGAATGAGAGGGCAGCACGGCTCCGGTCGACTTTGGCCCGACTTGCCGAAGTGCGGGGATCAATTAAGCGGTGCAAGACCCTGCCAGATCCACAATTCGCATTTTGTACGCTTGAATGTTGATGTCCCATCCCTTTACTCAAAGAGAAAAACTAACAGGCTGGCATCCGTAACGTACCAGTTTTATGTTTCTGAGTACGAAGGCGGTTGAGAAATTCCCTTGACAGATATCATGACAAAGCCCTCACGAGAATTTCTCAGATTGGGGGTACCATCATGGAACACCTCGTTCCCTCAATGTTGACAGATTGAGGTATGGCATATCATGCATACTCGGACCGTCCTCTGGGTGGTTAGCGTGGTGTCATGCTTGAAAGATAGAGTTAGGCTGTGGGTTGGGGAAAGTTTATCAATGAATTGCTGATGGTGTACTGGGATTAGATTTGCAGACCCGGATTGTAAGTTCTAGAACAGGGATAGACAAACTCAAAATAACCGTTCTTTGGTTCGATGGAGGAAATTCAGTCCAAAGCTTGATGAATCAAGTTGATCGGAGTCAGGCGACAAAAGCCTATTGTCTCAACCCTCCATTAAAAATGGATCGCAGGTATCGCATTTTATCATTTGACACGCTGAGTAGTATCCGCAACTATCAAGTGACCAATGTCCGACAATGGAAAACACTGTTCCTTATGAGCCAATCGCCGTGATTGGCATGGCCGGCAAGTTCGCTGACGAGGCTGAAGATTGCGAAAAGCTTTGGCAGGTTCTGCTAGAGGGGAAGTGCACATGGCGACCGTTTCCTCAAGATAGGCTCAATGTTGACACTCACTTCCACAATGATCCCGATCGGGGAGGCACTGTAAGGTATCCCTAACAGTGACTGATTGACGCCTGCTAATGGACTGATTGCATTCAGCTCCGAGTGGCTGGAGGACACTTTCTCGCGGAAGATCTGTCCAAATTTGAGGCGGGCTTCTTTAGTATTTCACAGGCAGAAGCAGAGATGATGGACCCGCAGCATCGCCTTTTGTTGGAGAATGTTTACCACGCCCTCGAAAACAGTGAGTCCCGCTGGGACAGTTGAAGGCAGAATGATGCTAATACCTAATCCAGGTGGTATCACACTAAAAAAGGCCAAAGGCACGGATACGGCCGTTTATGTCGCCTGCTTCTCAAATGATTATCGGGACATGCTTAATGCAGACCCCGAACAGATTCAAAAACACAAGATATTGGGTACACATGATGCCATACTTTCAAACCGCATTAGTTGGTTTTTCGACTTCAAAGGAACCAGCGCTACCGTGGACACGGCATGCTCGGGCAGTCTCGTTGCAGTGCATATGGCATGCCAAAGCTTGATTCTGGGTGAGTCGAACATGGTATGTAGTCAGGGAACCATTGACCCATCTCAGAGCAGAAGCTAAGTCCGGGTAGGCTATTGCGAGCGGTGTAAACCTCATCAGCTATCCTTACACAACGCAGGATCTCTCGAAGCTAGGCGCATTGTCACCCGATGGGCCGTGTTATAGTTTTGACCAACGAGCCAATGGTTATTCGCGAGGTGAGGGGGTCGGCACGGTTGTTCTTAAGAAACTCGCCACGGCAGTCAGAGACGGCGACACGATTCGAGCAGTCATCCGTGCAAGTGCGGCAAATCAGGATGGGAGGACTACAGGAATCTTCAACCCATCCACTGATGCACAAGCGCGGTTGATCCGGACAACTTATAAAGCTGGTGGCATCAATTTGGATCAAACTGGTTATTTCGAAGCGCACGGCACAGGAACATCCACCGGTGATCCAGCAGAACTGCGTGCGATAGCGTCTGTATTTGCGGATCGAACGTCAACACACCCTTTATACGTCGGGTCAAGCAAGTCAGCTTTGGGTCATACAGAGAGTGCAGCAGGGATCTTGGGCCTGATAAAAACAGTATTGTCGCTCGAGTGTGGCCAGATATGCCCTAATGTGAATCTTGAAAAGCTGAATACAGCGATTCGTGCGGACGAATGGCGAATGGAATTCCCCACAACAGCTGTGCCGTGGCCTAAGCCGGGCCCAAGGGTCGCATCGATCAGCTCGTTTGGCTTTGGCGGGACAAATGCGCATGTTGTGGTATGCGATGCATATCATGAGCTAAAGCAAAGCAGGCAGCAAGCACCCCACCTGACACGAATCGACCCGATTTGTGCCGCTGCTACTAAATCTACCGATGCCCCGATGACAGACAGTAGGGAAGCAACTGAGGATATCAAACAAAGTCTCAGATCTAGGACGAGTATCGAGGTCGACAACTCTCAAATATTTTCCATCTCTTCATTTGACGAAAAGGGGGTACATCGCCAAGCAGAACGGCTGTCCCACTATGTCCTATCCCGTAACTACGCAGTGGAGCACAAGGACGAGTTCCTGGGCAATATTTCGTATACATTGAACTGCAAAAGAACACAGTTCGGATGGCGTGCTGCTTGCGTTGCGGCCAGCGTTGAAGAACTGACCGATTCGCTCGCAAAATTGCAACCGACACGAGGTATCGCCACCCCGGGGGTAGCCTTTGTGTTCTCAGGACAGGGGAGTCAATGGCAAGGGATGGGTCGTGGACTTATGCGATTCGCTCCGTACCGAAAATCATTACAGTCTGCAACAACATTCTTCAAACGTCTGGGAGTCACGTGGAGTGCGATAGGTGCGTTGAGGACACCCGAGCTTATAGACGAATGAGTAATTTACTGACTTAATAAGACCTTTTGGCTGACCTTGACTCTGACATCAATGACTGCTTGCTCTCACATCCTTTGTGTACAGCCCTTCAAGTCGCCGTTGTTGATTTGTTGAGAAGCTGGAGTATAGTCCCGCATTCAGTGGTCGGGCATTCATCCGGTGAAATTGCAGCAGCATATGCAGCAGGGGCTATAAGCCAGAAGGCCGCCTGGTTGCTAGCATTTTGTCGGGGACTAGTCTCAAAGGCTATTGCGGATGAAGGGGCAACAATGATGGCCGTGAGAGCGACGGAGACGGCCCTCTTGCATCATATAGAAGCCTGTCCCAGCCGAGACCTTACAATCGCCGCCTTTAATTCCCCCACAAGCTTTACTGTATCTGGCAGTAGAGCATCATTGAACGGTTTGAAGGAGCGGCTGGGACATGATGAGATCACGGCGAAGTGGTTGAATGTCCAAAATGCTTATCATTCTCCTCACATGAAGAGCGTCGTCCAGGAATATATCCACCTCATTCAAGAGGTAGAGACGCATAAACCCACCATTGTATCGGGAGCTTTATCAGCGAAAATTATTTCAAGTGTGACTGGGATTGAGGTTCGAGGAGAGGCTATGCGAACAGCAGAGTACTGGGGGCGGAATCTTCTATCTCCGGTGCGCTTTTCATCCGCCATTGAGAAGATGTGCGTGGAAGACGAAATTGGGATAGTCATAGAGATTGGCGCTCATTCAACGCTCAAAGCCCCGATAATCGAGACTCTCCAGGAGAGAGGAATCGACGGGATTCGATATTTGAACACAGGCACGCGCAATATCCTCACATCTACCCCATGCCTGCAAGCGTTAAGCTCACTATGGGAGACGGGGTACCCAGTCCATCTTGCAGCTATGTTTGATTCTGCCGCTTCTACTACTGCACAGAAGGCCCCAAGGAAGCAGTCTAGGCAGAGTGTGAGCATGATACGTCCAGATTCTGCTATAGGCCTGGATTTTGACATTGACGCGCACCTACCGCCAAACCCGGCTCACTGCAAGGATGTCCATCTCCTTGCTTCGCTACCACCATATTCCTTCAATCACAGCACAGCCTACTGGAAAGAAAGTCGCTTCAGTAAAAATTATCGCTTTCGCAAGCATCGAAGGTCAGATGTACTGGGCGCCCCAGTAAATGATTGGAATCCACGTGAGCCGAGGTGGAGAAACTTCTTAAGAATCACAGAAAGTCCATGGATGGCGGACCACGTGGTGAGCAATAGTCTGGCATTCCTGAAACTGCCACAGAATGCTGATCGGCCCTGAGGTCTCTGGGAAGATCATCTTTCCTGGGGTAGGCTACGTGGCAATGGCGATTGAAGCGGCAAGGCAGATAGCGGATCCAGGCCAGCAACTCCGAGGCTTCAGACTCCGAGATGTGCACATTCATTCTGCTCTTCTTATCCCAGATACTACCGATGGCATAGAGACGGATTTCAGTCTCTTGCCTGTGATGGAGACCATCAGAAAAGTGTCAAAGCCCTGGAAACAATTCCATATATATTCCTACAATGAGGAACATGCCGAATGGCGTCTCCATTGTACCGGGAAAATTGCTCTCGAATACGATAACGACAAAGACATTTTGGACAGAGGGCCCATGAACCAGGAACAATGGGAGGGTGAGCTCCACCGGAGCCTTGCGAGATGTCGGTTTCCAATCGATTCTGAACGATTGTATGAGTGGGCCGACGATGTTGGCTTCAGCTTTGGGCCAATGTTTCGTAACATGTCCAATGTGAAGCTGAGTACAACTCCCCATCAAGGGAAATCAGCTGCAATTATAACAGTCCCAGACATCGGCAGCGTGATGCCTGGTGGCTATGCCTTTGATCACGTAGCTCATCCGACAACATTGGACGTATTGATGCATACTTGCTTCGGGGCGATCAAGAGCTTAAAGGGTCTCGAAGCAAAGCTCCCGATGTATCTTCCAAATGTATTTCGCGAAGTTTGGGTGTCAGCCGAGATTAGCAGTGAGGTAGGACATGAATTTATGGGGTACAGCCGCGTGCAACCACTATCCCATACGACATTCCAGGGCAATGCTGCAATGATGGACAGAGCAACTTCCTCTGTGAAAGTAGCCCTCAACGATGTGGAATTGGTCAGAGTTGACACCCATTCGAAGCATGGGCAGCAACCGATATGCCACGCCATCGCATGGAAACCAGATGCTGAAAGCCAATTTTGTGAAGTCAAAGCCAATGCCTCGGGGGAAAATCCGGGGTTCAAGTCTTTTGAGATGCTTGAACTCAACGCTGCCATTTTTATCGAGACAGCTATCGCTGAACTAGACCGAGATGAAACTCCCGTTGTCTGTCCTGAACACATCGACAAATATAAGGCATGGATGAGGCACAAATTCGAGGAGATTGGGGCTGGAATGCAAAGCTGCTTGGATGCATCAGAGCTAAAGCGCTATATGGGAGACCGGGCTGCCATGTATCAGTTGCAGGAAGCGACGAAGACCTCCAGTGCGACAGGAAATCTGTGCGTGCTCATGGGCAGGAACATCGGCAAGATTTTAAAGCAGGAGATCGACCCCCTCGAGCTTATGTTCGGTGAAGACCTGATGAACGCAGTTTATGATGAATTCTCCCGAGGGGGGAGGCTGCCTGGCCTTTTCGACCAGTACCTTGAACTCCTTGGACATAAATGTGAACGGCTGAGGATCCTCGAAGTGGGTGGTGGGACAGGAGCGACGACCACTCCGGTACTGAATAGACTTTGTCCCATCGGCGACACTATCTCTCAGGAGGCATGGAAAGTGGAAAAGTTGGTGTTCACCGATATATCCCCAGCATTCTTTGAAAAGGCAGCAGATAGGTTCAAAAGCTGGGAAGGCATAATACAGTACAGGACGTTTGACATCGAAACTGACCCCAAACACCAAGGGCTGGGGGACGAATGGTTCGATATTGTTCTCGCCGGGAATGTCATTCACGCAACGAGAAATGTTGACAACACGTTGCAAAATCTCCGGTCCCTGTTGAAGCCACAAGGGCGTCTCGTCCTGCATGAACTTATAAAACCCAGTATGCTCACGATACCGATGATATTCGGCTTGCTTCCTGGGTGGTGGTTAGCCGGAGACCGAGACAGACACCTTGGCCCATTGCTTGACGAGAATGGTTGGGAACGGGCATTCAAAGACAATGGTTTCACGGGGATTAACCATATTCTCTCTGACAGCGCCAACGCTGAAACACACCTGTCCAGTATTATGGTGGCCAGGGCCACATGTGATGATCGGCCTCATTTGCTGCAGAATTCAGTTTCCATCGTGAATCTAGATTCGGAAACAAGGGGACGGGATATGTCTAGCCAGTTAGCGGACGACCTGCGTCGTGCGTACGGATCTGAGGCATGCCGTGTTGTACCGCTTGACCATGTCTCTGGGTCACACATTGAAGACTGCCCGGCCATTGTCATCATGGATTGGCCAGATCAGAAATGGGACAACATGACGGAGAACATGTGGCATATTATGAGGGACCTTCTGATATGCTGTAATAAGCTACTTTGGGTTTCCCTGTACGATGCAGATGCAGATCCAAGATTTGCTATGTGTACTGGATTAATTCGAACATCCCGGTGGGAATACTTTTCCTCCGACCGCAACTTGGTCACTCTGGACATCACAATTGATACCAACTCGTCAGATTCGTCTGTATCTGCCATTCAGGAGGTTTTTAATCGGCAGTTCATCATATCATCAGAGCATCCTAATGAAGAATACAAGCTGGAAGGCGGTCAGCTCTATACGTCACGGCTTCAAGACCTTCACGTTGTCAATGACTTCCTCGGCGGCCAGATCACCGGTGGTTCGGTCGGTGAAGTTGAGAAACGTTTATTCAGATCTGTTCGGGGAGAAGGGGTCAAACTGCACGCGGTAATGTCGAATGAAGGGGGTACTCCCATCTTTGTTAAGGACAATGACAGAAAGAAGTCCTTAGGCCATTCTGAGGTTGAGGTGGAGATAAAAGCAGTAGGTGTCAACTTTCGCGATTTACTCATAGCTATGGGTCAGCCCGTGGGGACCAATATTGGAGTTGAAGGAGCTGGAATTGTGAGTGCTGTGGGAATCAATGCCAAAGGGCGGCTATCGGAGGGCGACCGAGTCATTATCTTAGCGGACCCATCAAGCATGGGAACAATTCGAACATATTGTCGGACACATTGTGACTTAGTCACTCAGATACCGGACGATGTATCTTTCGAGGTGGCCAGTGCCTTGCCAATAATCGGATCAACAGTGCTGTATTCATTGCGCGATGTGGCTCGACTATCAACGGGAGAGAGCATCCTCATCCACGCTGGTGCTGGAGGAACCGGCCAAGCGGCTATTCAGTATGCCCAGGCAGTAGGGGCCGTGGTTTTCACAACGGTCTCAAGCCGAGAGAAAATGCAACTTGTGATGAATTTGTACGCCATTCCGGAGGATCATATCTTTTACAGCAGAGATGGCCAATTTGCCGAACGTATAAAACTTGCTACAAGAAACAGAGGAGTTGATGTCGTGCTCAATTCACTCGGGGGAGAATTGCTGCATCTTTCTTGGGGCTGTCTTGCCCCTCTGGGCCGGTTCATAGAGCTGGGAAAGAGAGACATAATGGACAATGGGAAGCTCCATATGCGTCCATTCGCTCGAGGAACCACATTCACTTGTGTGGACATGTCCCTGCTAACGTCCTTAGACCCAACTAGGGTAGGGCGCTTGATAGACGACACTTTGTGCCTTTATATGCAGGGAAGAATTGGTCCTCCATCTCCACTAACTGTGCTCAAATTTTCAGACGTCGGTGAGGCTCTGCGTCGCTTCCAGACAGGAGAAGCCAAGGGCAAGATGGTACTGGTAGACTCTGGTAATGATATGGTGCCGGTAGGTCGAAATCTCTGTACAATCATACAGGGTCATCTAATGAAGCAAATCGCAGATGCTGCCACCCACAACTTCACCGTTGTGCTTCCCACGAGACGCGTCATATGTCATCGCTGGAGGGGTCGGAGGATTAGGACGTGAGATCGCTAGATGGATGGCATATCGAGGAGCCCGACATTTAATCCTTTTATCTCGCTCTGGTGGTGATCCTGAATCCGTCACAGCTTTAATGAACGATTTGAAAACGGTGGAATGTGAAGCGGCGGTGGTCCAGTGTAACATTGCTGACCGCGGCGCGATGAACGCTGCGCTGAAAAGTGTTCGCAACTTTCCTCCAATCAAGGGTTGTATCCAAGCTGCGATGGAGTTGAAGGTACGTGGATTCGAAATCACCTTCCTTCGATGGATACTGATATGTGATATCTCACAGGACATGCCTCTGGCAAATATGGCGGCTGCTGATTTCAAGACCGCGACTTCTCCAAAGGTAGAAGGGTCCTGGAATCTTCATTCAATACTTCCCAACGACATGGAGATCTTTATCATGCTCTCTTCTATCGCAGGTATCATCGGGGCGCGTGGTGCCGCAAATTACGCAGCAGGAAATACCTTCCAAGATGAACTAGCTCGATATCGTTCAGATCGCGGCCTACCTTCCTATACCATTGACCTTGGAGTGGTTGCTTCAGCCGGCTACGTAGCAGAAAACTGGAAGGCGAAGAGAAACCTGTCATCGAGGGCTTCAGGCCAGCTCTCCGGTATTCGGATGGAAGACCTTTTCCGTATCCTGGAGTACTGCGTTCATCCTGACAATACCACTCGCACTGCTCCCATATCACCCCAGATTATCATAGGTCTCGACACTGCCCCCTTAATGGACCGCACTCTGAATTCCGGCGAGGTGCTAGACTACCAGCGCAGTGCATTATGGACGAATATTCGGGGCCCAAGGACTCGTGAATCGCAGGGTCTGGTTTCCTCGACTGGGACTCGGTCGCGCAAGGAAGAAGCACGCTCTCAACTGAATGCAGCAGATAACTGGCAGTCTGCTGTTGACACTGTGGTTCACTGTGTGCAAGAGAAGCTTTCGTCAATGCTCTGCATCCCAATGGCGGAAATAGATCCCCACCGCCGGCTAAGTGACTATGGCGTCGATTCTCTGGTCGCAGTAGAATTCCGGACATGGATGAACAGAGCCATCGGAGCAGATATTCCTGTGCTGGAAATCATGGGGTCTGACAATATTGATGCAGTTAGTTGCAGAGCAGCGCATTTAAGCGAGTTCGTGAGAGGGGACTTGAAGGAGGCCCCTTCATTGAGGTTTGACGGGAGAGAGAATGACGCGACCGCGTCCGACACGTCCGCGTCCGACACGTCTCTGTCACCTGTCACGTGACTTGAAGCGGGATCAAATATTGGATGTGGAAAAACATCAAGAAATGTCGTACTAATTTCCAATGGTCTTCATCGTGATATTATTTACTCTTGATTGCTGTATTTTATGTCAGTCTTGTAAATCCCTGGTTCTTATCTTAGCCACGCATGCATTAATCTGTTAATGTTTAGTCCAAAAGCCACACGTAGCATGACCAGTGCGACTAGTACTATATATGTTTCCGCTTGGAGACCCAATCCGTAGATGTGGATTGGAGACACACTTTGGCAAATTAACGACAAAGAGACTGGGGATTAAAAATCAAAAATTACTACTTGATGGAAGGTAGTTAAGAAGTATTACTGTGGTCTAATTAGTGTTCTAATACTAGGATTGCGGATCGGAAATAGCCACGATTATGGTATGAAATGGCCGAGGAACCAAGTTATGTCATCCTCGACTTTCCAGCAGAAGATGACCCCTGTATCTCATCCAACTCGATGCTCTCCCGAGTCACCGATATCCGTACACTTTTGAGTATCGCGTTGCTCTGATACGCTTCATAAGGCGCTGGCGACGCTGAGACCGTCGCCTCCGTCCGAAGGATTGGTTCGTCCTCGTTACTGCCAAAGGAGCTGAGGCCTTTTACCGGTCGGGATGACCGCCACGACTTAGGGGGAGTGCACCCGCTGTGACTCTGCGACTTTGAAGCATCTTCTGTGTATGCGAGGCCATGGTCATCCTCATAGACTGCGACGAACATTTTCAGGCACGAGACGGTGAGGAGCACGATGCTCAGGCTGAGATGGAGCTCTGCAACGGAGGTAGCGTAGGTACCGATGAGCGAGGGGTTGGAAGAGTAAATCTGAGAGTGGATATAGTATAAATGAATTGCGGAAAGAGGGATTAGTCTTAGTTTGGAAAGCCAGGGTTAGTGGGTCAGAAATAGGGTTTGTAAGAGAGGCGACAAAAACGTACATGATCCGAGAGCTGAGGATTGATAGCACTTTGAGTTTCTTGCTTAAGGATATTTGGACGTTCCGGATCGTTATCGCTGGGTATGATAGGATCATGGCTTCTAAGATTATGTCGAATGCGCAGATGGCTTGCCATCGGGGGAAGAGGCCGCCGCACTCTCTGTCAATGTCATTCCAAGGATGAGTGCTGCATCGTATGCCTAGCAGTAATATGGCGACAATGGTCCAGACGGCACAACATGACAAAACGACATTAACCATCCATCTTGTGCGTTCCAGAGAGAGGTTTTGATAGAACAACATTGTGCCGACCTTTGACAATCCTAGGACAAGGACATAGAAGAGATCTGTCGCGTATCCGACCTAAAATTCTTAGATTGCTGGTCGGGTACCGCGCCTAAGTAACGTACCTTTTCCATTTGCGTATAGTCGCCAGGCAGAATCATCTCTTCGGACTTTCCCCACCCATAATGAACCTGGAGGAGGACCAGCGAAACCTGGGTACAGGCGCATATCACCACAGCAAAGAGAACGTAGTCGTCTTTCAAGATAAGGCCTCTTTTAGAAGATGCGAACAATCTGATACCCAGCGACGCGAGAATTAAGAAGAGTGCTAAAGAGGTGATGATCACGATCAGCCCGTTGTGGTTATGGTCGTTATCTTCCGTCAGCGGGGGTGAGACACCAGGGGGCAGCGAGGCCGCTAGGACAGCCATGGCAGCAGGCAGTGTCGCGAAAAGGAGTCTGCCGTAACTCTCGCAAAGGTAAAATCACCACATCATGGCGATGACACGTTGTGAGGATCGTCGCATCTTCAACTACGGTCGATGTCAAGCGAGTGTGCCGGCGACTTTGCGGTCTGACAGCGTTTACCGACAGGGTTGCCCCTTGACACTAGCCTCCCACTGTCACGTTTGAGGCGCATCGAGTGTTTGCTTCCCTGAGGTGGTCGCACAGGGGTAGTGCTTATACGAGGAAGATGGACCGGTATGAAGTTGGAAGTACGGAGTAAGCAGGCAAGACCAGGGTGACAGTGAAAGGGTGAAGCGTCAAGAACGGTCGGGAATGATTGTTGGCAGCATCTCATGGCTGGATAGGTAGGACAAGACCACGCACCAGGAAGTAGGAAGCCGTCTGGGTACCCACCGACCGCATGTCGTTGGTGGAGAGCAGGCTGGATAAGCGCAGAAGGATCGAATCCCGGCTGATCAACTGTTAATCGTTCCCTTCCCTCCACATAGCAGGTTATAAGAATGAGCTATTTCCGGAGATTAGCCTCCGTGCGATGGGGTCGCAGTACCACGAGAACCGGGCCCCAAACTTAAATAGTTATCCACGCTGCTGCATCTCCTCAAATCAAGGCAGCCCTGACTCATGCCACCACACGCGAGGCAAGTCTAAAAGAAAGTTCTTCATTTAGCCTAGAAATCGACAACGTCGGTCTTTCTTTGGGAGGAGAGGAGAGAGAAAATGAGAGCTCCTTGCTTATTGCACACCGGATCCATGGGTTACCGCCACGGCTGATTTGGCCTAGTGCTGCAACCACCCTGCAGCTGATGAGGAGATTTGCTCCGGCTTCGTGATCCCATCCTGGCTACTCCCGTGGGCCAGTTTCCAACCGAGTCACATTTGTGCTCCTCTGGATGCGCAAACAACATGATGAAGGAGTTGTGCCCGACACCGCCAGTGAGCCTGAGAGATGTCAAGGATGGAGGGAGCGAGGCGGGGAGGGGCTGATCGCTGGTCCGCCAAGAGCGCCGATCCGGTGGCTGGCATGCCTGGGGTCGTCGGCTGTCAGGATGCCCTCCAATGGAATATGGCTAGCCACAGGAATGGACATGATGTTCCATGACCACATTCTCCGGGGAGGGGAACCATGCGACCATGTGAGCGTGTGCTGACCCTTGCTGCAACGGGTTGTTCCTCACTCCCGGGAGAGAGAGAGGCAGGTTCAGGCAGGTTCAGGCAGGTTCAGGCAGGTTCAGGCAGGTTCAGGCAGGTTCAGGCAGGTCAAGCCAGGGTGAAGACAAATCGAGCAAAAAAGCCAATTTCACGGGAACTGGCAGGTTATCCTGACGGTGCCTGAGGAGAATCGCCGGTGGCTTCTTTGTCGAAGCCCACCACGTCACACAGACTTACCCCCCTTTGCGCCGGAGAGTAAACCTCCCAATCTCCTTCTCCTTTTCTCCACCCCAGTTCCAGTTTATCAAAATGTCATCCTCGGCCAGCGTCCAAAAAGGAGACCTAGTGACGGACTGCCATCACCCACTCGAGGTGGAAGACGCCGATCGGAATGGCGGGGAGGCTGGCACCAGGTTCGACCACAGCGACATGGCCCGCATGGGCAAGGCGCAGGAGTTCAAGGTATTTCCACCCTGGTGTCATGGATGCAGAAGAAGCGAACTGATTGTGCGTTGCAACCAGAGAAATCTCCGACCTTTGGCTGCTCTGAGTTTCGCCTCCGTTCTACAAGCCACTTGGGAATTTATTCTAATGTATGCCATCTCTATCTCATTCATTCACCTCTTTCCGTCTAGTCATACCTGATTAATTGAGATAACCTAGCTCCAACTATGAGGGTCTCGAAGATGGCGGAATGGCTGGCTTGGTGTGGACATACGTGTGGACCTTTGTCGGCTTCGGCTTCATCATTGTCTCGTTGTCAGAAATGGCATCCATGGCCCCAACCTCTGGAGGACAGTATCATTGGGTCTCGGAATTTGCCTCTCCACGATACCAGAAGTTCCTGAGCTATATCACTGGTATGTTATCGAATAACCGTACTCCGTCTCCCAGTGTTAGAACTAACAGGGAACCCAGGATGGATGTCGGTGTTAGCCTGGCAAGCCGGCGCTGCATCAGGATCTTTCCTAACCGGAACAATCATCCAAGGTCTGATCAGCGTGCGAAACCCCGACTACAATCCGAAGCGATGGCAGGGAACGTTATTCGTCTTTGCGATGATCCTCGTGATCTACTTCTTCAATGTCTACGCGGCCAGTTGGATGCCTCGGATACAAAATATCCTATTAGCCCTACACACCATCTGCTGGGTGGTCGTCGTCGTCGTTCTCTGGGCCATGGCTCCCCGCCAATCTGCCAAGGTCGTGTTCACAGAATTCAGCACATACGGAGGGTGGAATAATGTCGGGGTCGCGTTGATGATAGGCCAGATATCCGCCATTTACGGTTCGCTCAGTTCCGACGCCACTGCGCACATGTCGGAAGAGGTTCGCGACGCCGGTCGATATGTCCCCATGGCCATTTGCGGTGGATACTTTAGCAACGGCATCCTGGCACTGGTGCTCATCATCACACTCATGTTCGCGATGCCCTCCGTGAAGGACGCCTTAGATGACCCAACCGGGTTCCCCTTCATCTATGTCTTCAAGCAGGCCGTCTCCACAGCTGGCGTCAACGGACTCACAGCGATCATTCTGATTCCAGTCATCTTCAGCAACATCCTTTTCAACGCGTCAACCGCCCGCCAGACCTACGCCTTTGCCCGGGACAGGGGCCTTCCTTTCTCCAACTGGATCTCCAAAGTCAACCAGACATACAAACTTCCAGTCAACGCCATTGCCCTATCTTGCATTATCAGCTGCATACTATCTCTCATCAATATAGGGTCCGACACCGCCTTCAACGCAATCATTTCGCTGAACGTAGCGGCCCTAATGTGGACCTACGCCATCTCAATCAGCTGTGTGATGTACCGCAAGATCTACTGCCCGGAGACACTGCCCCCGAGGCGCTGGACCCTAGGCAAACACGGGATCTGGATCAACGCCGTTGCCCTGATCTACGTCATCTTCGCCCTGTTCTGGTCCTTCTGGCCCACAGAGGTCCCCGTGACCTTGAAAAACTTCAATTGGAGCGTAGTCCTCTTTGTCGGCGTCTTTTTCATCAGTTTAGTGATGTATCTCGTCCAGGGCCGACGGGTGTACAAGGGCCCAGTAGTCGACGTTAAGAGGAGCTGAGGACAATGGGAATTCCCATAGCATCATAGAGCCCACCACCCAGTGAGATTCTTTCTAACGTCGTCGATGTGTAATTAAACAGTTATCAAAAGTATTTAGACCACCCAGAAAACTGAATGACTTACTTCCAGCCTGACCGAAACCTCACCCGACCAGTATCCAAGCTTCATATAGCACCAGGACATCATCTATCTACCGAATTGATTGAAAAAGACAAAAACACAAAAATAAAAAAACAACATAAGGGCGTAGGTTGTGATGTATTCAGCTCAGATTGTCTAGTCATATCCCATCATCCCAATAACTACCACTATATGCAATCCTAGCTACGTAAACACTCCCCATCAAACCAAAAATATAAAACCTCAACATCAAACTCCAATATGCAAATAGCGCCGTCTGAATCAACACTAAAGACCACACATAAAAGAAGAAGTTGATAACGCAGCAAAACACAACCAAAATTCCTCAAAGTTATGTAACTAATTAACCATCTGATACGAATCCAACTTGGAGACCATCTACTTCGAAAATCCAGAACTGCAGTTAGGCTATTCCAAAAAGGTAGATTAAGGTCCAATCAAACGCCGATTATTTTGAGTTATGCCATTGGAATCAAGATTTAGGCATATAGCTGTACAAGAGGGAAGCGGGGGTATTTATAGAAGACATGAAGGGAGTTAGGAAGGATGGAAGGTGATTGAGACCGACTCGATTGAAGAATTATCTGGTGTTTGGGATGGGACCGCGGTGGGATAGTTGTACTTGGTTGGGTTTCGGTTTGGTATGGTGCGTGGTAATGGACTTTTGGGCGATGTAGTTTGGTAAATACTAGGGAGGGAAAGAGAGTTAATGGTGGGTGTCTCAATGTGATGATGAACTGTGTAAGTTACCAGTACTAGAATATCAGATAGCTGTTTGTGTCAGATTGAAAGTAAACGTAATGAATAATAGGGAAGTATTTGTTATCAGTACGCATGTTTGGTTTAAGTGGATGTGTTACAGGGATTGGTTGTATTTGGACCGCGTATGTACAGAATAGCTGCATCCCGGCTATGACGTCGGCAGATGGACGAAAATTAGGTTGGACTAGGTGAATATAGCGCGAAAAAAAGAGCGTATCATGCTGAAATGGTCTCAATTCTTGGTTTGCACCCTGTGGCGTGAACCGTCATCGTGGGTGAGCCTAAAAACTAGCTTGTTTCAGCAGAATAGACATTGTCGCTAAGAGCGACGAAGAGATAATCTCGCAGGTGGTATGGCGGGGTAGCACATGGCTAGACCATGTTAAGGGGCTTTATGAGCTTTTTCAACTTTGGGTATGGAGTCGTGGACAGTGCCGGATTTTGGGGGGGGGGTTCTCTCGGCCGAGTCTTCTCTTCGTTGAAAGTGAAGCGTCGTCATTGAAGCAATGGATCCAGATGAATATGAAGAAGTGTCAAAACCTGGAAATGAGGGCCGGAAAGACCCCGACAAACTCTGGGCGATTTGGAAAGAAGGGTCACAACTTGATGAGGTGGAGCCACGTATGGAATGAAGGTTTGACCAGGATTGAAGGATGGAGGACGACTCTCTTTTGGCACACCATGAATAAAGGAAATGGTTGAAGACTCCGCTGCAGCCGATATTGGCTGTAAAGAGTCAAAACAATAATATTCAACTCGTCGATTTGAGCTTAGTGTACGGGTCATGTCTGTGACTAGCGTCTCGCTGGCGGCTGGGATATGAAGGTGCCACATGGCGGCCACCGATCTAGATTTTAGAAGCCGTGAAGAATGCGTGACCCAGGGTTTGCTGAACTGCCCCTCTTGGTCCCTAGAGTCAGATCTCAACCAGACTCTGAAGGCGCCAGAATGTCCTTAGTGGGGAGCTACTCGGGGACGCGCAGCTGCCCCATCGTCTAGGTTTATGGAATGTTCTTCTGCAGTGGAAGCAGGGACATAGTCAGTATTTTGACTGAACCCAAATCCTTCACACGCCACTTAAGATGAATACATACTTCAATGCCAAGCAAAGGAATGCCCGACAAATCCCATGTGGCCGGCTGGCAGCAGCCATTGCTATTACTTAGTATTGATGCACACACATACCGGCTAACCCAACTAGGAAATTACCCCTCAGAGCGGAGAACCGAGAAAAAGCTGTCGGCTATGGCGGAAATTAGTAGAAAATGGGAGAACTAGAAGCAGGTGCAGACTTCCATGATATCGATCCACACGTGTTGAACTTGAACGAGACTTTGTTGCTGCGTATATTCGCTTCCTTGGCCCTTGAGCCCTGCCCCTCTGTCGATCCGACACGTGTTGACCGGAGGGCGTCGCGAGCACACGGTGGTGGGCCGGAGAACGGCCACGGCGGGGCGCCGACCGACTGACTGCCACCAGCGATGCGCCCGATGCAGTTCTGGGAATAGCCCTCTGCAAGACATGGAGATTTTAATTTCCCGTGTCTTACGGTGCGCCAAGTGAAACCTGCACAATGATTTCATGCCCCTTCTTCAGGCCTGGACCGGGAAATTCCAACACGTGTAGCACACCATGTCTGGCTCATGAGGTCATGACGTGGTGAAACTCGCAAGCGAAGGAGCAGTTGGATAGTGATAGTCGACACCTTGTGCACCTCGGGCAGACAGCTGGAGCACGCTGCCATTTTGCGTGGGCCAACGTGATCCGAGGATGTCAAAGTGCAAAATTGGACGCCCGGGTGTGGCCCGTTCGAGTGGAGCCCGCGCTTTACTGGCTTGCGAAGGAGACCCGCTTGGCTCGGGACTTAGTAGGTCATTTCTCGGTGTTCTACGGAGTATAGTACTACGGATGTTCTGTGGGTGTGCCTCTTGTAAGCCTGGGTCTCGTGATCCTTCCTGGCTCCGGGTGGTAGAATAGGTAGGTAGTCATAATAGCTATGTACAGTAGGAAGCGAAATATTGTGTAGAAGAGCCAGAAGATGAGGAAGGAAAAACATACACAGGTCGTTGGTCATAAATCATTCTGCCAGGTCCACGAGCTCATCCCAGAACGAGCTTTTCGCTCTGAGCATTGATGTACGATACAACCCGGAGGTCACCACCCGCTTGGACCGAGCACGCAATGTATGTGTGGAGACCCCTCTCCTGAAGGGAATCCTGTGTACTGCAATGAGTAGTTAGCTGTAGTGCATTCATAAGACGTATAACGCAAACTCACAATACTTTGCGGAAGGCGTCGGAGTAGGTAGGCATATTGAGCTTTTCAGACTGGCCGTTGGCCCCGTACATGTACTCATTCAGTGCCGTCACTACATGCCAGTCACTCGGCGCGTAATGTCGGGCGGGAATATAAATCTTGACCTTCGGGGTCGTGCCCCCTGGGCGGAACTCCATGTTGTACAAAATGCCTCCCGTGCGATGATTACCCCCTGGCAGCGGTGTGTCCTCAGGAACACCAACCTGTCCTAGCAGCGCGTCCCACAGCCTCCTCAGATTCTGCAGCCCGACATCCAATGAGTGACCGGTGATTCGGTTTCCCAGCGTCATCATCTGACGAACTGAGGCAAAGCTCGTCTGGCGATTGCGAAAGTAAATCTTGAGCCGCGAGTCCACAGCTGGGATCATGTCAATAGCTAGCATATCCATCTCCAGGGGCGGTGTCGAAACGTCGTTGGCAAAGTCTTCAAACAGTGCAAAGGCGCCCAGTCGGTCATGGTCAGTACAAAGGGGTGCCGTGCGAATGGCTTGCGCGAGGACTTGCAGGTTAGTCTGGTTTGTCGCCCGGGCCCTGAAACCGGGGAAGAAGTATGCCTTGCTGGTGATATCATTGTCGCCCAAGTCAAATGCGTAGAAGATCTTGGAGGGATGGCCCTCCATGTAGCCCCTGGGGTGTGTGTCCGGGGCCAACGCCCGGTCAAAATGGTCAAACCACTCCCAATCAGTGTTGGGAGAAGTGTGTCGCAAGACGTGCCGGAAGCGCGAGTCTGCCGTTTGGTTGTCGGGATCCACTGGCGTTCCGGCATTAGGGCCCACGGGCTCGATTGAGAACCGAACCGTTGGAGACCTGTTTCCTGTATGCCAGTCCCAACTCAGCTCAATCGGGTTGTGGTTGTCCGTCATGAAACTCGGCCATCTCTGTGCGCCGGGCTCATTCGCAACACCGAGGTGCGGAGCGATGCTGCAACTGAAGAAGGCCAGGATACGTTGCTGTGCGCCATCCGAGTACCCTGCATCCTGAAGGAGCAAACTGAGCACGTACCCGGTGGTCTGCCACCAAAATCGTCCATGGGGCGTAAGAAATTCACGGATGTCGTAATCAACCTGCTGCCAGACCGAGGGTAGAAAGTATTGCGCTCCACTCGATTGAAGAAGGTGCGATTTCGCATGTTCTGGAATTAGGTTGAGCAGAGTTGACAAGAACGGATATATCGCTGTGATTAGGAATCGCGGCAGAATGCGCAAAGCTGCTGGAGGCAGCTGGGGAGTAACGCTGGTCATTTTAGCAAGCCACAAGTAAATGCAAGGAAGAGTTGTACCACCACAAGTAGCTGCGCGAGGGATACCCTTCTAAGTACTACTTGGCTGGGTACGGAAGCAGACTGCAGGACTGCATCTCCACGACCGCTACCTTCCGAGCAGTGGGCGCACAAGAATCCGCATGGATCCTTTATAAGGAGTTGACGGAGATTGACTGTGGCCCGGTCTAATCAGGACCAATCCCTGAGGTCGCTCCGTGCAGTGGGTAAGCCAGCTGGGATCCTGTCATGCTAGCCATGGATTACATGGGCCGTGCTGTTTCGGATCAACCAGGCTTTCTGTTACCGCACGGCGTGCGATGCTCACTCGGCGCGATGCCGTCATCATAGGGGTGCAACCACGCGCTCTACGGCTTGGTTCTTACCGGCAGCAGCCAAGAGCTGAAAACGGAGGGGGGAGTGTTTATCGAGTACGACTAGGTACAGTAGTAGTACACTACCTATGGGATGGCAACAACGGGAGGGTGGGGACGTGCGTGAATACATCCATGGCTGGTGCGGTGGGCCTCGTGTGGTTTGCCCTCCGCCGCGCCGTGCCGGCAACCTACCCAAGCTAGGAAGGAAGTACTGTACCGTATCGTTTGAGCGTTGTGTGCCGAGGAATAATCCCTTTCCCCTGACCTCCTGCTGTCAAAGAGACATCCAGGACGTCCCCCAACTACAATCCGGCTTCTGCCTGCGGTGTTACACCTGTGTTTCTCTGTCAAAGGCACATGGCATTCTGTCGTCAGAGTGTTTAAAACGAACTTGGGATTGAGAAACATTGGCATGATGGTTATTCGCCTGGAGACGCCACCCTCATTACACCGCCACAGCCACATGTGACGCTGCTAGCACACTTCCTTATTTCCAAACTTCCAAGACCAGGTCAGAAGCTAGCATGCTTCGATTCTGTTCTACGGTTCTGCATTTATTAAAACCAATCTATTCATTATCCACCCGAGCGTGAGAAGGCGAATCCAGCCCGCCATCCTCTCGGGGGTTCCAATCAACGACGGGGGTCCCCTGCATCACTGCATGGCACGGCGGTCGGGATGCCCACCTTGGTGCTTCTACCCTTGTCCAGCTTACATGGACCGTGGAGCAACCACGCCCGAAGTCGCCTCTCGGAGGCCACTCAACGTGATTTATCTGCATGATCTTACACCATGGCGCCTGATCATGAACCACATGGCCGTATTTAGGGAACCTTACTCATCCTTTTGAGCCATTCACCCCCCAGGCCAGAGTTGAAGATTATGGAGACCGCAATGACGGAACCACGGTACCGAGAGCGATAACGCGGCCGTCGCGTCCCGGCGAAATCCGTCATCGGCATTTGCATTAGTGCGCAGCTGCATCCCGACAATAACGAAGTCCTGTAGCATTCCTCCATGGTTGAAGGTAAACGGGACCGTGGTCCGGATTATTAATTGCAAAGTGATCCAAGCCCGCCATGCAGCCTCGTTTGTTCTAGATCACGCGGATGCCGCAACTCGCAATCATGGTGGGTCAGTAGTTACGAGTTCACGCCAGGACAGTGCCTCGCAAGTCGCAACAAAACCTCGGTTCCCCGCACGGAGACTTCTTCCACGGCGCTGTTGACAAATATCATATCCTCCCCTTGACAGGCCTTTATTCTCTAGCTGCCGCTTTCTGTGCGGCTGTTTCTCCCACATGTCTCTACCACTTGTTTCTACCACTAACGGATCATAACACTGACAGCCAGGCTGCCACCACCATAGTCCATGATATGCTTCCTAGTAAGGGGTACGGGATGGTGGGGTGACCCTGTTACCTCTGATCGGCAGGCGAGCAAAGGGTTTACTGTGTCCACGATACCGCTGATCCCTGAGCGTCGCTGGTAGTCGGCGGTTTTCTACATCATTCCCCCCCCCCCCCCCAGAACAAGAACCACGATCGACACTAGCACTACCAGAAGAGGCGATGACCGGAAAAGAAGCGCGGCAAAGCGATAAACTTACTGCCCCTCCTGGCTCCTCAGCTGACACTCAGCCCAGCCCACGTTGTCCGCGCGATCTACAGTCTATACGGAAAACAACAATCTAATCTCCAAATCCTATAGTTAATCAGCCAAACCTTTGTACGATCCGTCCCACGTCCTCGGTCCTTCCCAAAGTCTAAATATGATACCTAACCCCCTCCTCATCATTTCCACAAGCGTACGACATAGATTAACCCATCCATCCTGGTATAACACATTGTGGCTGAGGATCGAAACTAAGAGAGTATGCAATATGCAGTCCGTCGATCTGTGCATATCCGTCCCCGAGGTTGACATATTATTACCGCGACAATTTCCCTATCAGGAGAAGTATGGATTAATTACCGAATATAGAAAGCCGCTCCACCAAGCCTACCAGACTAGTACATATCCGTGAGGATATGTCCGCGCATTACGAGGCACCGGATTACCGAACCGGAATGCGATAAGTAGAGTCGGGCTTATGCACCTCGAAGATTGTATAATTCCAATCGTGTGCGAAGAGCTAACACGAAGAGCTAACACTGATACCAGCCAGTTGAGTAGTTTGTGCAGTTTCTGCCAATGACGTCAATCAAATCAAAGATCCCATCCTATCTACGAAACCTCCTTCCCCCATCAATCCTAAATATTGCATCGCTACATCCGAAACAGCCTCCTCGAAAGGCCGGAGTTTGATCCCCAGGATCCTCTCCGTCTCGGACGAATCATACGCAATAGGTAGAGTGTGTAGCGACCCGCACTCAAAGATCCCCTCCGCGACTGCTTTAGGGAACTTCTTCTCGATGATTTCCCAGACCCTTGAGAAATCAACCACAGTGCATGCCCCGAAGCTTGTCGGGGTGTCTGGGGTTGGTTCAAGTTCGAGGACTTTCATATGCACGGCGGCTAGATCATCGATATGCACGAACCCGCCGTGCATATGACTAGGGATACCCGATCCCGTGAACCCCCGAAGAAGCATGCCGCAAGACGACCGATTATTGCGAGCGGTGTTCGCGTCATAGATTCGCTCGTCGCGGCCGAAGACGTAGCCCGGGATGATGTGGGCGACGGAGAAATGGGGTTTTTTTGTTTCCATGAATGAGTCGGTCATGTTTAACTCGGTGATCTTTGCGAGAATGTAGGCTTCGAAAATGGAGGTGAAGGCGGAGGGGAGGGCGGGAAGATGGATGCGGGTGGTTGCGGTTGCGGTGATGTATGGGTTGGGGATTGGGTCCAGCGTGCCAACGATGGAGGACGTGATGACGATGCGTTTGATGCTGGGGTATTTGAGCGCTGTAGAGAGAAGGTTGGCCGGGCCGGTGATGCTCGGGGTCCAGATTTGGGTTGTGGCGTCGAAGCCGGGGACGGGGACTGGGGAGCCGGCGTAGATCACGTAGGTTATGTCCTTTAGGGCGGAATCGAAGGCATTGGGGGTCGTGGAGTCGGGTATTATGATGCTGGAGAGTCGGTCGCCCGGAGAGAGACTCTGGATGGCAGAATTGGCCAGAATGGAGTCTGCCTTTTCTTGGGAGCGGGTTGTGATTCGAACGTCGTAGGCGGAAGACTTGAGGATCTCAATGAGGATGCGGAAGCCAATTAGGCCGGTCGCGCCGGTTAGCAAAATAATGGGAGCCATGGTGCTTTGGGGAGTTGTGAAGGATCTCTCTAATTGATGTTAGTTGGGCTTGTTGGGTGAGAAGGAGCTGAGACGTACATGCTACTTTCGAATGATTGGTACGTGATTGTGAGCTGAAGATGAGCTTTGAGAAGGGCTTTTCGGGGGTTTATATAGCAATACCATTGATATTTTTGCGTGGAGGGCAGGCATGTTTGGTGCTAGGTGTCAGTCATGATTCTCTGCTGGATATGTTACTACTTGTTCAGCGGATTGACACCATCCACTGTACTATCGTCCAGTGTAGCCATGCCGACTGCTCTTAAACGGCCTGGCCAATCATGTGTCAGGGACCTTGGCTTATCGGCTAGCGAGTGGGGGCCCAAGGCATCACAACAGGGGCGCCATGTAACAAGGAATTAATTGTCCGAAAGAAGCCTGTGGGAGCCATTGTAACGAATGGCGATCGATATAGGTAGGGGAGGGTATATTTGGTAGCCTTATGCCTGTAATCATAGTACCCTGTAGATAGTACAAATGTGCGCTGCTGCAGGCATCATTACGCGATGAATTCCTTTGCTTTTGGTCTGACCGGCCTCTAGTTACCCAATCACCCTTCATTCATAATTCAGTGTTCCTGACGCCGTACGGTATACACTCATGTTGAAACAATAGTTGCAAGATGGCGATGCATCTCCTGAAGCGGTGAGGGAGAATCCATGGCTTCGACAGCGGCCAATTTCCCCCAAACACGGGCGAGCCGAGCTACCACCGGTCCGTTGGAATTTAGCGCCCCCACCATGTGGAAAGCCGATGACCCCTCGCCCATCCTCCGTTCATCAAGGTGGCATGCTCCTGCTCCCAGCTCAACACTTTGTGCCCGGTCTGTCCGGATTCAAATCAAGGTGGAGCTTAAAGGTTAGTTCCGAACCTGACGAAGGTGACGGCATGACCACTACACGCCACCAATCAGCTGGTGGCTATCGGCTGCCCCGATGGCAATCACCGGCCCTGCATGGCGCCTCGGTTATTGAACACTGTCCAGCTCCCGGGACCTTTTAAGCTTCTCTTTCCTTAAATTGTATTCCTCCACCTGCTGTTGAACTAATTGACGGAGAACGTATTCAGAATGGATCCTCTTCAAGCGGACGCGATTCACAACGAACGTCATGTTAAAGTGATCTCTGTGGGCGCGGGCGCCTCCGGATTATGTCTTGCATACAAGTTGCAGCGATCGTTCCAAAACTGGGATCTTACGGTGTGTCTCTTCTTTATGTTTAGGATCTTTGGTCTAGTAAACTGACTGCGACGGAAGATTTACGAAAAGAACCCAGAGATCGCCGGTACGTGGTACGAAAACCGCTACCCGGGCTGCGCCTGCGATGTCCCTTCTCATAACTACGTCTATTCCTTCGAACCCAAGTCAGACTGGTCCTCCGTGTACGCAAGTTCAAGCGAAATCAGAGGATATTTCAATGATTTTGTCGACAAGTATGGGCTGCGCAAACACATTCTCACATCGCACATGGTCACCGAAGCCAGATGGTTTGAGGAATCCGGTCGTTGGGAAGTGACGGTTACGGATTTGACAACGGATCAGACAGTACACAACTGGTGCCATATTCTCGTCCATGCGACAGGATATCTCAATAAGCCTTCTTGGCCAGAGCTTCCTGGGTTGGCGGATTTCAAGGGCATCAAGCTGCACAGTGCGATGTACGATGAGAGTGTATCGCTGGAAGGAAAGAATGTTCTGTTGATTGGAGCGGGCTCGTCGGCTGTTCAGATTCTTCCTGCTATTCAACCGATCGTCAACAGAGTGAAGATATTTATTCGCTCGCCGACTTGGCTGTTGCCGGATATTAGTACGGAGGCGGGCAAGTTCTCCCAAGACCAGATTGAGAGGTTTGTTAATAACCCGGAGAGCGTGATGGAACTGCGCCAGGATAATGAGCGGACGATGAATAGTATTTTCAGTACGTATATCGAATTCTGGTCATTGAAGGACGGATTGCTGATTGATGACTCATAGCAATGTATCTTAAGGATACTGTCCTGCAGGAGCAGGCCAAGGGTCTTCTGACGTCGGTGATGAAGAACGCTTTCCAGGATCAGGAAATGGAGGATCGCCTGATTCCCAAGTTCGCAGTTGGTTGCAAGCGTGTGGTTCCCTCGGGGTTTAAGTACCTTAAGGTATGAGGTCTCTCGTGCAGTCCTTAGAAGGAATTAACACCGTGACAGACGCTCAAGAAAGAAAACGTCGATGTGGTGTATGGCGGAGTCACATCCGTAACACCCTCGGGGTGCATAAGCGATGATGGGCAGGAACATGAAGGCGACATCCTTATCTGCGCCACCGGTTTCGATACTTCTTACATCCCGCGCTATCCTATACTAGGGCCCAATGGCCGCAATCTGCAGACCGAATGGGCCGACTCAATTATGGGATACATGGGAGTCGGTATCTCTGAATTCCCCAACACGTTTACGATGCTTGGCCCCTACACACCCGTTTCGAATGGCCCGACAATGGTTGCAATCGAAGCGCAAGCGGACTACATCTGCTCCTTTATCGACCGCTACCAGACCGAACCCATCCATAGTATGGCCTTGAGGCAGGATGTTTGTGCTGAATTCAAGGAGCATGTTGGTTCGGCGATGCAAAAAGCCGTGTGGACGGACAACTGCCGCAACTCCCACAACAACCACACCATTGGCGGTCGCATTCCCACGACATGGCCCGGAAGCACTCTCCACTACCTCGAAGCCATTCGTGAGCCCCGTGCCGACGACTGGGAGATTCAATACACTGGGAACCGCTTCTCGTGGCTGGGAATTGGGGTTTCCCAGACGGAGTGGGATCCGACGGCGGATTTGGCATATTATATCCGGCAGTCGGACGACGGACAGTGGAACAGTCGGCGCAAGCGGAACCTGGCCATTGCTAAGACTGGGAGCATGGCCCCGCGTGCTCTCCATAGACAGCCCAAGCTTGCTGCTAAGGAAAAGGCATCTGATAAGACCGCGGCTGTGGCGACAGCGGAGCCAGTCCCCGAAGTGGAGGCGTGACCTGGGCAGGAGGTGCGCATCAGCACTGCCTCTTCTTGGTAAGTTGGCTTTTCATGATATGCAAAGATATGCTTTCTCGCATCTAGACACCATTTATATCTTTTGGGCACGGCAAGGAAACTTCTCGATGCACAGCAAAGGCGCAAATGAATCTGGATTTATACAATGAACGACTTTATGAATACGAAAAAAAATCATTGCTTCTAGGCCTCACCTTTTTTCCCCTTCTTGAATTCGTTCGCTCATTCGAGCGCAGTTTAATTCCTCTTTCTTTTATTCGCCATGGGGCCTGAAGCGCTAGTCTTGTGTATAATATGTAACAGCCATCGCTGGTCTCTCACATCTTTTCGTGGTCCTCCTTTGTACTCGCCTTTGCCACTCTTCTCATTATTGCCTTGATGACTTGAGGCTCAGCTGATCGCAACCAGCACCGAAAAGCGAGTTACCTGCGATGGTCACCCGGTAATCTTTTTCATGTTGGGATTTGGTAGCTCCTGGACTCCCGGCCATTCGAGATCATACATTTGACCCAAGGGGGTTGTATGCACTAATGCTTATGACGAGGACCTCGTTGTACGAAATGGAGGTGTTGTTTACGAAGCAGCCCCACAGTGCGTATACACTCATCATGCTCGCTTACCATTCCTGGCATATAGAACCAACACCTTTTGACCATCCTACTGCAATCGGTCCATGGGGCCTGAAGGTCTTTTCTCGTCACGTCCAGGCGTGCCAACATTCACCATGCAGCAGCCAATGCTTTGTCCTACCATATCCTCATCCAACAACGAAAATCTATCACGCAGTGGAGTCATGGACAACTGAGTGGTTCTTTGTCTCTCCCAGAGTAGATATTTCTGGGCTGCCCTCACCCAGCTTGGATCACCAGAGAAGCCAGTTACCCCATGCGGTAAGACCAGGGACGGGCCGGGGGCAGATCCGGTTTGACAGACTCCAACGTCTCCACTGCCACAGCGATCTGCAAGTGGCACCAACGGTCCAGAGCCACTGCTAAGTCTGTTACTGGCTGGGCTTGCTACCCACAAACGATGCCAAACCCAAAAGAACCCATGTCATGCAGTCTCTCGGACATTGCAAAAGCCGACATCCGCAGTCTTTGTTCGTTCTCATCCCCTGACAGCAAGTCCCACGTCGATCTGGTGTCCCTGAAGCCAATGAAATGTGCCAAGGTTGTTGACCTCCGCCTCTCGGGGCTCGAAATGCGCGAGGTTCCGCCACAGGTTGAGGCAATGGACGGATGATTCCTGATTACTGACCCCTGCCCCAATTACCTTTGAGCCATGTACTTAATCACGCCATCGACCCTGGGAATGTTTGCATCTGCGCACTCTCTCATTGCTCTACTTTCAATTAAGCTTCAGAGGAACATTAAGCAGCAGCTTTAATTCAACCTCGATCAACCTGTCAGATCGATGACCATGAACGGACACCCTTCTCCCCGCCGCCTCCTCCTGGTCAGTGTTCCACGCACTGCATCCAATCTGCTTTTGAAGATCCTCAACATTCCTGATCAACCCCATACCGTGACCACCGACCGAGGCGGGTACTTCTTCTATGACGCCTTCGTCAAAGCCGTTAAGGACGGTCGTCTCACTCAATGCCCTTCAGACTGGACCGACGATGCCAAAACTGACGTCCAGTCAGCTTTCCAAGAATGCTTCGACCATCTAGAGGAGTCCTGCAACCTTGCTGAGGGCGAAGGCAATACCATGTTTGCCAAAGAGCATGCCTTCTGGTTCTTCAACCCCATGGCTTCCACGCAAGCCATCTACGGGGATGACAAAGGCCCCTACGACTTTTCCTCCTTCCGTGTCCAAGTCCCCGATGCATACGGTTCTACACGGACATTCTCCCCCAACAATCAAACCGTGTTCCCGGATGAGTACCTACGCACTTGGACAATGCTGTTCATTATCCGCCACCCCGCCATCGTCTTTCCGTCCTTCTGCCGAGCCATGACCAAAGTCTCCAAGATCGGGGTCACGAACGATGCGATAGACCTAGGGACACTAGCTACGAATATGACCCTGCGGTGGACACGTATACTCTTTGACTGGTGCGTAGAACAAACCGGGTCTGCTCCACTCCTGTTGGATGCACATGATGTCATTCATAACCCGGGTGCCGTTGCAAAGTTCTGTCGCCTAGCCGGTCTTGACCCAAACAAGCTGAAGTTCGAGTGGGAGAAGACAGCACAAGCGGACTCCGGGAGTGATGACAGCGCAGCGCAGAACAGTGTTCCCCAACAGCGGGACAATTGGGATGCAGCAAAGTCGATCATGCTCTCTACGTTGCAGGGATCATCAGGTGTGATGAAGGATAAGCAGCCAGGAGTTATTGATATTGCGACGGAGTCAAAGAAATGGAGGGCGGAGTTTGGGGAGGAAATGGCGATGATAGTGGAGAAGGCGGTTAATGATGCGATGCCGGATTATGAGTACTTGAAGGCGAACCGTGTTACTGTGTAGAGCATGAACAGAATACCTGTGTTCGTACTAGGCAGATAGATGCAGGTGACTGCCAACGAGATATACCACCCCCTTTAATTAGCTTTTCACAGTGATCAGGTTCATATAAGGTCCATATTGCAGTGACGAACATTGGCTTGCTAGAAGAATACGTAAATCACCTCCCTTTCGCTAATCAATCTATATCTCTACAAACCGAGCTAGAAAAAAAGTGATGATCCTATACAAAGAACTGTGACAGAAATCACGTAGGCTCTTATCAACTATAGGCCAAATATTTCAACTCCAGGGTACGCAAATCTAAATGATCCCAAGCAAGAAACGAGACAATATCTTGAGTAAATGACTCCATTTCCCCAAAAGCCCATAACGTCCCATACCACCCCATCAATCACGCAAGCGGATCCACTGTCAATGTTATATTTTACCATATCCTAGACATACCATTCATGCTTGTACACATATCTACCCCTATCCCTTCCTCCACAACCAAGCCACAATGCCACCCTATCCTGTTTGCTTCCAACCCCTTCCGCAAAGGTAATTATATTCTGATGAACTCCAATAGAAATATATCTCAGCATAACCTCATGCAGACAAATCACCAAGCTTCACGCTAGTGCCTCTGCTTTGCAGAGTAGTATGCCACTCCATCCCCCTGATAAGTTCAGATCTTCATAGTCATCTGCGTTCTCGGATGCCTTCCTATCTTTAATCTTTTATAAACTTTGGGAGGGGAAAGTCTTATCTGAGAATTTCGTCACGTTCATGCCAATAGGCCAAAATAATATACCGCTGCGATCTAGAGAACGGACGGAAGGAAGACTGTATCCCACCATTTCCGAGGAGATTATGTATCTTGGATTGAGCCCTGATTCACTACTATACGTACTATAGACCTAATGATAAAGGAGAATGAAAACAGATAATTGATTCTATGTTGGCAGTAGGTCATGCTCGGTGGGAATAATAATAACCCCCAGAAAAGGAAATACACAGAGTCCACATTAAGGACACATTCAACCGCAAGTCCATCCAGGAAGTTCAGACTCGTCCTTGGCGACAATGCCCCAAGGGGGGTTGCAGCCGTCCTCGCTTTGGTTGTACAGGTAGTACCAGTCTAAGATTGAGTCAGCATATAGGTCAAGAGAGAGGAATGTCTCAAGATCTGATGGCTTGTTATGTCGTCTCACTTACCGTTGGCACAAACACAGTAGGCGGTGTCAATTCCACAGTCGGGGTTCTCGCTGTAAAAGTGGTAAGCAGCTTATCTTGCAGATATCTTCATGTCACGCACTAGGCATAGCATCCGCTGTCACCACGAGCTTCGAGGTTGGTGAAGCTGGCGTCCTCGGCAGGAGTGGCCAGGGCCGTGAGGGCGGAGGTGGCGAGGACGGAAATGAAGAGGGTGAACTTCATTTTGAAGCTCTTTGGTGTGGTCACAGAGCAGATTAATAAAGATGGTTGGAAAGTTGTTTGACGTTGGAGTTGAGAGAGAATCCTAGATGGGAGCTGGGCTCTCTTATATAGCTTCGATTCGAGGGAATGATGAACTGTCTCGAAAGGAATGATCCTAGTCGGTAAACCTGTTAGACCGCTAGAATAGATGATATGGTGGACAACACATGGCGTTGCGCTCATGGTGAGAATAATTAATGACCCGCTTGTAACAGTGCGATCAGATCCTTGGATGAGTGTCGGTGAGACGTCTTTGGATAGTGAGGACAAGATGAGGCTGGGGAGAGCGACGGCTCAAGGATAGTCAGAAGAAGCCTCCTTCTGGATGAGCTACCGTGAGGCTAGAGTAGTGAGGTTGTATAGGTGGTGGGCCCGTCCTACAACCGGCCGGTTAACAGCCTCAGGCGCTTATGGTGACCACAATGAGCCATTGTCGAGTTGTTGTGATACTCAAGAACGGTCTAATCAGGAGCAATTTTATTTCATTCATCATCAAAGTGTAATTTCAGGAAGATGAGCTATGAAAAGCAGGGCACACACGGTGACGCAAAGGTGAACCCAAGATGTTCCTCTCTGAGCGCTTAGTTCAGAGGACTTATTGGTGGAGGCTCTGGATCGCACCAAATCCATCTGGTCCTATCTCCATCGCAAGGTGGACGGCAGGATACATCTAGGTAAGTGCCAGGAATGACCGTCAATTCTATGGCCTCCCAGGCTCCCAGGGCTCTCTTATGATTGATCGATGAGACAAGACACGTGGGAGTCAGCATGAGAGACTGCGATTGTCGGCAAGTAGGAGATCGGAAAAAGGAAATTCCAGCCTGAATTATCCGAGACATCCGGAGGGGCAGTCAATAATATCGACAAGCTTCACGGAGCTTACCCTCGGAATTCCGGCGGGGTGGTCGATACTGCACCATAAGCACTAGCAGGGATTTCAGGGGATTTCAGGGAACACCGTCAGGGACCGGCCCGGTGGAGTCCCCTCCTCTCTCCACTGATTTCTTGGGGGCCAAACCCCTCGGATATTAAAACAATCGCCCATTGGTCGCTACCGAAGTGATCCGTGACGAGGGTCGTCAATAGTCACAGATACTAGGTATCTACTAGCAATCTGTGACTCGCACCTCATTCCCCTCCCCTCCCCATCCTTTTCCTAATCCCTTCTCTCCTGCTGATACCTTACTTCAAGCGGGCTTAATTTCCGGGCCCATCCCCGATCGCGCTCCTAGTTCTTACATGATTACTCATTAACACTCTCTAGGATCGAAGGTTATGGCCTTGCCACCCCCTGAGTCCTCCCATAGCAGAGGACCGGAACAGAATCGCCTGCTCCAACTGCCGACCGAGCTCTTGGATGAGAGTTTTGCCATTGTTTGATTTCGCCTGTGTCTGGAGTCTAATCAACGTATCTTCGCGTCGGCTATCAATAGTCATGCCTTGGATATAGTGGAGACAGTAATGAACTCGACAGTTCCAGTACAAACACTAATGCTGATGCGAGGCGTTCTTGCGATACGCACTCGTTCGTCCGCTTGCCCGGCCTATGGCGATGCCAGAGGGCTTCTTCATGGAGAACCTTCTGCAGTAGATAGAATCGTCGCAACACCAGCGCAGCTACGCAGATTTGTCAGACTTTCCCATCACAACTACGTCCTGTCCCATCTGTGCATCGACAGATGTCTCCAGCGATGCCTGGATACTCCCCTTGGATGACAAGACTATCCGGAAGGCTTCCGGTTGCCAACATGGACTGAAGAGCACTGAACCCTTCTGTCGTTCTGGCGTGCTATGCTTTTCAATAACCTTAGAACAGAAGGACGCCAAGGATCATTGGCATGGCCGGCTGAGGACTTGGAGAAGTTAGAAATGTACCATGCGGCCCACATTAACTATCCGTACATTGCAATACTGCAGGTGTGACCATACTAAATTTCAATGATCAACTAGACAACCCGGCACACACTGAGAAATCCCCGCTTCACATCTCCTCGCAATCATTGCAGGTACCCAAGCTTCCCCGGAACAGAGAATTTGGCCGGGTATGTCAGCCACCACCATCCCCAGAGGCCATAATGCAAGGCCAGGAACAGAATAGCCGATTTAGCGCTGGATCCGATCTGAAAGACAGCTGTGAGGACGCTGTGGTGGAGTCGGAGGGGGAAAGTGAAAGCCCCGATGAAGCAGACGAATCGTGCAGTTCCGAGTCAGAAGACGGGTTCACCCCTGACGGCTACTCTCTTCGTACCTGGGTCCATCCGTACGTCCCATACACCATCCGTGGCTTTGGCCGAGATCCACCTGGCCAGAAGTGGCGAGATCTGTTTGGGGAGACAGTCGGTTATCAGTTATTGTCCCACATGTCTGCCAACCCCCAGGTAGGTGCGTAAAGTATGTGCATTACTTGGCATATGCTAGACACGGCTTTGCGACATGGGAAGAGCAGAGGATGATTGACTTTGCATAATGGTCTGGCGATGCTCTCGTCGATTCGTCATCATATTACAGGAAATGGTACGCGATTTTGAGCAAGGAGGATATCGCTCATTACAGAGTGAATTTTGCTTTTCGAGGCGATAATGACTTATATATAGTATATATAAGTACTGGATTTGACAAATTACTTTCACCCGGACTGCCAGGGCCTCCAATGGTCCATTCAGTACTCTTTACCGTCTATGAGGAAAGGCCAACAATTATCGGCCCCAGTAAATCTGCATAGTTGTCGTCGGTACTCCGGATCCGTGCCCAACATTTCAAATACTGGATATATTCAGGAGATTGCTGAGCTTTGACTGTACCCTTCTCAGGCGTCTGTCTTATATGTAGCCCACCCGTTGTAGAACTCAACTGGGTATGATCCCGACTTCACATTGAGCGTATAGTCATAGGCGAGGCTATAAACAATATCAGCCATGGTCAAGATCAATCAACGGGGCAAGGTAAGGGAGTCCGTACGACATGTATGCGTAGGTCTGGGGGTTCTTCAAGGCGTCCGCAGTGGTAAATGACCGGGACGACGACTTGCCCGTCATTCTGCGGAACGAGTACTCTTCATTTCCGGAAGGCGTGGTGCGGCTCTGTCCCCAGTACAAGTGGAATAGCTCGTGGTAGAGAACACTTCCAGGGCCTATTATTGCCTTGATTCTTTGGACAGTTACGTCGTCGGGAGGCTTGCTGGAGTAAAAGCTAGTGTCGACGACGGGTTCAGCGGCCACCGAGTGCAGTCGACCTCCGCTGAATGTCTTTGGGCACAGCACAACTATCCCGACCGGGGGCTCGGTGATCGTGAACGCAATGGCATCCGTGGTGCCCTGGCACGGCCCAATGGTGGGATCCCCGTCGCCATACTTGAGGTCCCAGGTGTAGGATACTGTGGCATCACTCCAATACTACAGTTCCGTTCTCATCAGCATCGATTGGAAGCGGCGCAGGGTGAACAATTGTACTTACCGGATAGATCAGGGAGGGGTCCACGCCCTCTTTCTTAGCCACTGACGCTTGTCGTTCCACCATTGCCGGAATGTCGGAAATCTTGATCGCCTTGCCATCCTCCTCCATCAGCGTACCCGTGGAATCTCGCATTTGGCTCGACATGTCCTGACGCACTCTCCACAAATCACCGCATAACAGAAAGGGTCTGTTAGTCAGTTGGCCGTTGTCGGTGTTTCCGCCATTTTCGAGATAACCTTTGACACCATTGATTCGTTCTGCCGTCGTGAGTTACTTTGTCATACGCACTCTGTGCTCTCAGATGGAACTTCCACTTACTCTTCACAGTCTTGGTGTCACTGGAGGAGGGATTAAGAAACATCGCAGCCATCAATCGGTCTGCCTCAGCATAAGTGGCGGCTGACGTGTCCTGGGAGTCCTTCACGGCTTGAAGACCTTCCTTGGCCAAGGTGTAAGCATCGTCGGCCATCGCATTAAGGGCATCCAGGCCATATTCGCTGCAGCCGCCGGGGGCTTCGGACACAACACTATAACGGAACAACTTCTTGAGGGATGCCCGAGAGGACTTGGCTTGGCCAGCCACGGGTCCAATGAAGCTGGCCACGGCGAGCAGCAGCGCCGGATACCATCCCCTGCGTATCAACACCATCTTTACTTCTGTAGGGCGGTATGTGGGCTGACGGTGGTTGTGGGAGTAGGTCCAGGGGAAACCGGCGCCTTTTTACTAGCACATAAGCATGAGCCTTCCGGATCATGTCCGTAGTCGCGCTTGGTCCAGTCCATGTTTGTCTAGTCTCATCATGCCTTTTGGTGACCCCTTTTCGGACCACCCGACTCATGAGGAACGGGGCGCTATTGATGGATGGACCAGTCTGCCAGGTATCGTATAGATAGGCAATATCAATCTCTGGTTTCTCAACATATAGTTCATTACGATGCGCTATTACCTCACGCAGGATCCATATCACCGGTCAATGGCGCAGGACCAGATGGCGGATACGTTGGTCTCCGTATGGTGCTAGTGTAGACTGTAGAGGTCTATACGAAGTAGTATTCTCCGAAATGAGACCCGCTAAGCAATGCAACGTTTCGCAAGTCTCGGCCCTTGACCGAGCTCCGCTACTGCTTATCGTAGTGGAATCCTGCCAGGCACCGGGTGTCAGGCTATCAAACTATCCAGCTGTCAGACTGTCAGCCCCCTGACTACATCTCCACTACGGCTGTCGGCAACACAACCTTGATTGAGGCCGTCCTCGATCTCTCAATCGTGGGTACTCAGGAGCGATATTTGTGACATTTAACTACGCTTTCCCCATCCATGGAAGAGGACACTCATTGCCAGTGCAACAACGATCCTTTGGAAAGATGGCGTTATTGCGGCATCTCGGGCTAGTGTGGCTGGCTGCCCAGGGGATCACCCAGGCGGCTGCCCACGGCGGACATGGACATGGCCATGACCGCTTTCACCATCCCCGCGGGGAGTCCAGCACCATCCCTACTAGTAGTAGCAGTACCCCGACTGCCATCCGCAATACCAATACCAGTCCCGATCCCGGTACCGATACCCGCCCGGCCCTTCCCCTCGGGTCGCCTCACGTGAGTCTTCCCCCTCCCAATTGTATTGTCTTCTCTTACTGACTCGACTTCTTCTTCTTTCCCACCAGCCACCTCCTCCTTACATGCAAGATAATGTCAACAACTACTTTGGCACCGCTCCTGATCACGGTTCTCTCACCGGTCCTGTCCTGGGGCAAACAAATGTCACCAGGCACGGTACCCTCCGGCTGACTGAAGCTACCGCGGACGACTACTGGTTATCGAGTCTGGGAAGTGCTGGACAGGTGAGCCTCTCCGGGTCCCCGTCCCCGTCCCGTCCGTTCTCCCCTCCCCAAACTGACCAACCTGCCCACCCAGATGCCCTTTGCAGACTCCGGATACCAATTCTTCCGCAATGTCAAGGACTTCGGCGCGGTCGGCGATGGCGTTACTGATGATACGGCAGCTATCAACCGCGCCGTGGCCGCCTTCAGCTCCACCGACCTGACCACCTTGCGGTGCGGGAAGGATTGCGGTTCCACATCTACCCAGGGGGCTGTAGTATACTTCCCTGCCGGGACCTACCTCATCAGTACTCCCATTGTTCAGTATTATTATACCCAGTTCGTGGGTAACCCCAATACCAAGCCCACTATCAAGGGTTCCGAAAACTTCACGGGTATCGCCTTGATGGATTCCGACTTCTACATTCCCGGGGGGTCAGGTTCGGAATGGTACATCAACCAGAGCAATTTTTATCGTCAGATTCGTAACTTTGTGTTCGATATGACCGGTATGAATTGGACCAATACCGATAATGGACAAACGTACGTGCCCGCAGGTGTCCATTGGCAGGTCGGGCAGGCAACCTCGATCACCAACTGCGATTTCAAAATGGCCGTCTCCACAGCGGATCAATCGGCAACAGCAGTGGGTATCTACATGGAAAATGGTAGTGGCGGAATGGTATCGGACCTGACATTCACGGGCGGGTGAGTTTAACGCCAATCCTCTTCCTGGGAGCATCCCTTCCGTATCAATTTGACTAACATGTGGGGTATCTTAGGAACATCGGCTTCCTCGCGGGTAGCCAACAGTTCACTGCAATTAATCTACAATTCACCTCTTGCTTGACCGCCATCAAATCGGTGTGGAACTGGGGCTTCACATGGAAGAACATCTATGTCTTGTCTTGCTACATTGCCATTGATGCGACTGAGTATTCCGGGGTTGGAGACCAGGGTACAGGTTCAATTGCGGTAGTAGATTCACACTTCAACGGAGTGCCATACGCAATCACGATTGCTGAAAAGGATGATCAACGCCCGAGTATCGTTCTCGATAATCTGCTTGTCGAGGACTCTGCAGCTGTGGTTCTCGTCTCCGGTGGTGACACAATCCTGGCTGGATCGACAGCTGCCCAGTACTTCAACTCCTGGGTTAGTGGTTACCAATATCTTCCTGATGGGTCCGGTAGCAAGATGACCAGTTTTGTGAATCCTGCACCGGATAAGCCGTCGTCTCTACTTGACAGCTCCGGTGCCTACTTCCGCAAAGCCAAGCCTCAGTACGAAGGAGAGACTCCAGTGGTTGCAACGGACAACGGTATCTCTAACGATGGTACGGGTGATCAGTCATCTGCCATTAATTCTCTGCTTGAAAGTCATGTGGGCTCTGTTATATACTTCCCCGGTGGTGTCTATCTCGTGGAAAGCACAGTCAAAATCCCGGTAGGGAGCAAGATCATTGGCTCTGGCTGGAGTCAGATTATGGGAACTGGATCAGCATTCGAGGACGTTGACAACCCCACTGTGGTAGTCCAAGTCGGTGATTCAGGAGATGAAGGAGTCATCGAGATTACGGATATGCTTTTCACCGTCAAAGGCGCCACTGCTGGGGCGGTCCTGATGGAATGGAACGTACATGAAAGCACACAGGGAAGTGGTGAGTATCTTTTCCCAGGATATCTGCGTCATGTCCTCCAAGTACCCTAGATTCTGTTGTCTGACATCATTCTCTCACAGCTGCTATGTGGGACAGCCACTTTCGGGTTGGCGGTGCTACCGGGAGCAACCTTGGACTGTCTGAATGCCCAACAGGTGGTTCAGTTAATACTGACTGTATGGCTGCATCACTGCTGATGCACGTTACCAGCTCAGCTTCTGGTTACTTTGAGAACGTATGGGCCTGGGTGGCTGATCATGACCTTGATAGCCCCTTGAATGCGGCTGCCTCGGAAAGTGATGCTGGTATTCCCTTGAATGTGGAAACTGATATTTCGGTTTACGCCGGCCGTGGTATCCTGATCGAGTCACAAGGTCCCACCTGGCTCTATGGATCCGCCAGTGAGCATTCCCAGATGTATCAATATCAATTGGTGGGTGCGTCAAACATCTACCTGGGACACATGCAAACTGAGACCCCGTATTACCAACCTAACCCCAACGCCTTGAGTCCCTACACGGCGGGGACCTTCCCATCGGACCCGACTTATTTGGAATGCACAGACGACCTTTGTAAAGGCGCGTGGGCTCTTCGTGTTCTGAACTCCACAGATGTTTTTATATATTCGGCTGGGTTCTATTCCTTCTTTCAGGATTATGACGAGAGCTGCATTGATGAAGAAAGTTGCCAGCTTGCCTTGATCGAAACCAACTTCGCAGATGGCCTGTGGATGTATAACATCTTTACAAAGGGTAATGTCCAAATTGTCAGTCCTCAGGGTGGCCTACCAGCCTTGCTATTCAACTCCACCACAAAGAACGGCTTTACAAGTGAGATTGCGGCATGGCTCGCCCTATCAACAGGAGGCACAGATGTTGGATCTAGCGGCAATGACTCCGGCATCGTCTACGTTGATCCTATCATCTGGGGCGAGCCTACTGATAGCACCAATGTATCCTGCTATCCTCCTTGCACATATATCCTGCCACCAATGGTGCTGCCCACCAACACCACATTCAATTATCCTCCTATAGTCACAGGGATCGGTGTGGGATATATGAACCCCACATCCTATGTTTATCTGGGCAACACAACCACAACATCGTCATACATCATGAGCTCCACTACTACCACCCTCAATATTCCTCCAGTCATTGGGCCAACCATTTCATGGTGGCCCGTCCCTATTGGCGCGAATGTCACCACGACAACAGTGATCACACCGACCCCAAGTATCATTCAGTCGGCTTTCAATATCAGTTGGCCACCATACAGCCACAACGGAACAACATTACCAGGAACCGTGGTCCCATTTTACCCACCTCCATGGCCCGGCTTTGAACCGTCTTCCACTTCAGGAGGCGCGACTTGGGTTACCGGGGAACCTACCACTGGGAACCAGGCGACTTCAACGGAAACTGGCGGAGGAGGTACCAAGACCACCGATGGAGGAGGAACCAAGACGACTGGCGGTGGCACTGATGATGACCACCACCATCATCATCATGTCACGCACCACAAGGGCCCTTCTTCCCCGAAGTGCACAGACAAAGCACTCTGTGGGGGAGACTGCCACCAGGGAATTGGGGGTCTTCTTAATGACGTGTTCCATGTTTGTACACGGTGCTGGACCGGATGCGGAGGGTCAAATTGTACGTTCTCCTCTTTGTCGTGAGATGCTGCCTGCTAACGAAACAAAGCTCCCAATAAGGATCCCAACAACCCTAATAATCCTAACAAGCCAGGACGATCTTCCTCCAAGTCCTCTTCCTCAGAGTGTGAGACGGCCACTTACAGTTCTTGCAGCACCGCTTGCATTACGGGGAGCTCCACTAGTTCTTGTTCATCTACTTGCAAAGGTATTTGATTTTCCTGACGTTATTCTTTGAATCAACTGACCAGGTCAGACATTGTTGGCTGTGATACCACCGGAACCTCAACCTATGGCACATATACCCTCCCGCCTATTTTAACCGGCGTTCCCGAGCTGTGGACCGATTATCCAGATGATGCTTCGACTGACCTGGACGCTGACTGGGAGGATGGTGCTACATTGTGGAGTCTGTACCACAATTTACCTACTGCCACTTCTACCTCTGGGTCTAGCTCTAGCACTGGTACTGGCTCTGGCTCTGGCTCCAGTTCGGGTTCTGGTTCTGGCTCCACTTCTGGTTCTGGTTCTGGTTCTGGTTCTGGTTCTGGTTCTGGTTCTGGTTCTGGTTCTGGTTCTGGTTCTGGTTCTGGTTCTGGTTCTGGTTCTGGTTCTGGTTCTGGTTCTAGCACAGCGTCTAGTTCCGGCTCCAGCTCGGGTTCTGGTTCTGGTTCTGGCTCCGGCTCTGGGTCTGGGTCTGGGTCTGGGTCAGGTACAAACACTGAAACCCCAACCACAACAAAACCGGCTACTGTCAGTACAGTCACCGCCGTGGTGATTGAAACCAAAACTGCGACTACTACGTACGACACCACATTGGGCTGGGTGGACATCTTCGCCCAGTGGAGACTAGAAGAACACAACATCGCTATTAGTGACTACGACATTGGATTCTACACACCCTCTGCCACGATCGAGGTTTGCGAAGCGAAATTCAGTTATGTTTATGGTGCTCCCTCTCCTAGACCAAAGAAGTGGTCCGACATCCCACAAAGCGTGACGTTTTTCTCCAAGCTTACAGTCCTGGGTTCCAAGTACAGTGACTGTATATACACTAACGCAGCTGCTCCGAGCACTGGCGATGGCGGTACGGTCTCGTGCTCTGGCTTCGAGGCGGCCTGCGCTGTGTCCACGGGGTCCGTCCTTGGTTGCAATGCCGATGCCCTTATCGGTTGGGACACCAGTGTCAAGCCGCTTATTAATTGTCCAGTAACCTCGCAGACCAGCTCAGAGTATACCTATACGACATCGGTCACGGTGCGGTCGACAATGTCATGATTGCTTCTGGTCATTTGATCGGATCGTGTCTTCCTGTTTCTTGCTACGCGTGTACACTAGTCGTCGGGATTATTTTAATACCAATTGCGTTATTTGTAATTTCCTCGGGATCTATTATATGGTAACTGGTTCTTAAGAGATAGTTCGTACAGACTCCGTCCGTGGTTGCTTGGCGACGGATGTGAAAATATATATCTTGGACTGTGGAGTGGGGCCGTGATCTGTCCAAGGCCCAAACTGAATATTTAAAACATTCGATATCATAGTAGTATCAGGTTTGTTGTCAAAGTCGCTTCATCACCGAAGGTGTAAGGGTTCAACGATGTGTGTAGGAGGTATTCTATGCACCAATAATCTAGCACATGTCTGTCTATAGAATAAAGGAACTGGAGCTCGCCAGCCAGCTATTAAGATGATCTTGATAGCAATGGTCTTCATTCTGTCCCTTGGTCCCGACCATCGAATAACCAGGCGAGAACCGAGGACATGAGTCATTGTTGACCGACTCGTCGCCATTTTCCAGGTCAACGGGAGTTAAGGTAGAGTGCTTTTCCAGCGATAGACACAGCCCTCCTGGGCTGAACCGGACGGGGCCAACGCCCAGGCTTGGCCGACGCGCGATCGTCTTGATCTTCCACTGGTGGTCCCATCCTTTATTTTCTTTTCATCTACATCATTCTCTTGTTCTTAGAGTATCTCCCTGCCAGTTCCATTGGCCTCTCTACATTGCTCTCCCCATGGCACAGTCTGCAGCGGACCTCGCCGTGGAAACCCCCACCGACCATGTTGACCGCGCGACCGGGGCCCGCCCAAACCCTACCGATGACGTCAGTGACAAGCGAGTGCGGGCGGCGCAAACCATCCAGGTCCGTTTCTTTCTCCTCTCCGTGCCCTCGGCATCCTTTGATCGGTTTCTAGCGAACATACCGCGGCTACCGCACAAGACGAGAAATCCACGGCTTGGATATCTCTGCGTCGACCTCGCGATGGATAGATGTATGTCCCCTCTTACGGAATGGATTGATCCCTTGTCACCGCTGACCACGCCGTCTCATCCAGGCCGTGAAAGAAGTCGAATGGCGACAGTTACACCGCCCCTCCGCCCCCTCCGACGACCTCGATAGTACCGCCAACGCGCGCCGCAACTGGCTCCGCGCCGTGAGTGTAGCCAAGCGCGTCGGAGGCGACGATGACGACGACCTCGACACCAAGACAGATCACACCCACACCGACAATGTCTCGGGCGGGGAGTCCGCACCGACCGTTCTCCACCACGATCTGCCGCCCGGAACCACAGCAAAGATGATGGACTTGCAGTATTTTCTGGAAATGGTTGATTTGAAGCACCGGCATGGGAGTAATCTGCGAGTTTACCATATCTATTGGAAAAATCGTCCTACGAATCAGAGTTTCTTCTACTGGCTTGATTATGGCGACGGGAAGGAGCTCGATCTCCCGCAGTGTCCGAGGGAGAAGCTGGAACGGCAGCAGGTGAGGTATTTGTCTCGAGAGGAGAGGATGAATTATCTGGTGAGGGTGGATGAGGCGGGGAAGTTCCGTTGGGAGAAGAATGGGGAGTTGATTTGGACGGATAATGCGCGGTTTAAAGATAGCTTGCGCGGTGTGGTCCCGGTTGAGGAGGATGCGCCGAAGTTTACGGGGAATACGGAGGCGGGAAGCCCGGATGCGTGGGGATTGAGTTGTGAGTCGCTTGATTCCTTGGAGTCGTCATCGTCGTCTGGGTATAGTTCGATGAGTGATCATGAGGATACGCTGGGACGGCGCGAGAAGGATGAATATAAGGCGGCGAAGGTGGGTCAGAAGCTGGCGCATGTTACTCCGGGGACGATACTCAAGACTCTGAAGGGGAAGTCGTCGAAGAAGGAGGATATGTGGATCTTTGTGAGTTTCATTTCCGGGTCTATCTTTTTGTATGTGAAGGGCTGACAGTGTAGGTTGCTGATACAACCTTCCGGCTGTTCGTTGGCATCAAAGAGTCCGGCGCATTCCAGCACTCTTCGTTCCTCCGTGGCGCCCGCATCGCAGCGGCTGGATTGATCAAGATCAGGAATGGGCAACTACGTGGTCTGGCGCCACTGAGGTACGTGTTTCGAGATTATATGCGTGTTTTGTATTCTGACGTCCACAGTGGCCACTATCGCCCTCCCGCTGCCAATTTCCGCGCCTTCATCCATTCTCTGCAAGACCAAGGAGTCGACATGTCTCACGTCTCCATCAGTAAATCATATGCTGTTTTGGTAGGCATAGAGGGATACACTCGAGCGAAACGCAAAGTGCGTGCATTGCAAGAGAAGGTCGACGGTGCGAAGCATAGGTTTCGAAGCCGACAGGAGGAAGGAGATACGCATCAACGGGGGGAGGACACCATCAACAAGAAGAAATCCAACGATTCGACCGGTACGGACGACAAAGAAGGGCGTGTCGATGATGGAAAAAAGGGCTTGACTATTTCATTTCGACAAAAGTCGATACAACAATCTGACTAAACGCCAAAGGGAGAATGCTACTTCTTGTGCTGGAACGGGCCCCTTTCATCACCAACAACGAAGCTCATCGCAAGCATCAATCATTGATTATTCAACCCCTGCATCAAAGCCCCCTTCTATAATCCCATAAGATCATCTCCGCACCCATCCCTCTGTTCCAACAGCCAATCCTTCAGATCGAAGCTCCTGTCCCTCAGCAACCTCGGATCCGCATTCCAAACAAACGTCACCCCAGGCACCTTTGACCCGTCCCTAAATTCTATCACGCATCCTTTCTTCCGATACATATCGGACTCATACTCGACCAGCCGATCCTCTTCTTCCTGCGAGCTGATCTCATACGCGACTCCGTGAATTGGTGTATCGGGATGCCCGTCTAAGAGCGCCGGAAACTCGCCCCACAGCTTCATTCCGTGTTCCATGATCGTCGCCGGACGAAGGGCCGGACGATCACGAAGTTTGAGGACTTTTGCGAGGGTGGTGGGATCACTGAGCATACCGTAGAAGAAGAAAAACCTGGGCTGGAACAAATCAGGACGGTGGTGTGTGTCAGTAACATATCCATTCCCCGTGGTCGTCGGTGTTGATGTTGGCAGGGGCAGAGTGGAGGTCTGCACGTTTTTAGCCAGCGAGGCCATGATTTTGTTCTTTTAAGCCTGTACGCTAGACTGCGTGATTTATCAATATTAGAGTCCACAATGATGCTTTTTTAAACTCAGTGAGAAGATGAAAGCAAGGTAAGGTCAAATAAAGTAGTCGTCATGATGTCAACATCCAACCCCGCTTCCCATGTGACACGAGACAAAAGGTAAAAATCAAAACAACCTCTGCAAGACTTGGCTCATCCCGGCTGCCCTGAGTTCAACCCTCCGGGTAGATACATCCTAGCCAATTATGTACCTTGATCCTTGTTGCTTTCCCACGTTTCCTTGGGTATGGGAGGGGTTGAGGCTTTTGAAACGGCGGGATGGAGAGGTAGTTGTGTCTGGTGGAAGTTCGAAGAGGGTGTGAGCCTGAATCAGAATTCACCATCGGTGCTTAGCGACAATAGATCTCAACCGAAGGAGCTAGAGTTTACCAGTAGGACAGGGCGATTACTTCTCGGGGGATTATAGTGGTTCTTTCTGTACCATACGCGGGGTGTTGTGAATGTTATCATGACTTCCGATTTCAGTGTCTGGATCTACTTGCATCATGCATCCTAAACCACTCCCTAGGCTTGTCCGCAAAGGGAGACCAGTTATGGCCTCTCAACTTTGGTTCCGGTGGAATGTCCCATGACAGGGATGAAAACGAAGATGAGAGGTTTGCTCATGACCGCTTGATTGAAGGTTGAGTCAATAACATCAAAACCAGGGGGTTCATGACTTGCTGTTCCACTGAGTGTGCCCTTGCTATGAGTATGCTGGTGGGCCCTGTGTGCGAGCTTTCGTTCCCTCAAAATCGAGATGCTCGAGCATTAGCTCTAGGCCATACAGGATTCATCCCTCGTTTCGCTTCACTCGCCAAGAAAGCGTTGAATGCCTGACTAAAAGCTTGGAATAGGTTTGGGATATGACGGCAAAAGAAATTTCCGCTCATACATGATAGACTTCGTTCAAGGATATTGCTTAGGTGGGCTATTTCACATGCATCCTTCAAAGAGTGGACCTCATGCTGATTTCTCACATCAACGTCTCGGCAAAGGAACTTCCGGAGTCGTGTCCACCACCGTTACACATTATTGGATTAGCACCAGCCATCTCTTGAAGCAAGCATTTGCAGTTACGCAATCAATTCCATATTTTCTCAGCCTTGCCGTAGGGCTGGACGTCACTGGCTCCGTCTCAACACTTCCTTTCGTGCGACCGTCGACGAGTGAATCATCATGCTCCAACAAGGTACCTCCTCGCAGTCCCATCAGCAACATGGTGGGTAAACCACCAGAGTGGAAAATAGCCCCGAGAACTTGATAGCGAGACCTTGTCACTCCGATGTTGGCAGCAGGCAGCAGATGGTCTGGAAAGCGACTAGTCCGGATGGGGCGACCGGCACTTTGGACCCCCGCTGGACTTTCACTTCTCCTCTCCATCCGCAACCCCTCTCCATCCTTTCAATCTCCCAACTGCCAAGCTATTCGGCCCGTGAGGCATGTCTTTCGTTGGTCGGGAGTAAGGGAGGATCGGGCGGATCCACCGGCCCTTCCCAAAATATCGTGACAGGTCACAGGACACGGCTGGACACAAGTGACAACAGAGTATCGAGCACCCGGGCGCTATTGGAAGAGCTTCTGTACCTGTGGGTACCTCGATTGCCACTTATGGAGATTACACAGCCTTGCGGAATCGGGGGACGCGAGCGGAGTTGGAAAGTCCGCAGACATTGTCCTGGGATTGTAGATTCTTGTCAGTGAGTTCCCTATCCCTTACTCTTGCTACCACGATGTGATGGCTATGTTTGCTGACGTTGATTGCTCGAAAACAAGCAAAGAAAAGTGCGGAATGGTCTGACTAGTCGGCTTGGGGAACAAGCGGAACCCAGGATCCTAGCACCGGCCACTTGAACCTGGAATCAGGGCCCCTATCCCTCGGGCAAATGGATCAGATAAGGCTCCTGTCTCACTTCATTCGCCAATGTTGATAGTTCACGGGGTGATTTGGCGCTTACTATCCACTAAGGCATGCGAGTTCCAGACTAGTGTGGGATGTAACCACGGACAAACCGCAATTTCCTCTGTTTGCCATTTCACCCATTGGTGCCTCAGAGGGACACGGCCTAGCCGACACCCTAGCCGAGTCCGGTGCGATATTCCCACTAAGACCTAGACAGGGGTTTCCAATCCTGTTCTACAAATTCTGATCATGCAACAATTGAAGGACATGCTAATACATCGACTGAGCTCTTGATTAACACACGGATGGGATGGTCGGGGACTTGCCAAGGAAGCTTTTCCGCGGGGACAGTGGCACACGAAAACCAAGGCCCACTCGGAACAGAGGCACCCATTCGCCCTGTAGGGCTGGCTTCTTGTCGGAAAACGGCCCACCAAGGCTTAGGCTAGCCCAGTCGATGTGGTAAGGACGGACGTGGACACGGAGCGCATCGGTGGTGCCGGCAAACCGCGCGAAATATCCCTCACCTGGCGAGTTCCCTGTTGACACGTTTTGGTGGTGATGCCTACTTAAAGGATTATCGGGCCCGCGATCTTATCTGATGCCACATATCTCATCTGATAATTTTTCACGCTTTGTCTTATTCAGCACGACCGTCTGGTGTGGAAATGGCCACCGACATCAAACATCCTGTCGACAAGGAGGATGTTTACGCGGTCGAAGACTCCGACCGAGGTGAGATTGAACTTGCTAGCAATTCTGCTCCCTACGGTCGCTGCTAACAAGCACAAGCCGAGGTAGATTCCCAAACCGATGTACTACGGGCGGCAGGCATCGGTATCCACGAAGATGATCCAACAGAGCCCATTTTGACTCTGCGGATGTGGATTCTCGGGATTGGATTTTGCATCGTGGCCAGTGGGCTGAACACCTTGTATACTCTCCGAAAGCCATCCATCACAATTTCATCCTCGGTGACACTGCTTCTGGCATACCCGCTCGGGAAGCTGTGGGAAAAGACGATCCCAAGCTGGGATGTTAATTTCGGCGTGTGGAAGTTCAATCTGAATCCGGGTCCATTCAACCAGAAGGTAATCACATTTATCCCTAGTTCCATAATACGCTCACTGTTAATCGGTATGCAATGCTTAGGAGCACGTGTTGATTTATATCATGTCCAATCTCAGCATCTACGTGCGTCTAGGTGCAGACGTCTTGACCGAACAACAAATGTTCTATGGATACAAGGCCGGATGGGGGTTTCAGATTTTGATTACCCTTGGAACATTCTTGGTCGGTTTTTGTTTGGCTGGGTTCTTCCGATCAGTGGTCGTGACGCCCAAGGAGCTTCTTTGGCCCGGCGTGTTGAGTACAACGTCGCTCACGACCACGCTGCACAATATAGGCCAAGGGGATCTGCAAGCAGTGTAAGTGGTATATCTTTATCCATAGTGTGAGACTAACGAGAGCAGTAAGGATACGTGGAAAATGTCTCGCTATGCATTCTTCAGTTTGGCCTTTTGCATCTCCTTTTGTTGGTACTGGTTTCCGGATTTCATCTTCCCGGCATTGAGCTACTTCACCTTTCCTTGCTGGATCAATCCGAAAAGCACTGTGGTCAACCAAATCTTTGGAATGGAGACGGGCATGGGATTATTGCCCATCACATTTGACTGTAAGCTCCCCGATACTTCGCCCTGTTTATGCTAATGCTTGCTAGGGAGTCAAATTTCCTATGTTGGATCACCGCTGTTGATTCCGTCTTGGGCAATCCTGAATGTCTTTTCTGGATTGGTCTTTTGGATCTGGATTGTGGCTGTTGCGTGCTATTATCGCAACGTATGGTATACGGGTTACCTGCCGTTCCAGAGCTCGTCGGGTATGCTAGTCGCGTCCCTTTTCCACGGGCTGGGTATGCTAATCATTTCATCAGTTTACGATAACACCGGCGCTGTTTATAAGGCCTCCAAGGTGGTCAGCAAGGCTACCGGTTACAAATTTGATCTTGCCAAGTACAAAGCCTATTCACCGGTAAGTTGTTCTCTTCTCTCTCCAAACACTACTGACGAAACATAGGTCTACATGCCCATTACTTACGCATTGAACATGTTTGGCCTATCATTCGCCACCCTGAGTTCCCTCCTCGTCTGGGTTCTTCTCGAAAATCGAACCGACATCACTGCAGGAGCCCGTCGGATCCCCCAGGCAATGCGGAAATATTTTTCCAAAGACAAGAGCAGAGAAGAAGAGTCCGAATACCGTGATGTCCCCGTCACATGGTACCTTGCGGCGGCTGTAGTGGCGTTGTTCCTCTGCGTCTTCTCTGTTGAGTACTGGCAAGCTGAACTGCGATGGTATGGAGTTCTGCTGGCCTGCGCTGTTGCTCTGGTCTTCTACGGCCCGGTAAGTTCCTCTCCCAAAACCAGAGAGAAATAAGTGAGCTAACCCTCCCCCCCAGCTCGCCATCGTATACGCGACCTCCAACCTGAAAATCAACATCGACATCTTCTGCCGGATCGTTGCCGGATTCGTATTCGAGGGAAAGGTCTTGGCCAACATCTGGTTCTTCGACATCGGCTACATCACCACCATCAAGGGCCTCTACTTCGCCGAGGACATGAAACTTTGCAACTACTGCAACGTACACCCCCCCCCCTTCCCTCCCCCTCCCCACCCCACCACCCCCACATCTAACAACCACAACCCTAGATCCCCCCCCGCAAAGTCTTCATCGTGCAATGCGTCGGCATGCTCTTCGGCACCCTCAGCTCCATCGGCGTCCTAAACTGGAGTCTCGACAACATCCGCAACGTCTGCACCACCTCCGCCGTCAACAACTTCACCTGTCCCTTCTCCCGAACCAAATTCAACACCAGCCTCATCTGGGGCGCCATCGGGCCCCGAAACTACTTCACCAATAACATCGGCTACAGCTCCCTCTTCTACTTCTTCATCATCGGCGCCGTCCTCCCTATCCCAGTCTACATTCTCAAGCGCCGCTACCCAACCTCCCTCTGGACTCGCGTCCACGTGCCCCTCTTCCTAGGCGGGCTGAATTACCTTCCCCCCGCAACGGGGACTAGTTACGGTAGCTGGGCGCTTGTGGGCTTATCGTTTGGGTATGTTCTGCGTAGACGGGTGCATCAGTGGTGGTATAAATATAACTTTGTGTTGAGTTCGGCGCTGGATTCGTCGGTTTCGATTGCTGGGGTGGTCATTTTCTTTGCGATTTATTTTAGTGGTGCGTCGAAGGGGTTTAGTTGGTGGGGGACCGAGGTTTATAAGGTGAGTTCTTTTGTTGTTTTGTTTTGGTTTGCTTGTGGGGGGTGGGGGTTGGGTGAGTGGGTGCTAATGGGTGTTGGGTAGGAAACGTGTGATTATAAGGGGTGTGCGTATTTGGAGGTGCCGGAGGGGGGGAAGTTTGGGATTTGAGGAATGAGGGATGTTGATTGCTTGGATGGGATGTTGTGTATATGTAGGGGGGTGAGGGGAGGGTGGTTGGTAATGTTGATGTGCGTGTAAAGAAGGGAATTGTCTGGTGCCAGGGTGGGGGTAGGTTTACTTGGTATTGGTAGGGTAATAGATGGTAGTGTGGATACTGTACATAGTTGTTTCTGGTCGTTAATAATGATTCTACATCTACACATATAACGGGGATGTATGTCCATCGGATGCATTTTATTTGTTTCAGTTTGTGCACTTGGTGATGAAAGAAGCACAGATTTATTCTCCAATTAATTAGGTATGAAAGGTAGACAGCCAAGTAAAGTGAATCAAACATATACTAGGTGTATCGAGTACTTTTGTCATGTACATACATACATACACATCCTCAGTCGTAGTTACACATATCCATCCATCATGTTCTTCCCATCATATCTTGCATATCGTCGCAGACGTCGAGATCAAATCATGCTGCAGGCTAAGAACTTAATGCAAGTTCGCACCAGCACGAGGCTTTAGAAGGGTGAGTTCATCGCCGACACCTCCGTCCTTGCCGCGAATCAACTCCCACTTCACGGCGGTTTCGTTGTAAATGGTCAGCTTGCTGAAGCCGTAGTGGACCTTGTCCAACAAAGCAGTGATGTTGGTGAGGCCCTGACCGTCGCTGAATTCGCTGTGGCTTTCGATGTTGCCGGCCATGCCGTTGATAATGTGGGTCACGGACTTGTGGTTGTGGGCGTAGTAGGTGTTGTTGTTGACGATGGCGGCAGTGTCGATCGTGCCGTTGCGGCCGAGGGGCCAAAGACGTTCGTACCAGTGGATGTGACTAATTCATCAGTGAGAGGAAAACAAATTGGAATGGTTTTGGTGGGGGCATACCCAGAAAAGTAGGCGTCGACGCCGTACTGGAGCAGCAGACCCTCGAATGCCTCGCGAACATGCAACTGGTAAGAAGAGTAGGCGGAACTGTACATGGGCCGGTGGCTCATCACAAAAACCCACGGGGTCTTGCTGCGGTCGACCTTGGCCAAGTCCTGCTTCAGCCAGTGCCACTGCTCGTAGGCCTTGGTATCATGGACGCTGCCGTTGACCTTGCCGAACGGACCACTGTCGGTCACATAGGTTTCGCTCTCCGTGGGCAGGGTTTCATTTCCCTTGACATCTTCCTGGAAGTTCCACTCGGGGCTGTTGGCAAAGTCGGTCTCACCGTCGATCGAGACGAAGTGGGCCAACCCGTAGTCGAACGAGTACCAGAAGTTACCGACACCTCCGGTCTCGGGACCAGGCATGCGGAAGCGGTGCTGGTACGCAGTGAAGTTTCTGAGACGATTAGCATTTTCCTGGCAGTGGAAGAAAGAGAAAATACCTCTGGGAAGGCGGGCAACTATAGTAGGTCAGGTTGTCGGTGGGGGCGGTCCCGTTTGAGACGTCGTTATTGAGATAGGCCGTCAGGACGTTGCCAGGACCGTCGAACTCGGCGCACGAGGCCTCGTGGTTACCGGGGAGGACCATGTACGGGAGCTTGAGGGTGACGTTGTTCAGCCAGTTTTGCCAGAGATCCCAGTTGGACTCGTACAGCACGCTCATGTCACCACCCTGCGGGCCACCCTGGTCCGGGATCTCGCCCGCGGGCAGAGGCTTCTTGTAGTCGTCTGGGAGAGGACCACCTCCCGGTAGAGAAGAGCTGGTACCGTTGTAGCACACGGGCCAATCATCTGCACAAGGGAGGATACCGGAGTACCAGTCATCGGCGTAACTGATGTCACCACCGTGCCACGCAAACGCCGTTCCCTCGTGGGCCGCCTTTTGCAGCTGCTTGTGGGTACCCTTGGCATTGGTATATCCCATGTCATTCAGCACCGCGACGCTAAAAGAGCCGGGATGGCCAGCGGGACGACTAGTCTTGAAGCTCAGGACATCCGACTGTGTGGTGCCGTTGGCAGCGGGAATCTGATAGTAGTAGGTGGTGTCGGGCTCCAAATCATTGAGGCCGACTTCGTGGAAGAACTGACTGCATTGGGTGACAGCCTTGATTTCTGAGCATGACGGCGTGCGGTCGTACCTAGATCAAATCAGTAACCGCATCTACGGTACACTTCCCGGGAAGACATACGTGTGGGAGTACCCCAGCGCAGTGTTGTTCAGGTTCTGGGGATTCTTGCCCCACTTGACGGCGGGCAACTTGCCTAGTCCGAAGGGGGTCTGGTAGTGAATGTGCATACCCGTGGGGAGGTACGAGTGAGAAATGACATTCACGTTGTTCCGGGGGTTGGCAGTGGCGGGCTTGACAGCCGGCGGCTCGACCAGGCGGGGGAATCCCTTTCCGTTGCCATTGATGGTGGGATCAACCCAGTCGCCGACCGGGACGGCAGGGCCGGTGTAGGGATACCGTTCATCGACCACCGGACGGGCCTGGACGGCCGTGGCGGAGAGAGCGACGAGCAAGACGGAGGCAGTTCCCTTCATGGTCGCGTGCTTCAGCTGACAATGTGATTTTGGCTGACCGATCGAGGCGGAGGTCTACTGAAGCGCAGCAGCCGGTTTATATCGTGCTGTCCCGGCATCGTTATCTGTGATGTGATAGCAAGCGACGCAAGGCAGGATCACACGTGTAGATAGGCCGGGAGGCAATTGGCTTCGGACACTCCGACGGTGCACGAAGCATCCATGCTAGCTGCAACCGGAGGTCAGCGATGGCAGTGGGTGTAGTGGATGTAGTGGATGCAGTGGAGAGCTCGGCTCCGAGAAGCGAGGAAAGACAGGGACGCCTGGCAAGGATCCCGCCGAGCATGTGCCCGCATCCTTGAGTCGGGATTGGCCAATTCTAGGCAGGCACCCGGATTCCCCAGGCACTCTGGATTGGTTGCCTTCATATTGAACCCACAACATCCCTGCACCTGGTGAGGGGTTCCGTCAATAGGAACCACCGCATTTCCAATGCCTTCCATCCACCATCAGCTCATCCTTCTAGAACAGTGGAAAGAGTAGTTGGCATGGGTGATTTTGCCACAAATCATGGCCTTTTACCAGAGAAGCCTGTAAGCCTGTGCCGGAATGTTCAGAGTATACGGAGTATACGAAGAACCATGGTCCATTGCCTTGTGCACGTGGTACAATATCAAGGTGTTGACATAAATCCCGAAAGCTACCAGATCTCAACCTCATAAGGCAGACGCTACCAGGATAATCTCATCTTGGCGCATAGCCTGCCAGGTACTGACCACGTGCCAAGCCACCGAACAAGGACTGAGGCCAGTACCTCTTTAACGGACCAAGCAAAAACCACTCAACCAAATATGTCCTCACTCTACGGATCCGACACCAGCAACCACAGCAATTCACCATCCCCTAGGATAAAGTTCCATCCCCGGCACTAGCCGATATCTCCTGGCCTCCTCCACCAGGCTCCTCCTCTCCACCACGCCCCGGAGCTCCTGGATCCACGGCTTGGGCACCGCAATCTCCAACCGCTTCCAGTCGCGAGACTGCGCCAGCTCCTCCCATGGCCCAATCCATGACCACTCCTCAGCCGGCGTCCACTCCACCTCCCCCCAGCTGCGACTAGGCAGCCCCGCGATAGATAGCCTCAGAGCCCTGAGAGCAGGGAGCGACCGATGAATGATTTCAAAGAAGGACTCATAGAACCGGCGGAATCGATCATCCATATGTGGAGGGCCCGTTGCTGCGCGATAGACATCAATCTCGACAACCAACGAGCTAACCAGCGCCAATTGCTGGCTGGGCATGATGCGTGAGAATCGGAAGAGCTGGTCAATGCTCTGCGTGAAAACAAAAGTGTTAGTAGAATACAGCACGGGGATGACGTCCCTGTATCTGCTCAACCATTAGCAAACCATCTCATCTCCACCAGAGCTGTAGATAAACCACCACAAAGTACATAGAAAGCAAAACTCACCCCAGCAAACACGCCTTCATCCACCCCCCTGCGCGCACCTTATACTCCCACCCTTCCTTAACCCACCGCCTCGAACCCAACTTTAACATCGACTCCTCCGACCCCTCACACTCAGGACACACAAACGAATTCTCCTTCTCCGGACAATGCTCCGGATCATCACACACCCTGTGCCACCATACCCACCTGCCCTTTCCGTGATGAAACTCATAATCCATATGGATCCTCTTATTCCCAAACGCAAAGTTATATATAAACTGCCGGATTTCCACCGGCAACCGAGTAAAGAATAGACATTGCCGCTGAGGATTAATCAGGACTTGATGACCATCCTGAAATGGTTTGGTGATCAGAGCGGCATAATCCGGCGCAAGGACGGGTAATCGGGATGGATCGGAGACATGGCCGTTGACTTGGCAGGTAGAGGTGGAGATACCGGTCGAGTCAAGCACGGCTCGCGACCAGTTGGGGATCGGGTTGATGGTGGGTTCGATGAGGGGAGCGATGGCGGGTACGACGATGTCGCGTCCGAAGACGGGTTCGATGGTGGATGGAGGTGCTTGGGGAAGAAGGGGCAGGAGGAGTTCCTCGCGCGCCCGCGACCGCGACCGCCGGCGGAACAGTCGGGGAACTTGTCCGACGTTCACCATGAGGGTGACTTGTTTGGGGGGCTACCGGTAGGAGTAACGCGGTGCTTTAAGAATGATTTCCTGAAGAGATAAGGCGGTTGCACGGCTGAAGATCTTTCCAGCGGGTTGTTGCGGTCAGCAAACTTGGCAGGTGGGAGCGCTCATTGGTTGCCCGCCATGGATTAGGTTTCTGGGGGTGGGGTGTTGTTGTCAGCGGAGAGACGCGTCTGGACTGGTGATGATGTACCGAGAGCTGGGAGAAAGGCATACAATTTTACTTGGCAATTGGCGCTTTGGCAATTTTCCGTCGATTTCTGTTAACAGAGTGAGATTTAGCTTAATGAGATTATATACTCCGTACCTAAATGCGACCTAAACTTCTACGACTAGATTGCATCAATGCCGACGAGTCAAAACTAGGGGGACAGATTAGAACGGACTGAGTCCTTAAAGATATCTGATAAGAAAAGCTGTGAAGAAGATCCGACCGCGGAGAATCGTAGAATTTGAGGCCAGACAATGCAGCAGGAAACTACCTGCAGCCTCAGGCATGAGATATGAAAAGCGGTGAACATTCTGCTGGATCAAAATTAAGCCTCTCAAAGCAGTAGGCGGAGTATCCAATTGGGGTAGGAACCAACAACGCCTCGCACACATGGAAGCCGATTTCTGTCTTTCTAAAAAGTCATAAAAATATCAATCCAGACTGTAAAGCACACACACACAAAGAGAGTAAACTATGCGGCCTGAAGCAGCCGACAAAACAAATTACCTGATAAGGTAAAATCGAAGAAACAGGCGCAGCGACCGACCCCACGCCCCCAACACCTCGGCCGAGGGGGGCAGCATGTAATCTGATTACACCTGTGGGGTTACATCAGTAAGTTATCACCATACTAAAGTTGCCCCAGTCCGCAGCAGGACCACTTATTACATGACAGCCGCGCGAGGAGACGACTGGGAGCACCACTTGACAGCCAGCTGAATGAAGCACCAGCGGGGAATGGGAAGGAACCCATTCAACATGTCCGGATAATCAGTTCATGCAACTAATATACTCACACATAGCTCTCCAACAATACCCGTATAGTAGCATAAAGACCAGAGACCCAGACTGAGAGTACAAGATCTGTATTATGATATGATACATAATCCAATGCTATTATCAAAGGCTGGAATAACCATATAACATTGGAATGACTTATTAATTGACGAGGACCTGGGTATGATACTAATTCAGGTCAACGCTGGATAATGATAATCACGCGTGGTAGACGCAATGAATTTGAAGCATAGCGAAGAAGAAACAACATCAGATTGTTCTGCATAGTAAGAATGGGTATAACTCCAAACCCTCCACAGAGACATTGATCTCTGAATACGCTTCCAGACATCCAGCTGACTGGTCTGGTATATACGTATGAACATGGTTCACCGGAACTCAGACTCCCGGTTATGTGAAGGAATGTACAAAACGCGCCAGGGGAATCATAGATATAGTATATGCAAAAGCATGCCGAGGTCAAGGAACAACACGGCATTCTCCAGCAAAGCACACGAACCGGTTCAGGAGGCACCCCGTCGGACATTATCATTCCAAAATTCCCAACATCAACAACACCCACACCCAAGACCTCTCTGACGCATCCATCACCCACAAAAATCCCAAATACAAAACATAAGCAAATCCCAACATATACCCCAGCAGCATCAACCGCCTGGCTTCCTTGGCCCCAAACGAAGGGACAAATCGAGACGAACCCACCCTCCTCACAAGCTGGCGCCAGCTTCTCCGAATCGGGGGCAGATACCGTCTCCAACTCTGGTCCAGCCCCAATTCCAACATCCAATTCTTCTTCCGGACATGCGAGAATCTTACCACATCATCCAACCCTAACATCAGCGAGTCCACCTCCCACTCCGCCCATTTCACCGGCAACAATCCTCCCACCCGTGCCAGACAATCCCACGCAATATTGGCATCTGCCTTATTCCTATCGTTGTCATGACCTCCCAACCCACAGAAATACACCTGCCAGATGACCTGATCCCGCGGCGCCAAAGTAGGTAGCGTCCCCGGCTTTAGGTCCCTGATCAATGTGGCTGCACTTGGAAATTGGCTCCAGTCTTCGTGCGCCGGATGAGGGTCCGGCAGGCCGAACTGGGAGGAGATAAATGTGAGATGAAGGTGACGGCCTTGGTGCGCATATCGGATCCCGCCTGTGGTTGGAAAGAACACGTCGCCGCGGGCGCAGAGAATTCGGGTTTTGAATTCCTGTTCAGGGATAGGATCGCAGATCATGAATGTTATGTTCTGGATTATCGGGTCGGTCTCGGGGATGGCAACTTCGGTATTGTGGATGTCGGAGTGGTTGGTGAGGGCGGTGGTGATTAGAATGCGGATGTTGGCGAGGGTGGCAATTCTTTGAAAGATAAGCAGGATTTCGGAGAGGAGGAACAGGAGACGTGGACAGGTGGTTGAGAAAGAGTCGCTGGTGGTGATAGTGGTGGGGATAGGGGACGGAGAGGGAGAGCGTGAGGGAGAAGGAGACGCGGAAGGAGGTCGGATGGAGGGTAGTACTGTGGACATGGTAGAGGATGTCATGGACAGGTCCTGCCAATGAAATGGCTGTCAACGAGGTCAAAATGACAATAATAATAGCAACTATGGCAAAATTGAGGGACAATGAAATGCTCGAAACAATGCCCGACAAAGGGCGAGAGGCCACCCTTTATGTATCTCAAATGCCTTGTCTGCCCGGTCGGGGTTTCCCTCTTCACTTCGGATCTTGCACTTGAATTTTCAAATTACGCTGCTAAATTCTCGATACCAACCATAGCAGTAATCGAAACTAGTTATCCATTGGTCGATTACCGGAGTACTTTGCTTCACTTGTTCTGGAGGTCACATCTTCCAGGATGATGTCTATCCAGGTACTCCCATCCCCTCTAAATACGCAGGGAGGTTCCAAATCCTTGACCTACTGGGAAGAAGACAGGGTCTGGGGAGAACCAGGTCGTATGATGTTGCCTGTAAAACTATCGGGATCTTTCTCTCGCCTGGGCTCTTGCCTTAGGTGAACTTGAGAAACAACGTCGAGGAAGGAACTGGGAAGTCCTGAGATACGGCGGTACTTGTACTTGACTGGCGTAGCTCTGCCTGCTCCCAGGATGCTCCGATTTGATGTTTCTTATGTATGAGAGCTCTGTCGCGGATCATTCCTAACTCCACTGTACAATAAACTGCCCCACCCGGAATGATAGTACTCGGCTACAATTACACCTTTTATGGCAACTCCCGGCATCGTATTGCGTTATCATACACCCTGGCTTCGGAAGTGAGCGGCATACTCCGACACCATGAAATTCCCTGCATGTTGATTGGAGACCTCCTGTTCAGGGTGCTAGGGTACAAAGGATCCAATAAAGTACGCATTGAAATCTGGTTCCCCGTCGGGGTTTATTTCTTGTACCATATATAGAAAGCGTTGCAAGCATTTGCTGATTAAACGCAGCACCTAGACTTGGCAGTCGAAGATTTTCACTTGGAACAAGCAATCGCTATTCTTAGAGACAACGGCTATGATGACAGCTTTCACCAAAAGTGCACCACCATCGATGAGGAGCGCCAAAAACAGTATGAGGCCCATATGAAGCCCGCCCATTGGTTCCATCTTTACGACCGCACCCCGGTGCATTCTTATCGACTTACCGGGCACGACTTTTCTATTCCTTTGCAGAGTACGGCCAAAGAACACGTCGATCTCCGTCTCTATCGGATGTCAGAATACTTCTGGGTTCTTCCAAACATTCCATTGGCGGTTGATTGGGTGCCGAACGACCGGAATTACATACAGACAGATGACCCGAGACTGCCGGTCAGAGCCCCTCACAAGGAGCCGGATTTCGGTGCTTTTCCACCACATATCCCTGCCGTCATAATGCCCAGTCCAGCTCGAGTCATCGAAGCTATTATCTGGCTGAAAGCGCGGGATTCCAAACTTTGTTGTCGCGGAAGGTGTTGGAACCTAATGTTTGCCTATGTGATGTACATTGGTAGGAAGGCTAATTACGTCGATATTCCTCCTCCAATATCCGGACCATTGTATGATATTGATGCTTTCGAACAGGTGTTTCATGAATGGTGGAGATCTGAGATGGAATCTCAGTGCATGCGCTCCGTCGATCTTCTCAGGGAGCTGGAGACAGTTCTGCAGCGCTATACCCCAGGAAATGGTTCAAAATGAACAGTTGCATCGAATATTCCCGGACTGGCAGCAGTTGCCCTGTGATACCGGGTAATATGGTTAGTCCTGAACGTTAAGGAACCAGAATAACTGGCTGCACTACTTAGTTATACAATACGTGGTAATTTCCTTGCCTATGACGAAACGGCAGTCTGAACAGTCTTTTAGCGCCCATATCTATAGTGATAGTCGCATTCCAGTTCCATCTCACTCACAGTACCCCGGGCTTTAAGCCTTCATAGACAATCTATCATCATAAGATCGACCGAACAGTACTTTGGACATACAAGTAGGATATACAAGCTGAGCTCCTTATACTATTGTGTTATTGTTTGTAGCTTTGTATGCTTCTACATACTATATGTTCTTAAAAAATCATTTCCAAGCACTTTCATTGCTCTAGAGCTGTTTCTTCCAATGGACTCAACTTTCAGGCATGAGTATTGCAAATTCAACATATATCGCTAACCGTGAACATAATTCTGTATATAGGTAGTATGCAGGATGCACTGAAGTCGCCCAACCAGGTTCTCAATGAAACATGAAACCAGCATCATGAGTTCTATGTACACTTAACATGTACGTTCCATCAGCATGTCCAAGAGGTAGGGCACCAGAAGCAAAGCGCTGGCTTCTTCATGAACCCCTCGACGATAATATCCCGAAGCATCACCAAGACCAACATCAGAGAGGTCGGTGTTTCGTTCCATCATTAGGGCTGCATGACCTCTTCAAAGCGCTTCACTTATTCCAATACCTCTTCTTCCCTCCGATGCCGCCAGGACCGAGCGACTCCTGCTTCCGGCGTATCCAGCGACGTACCCCCAACATATATGAGAAATATATAGGAGTTGGCAGGCTGATATCTTCTTCTATATCGATAATAAGACATGCCGAGTTCGTCGGAACGGGTTTGTTGGTTTCGACCGGGATAATAGTATTTCTGTAATACCACGGCCGACCGCCCTTGGTTCGTGTCATGGGTATTGCTGATTTTGTCTATAGGGGCCTTTGTAAAAGTGTGACAGGGGAATTTCAGCTGGAGTATATTGCAAATATCTCGAATAATCTCTTGGTCGGAGGACCTCTTTCGACAAAGAAGAGAGATGCTCCAGTTGTAGAGCCCGGCAGTACTGCCATGGCAAAGTTGAGAATTAACAGCAAGTCTGACCGGTTGTCCTGGTAGTATAGTAGTTGACGAACAGGATCAGTCGCTGTGCGATGAATTGCTTCATAATATGTTTGGCCGTCAATCGGGATTCGACATTCAGTGGTCGACCGAAGTTTTGCCTGTTATATCATCACACCCTCGGGACGACCTGCGATGATTACAAGTCTTCTTCCCAGAGTGGGTGACTTTTGGATAGGCGCGCAGCTTGGCTCGAGATTGACAGTATCGTGATTTAGAACATAGAACAGCGAACCAGTGGAGAGAAAGACGTAACTCTCCAAGAAGGATCCGGCTTCGCGGATGAAGTACTATCTGAATAGGGGTTCGGGTCGAAGTGGTGGAAGTTCATGATCCTCAAAAACATGAATCGTCCAGGGGAGCGTTTATTAGTGGGGAGTTTCGCTTTTTGGTCAAATCGTGACCCTATTGTGTGGTTGAGGTGCTTTGAATCTGGATTTCGAAGTTCTGGATATCGACCCACTGCGCGTATCATTCGAATATAGTATCTTTTCTGGGGTCAGTTTAGTCTGGGCAAAGTTGTCTGCTTCGTGGACCGGATGGGATTCGTTATTTTGCGTAGCCAGGAGTCATTCATTGTATAAGGCAAGCCGGTCGTTATGCGCGTTGCCATTGTGACCTTGTTGCTTCTTGGGAACGTCTTGTAAACATTGTAAACATTTTGGGTCGGGAGAAAGGACCCAGGAGTGGACCTCCGGTACAGGAATTGACGCCTGCTCTCTAGTGAGATGAATGGCTTCTACCTCCATCGCCACCTTCTCGTCTGCATATTGCGAAGAAAGGCCTCACCGGCTCTCCAAAATCACTGCGCGTACCATGTGAGCATAATTTCCTTCCAGAGGCTGATTTAGTTTATCTCATTTCCCATCTGACTTCTTCCTGGTTGGGTTTCAGCCATTTTGGAAGTTGTGGTGGTCTGGTCAGCCTTCTCGTTTGCTGGGGTTCCTCTCTTCCCAGTGATCTTATTTACCGGGTAACGTACCCAAGGGCACGCTTGGTTGGGGTATAATCCGGATAGTGGTCCACAATCAGCCCTCTTTCCCCTTTCTATGGGTATGAGTAGGCTCGATAGCCATTGTATCTAGAAAAGACTATCAGGGTAATCATTTCGTCCTGTCGGTAGTATGTTCCTGAGAGTGTGCATTCCGTGAACAATAAGCTCCTTGGTGACCCTTGACTTCCTCTCGCAGATCGTGGATCATACAAGTGGCTGCTGAGGATTTTTCCGCAATATTCATTTTTTACCAAACTCCCCTTCTTTTAGGGCAGGTGCGAGCAAATCCTATAAATTCCCAAGATCCATTGTCACGGTTATTCTTTCGTGGTCAATCCATCAAGGGCGTGGGTCTTCCTTGGATGTGAGATAAGCATCCCTCTTCCGGGGATCTGTGCCAGCTGGGTTATCAAAAACATACTATGTGCCTGTAGTATTCTAGATCACCATGCAGAGGCTCTGGAACATGGGTCGCCCTTGCGATCCGCCCATTGGATCATGAATCAAACAAGGTTGATAGGAGCCGATGATTATACCCACTCTGGGCTTCAAAAGCATATTCGGTAGCCATGGTGATAAGCCTTGTTTCGGGCTTCTGGGATTTGGCTATCAATTGCATGGCCATATATACTGTGACAAACTCCTTTTGGGTTGGTGTTTATTCTCTCTGTGGTTCAGCCAGAAGCGTTTCTTGCAGTAGAAGCCCGTCGTCTACAGCTTCCCACACTCTCGGGATAGCATGTGCGAACAGGCTCCAATCGTGTTTTCTGTTGCCATGAACCAAGTCATCAGATCAAATGGTCATGCATAGAATTATTCGAGATGCTGCCTGCTCGGTTTCATGGACTCGGTTCCAGACTGTATATCTTAAGGGACCAAGGGCCTTTTTCCAGGCGGCATAGCGGTTGCCACGCCCAAGATCTCCCTTTGGTCCTGCGCCATGATGGGGAAGATCATCACCATTTCCATTTCTGGTTCCGAAGGTAAGCAGAGTTGAGCATCTGGGATCCAGCAGAGTAGCCTGCGCAGGTATTCGGGATGGTTGGCGTTGGGATTGAGTTCTTCTTGCCCCCAGTGGTCGATGGTGTTGAACAGAGCCGACAATGAGTAAGCGAAGTCGGCCTGAATATAGTACAAATATCTTTGTTGTACACAGGTGTTGAGTGCGGTGGGGATATCTCTAGCTCCGTAAAGTCTCTTGTTCTCTAGAGCATTGAGTGGATATTCCCAGTTGTCATTATAAAGTCAGGTGTAAATCCATGGTTTTCAATTGCCCAACAGTATACCGTAGCAGACCTTCCTAAGTGGTATAGGGTGGCCGGACCATTGGTTTTCCTGGATCTCGGCAGGCAAGGTTTATAATAGAAGATGGTCGATCATATCAGTAGAGAGAGTCCTTCATGTGGACATCCGGTGGAGTTCTCTGACGGAGCTTTGATCATACTTGACTTCAAAATCCAACTTTGCCTATCAGCCATTTTGTCCCTCTGTTCGAGACAATCATCGATACTTCGCAGGCAAACTTGACAATACCACATCCAAATTATTCCCATAAGTCGTTGGACATATTATAAGATGGCAATTCGATTGACCACTGGATCCTTGAGACGTCCGAATCGAGACCCTGGTCTGGTTCATGAATCATATCCTGCGACATTGCAGGGTCGACTCCAGGAGCACAATAAATCCCATCCATATGGAGAGTATTGCCAGTCTCAGTCAAGCACGCAGTTTATCATATCCTCCATCGATGGCTAGGTATTCACTTCACACACGCAGTCAGGTGTGCCTCTAATTCCGCAGCCTGATGTCATGCTGCCACAGGGCAATATAAATGCCAGTCCCAATAACCGCCAGGACAATCCTGGATATATTCGCGGTGGCCTTTGTGCGGTATATAGCGGTGCGCAGATATTCCACGGGGAATCTGCAAGTTCCAAAAGAAACAAACGTCGGTCAAATTCGTTTTCACGAGAAGGCGACAACGATAACATAGTCTCACTTGATCATGTTCCGACTCTAAAAAATTATCCCTTTTCTTTCAATGTTTCGGATATATCGCTGGCTGGTTAAATGTGCACCTGTTATCCCCAACCTCTAGTATTTTGACCATTTGCATTGTCAATGTGCTGCTTGTAAAGAAATGAGGCACGGGCTTCAGGTACCCTAGCACGCTCCATGGCTCGTGATGTCGGCCACAGTGGCCTTTGGCACTTCGCGCTCCCTGGAGATCAGGGTGCAATCGAGTAAGTATTGATGTTTTCCAGCGCGGGATGTATCCATCATCTTACTCTGTGTGCATGACTAAGGAATGATAAGGAATAGGATATACCATCCGTTATCACCCTATCATGCATATCAATCATGATTACGGCTCGTGTTTGAGTTTGGTATGTGTTCCCATGGCCTGGATGGTTGGCCCACCTGCTCTTGATGGGGTTCATCGTGACACAACGCACCTCCCTTCAGATACTGCACTGACAGTTATGCATGCAAAGGCTGCGTGTGGCCTCCTTCCATCAGGATGGATAGGTCCCACCTAGAACCTCGTAATACTGACAGTTGCCTCCTTCCAGTCTCTCTTCGTCATCGCGGTCACTACAGCGAGCGATTGCACAGGGGGATTGATAGAAGTCATGCATTCCGGGCTCCTCGAAATTTAACATGTAGTGACCGGTGAGATGTAGATGCTAACATTATACAACTCTGTCGCCTAACATCTAGCAAAGACTGGGTGAAGGCCGTCTTGCTTTCAGGGGCTTCTGCAATCAGAGAAGGTGTGACATGGTCATGCACTAGACCGATTGAAGAGTGTCACGCTTGGAAACTATTCAATTGAAAGTTGAGGCCGGTGGCTATGTGCCCCCATGTGTACGGAGATGAATAGAGAACAACAGGCTGATGGCAGTTTGCCCCCATTCCCTGAACGAATCAGAGACGTGAATGACTTCAACACGAGTCGTGATCAACTGCGATGCTTTATGTATCCTGGTAGACTGCTAGTTTATCGTATTTCACCGCTCGCATTCAGATACATGCCACCAGGTAAACTTCTAAACCGGAGACTGACTTCCATGACAGTGCATCATACTAGATAAGTTCCTAGGACACTTCCCTCTCGAGAACAGGGACCTGCAGTCCCGGTGTCCAGATGGCGGGGTTTTTCATTGATAGACAAGGTCTAACTCAATCTGCAGTGTCAATGGGAACCACTGTCTGGAAACACCCATTCTTCTTGGAATAGCCGGTGAACCGCCAAGTCAACTGGATATATTGTGCCAGGGATTTCTGGTCCTACTTGAATGACTGCATAACATACAGGAAATCATCAGCTGTTGATAACAAGGTGAAAACATAATTTCATGAAGCTACTATATCCAAGGCAATCTGAACGGCTTATCAAGGGTGGAATTTAATAATAATATGGATACGCTTCATACCCACGTCGTACCAGCATGAGACTATTAAAGGCGAGAGTATCGCACGCCACAGTGGCATCATGCGTCTGTATCTGGCGGTCTACACACCGTGTGCCATAGCGCCTGGCCTTTCCGGAACCAGTGACTGCACCTCATCCCAAATTCGACAGGTGGTGCCGTACATGGATGAGTCCTGAGGAAACATCGCCAGCAATTGCTTGAATTCTCCCTCATCATAGATAGCCATCTTCGATATCAATCCCGAGATAGCTGCTGTGCACCAGGCTCGCAATTCAGGCGAGAGCACATTACAACGAGCGAGGAACACGGCCCAGAGACGAAATTTGGACGGAAGCCAGCTGCATGTTGCATTGTTGTTGAGAAACCGTCGAAGCCGTGCAATAAGTATGTCGCTGGTTGAGGCGCCCTGTGGCATCTCATGGAAAACAGTGGTAACCAACAGCAAGAGAGAAAGACGACAAACCTCCTGCACTTCACTTTGGGGGTTGCATTTGACACCGTATTGCACTGAAAGGAGTGTATACTGTATTGATGTAACCCAGAAGCGAACCTGCGCAACAATGGCGTGGCCACTGTTCTTGGTGATATTTGAGAACGCCTCCACTATGTATTGCAGATCAGCCATAGCTACTTTCAGAGTTCCTTCCACGTGTAGCATATTAACCAGATCCCGAAACCCCTCGCACAAACGGAATTCCTGGGGCTTCAATATTGGCAATTGCTGAAACCTATCACCGAAAAACGCCTTCTGCGCGGCATCTATCGATCCACAGATGTCGGCTCTGTATATCCATTTAAGTATATATGACAGATTCAGTTAATGAGAATACAACTAACCGGTATATCTTTCCCTGTAGTAATGGCTTATCATCTAGGGCGTCCAAGCCGCCCCGCAGATCAACCAGCGTTTTGAGGATCTTCATATCAGCAACCCATTGATCATGATGACCGGCTGCCTTCTATAAAACGGTCAGTCGCCCTCTGCATGCCATTACTTTTTACTAACCTTCGCAACGGCCATACTAGCAATGGCAACTAAGGTCTCATCGGAAGGAGCGTTTGCAGAACAAACGACCCTCTCTCGAATGATGCTCATGGCGCGACTAGTATGTCGCATAAAGGCCGGGCTTGTCCCCACACGATACGCTTCCATAGCGAATAACAGTGCACACGCCAAAACAACATGTAGCATTGCTGCGTCTTGGAAAGCTATGGGCGCCCAGTAATTATCGATTGGATTACAGCCTGCTCTCTTTTCAATTGAATAGAGGGTCTCCCAGGCACTAGTTGTGTCTTGACAGATGCATGTTATTGGTAAGGCACGCATCAATAGGTATGAGCAGGCATTGTCACTTACAGAACGATAGCTGATCTTGCATGTAGGGCTCGATGGTGATTGGAAGCGTGTCAAACGGATCCATGAGGGTTGTCAGGGGAAATATGTGACGTGAATGAATTTTGGGCATTGGGAAGGCTGGTCCGACGGTATTGCTATCGACGGCCTGGGCTTGTCTCTGTTTGCGACGGCCACGATTAAGCATTGTGTGGCTTCTGATGGTCATGCGAGCTGTGTGGTTGATACGGGTCTTGTTGGGCCCAAGATTAATGAATTCGAATTCCGGAGTGACTGCAGGCTCATGATACGCCTCAGATTGTGGTCTTTTCTTTGTGGCTAATATCGGTCAGCATGTGCTGGCTCCCTGACGAGGGGGACTGCAGACTCACATCCAACCGGGCGCCCTCTCTTTTGCGGTAGAGCCACTTTGACCGGCCCGTTGGTGTACCGGAACACGACCGACTCCGCTGTCGGTCGCACCGTTGAAAACACCACCTCACTTGGAGACCCACCCATTTTGATGGACACGGGAAATTTTAGGAAGTTCGAGACAGCTGAAGAGAAAGAACGGAGGGAAGATGTAGAGCGAACAATGAAGGTCAGCACGTCGGGCCTGGGCGGGCTTAGCGTGGCTCATTATCTCCGCCAGCTCGGCACGCTAGCCCAATCGGGATGCCAGTCCCTCCATTAATTCTGCCCAAAAGGGTAATCGGCCAAAGAACGGGCCAGACGACTGAGTTTGATGACCAGAATATCGGTGATTCAATCCTAATCGCACAGTGGTAAGTCCGTGAGCGTCATGGTACCAGCGAGTCTGGATAGTCGGGGAGCCCCTTGGCGAAGGTATATATATGGTCGTGCACCCCGAGAGATCAACTCTTCATCCATCATTCCTCATTCCTCATTCCTCATTCCTCATTCCTCATAACGCTCATATAAAACTTCACTTTTACTCCACGCACTATGTCTGCTTACAATTTCCAAACTCTTGCAGAAGATGTAGCTCTAGATTGCCAGGCTGTCATCGCCAACAAAACCGTGCTGGTGACGGGTGTTAGCCCAGGTGGTCTTGGTGCCGAGTTCGCTAAGGTCATCGCCCTCCATCGTCCTTCTCTTATCATCCTGGCCAACCGCGACCCACTCAAAGCCCAGCAAACTGCGAAAGAGATTTTAGTCATTGCTCCAGATGTGCCCACCCGTCTTTTGAAACTAGACCTAGCCTCTCAGACCCAGGTCCGCAACGCCGCCCAGGAGGTCCTGGCATATGACGAACATATCGACGTGCTTGTAAACAACGCCGGTGTCATGGCATCCCCATTCTCATTGTCAGAGGACAGCGTTGAAAGTCAGTTCGCTACCAACCATGTGGGACATTTCCTCTTCACCAACCTGATCATGAGTAAATTGGTGAGGTCTGGGAAATCTTCTCGGGTCGTGAATGTATCCAGCAATGGCCACCAGCTCGGCCCAGTCCGGTTCCATGACTGGAACTTTGATGTGAGTATAATTGCTCTCTTTTTTTGGTGGGATTTAGCTGATTGCGAGACTTAGGACGGCAAAAATTATGATGCTTGGCTGGCTTATGGCCAAACAAAGTCCGCCAATATGCTCTTCTCCGTGTCCCTTGCACAAAAGCTGGGCAGTAAAGGCCTTACCGCCGTCAGCCTACATCCCGGGACTATTCAGACACATTTGGGGGGAGGCAGGTGGGACGAACTGTATGAATCACTCAGTACGAGGCACTTTCCATACCCGATTACCAATCATGCTGGCTAACAGTAACCAAGTTAAATGGTTCACCCTGTTGGGGTACTTTCGTGGAGGGCAGAACGAGATTCTATGGAAGACTCTGTCGCAAGGCGTAGCAACTCATGTCTTTGCTGCTTTTCACCCGTCTCTCACAGCATCAGGTAAGCAATCCCTGCATGATTTTTTGGACTTGTAACCTGTACTGATCCAAGCGTCGCAGAGAACAACGGAAGTTATGTCCAGGATTGCACGGTTTCAAAGCCGGAACATGTTCGCAGCTGGGCCCGGGATCCCATTGAAGCAGAACAGCTGTGGAAATTGACCGAAGAGATCATGGGTGAAAAGTTCGAGTATTAGGAGTAATATGTGGGGACCACTCGCAGGTGGCACGAGAGGAGCACAGTTTTGAATGATGAGCTAGTATTTCATGATATATGACGAGGAAAAATGACCGCACGCTACTTATTGCCTTTAGTTTGAATGTTTTTTGTCCTCAAGGTTGAATAATCTCTTCTTTTGTTATCACAAATGCCATTGACGCTGTGTTTCACGCTTGGGGGCAGTTTAATATTCCTGACATCAATTGTAATCCTCATCGGTGGATACCGAGTTCGATGGTAAAGAAGCTGGTAAGCTAGTTCATGAGACAGTCGTGCTCCTCATGAGCTGGTTTTTACAACCCATCAGCCCTTCAAATATGCTCTAAGATAACGAGAAAGCAATACGGAAAGCAGAGACCCTTGATTGTCATGCGAGCCATATCCGCTACCCACGAGTTTGCTGACAGTTTCATCGGTTCTAACTCACAGACACGTCCGATAGTTCTCTGCGCTCTTCTACTACGACTGCTCACACTTGACATCTTCGCCATCTCGGCAATATTCTGCAGCCCATTGTGCCCTGGGCCGCCCGATAGTTGGAACAATCTTACACACGATGCGGAGGAAGATACAATTATCACAGCGGGAGACGGTTGATGTACAATGGTGTCCCGACGATGACGCCCGGACAAATACTTTCTATGGTGCAGCACAGTAATCGGATTGATTATGCCCGGGATCCGATAGCGTTCAGAGAGCACATTTGCAAGCGAACTATCGTTTTGCAGCACAGGGGTTTCATTTGCAGCTACAATCAACACCGAAATATCACTCGAACGGGACTAGCGTACCAGCCGTTTGCAGATACTCCCAGCCAATAAAAGGCCACCCAGCCTAGCCACATACGAGAGTGACGAAAAGGCAGCGTCATGGACCGCATGATGCACTGACATGACAGGATGCTATCAGGGAGAGCAAACAAAGGACACGCATCAGGCCACTGGAAAATAGCCAGTTCCAGCCCCATCGAATTTCCTTAAAGGACCCCAAGCTGCATGGACTTATGTATCTCATCCAAGAACCATCATAAATCGGACAATCGCGATACTCCATCATGCCATTAGAGCTACCTGACCAGAGCATCTCCGCTTATGGAGCTGCTCGCTCCACTATCCAGGGCCAGCCCCTCGATCCCGAGGAGGTCCGAAAGATGGACTCCTACTTCCGCGCTAGTATGTATCTGTGTCTGGGCATGCTCTATCTGCGCGATAATGTCCTCTTGAAACGGCCATTGAAGGTGGAGGATCTCAAGGCACGCTTGCTCGGTCACTGGGGATCGGATGCGGGCCAATCCTTTACATGGATCCACATGAATCGACTAATCAAGAAGTATAATCTGGACGTGCTCTTCATCTCAGGCCCCGGTCACGGTGCCCCGGGAATTCTTTCCCAGTCATACCTCGAGGGCGTCTACTCGGAAGTTTACCCAGACAAGTCTCAGGATGAGCGAGGAATGCAAAGGTTCTTCAAACAATTCTCCTTTCCTGGAGGAGTCGGCAGCCACGCCACCCCAGAGACACCTGGTAGTCTCCACGAAGGCGGCGAGTTGGGATACTCCATCTCACATGCCTTTGGGTCTGTCTTTGATCATCCCAATCTCATCACTTTGACCATGGTCGGCGACGGCGAGGCCGAGACCGGCCCTCTTGCAACCAGCTGGCACAGCACCAAGTACCTTAACCCCTGTACTGATGGGGCTGTTCTACCCGTGCTCCATCTCAATGGCTACAAGATTAACAACCCCACCCTCCTCGCACGCATAAGTCATGATGAACTCTCATCCCTAATGTGCGGCTACGGGTGGACCCCCTATTTCGTTGAAGGCAGCGATCGCGAGACCATGCACCAAGCCATGGCCGCCACGCTCGAGCACTGTATCCTCGAAATCAGAAACATCCAAGCCCAAGCCCGCCAGTCGAAGAAGCCCTTCCGCCCCCGCTGGCCCATGATCATCCTCCGTAGCCCCAAGGGCTGGACCGCCCCTCGCGAAGTCGACGGCAAGCTCCTCGAAGGGTTCTGGCGCGCGCACCAAATCCCCATCACCGACGTGCTGACCAACCCGGCACACCTCCAACTCCTCGAATCCTGGATGAAGAGCTACAAGCCCAACGAGCTCTTCACCCCAGATGGTCGTCTCATTCCTGAACTCCAAACCCTCGCCCCAGCCGGCAATTCCCGTATGAGCGCCAACCCTGTCGGCAATGGCGGACTCCTCCGGCGCCCACTGGACCTCCCAGACTTCCGCGCCTATGCCCTCGCCTCGATCGACCCCGGTGTCACCATTCGTGGCAGCATGGTCAACATGTCACACTACCTCCGCGACGTAGTTGTCTCCAACCCAACCAACTTCCGGGTGTTTGGGCCCGACGAAACTGAATCTAATAAACTTTCCGAGATTTACAAAGCGGGCAAAAAGGTCTGGCTAGCCGACTACTTCCCCGAAGACTCCACGAACGGCGGGAACCTCTCCCCCTCCGGCCGAGTCATGGAAATCCTTAGCGAACACACCTGTGAAGGCTGGCTGGAAGGCTACGTCCTCTCAGGCCGCCACGGCCTGCTAAATAGCTACGAACCCTTCATTCACATCATCGACTCAATGGTCAACCAACATTGCAAATGGCTCGAGAAATGCCTCGAAGTTGAATGGCGCACCAGAGTAGCCTCCCTCAACATCCTCCTTACCGCAACCGTCTGGCGTCAAGACCACAATGGCTTCACCCACCAAGACCCAGGCTTCCTCGACGTCGTCGCGAATAAATCTCCCGAAGTCGTCCGCATCTACCTCCCACCCGACGGGAACTGCCTACTCTCCGTAATGGACCACTGCCTCCACAGTAGCAACTACGTCAACGTCATCGTTGCCGACAAACAAGATCACCTCCAATACATGGACATGCCCACCGCCATCGCACACTGCACCAAGGGTCTCGGGATCTGGGACTGGGCCAGCAACGACCAAGGCCACGAACCCGATATCGTAATGGCCGCGTGCGGAGACGTTCCCACCCACGAAGCCCTAGCAGCCACCTCTCTCCTTCGACATCATCTCCCCAGTCTAAAGATCCGCTTCGTCAACGTCGTCGACCTCTTTAAGCTCATCTCCCCATCCCATCACCCCCATGGCATCTCCGACCAACAATGGAAAGCCATCTTCACTGCGAATCGGCCCATAATCTTCAACTTCCATTCATACCCCTGGCTGATCCACCGCATGACGTATAAACGACCCGGTCAGGGGAATCTGCATGTGAGGGGGTATCGCGAGAAAGGGAATATCGATACGCCGTTCGAGTTGGCAGTCAGGAATGGAACCGACCGGTATAGCTTGGCTGTCGATGCCATTGATTACGTGGAAAGGTTATGGAATACAGCCGCGGGGGTGAGAGAAAGGTTAGTGAATATGAGGTTGTTGGCTGTTCAGAAGGCGTATGATGATGGGGTTGATCCGGAGTATATTCGGGATTGGACGTGGGGGTATACCCCTAAGAAGGGGGAGAGAGTTCAGGATGAGTTGGGGATGTTGGGTGAAGAAGACCTGGTCAAACGATCGTGTCTATGAGACGGATGTATGGTTGTAATGTTATTAATGAGTGAAAAGTCAAACGTGACTGCTACCTACTAAACACTACTATTCCCATCACGATTCCATCCCTACCATCCAATATTCCTCATCTCCTCTCATTCTCCCCTTCTCCCACAATATCACAACATGCCCAAACCCACACCCACACACCATTAAACCGAAACCTCCAAGACCCCCTCATACCCACACCCCACCTTGACCCCATCCTCCTCGGGCGAGGGTTGTGAGCTTCACTTCAAAGCTGCTGTTGGGGCTTCTGCTGAGACCTGAGTGGCGGTTTGATAGTTAGTGGTCTTGAATTTGTTGCTTTTTGCTGTCGGTTGCTGTTGCGGTTGATGTCGACGCAAGGGGAGAAGGTGATGAAGAGGATTATATATCCGTGGGTGAGAACTAGTTCAAAGTCGATGATATAGGAATATATCATGGTCTAATTGTTCGGAATAGGAGTCTTGTCAAGACATGCAGGTCTTTTGATGGGTTGGAGTTGTAGATGATAATTCCAAAAAGAGTTCCAGGGAAGACGATTCGTAATCCTTGACCACTTGATCATCGGTCAGCTGTGGACTTTTTGGTCTAAATGACGAATCCTGGGACTTCCTGGAATCTTTGCAATGGTGTTGTTGGTACGATGTTCCTGATATAGTATTTCTCATGTATTAAGAGGCTTACAAAGTAGCACATACTCAAATAACTTACGCGAGCACTATATCCAACACTTCCCCCACAATACTTGCTGTTACCCCGATCCCAGCTAACATTAGAAATATATTGATCTCATACTACCTAAAAGCTAGCTTTGCAACTCAATTTCCATTTTGGCGACAATGTAAATAATAAAAAAGCACTTTGTGATCCAGCGTAACGGTGGAGATGTACAAGCGCATCCACAGTGTAGCTTGATATGCTTTAAATATGGGCCGTATATCACCCAACAGGCAAGATGGCCGAGCGGTCTAAGGCGCTAGGGTCAGGTGACCTGATCTTACATATTCCATCCAGAGTATTCCTAGTCTCGAAAGGGGCGTGGGTTCGAATCCCACTCTTGTCAAATCTTTTTTTCTCTTCTTTCTCTTTTGCATGTGCAGGAGGATAGATAAACCAGAGGCTAGTACTTTTTTGTAGTATAGGAAGTTGATAGGGAGCTTTCATGTATAGCTCCATTTATTGTTCTGTCAGAGTTCATTCTTAACCTTTCACTCCCCCCTACAAACTTTTGAAAAAAAAATCCATCGAAATCAAAACCTGATCATTGCCTTTCTACTACCTTCCGCGGAGCGATATGAGTGATCGAGCAGTGAAATACAAGCGGAGATGGCGAAGGTGTCAAAAAGAATATCACAACTCCCAGTCGCTTCTCGCTGCCAACATCCCCATATACCATAGCACCAAACACACAGTTAGAACCCCCTCACCATGCGCACTCCTATCCACCGCATCAGATACCGCCAAATGTCCATCCTCTTCTAACCTCCTCACAGCAACTATTTCCGCTTCCGTAAGAATACATCCATACCTTGCTTTATGTTCTCTCATATAATAGTTCAATCGAGCAAGCCCCTCCTTATACCCCCGCACACAGTCCGGATTAGTAGAGTACCGCCATTCTGACTTCCACGTCCACGAAACCTTCAATTCACCCGGACAGCGATTCGGACAGCTATCGAAACTATCGCTCGGTACGAAAAATGCCAGACCGGGTGTATCGTCCTCATCAATGTAATATGCGGCGGATCCAACGTCGAATGTGATCTCTGCAAGTTGCCGGGAAGCGCTGTCCTCAGCTGGGAGGTTTTTGAAGGCAGCTCGCAAGGATCGTCGGATACGTGGCAAGACATATTCAGAGAAACGCCGGCGGAACATCGACTCGTTGCGGATCAGACGAGGGGACGTCGGCATGGGGTTTTGGATAATGGTGGAGGTGTGTAGGATGGAAGAGTATTGCTCCATGATGGTGGTGTAGGTGAACTCAAACCAGGAGGTGATGGTTTCGATGTCTCTAAAGCTGTATTTGGGATCAAGGGGGTCTGGTTCATCCAAAATATTTTCGTTGGGAAGTCGGGGAGGAGCTTCCCGGGTTAGGTACTCGAGAAGGGACTCGGTGGCCATCGTGGTTGAGAAATGTGAAGGAATGTTGGTTTTTGTGCTGGGAGGTGAGGAGGAGCTTTTTGTAATGATCCGCGGGGGTATCTTCCCCTCTTTCAGAGTATCGGTTGTTGCCGCTTGGCTTCGTCTCGATGAATGATGGTATGAGATTATAGCTGCCTAAATAGACATAACTGACTCCTTTGTCGTATAAGCATTGGACACTCCCATGGTAAAAGTGGGCAGAGTGAAAGTAGATACGAGCTCACTTATTGACGAGCCGGACTGCCAAACAGTCTTTCCAGTACACAAGGGCGGGGTGTGGTTCTAGTCTCGCTGCTGGCAGAAATCGAGCAAGAAACTACTAATTGTATCATCAGAGCTGGGGAGCTGCGGGAACCCTTTTTCTAAAGTATATATCGCCAAGCTCAGCTTGAGGAGGGGAAAATACCGAGTCTAATAAGAATAGATTAGGCTGAGAAACCCGCCAAGTGGGGGAAACCCCCGCCCGGGCCGAATGCTTCTTCCAGTTCCATCCATCGCCTACTAGTCCACATCATCCTATCTCTCCAACCAATATCCATACCCTAATTATCATCCACCTAGCATCTACAAACCTCTATCACGACTGCCACCTTCCCACCACCACACATTCACCACCCCCAAGCCACCCACCCACACACCCACACCGCCATTCTCCTCCACGGCCGCGGTAGCAACGGTCCCGAATTCGCCGAGGAACTGTTCTCCTCTTCCACATCCAAGGGACAAAATCTCCCCTCCCACCTACCGTCCTTCCGCTGGGTGTTTCCCACATCCAAAGACCGCTGGAACAGTCGTTTCGAAGAGGACATCTGTGCTTGGTTCGATGCTTACTCTTTGACTGATATCACTGAACACCAAGACACACAAGTTCCTGGGATAAGGGAATCTGTCACATATATCCTGGGTATTCTGGAAGAAGAAATCAAGCTTCTTGATGGGAAGAGCACGAACGTTTACCTAGGTGGTATTAGTCAAGGCATGGCGACTGCGTTGTGGAGTTGGTTTTGTGCGAGGGATCGGTTAGGTGGGGTGGTGGGGTTTTGTGGGTGGATGCCGTTTGCGGAGAGATTTGGGGATGAGGATGGGGATGGCGGTTTGGATGGGGGAAGGCGGGTGGCTGCATTTTGTGAGGGGGTTGTATGGGGTGAAGTGCAGGGAGGCTGGGAGGGTAGGAGGGTTTTGGACTCGCCGGTGTTGTTGGGTCATGGGGTTGATGATCCGATGGTGTCTGTGGAGTTGGGGAGGCAGGTAGTTGGGATTTTGAAAAGGTCGGGGATCAAAGTACAGTGGGTTGAGTATGTTGGGGCGGAGGGAGATGGGCATTGGATTAAGGAGCCAGAGGGGTTTGATGCCATCTTGAGGTTTCTGGAATCGGGGTCTGGGGGTGAGTGAGATGGTATGCTTGTTGAATGAGCTATACAGCATCTTCTGGTAGTATGTGAGGGTTGCTGATATAGAAGACATCCAGTAGAAGGGGTTTAAATACACAATGGCGTCGTCCGGCTGCAAGAATCAATCATTCACACATCACTCGGACATTGATTATCATATTTTTCTATGAAATACACGGCTCCAGGCCATCACTCCAGTTGTTATGTCATCCAACAAAAACAAACAATAATCCATATCATGCCTCCCTGATCTCCCTTGCCGGTCCATCATGGTTAGGCGTGTGATTCATCATCTCGGCCCGCTTGTCAAACATCGCTTCTGCCATGAACGGACTTCGTTCGCGAATCCGCTTTCCCCAGACAATAAAAGACAACGGCGCCAGTGTCAACAAGAGACTGATGAATGCCAGCAATGTACTGGCCCACTGGAACCCTAACGTATTGTACATGCTCGAGGTGGCGAGAGGCAGAAAAGCCGCGACCGTGTTCTCTCCCACCACGAAACAGGCACAGGCGCTGCCGGCATATTTGCTGTAGGCGTCGACCACGTAATCGGCAATACCACTGACGACCACCACGCTGCCAAGCCCAACCATCCAGAGACCCACAGCGGGCGCAATCCATGGCAGCGAGGGGTACGACGTCCATCCATACACAAACATGCCACCTGCGATGCCAAAGATACCCCCGCCAATAGACAGGTAGAGCCTAGATTCGGGAATGGGCATCCCAGGGATCTCTTTATTCCGCTTGGCCGAATTGAAATATACCCGCGCAGAGAACAAGGAAAATGTCCAGCCGCAAGCTTCTCCAATCACGATTGCAGCCTGAATGTATCCTGACTGCACCGGGGTCCAGTTGTACAGCCCCACGAACACCTGTTCAACAGACTGCGTAAACAGATACAGCGTGCCAACGGTGAAGGCAGACCACAGAGTGGCGAAGAAGACAACGTATTCCGTGAAGAGCATCTTGAAAGGCCGGCGAATGCTGGTGAGCAGTATCTGACGGAAAGGTTCCGCCTCGAGTTCGTGCTGAGTGTATGCGTTCTCCCCCTTCGCTCGCAACCTCTGGGCCCGACGTTGCAGGATGACCGACCCTCGGGTTTCCTTCAGAATCACGATATTCACAAGCCATAACGCCGCGCACCAGATCAGTTGCATATATGATAGCCATCGCCATGAAAGAAACTGGAAGATCGCGGCACCCACCACGGGTCCGGCGCTACTCCCACCGAGATAGGCCACGATCCATAGAGCCACGGGCTTGGTGCGGTCCAACTCCGATTCGAAAAGATTGCCGATGATGCTGGCCGAGCTGTTTCCAAGTACCGCCACGCAGCCACCAGCAATGAAGCGGACAATGATGAGGGTGGCAAAATTCTGAGCCACGCCTTGAGGAATGATGAAGATGATCAACACGAAGTGAGTGACGAGGAAGGAGCGTCGAATGCCAAAGTCCTCCATAATAGGGAGGATGAGCAGCGAAAAGAAGACGCCACCCATGGTCCAAGAAGCCACAGGCCAGTAGGAATTGGGAAAGTTGGCATCGCTAATATTGAATTCGGTGTTTATGGCTTCATGCGCTACCGTGATGATGGTGCCGTTCATGAGGGCTACGAAGGTGGTCAAGAGCGCGGTGATCGTGATGAGCCATTTCCTAGGAGTAGACCAGTTGAATGGATTCTCGGAGTCCTTGGGGCCATCCCAGTCAACAATAGTCACCTCAGGGACGTCGCTTGAAGGGACTGTCTTGGTCAGAATCATATTCAAGAGAAGGAGCATGATGCAGCCGGTACTTACCCGAGGATTTCTCCCCGTCATCGCTGCTTGTCATGTTGGCTAATGAGGCTACCATGACAATACCCTCCCACAGAGGTGTCAATTCAGAAGCAATCTGTCAAGACAGCCACGCGGGCTTTTATTGACCAGGAACTAGACTGTATGTGCGGTATTTAGATGACAAGCACCATGCAACAAGACGGATGGTGTCACTGAGGGTAAGGTAGTGCAGGCACATTCCAAGCAGTCCGTGGCTCCCTTGCAGGAATCTATCCCAATAAATAAGACATTCACCTGGCCGGGAGAATCACATCCGGTTTACCGAAAGGGGTTAGGGAATGACTCCATCAGACAGCAGTGGAACTCTAGTCCAATCCAAGAGTCCTGGACAGTGAAGGGAAGAAAATAAAGACTGGTGCGTGAAGGGCTTGATGGGAAGTGGAGCCCACTGCCGCCAATGGGTTCAGAATTAGGTATGGGTCCAGAAACCCCGTGCAGCCCTATATGGATTCTAGAATTCTAGAACAATCAGTGGCAGGTACTTGCCTAAGGAGACTCGGATCAGTGTGTCGAGGGCATTGTAATGCGAGACGACATCCATCCAAGTCTCCCTTTTTGCCATGGGGTCCAATTTCATTGTTTTGGCCTTCAGGGACCCGTGGTGACTTCATCCTTGCCACCAAGGAACCAAAGCCCTCTATTTCCGCTTTCGACCGGGGGGTCTCGGTGCCTGCCGTATGGGGCTCTCCGTTTAACAGCCTCTTTGGGACTAGCACTAAATCACGTGAAGAGAAGCTTCCCGGCGGCTTACCAAATGCCATTATGCGATGCGATGGGATGCCGACAGCAATCTCAACAATGAATGCACCCTGCAAGTCACCACGGACCGGAGTGACATATTTCAATTGCAAATCGGGGAAGGCAGAGATAGCTCTGACTAGCATCCTCGACAGACCACCCTGACAGGTCAGCGGAAATTCCAATTTGCACAAATCATATTGTGTTTACGGTGTCCACAGTTGCTCGTGGAGATATACTATTCCCGGGGATTGATTCTGCTTTACATTGCAGCCACCCCAATGTGCCATCGATTACATTATCACAGGCTGGAGATTGGCAGTTTCAACTTCTTGACTGCTCGTGGACAATGAATGGTCTCTGCCTCCGGGTCGCGTTTCCCCCAGCACGTGATCGCGGGGGAAGTATATCCTCGGGTCTCACCATTCCCATCCCCACCGCCCAGTCGGTCTTTCCACCATACTCTTCGACCAGCTCTCTCGCCAGATGGAGCCGTCGCTCATAACGTTTTGGCTGGTCCTTAACACTGAGCACGTTGCCGTGCATCTGCAGCTTTGCGGTCCACTGGTTTGCTAATGCAAGCAGACCCGCAGACAAAGTCAACAAAAAGACGAGTCCGATCTTCCCCAGCTGTGTTGCATTACTGGCCACGGCCACGTTGAAATATACCATCACTGTTGCACACGCAGCTACCCAGCTCTCCACAGCTGACATATCACGAACCCATTGGCCGGAGGTGACCGCTTTGATGTTATCCACGTTACCAACCACCTTGATCCAGCGGTCTTGGCTGAGAAGAACAAGAAGATCCCCTCGTTTGTCTCCTTCGCGGGCACCCGACCACTCGAATTTGCTTCGTCGTCGTATCAAGATAACGTTGAGAAAGCGCACAAACATCAATATCACTGCGAAGGATAAGGCCCACCAGTCTTCTAGAAGGATGAAGACCCCGACCGCAATAATGGAGAGGGAGACCGCTCCAAGATAAGCAATAGTGGAGACATTGCTGGCATTATTGGTCGTGACGAACATCTCTGGCGAGCTGCCCGACGAATGTCCTTTGATGTTCGTAACCTCGACAGTGGTCAGAGAACCTGTCTTTCCAACACTCTGGAGGTAATACACGGTGGCTGGATTCTCGATGCGGAAGACATAACCCGTTACCATGTTCGCTGCTGCTGGATACTCGCCCTTACTGAGATCCGCAACATATTGTTGGCGATGAATTCCAGGGCAGAGCACAAGGCTGTCTAGAAGAGTCGCTGTTCCCGTTAGAATAGTCCGTTGAGAACTGGTTGATATATCTGCCAATGAAACAACGCCCGCAAGGTTCAGGGAGATCTCCGATAAGGCTTGCTCAACCCGAGATGCATGCTGCTGATATGCAATAAAGTCAGATGTCAACATTCCACTAACACTGCTATGCAATTCCAGAAAGGCTGGGTACCGACCTTGAGGAGCGCCGTTTCGAAAAGGCGTTCACATGTTATCCACCCCTGCGAGAACCGTGAAACGGCCTGAGCGGCATTATGCGACACATTGTAGATGAATTCAATGGGCGTCTGGAGATACAACCCTTCTGAGGTCGCCATGGCCAGCGTTGCGGTCTCAAATGCTTGTCAGGTGCACGCCAGCGACAAGTGTGTTGAGCCGGCCGAGTTTTCCGGTCGTCAGGTTGGCGGGGGTTGAGACTTGACAGGGATGCATTGTTGCCCGACTGCACGCCTATGCTGCGCCCCTTCAGACCGCTCTCCGACAGAAGGTTCCCAGTGAAACAGCCAGTTGGCTTTTGGGAGCGATCAACTGAGCGCCGACTCTTGTGATCTCCAACCCCAATCAACCTTGATCTACGAATGTTGTTGTTCGCTTTGACTGATGCGCACGGACCTATGCCGCACGCGTCCTGCGATCTGTGCAGCAAAGAAGAATGCCAGTTATACAAGGATCACAAGAACATGGCCAAGAAATGCTGACCTTCGTACTCCGTACTCTTCTACGGTGGGTGACCAGGTGGTGTACCCGACTTAAAGGCCGCCATTATTATTGGCTCATTCCCCACTCCCCGACCGTGGAAACGAGGCGGATTCCCACCTAGCAGCTGGTCTACATACAGTCTATCAGCAACAGCAGTTGTCTTTTCAAAAAATATATTTTTTTAGTTCAATTCAACCGATTCTTACGATACGCAGCATCCCTTGCAAACATGATGAACAACTGGCTCAACAACCAGCCAGGCCATTGTGGAAACCCAAGGTTGCTCACTAGTGTCCAAGCGTCATTCAAGAATTTCATGTTAGAGCTAGAGATGGATTGCGGAGGGCATCTCTGCCGCAAGACCAGGGCCTAAACTCCTTGTTTGAGTGGCGTCACGCGACAAATTCCAACCCTTGATCCGGCACTTTGTACCATTATCCGGCAGTGTGGTTCAAACATGGGTTAAATCAACGTGCAGGAGCCTGTCAGGTTTTGGCCTCACGCCCTTGCGTAGATGGAGCAGGCCATTGTGACCCGTGCAAAATAGCGGTTGGCAGGAGGTATTGCCGAGACAAGATCGGTAGATTTGGGTGTCGCGGGGAGCGAGGTGCCGCTAAATGCCCGAAGTATACTCCGTTATATCCGGAAGATTACATGTCGCGAGACAAGGCATGACAGCGAAGCAATAAAGCCCTTTCAAGTCTCATGCGCGTCAATGGAAGCGAATCAGGCATCCAGGCAGCAACAATGACGAATACTGGTAGGTACGGTAGGTCATTTGATTGGCCGGGAAATTGCGGGAGGCCCACCCCCGCAAAGATGTCGGCGTGCACGCGGCCGAGAGCTTTACAAGTTTTATTACCACTCCGCGACTGGATTGGAAGAACAGATTATGAGTCAGTCATCTTGAATTATACTATAATCTATGTCATCATCTAGTTGTAACGCGCACAGCGACGGCCGACAGGCGACGGATCTTTGAGGACGAAACGGTTTATGCCTTCTATGCCATGGACCGGGTCCTCATCAGACCGCCACAACGAAGAGTCCTCAAATGGCTCAGAGCAACAGACATTGCATGTTGCGGTGATTACCAGTTTTTTTGATACTCCCGCATTTGAATCAACTTCGGACCTCGATGTGTCTCCCGCCATTGCCAGTGGCGATCGCATTGAGGCGTCGAGTCAGATCGTTGGGTATAAAGGGTGTGCAATGTCCGGCCAATTTTCATGGCCGAATTCTCCAATTTGCATTGTAAGCTGTTCACTTTCACGGTTGGTCTCTTACAACCACTAGTTTGCGGACCTCTGCGAAACATATTTGCACTGGTCCCATGGAGTCAGCGACATATAACACAACGAGCTGGGATCTTCCTAACAGGGACCCAAGCTGTCATGAGTTTGTCCAGACCACCGCCTGATAATCGGGTCGGAATTGACATGTCTAACAATAGTGACACCTGCACCATTGCTACCCGAGTCCTCGTATCCCGATGCAGTGACGTTGAATCCGCGAGCACTTGGCGATAATGGGTCGGGGTCGTAACACACACTCGTTCCGCGAGCGATCTTGACCAGACGGCCCAGGATCGCATATTCTAATTTCAACTTGATGCTATAGGCGACGGGCTTAAACATGACTTGCAGCGCATAGTACCCGGCGTACTCAATGGCGACGACTGCCACATCCAGGATAAGGATGAGTATGTTGATAACGAGTAATTGAGTCAGGATGACGAAACGCGGCCGCTCCGGGCGAAGACGCAGCATTTTAATGGTTTCCCACACATATATACCGGAAAGAAGGGCCTCTTGGACGGAAAACGCCACGAGCTGGATCCGCTCCATGATGTCGTACCCTCTGGCGAAGTTGGGAGCATCATTTAAGGACCCATAGAGAAGGACTGTGGTGGGTATCTGGAAGACAATGCAGTCGATGATGATCATACCGAGGAGGGCCCGTAACAGCCTCGGTGCCTGCAGGAGGAGATGCAATCGCGACCATAGAACGAGAGAATTGCCAGTGATAATGCAGAACCATGTTGGGATGATCAAGGAAACGGGTATGTAAGGGGAGATTCCGAAGGAGAAAATAAAGAGCAGGTATCCCACGCAATGAGGAATAAGACTGATGGAGGTGATGAACAAACTCCAGAAATAGCATCCCTGGTATCGCTGAAAAGTTGTCAGGCACAGCACCACGAGCTCAATTGCATTGTACCAGGTGATGGCGGCAAAGGCGGAGATGACATATTTCTGGATGGTGTCGGTCGGAGTGATCGATGAAAAGTCGCCGCGAGAGGTTTCGATACCGACAGTGTGTGACATAGTACCGAATCCGGTGTCGTGGGCCAGGCAATCGCATATCGAACGGGGCGCTGGCGATTAGCGACTGGATCAATTGCGAAAGGAGGGAAGGAGTTGAGGAGCCGACAGGTTCTATAACTGGTCGGGGAGCTGCAACTTTTCCAGGAGCTCCATATCGGCCAGAGTTCTTTGGCACAGAATTGACAATACAGCTTCGCGGAAGAGAACAGGAACGAGAACAGGTAAGAGAGCAACTTGGAGGGGAGAAGCCTTCATCTTGTAAGTCGGATGGCCATGGCCGGTAATTGGTCCGCGCGGGTTGCCAAACCTTAATGCCGACCTCTGACGTCTTCGACCCTTCTAGGCCTCCCCCCGTCTTTTCTGCAGGCAAATCGCGAGGGCAGAGGGCTACGAACTCAATTCTCAAATCATAAGGCACGGCCGACCGGCGTGGTGGGACCCAAGCGCCCTTCTGGAAGCTCGAATCGTCCTACAAGCCAGTGTTTGGACTTTGACATCAGTCCAGGGCATTCGCATCAAGCCACACGCCAAGCGCAATGGTCTACGCCGTAGTTACTAATCTGAACCTAGATATGGACATGGGGAATCTGATTGGGTGGTCACAGCTTCCAACTCGGCCGCAAGAGTGCGACGGGTTAAGGGAAGTCTTCACGATCCAAGGTTGTTCAACCACACGTGCAAAAGATTATCTAATATCATTCGACGCGACAGCCCCAGGATTGCCGAACTATGACGGTGGCATGTACCTGGTCAATTCCGGATGTCGGCAAGACCGATGCCTTAGAATCAGACAATCCATAAGTGTGTTGTTCATGTTGTTGCCCCTTGGCTCGTCAGTGGACAAAGATAGAAGTGGCTGTTGGCTTGAACGCCACACGGGTGCCTGCGGAATCAGGGGCCAGCCTGTTTGCGATAAGGTTATCGTGGAGGCTGTGTACTTGCCGAGATTTCTCTACGGTTGGCCGGAACGGACAGACAGGCCAGATCAACCGCTCGCTGACAGATAATGAAGACGCGCTTTTGATGAGTATTGCAGGACATACATCCGAGCACTTTGCGTAGCTCAAGAGCACGCTCGATCCTCGATTCAAGGGATATGTAGCGTTCTTACCAGTACGCCAAAACGATATACCGCTGGCCATCTGGAGAACAGACGGAACGAAGACTATATCCCAACAGGATATTTTGACACCATATCGCAGAGACATGCTGGATGATCTAGACCCCGCATTCGCCACGGATCATGCCAACCCAAAAGCATCTATCAACCAAGTCCCACAACAATGTACGCAGCGAATCACAGGTCATGGGGACATTTGATGAACATCAACTCTAGTGGTCTGTGCATAAGCATCGCCTTCCATCCGTGCGCTGCGTAAGTTTCTACCTCTCTTTCTCGTTTGTCTAAGATAGACAAAGCAATTCAATCGGACACAGGAACCTAGGTAATGAGCTTTCTGTTTTTACCATCGGCACCTGCCTACTATGGACGGAGGCACTCTTGGTCCAGGGTAATCGGCAGCTGCCTGGAGTGGCATTCTCATGTGACCAGAGTAGCCACGACTCTTTCCTTCTTGTCACAGAGCTCCCCCACTTCAGATACCTTGAGCTCATACATCACCCACTTGAATCATACCAATCGACATGAACTCCACTCTCTTTCAGCTCCTTGAATACGGTCATACCCCTTCGATTAGAACATTACGAAGAATACTCGTCATACCACCCAATATTACCCCCAAAATCATCCTGCAGTCAATGACAATCACCCTCTGTTACTACTCATAGCAAAACTAATCCGGAAAATTGAGCCTCGCACTGAGATGAATCCTCCTTCTTCCGCCCCTGATCTAGAATCGCAGCCCATGGCAAGCAACCTACCCGCGAAGAAATCCTACGAAGGAAAATGCCTAGATACTCCGGAAACCTCCATCCGAAACCTGGGAATGACATATAAGGAATTCCGATTTTCAACCTCGATTAAGGAAATTATATGTTTTCACATATATTGGTCGAAAGACGGTCATAGTCAAAGAACCCGTCCAGCTTTATTATGTTCCGCCGTGGGATAACGAGGGCTTTATATTGAAGAAGGAAACGGTCCCTGGCTGCGATCTTTGTTCAAGAGAGTTTGCAAAGGACTTTGACGACACAATCTCATTGTCACGGGCCGTCTTTACGAGGTCGAACGAAAAGTTGCTTTGTTCTCATGACCACACCTAGGTCGTAACTCATCTATAAAAAGACGGCTGCTACAGAAAATTGACATCGGAAATCGGCACTCTTTGCAATTGACCCCGCACCCAATGCTTTATATATGATGATGATATTTGGCGTCCGGATTAACAGGATCCAACGGTCGTCATGGCTCCATTTCCAGCCCCAATCAGGAATCCCTCACCAGCACCTATGAATTATTCATCGGTTCCCATAGGCCCAGCGGATACAGAGACAGGCTCGACCGGGTCAAGAGCCGTAGTATATGTGCCACTCCACCAGCTACCAACTTACCGCCCTACCCAAGAATCCCTGGCAGACATTAGATGCGTATGCCGAATCGTCAAAGAAAAGCTCAACCTTGAAGTGAAGATAGTTGAGGCATGTGAGGCACTTGACCCCCACGGCTCCACCAAGTCATACCTGGTCAGACTTCATGCCCCAACAGCAGAGCCAGGTGAAGTGGTCACGCAGGCCGGCACAGTGCGCACCCCCTACGCCATGCGAAAACTGATCGTCCAATTCAAGAGTACGCGGAGGATGACCATGTCCGACGCTTACTGGGCAACGAACAAAGTTGCGGCTATGAAATTAGCCAGAGATATCATTTACAATACCCCCTTTGAAGGAGCGGTCCCGGAAGTCTACTCCTGGTACGAAGGAACAGATAGGCCTGGGGACAAGGCATGGGTCATACAGAGCGCTCCTCCATCTGATTCCGTACCACTCAAGTCGAGGTTCAATCGTGAACACGAGCAGAAAGATATACTCGACCATATTGCCAAACTGCAGCGATATTTCCAAGCCTATAAAATGCCGCGGTCTTATGGAAGCTGTTCGTTCACGAGCACCGGGCAGGTATGCGCAGGACCATTGCAGCAGCCTAACTTAGGGGGACCCTTTACCACATCGCGGGATATGATGAAGGCGGAGCTTCGGCGAGATTTCTCTAGGGCCAAGAGACACCATGAGCTTCAAGGCTGGACGTGCGAGCCAGAGTTACGACAGCAACTCGCCGAGTTCATAGCCCACTCAATGAACACAATGTTGAGTACAATCCAGGACTGCGATCCAATATTTACACTAAACAAACTGGGTAAGTTCCTCCAATCACCCCTATTGCCTTAAATACAACTAATAGGGAACAGAACTCAGCAACTTCTTGTGTGACAAATACGGGGGACGCATAAACTACATCATCGACTTTAGCTGGGCCTCCATCACCCACCCAATCATGGAATTCTTCAACTCATACGTCACCATGTTTGGAGTCCTCCCCTTTTTTCCTAACGAGAATTGGGCTATTCTCCATCGAGCTGTGCTCAACGGCTTCGAAAAGAAACACGTGGACGTCGATCTCCGTGGATTGGACTTTCTTGCCTATATCCAGGAAATCAGAGACCCGGCGGAAAGTTATCGTATTGGAAGGGAATTGTACGAAGCCTTTGAGAAAGCCAAAGTGAAGACCCCGAGAGAGATTAAAGGAGCGGAGGCCATGTCGGCGTTTATGGGGTTGTGTGCTGCTGTGGGAGCGCGATCTTGGTCCCCCCCTGGTGCGTCCCCGGAAGATGTGTATCAGGCAAAGGTGAAGAATTTGACGGATTCTCTGCGGGAAGTGCGCAAGTGGGCGAATTGAATGATGGGTTTGTGATGAAGTTTTATGCGCATTCTGGGTTTACGAGGCTCTTGGTCTGCATATGCGATGGGATGGCTACGAACAATTCATGGAGAGTTGCTGTCGGCCCATGAAAATATTCATTTTCGGGATGATACTTTCAATAGGGATATGTTTATTAGACTAGTTGTTTCCACTATATATGGAGTCATTATATATGGCCGAACTTGCAACTTATTATGAAGAAAAGTCTGAGTTCTTGTGTGTTGATATCTGTTTCCTTTGCTTAGATTGAGTATTGTGGATGTTAGGAGGTCGTATTGTAGTTGTATTATAAATTGATCCGTTTATATTATATTTGATTACTATCTTCAATGATTTCACTGATATTAATCCTGATTGTATTCCATATCTAATGGATGGATACAGATAGTTACCATGGTTTGTACGAACAGCCTATTTCTTTTGAAACGGAAGGGGAATATACGATCTTCATTAGCTTGATTCTGTATTGTGAAGGTACTACTGCGAGTGAGTTGTATGTTACAGAGCTGGGTACTTGGATAACGATATGCTCGTAGATTTTCTGAAGTGTCATGATTGTGTAGCTTATGTATTAGATGTTGTGATAGGATTATCTCCTTGTTAAACAAAAACAGTATCTATTGTAGGTGAACTGGATAGTAGGCTACCGAAGGGCAAGTTTGACCGAACGTTCAATTGAGAGTGTTTCGTGGGAAAGTCGTGTTACGCCTTTCTCACCTACCGAGCTTCCGTGTAGTTAGTTTAAGCAATGTCTATCATTCGCTGCTACTAGGACCCCAGTCCCATCAGGTAAGAGTCATCCTGGAAGCCTCGAAAGAATGGAAGGCTTGAGAAGAAAGTGTCATTATCATTCCCAAGATCTGTAGGCTGACCAAGATCCATATGCAAAATGTCGGGGAACGGATCCGGTACAGTGACAGTTGCTGAATTGTTGCTTGCATAAGGGGGTTGCAAGGAATCATAAGGCGCTGGAGGGAGGCTGGATAATTGATCCAAAGCTGGTAGAACGTCGGTTTGAAGAACATTATTCTGAGGCGTGGTCTTTCCTCGACCCCATAGACGTTCGAGCAACTTCGCATAGCGAGAGGCGATATGAGTTGGGACTGAACCGACAGCTTTGAGCAGAGAGATAAATTGGCCCGTGAGTGCGGCGCAGGTTTGGCACTCTTCTTGGTGTAATGCTCCGACGGAATGAGCTTTGAAGAGAAAAACGGATGCATATATCTCATAACTGAGAAGGCATGTGTCAGAAAGCGGTTGTAGCATGGTAGATGGTTTGATGGTATCGTCACTCACAGATAGTACCGAATAGGAAGAAATTCGACATGATCGTGTGGAATGGAACCCTCCACGAGGCGTTGCAGCAAGAATTTTGCTGCATCAATAGCTGCGTAGATATGGCGGCCATCCGGACTAGCCATAACACTGTCCGGAAAGAAGGAGCCGGTTTGTTCCTCAATTGGCAGGGAGCTTGTCTTGTATGATCGATATATCACTGCTTGAAACGCGAAGGCGTTGACATAGAGCTGCAGGTATTCAAATTGCAGTGTGAGAAGGCAGGATAGAGAGGAGGGGACTTTGACCTTGGACCAGAGCCCCTTCCACATGTCCATCGCCTTGGCTCCATCATCCAGGTACTTGGAGTAGTCTCCCATGAGCATCAACTGTAAGGTCCGTGACTTTGACGCGTATAGGATATCGTGGATATTTCCAAAAATAGTTGTCAACTCTACCTGGGCTTGCACAAATGAAGCATAATCAAAACCGCCAGTCATTGCCGGTTGAAGTGATGGGTAGTCCTGGGTGCTGAATCTGGTCGATAGGCCAGGGCCACGACACCAAAAAGCCTGGCCCATTTGTATCGATATCTGACGGTCGGCGAGATATGTAACTAGAGGCAGTCAGCGGCAACCCCCAGTGCATTTTCCTCACCTACATATCCATGCTAGCCTTTTTCGACATGTAGTACCGTGTGGTTCGGATTCTACTTCGACCGGAAAAGATTGTTTATCCAGATGTAAGAGGTAGGCCTGTCGAACCCCAAGGCCTATTAGGTTCCATGCAACACAGTCTTCATCGTATGTGCTGCTTTCTTTGGACTAGCTGTCCTGGGGTTGTGCATCTGAACCGATCAGATGTGGCATCCATTCGGCTAGCAGGAGTATACCTTCTACCGAACCAACATTCCGCACATTATTGGCACCAAGCGCGACACGAAGGATCAATTTATCTATGTGTCTCCGGAGTCTGGTATGAAGGAGTTGGTGGTCTGGTCTGTTTTGGGTCGCTATTGTAAGCACGGAGGCAAGAAGAAAGGCCTCTGTAGCCCACGAATGCTCGGGGTTTTGAGTAGTTAATAAGTTATTCGGGACGATCGGAAAGTAGGGGTGATAGTTGGCTGTGTAGCTTGTGTATGCTGCGAGTTAGCCACCGCAATCTTGCCAAGCTGAGCTTCGACATACTATTTGAGTAGGGCAGTCAAATGGTGTATGCCAATAATCCCTTCCCGGATGATCTCTGTCGTCATTATCAAGGGATTGCTCTGTTTCAGAGAGTGGCATTGGTCTTGGCGACCCTTTATCAAGGCTGCTGATCTCCGAGAAGTCTTCCTTGGAGGCGCTTTCTCGGCTTCCTCTGCATTGGCAGCGGTTTGGGCAAGGATCTGAAGCGCCTCCAGGGGATTTTGGATTCCTCCGTGGAATATATTATCACCCCCCAGCTCTAACGTCCTGTCCCGTAGAGGTTCAGGATCGAAATCCGGTTTGCCTTTTGAGCCTTGAACGCCGATTGGAGGCTGTATGTGGGCGGAATCACGACGTCGCCCTCGAAAGCGCGAGTAGTTTCCTCCTCTGCTTGAAGTTGCCGGTATACAATGATAGCCCTCGGATGATCACTTTGAACAAGGCTCATAGTTGTCTCCACGTGTATATTGTCTAAAATGGATGGATGTGAGAAAGTGAAGCCATGATCGAAGAGTGCGAGGTAGGAAGCACACTCACAAATCACATTTCGTTTTGCGTTGCCGACAACGGAGGCAGGCCCGGTAAAGTCTTGCACCGGTGCTCTTGGTCATAGCTATCCGATGGAAACAACAAGCTCCGACTGGGGGATGAAAGGGTAGAATGGGTTGTAGTCAGTGGGATAGGTGAGAGAAGTGGAAGGGAAGTGCGGGGAGCCGGAATCGGCAATAGACGGTTGTAGTTCGCTTTAGCCGGCCAGATCGATAAGGCCCTCCTCGATTTTCTGTGGCTAACCCAGAATTGTATCCAACAGCGCATACCGCCAACATGACGACCAGCCTTTGTGAATCCGAATTGTTCACTTCCGCTCGTCTGGTAGCAGACAATTACGTCTTGCCTCAAGATGACCAATACGGGAATTACTATCCCACGGATCCCAGAAACCTCAGTCTCGAATCCAATTTTGGACCTATGATACCAGATAACATCGGATACCTGCAGCCTACATCGAAGAACACTCCGATCGAAATCATGCGCGAGCGGTTCAACAGGGACGGCTACCTTTTCGTAAGTCATTCACCCATCTTGCTGTGGTACGTTCATGCCAATACACAATAGATCAAGCACCTCCTTCCAAGGAACCAAGTCCTAGAATGTAGATGCAAGTACTTCTCCTACATGGCGCCTTCTGGGCTGCTCAAAGAAGGGTCGGACCCAGTCGATGGAACCTTTAGTGAAAAGGATAGCCGCAAGTTCCTGCCACCAGGGAACCTCCGACCACTCTTCGGCCTCAAGAATAATTATGAATCGGAGAAGTATCTGGACTTGATGATCAACGCGCACGAGGAACCGTTCTATCTGCATCTTTGTGGGAGCACAGAGCTGCGTGGGTTTATTCAAAGGCTCACCGGATGGGAAGACATCACCATGCTTCAACGGACTATGCTTCGTGCCTTTGTTCCTGATAGTGAGCTGACACCCGTTCACTTTGATCAGATGTATCTTCGTGCAGGACCACCAACCAGCCTCACCGCGTGGGTCCCAATCGGGGATATTTCGCTCAAGGGCAGCGGGTTGATGTATCTCGAGGGATCTACGGATATTGGGCGGCAGACTGAGGCCGAGTTCACGCGCAATGCAATCAACCTAACGGATGAGGAGCGTGTTTCGGCTTTCAATAAGAATATGAGCGACGGGGGATTCCTGAGTCGCGATACCGTGGCATATGGAGAATACGCTCAGCGTAAGTGGCTTATTACGGAGTATGAAGCCGGGGATGTGATCTTCCACGATCCATTCTTGGTGCATGCCAGCTGCAAGAACAAGGACCCCGAAAGACGCATCCGGTTGGCCACAGACCTGAGGTTTGTCGACTCCAATAAGCCATACGACAAGGTATGTTTTGCACCTCATTCTACGAGGTGATCGCTAATAGGAGATAGCGGTGGATGAAGGTGTGGCGGCCTCTTGACGGTCTGTGATGGTTTAAATATTACTCCAGGTGCTCAATGCGACAGCCTTTCACGTTTGTCTTTTTCATTATGGGTCGATAACCGAGCAGAATATTTGACTAGCATGTATTTTGCATCACCTAGGCCTTCAACATCGTACAGAAACAATTAGAAAATCCGATTACTTGCCATAAAGCGAAAGCTATTTCCAGAGATAAGACGCAAAATGTCATAGATATTCCAGCTACTCGTAATTGTCACCCAAAGCATGCCAAATCAATGTAAGCAACATCTCCGCCGACAGAAACGAGCCAGAGCATCCCTATTCAAACTGCGAATACTGAAGGGATCAAAACCGGGGTCTAGGTCAGTAGGCCGACCTCGCAAGGTACTAAACCGAGAACACCTCCAATACTTAGACATCTAACAGACTTGAGAGGGATGTTTCCAGAGAGGGGCTCGTGAGCAAGAGGGAAAGATGGGATGGTGATCACCTGACCGGAGAGATTGCCGGACCCCGCCATCGGCTTCCCCTTCTCTTCCCTGTCTTGCTGTGCAACTACCCTCGGAATGATTATCCCCGATGTCCAATAGCAAGATATGCTTGATATGCTGATTTTTGTCAGACTTCTGTTCCTATTTCCGACCATCTTCTTTATCCGATGTTACATCGTCCTGCTTACGGGTTACAGCAGGTTGCTGGGATCCACTTCGCCTGAGTTCACGCCTTTGAATCCTGATCACGATAGTTATCGTCGCTAATGCTTTTAGAGTAATCTCTCTAGTTCTCAATCTGCTCCAGACTTACAAGACACTCAGGCTTTGAACGTGGAACCCCCAGCCGATATGAGGTGGCGGAACTCATCGGAGATGACCAACTCCACTTGGATGAGAAGGGGACGAACTGCGAAGATAAATGGACCGGCAGGTCGGGGTCCGCCCACTCCATTATACGGTTGCCTGAAAGGACTACCTCGATACGGCACACTGAAGGATCATAAGCCACGATAATAGGTATCACTTGTTTGACCCTTGCCGATGACCGGCAAAATACTTTGCCTCGTCTGAAGAAATAATTTGGCACGAAAGGGTAGGGGTCTTGCGGTTGTGCGGAGAAAGGGGGACTAGTTTGCACCTCGCTAGGCCATTCATTCGCGTAGGGTCAGCCTTGGGTCCGCGTTATTTCCCGGGGGGATTCGCAATTTGGTGGCGTGGATAGTTCAGGGACTTGGATGCCCGGACCCCGACGGCGCGGCCCTAAGCCGACCTTAGCGCTTGGATCCGACTCTCGCATCAATGCTTAGCGTCGCCTGCCCTCATCCTGCCATAGGTCCTGATTGGTTAGGTTCTACTGACCAGGCTATCAGGGCCCTTCGTCTGTTCCTTCGATTTCATGTCAGCATGACCCTGTTCTCGGGTTCCATTGGTCGACTCCCACATGTCGAAGGATGGCTCACTCAGGCGGCTCTGGCGCGATGAGGCTGCAGGATTGGAACCTGGAAGATTGCATGCACTACAGATACGGTATGTCGCTCCGGCTTACGATTGCGGAGGCACGCATAAGTGTTCCGGAACTGAGCCGACCGCAGCAGCAGCAGCAAGCAAAGGCGGCCATACCTAGTTGCTGATTTGGTTATTATCAGGTTATCGACGGCCGACCCAAGTGCTTACATCGACCCACTTGCATTTCGCGTGGCTACACCTGCAAGCGATCATGAGCGGCCATCATCGAACATATCATACTCAGCCTCAAGGCTGTAGTCAAGTCACTTCATGATTGATACTCCGAGTTCTTCAAGTACTTGCACATCCAGTAAATATGCGGGCACTGTCAATGGCAGTCTTCCTACGATGTACTCCTTGGATGCTATCGGCAACCTGCACCCCAGAAGGAATGTAAGCCTTCAGCCTCGCGTCTTAGCTTCTCAGTAGCTTCCTTGATTGCAGAGCTTCTACAGCCACCACATGCAGCCAAGTGGATCGATCAAGGGCTTCTTCACTGGCCGTGCTCGGCAATATCTCCGAATCTGACAGTATAGAGCCTGTCAATCTACGCTACACTCATCTTGAAGCCATGCTTACTACCATAGCCTCCATCCTTCTCGTATTTCGACAAATCCCGTAGCCGAAACCGTCCAGCTAGTAGTATACTAGCGATATGGATTGATTGATCCATGTAGGCGGTCTACAATGTATCGTGCCATCCCCAACCACGAGCCACTCGAATAGCACTATCGAGCAGCAAGGCTGTGCTCTATCCTCGTGTCGGGACCTCTCCAGCGAAGGTATATAAACCTGGTGAACTCCCCTGCAATTTCTTCTCATCATCACTCCAGCAATCCTTATCTCCTCAACCACCATCCACTTCTTATCCAATCTCCTGAGAATATCTCATCAACCATCAAAATGAAGGTCTCCGCCATTGTCACCATCCTCGCCACCACCGCTCTCAGCGTCATGGCTGCCCCTGCTGCCGACCAGAGCGCCAACGGCCTCATGGCCCGCGGTGACAGCGGCTGCTACGCCTTGTAAGCCTTCCTACTAAGACGCCATCAAACAACCTCACTAACAAATATCCAGCGCTGACCCCGACTGCGGTGTCGACGGAACCTTCTGCCAGTGTGCCAACGGTACGTGAAGCACTGCCCCGCCACTCTATATCTATCACCTACTGACCCTACATCAGGATGGTTCTACCTCTTCAACACCGACGAGGGTGGCTGCAACCCTCCCTGGGGTATCGTCGCCAAGGACATCAGCGGTCTCCCTGGCTACTACTGCTAGATGGGTCTTAAGTTACCTGACTGGCTGTGATGTGCTGTCGTGAATACAGCACAAGAATGTCGCAGGATACGTGGTTTCATTTGTCATGATAGCTTTGAATAACAATTGTTTAATTTGTAAACCTTTTCGCATGGGTTTAGATAGCAGTAGCTACTGTAGAAATTATTTATTCTCGACACTTACTCATCCCTGCACGCAACAAAGTAAATCTTACCCCTCTCACCCTCTACCTTTCCTCCCCACAATCTATATAAACAGTTCTCCTCACTCCCCGGAACAAACCAACCTCAAATATCCCATCAATAAAAAACACCCCAATACAACAAACTCTACATACATCCTCAGCCCCCTTCAAAAGACAATTCCATCACCGCCACCATCATACCCCATCAACCTATCCACACCCTCTCCCGCATCAACACTAATAAACTATCACCACGACCAACAATCACACAGCCAACACAAACAATCCAAGAGTCTTTAGATATACAGTTCACGAAAGGTACTCTTTCGAACTACAATTAGGAATTGATTAGCAACATGTTTATAGGCTTATTTTTGTATGGGAAACGGTAGTGGGGTAGAGACTGGGGTTCTGTAAATATATATATATCCGTCATAGTTGATTGCACGTTCTGGTCGGGGTTTGGAATAGGGATGCGTTTTCCAGAGAGGGGAGGGTTCCCGGTTCTCTGGGGTTACGAGACCCACGGGCATTTTATAATGTGTTTTGTGGATGCGAATGGTTCTTTAACTTGAGGGGTAGGGGTTATTGGTTGTTGATCGTTGTAATGTATGTAGGGACGAGTGAGTGATGCACTGGGGAAATTTGACCAGATTTTGACACCAAAAGAAATGGGAGGTCTCACGCGATAGCTTGACTGTTGAATGGACAACCACAAAAGAATTCAACACGGGATAAGCAGAATATGGTTGGGAAGGCTACTTCCATATAGTTATAAAAACCCTCCTCAATATGGCATACTCGATATAGAATGGCGGCACAAATTCCTCGACCATTCTATCCCACGATCTGCGCCAGGTTCGAGCGGACATGGCGCGGTAGTACTCCCAATAGTCTGGCCAGTATCCTGCGTGGTCCCAGTGCAATATTACTACAGTCCCATCGGAGCGGACGAGCATGTTTCCAGGATGAAGGTCACCATGCGTGAACACGATGGTGTGGCCCATCGTTGGCAGCTGCCGAACTGTCTGATATATGGTATACTCAGTGTTCCAGAAGTTGGAGTCGGGATCGGCCGGTTCGTCAAGTAGGTGAGAGGGCAGGCGGTCTTGTAACGCTTGGACGATACCCTCGGTAAACTGCTCCTCAGAGGCATACGGTCCATAAGAATAGTCCTCGTCGTCGTACTCGAATGAACTTGCAATGAAAATGCTACCTTTGCAAGGAGACAAGTTAATGCCGCCGATGAAATCTCCTTTCATCGATCGCATTTGCGCAACGTAGTCTTGCAATTGTCCGAGGATGTTCTGTCGTTTGCGCTCTGAGTTTCTGTCCCAATACTTGCTAAAAGGTTCGCCTTTCTCATCCGACATGATAATATAGCATGTGCCATAAAGACTATAGGCGCTAAACAGCTTTGGGATCGGTATGCTGGTATGGGTGGACACGAGATGCATGGCTTCGGCTTCTGCTAGCCGAACCCCGGGACCGTATTTCACAATTGTATTTGAATCAACCCGAACGTGACGGGGACCGAGCCTCTCTGGGAAAAGTGCCGATTTATCCTCCAGATCTCGTCAATTCAATATGATTGTCGGTGGTCCGATAGCTTCGGAGAAAACCAATGCTGGCTCCGGCTCTGGCTTCGCCGCCTTGGTGTCGTGGGTAGTTTCTTGGACGGGGAACGATGCCGTTTCTTCATTTTTTTCATCTAAGCCACTTCCTGATTTCATACTGAGCGGATGCTTTTGAAGTGCTTCTTGGATGGCTGGCTCATCAATGGGTTCACCGTACATGTTTTTCAGGCAGTCACACTCGGAGAGTGTCATACCTGTCCCGCCATATTCAGGCGGTATGTCAGCCCCGAGATGGCCAGCCAAATCTCTTGCACGTTGAAGGATAGTAGTGTTTCTGAGAAGGTTTTCAGGGATGTCCATATTAGCAAGGTAGTCGTAAGATGGCCTTACGACGTAGATGGCACCAATAAGACCCGGGTAGTATCGTTGAATACGGAGCACGTGTTTGGCAAAATTGTCACGAATATTCTCACGAAGAGATCTCCCTCTCGAACGGATATCTGGCGTATAGGAAGGTCTGAACTGGACAACACAGGTGGCCTTCAGATGCGCATCACTATCCTGTTCATCACGTGCCGTCAAGAGCACAGATGTAAGGTTCTCTAGGGCAGCGATTCCCACTCTAGTGAGCCCCCTATTACGCAAAAACTCTTCGTATAGTAGGGAAAGGCTCCGAATGGTATTCTCATCGACCATTACCCACATGACGTGTTTGTCGCCTACACGCATTATATACTGCAGACCTGATTGGGTAAGTATCTCTGTTGCTTTTTTGAGATATGATCTTGGGATAGCATCACGCCGCCATTCTAAGGCGCTTCGGAGCTAAATGGTTGCCTTAGAGAGACGAAGCAGGGGTAGAATCGAATGCTGTTCAAGAAACTGCAGACGCATAAGTGGTTGGCTTCCTAAATAAGGTGTCACAACTAGTACCTTCCGGACGACAATTTCTGTATTTTTATCATCATCTCCCCCAAGATCAATGGTCCAGAGCTCGCTGTGACGCACATCTTCAATAATTGAAGGTAGTTTCTCGAGCAGTTTGACGACATCCTCCAATAGGGATGGATCCCCATCCGTGGCCATTCCTTCGATCTAGCGAGGTATACAGCAAGGTTCAATTGTGTTCGGCGCACCTCGTGCTGTCAAAATCTCTGGATGGTATGTTGAAGCATTAAGTGATTTGTATTGTACTAACGACGCATCCCAAAATCGTTTCCTGGCAGCGCGATGAGGTAGAATAATGTCGGAAGTCGAAAATCGAAACGATAGCCGCCAACGAACTGCCCCACTTAGTCACGTTTGGTCACAAGTCAAGAACGGAGAACCTCAGGCCGGCTGAATCTCGACCAGTCCGCCAAGCTGAGCGATGGAACCAAAAAGCCTGGCTAGATTTGGGGCTTATAGCCCCCAAAGTGTTCTACTGACATTGGCCAAGTATGGTTAATACCAATCGTTTGGGAGGGGTACTGTATCGTTGGTGTCTCGCAACCTGTGCACATGGCCTGACTTCCACATACATGCTGTAGGATCTTTGTGTACCGCAAATACGATTTGACATATCGCTACTGTTTGCTACTATTCATGAATCTGAGTTATGCATTTCTATATGAATCCCGTCAGGCACAGCATAGGTTAGATTCTAGGAGAATGAAAATGAATCTACCCTGCAACACGTAGGAACCAAATCACGTACAGCTATAGGTCTCAAAGGTAGGAGATTTGGTAACTTGGAATACTGTCTAGTTAAACAGCACATAAATCCTAATATTCTGTATCGATACCTCCTCTCATCCCACGATACTTGTCTTTGTTCTCACCTATCACCTCCGCACGTGATCATCCTTTGGCGCCTACGCTCCAGGCAGACAGTTACGCGCCATCTCAACCATCATCCATCATCCATCATCCCAAGAGCCATCATCTATCTTCCTAGAATCACATCTTAACATCACGATGAACCACCCAACTAACGAAGCCCCCATCCCCACCCACGCCATCAGCATCAACATCTACGGCCGCGGCGACGCCACCCTCAACGACGGCCCCTCCCACATGGGAATAGCCATCTACGAGCTCGGCGCCTCGACATGCACAATGCACCACATCCGCAACCCCACCGACGCCGACTTCATCTACGATCCACGCGAGCAACCACTTGAAGACGACCCCGTCCTGCGAGGTCGATGCGAACTAGTCTCGTTCTTGGGAGAAGAAAGCTCGCGCGTCAACAACCTCCTTTCTTCGTTCGGGAACGATGCATCGAATATTCCTGAATTCGGGGTGGGGAATCGTCAGGATTGGGTTGCGGGGGCGGTTGGGATGCTGGAGGGCGCCGGGGTGGTGCGGACCGGGGAGGGAGAGTTCTGGAGGAAGATGATTAATCGGAGTGCGGAGGGGATGAAGGAGGCTTGTGTTGGGTCCGGGAGGAAATGGGTTGATGGGATGGAGTTGGTGTTTGAGGGGAAGGCCGATGCGAGGTTTGTGGATGGGAGGGATGGGGTGGGGAGGTTGAGTGATAATGTGGCTTTGAGGGAGAGGATGCAGTTGCTGACTGGGACGATGGAGGAGGGGAAGGAGAAAGGGGGGTCAGAAAGGCCGGTTTATGTTTCGAGTCCTTTTTTTAGTAGGTCGAACGGGGGAGTTTGAGTTGGTCTTGGTCTTGTTTTTGTCGTCTTTGCTGGGTTGTTGGAATGTGGTTTGAAAGGAGAGGAAATGGTGAACTTGCAGCGATGCTTATCAGGAGATTAGCGAATTTCCATATAGAAAGAAATAGTATAGAGCTAAAATAGCTCTCGTTCTTTCTGATCCTCATAATGGGCAGCCAAGCTAAGTCAAAGTCAATACTTTGCCCCTCTATAATTCCTCGTACCCATGCGGCATATAGCACTTTGACAGCACCGTGGACTGTCATGTGGCAAAGCCAGTGATATCATCGTAAAGATGATCCAGTCTCATTCACATGATACCATTCTCGGTATCACTTTGGATTCCCAGCCAGATTCATCCCCTGCAGACTACATATCCCAATCTTGTATACGACGAGATCATCGGTATTGGCACCAAGGTAGCATTCACCTACCAAGTCCAACGTACGGCATCAGACCACCACTTTATGTACATCTTTTCCAAACCATTCCTTTATATCTGCATTTACTCCATCTCCTCGAAGCGTCTCAGGTCCATGTCCTTCTCCAAAAGGGGAATGACATAGGGGTCGAAGGTCTTCCAGTAGGGGTTCTCGAGGTGGTATTTCTGGGATCCCTCGTTGAGGTAGCGCTCAACGATGCAGAAGTCCTGCTTGTCGTGGACGCTCTGCATGACGAACCAGGACAGAGTCTCCTTGTCCTGGGAGTAGACGCGCGAGGCTTCGATCAGCTTGGCGTGGAGCTTGGAGATGCTCTCCTCGTCGGGCTTGGCGCGCATGTCTGCATTATCCTTGGTTAGTGTGATCCTTGTGTTGACTGTGTCAGATGGATCTCAAAGAGGTACACGTACGAACAACAATAGTGTAGACCATTTTGACGGTATTGGGGGATCAATTGGGGGATGTGGACGGATGGAGGGGATGGAGGGGTAATGGGGTTCTTAAATTCTGAAGGGATCTGGTGGGGCGGAGGACTTACTGGTTACAGCCTGCCCGGTGAGGGGCCGGCCACTCGAAGCTTTCCTTCGCGATAAGCTTAAGCTTCCACGTTGATCATTGTGGATGAGGGTAATGGATTAGACAATTGCTCTGGTATCTACTCAGGTATTAGACTGTCTGGGTAAAGTGTTGTGTTGACATTCTCAACAGCAAGGACAGCTTCAATTCTCAGGGTAGTGATGCTCGGGGTTTCCTCGGTGAGTCTGACCCACTTGTGTAGCTTGGACCAGACTGCAGAGACATTGTGCCTGCAGGACAGACGATCAATGCAATTCAAATTGCAGCACGGGCTACTAACCATATGTTCACCAAAAATGCATTTCGAGTGTCCTGGATTCCCATTTTACCTAGTTGTGACCAAGCAATGAATATTGCCCCATCAACCAGATGCATCTTGAGGCTTGCAGCTCACCATAAGCTCGAATACTTCTTTCAAAGCAGCCCGACATCCTCCGCGGGATCACAAACGTTCATATCTGTGCTCCGGGTACAGCAATCACCCCTTTAGCTCCCCAATTCTCGACGCGTTCTACCATGTAGATTTTGAGCTCGGGTCCAGATGTGGTGACGTCATGGAGTTCTTCGCGGGACCGACCCGAATCGGAACTCTCCATTGGTGCAGTAAAATCTTTCTTCTGGGGGAATGCGATATAGTAGCCATAACTCTAAGGCAGAAATGATGGGCTGGTCACATGATCCCTTGATCAGCCCATTTGTCCAAGCTCATCATTCAATTTGAATTGGTCTGCCAGGTCCCATGGGGCTTCTGACATAGTTATGGTCCCTGAGGGGCAAATGTCACGTACCTGAACCACCGCATCCAATGCAAACCGCCCAAGGCTCGTATTCAACCCCTGGACCAACTTCCCAACCAGGAATACACGACCAGCTACATCTTCGGAGTCTCCGACACATACACCAATTCCAGCATAACATGAATCGCTTCAGCAGCCAGACCTGAGATCTCCGATGCCAAGGACCGCGACACCCATAAATAGGGCGGACCAGCCGGATGTTTTACATCGGCCCGTGGTCTTGGCTGTTCATTCGTGATGTCTCACCTGCCCGCTTATGTGCATGCAGAAAAACCTGAATTTCAGACTTCAACCACTCGCTTCGATATTCTACATTGACCACACGATGCCCTCAATTCTTCTTCTACTGAGGTCAGGCTATAAAGCATGCCTCAGACAATCGACTCATCTTGATTTTTCACAACCCATCTTCTCACTTACACTCCAAACACTATGTTGACCTCCACTCTCGCCACCCTGGTGGCCCTGACCACCTCCACCACGGCCCTCCTGCACCCCCGCTCCATCACACCTCCAGATGGCTGCCCCCTCCCCACCTGGGAAGTCACCACTTTCCACTGGTTCAACGGCTCCAAAAGCCTCGACTGCATCCACAACCAAGCCGACATCAACTTCAAAGACTGTCTCTGCGGCGACTCTTGGTGCGCCCCCGACCCCGCCACCTGCAACGGCAGCATGGTGAATGTCTGCTGGACCGGCATGCCCAATTACCAGCCATGGGGTTACGGTCCACCCGAGACCCTTGACATCGACTTTGCCGATGGATTGACCTGCCACGATGAGTACATCGGCTATCGGGTGCATGATATCGGAAACGGCGCGTCAAATTGCGGCTATGCCGATCGGGGTGAAGGACGGATTGTCTCGTTCTATGGCAGCTCGGACTATGCCACTTCGACGGGACATATGGATTATGTGTTGGGAGATGGACATGCCTTGACGTGTGCGAATGGCAGTTTGATTACGTACTCGGGGAGTACGGATTTTACATTGACGTGCACGCATGATGCGTATTTCAATGCGACGTGCACTGCCCCGGTGTTTGAGATTCCGGTGTTGAGTTATGAGTGGATTTCTTGAGCCTCGCATGGGGATTGATTTGTTGTTGGAAATGGGCATCATGAAGTCAATGAAGTCCAGGATTATTTACTCTTGGGAAAAAGCTGAATGAGGCGCCTAACCGGCCTACCTACGATAGGTGGTCTGCTGTCTTGTTATATTTATTTTTGGCATGTTCCTGGCCAAGATACCCTGCTATAGGCATACCAATTAGGCCTCCCAGAACGCCCTACATGAGGCGTCCAATGACGCACAACTGTGATTAAGGATGGCAATCTTCTATCCATTGCATTTGATAATATCCCCCTTCCCATGATAGGATTTGCCACGTCTAAATTAAGCGTTCCTCGGGAAGGATGTCTTTTCCCCGACCATCCCACATAGGCTGTCAATCGAAACTGAATTACCCATTCTTCAGGATGGGTTGCAGTTTGCATATCTCGGAGGCAGTGCATTTTATATCTAGTCTGAAAGTCTTGGAAAAAGATTCCGTAAGGCCTGGCATATATCGTTACTAGAAAAAGCGCGGTAAGGACTGGATGCCTTATGACGACGTGGCCCCGTGGAAGCGCGGGGATCTCAGTCCGCAGCAGCCAGGGTCCGCCGATCCCGAGACAGATCAGACTTACAACTGCATCCGAAGAAGATAAATGTTTCCTACTCACACCAATTGGTCCTGTATCACTTCTCATTACCACGTGCAAACCAGAGTATCCAATGAAGTCTGGGAATCCATGCAAGGCCATCCATGCCAAGAGACATATCTGATATCCCGACAGCTCAGCCCTGGAGGGTGCATTTCATGGCAGGTCACATACCAAATCCCCCTTGGGAGATAATATTCCGCAGTCATCAGGTTGCTATAAAATGACCTGTACCCCCCACTAGACAAACATCCACCACCACAGTCAAGCCCAGTTTTGCTCAACAGACCCCACTACAAAACCACCAAGATGCAACTCAAATCTATCCTAGCCACCGCCATCACCCTGTGTGCCTCTGGTGCCCTGGCTACAATTGATGTTAGTCAACCATACTCCACGACAATCTCTTATCCCCCCCCTATAGTTTCCTGACAGACATAGATCGCCTACACCGTTAACGGAGACTACTACACCCAAACGGTGCAAACTGAGAGCCTCACTCCACTGGATCAGCCGTATGGCCTCCATTAGACCCTGCTTTCAGGTATCATTCTAATCCTTCGCAGAGGAAACATAACCACCTGGCAAGGCACCGCAGACTGCCTCCTTTATGAGTGAGTCCCATCAAACGAGTACCTTTGCAGGCCATTACTTACATTCCCGTTTTGCAGATTCCCTAGTGCCCAGACTCATTATGTTTCGGCGGGTACACACACCCTTGATCCTGCTGTTTATGCGGATGATGTTTTGTGCTTGTGAGCTGCCAGGTTGATATGGTATGGTATGATTCTTAGTTGTTAGTTCATGGGGGGTGGGGTGATATGATGTGTGGTTCAAGCGAAATAGTTACTCTATCTTCGAGGTGTGGTCGGGGGGGGAGTTGAAAGTATACATAGGAAGATGGACAATGATTATAAATAGTACAACTCAGCCAGCGCCTTATGATTTCTTTTATGGCCACTGCATAACCTAGTACACAATTCAGTCCATATTACACCGGAAATAGATCCCCTTGACCGTCATTCATATCGGCGGAGAGATAATTCTCGCTTAAAGAGTTCAATAGTTCTTTGCGCACCTCGATCTATCGACCGCTGACCCACGCCAATAATTCCCGTCGCCGTTCATTCGAAAGTCTTTTCTTTCCTCTCAACCCTGTTAACGTTCCCATGTGCTAAGGGGCAAGATGTACCTGGGTAATAGCCACTACTGAACTGTCGATACTGACTCGATCCAGTCCGATTCTACCATACTCGTGCCGCTGTACATTCACTCTTCTTGCTACCTGTACCTGCCGATCACTTTCACTTCACGCTGTTGGTTCCATTTGCAGACTGCCAGTCCTCTCCTCTCTCTTATCATGACCCTTTCCTCATCCCTGAACGCTGGCAGTGCCGATCGGCCGGGAGTCGATAGTGGCTCGCGATCGGCCACTAATCGGCTGAGTGGAGGCCAGATGCATTGGCGCGGCCCGCATGCCAACCCATTCCTGACAACAGAGCTCCATGGGTCATATGATCAGTCAATTGGATGTGCTTAATTGCTTTCGCTCAGTTTCATAGGTAGCAGGACATACATTTCTCACAGTATTGATTCATCCCATCAAAAACGCCCAATTGCAAACCGCTTCTGAACTACCCAGTATTAAACCGATCATCCCAACGCCGATCCCAGCTCAGCTAGCACATCTATCACCATTAACCTCCCGGATGGCAGTTAACCCGACGGCTCCGAGCAATATTCCGGATCTACATTCCAAAAATGGACCCAAGTGGCGACACTATCAAGGCATCATCACATACTAGCACGAGCCACTGCCGGTATTCAATAGTACTTAAAGGTCAAGAACGTTCCCAACAGACGGACACATCCAAATCAAAACCAAACATTCTCTCTCAATATCCGGACTATTACTCAATCCCAACCTACCTACCTACCTTCAACATGTTCTTCAACAAGTCTATCCTGGCCGCTTCCATGGTCCTCTTCACCTCCGGTGTTGTTGGCCAGCTCATCGATGTACGTAATATCGACTACATCTCCCCTCAGATGATATTTCATCGACACTTACGCAATGTATTGAATTCAACAGATCGAATACGGCTATACTTCCTCTGGAGAAACCTTCACCCAGCAGATCCAATTGAAGGAGTTTACTGAGCTGGACCACCCGTATGTCCCCATCTCCCCTTCCTTTATAGATGAGCTTTTTCTAACGCACAACAGAGGCGACTACACCTACTTCTCCAGCCCCGATGTCTGCGATCTCTACAGGTAAGCATGCATCACCCTTCCTCAAACAACAACAACAACAACAACAACAACAACACCCCTTGTTACCCTCCTATTAACACCAGTACCAAACAGCAACGACATCGACGACGCCGTCTACTCCGACGTTGAAGGCTCCTCCTGGTTTGAAGAGACATACCTCGCCTACGTCTACTGCTACGAGGACTACACGGCCATCAAGGTGTAAATCACCCATCCCTTCTACGACTTTTACATAGAACGGATAGACATGTGTACGACCGACAGAATAAGCGATAAGACGAGATGTTATATAGACAAAGATGAGGGACTATCTGCAATATATATGATTTAATATAGTATTTCAATTTTAAGAATAGATGTATTTACCTGTCGTCTTCCCCCCTTTACCCCCCTCTCGATATAAGAGGGGAATTTCAAAGACTCTTTATGTTTCTTTTTTCTTTCCTTTTTTCTTTTTTCTTTTCATTTTTCTACACAAAAAGGGCAACAAGATAAGAGATAATTCTTGTGTTTGGTATTACGACTAAGATACCTTGTTTTGTTGGATATCATTTACAAGAAAAAATTGATATACATCTCATTCATTACGCATAAAGGGTGAGCTGGGTATGAAAGCTAACTAATCGCGATACGGTTCGGGTTTGCCTATATCGATGCCGAATCGCGGACCGTCCCACCACCCCAGTCCGAAGACAAGTCCATTGAAGTAACCTCGTCGGAGAAGTTCTTTGTCGCTGCACCATTCCGACCCCGGGGGGAGCACGTCGCTCTTGACCATGTCCGAGCCGGCGAGTAAGGTTGCTGCGCCGGCGATACTGCACGGGTTGACGGGGATGACTTCCTTGGTGTGCATGAAGTAGTAGGCGATGACGGTGGAGATGACCATGGCTAGGAGACAACCTTCGATGATGCGGGTGGAGATGGCGCTCTGGACGAGACGGACGCGGTTCGGGTTGACGATGGTGCCGGTGTAGCGGGTGGAGTTGGTGGTGGATGGGATGCGCGAGTTTCCGTTGAGGCTTTGGGCCATGAGGACGCGGTAGAGGTGTTGGGTGGCATTTACGACGGTGTCGTAGTGGGACATGTCGGTGAGGTCGCTGATGGAGAGGGTCTTTTCGTCGTTGAGCATGGCGGAGAAGACGTTGTCGAAGGCTTGGTTGTATTGATTGGTGGCTTCGGGGAGGAAGTCGGTGAAGTATAGGTTGGAGGTGATGTTGGTGGAGAAGAGTTGGCTGCTGGAGGCGTCGGTCGTTACGGATTGAATTTCCAGCCCTGGGAGGGTGAAGGTGCCGGTGGCGTTGACTTGGTCGATTTGCGGGTTGCAGGTGAAGCCGCGCAGGTTGCTGGTCGAGTTGCCGTTGAACACGCCGTAGAAGCCAAGCAGGGAGGGACATTCCCCGAAGGCGAAGCCGGAGAGGTACTGAAAAGAGCCGAAGACAGCCTGGGTTTGATTGGGGTAGTCGGTTTCGACACTCATGGAGACAGTCCCATCGCCGTCCTGGCAGTTCTCGCCGAGCGACATTTCGATGGACCAGGCAGGGAAAAAGTCATCCGGGAGTGTGACATTGTAGATGACATCTGACGGGAGGGCAGTGCAGTTTAGACTGGCACGCAGGGCTGGGAGGCTCAGTTCGAGGACGGTCGGGTCGTCGGTGGTACTGTTCAGGTAGGACTGGTCCTGGACTTTTCCGTGCTTGTCGGTCAGAGAGTCCTCGCTTAGGGTCGGGATAACAAGTTCATCGTAGGTCCAGGCGGGGTAGGACATGTTGACAGCGACGACTAGGGCACCAGTCAACCCCAGGCCGGGATCGCTATCGGTGGAGGAGTGAGGGGTGATGGTGTAGTTAAAGGTATCGGTACGTGCAATGGATGCTGGACTCGTGTTGACCACGTCCTGTGTTGAGTACAACCCACTGACTGCCACGGTAAGGACAGGAGCTAGGAGGACGGTGAACGCCGTGGCGCAGATGGCCCATTGCTGTCGTGCGATAGCAGTGATGAATGAGTATATTGTCACCTCCGACAGGTGGTTCTCCATCAGGCTGCTGGGTGCAGTGACGCCACCGCGGCGGAGTTCGAGGTAGGGCTGGAACAACATGGCGGAGAAATGAATGCAGTCGAAGAAGATGCGGACAATGAGCATCACCAGGGCTGGGAGATAGACCCAGGTGTAGCGAATGTAACCGCTCGAGTCAACGGTTCCGAGTCCATCATGCTGGGCGGACATCTGATAAGCAGTTTCCAGTCCGGCGATGATCAGAAGGGGGAGAAATATGGAAATAGCCCACCACCATAGGGACACCGACATTGGTTGCCACCAGGTCATAGGACCGGAGCTGACCCGCGTACGAGTACCCTCGGTTGCGTGCTGCTCTTCGATACTAAATGTCCGGCCATCATAGTCGGTCACACGAGTGTGGTATTTCCCGTCTGCCAACTCGGCGGTTATGTCTTGAGCGTTTCTGCAACCTGCAAGCCGGTGCGATACATCGGGGCTCCGACTCAGGATAGTTGCTAGACCTGCGATAGTGCCAGGATCTCGAGGTGTGCTGCGAACGGGTCTCCAGACCCAAAGCATTGCAGTCAAAACGACCAAGACGGCCAGGGCAGCCTCCATTATTCGGGCGGAGAGTTCTCGGACAACGACCCTCTGTATATGGGCGGAGTAGGTGCCTTTGAAATCCGCATCTGCAGAAGATAGCAGATATTGCCGCGCGATTTGTGCGGCGATTGCTGTGAAGGCAGGACGGGATACCCTTTCTAAAATCGAGGCATCCAGTAGGTCACTCATTGCATGTGGCGAGGACAGATTCGCGACGACATAGAATCCGCTAGGATAGGTACTGTTGGGATCACTGAAGTTGTATTGATATCCGCGGCCTTCCGTGGTCGAGTCATCCACGTAGGTCAGCGTATCCAGAGTGTCCTCGGCGCCTGCCATGGTGGATACCAGTCCAGTTCCAAGCTCGGCTGGGCGGAGATCTGGAATTGTACGATATGTACTGCTGTTGGAGGGGTGAAGGCTCACCACGCTCTGGTTACCATAAAGCAGTGAGACTGATCCTTGGGTGATATTGTATGTCGGGCTGCAAATGAGCGTTTGAATTTCCGTGAGGTTTTCCGACCAGTGAGCGGCAGCAAAGATCAATTGCTCGTCAGCAGCCGTATCGGCGCAGGTGGCAGAGAAGACGTCCGCATAATACCCTCCTACGCAAGAGGTGCTTCTGATAAAACTGGACAACGGATACTTGGAGCACGATGGCGTGCTCAGCGTCATGTTGAGTTGGAGGTCCTCGCAGCCCTGGGAGGTGCACTCCTGCGTCCAATTCGTGACCGTGCCTACGTCGCATTGCAGATCGGCAGAAAACATATCCACGGTCCCCGAGACGACTGCCTGGCTACCTAGTGAAGTCAGCATATGGTAGCCAAAGGTGGGAGGCGACCTACCGAGTTGGGATTTGGATGTGAATGGCTGAAAGGCATACTTGTCGGTTGATCCCACCGGATATGAAAGGTCAAGCCACCAAGCTCCGGCGACGACCATTGCAGCGGTGCCATCGACCTTGGCACCATCATATCCGGCTGCGTTAAAGCTCGCTTGGGTGTGGAGAGTGGTGGGAACAGCTTCCATGTAGACGCTTTGTAACATAAACAGACCGGTCGAGACGACCGTGACTAGTTTGATCAGGAGAGTGCCTAGAACAGCCAAAGGAACCACCCAGACAGATTGCCTCAGAGCGCGAAACATGACCACCACATTCCAGTCGGATACGTAATCCAGCAACAGGGATTGCGATCCAGGTTTCGGCTCTTGACTCATAGACTTCCATGGCGCAAGTTGTTTCGTTCGATACTCGACCTGTCCCCAGAATCCGGCGACGATTGTAAGGACTGAGACGAGTATCAGACTATCAGTATAGGCTCACCACTGCTTTTGTGTCCGGAAGAACTTACCCGCCGTGGGGCCATACGTCCACAGATAATGATACTTTTCCTGACTCGAGCTCAAGCCATCCTTCCGATTCGATACAGAGTACAGCACTTCGATGACGATGATAAAAATGATGAACAAAACAGCGAATGCAACAAAGGTCATTGAGTGCAGCATCACAGGCACCCACATTTGCCGCCGTACCTCGTGGTTGAGGCCACCGGCCAGCGAATCATCGCTGTGGCTGGACACTGTCCGCACATGCGAAGAAGGCGGTTTCTGGGCGACGCGAGTGAAGGCTTTCGCCTTGGGCATGAAATTGGCGAACATGTTGAGATGGGCAGAGTAGCCACCCTGGGGGTATGTTGTTCATGCAGTCATTATCTGAGATAAAACGAGGCGAGGGCGGTCGCGCCGGCGCCTCAGGTTAAGTAGGCATTCCGACGCACAGCCTCGTCGCGAACAAGAATAATCACTAAAATAATCCCTGCATAGCCTGATCCTGGTGAATTCAGGGCCAAGCCTTATTTGTCTCTCCCTGCCGTTGATCGCCCAATCAACGGCCCAGTCCCGAGCTGGCGTGGGGGCCGGACGGCAAGAGCAGAGCTTGGCGCCTAAGGTTTTATCCAATGTCGGTGCCTCCACGGTATCACATTTGTTGTTCTCGTCTATTCTTGGATGTACCACTATGATTTAGTTACATATACTGATCCTATCTTACTTGGTCAGACAAGTAATACTTACAACTATTCGTGGTTGACATCTGTATCAAACGCATTGTATGGTATGATACCATCTCCATGTCAGCTTACACCCTGTCATGTTCAAATCTCCACCTGTCTAAACCCCAGATAGATTAATCCATCATGTGCTGCACAGTCACATCGTATTCAGTGCTGATCTGGGTCAATGCCACCGAGTCCAACAAATGCTAATCACCCTTCCAAAAAATCCTCCCCTCAAACAACCTCCTGGCTGTCCGAAACACCGTCGCAAACTTCAATATCCCATCCCCATCAAAGGTCGCTCCCACCAGCAAATTCCCACTCGCATGTCCCAGCGTAATCCCCGCCTCGTCGATCATCTTCTCATTAACCTCCCGAGCAACCGTACTGCCCGGCACCCTCGCTGCTGCAGCTATGGCCAGCGCAACCGTTATCGGCACTGCCTTGTGCGGCTGCCCAACAGAAAGGGCCCGCACGAGCAGATCCACCTGATCCGCAGTCTGGCCCTGCTCCGCCGCCCGAGCATTCCTCTCCGGTGCCGACACCAGACAGATCTTGGGCACACTGCCGGGGACCTTTTCCAGTGAATCAGCCAACCCCATCTTCACACCCGCCTGTCGACGAATGGAATCCAGCCGATCAAGTAGCCCCGGATGAGCAGTAATCTCATCCGGCGTGAGATTCCCCTCGACACCTAGATCCTCCGCACGTACGAAAACACACGGATTGGCCACATCGATACAACTCGCCTCAACTCCACCCAACATATCCCTCACATTCCCCGTAGGAAGCAACTTCCCCGTCCTCGACCCCGCCGGATCCACAAAATCCAATTGCACTGGGGCAGCTGTCCCCGCGACTCCATCGATAGCAAAATCCCCCGACGACGCAGCCTCCCCATCAAGAACGGGAAAGCTCGCATGGATGATCTTCCCGGTATTGGTGTTATGAATGCGCACACAGGCAGAGTCCGGGCCAGGAGAAACCAGCCCGTAGTCAACGGCAAACGGACCAACAGCACTGATCATGTTTCCGCAGTTGCTGGAGTAATCCACGTCAGGGGTCTTCACTCCCAGAGAGACAAATGTGTAGTCGATGTCTGCGTCGGGGTGGGTGGGTTTACCCACGACGCAGATCTTGGATAGACTGGAGATTCCGCCGCCAAGGCCATCAAGTTGGCGGCCGTAGGGGTCGGGGCTCCCGATGACGCCGCGGAAGATGGGGTCCCATTTGCTGCGCTCTGCGGGGAGGTCGTCTTGCTTGAAGAAGACGGCGCGGGATGTTCCGCCGCGGTAGTAGGCTGCTGGGAGTTGATGTTGTTTGAAGAGGGAGTGTGACCCTGATGAGAGGTGTCGGAGTTGGCGGAACTGGCGGGACATGATGGGTTGAAGGGGTGAAAAGATGGAGATGAATTAAGGTGTGTTGAAATATTGGACGGGACGGAACCGCTCCGATGGATCCTCGGATAGCTCCGATGCCACTTGACTCTGAGTCCGTATGTCTCACATCTACGGAGCACCTAACTTGAGAAGGATTACCATGTCGGATATAAGCTTTTAGCCGATTCACATTTCACACAGCAATACCACATCACTTACCCCCAGATCCCGGAACATCCCCCAGCATCAAAGTTTATTTATTTATGGTAGCGTCTCAGCCACCTAGATAACCATGATTGATGATCAGCCAAACACCAAATTACTACATAGTGGCTAGAATAGTACAATCCCACCATACTGCACACTTAGTATTCTCAAAATGCACCCGTGAATGACTGAATAGCCCACGTGCCCCGCTTCTAGTTAGTAGTACCCCTCAACCCACCTCGGGAAATATTTCCATCCTCCCCCTCCTTTCCTCTCTTCTTCCCCTCACCATCACCGCCTCAACTTCACTTCAAAGCTTCCCCAAACCCACCAGAATCCAAAATCCAAAACCAAAACCAAAAATGCCCACCCCCACAGTGACATACACCTCCCTCTCAACAACAACAAAAACCTACTTCCACAGCATCGACACCCACGACCTTTCCACCACCATCTCCCTCTTCTCCCCAACCGCCACATTCACCATCACCACCTCCCGCACCACCTTCACCAGACAGAGCGAAATCCACTCCATGCTATCAGATTTCATCTCGCGCAGCAAAACAATGGAACATCGTGTTCTGAACATGGTTGTGGACGAGCGCGAAAGGAAAGTCGCTACCCAGCAACGGTATACAGGAGAGATGAAGGACGGGGACATTTTGGATATGATCAATTGTAATTTTTTTGAGTTTGATGAGGAGGGGAGGATTGTGGAGGTCAGGGTTTGGATGGATGGGGTGGGGCCTTTGAGATGAGTATTTAGTGTTGGTTTGGTGGGTTGGTAGGTAGATGAGAGGTTTATGGTGGTGAAGGGGAGGGATTATGGGATGGTATTTGGCTAGCTAGCTAGCTAAGTATTGTACAATGCTTAAAGGGATTGATTTGGTTCAATGCTGGGCGTCTGGGTTGATCATAGCTAGCATCTGCGCTGCTCCGTCTTCCGTGTACATCATGTCTTCCATGTTGATCGAGTCGAGGATCTTTTCTCGTCCTCGGGGTCGCATTTCCGCTTCGTAGGCAACAATAGCGCGCTCTATAGCAGCTGCATCGCTATCTCCTTTTTGTGTCTCGGCCATGATGGAATCGAATAACACCAGCGCGTCAAACATGGCCATGTTAACGCCCTCCCCATTTGGCGTGGCCAGATGTGCAGCATCGCCAAGTAGTGTCACACCCGGAACATGTTTCCAACTCTCACTTCCCTCGAGGAAAATATCTGGATCAAGTCGGTTCAGTGTCCATGGACGCCACGGCCACTCGGCCGCCTCGACGAATGCACGCAGATGCGGTGCCCAATTGGCGTAGAATTCCAGAACGGCAGTTCGTGCTTTCTCCGGGTCGGTTATGTCGGCGTCGCCGCCAGGACGAGTGAACGTTGAAGGTACCCTGAGACCCATGTAGACGCGATAAGAACGATCGGACATCTGCTGAATGCAGAGGACGGTGTCCTTGCCCGTGGCGACGGAGTTACCCGCGCCGATCATCTCTTGTGCTGCGGCGTATTGTGGATTACCTGGGGATATGCGGCCTTCGATGAACATTTTGCCCGAGTATTGGGGACTTGCGGGGGTGATCTGGATGGCGTTAGTCTATTGAAGTTGAGTTGGAGCGAGGGGTTGTACCACTGGGCGGACCTTACTCCCTGCGCCGTCGGCGCCGACAATGAGTCGGAATCCGGTTTCTGTTGAACCATCGGCGAAGCGCAGTAGCCAGTCTGCTGCGCTTAGTTGCTGATTGTTGTTGGCGCGATCAATCGAATGGAGGGCTTTGTCCCAGCGGATGCGATGCGCGGGAAGTGAATTCAGGAGCAACTGTCGCAGCTGTAGACGGTCGATCTCGGGGGCATCGTGACCCTCACCAATGGTCGTGCGGAGGTCGCCTTTGCAGGTTTGTATGGTTATTGTCGTTGCGTCTCGACGTGCGAGCTTCTCGAACTCTTTGGTTAGGCCTGCGCGACGGAGGGCTTTTTGGCCCGTTTCGCTGTGTATGTCGAGGGTACCGCCTTGGAAGAGTGATGACCCTTCTGACGAGGCATCACGTTCAAATACGACATAGTCAATACCAGCAGTTTCAAGGAGACGTGCAAATGTTAGGCCGCATGGCCCGCCGCCGACAATGGCAATGGGTGCGGGTTTCATGGTGGTGACGGTGCGGACCGGAGAGGGAGAACGTGGATAAAGAGAGCCCAATGGGGAGAAGAATTTTTGGAGGCTTTTATGCTGGGTAAAGAAGCGAAACATATAGTTTGATGAGAAGTATTGTTGGAATGATATGAAAGGAGGCAATGGGATTTTGCAACCTCTTATACCTGGTTTCGGGTGGTAGTAAAACCCGAGATGGCCAACGACGGGTGGCACCGAGCGTTACAAAGTCCCGAAGAACCTAAACAACAAGTTCCTCCAACAACCCTCTAAAATGGGCCGATAGTCTGGAGCTTGTCGGGAATTGGAGATAAAAAGTTCTATATCTCACCAGGTACTTAGAGCCCGCAGAAAGCCCCAGGTTCAAGAACCTCGTATGCAGTTGTGTATTTCACGCGACAACAGCATCTTGGAGCGATGATCTCTACTGCAGCTCTTCACTTATATCACTTCGAGACCAAGGATATCATTGATTCCGCCACTTGGAATAGTTTTCCCAAGGTGAAGGGGGGTTTGTAGTCCGGTCGAAGACCTCGCCGCAATGTCCCGAAGCTTCAAGGCACGGTATTCAGACCTGTGTCTGTGTCGCTCGATGCTTGTTGAGTTATAAGCCCGACCTGGTCAACGACACCTCAGAAAGGAATGTATTGTGAAGTGCTTCGTAAAGAGACAGGAGCCATCGAAATCATAGCGATGTGGTTAATGGTCCCAACAATTTGATCTGCACTCATCTCTCGTATGGGTTAGCCAATGGACGATAGATTTGCCAATACAGGAAGCAGGGTATATGAAACCTAGTAGTCCGCGGTGAGTTGCAAAGGCGTAGAGACATTTCGAAGATCTTGCTTCATTTGACTTTTTACCCCAGAGGGAACAAGAAGTGGGGATAGCTCTGCGTGACGTTTGCCATGTGGAGGTGGAGCACGGCCAGGACTAGGGCCATGGGAGAGATACTTAAAACAATATAAAATCCTCGAAGATCCAATGGTAGGGGCGTAGAATGGTGAGTCGCAAGGCAGAATGTCATCGGGGTAAGTTACCTATTGCTTCTGTCCTGGCTATCGATATGACGCTCCGTTATCGGGGGTCCCATGATTTGCCGATACTCCACCAGACGAGGTATTCAGGCGTCCAGGCACATATCCTTCCTTTATTGACCCAGAATCAGCCTCATCATCCAGTCTCCATTCTGTCATCATAAAGTATTGAGGAACAAAAAGTTGAACAAGTGCGTCGGCCGAGACATATCAACTTATCGCAGATCGCGCTAGCGGGGTAACGGCTAGCGGAATCCTCTGCAGTGATGGTGTTATCAGAATGATTATCCCCAGATTGTCCCTCACTGGCCAAGATGGTATTTGGTGATGACTCATATCATTGGTGCAGGTGGTGATAAGGCACCCAGCGTAGTGCAGCCTGATAAGCACGCGATGTCGTCCTCCTCGATCTCCTTCCTTCTCCCATACCACCCAATGCTTGTCATTTGGTCACATTGTCACTGATTCTCTTGAAGCATCATGCCTGTCAACGAAACTACCCAGTTACTAACGAGACCTCAGGATGAACAATCCTCTGATGGACAATCCTCCGATCACGGAGATGACAGTATAGAAAGCAGTGGCCGAATAAGACTGGCCATATTCATTGCTTACCTAGGTATTCCTATATCTTGTAAGAGTAACTAGCTGCTAATAATATCAGGTGCCTTTCTAGCAAGCTCGGATGAATCTCTCGTCATTGCCACCTACGATATCATCGCCTCCGAGTTCCACGAGTTATCAAAGGGTTCATGGCTGGTTACAGGATATAACCTAGGCTATTGCATTTCGTTACCGGTGGTGAGCAATTCTTCTGGGTACAGGTATCAGCGACACGCTGACACACTCAGTATGGCACTCTTGCAGATACTTGCGGCCGCAAAACATCCATGCTTTTGGGATACCTCTTATTTGCACTTGGGTGTCTGATTTGGTGTGAAGCCCACTTACTGGTCACAGGAATATGCTAACTCCAACAGCTCCACCAGCGATTCCATGACTCAATTGATAGCTGGGAGAGTCATCAGTGGTGCTGGTTCTTCGGGCATGGTTGTCATGATATCCATTCTGATCACAGGTGCGACAACTTCGTCTGTCTCTATGGAATGCTAACCTGTGTAGATTTGGCCGCTCCGAGCGACGTCGCATTGCTGCGCAGCTACACCAACGTGGTGAACATGATCGGACGGGGCGTGGGAGCTCCTTTGGGGAGTTTGATGGTGAACTCGCTGGGCTGGAGATGGTACGACACCCCCTCGAGTTCTATGCACTGCTAATGGAATAGGGCGTTCGCCGGTCGGCTACCTCTCATCCTGCTGTGTCTGCTTCTGTCCCGGGTTCAGTTCCCCATGAATCGCAAAGAATCCTCTACCACAGTCGCCGAAACTTCCAATATTGAGAAGGTCAAACGTCTGGATTATTTTGGCATTGCCAATTTTGCGGCTGCTGTTGTCACCCTACTGCTAGCTTTGACCGCAGCCGGGACGGTGGACGCAAAGACATCCACTGTCTACGCGTTGCTAGGAGTGTGTGCAATGGCCACAGTCGTTTTCGCCTACCATGAGTGCCTCTGGGCGACGAAGCCGCTGGTTCCTCTACGATTGATCACCCAGGGTATTGGGCAGTATTGGCTGGTGCAAGTGATATTATTCAGCGGACGGAATGGGGTAAGCAAATTCCCTATGGCACAAAGCCATACTGACAAGACAGGTCATTGCCACAATCACACAATACATGACGCAGGTTAAAAAGATGCCCGAGGAGAGGGCGACATTCTTCCTTGTTCTGTGTACCATGGCTCTGGCGGGAGGTTCGATCATCTCGGGGTTCTCAATCAAACGGTGAGTGTCGCCCCCCATTTGCAATGGCGCCCGCACTAATTTATTAGAACCAAACGTTACAAGAAGATGAGTATCATCTCTGGCGTGGTCAGCATCATCTCATCTACCCTGCTTTTCTTCTCCTGGCACTTTGATCGCCCCGTCTGGGAGTCCCTCCTCGTCATACCCATGAGCACGCCCATCGGCATCATCATCTCGGGCGAGTTCATCGGTATGACGACTCGAGCACCTCAGGAAGATCTCGCTGCCTGCGTCGGGGCATACTATCTCAGTCAGCAGTTGGGGATCATCCTCGGCGCGTCTATCGCCCCGTTACTCGTTCGGACTGGGTTCATGCATGATATGGCAGGACGCTTCGGGGGGGAGACCCAAGAGGTGTTTACCCAATGTCGATGTGGCCAGTATTGTGCTAATGTTGATAGATTGTCCGCCACATTCTCAGCGACTCCAAATACATTGACACCCTGCCGGCGGGTATGCAGGAAGTCGTCCGATCGAGTCTGCAGTACGGATATCAGTTTATTCCTGGTAAGTGCAGTTCCAAGCCAATGTGATGCAGCTGACGAAGCAGTGTTTGCTACGGTGACTGCGGCGGTGTGCTTGCCAAGCTGGATTCTGACGCGCGAGGAGCGTGTGGATTGATTGTATGCCGGAATATAATATATGAGCATGAAGTGGGTGGGCCACCAGGAGGAATCCAGTTATAGCGTCATTAAAAGTTGATTTCCTGAACCTTTGCTGCATCGTCGCTGCATCATATATATATACATATCATCAATACTCATCAATGCATACCACCCCTTAAGGGGGATTAAAACACCCCCTCGGTGAAATCCACTACCTGGGACTTCTCGATCAATCCGTCCAGGGTCTTGACGAATCCCAGATGGGCGGGATCCTTGGTGAGATAATAGTCACGGTCCTCATTGGACTCGAACTCCATGACGAACACATGGGTGATGCTATTCTATAGCACAGATTAGCCTTTGCCGCACCCCTGGAACGGGGGTTGAATCCTCCACCCAATCAGTATTCCGACGCCAGGATCAACATACATGCATTCCTTCGGGCGAATCCTGCTTTCCTGCCTTGAACGACTTGACGTAGGGCTGTTGGGTGGTGGGATGCAGACAGTTGTCTTTTAAAGAGCTGAAGTGGGCGCATGTCTGTCTGGTCAGCACTGCTGGGAATGCGATGACGTCATGGGACTCACCTCCTGGACTTTGTCGGGGGAAGTGGATGACTTGAATTGGAACTGAACGATATGGGTGATCATTTTGGATTAGAGTTTTGGGGGAATCTTCGATACTTTGGTGGTCGATTATTGGTTGGTTGAGGGATTGTTGGGAGGTGAAGGGAGAGGATAATGTGGTGGTGATGAGTGATGGAATGAATGAGAGAGAGAAGTGGCGTGGCGGGCGGGGATTGGATCAGTCAGCCATGATTTGTCAACCTTTGCATCTGGCGGTAGAAGCCAGGGATTAATTCTCCTGCACTCCTGCAGTGATTCCGGTAACTTCAACCGACGGTGATCCATTGATTCACTGCATCGGACAATTAATCCACCGTCTGGTCGAGTTCCGTCTTTGTCTCATCTCATCCTGTCCTGTCCACGCGGCATCGGGGACCATGCATCATCCGTGGTCGGGGACTATTTGTTAGTTTGTTAGTTTGCACCCGCTCGGCCTCGGGATCCCCACCACTGCAGCGTTGGATGGTCGCCGACAATCAATTGTGGCTCAATCTTCGATTATTCTCTGAACTCTGGAGATTACGAGTGAAGCCCGACCACCTGCATCGGGAACCAATCTGGACCAGCTGCAGCCACCATGTCCATCCCAAGACCCTGGGTTGGTTCCGGATCCGCAGTCTCGGGACTCTGGCAGTCGGGGATCACCTCTTTAAATCTCCCCACCTGCAGATGGCTTTGTTCGGGAAACCACGCTGGTCGCCGTCTGCTATCCACATCCCCATTCCATGGATGCCAATTGTCAAGACCCCAGATCATCAGGCATGCCGTGGTCCCCGACCGGGGATCTTGGCTTGCCTTCAGCCTCGATGAGGTCAGATCCATACTTGTACAAATATCCTCCACGCCCGTTACACGGTTATCCTCCAAATCATCACCATGGCCGACCAGAAACCATCCCCTGTTGCATGTGTGCCTTGCCGTCGTCGCCATCTCAAATGCGACGCTCGCATGCCGGTGTGCACCCGTTGCCACAACACCAACAACGACTGTCGTTATGTTCGTTCCCGTCGCGGCCTGCGGAATCGATCCAGCCCGGATCCGGGCGACCTGGATCTCCCCGATTTTACCAGCTGGCTGAATGGGTCTCTTGACATTGATGTACGCTCCTCTTCCACTGGCATTCATGCATGCTAACTAAATCAGCCAGAGCTCCTCGACCTGCCCGATCTCGACGTCAGTGTCGACATCCACTCCGATTCCATCCCATCGCCACCAGAGTTCATCTCAGCAGTCGCAGACTCGGAGCCTCTGGCTCACGATGCCATGATCCAGCTGTACTACCACCACTTCCACCGCTCGCATCCCATCTTGCTGCCCCGGCGAAGTCTCGCGTCGCCTCTCTGTCAGCAGATCCCAGCCTACATTCCGCACATCATGCGCTACATTGGCAGCCACTACTATCCCCACCCAGGATTCAGTGACTCGTTTCACACATCTGCCTACACGGTCTTGTCGGCTCCCAATGACGGGTACAAAGTTCAGGGCCTGCTACTCCTAGCCATCATCGAGCACGCCTCCGGAGGGGAAGAGAAGGCACGGAAGCTCCTCCATGAAGCTATCCAGCTGGCGTGCCGCCTTGGGATGAACAGCACCTCTTTTGCGCGAGCCCACTCCTGCGGTAGCCCTATCCTTGAGGAAAGCTGGCGACGGACATACTGGGAGCTCGTCGTGGTAGAGGGGATCATTTCGGCTCTAAGCGGGGCCATCCTGCCCAGCCAGAAATGGATCAACAACGAAATGCAGCTCCCGTGTGATGAAAATGCCTACAATGCCGAGGTGAGCCTCCTGCTACCTTTCTATCCATACAAGCTAACCCCGTCAACAAATCCTCCAACAGCCTCCCAGCCTATCCACCCTCCCCGACCCCGACATGCACCACATCTCTTCCTTCACCCACCGTATCCTAGCAATCCAGAACCTCCGCGCTGTCCTGCAAATCACGCAATGCCTCGACCCCGATACCGAATTCCGAACCGAAACCCTGGATGCCCGTCTTGCCACCTCTCTCATGCGACTCCCTTCTTCCCTTCCAGACCACGATGCCTCCACTGTCGACGAAATGGCTTTTCAAACATTAATGATAACTTATCTGTATGTCACTTTGACCCCAAGCACAGCCTCAATCTAACAAATCCAACCAGAAGCCTAATCTATCTCCACCACCCCCACTCCACAATCCGTCTCTCAGCCTACCACGCCACCACCATCAACTCAACATCATCGATACTCCCACCAACCTCAACCTCAACCTCAACCTCCTGCACCCGTGTTCACGCCAGCCCAATCTCCTGCGCCAACACCCACATCACCCAACGAACGCCAAATACAAATACACATAACCAAAAGCTCCTCCGCGCTGCAGACCTCCTCTCCAACCTCGCCACCCTCCCCAGCTCCGTCATCTCCCGCACCCCATTCTTCACCTGCGGGTTAGCCATCGCTGTTGTGGTGCACGTTGCTGCGTTGGTGGGACGTAATTCCCCACTATCGTTAAAGAACCACAACACGACCGAATCGCGGGATAGAGAGCGAGCGAAAGAAGACTCCCTCAAAGCGAGGATCGAGCTGGGAGTAGGTGCATTGCAAGTCTTGGGGAGAGTATGGCCGCTTGCGAGACAGGTGAGGGGGGAAATGGTGGAGATGTATCGGTGTCGATAGTACCTACCTATCCTACCCTCTTTTATCGGGTGAGGGTGGAGAATATTATATAGATACTCGCTGATCTCACGATCGGTTGCTCTTACTTATGATAGACTATGAATTACATGACATGACATGACGTTGATGACAATCCAATTCTTGCTCATCTCCTTCAAATGAATTCCCACGTACTCTACCCCCTATCTAGCCATGACCCTCCTACCCATCAACCAACTAAACCTTCCATCTTACAAAACCGAATCTCAAGAAACTCCCCCTCCCAACCACCACCTCAATAACAAATAGAGCCCCCCACCTCGTCGCCTCCCATCACCCATCCTCTATCCAACCCCACCCTACCCACACTACCCTCAAGGCGATCTACACCTACATGCATTTCTCTGCCGACCAACCTGATCACTTCAAATCAATACCAGAGTCTTCCCATCTTCACTACATGATATCATATATCGGATCAGACCACGGACCCGTACTGCTCGCTCCCTGACTACTTCCCGCCTCAGTTCTAGGTTCTATACCCTACTCTTTTCTTCTAGATTTCTTTTTATTTTCTCTTGGGTAGGGAATGGATTATTGGCGTTCAGGTTTCTCGGGATAGTATTTAAAATAGTTCGGATATTGTACACTGGCTATTAGTATTTAGATATAGAATGCTATCTAACCAAGACATTGTTTAGAAGGAGTTGGATGGAGTGTTGTAGGTAGGATTGGTAAGTCATATGTATCTAATTAATGATGTTAATTCATTCTTTATCTTCAGTTGTAATATAATCCTTGCGTGTGTCCTTTATCCATAGTCGTCATCATATCCATCCGGATTTAGATCCATATCCACATCAACTCTCAAACACCCCACTCACCATCCACATAACCCCCAATGACAACAACATAAACCGCGGGAAACTTTGAGTCTCATATCTGGCCCCGAGAAAGACACAGTAGTAGTCCTTGCGCGTGTGCCTGATCTAAACCAACCATCCACCAACCCACCCCCCATCGCCACAATCCCCAATCACCACATATGATGTAAACCATGAAAAGCTATCCCTTCTCAATTTCCCTCCTTCCACGGACATAACCAGAACTGGTATTTGCGTATGTGACTTTACTAGACCACCACACATACTACCCAGAGTAAGGAATCAAAGACGTGAGGTACGTCTCTTTTTCCATTACTTTCTTCTTTCTTCGACTCTCAAATCGATAATAACAACCCAGTATAACCAACTCACGAGCCAAGAACAGCCCGCAGCCGCAGCACATACACGCCGAGTTGGCGTCATCGGTTATAAAACTCTTCGCTTTCTTCCCTTTGTCTTCGTGATATTTGCGACCTTTGCTTCTTCGTCCTTGGGGAATGTCATCCCGCAGATCGAGTACCCGGATGGATCTCTTGTTCTTGGTTTATTTCCCACGACCTGAGTGTTCGGGACCATGTGGCATGTAGCAGAGTACCCTTCTCTCTGGGGACGAATGAAGGAACAAGGGCCGTTGTATGGTACCTTGTTTACGTCATGTCATGTTGATGACATTGTGTCTGAGGACACGACGGTCAAGTATATATCATATAGATAAATAATACTTGGCTGTGTGATTCGGGTGCCATTGGCACAATTTAGGTCCACAGCCAGTGCAATTGACCCCATAGAGCGATCACGCAGGTCACACTTGGTCTGGGTATCGCAGGCCCACTCTCTTTTCGTGTGTGTCATGGATATGAACGTGATACTGATCGACCGAGTTCGTAATGGTTGTTCGATGTGATGGAGCATGATCGATGGGGTCTGGGATCTTGATCCTTGTGATGGCTTGACTAAGTTGGTGTCGGAGACTATCCGAAGTGATATGTTTGGGAGCGATGTCGCGTGTCTTTGTCGGTGCTTGGTTGTGAGCTTGTAGATGCGTGTCGCAAGTGGTGTTCCGTCGCTGACATGGATAGTGTCTCTGGTGATAAGCCAGTCGATTGAAGGGATGAGGAAACGTCCTCGATCCTTGTATGTTCCATGTGCTGTTGTGGCGGGAGTCCTTGCTCAGAAGAGCCTTCCTTAGAATGAATCATCTCTGATTGCTGAAGCGACAATCCACTTCCGCATCTCTTGTCCTCCTACCGAGGTATGTAACGGTTTAACTCGCGATTATGTTTTTCTTTCTGCGAGTGAATTTGACCCTGGCCCAAAATAGTCCATTCGGGATTGATCCCGCGCCGATGGCTCAGTATTGCACTCATCTTTCTGCACAGTAGCTTGAAAGGTTGAATGAATCTAACATGACGACAGCAAGCATATCTGCTTGGGGCGAATAGAATCAACAAACGTCGTTTGTTGACCATCTTCTGAGCCAACACATTTGCTCAGGCCTTTAAACGCTTGAGACATATTCAGATGCATTGGGATAGAGGATGTTGACAATGTTGACAAAGCCCCATGTCCACAGCCACCCAGTGCTTGCGAGGTTGAGTACTCGACCATTGCCTCGGAACGTCTGGCTAGGGAGTCATTCCCAGGAGCCTTTAGTCCTTCGCAGTGGAACTTACCCCCCCTGATTCGTGTCGAAGGGTCTCCTTTTGAATCATTTTCGCCGTCGTTATATCGTCGTCTTGCATTTGTATACTATGCGAGAATACGAGGTCTTCATTCTGAACCCGCGCACGGTTCAAGGGCCTTTTGTCACCTTTTAGGGACACAATATTGCAATCATGATGCCACTCATATGCTCGGCCAGTTCCAACGTTGTGGATGGCCCTGAGGACCGTTGGAAAGTGAGTTTTACAGGCTCCCATGTGGAATCTCCTGTGCTCGTCATCTTTTGCGCATTGACATTTCTGGCCCAGGATCTTGAATGCCTGCGGACTCAAACTTGTATCTAAATGTTGAGATACTGTAGTACCGACGAAACACAACGTGAGTTCGATGCGTCGCGCTCCTCTCCGAGCTCTACCATGAAAGTACGGCGAACCTCGCCCATGTTTTCGAAATTTTGGATAGGTCGTCATGTATCGATGTGTCTCATGTGAGTGTTTATGTGGCTCTGGGTCAGTGACACCACCGGGCCTTCGTAGGAAAATTCAGATGGTGGAAGTCAAAGGTTCCCCCGTTAATTTGGTCCCGATGGAGGTGTGGTGCTTTTGCAATACCCATCTAACTGCAATCCTTTCTCGAACTGCACTTTATAAAGAATGACACAAATTTGGTGCCGTAACTATTCCTGCACTTGCAGTAATTGACTCGGTACTGACAGTGATCCTCTAGAGCACACAGCCAGGGGCCATGGCACGGCTGGCTGAATTGTATCAGAGGTCCACTGTTGGCATGCCAGAAATAGCAGACCGACTGGGCGGAGATGAGGGTTAACAAATCGGCATTGAGCAGGATGTCTTCAAAGACTCTGCGATGATTCGGGGGCGACATGACCAAATGTCGCATTGAGGAACACACTGATTCTGTATTATAGTCGCCTAATGACGAGACCACGCAGCGAGTGGCAGACAAGATAATCGGCCTGTCCGAACATTCTCGGGTTATAAAAGCCAGTCCATACTCCCACAACGCATCGATAGAGGATATAGACATGTCCACCAGTCGAGTATGTACCGCCGGAGCTCTGGTGCTCGGCCAACATCGCCATCTGAGCAGGTGTAAGTTGAGGATCAACTCCTCTCGCAGTCACTGACTGCTTTCTCTTGGATGAGTCCATTATTTTTTCTGACTGTTGATGAACTTTGTTCTTCCTTTTCTTTTCTTCGCCACGAGCCGCTATGTTCATCACTTTCTCATATTCCTTGTTTGCCTCTCGGATTTCTTTCTCTCCCTGATCTTCAATCTGTCGACCTGGTCGTCGGCAATTCGTTGGAAGATGCAAGATTGCATCGTTCCATTAGCTTGACCTTTTAAAAAGCGTAGGCAAGCCACCCCAGGCCTAACGCCTGACTTCCTAAATACAAGTCTTGTGTTATAAGGCCTTGTCTTGGGATTCTGAGACTGTCTTGTGCGGCATATAGTACTGCTCTAGTGGAAAGATGCTTTGAACATCGTCCTCTGTGGCTTTTCTCGATCTCCTCTGTGTCCTCGATCATTGCAGCAAAACCACGATAGCTGGCTCTTTGTATATACGTGTTTCTCCTTCCGGTTAAACGCGACGCGACCGAGCATGTCGAATAGGTTTCTGGTCCAGACGGTATAAGATCTGGCGTCAAACCACCATCGATAGTGTTTGCTATCGTAGCAGGAGGCGTTCAGCAACCTGAGATGCCAGGGTATCCTCAAATAATTTCGGGGAGCTTGACTCCAGGGACCACAATATGTAGTTGCCCGCGGTGTATATATTAGATTGTGGCTGGTAAGTTCGTTCGTAGAAGCGTCTGTCGTTTGCATCGCAGGCAGAACACGCACTCTGCATACCGGAGTGCCGCCAACCACATGGCGGGAGGACATAGTATCTACCAGTGGTTATATTGCACTGGTATCAACTTTCGTGAGCACCCGTAATGAGCGCCATTGTCCACGGTGTCATGTAAGACTATATCTACAATGGCGCTTATTGGCAATTCATTTAGACCGTATCTGTACAAAAGGTCGCCTTGCTCTGGCAATATCCTTTTGGTATGTAGTATCGGCGTTCATACCACTCCTCGATAGATAGTGGTCTGAAATAGAGGATGATTCTCCTTTACCAAGAAGAAAGTTCGATCCTCCGGATCCCGAGTCTATTGTCCGGCATAGAACACAGTGTGCTATCAACAGGAACAGTTCCTCGGTGAGATTTTGAACCGCATCCCACGTAGCTCCTTGATTTTACCTAAATGCTCCAGATATTCCGGACAGTCAAGGTTGTGAGGCTCGTCAAGGCATGCAGAGATGGCCTATTAAGCCTGTTGCTGCCTGTTCATCGAACGGTATGTCTGAAGCCACAAAGCTTATGTATGAGGCAACTATCTTGTGGCTTGTCCTTGCTTCGAGAGGAAAATGTAACAATTCTTCGCCAGTCAGTAGCTGGTTGTTAGGCGTGTTCTGGGTCCGATGGAAAGGGGTTTCCAAAGATGATTCGCGCTCCTATGAAGGCGCCTCGGATAGCACCAGGGAGACACATGGTAAGAGGAAAAGTAGGTATGGCAGTAACTCTATATCCACGATCGTAGGCACATCGAGAAGCCTACAGGAGATGGGTGCTCTTTGTGCGGAAGCCTTTCACGATCATCCGATCGAAGCTCTCTTCGAACATAGTCGTCATGGACGCTATAGGTCGCCGCATGATGAAGCTGATATAGTCGGTTCTTATTTAAGCATGAAACTGAGGGTTGTTCTGAGCAACATCATGGCAACGGTGATATCGTCACGGTAGTTGGCACGCACCCTCGTGGTGTGCTGCGTCTTCCCTAATTGAACAGGTCGAACAAGATAGGCGGTGACCCTCGGGCCATGTAGCCTGGTCAATACCAAACTGTCGTTGTTGTTCAGCTTGCTATATACTGAGAACATGTGTTCCATCAAACACCGGGTTTCTTGGAGGACGAACTCGTGAGCTCGCAAGCTTCCTCATCGATCAGAGTCCGGAGCTATGGATCTGGATCTTCGCACGGTGTCACTCGGTGTTGCTCATTGCTATCCTTGCCACGACGACAATACACGTGGGCGGGTGTATCCAGATAGAAAATGTGCGTTTGTCGGTACCAACAATATTGTTCCATGTTGGATATGAAGACCGTCAGAGGCCCGCAAAACTCCAGCTTCTGGATAGCGGTGAGCCCGCAGCTTGACCACCGATGCGATCTCTGCCAGTGATGTATAGATAATAGCCAGCACGGTAGGCCAGAATGACGAAAAGGGGGTGGTCCATAGAAATAGCCTAACAACGCGTCCCGACGGACATGCTTGAGGGATTATCTTGTCGAAAGGTTTGCCGAAGCTCCTCGCAATATAGAGTTACCTGCAGGGAAAACGAACTATTAGCTTTCTTATCGACAGAAGCGAGACGAATACTGGGTTCATGGCTCTTTGGAATGGTTAAGTTTGACCTAACTCAACATCACCTGTGAGAGATAAGCCTCATTGAACAGAAGACTTCTACTTAAGATGTAAGAAGAAGTGTAAGAAAAGCAATGTCTTACGTAGGATGCAGACAGTGCAATGAGGGGAGGATAAGTCAGGAATAAGAAGACACAAGGTGTTGACGTACAAGACTGACAATCGCTCAGCTTGAGTTTTGGTGCATATAATAGCCGCTGACTTGTCTAGAGTGCCCCAGAATGTTATGTTGGATGGAGAGGCATGCGCCTGATTGCATGGGTAGACAAGAGTGGAGAGGGGGAGAGAGAGAGAGAAGAACACATCGAGGGGGATTGTGAGGCTTTTATATCCCAATTTTTGTGGAGCACTCCGACTGGTGACCCAAGCGTGAATCCTTCATTTTCACAGCATGAGAAAAATTTGATCTCCGTCACAATTGATCTGGACTTCTCCGAGGGGAGATTCACGGTTTTTGGTTGCCTAAATACGCCACTCACAAGATCGTTAATGAAGCAATTCACGGTTTTCTAGATGCACCCTGTCTTGATGATCTTGTGATCTCCATTTCTTCGGAGACTCCAGGTGATCTTATTGTTGGTGAAGTTTCTAATGGGTCGTAGCTAAATCTACAGAGGTCTGGTATGGAACCTCCATTGGCTTGATGCCATGTTGCACATTCAATTTATCGTTATATAACAAATGTATATCAACAGAATTTGTTCATCGCGTGAATCCACATTACTTGAATCCACATCACTCCTTCCCAGGAGCAAAGCTTCTATAGCCAAAGTAATATCTAATGATAATCTTCACTTGGGTGCATGGTCAATCTCTGTTGAATTCACGTTCTATTGCCGCCACCATCTCATCTACTAGTGTCAGCTTCATTCAACCACGAAGTGGAGTACATACCACGCATTCCTTGGATCGCCTCGAATGCAATTGCATGGTTTTCTAGAAATTTCGACACTATGCGCAAGCTCTGCTCCAGCTCTTGTCTTAACCCAGCCAAGGGGAGATCACCTAAGTCCGAGTCTTTCGATTTCGTCACGAAGGGTCTTGTTTTGCAACTCAACGTCAGCATCGTGTAGCCCGCCTGCATGGCACAGCTAATCAGCGTCGGCATACCCCGTGGTACCTCGTAGTTTTGGTATATGTATGGCAGGTTTGTAGGAGAGGTGTCATTTGTTGGATTGGGGAATGGAAGGCTATCAAGCAGAGTCACAACATTGATGGCTGCATGAACACAGATCACTGATGACATGTGTGCAGAAAACGGAAACTGAATCCCAAAATCTTGTATAGATGCTGGGGGTGGTTGTAAATCTGCGTTATCAGTACCAAATGCTTCTGTGGCATTACTTGCAGTGGATACTGGATGCAGACCCGGTTGTTCAGAAAACACAGGAACATCTTGAAAGGCACAGTATCGGTGCAGTTTGATCCGCGCACTTGACCATCAGCCACATCCTATCACAGGGAGAGCATACCTACCTGTGTAGTTTTACTTCCGTAAATGACCGCAGAGCATTCGATGCCACCGATTCCACGCAATCAGGCCGTGGGCCTTGGAGTGAGGATAACTTCTCTCGACACTCGAAAAGCAGCGAGGTAATATGGGCATCGAGCTCAGCCATCCGTTTCGGAATCCATTCCACCTCTCCTCTACTTCTAATAGTATCATCAAGATCGACGGCAAATATACCAGCTTCATATAAAGCCTGTTGGGCTTCGACACGCAGTTTAAAGTCCTATGAAGCATAAGCACACATTCCTTAAACCGTATGGAAACCAACCTTTGGATATGGTGTCACAAAGCTAGGATCATAGACATCGAATGTTGCCGGCTGCAAATCAGCTACTTTCCTGTCTAGTCAATAGACGCCCACTCACCATTCCAGTCACAGTTGCCAGGTGGCTTGCCGCCATATACTGCAGAATCAGCACCATGCAGATGTCAGAGGATGTGCCAACCAACCGTAAACCACCATGATCTGCGTCGGGCCACCGCATATTCATTTTCCTCCAGCGACTCATGCAATCCAATCTTTACAGCCATCGTCAAAGCCTCATTTACTAACCTAGCCGTGTTCTCCATGTTTCCCCGCTGGCCATATTCATAAAATCCCAGGATCGACAGTGTAATAACGCCTTCCAGGCACACGGGCACTTTGGGATGAAAGGGTGACCGACCGATAACATGCCTTAAGGAGCCTTGAAACCCGGTGGGAGATCGTAGCGGCTCGTAGTCCTTCGCAACAACCACATGCGCAGCCTCGGCAAAGCGAAGCGAGACCTCCCTCCGAATCTTCACATACTCCGGTCGCGAAGGCTCCTTCACGTCTTGGTGGGGGACCAGGGCTACCATAGCAGAGATAGCCAGCGCAAGTGGGCTCGTCGGCTCGAAGCCATCCGGACCGAGCAGAACTGGATTGTGCGAGACGGGGAGGCGCTCCGGTGGAGGTAGGATTGGATAATACGGATGGATAAAAATATAATATGCATCCAGTCTGCACCGTTATCAGCGGGAACGAAGACATGTCGGTGGCCAAGCTTACATGTCCTCGTTGCTCCCATATAGCTGGACTGTGTTGGCCAGTGGAGCGGACTGCGAACCCCGGCTTGTCTTAGTTGAGTTCCGGGCGAAGACCGAGTCGAAGATTGACTCGATTTTTGCTATTGGCATTCCGACATTGCGCAGTCCGGCACCTGGGCCACACATTCGAGCTAGTTTCTGCATCCATTCTGAGGTCAACCGTTAGCACCGTTGGCAGTTGGACATCAGGTTGACGGGGTCAGTACCGTTTGCATCGACAGTCGATGCGCCCCCCGCAGAGGGGGCTCCTTTGGTTAGAGGCCCATCTTGAGCCGCCTGCGGATCTGACATGACCTTGGCATCTATGCACGTGTGATGCCTGGTTTCGGTGACTTGCTGCTTGAGAACCCCTGTCTTAGCACGGAATATATAGGTGCTTGAGTGATTCCTGAAGAAGCGGCCAGAACACGGTTTTGGGCCTAAGGCCGAGGAACGGGAGAGCCCCCCGCGACTATCACGTAAAGATCAGTCAGGTTCACCTCGAACTACTGCAAAGTCCTTCGGATAATCCCTCGTCCCGGAATTCCGTAGGACTAGTGAGGAGTAGTAGTACTAGTGTCTAATAGGTAGTAGGTAGAGCAGTATCTAGTACTCGATGGGGTGTTGAGTACCTACCAGTACCAAGCATAATTATTATTGCAGCGCCCCCGTTTCACCCTCCGCTTAGCGTCGATCGGGTTGGTCATGGCTGCTCCGAACGTTCCACCACCGTCGTCAGAACATCTTCACGAAGAGAGTGGGAGGCATTGTTCAGAGCCGACTCTAAAGCTGACCAGCAGGTCTAGGTTTTATTGTGTCGAGCTGGGCATTGCAAATCCCGGGGGATGGGCGAATCCCGGGCAGAGGTGAAGCCGGGATGGTGAAGGAGAGGGGAAGCGATTAGCAAAGAGAAGAAGCACCACAGCGGAGGCGTGTAGCAACAGACGCGGCGATCTTGGCCATGGCTCGTCCACTCAACGCCGCCCGTCATTTTTAGTATTAATTTGGAGACTAGAAGCCCTGGATACAGTAGTCCAGATGCCTGATTTGGGGGCGAGAGTCGGTGATTGAGCCAAAAGTTGTTCCCATTCCAGTGGGCGGTGGAGCCGACCAGACCCCGTGGAACCGGAGATCCCCCTTCGCTTCGGCCGAAGCTGCATCTCGACGACCCACGGTACCCCTCTTCTCTTCTCTCTCTCTTCCCCTCTTCCTCTGGGTACTCTACCTAAGTATTAGTCAGTCCATCTATCTAGTATCTATCTGTCTATCCATCTATCCATTCACACATTCTTTCCGTCTATCTCCCTCTGCGTACTGCCGGTTCGTTCCCGTGGTGAGCCGCTCGCCAGCCTACTTAGAACCACCCCATGCGCATTGATGCTCACTAGACAGCTGAAGACACAACCGAGCGAGCAGCAGCCAATGGCACGCCTCCACCATCATCTATTCAGTATTTACCCATGCATAATTTCACACCGATGCCCACACGGAGAAATCAGAAAATAGTTCTCCGGCTTCATGCTCTCCCACGTCGCGCTGGGCGCCAATCGTACCCCCCGACATTCCCGGAAGAACTCGGCGGCCGCTAGGCGAAGTTCCATCCACGCCAGATGGATCCCAAGGCAGCCTCGCGATCCATGTCCAAAGGGTGAAAGTCCTTGCCTTGCTGCGTCCGAGTCACGCCCATCGCCCGGTAGCCATCGAGTCGCATCAAAGCTCTCAGGATCAGGATACAGAGTCTCGTCGCGATGGATTGTGTAACTCTGTGTGCTGACTGTCACGCCCTGAGGCATACGATATCCGCCGAAAATCCCTCCGCCATGCGGGACACTGCGAGGCAACGACCCTGGGGCTGCTCCATACAGTCTTAGAGTCTCCATGATGACAGCATTCAATAGTGGCAGCTCCTCCAGCGCAGCCTCGTTGTAAGATGGGTCCACTCTACCGACTTCTTCTTCAAGATCGTGCTGAAGCGCTGGCTGCAACAGCACCGCCCATACCAGGTACGTCAGCGTAACGGCCGTGGTATCCGAGCCGGCCACGATCAGGTTCCCAGCCTCAGTTACCACATCCTCTTCAGTAAGTGTGCCGCTTTCTTTCTCCGATTCGGTAAGCATGCCGGTAAAGATGTTCCGAGTGGACATGCTATTCGTTCGGCTGTTGGAGACCGCACGCCCTCCATACTCGGAAAGATAGTCACTGGAGCGAAACATGGCCTTGAAGGACGGATGCGGAATATGTCGCCCTATGAGTCCCACGACGGGTAGCTCTGCATTGATCCCACCGCCCTTCATTATGGACTCTAGGGCATCGATATATTTGGTTCTCTAATAATAAGCCTAGCACAGGGTCTGTGGATGTGCATTGACTCACTCTGCCAAGTTGAAGCATGCCGAATGACTCGCCAAACATCAAGTGTCCGCTGACATCGGTAGCGAAAAAGGTCCACCATTTCAGCACGTCGGATCTTCCCGTGGATAGCAATTCTCGTCGTATCTGCGACACAGCTAAGTGGACTTTTTCCTTCACCACCGGTTCCCACGTCCGTCGCAACTCCGACTTTGCAAACGGCCGCGCAAGCAACTTCCGACGTGCGGAATGTTCCTTGGGGTCGCGCATGGCAAATATTCCCGGCTTTCGGTCGAATGTGGTTTTCTGATACCACGCAGTTTTCAAGAATGCCGACCCAGCACGATGAATTTCCTTAAACTCCGGTAGCGACGAGATAGACACCTCATCCGGGGCGATACGAACCACTGGTCCATATCTTTGGTGAAGGTCATGGATGAAGTAGATGCGCTTCCCCGTGATGATCGATATCTTCAGTGGCAGTCTAGTTGCTCTCGTGTACAATGGCCCGGGTATATGACGAAGGGGAGACCTGAGCGAATTGTAGGCCAACTAATCGCAGATCAGTCAGTATCGTAAATCACTTGACGTTATGCAAGTACGAATATTCACGGTCCAGGGGATTACCTGTAGAACCCATATTGCCATGCCGATTGCAACGCATAGCGCCGCCTGTCGCTCCATATCGTGATTGCTTTTCGGAGAAGGAGCGGAAGGGACGGATTCAGGCACGACAGATATCAAGAAAATTGCTCGAGCTCCCGGGCTTGCATGAGTCTTTAATATAGACGATCTGTCAGCTCATTGATGCTCAGCACATCAGATCTATACCGCAGGATGCAGCTGTCCCAATCCTACGTGGGCTGCTAGAGGCGAATCGCTGCGTTTGAGTAGACAGCTCGGTTACCTAGCAAACAACTAGGATTCTAAGCCTTGTGGCTCATGAAGCATCGCTTATCTATCGCTTATCTCTATGACCAGTTGCCTGACATATGAGCGCGCGCCAGGTGAGATAATAACATGGTGGTATATTAGCATGGATGAGATGGGAGATTAGCGTGCGCCAGATATTAAGAACTGACCAACTACAGAGGAGCCATAGAGTCAATGTGTTTATCAGACCGTTGGCTTAGTCGAGCTGGCAATTTATAGACAGGGATTCATCTGTAGCATCTCAAAGATTGCGGCACCGCGTGAGATAATAGCGTGAGTTATGTGAGATTGGCCTCAATCTAGCCCCATGCCCACGAGATACACGTGGCCGGTCGGCAGAGGCTGAAAACAAGTTTTCGCCATCTTTTCCCTTTTTTTGACATGCCCCCGGTCCAGGGGCACTGGAAAATTCTGTTTGACATAATGGGGCCATGAGAATGACAGCTTATCGCACCCCGGATTGACCAGCGCATAAGGGATCCGCCCGCCCGCCTAGACCCAATAGGTCCGGTGCCGCGGATTGCCCTTCAGCCTCAGCCTCGCGGCATGTTGGCGTAATATCAAGGATGGGACTCCTGATCCTTTGCCCAGTATTCTCATCCTTGATTAACCAGTCTTTTCCCCGCACCGTTGCCGACAGCTTCCGGCACCATAACTATCATGTCCTCTACCTCTCATACAAGCCCAGTGTTTTACGTTACCCCAGAACCAACCACCTATACCTAACTATGTCCTTTCGAAATGTCTAACTCATACTACATACCCTAGATACCACTAAACCCACCTCTTAACCCTCCCCCAGAACTACTATTGGCACCAAGGACCCCTCCTCCCCTTCCCCAGTAGCATCCTACACTCTCTCCCAAGCGCACAAACCACAACCACTAAGCAGAATGAAAACCCCCAAGAGAACCTAGCCTAACCTAATCTAACCTAACCTACTCACTCACTCCTTCCCAAAACCAATCAAACATCCCACCCAGTTAGCTAAACCCCACAACCAAACTCTATCTATTAATATCAACATGCAAACATCCACATCACATTAGTGCAGCCCGTGATTAGTTGGGGTTTTTATCCGAGGGGGTTGAACCCACTTTATATGCAGCCTATGATTGGCCGGGGTCTTTCTCCGAGGGGTTGAACCCGTAACTGCATCTCAGCTTGTTATTGGCTGGGGTCTATATCCGTAGGGGTTGAACTCTTTAGTCAGACCCATCAACCCCACCTCCTGCCTGGCAGCCTGGCAGCCTGAGGCAGTATATACACTCTCCCAGCCAACCAACTACTTGTATGTGTAATCATCTGGTTTACAATATAGATAGGCAGGTCTGGAGTAGTATGCTGTATTCTAACATGCTCGCACCGTCCATATGGATTGTTATTTTAGGAATTTTGCAGATGGTTGGCGCACGCTTATGTCAGTCAAGGGTTTAGTTACTAGATAATAACATGGCCCAGCACTGATTCGATCTGCGTTGAAAAGGACAACAAAGGCATAAAAAAGGAATAAGAAAGAAAAATGGACCGCTTCTCTTCCCCCGTCATCTTGGTCTCGACTCTCTATCTTGGTTATAGGTATCTGTGTTGAAGCGGAATATATATTCCTGCGAGGATGGGATCCACACTACAACTATGGAAAGTCTCAATACAGTTGGATGATACTAGCTCGATGTGGAGATGTGGAGATTGGGGAGGACTTCACGGATCTCATGAAGAGGATACCGAACGCACGGTGAGATGGTTATGGTGGTGGATTAGTTAGTCTATTGGAAGATAGAGGGGACGTAGATCACGTGATTGTCTGGGATTTGTCATGTGGATGATGCTGTTGTGTGATGGAGTTCTGGGTTAAGATTATCATAGAGGTGATAGGATAGAGGATGAGCAAGGAAGGAGTGGAGAGAAATAGATAATTTAAAAGACCGCTAATTACGAGTATCTGATTTAGAAAGCTTTAGAAAACTCGGACAATCTGGTATCATTCCTAACATACAAAGTAGAAGAAAATATGAAAGCATAAGAAAAGTCAGGTGTAATGTATGTACAGGTACATGATGTACAAAAGTCGAGCATGAAGCTCGCTTGGAGTAAGATCGAAATGTCGGGGTGAGAATCGAATGGATGGACAAGAGAAAAGAACCCCCGGCACAGGCATCAAATACAAGATGGGCGTAGCAGTGTAGGGTAGGAGATAAGTGTCAGGCAAAATAATATCGATCCTGGTGTCGAGCCTATCGTCCCCACATCCTTGATGATGAGTCGTTGGCCCTTCTGGTGTGGGGATCAGAGTCTCTGCTGGAACGATCACTTCCCTCCGCCTCGTCAGGATAGGCTGGTTCACTGGTGATTTCGATGGTGGTGTGCTGGTACACCTTGCCAATAGGGGACAATTCGACGCCAAGCGTTTGCACAATATTGTCTGTTGATCCATCACGCACGGTATGCTCCAAGTCATCATCCTCGTCATGTCTTCCTTTGCGCAGAGCACTGATATCCGTACGAGTGATTTTGGGATCTGCGGTGATGGTTGTCAGATGATTGTCTGTCTTGCGGTTCTTGCTGCTGGCAAAGTGGTTGTAACTGCGATCGTTGCTTGGCTCCGAATCGATAATCAGGTTCCGTCGGGTGAGCGTGTAGAGAAGCGCGTCAACCAGCCCTGAACTGGTAATCATGGCACCGGCAACACAAAAGTAGGCGATGCTTGGCCCATCGCCTTGGGCGGTCGCCATTCGACCTGCGGCAAGAGGAAGAGAGAGTACAATGTAGGCGATCGGATAGATGACCATGTACCCAATAACACGGCGAAGGCGCTTGAGACTTTCAATGTGGCTGCTACCCAGAATAGCGGACTGCTTGATGCGGAGCCGTAGTTGGAACCACATGATGGCGTACAGACACACTGTACCGAACTCAGCCAGGAAAATCCAAATATAATGTGTCCATAGACGGATCGATTCGTATTCTTCGCTGATCCAGCACTAAGCGGAATTTAGTCAGTGACCACTCCATAGATAACAGCCGCAAAATCACTCACCCAAGCACCCGATGGAATGAAAACATAACGTCCATGAGCAGCAAGTGGGATAATGACTAGGATAGCCACGAAAAGCCAAAGCCCAATCACGGAAGCAACAAAGACCCTGTGACTTGGCTTTTGCCCCAGGGCCACGATAAGGAAGGTATGGAAGGCGATCGCGAGGACGAAGAGGCCACTACCCGGATCTCCAACCTGCAGCCAGAATCCCTGAAGAAAACAACCTGCCGTGTCTGCTGATATTTTATCATCGACAATCCATTTGATGCATATGAGGAACGCGAGCGATTGCTGAAGATCGGCCAATACCAGGTTGTAGATGAGGATGATATATTGATTGTAACCGATGTACCGAGCATACGATCCTCGCCAAAAGACAAGTCGGTAGCTGATGAAAAGTATCAGGGCCAGGGTCGCTAAGAAGGACAGAACTGCCATGACAGAAACTGCAATAAGGCCCTTGCGCTGAACGCTCGGCAGAGGGTCAATGTCTAGGGTGACGCCGTCCGCGCCATAGATCGTTCGGCGCAACAGATCTCGCCCTCCTTCATCAAATGCCCCCAACGCACTCAGAACTCGTACAGCACTCATTTTCGAAAGATTTGTGGATATAGGTGCCGGGGCGCGCTGCTGTCATTCTCTTCCTGAAGAGGGGGAGAAGGTCGCAGGCCCCGGAGGTAGGGAGATGCCTTTTGAAATAGGAGCCCGGGGTGATAGAAGTGAATTATATCTGAATTTTAGTAGTCAGGATGCTGCAGGTTCCGCGCGCTGTCGAAGGCCAATCTGAGTTCAGTCCAGGGGATTAGTCCTTCGCATTCACTTGCCAGGACTACCCAGGAGTCAGTAGAAAGGTAAAGGAAGAGGGGAAAGGGGACATGGCGCGAAGAAGGAAATGGGGACAGTCCTTTACTACGCAAGGCCTTTTGCCAGATTAGTCTAGATTCTGTTGTCCATCAGTGGAAAAAGAGAAAGTCAACAGAGCTCGAGTCTACCCCATATCACGGTCTGGGCCGACATATCCCGCGCCGGCCTTTGAGAGGGAAACCCCGAACGTTGCCCCTCGCCTCAATCAACCCAGGGGCTCTCTGTCGGGAAGGTCAACAAGGCGAATGGACACTCTGACCTATAGCAGCCTAGCAGAATCTTCAAAGTGGTTCCTGAAACCTTGAAGGTTGGACGCCAGACCCGACGCCAAGCACAGGGGACGAACGTGGTTCTGGTTCGGATGGTTACTAGTGGCTGGTACGGCTGGGTTCCGGCAGCCTAATTTCGACCATCAAGATGGTTCAGGATCATCTGGCCGCGCTCTGGCTCTGCAGTCTGCACATCCTATGGTATGTGATACTCATATGACACCATTCGGCTATGGGTCCCAACCCCAAACCACCATCGTCGGCTGCTTGCCGCAGGTGCCAGGATCGAAGCATCCGGACGGGAGCTCGTGGGAAGGAGCATTGTGGGTTCGAGTTTTGCCGTTGGCAGTTGGCGCAAGATACCGAGGCAGTCAGTAGCCACTAGCTGTGTAGTACCGCAGCCACGGGTACACACTGCGACTAGCCTGCCAGTTGGTTGCAGTGTGCACAGCCAACCGATTCGCAAGCTGGCAACACCGACAGAAAATTTCAACCCCTCTTTTCATTCTGGGGCAAATTCTCTCTTGAAAATACCTAGGCAGAAACAGCCCGGTCAAAATTGCGTTAGCCTGACCGAAAGACATTGAGCGAGCCATTGATTCCAGAAGCTTGAGGTCCCGCTTTGCTGATCAGCTTAGAAATTGAATCCCGAGGATCCACCTGGTTGCAACATGGCGTAAATCATCACACTAGAATGTCGTCCTTTTGGGTAATGAATTACCTCCAGATAAGGAGTGGAATTAAAAATGCAGGGACATAACAGCAGCACTGAGCCTCGATCGTCCCTGGACGGGAGGAAGCATCGGAATGCTGCTCCTGATCTCTCGGGTGCAATGGAGTAGAACCATGGAATGGCATGAGCACACGGCAGGGCCCCTCTCAGTGGTGAATTGGTGATAACTGCTTAGAAGGTACGTGTAATGACACACGCAATTAGAGCCTCCAACTCATCCTAAGTTCTGACACGGTAATAATAATCCTATGTCAGTGCGTCTTCCGTCGCCGTTATTGTGGATTTGATAATAAGCGCTATACTCCGTACTACTTTTCGGCCTGAAAACAGGCTCGTTTGTCGGATTCGCAAAAGCACACTTGAGGTGACGCGGCACACGGAGCAACTAGACTCGGGTTCATGCTAGTAATCTGATACATCTGCTAGCAGCGTCACTGACATAGTCCGGATAGGTTGATTACCCATAGATCCATGATCAGCAAGTCCCAGTCACCGTTTGAAAAGGGACTTGATAAGATATCTTGGATTACTCTCCCTCGTTGCCCATGATCTCTTATCATGTCTGGGGGGTCTCGTGTATTCCCATGAGAGGAAGCCACTGAACTTTTGGATATTACGGAGGCGACTCCATGAGGCATGGGTTCAAACAGATGTATCCTGGCCCTATCTCAAAATCGACATTCGCCTGCGATCGAATCCTGCGCTGTCTTCGGGCGTAGCTTGACCATTCGAGTACTAGCGATCAACGACGTTAGATGGAACTAACTGCAATAAGATGACGGTCCAGGAAGGAGATGAGTTCAAACCTATTTCACATACCGGGAGACCGTACCTCTTCTACTTACACCCGACCGTCCAGCTTATCGCACTCGATCAGACCCAGGATGCAGATGCGAAGGAAGACACCAGGCAAGTCGAAGTCCCGAGGTTCACCCCGTGACAGTGTGACAGTACGGGTGGGGATGGTCTGACCATTTGGGCCGCCAAGCAGCCAACCCACCAACGGTTTTAATCAATTGCATACCAATGGACCGGCGCTATTGCCCCAAGCAGGACGGTCGCAACAGTCCGACACAGACTGTTACATCCACCGGCCGACACGCTTGACAAAAGTACCGCTGCCACCGTAGCATCCATCAAGATGGACGTCTCGGATGCAGTCGCCTAAGATGGAGGCTTGGGTTTTATCTACAAGCAACCTTGATGAAGCAGCTGCTTGCTCGACTCGCCTCGCGTGACTTGGGACACGCCTCTGCACTTATACTAATGGCACCAGCGCACTGTCTAAGATTGCTATAAGATGGCTATATGATCGGCTATATGATCATGGAGTCGATAATGGCTTACTAGTCGCAGTATCTGTGAGCACTACGTACACAGCCTATGCCCTTCCATACTAGGTACAGTATTCTGCAAGAAATCCAGAGTCATCTTGTGATTATTGTTGCACACCTACACAGTACATTCGTCGGCTAATATGCGGCTTTCTATTAGCAGATCTAACAAGATTCTCGCTGACGGCCCATATAATTCTAATAGCAGTACTGTTATGAGAACGGTCAGAGTGCAAAACTGGCGCCAGCAGGTCTAACAGACACAAAAAGCCTACCAAGATAAATTAGCTTCTTTCCAGTATTGCACCCTGTCGAACCGTTTCTTATGACCATGCACCTCATCAATGGCTGCAAATTAGGACAGAACCCATCGACCGTGGCAAACAAGCGCCATTTACTTTGTTGGAGCTGCCACATTATTGCCACTATAGAACGCGATCAAGATAATTTCCGCCAAGGTCCGACTAGCATATACTAGCATCCCTAGCCTAACCAGCTGTCGTGAAGATCACAGCCCTGTCTCAGGCATGCCATTATTTGGCGGTGATGGCTCTTGCCAAGTGAATAACGCTGTGTATCGAATATCTAGCGACCTAACTTCACAAGTGAAGTTATCACACTGGGCTCTAGCCGGACGGATACGACCTAGGAACCGATATCATAATGCACCAAGTTGGGCTACTCAAAGAAAGAAGACATTTGTTAGAAACCAACCTTCTGAGCCCGGAATATTTCAATCCGGTCTTCCTAAAGCAGTATTCGACACTGTGACGACACAAATAATTCATAGAATGCCAACTTGAAGCCATATAGATCATGATATCAACCATCCGTCCAAGTCAAACTTTGAACTAATTTGATTTTCAGTCATTGGGTCCTCAATGATCTCAGGGTCAGCGCTGGCTGGATATTTGCCCGTGATATCATGTCGATCCAGAACACGCCTGTTATCACGAGGTCAGTGGGTTCTATATGAAGTATCGCGAATACGCTTATCTTCTAGACGGACTCTCGCCATGACCACTGGATCGTTTCCATTATGCTATAACGAGGTTGTCATGGCCGTTAGAGCGGCCCACAATCTCTGGCGATCACTATTAATTGCGACCATAACAAGACTATGTAAGAAAGGTAAGTAAATGTCAAAATTGCCAAGCCCAGTGCCGACAGCTCTGGCTGACTATCTACCTAGTACCTACGTAGCAGGCATCAGGTCCGCCGCTGCCAAGAGATCGACGTTCTGGCGCCCCTACGGTAAATTGTCCACGGCCTACCTACCCTGCCCGTCTTTCAGGATTCCTTCGAGCTAAGAATCCTTAAATTAGAATCTCGAGGATAGTTTCCTGCTCCTGCCGTTCGAGTTTCTTCTACTGTTGATGTGTGAATGGCTGCGACCTGGGAAAGGGGTTAAAACTCTTCGCCTGCCGGAGTCTTGGCAGTCTCCAGTTTAGATTACTTGGCTCACGGCGTCCTGACTCGGCCTGTCCCGTTCGAAGCGGCAAAGCCGACGGCAAACTTTGGAACCATTCACAATGACGGGGTGGACACGGCTTGTTTCGACAGCCGAAGTCCCGAGAAAGCGGCAAGTCCTGCCCACTGGGATGATATCGCTTATGAAGCGCTTATGCCAGGATGGCTAAGCACTGAACATTACCATCTCCTTATGAATAGCCATCAGGATGGAACTAGACATGTCGAGAATCCTCTGGCAAGCTAACAGCGACGTCATGTTCTGCATGGCCACTGGCTTAGATTGGAAAAGCACACTGCTCCGTAATCATCCGAGAATCTCTAATCGACCCAAAGCGTGGGCGGGTTTTTACGACTCATGGACAACAACTAGTCCTTTTCGAAGTGCGGATTCAACATATCTCTCTACCTGATGTTTCCATGGTCCCTTACTCTTGTGGCTTAACATGTAGCTCTAATCTTACGAAATACGAAGTTACCAGCTAGGTCCCAACTCTCATATGCCGACTCCTTATCAACGAAGCTTTCCGCCACACAACTAAGCGAAATTCCCGAGCCTTCATTGTCGAGTTGACACCAATGACAGCCTTCGGAAAGACTCCGTCGGTAAGGGGCCGAAAGTTGAGCTGGATTTAACTCTGCAGAAACCAAAAAAGCGGGGATAAACTTCGATAACCCCAGGGCTATCGAACTGGTTACGCCGATTTCAACAGGACAGACTTTGCCCCTCTTTATCCCAACCAAGATCAACTCGGACGGGCTGCCGAAATGCCAATGTTGAGGGGGGTTTGCCTTACCGGGATCCAATATCAGATTAGGTCGACTGGGGACGGAACCAGTTATCTACCCATGCGGCTGGAGATCCATTCTTGGGTGAACCATGGAATCATACTCTGTATGCGTAAATGATTGTCGATAGGGGTAAGCGACCAAGCAGGTCGAATGCGCTAAATATCGAATCGGAGTCGGGGTCGGAACAAGAGTCCGAGTCTGACCTAGAGAGGATATCGTTGAAGAATGACGACGCCAGGAAGAATTCTTCAATCTTCTTCTCGAAACTCATCCTGAATGTATCCGAATAGGAGCCCCGCCAGATACTATTGTATTCTAAACGATGTGAGACCCTGTCTTGTCTACCGTATTCATAGAAGTAGGGACGGAAGGAACCTATTCTTCTTTCCCCTGATTCTACACATCGTTGCATACTACTAAAAGAGAGTAGTTTTCTATATGCGGGGTGGAAATATCTCACCACGACTTACTTTTTTTTGTGTATGTTATATTTATCAAGGCGGGTATAATGGGTGACCTTCGGGTCTGATAGCCCACTGGCAACAAGGGACGCCATCAAGATGACACTGTAAGGTTTGAAGTGGTATAGATATTCATGGATGTCGCTATCACCTTCCTAAAGCGGGTAGGTCATAGATGATACTCTCAATAGGGGAGGGCCTTAGCGTAAGGCTATTCGGAGTTCGGGTTGTTGGTTCTAGTTTTTCAGTCCTTGGATACTAGTGTTAGGTAGATAGTAGGAGGGTGGAGATGATCGTTATCAGGGTTGAGTTTGAGTCTGAGTTTGAGGCAAGAGATGAGATGAGGAGGTAGATCGATGTTCATGATTAGGGGATATAATTAGGGGATGATAGGGTAGGAAAGTGGGTGCGTGGCTATTCAACTCTATACTCTACTCTGTTTTTAGAATATTCTCCGGTATGGGATTGAGTTTAACCCAACCTACTTGAGGACCTAGTATGTATGCATCTCGGAAGAATTACTGTAAATGGACAATGGTATACTGATTGTTCTAGAAGGATATCAAAACCACTATATGCAGCATGGTATTCACCGTCGTTATAAATCATAACATCAGAGGCAATGTACAACGTAGTCGTTGTGAAACGCGGAAGAACAAACCATGGAATAGAGCAAAACGGGAAAGAACATCGTTAAAATACATAAACATTAGGTGTCGTGCATGTCGTGTCATGTCAACTGCTTGCCTGCATGTACATACACACCAGCCTCTCGACCCAGTGTCGAGTCTTCATGCGTTGATACATCTCATCTCATCTCATCATGCATTCGTCAAATGGGTTGTCGTGACGCTGAATAAGAGTGGAAGCAAGTAGATAGATGCCACGTGTGGGCCTGAAGCATATAGTCATTGTGTTGTCTTTTCTTCGTTTGTTTTGTAAGGAGGGTGAGGTATGGACATCAGCGACCAGACATTACTGTTCATGATCATCTTCGCCGTGAGCCTCGTCGACTGTCGTATTCTTCCTCGTCTTCCTCTTCGACAGGCGCAGGCGTCCGCCGTTCCGTGCGGCGTTTTGGCCGACGTCGGCGGTTGGAACTGATATTGCTGGCCGAATCATCCGGGGCCAATGAGACGGTATCATCCAAAAAGTCGTCGTCGCCGTCGTCCCATACGCCCAATCCGGACGCGGGGGTTCCCAAACGAGCCTCGACGTAGGAACCGCGACGGTTCTGGTTCGCAATCGACAGTCCCGCACCACGTTCACGGAGGGCGCGGCGTACTACCTCGGCCTTGCAGTGGAGGGCCTCAAACGCGTCTTCGAGTGCCTCCATGCCGAGGTAGATGTCCCGCTCAATCTCTGCCAATGCGGCAATCTCCATCTCCTCATCCAGGGCAATTGGGCCGCCGAATGCAGCGGGTGCAGGCGATGGGGACGTGCCGTATGGCTGACTGGCCGATCGGAACCCTCCGTCAACCTGACTAGGGGTCGGGCCACGAGAGATTCCGCCGGTGGTGAATGGGGTGTTGGATCGGCTGTGGCTCCAGCGTGGAGGTGTCGAGCCTGAGCCGGAGGGAAAGGCGTCTTCAGCACCACTCCGTAGGAAACCATCGAAGCGACCCGAGATCAAGATGTCCCACTCATCGTCGCTGATTGCTGCAAGGGTAGCAAGAACGTGGTGCATGCCCGGGTTGTTCAGCATGTAGATAGCCGCTTCGGGGTCGCGCGGAGCGGACGTCAATCGATACAACCGCTGGATAGCTAGTGACGATGACATCAGTGGCGCAGGTCGGGGGCGCGGTTGTCCCTCGGGCCGCGGAGTAGGTGAAGTAGAACTGATGCCGAGAAGAGAGGTAAACAGTGAACGCTCCTCGGGTCCTAAATGTGTCAAGATAGCAAAGGTGAGGGTCTCGTCATCAACTTCCTCGGGCGCGCTCGTGGCCTGGCCGGACTGCTCATTGAGCCACTTGTCGACAGCGACCTTTGTCTTGCGCGATTGTCGAATAAAGTGATCTCGATACTCCTCCGGCACGTCAATGTCTAGTTTCTGCATGGGAACGTGTTCCTCGCCAGACCAGTTTGCGTCGACCACAGAAGGATTCAGTATGAAAGCCGGCCAGCTAGGAAGTTCCCGACGGCCAGAGACGAGTTCCAGTACCTCGCCCCAGCTGACTCCCGATGGACGCTCTTCTAACTCCTCATGCTCACACATCCGGCACTGGCAACATTCAGAGGAGATGTCACGGGCAAACACAGCTTCCAGGCGATCAAGCAGACGCCGCGCGACAGATCGATAACCGGTGGCAACCGCGAGCGAGCCATTTTTGGTCATGACTTTATGGTAATCCTCGAGAAGTCGGTTGAACGGCTCAAAAATCTGGCCGGCCCCAGATGGAGGCTGCGAGGATGCGTACGGTAACGTTTCTGAAGCGGCGGAGCCAAGCAGCGACTTGGGAACTTGATGATTCAAGCCACCATTCTGGAGGAGATAATCCACCTTCGGAATCGTAACTGGCACTTCAGGGGGAGGGGGTGGAGGGGGTGGAGCACCATAGGCAGAGCTCGCCGTAGGGGGGCGTCCATAGTCATATGCAGCCTCAGCCGGGGTACGAGTCCCAGATGTCCGAAAAGACATTGACGAGCGGTTCTGGGTGCGTGAGGGCGGTTTTTCTGGACTTTTCGGTTTTCGAGAAGCCGTGGACTGGTGAGGCGGTCCAATAGTGGCCTCTGACCCATTTGCTGAGTCCGGTCCGGCATCACGCACCGTCGCCGGGGAGCGAGGGGGAGTGGCATGATGGGACGATCGTTTAGGCGCAGACGCTTCCTCCACAACTTTCGACTTGGTAGAGTTCCGACTGGCCGTCCGGGACGGCAGATCCCTTGATTTCGTAGTGTCCGATCGTGTTGGCTTGCTCGTCTTGGATCCCTCCGTCTTCGACCGCAGACTCGAGGACGACCGCGTGGACTCTGCTCTGATCCGGATCTTGGTCTTTGGCTTCTCTGGTTTCTCCTCCGGCCCCTTCTCTTCTTTCCCGCCAACTGTGCTTCCTTTGTGTGATTGCTGGTCCACGCTTGTCAATGGAGGACTAGGGGGCGCTTGGTTGTTGTTGTTGTTGTTACTCTCTCCATTGGTACCCTCTTTACCCCCCTCTGTCAGGTCGGTCGGATCTGGCGTGGGAATACTCGGTTTGCCGACGACTTCCTTGCTATGAGCCTTGGAGAATGTGGGGTACGGCAGACTAGTCCTCGACTCGAGGAACGAGGCGGTGCCGGTGCGGCTGGCGCTATCGACACCAGGCATGGAGGACCGACGCTTTGTGCGGGAATTGGATCTAGATGTAGGAGTTGAGGAGCGTCCCGTGGGAGCGTCTGGGTCGCGTTCCTTGGTTGACGTGCGGGTGGTCGGTCCGTGGGACGGGCGAGTCTTGCGTTGTTTGGATTTGGATGAGAGGGTCGAAGATGAGGAAGCTTTTCTATCTCGGTCCCTATCGCGATCTCGGTCATTTAGTCTCAGCGGTAGAAACATGGTGTGGAATTAGGTGGAAGGCTTCGAAATGAGGTGGATGGAAGGGTTGGAAGACGGCAAGAAAGCGATGTCTTTCGTCCTTTCAACCCCTTGGTTCCTGCTCTCTTCCCCACTATCTGATCGGTTTGTGTTTCGTGTAGTTACCTCGTTCAGAAAAAAAAGTAAAGGGAATCGTAGTTGTCAGCTCCCAAGAATGTCACGAAGGGAGGGTTGCTAGATGATCCAAGACCCGAGTCGCTGTTCGTCTGGCGCTTAAGAGGTAACGAGGAATGCAACTGCCACTGGTTGAATGCCTGACTAGGCGCTTGTGCCAAACCACCGAAGCCGCTGCTGAAGGGCATGCAACATCCCGTGGGCGGCGGGCGGGGGGAAAAGACGAAAAAAGGAAAGCGAAGGGGTTCAAGAGGATTAGCTAAGGCCGGTAGCCAGAAGAAGAGGGAGAGTAGTTCAGGGACGGTGCATAAGAAACGATCGAGAGGCGAATGGATGGCAGGAGGATTTTGCGGTGAGGGAACGGGCTGGAGGGTTGAATCCCCGCAGCGATCGGTGGCCTTGGGATCCCGAATTTAGCAGCACTAGAAGGCCGGCGAAGGCACCCACTGACGTGGTGCGCCTGCATAGAAACCCAAGTCGTGGGATGATCGCTCGCGCGTGAGATAATGGCAGTAAGGGCCACGCCACCGGGATGGGCTGGTCTAGATGCTGCAGCAGATGATGATGATGGTGATGATGATGGACGTGGTGAGTGACGATGAACTGCTATTGGGAGGTTAATTGGATCCGTATCAGTTGCGAGATTATCGCGAGGGGCGTGACACTGAGTGCCTCAGGCACATACACCCTAGCGGCCTAAGGCTGGACCCGATCGATGGCTGCCCGTGAGTCATCATTATGCCGTTTATCTCCAGCATGGACTATGTACCAAGTAGACAACACTATCAACAGGCCCATTAAACGAGAACTACAGATGCCTCCCTAAAATTCCCACCACTCTCCCGTTCACCATCCTCTGTAGCTTAGCCCCAGAAACTCTGTACTCAATTTGATTGGAATATCCGAAATGTGTACTCTGGTGTAAAAAGGGTATCAAATATTATCGGCCCGAAATAAGTCTTCAACAAGTCCACGCGGTCAGTCCATTCGACGCCTTCTTCACCGGCGACATCTCGAGAACCCAATTTCCGTCCTCCTCATGAGCAATTCCCCCCCGGCGTGCAGCTCGCATTACCCGTTCGCTCGCCAGTGTTCTCTTCCCCGTGTGGCGATCCCACACCCAGCCCTCCTTTAGCCACATCCATGTCAGATACGCTCGCAGCTCTTTATCTTGCGGCACCACCGACTTCCATTCTGGTGCAAAGTCCGTCGCTGCAGCTCCGTTTCCTTTCCAGTCCAACGCCAATTCTCGAAGTTCGTCACGGCAGAAGATCCGCCAGCTGTCCAGGGAATAAGGTCCGACGCCAGGTAGATGAGCCACCTCCCAGGCAACGCGAGGGTCATCGTCAGAAATGGTTTCATCCGGGCCGACATCACGTCCGTCTTGCTTGCAGGGGTAATGAAGCTTGCGGTGGCGTTTTCCTTTCGTGGGTGGGCAGGTTAACCAGGTCTGGGCTAAAGTGATACACTTCTTTGCGCGCTGGTTTTGGAATCCGAGACAGTGGATCATGGCAGCCAGGTTGGATGGTCCCGCCGAAGCCATCGCTTCCGCGGTGGGAAATCTATCAAAGACCTTAAACAGGACTGGCAGCGCAACGCCCCCACGGGTACGATTCAGAAATACGGTGGCAATCAGCAGACGGAAAGGATCGTGGGCAAGTTGTTCTTGGACTAATCCAAAAGATGGCGCATCGATGGGCGGAAAAGGGAGACACGAATCGGGGTCAACCAGAGGCTTGGGAAAGTAGGGGGATATCTTTGGGAGCTTCAAACGAGGTGTCTGGGGGAGCACAACAGCAGCCATGATGTCCTTTTCTTTCGTTGGTGTAATCGGTTCCGCAGCATCTTTAACGGTCTGCGTCTGAGAGGGCGAGGCTTTCGGAGAATAATAAACTGGAATATCATCGAAACCGCTAGGTACATCACTCAAATCTGAATCGGTAGAAAGAAAATCTGATGGCAAGTTCAACTCAGCCAGGAGAACTCGGGTCTCTTCAGGAATCCGGTCAGAAAATTGGTTTGGAGAAGTAGATCTTTTTTTGCGATGCACATCTGCTTTCTTCGTTTTCTGGGGAGCGATGAAATATCTGGACCTCACCTCATCGCTGGTGATTGAACTTTGCGAATCATTGGTATCTAAAAATCCTCCAGATCCCAAAATGCCTCGTCCAGGATGGCGAGATCGTCAGCGGTCACGACATTGCATCCTGCTATTCCGTGGGGTGTCTTTCCCACACAACCTGCCGCCATGTCGGCTTCAGCTGTGGACGGTTCGCCTTGTGGTTTTGAGAGGCTTGTGCGAAAAATATTGTATTTCTTCTTCCGAAGCTTGCGGTTATCACGCTTTCGTTTATTCTTTTCCTTTTTGGATGGCACACGACCTTGCTGCTGGGTCTCGTCCACGGAGGATCCATGCTGTCGGGCTTCTGCAACGGAGGTACTTTCATCCTGAGAGGAAGAAACCTGAAATGGATGTGTCTCAATATCCTTCTCAGTGCCATCACCGACATGATGCGTAGGTGGAGACTTTGGAGATGACTGCGCATTCATGGATCTTTTGTTCGGTGATTCCGTGGATGGGCGAACATGTGCGCTTTTCTTCTGCTTGGTAGAACATGATTTCTCCTTCGACTCAGAACGCGGGGGGAGGGAGCGTCTCTTTTCCGTGGCTTCGACATATGTATTAGGAGGTTGTTCTAGGACTGAAGATTTTATCGGAGCTTCCTGCTGGTGGCTTGGTTCTGTCCCCTCATCATCACTCTTGCACAGATCAATAGTGACTTTGGGCATCTCTTCACCGCCTGCAGCAGCATCATAATCTGTAACTTGAGGTTGGCCTGCAAGAGGCTTCGAGATGGAACCTGTCGGATCCAGTTCAGCAACTTCGTGCTCAATACCATTGCCATCGGCGATTGCTTCATGCGACATCCTCCTCTTCGAGGAACCTTTCCTATCCTCCTTCATTGCTGGCTCTTGATCATCACCAGTGGTTCGCTTCCTCTTCTTCTCCTTCTTCGATAATTTGGACCGACTCTCTTGGCTTCTGGGCTCGTCGCTGATCTCGTCACCGAACTGTGAACCATCCCAATTGACATAACTATTTCCGTATAGCTCAAGGTAGGTCCTCTTGACATACGCAACCAGTTGATCAAGATCAGCCTCTTTCATGCCGACCGATAGGCTCTGCCGACGTAGGTCACGCACGAATCTCCGTCGCGCGGAGTGCGGCACAGGATATTCGCCCTTCTTCATGAAGGAATGCGAGCTGATGAAGGTGAGTAATTCCATCCTTCGATCTGGGTTTACAGAAGCAAACACAATATCCTCCTCAGAAACGTCGTCTAGATCTTCGCCATTAACGGTCGCGTGTGTATTCGGTCCACCCAAATCCATGCCGGCAGAAGTGTCTCTATCATCATCGTATCCCTCGTCATCCTGTGAATCATTCCGACTGATGTGTCTTTGGGCCGTCCTTTGGGCCTTGGAACGCTTCTTGGTTGGGAAATACGGCGAGTCCGCAGGTTCGGAAACTTTAGCAGTGGCAAGTTTCGAGGTCTGGTCTCCACCACTTTGTAGTTGGTCATCATTCGCGATTATCCCATCACTACCGCTATAGTCGTCAAAGCTAGTATCGAAGCTTGCCTCGTCAGACAGAATCTTGTCCACTGTGCGCTGGTGTAGCTCGTCGAATGACTTGTAGAGGTCGACGTCGATGAGGGGAGGCGAGATCACGACAGATGGAGACATGACTTCCTTGGTGTCTGCCATTGCTGCGGTTTGCCTTTGGGCACCTATTTGACTTCAATGATTGCTTTTGTAGATGCCAGAAGAGGGTGTATGTCGAATTGGTATGTAGTTATGTGTTGGGATAGATTGCAAGGTTGTATATGCATGGTCAGGAGTTTGAGAGGGAAGGATCATAGGGCTAACACAAGGGAGTGTGTCAGTTAGTGAATGCTTCTCCATCTGCAGGAGATCCACTTACAGCAGTAACACAAATCCACCATATCCAGAAGCTTGCAATGCCAGCAGCCATGTGGGCGAGCTACAGCCACATTGACTGCGACAGGGGGGGTGATTCCAACCCGGGCGTAACTCTAATGATAGTAGAAATCGTCGAGTGGCAGTTGAGATATCCAATACAAAAGATTGATGAATAGCCCAATATACTTGAGTGGTAGACTGCGAGGCCAGTGGCAGACCCCCAAAGAAAAAGAAGGCGGGCATCGCATTCCTTGTGGCGCGCGCCGACGCGGAACCCGACCGGGCGCACGGGCCAAGCGATAGATCACGCCCGCCATCTGATGTGTGCCCGCCCTGCTCTGTCACATTCCCTTGCATCGGCGCATCAGACTCGTCGTTTCTCCTCAGAAGTACCAACTTCCAGGGATGTTAGGTACAGGCTTACTGCTGCACCACCCCCTTGCCCCCCCCCAAAAAACCATCTGTACATGTCTCACCTTCGAGTGCAGTTGGGCGAAAGTCCTACAATCGGCGTGAGTGAGTCGATGGCGGAGACTGACTTTCATAATTCATCACTACTGTATGCAATCTATGCTTCTGTACAGTCTAGAATGTCATCTATTGCTACCATATATCCTATCCGTGAAAAGCAATCATATCTCCCACCCCCGTGTATAGGTATATTGTCCAAAATCTCGTAACAAATGTCTATCATGCATGCTTCAAACAGCGAACCCTCCAGAGTCGGCCTGCCGGGGTTCCCCGGCAGCATCAAACGTTCCATTCGGCAAAACCCGGATGGCATGGGCGGTACTTTGACCCGGGGCAACCCAAGTCACATTGTGACCCCTTGCAGCCATGAAGGAAACCGTCTCATTGTCGTATGTATACTCAAAGGTAACATGATTCGGGATCAGTTGGTCATGGAGGCGTGGCTGGATCAGGGCTTCCGCTGCTGACAGGCCTTGATCGACAGCGTGGATGATGTTTTGAATGGTGGCGGTGATGATTCGACTACCTCCTGCCGAGCCGGCGACGAAGAACACCGTCCCGTTAGGATGCGTAACAATGGCCGGAGTGCTAGACGACAGCGGGCGTTTCCCAGGTCGGATGAAGTTGGCCTCAGAGGGAATGTAGCCAAACGAATTGGACGAATTGGGGATCGAGAAGTCTCACCGTGATGTCAGTAACTGTCACTAGCTGCAGTATGGCGGTGATGCTTACCGTCCATCTCATTGTTCATTATGATACCAGTCTCAGGAACCATCACTTGTGAGCCAAAGAGCAGGTTGATGGTGGTGATCGCAGAAATGGCAAGCCCCGAATGGTCGATGGTGGCAATGTGCGAGGTGCCCGGCCTAGATATGTAAGTTACGTCGCAATATCGCAGGATCCAAGGAAGACCCACGTTTCAAGACTTTCTAGCCCCTCTGGGTCGTATGCAGACACGGCCTGGGATTGCAGATCGGAGATATTCCCTCGAATTTCACCAATGGTGGAATCCGCCAGCATCATCGCCTGATACTTGTCCATGTCATCGAGAAAAGATGGATCCCCTAGGTTGGTCCTCTGAACCTCAAGTTAGCCTACGGCTCTCCAAGCTGTCAAAAATTGACGTCGGGAATTGAGTACGCGTACCAACCCATATCCAAAACGAATTGCCTCATCCATCCGATGAGTACTCAAGTTCAAAGTATCAGAGCCGAAAAAGTTATCATATGTGCCGAGCACCTTTAGTACATTCATCGCAACGATGCCACTAGATGGGGCTGTCGTGCTGGTGATTCGATAACCACGGTAGTCTATCTGGGAAACATTTCGGATAGCGACAGTGTAACCGGCCAGATCCTCGAGCGTCATCGTACCATTAGCGGCCTGCACCGCGTCAATCATGGTCTTCGCGATTGGTCCCGAGTAAAAGGCATCTGGCCCCTGATCTGCAATTGTCTCCAGCGTGGCCGCATACCGTTTTCGGGTGATGATATCACCAAGACCGAGTCGGGTGCCATTGGGGGCAAAGTCGAGTGCCCAGGTACGGTCCCGAGACAGAAAGTCTTCCCCGTCCCCAACGGCTGCTTCCATGTAGCGGATCAGGTCCTGTCCGACTGACCACCCATCACGAGCGGTTTGGATCGCTGGCTGCACAACCGTCGACCAGGGGAGAGAGCCGTATTTGCTATGGAGATACTCGAGACCCCGCAGTTCACCGGGTATACCACTTCAATCTTGTTAGCCGGTGCTTGCACCCATACAACCCAAGGGTGTTTACCTTGCGAGGCCTCCGATGGTGGCCGCATTCGTATTATTGTTGAACATATCCTCAAAAGCGGCCGCCGGAGCAGTTTCGCGGAAGTCGATGAACTCGAATGAGCCATCAGGAGTCTTGACCAGCATGAAACCACCTCCTCCAATGCCGCTGTGGTACATACCTTTCCCATATTGTCAGTTCCAGGTACGTCTCAAGGGCAAGTAAGTCCGCTCACCGACGACTCCTACGCAGAGCATTGTGGCCACCATCTGCGGGATTGGGGTTAGCATAGCGCCACAGAAGCGACCAATCCAACTCGGAGGTTCTTACAGCGTCCGCAGCATTTCCACCCATGGTTATTATGTCGGTTCCATGGCGACTGCAGATCGCACTCTCGCTGGCCACTGCCCCTCGCTTTCCATCCTCTAAGCCATCTTCCCGGACTAGCTGGCGAGTCGCAAAGTCCAGTGGCGAGGTGAGTACACTTGGAAGCTGGATCACCAAGACTGTCAACAGTAGTGTCGAGAGAACGGTGAATTTCATGAGGCGGAACATGGTTGGAGGACTGAGTCGCTTATCGTGCGATAAGCCCAATCGCGATGGCGCGACCGGGGTCTCGAGGGGTCCGAGGAGTGGCTGCAGAATCCCAGCAGATTAGGCACACGGCGGAAGAATGGCGTGATGTCGCACGAAGGAGAGACGAAAGCGACGGAGTCTAAATACCTGCTTCTCCGCATCTTGGCTTAGATGTTGGTTTGGTTGGTTGCTCTGCATGTTACAAGAGAATGGGATCCGGATCCGGCTGTGTCAAAAGCGAAGGCGTAGAAATATCCGATAGCCTGACGGTCTCAGAGGATCGGCATCCAGAACCCTTCGAAGTCTGTTTAACCAGGATTAGAGGGCACACTGAACAAAAGAACCAAGACCCGATCTCCAAAGGAGCAAGCCAACACAACAAGACCTACTTCCAGCTAAATGAAGAAGAAACCACCGCAGCGGAAACGCGAAGAGGACAAATCCTCCGGTAGGGGAGGCTGCCCAAGCGGTATCGGGACGAAGGCCGCGGCGAGAGATAAGCGGCGAGGATGCCACGGTGCAATCAACTCCGCATTCTTGGGTCATCCTTATCGAACGCGGTTCCGCCAACAGGAATCGTTCAACGCCACCGCGAGACCCAGTCACGCGATGTTACCGTAGACCGAATTGGGACTGGCCCGAGACCCAATCACGCCGCAGGCATCCATCCTCGCCAAGCCCGTCATGGTTCCCCGGATCGTCCTTGCCAGTGATGTTCCTCACATTATTCTCTTCCGGGTAGTTTTTCACCCACACCACGCTTCAGCCTCCGCATCATAGCCCTCGCAAAGCCGGTTTCACGTCTCTAGGTTTTAGGGCTCCACTGCCTCTCTCGTCCAGGTTATAGTCTCAGCCCATATGGAGGGAACGTCTTCCTCCGCCTGCAAGACAGTTTCGATAAGACGTCGCCCCCAGTCTCGGACAAACCACTTGTCGGAGAGAAGGTGCAGTCCGACCCCGTAGTGGAGAAATAGCACCCGGGCCACCCAATCTCCGCTTTGCAAGAGGGCGATATAGTCTTCGCCGATGTTGATGGGCCATGCAATCACACCCCCGTTGGGGCCACCAAACGGCCATCGTTTGATGGCTTCATGGAGAATGTTCCAGGTCCCTTGGTAAGTGGCTTGGTGCGGCCCGCCCAGGCTCGTATATTTCACATGTACCCGTTGCATGGATTTCAGTATGGCGCTTGTCCAATATCAGTAATTCTCAATGCCAGATAAAGTTTATCGGGAGGCTCACCTTCGTAATTTAATTTGTGATTCTTGTACACTAGGAAGTCGTTAGAGTTCTGGTTGAGCGCGAAGGAAGAAGGAGGAAGGGAAATCACCTATAGGGGTTGCCGTCCTGATCGACTTCATCATCCTTGTACTTCAGCCACCCCTGCAAATCTCCCCGATATTCCATGCCGTTAAGTTGCTCAAAGAGAAAGGCACAGCCGGCTATGAGCTGGCGGATCTCCAACACGTGGGACAGAGGCTCAAATGTTTGCCTGTCTTGGGTAACGCATGGGTAGGCCGTTGCGCAGAGCATGATGAAGATGGAACATATGAAGGCTGGACCGCAGTTCGCGGGTGACATCTCTGCCAATACACGACTGAATGCAGAACACGCTCGGTTCTGGTATTTCAGGGCGACCTCGAGCCATGAATGGTTATCATGTGTCTCAAGATAGGCCAGATGCAGCGCAGAGAGAGCTAGAAGACTGTCCAGCAGAAAGGGATGAGCAACCGCGATTCGTGGGATGACTACTTGAAAGTGATTGGCATCGAGACGCCCTTGACAGAGGGTGATATAGGTCTCTGTTACATAATGATGGAAGAGTCTCATCTCCAGCATCCGTGTCGATAGCGCATCCCCGTCCGGACCCGGAGTCACGTCGGGTGGATCCTGCGGGGTGGACGCATGCTGGCTCTCGACTTCGCTGGATGGAGGATAGGTGCAGTCCAGTCTTCGCTTTTTGCACAAGCCACATCTGGGGGTTTCTTCATCACACTATGCCAATGGGGTCAGTTTCGAGAGATCTATCTAAGGTGAAAACAAAGTGTAATGGCTAGCATGGTAATACAAGCGACTGGATGACAAAGAGGGACCGAAATTGGAAAAGGGCAGAGGGGAAAAAAACTGAGACGGATGAGTGGAAGCCAGACCTTCACATGCCGTTTCTTACATTGGAGACAGCCCTTTCGGGACTTGGTATGACTGCGGCGTGAAGGCATTCAGACTGCAGAGATGGAAGAATGACGTAGGTGGTCGCGTTCGACTTTTGTCTAGTCCCAAAACGCGTAGTTTGTACGGAGTAATGTAAGTAAGTAAATAGTGCTGCTGGAGGAGATATGGTAACAGTGTCCACGAGACCCAACGCAACGGGGCCCCAGATACAGCGGAGAGAAGAGGAGTCAGCGAAAAGTCAGATCATTGCAAGAAATCGCTACCGGATACGAAAAGAAAAAAGTCGAGGAGAAAGATGAGCTGCCGGAGATGACCGTCCAGGCCCAGGCTGTTTGATACCCACGAAACGTGATCGCGCATCACATTTTCGGACGAGGCAGTTGCTGCCGAGCCGGAGGCCTGCCGGGCAGGTTCAACCGGCCCCGGCTTACTCGACTGCATTGATGATTGGCTCTGGGGAACCTGACTAAGCGCTGTGCCTGGCATAATAAGTATTAAGAGGATCCTGGGCTTATTATTAGATGAGGGATCCACTGTTGGTGGTTCACAATTAAGACAACGAACGGGTATGTCCGCAGTCGGTGACACTTCCCTGAGGCAGCAGCATTTACCCCAGAATACCTACTACAGAGTACTATTAAATAGCTTCCAGTTTGACGGAGAATCAATTTTCACGCCCTGGAATTTCAAAGGTTGCTGACCTAGGACCATCATTGAACATGTCGTCTTTTAGGCTCCTGTATGGACCTCACATCGTTTTACCCCTATCTTCCGTTCCATGAACCCAGCCTACCGTGGTCTGCATGAGCGATGTCCCTTTTACTCCCTCATCAGTTTGTTCCTTAAGACAGATATCAGATATCTCCTTCAGATGTCGAGCCTCAAGATATCCTTCTTTTGGCCCCCAACAGCAGTGGGGCAACACTACCTGCCACTACTGATCACTTAACCGGTTAACCGACGGCCGTGACAAGTGACAAGTGACAAGTGACCAGAACCATAATAATCCCTGTCAGTGACATCCTCACTAGTTCACGTGACAGCCAGGAAGGGGCCTGGAACTACTCCGCATCTCCAGGGGGAAAAAAATAAGGTGCCGCGTGTTATTTCCTCGTCCTCCAGAGTGCTCTTCTCCGCCGCTTGGACCGACCATGGAGGCCGAAACCCCTTCGTCCGGCCAGCGACTCCGCCTGGGGTCCAACCGGTCGCGCCGGGGTTGTATCACCTGCCGGTGAGCGAGGCCCCGCGTCCTTCCTGGCTGCTCCTTCTGTCTCTCCAAACTAACCTTCCATCTCTCGTCCACGCCAGGATTCGACGCATCAAATGTGATGAGCAGAAGCCGCTCTGTCTCCGGTATGGTAGTCTTTGGGGATCCCCGACTCCTCGTGCGTGAAAACCCCGTACTAATCTACCCCGATACAGATGTACGAGTACGGGGCGGAGATGCGACGGTTATATGCCCATGCCGTACTCGTTGCGCATCGCAAAGCAGCTGGCCCAGATGACTGCATTTGTCACTCCGGCTGAAGCCCGGGCTCTGGAATTCTTCTTTCGCAAATCCGCCGGGCATCTGGCCGGGTACTTTGGGGTCTCGTTCTGGACCCGCACTGTCTTGCAACTCAGTCTGACCGAACCCACTATCCGCCATGCCATTGCTGCTATTGGCTTGCTTTATGAAGCGGAAGGGACTTCCGCGGCTCTAATGACAGTCGGCCCGCCAACTTCGCGCACCGACCTAGCCCTGCATCTGTATAATCGGGCCATTCGCACCACCATAGACAAGGCCTCAACGGGCATCGACGCTTTGCCCCTGGTCATCACGGCGAGCGTTCTGTTTGCGTCCCTCGAATTCCTTTTCCAGGATGCCTTTGCAGCTGCTTCGCACGTCGTCAATGGTCTCAATCTGGTGCGGACATGGCGCCAGCATCGAGGCCGACCCAAAGAGTTGGGAACTTCTCGGGCGCACTGGGTGGATATGGAATTGACTCCGATCTTACTATGCTTTTCAGTGAACACGTATGAGCACGCTGGGCTCAAGCACCTGATCCGTGCACCACGAGAGAAAGTCCATGTCCACCCCATGGACGACCGAGGCCAGCTCATATTGGGCCGGAGGTTTTCGACGCTCCCCGAGGCGCGTTTAGGCCTCCTAGACCTGATCCTATACTTGATTGGAACTTTTCAAGACTGGGATCAGCTGACCAAAGAAGCGCGGCTTCCGTCCCCACCCCTTACGAGCTGGGCGGTTTCGGTCCAACAGGCGGCGGAACGATGGAAGGTCACGTTTGAGGCTCTGGTTCAACGGAAGGAGTCGACCTGGGGGCCAGGAGAGAGAAACGAGCTGGATGCCACCCGCATGCTGTGGTACTGTATTCGTTTAGGGACCGATCGGTACCGCTTTGCGACTGAGTGCGGCTGGGATGATTTACGCGCTACGTTCGAGGACATCGTCGAAAGTGCAGAGCGCCTGCTCGCAGACTCGGAGCATTATCCCGACAAACTCTCCAAAACTTTGAATCTGGACTGCCAAATGTTATATCCCTTGCAGGCTGTCGTCTGGAAGTGTCGCTGGCCGCACATCCGACGCCGAGGACTGGATTTGCTGCGGCGGATTCCGAAGCAAGAGCTGATTTTCTCTGCCCCAAACTACCACATCGTCTGCTCTCAGATTGTGGCAATGGAGGAGCGCGCTTTAAATCTGGCTCCAGGGACCGTTCCCAACAAAGACATGCTCCCGCCGGATCATGCCCGGGTGTACGACTTTACAATCACCCCGGCCTCGGTCACAACGACCGGACACCCTCCATATAACATTACCTTCAAGACCTTCCCACATGGACGCAACGGCGCACCAGAATTCCTCACCGAACCAATACAGCTCCACCCTTCGCTGGCGGGGGGAACAATGCTCCCAGTCAATCTGATGAAATGTCGAGACTGGTCTAACTACAACCAACCCAATGACCACGCCGTCGAGGTACTCAAGGGAATATGAGTATGGCCCAGAAATAGCCAGAGACAAGGCTATCATCATAAATAGTGCCCCGATGACTGTGAGCGCGCGCATGTCGCATGGTTGGCGAGCAAGTAGCCTAACCCGGCACCCACACTGCAGGTCCGGCATACCCAGCACCCAACCCGCGAAGCTTATATACTCGCCACTGTCCATCCGACATGGAACCTAACATGGTATTTATCCGTCGCCCAGGGAAAATCAATCAGTCAGCCACGCAGATGTGTCTGATACATGCATTGCCATGTCTAGATAATTGGCACTCCCGACTCGAGACGAGACAATCCGTACGGAATGATGGCACTGGCACTGAACAATTGATCAGTATCTGTAGAGACAGCAGACTGGCCCTTCGAGTTAAAATCGAGGCACTATCTTACTTATTCAATAGTATAATTCTATACAAGAAGAGAAAAAATCAAACAAATGATCTCGGGATACTCAATAATGAGAATGAAAATCAACGATATAACCGATCCTCACGAGGCATAGTAACCTCCTGCGAAGTAAAACTGCAATGAGTATATGTCGTCTTCATCATCAGCCCAGCTGCCTCCCCTTCGCCTTCGTGACTGGTTGCCAAATCCACGGGGAAAAGACCAGTATCATCTGCCGGATTCGACGCGACTTCACCCCACATCACCGCCTTCAGACCCGCGTCACGATCCCCAGCCGGAGGATGACAAGCGGCACTGATAGCGGCGCTACAATGCGCAGCCAAAGGCATGGGGGATTTAAACGGACGAATGGCAAGTGCGAGGAGGGAAACGAACGCAACGCCTTCAAGAATGAGGGTGATGAAGATGGCGATCGGGGAGAAGCCGCATCCGCGGGTGGTTTCGTCCTGGTTGATGTGGCCGTGGACGTCGTAGGCGGAGATGTTGACGTAGAAGAAGCTTTCGGAGAGGAGCCAGTGGAGGGTGACGGAGAGGACGAATAGGGGGAGACTGTAGCGGTAGGGGAGGGAGAGGTAGTAGGTTGAGCGTTGGTCGCCTTGGGGCCAGGAGACACGGAGGGGTTTGCGTTGGGTGGCGTAGTCGTTGTATTCGGCTGTGACGAGCATGCAGGAGAGGAGAGTGTTGCAGAGGAAGTAGAGGACGGAGAAGACGAGTTGGGGAGAGTTACTGATTAGGACGAGGAAGATCATGTTGGTTATGGAGAACTGGATGTTGGTTTCTGAGTCGGGTTCGCCGAATCCAAGGCGCCATTGCTCGGATAGGGACCAGCCGTTGAGGTGAATGTAGTAATAGATGACTGATGAGAAAAATATGCAGAGAGCGAACCTGGTATGGTGGGGTTGGTTAGTGGATGAGGTTATTATGGACAGGGGTAGCTGACATTGTCAAGGCAGTGGCCCAGGGTGTTTTACTAGCTGCTTGGAACCATCGTTTCCGAGTGGGTAGCATTCTCGGCGAAGTCTCTTGAGAGTAGGGGTCCTGGCCTAACATGCGATGCGTTTCCGTGGGGATATCAGTTGGCTTTTCTGCGCGGTTACGATACATTCGGCGCCGGATGAGGCTCTTCCAACTGGGAACTGGCTCCCATCGATAGGGTCCCCGTGTCATGTCTTCCCGAGACATGAGGCAGCGGCTTTTAGTGGTGGGATCGGGCTGGGCCAGAAATGAGGATATGGCGTCACCGACCCGCAAGAATATCTCAGAGCGGTCCGTCCTTGCCGTCAGGTACATGCAGATCACCTTGGCAAGGTTGAACGAGATCACGGCGAGAGCGATGGATGGGCTGAAGAGAAGTCGGCAGCGCTGGGTCGTGGTTTTTCCCATACAGCGGGAGATGGGGATGCTCGGGGGTTCGTCGTAGTAGCCATAGGTGTCCCCTCCGGCCCAGTCCATGCCCTCAACAGTCCAGTGACCCTCTTCAATGGATGCTTCTGCCCTGCTCTTCTCTCCAATGAGCTTGACGTAGTCATATAGAGAAGATTCGCCGTACATGTTCGCTCGGAGACTGCTGAGATTGGAGAAGTACTGCCGGTCGGCAACGAAAACCAGGGTCCCCAAGTGTGTGTTGTACTGGACGTCGTACTTCTTCAGGCAGTCTAGATTGCTCATATTCTGGAAGGTGCCGTCGAAAATCTCAGTCAGGATGACTTCCGGAGTGCTGCCTACTGCGTCGAAGAAGGCAGCAGCTTCGTCCTTGCCAACTAAGGACTCGGTAGCGGTCAGATCCTCAGGAATTAGGATCATACCATAATCGAGGGTTGAAATGGATGAAAAGATCACCGAGTTGTATCTACCTGATGAGTTAAGAGGGGATTTCCAGAAATTGGTCTGGGATATACTGACATCATGTGAATTGGGACTGAGCTCAGGAGCAAAACAAACCACAGAATCTTCCGCTTGATGGTCATGGCTCTAAAGTTGCGCAAGCTCATGACCCCAATATCCAGCCATTGACGTTTCCGATGCGCTTTGTCCACATCTGCCCGGGAGGGGCCGGACAAACACTGCATGGCATAGTTACTGGCCTCCAAAAGAGCGGTGGACAGTAGGTTGATAACGATATGGATACCGGTTGCCCATCGACTCGACAGGGTGCAGTTCCCGTTGTATACTTCCGTGGAAATCAAGCCCCGCGTATTGTCAGTCTGGGAGTAGCTGACTCCAATAGCGATAAGGGATAATAAGACATTCAGAGTCAGGATTCCCCCAGCCGTCCAGGTACCAACGAGGACACCATGGATCCATTCTTCGTCGAGCGGACGCTGCATCGCTGATGTTTTGCTAAACGGCAGTGAGAACTGGGTCTGAATTCTCGTCCACGCGGGCCGTTCCTCATCCGAGGTTTGAGAGGATATGGTTGAGTATTTGATTTGATCGGGCCATTTCCACGAGTTCTGTGGGGATAGTGCCTTGACTCCCATTCTGTGCCAATTCCTCAACCACACCTGGTCGAAGCCAAAGGGAAAGAATGAAAGATATAGCTAGGAGCCAAGCCATTTTTAGCACGGCACGAGGCGATTCACATTTCACACGCCCCCTGGGTTTGAGGTTCAAGTCGGAGCGAGTCCGGTGGTCCATTCCTGGATGGTCCTAGCATGGCCCAGCTGCGGGCCGGCCACGCGTATACCCGCCAACTGGATGGATACTTTGGATACGGTCGTGGCTGGGGTGGGTGTCGCTGGAGGTGTGGGTCGAGTCGTTGATTTAGCCATCGTGGCTGCCTGAGATGGCTTCGCTTTCAGCAGTTGGCACATGACAAGAGGAAGGGAGGGACATGGGGGCATTGTACGGGGTATAGAGATCAGGTTTTCATCTGCTCAGCCACGGGAGAGAGAGAGAGAGAGGGCGAGTTGTTGGATTGCTTCGATTTCGAGGATCAACAAAACATTATTCGCGCTAGTTCAACCGCTTCTGGTTGGGGCCATTCTGCCGGAGGGTGGAGTCCTCAGGCTAGTCAGGCACCGCGATTCTAGTTCACAATCCTTGGCCCTCTTTCCCCAATGCTTGAATTGATTCTTAATTAACTTCCGGTGTCATCGGATGTCAATGAGAAGCGCAGAAGGTCTGAATACTATAATTAACCGAATCCACTGGCGGCACACTAATATTTCCTTCTGACAGTCTACTCCATAGACCGATAATACTGTGCTCCCACAGCACTGACAACCCCGCCAGTAAGAGCAACGCAAAGTCTCGGATATATTCAAAGTATGTTGGGACACAGTCTTTGTTCTGTCTGTTCTCCAGATGGTCAGCGGTATGTCGTTTTGGCGTACTGGTATGAACGTGACAAAGTACCGTGTTACCAACCCTGTAACTTGATCATCCGAGTGGAGAGAAAAATTCCCGGATAAACAGGAAAACCCTGCAGTAGCTGCAGAGTAACACTCACACTCACACAGGCTTCCCTCCATCCGTCCACAAAATATTCCCTGAAAGGTCTCTCAAAAGGGGGGTACATGCATAACATCGGACGAATACCAGGGATGCAGGTCTCACAGGGATTAGGTAGTAGTAGTGAGTCACACTCACTTGCACCGCCACCTAGGCATTACTATATCCAGGGGAAGGGAGAGAACTAAACCAGGTAAATAATACAGGATATTAAACTTATTCAAAACCAAACATTACGATAATAATCCCTCGTCCTTCATATGCCTTCCATCACATATCCAACACACATATACCTCTGTAAAGAATCCAGATCAGATCATGGTACCCTTATTCTGCTTCCTATCCACGCGGTAATTCTTCCACACCGCAATGGCCGGGAATCCCAGCACCAGGATCGCCGTACCGACAATAGACCCATACATCTGACTTCGGCCCCAAGCATAGTTGATTGCATCCCGGGTGGGTGATCCCACCGGGTAATCTTTCTGCGCGGTATATCCGCCCAGATAGATTGCCGTGGCGTTGGACTTGAGGTCTGTGGGGAGGTGGTTCTTTAGGGCCTGGGGGAAGATATTGCTGTAGACTGCTGCGGCGACGGCGTAGCCGATGGCACCGCCCAGGCTGGAGAACAGGCCGAGGAGCGAGAGCATCATGGGGACACCCTCGCGGTCTGCGGCAGCCATGACGGCCATATCGTCGCCGATGACGATAGTGCCGCCTCCGAAGGCGATGAAGATCTGAGACATGATCACGTAGTTGATGTCGCCGGAGGCTTCGCCGCGGAAGTGGACCATTAGGCCTGCGCCCAGGATGAGTAGGGGAAGACCGAAAAATAAGCAGGTGTATTTGAAGTGTTTCGTGTAACGGATCCAGAGGCCGAAGATGACGCCCCAGAAACAGGAGCCTACGTTGTAAATTTGGGTCATGTAGCCGGTCATGGAGACACTGAGGTTGAAGACGACGGTGCAGAAGTCGTAGTAGTACAGGTCCCAGCAGTAGAAGCTGAAGTAGGACACGGCGGACATGATGCAGGCTCCCAGGACGGTGCGTTGGCGGAGGAGCTCGTAGCGGACAAAGTGTTTGCGAGTGAGCCATTTCTCCCACGCTGCGAAGACGAAGAGAAGACAGAATCCGATGACGATCATGGCGATAAACTTGGCGCTCTTGTACTCGGCTCGGCCGTATTGTTGTAGACTGAAGGGGAGGAGCAGTAGGACCCAGGCAGCCATTAAGAGGCAGGCACCGATGACTGGTGATGATGTTAGTATGGGAGAGAGTGGAATGGGGGAGATAGAGATCGGGACAACGTACGGTCGAACTCATGAATATAGTGGATGATGGACTGCATCGTGGTGCGACCGCTGGGCTCCCGCTTGTACAGTCCCACCTTTTCGGCCTTTCTCTGGTAGTACTTCAGAACGATCACCAGAGGAGCAAAGACAACGGGCATGACGATAGCAAACACCCCATAGGCCCATCGCCAAGTGGCAACCTTCAGGAAAGACTGTCCCGCCAGCGGACCCGTAAAGGCAGTGCAGATGAAAGGTGTATTCGCAAAGGCGAAAGTGAATGCCCGGTTCTGCAGACCCGACGTATCGGCGATATAAACATCCAGCACGAGATAGATCCCTGAATATCCCACATAGAAGAGCACATAGCCCGCCGCATAGGAATTTGGTCCATCGCAAGCAGCCAGGATGATCAATCCAATGGTATAAACAACAACCCAGACGACAAGCCCCTCCGCACGGCCCCAGATGTTGAGCGTTTTCGCAATGGGTAACTTGAGCACTCCTCCGATGATGCTGTAGAGAATGCTGGCGGTGCTGACCTGCGGAGCAGCAACGAAGTCGGCGTAGGCCTTGTTAATCACCGTCCCACTGATGGACGAGTTGAGGGCCAACAGGAAGAAACAAACCCAGATCCTATGTGGACGCTACAGTTAGACACGTTGTTGAGCACGCATCGAAAAGGGATACCCACCAGGCATAGGTCGCATAGACAGCTTGCTTGCTCCACACCAGGGCCGCGGCTTCAACTTTCTGGACACCCAGCTGGGCATCCTTGGTCACCTCATCCGGATGAGCTTCCACTTCCTTTTCGTTTTGAGCTTCCAAGCTCAATCGTGACTGATCGGACCCAGAAAAAATGCCGTTGCCATCGCCGGATTCCACCGCAACTTCCTTGGTCGTATGCGATTCTGCAGCACGAACCTCCGGAGTGACCTCTGCAGAAGACTTCTTCTCGAAGAAGCGCATGATGGAGAAGAGATATCACCTTAAAACAGCTTGTTTTCTCACTTTCGGTGTTCTATAAAATGACGGACACCCAGTGGACGAACGCAACACCTCTAACAGGCCAAGAGTAGGTCTCAGCCTCTGACAAGAAGGGATGAAGAAAAGGAGTCAGGGAATGCCGAGGTGAGGACTACTAAGAAAAAGGAAAAAGAAAAGCGACATCAGCCCAGGAAGAGACCGGCGCAGCCCGTAGATATTTAACCAATAGCAGAAAGGTGTGTACAACCGGTAATTTTCGGGTTCCGCACAAGACGCGGTGCAGGGACTAAGCCTAGGGATGGATCATGGGGGGTCAGACCGACCCTTGCAGTGGTGGGTGAGAGTGAGTGAGTGAGTAAGTGAGTGGGGGAATGCCGAGGGACTCCCTTCTCACTGGCCGGATCTGATAATCACCAACGGATCAGATAACTTCTCCATCGGCACCAATCATCGTGGTCCGTGACTTGGTTGGCAAAGTTTATGTGCAGGATTGCACGTTTCTCATTCGCTAGGCGATCGGGGTTGAATCCCTGTTAGTGGGGACATTTCAGCTCGGGAGCTGTTTGCTGTTTGCTTACGGCTGTATCTCCATGGTGTCTCACCGTGATGGGTTGATTGCAATTCATGGGTCATGAAGTATATGGTGATTAGTTCCGTGGTGTGAGAATATTCTCTTCTTTGTATTTTCAGTGTACGTAACTAACTGGACAGTGAACGGAAAGAAGTAAAAGTTCGATGATTAGCGTGACTGAGTTGATCTTCATCATACGAGAATTCTGGGTGGGTAGGGACCCCAACGAGAAGTGCATCTACCTAATTCTAACCATCTTAGGGAAGTTCTGATCCTCCCACGCGATGCCAAGATGACTATCAGCTGGTGGAATCGGGTTGAACGAGACAAGACATCGGAGACGCCGGTAGAAGCCTCATCGGATGCTTGCTGCAGGGGAAATGTGGTTACCTGTTTTTCACTCCACTAGCAGCCATACTACATCCACCGTACTCCGTAGGTAGTTATCGGTAAACCCTGAGCTCCGCAGGGTCCAAGGGTCGCGGACGCGCGGGAGAGTGCGCGTGGGGCCCCATTACTACGCGATAATATAACAAAAAGTTTCTCGGGGCGCTAATCTCCGTAGACTGGAAGCATTGAGATTGGCAATTCTCCTAATCCGAATCATGCCACTGTTACTGAGAGGCAAAAACATACCATGGAGCTGAGGTTAGATTCTGACACTGACACTGACACGAAGGTCTCGCAGTTCGTTACTTGATTGAGTTGATTGGTCCACCAACACAGGCCCTTTCAGTCCCCTTTCCCCTTTCCCTTGATATGTAGATCTAATCTTATCTGATATGATCGACTGCTTTACCATAGCTGTCTGGTAATGATCTGTTGTTTCCGAACACGGGAGAGTAAGTCTAAAGTGATCAGGTGGTTGCAGCAAGATGGTCTCGGGAAGGCCGATACCCGATATTTATCGGGGACTCCGAGGCTCGTCTTCCTGGGGTGGGGCTGGGAGGGTGAAGGCTATAATATCTGCTGTGGGATGTTGTTCCATAGATCGCGATTTTTGCAAGATGTTAAAAAATTCTTGACTGCACTCATCAATCATATTCGTCAATCAATTACACCATTAACTTTTTCTCTATAAACACAGGGCCCAATACAGAAAGCCAGCCAGCCAGGGATGCACGCTAACTTAAGCAGCAATGGGAACGGTGGTAGGGGTAGAAATAAGTGTAGTAAGACCAGGAAGAATAAAATCAGCAGTGTGAGGAAGCATAGATAGGTCAAAAGGGACATGCATGCTGCAAATCATATATCATCGACTCCAATTCCGCAAATTAAACATCCCCCGCATCTACAGAACCACCCTCACCCTCCACTGCAGGAGAAGATGAAGAAGACCCCTGACTACGCAGCTGCTTCACGCCCGACCGGAGGACAAGTTTCTCCTTCTTCGGCTGCGAAGCAGATACAGACGCGTTGCCGTCGTCGTTAGCGAGGGCAGCGTACATGGATGATGACCATGGTGTTGTAGCAGGGGTATTAGACCGGGTAATGGATGGTGTGCTATTTCTCGTGGCACTCAAGGAAGGGTTACTCCGCTTCGACGCGGCGACCTGAGCCCAGCCGCCATCGCCAGAGCCGTTGTTGTTCGCGCGCGCGGCCTCACGTTGGGCTTTGGCTTCCGCGGCCGCTAGCCGTTGAGCTTCTTGTTCTTTATTGCGCTGGCGATCACGAAGCTTGACGCAGTCGCCGACGCTCATGCCACCGATGCCAATGGCCGTGCCATTGCCCATACCGAATAGGGGCGGCGTCCAAAGAGTGGGCTTCAGAACGAAGACGTGGCGGTGAGGTTCAGGATCGAAGCTCTCAGTAGAAAAGCCCCAGTCTGCAGCGAGGCTGTGGGCAAAGGCACGAAGGGAGGACTTGGCCGGCTGGAAGCGCGTGGAGCGCTCGGTTGCGCTGGCGGCGAGAGAGTGCAAGGTGGATTCGTAAGTCTGAAGAGTCGACAATGGGAAAGAGGAGGAGAGTTGAATGTAAATATCAAGAGTTTCGGCCGAGTATGGGAGATTCGTAGAGGTGAGGGTCTGCGAGACGGTCGTCGACGGGTTAATGTCGACGCCTAGGGCCGACGCCAGCGAACGGTTCCGTTCGAGACGGGCGCACTCGTCATTGCAGGTCAGCGGCGTGGCGGCTGGACCACGCTGCGCCTGCTGCAGTTGGCCCTTGGAGACAACCGCCTTGGCTGCGTTGCAGCGGCGCTCCTGGCGGAGCCGTCCACAGCCACATGTTACTGTAATCATGGAGGTGCAGGGCGTCTTCTCAGGGCATGGATACGGCGCATGGCATGGATCGGTGCATGGGTGACCGCAAATAGTCTTGGTCTTTCCACAGGCCTGCTGACAGGGCTTCGAGGCATCCTCGCAATCGCCGGGGCGATGGCAGTCCTTCTGGCAGGTGTGGGAGCCACATTTGAGTAGCTGGCCGCACACCTGGCCACATCGAGCATCTACTAGCCAGCAGGGCTGGTTCTTCAAAACCCGCTTGCCACACTGGCACGTCTTCTCCGTGAGGTACGGGCACTTGGGGCAGTTTTCGTCGTCTGTATGGCAATTATGGGGCGTTTGAGGATGGCCGCATGGCTTGGGGCGCTCGCATGGAAACGAGCATGCCGGGGGTTGAGTGCCGCAGGGCAGAGGCGGATGCAAGATAGATCGACCGCAGTTACACGGGATCTCCTCGAAGATAGCCTCTCTGCAGGTGTTGCAGGGCCCTTTGTGACAAATCTCCGGGCATGTGTGCCGTCCGCATTTCAGCATACGACCACAGATCCGGGTACAGATATGTTCGGCCTCAAAGTCTTCATCGCTGGGGCGAAGATGAGATTTGAGCTTTCGGCGTATAGCTTGACGCTCAACTGCCTTTTGTTCGCCGGGGCAGCATCGCTCAGTGCATGCATGACGACCACAGTGTAGGCCGGCTTTGCAGATGCGGAAACACTGGGGCGGCTCCATATCCCCCTGGGGGCAAATTGTCATGAACGTATTGCGTCCGCAGCGGCATTCAATGGGAACGTTTTGCAAACAAGGACCGCAGGGTCCAGTATGGCAGATCTTTTGGCACGGATGTCCGCACTTCAGCGACTTTCCACAGGGTTTGGAACAATTCGGGATTGGGTCCTCGCAAGAAGTCCGAGCCGAATATCCAGGAATCTTGACCAACGGCGTCTTTCCGCAGGGGCAATCAAGCACCACATCTGGAGATCGCGGGCAATGGGCAGGATATGCATCTTGGGGATGACAGCCCTTTTGGCAGGAGTGAACTCCACAGTCGAACGGGCGATTGCACTGATCTCCACAGCTGAAGCACCCAATCCACTCCTCGACTTCACCCTCCTCGCCGTCATGCGCCATCTCGCTATCCAACTCTTCGTCCTTTGAGCTACACAACATCTCCGACTCCACCTTTCCACAGTAGCAACGCGCATCAATCCTGACCTCGCACGATCCGCAGAGACCTTCATGGCATGGCCGGGGACAAGTATGCTCTCCGCAAGGCAAGAGGTCACCGCAGATCTCCCCACAGCTCCACCCATTGTCGTAATCCGTGTCCTGACAGCGCTTGGTCGACGAATTCTGGCCACAGAAGCAATCCTGCGTCGGACCCATAGCCGTACAGGGCGCACAAGGCCCGGCATGACAAGTGGCATCACACGGGTGTGGACACCCTTTGCGCGTCCGCGAGCAAGTCTGTCCACAAGAATGAGGCGGAAGACCAGGGAACGACCTCGGATCCACCTCCTTCTCACACCAGCAAGTATAAGACGACGGAAACACTTCCTGAGGCAGATTGCAACCCGGACAGCGCCAGGCGCGAGGCGCACTGCTCTCGCCCTCCTCCTGTCGACGCGCAGCATCCTGAGCCGCCGCCCCCTCATTCCTCGACCACTTCTTAACACAGCTCAGATGGAAGACCGTCCAACAAAGTCCACAAGACCACACACGCGATCTCTTCCGAAGCTCGCTCGTGCAAATCGGACACTCGTAAAGGTTATGCGCAATATCTTCGTGAATCCGGGTGGCAATATCAGGTGCTGTCGATTTCGTCGTCACTTTCGGCTGCGGCGGGGGTCGAGGTTGAGGATTCTTCGCCTTCGATTTCCCTTTCCCAGAGCCAGCACCAGACGCGCCCTTGGGAACTTCTTCCCCGGGCTGCTGCGCTGGCCCGCCAGGCACGAACACTGGGGCATCCGCCCGTAACCCTGCCTCATCCCCATCTGCACCATCCGGTATCGTCTGTTCCTCCTGCGAAGACTGCTCGGGTCTCGTTAACCGACCTCCGAATTTCCGTCCAGCGGGAAGTGTGGCCTGGTCGCCACCGCGTGCTCGGCCCTGCCGTCGACTGCCGCTCGATTGTGCGCCTGCCCCTCTTCCTCCTCTCTTGCCTCCTCTCGGTCCTCGCGGAGGACGTGGTGCGTTTCCGGGTGTCTGTGATGTCGCGGGGTCCGTAGGGGGCTGGGTTGGAGCTTGTGGTTGTGCCTCCGTAGGTGTCGGTGTCTGTGCCTGTGTCTGAGCCTGGGCCTGGGTAGTCTGTCGATTCGAACCGCGAGCACCACGGCCTCTGCCTCCGCGTCTCGAGGATCTCGGGCGCGGGGTATTCCCGTCAGCCACGGGCGCAGGTGCAGGGGCTGAAGAAGCGGACATCGTCTCCAGGGTCCTTGAGAGTGGGTTAGAAAGTTGCGGAAGTGGAAGGGCGCTCATCCACTAGCAGAAGGCGATGGACTAGCCGATGGAGAAAAGTGAAAAAGAATGAGCGTAAAGGCTAACAAATCACTCCCACTCAACAAAAAGCACAAAACCCAACCGTAGACAAAGAAAAAGAGGGTAGGCAAGAGCCTGCAGTCTGAGGCGACAAGACAATAAGTACCGTCGGGAGAAAGCGATGGAAGGAAGGGGACCGTTGAGGGGTGGATTGGTTTGTTCCTGAAGCTCAATGCTTGGGTCGGGTGGCGGCGGTCTCGCCTCCGACATTGTGGCCGTGAATAAGCCGACAATGCATTGTGACTGGTGACATGCACCCATCATTATGACTCATGGTGGATTGTGGCTGTCTAGTCTGGCATCGTCGAGTCATTATTTTCAATCACCAGTTATTACTCATAGTGGGACCGCATAGATAGTCTGGGGAAAATGAAGGCAGGGGTGAACAACCAATAATTATCAAGAGAAATAGTCTGGAATCAAGTGTAACAGCCAATATACATGTCTGAGTGAATCTTCAGAGGACCATCCACCACTATCGCTATGCACTAGGAAAACTGAAAACCGAGCATGTTTCATCACGATCAAAAGAAAAGCACCACCTCTCCCCGTTCATTCTGCTTCACCCGCAATGTTCGCCACAGTTCCTTCTCATCATCCATGCGCCGCTCCCGATCCGCCCGGCCACGACCTTGATCCCGACCACGATCATCATCAAACTCGTCAGTGAAGTCACGGTGGAAGCGCTTCAGCACCTTGTTCACCGAGAATCCTCGCGTGCTCTCCGGACCCTTGCTCACCAGCGACAGAAAGTGAGTGGCCATCTGTCGCTGCAAGCCATCAGGGACGGTGCTTTGCTGGTAAACAACCACTTCCCCGCCGTCATTGCCTTGGCGAGACTCGGAGTACTCGATCTGCTTGACGCGGCGGGATGGCCGATCTCCATCGGTTTGAGCGCTGCTCTTACGCTTACTCTTGCTAGCATCAGATCCGGCCTGCCCGTTCGAAACGTTCCGGACCTTGGCCAACTTCTTCGAGTGACGAGCCTCCGTCTCACCGTCGTCGGATCCACGCCGACTGGTTCGAGCAGCCTTGGCTGAGGGCTCGCGGCTGTTCACACTGCTTCCAGAGACAGAAGAACCGCCAAACATGGACGAGACAAGACGTTCGGCACGGTTCTTCATCGAAATACCGAGGCCAGCATCGCCGTTGCTGTCCTTGGCGTCGCGACGGGTACGTTTGATAGGCGATGACGGGTCCTGGTAGCGCCGACGTGGGTGATCCTCGCGCCCTTCGCCATCCAGAGACGGCGAGCGGAGCATCCGGTCCAATCCTCCTGTCAGGCCAGAATGGAGCATGGGGGTGCCCGGGTTGTTCACAACACTGGACGGCGCATCCATCATCGGAGTGTCGGCGCCCTCCATGTCGTGATCCTCGGTACGGCGCTTCCGCTTCTTCTCACTGGTGGTGGCGCCAGCCTTAGCCGAGCGGTCCTTCTTCTTCTTCGGCGCAGGGGTCATGAACTCCTCCGAGGCATTAGGCGCCTTGCCCTCATACACGGACTTGTTAATGGGGCCGGCACCGTATGAGAAGCCGTTTTCCTCGTACGCTACATCGTAAGTCTTATTATCTTCCTCGGCATCAGTTTCAGTGCGAGTCAAAGACTTGCTGGTCTCGAAGACGGACGGGGCATTGTCGACCATCTTCATCTGCTCTTTGGACCCGCCAAGAGAGACCTTGGATGCATTGGGGGTATTCTCCGCGACCAGGTAATCGAAGACGTTGACTTGCTTGTCGCCCTTTTGAGCGGGGGTCTTGTCGGCGCCCGCGACCGGGGGAGTAGGAGCAGCCGGCGGGTTATCGGTATCATTCGCATCTTCGACGTAGGGTGCACGGTGGCCATGACCGTTTTGCTTCTGGTGCTGGTGCTGGTTCTGGTTCTGGTTCTGTCTGCCATTGTTCTGTTGCTTGCGTTGGTTCTTCGCAGGCTTCTCTCGGTAAAGCGCACCCTGGTACTTTTGCGCCTCGGACATGCACGACTAAGGAAGAGCAAGTCAGTCAAGCCCAATAGGGAATAACCCGGCAGTACAGCCTCCGCTATTCCGACAACAACAGATGAAGCTCTTATCGTCGCCAATCAGACAAGCAGCAACAGCGAAGAGGGCTCCGTCCGTGGGGAACCATCATCCGGTGGAGGAGTTCGTACCGTATGCGAGCGGTATTCCGTTCCGTAGAAGTGCACCATACAATCGATGCAGGTGTAGGAGGCGCCGCGGCACTGGTTGCGATGCGGGTCGAGCTTCTTCTTGGTGAGGACATCACCGCAAGCCTAGAGATCCCAAGGCAGCGAGTTAGCATTCACCGTCGACCAGAAGGCTGCGCTGGGAGCAACTCGTGACAAGTGAGGATAGGAACAACTCACCTCGCAGGAGAAGGAAACCATGATGATTGACCCCGCGACCTAGTCCGCGTATCGGTTGGAGTGGTTGCGCGACTTGGGACTGCCCCAGTAATATAATGCGAACTTAAAGTAGAAAATCCAGAAAAAGAAGAAAAGAAGGCGAAGGAGAACGGCACTAATTTGTCTGGACCCGCAGTGAACCTGTCGGGGAATAATCCGACCAAGCGATGGGGTTTCTGGGACGAATGGATCCCTGCGCGTCGACCAAGTCCAATCCAATCCAGAAGATGGAAGCGGTGGTGATGGTAAACAAATACGAGCGATAGTCGGACAACTCAAGCAGAATAAGCAACCAGGCCAAATAAATAAATCGGCCCCAGATCCCAGGCACTCGGCACCAACAGAAAAATAATTCCCCCTACTTTGCCTCTTGGGTTTCTTCGTTTCCTTTCCGGTTGTTTCCCAAAACCCCAAAAAATAATAATGATAAAAAAAAAAAAAAAAAAAAAGTCCAGACGGTCAAGTCTGGATGGCGCTTATCCCTTCCAAGACTAACCTAAACCTTGGGTCCAGAAGGAATTCATACCTCAGGAATCAGGCATGCACCTATCCACCCCGCAATCGCGAATCTCCCTTCAACCCTCAAGCCAACTGCACTCTGCAGAGTGTCTGATCTATTTCTGCCGGGAATTGGTTGCATAAAAAATTGCATCCAGCGTGCTTTCTGAACCCTGATTCATCATCCATTACGCCTTCCATATGATGACATTGGCCTGACTACTCGGACTGAGGCGGACCTTGCGCTCAACCACGCCCAGGATCCCCATGGCATAGCTGGTGCGATGACCCGTGAATCAGCGAGGCCAAGAGTGTAGCGCTTGCGCATCCGAAGCTCAGCACGGGCTCATCAGGAGACCCGATGCTGTGCAGCAAGAACGGAGCTTCAGCCAGTCACCAACAAGCTTCACCCGCCCTCAACAGTTCGGTTAGTGTAGCATCTGGGTAGGAGGGCGATACGATCCTACGCATGATAAGGAAGCTCCGATACGAAGCCTTCGCCAGCTAGGGACAATTAACTTCCACTCCCATAGGGTCGGTGAGGATGGGATCGTCGGTCTACAGTGGATTAAACTTCCAGAGCGAAGCACCCTGGCTGACATCCCAGCTCCGTTGATAGATGGCGCTCTATTTGGATGGCCCGGGCCGCGCGCAAATCGAGGCTCGAGCATCCAGAGCAGTCAACGTTTCATCTATTTGAAGACGAGCTTCAGCCTTGTCGCTGATGCACCCAGGCTCTTGTTGGTTATTGTTGTATCGCAGAGGGCACGACTGCAGCCAGAGAGGTTTGTGGTGGCGGTCGCGAGGCAATTAGCCTCTCCTTGTCATGTCCAGCAACACGCCACTTTTACACTTGGTCAGCCGCGCCAGTCAGATGCATCGCCGTAGTCATGCGCTTGACAGTGCATACCGTCGCAACCTTACCGGCCGCCCTGACCACCATTGCTCGCAACCCGTTGAGGACTTCCTGAAAGCTTCTTCTACATCTGTGCAACTGCAGATTTCATGTTACTCTTCTGGTGGTACTTCTGCGCGGAACAGGAGACCCCCCTCCGGAATGTCCTTGTCTTACAGGATCAGGGAGGTTCACATGCAGGAGGGATACTAAGTCTGTATGATGTAGGCGGAACTTGAAGGAGTGTGACTGTAGTTAGGCATACGCTAATGTACCGATCCCAGCCTATTGCACCAGCGATCCTGCGCTGGTGATGTCAATAAGCGAAGTGCGGGATGAAATGTACACCAGGTGCATGGGAGAACCCAAAGCTCGGCGGTCCTGTTTAACCCCGCGTGGTCCTAGATCGTCTGATCAGTACCCTCTCCACTCATGTAGTGTGGTGCAAGGGTGTAACTAACGGTTCCCTAGATATCTCGACGGGAGAAATTGCATCATCGCTATCAACCTCGTCCCGAGTAATGGCCTGACCCTTGCCCTTCGAAGTTGCGCCCTCTTCGCCCTCTTCGCCCTCTTCATCCTCGGCACAGCCGCAGTCGTAGAAGTCCCCAATGTTGTTACAGTCGAAAATAGGCTTTTCAAGCATGGTGTTGACCTCGTTATGGATAAAGCAGCCCCATCCTGCAGCTGCGTTGCGTGACGAAACCTGTGGCGGGTATGTTTTCAGATGGCCCTGGAAGTGAGAAGCGCACTCTCCACTAGTTGACCTGTCAGAAAGGTGTAGCGAAAAACAACGGAGGAGTAGGTACCAAGGGTAGAGTCGCGCGAAAAGGTAGATGAAGGAACGAAGAGTCTCCTGCTGCTCCTCCGTCGGGTCTTCGGGGTACCGGGCAAGCATCGTGTGGAAGTACTTCCACGTCGCACGGCCTAATTCCGCTCTGTGATTGGAGTCCGAGGGTCAGTATGGTCCATGAACTGGAAGTAAGACTTTAGCGTACTTTGCGGTTGCGTTCCCCAGTCGGGGCATGACAACCTCTCCCTTGGTGAGATCATCTTTGGATGCCACGGCCTGCGCAGACTTCTCCAGATGACCGGGAGCACGGATCGCGGGGCTAGGGGGTCCCTCAGGTCGGATAAAGAAAACGAAGAGCAGGAAGATGGAGATGGCGGCGCTGATGAGGATGCGCCGAGTGATCTGACGGTTCGCCATGGTGGGTACGAAGTGGTGGGTTTCAGGGATAAATATCGCGAATCAATGCCGTCAATTGCGGGCTGATCGCCAAGTGGCCCGTCTAGGGTATGCTTGGTACGAGGATTAGGGGATTCGTGTTCGGTTTCAACGAGAGAAGGAACAATAGGTGAAAGGATCTGAAACAAATGGAATAGATACACTGAAGTAACGGAAGCGAGTCTGCGGAAAGAGAGAATTAGGGAGCTGGAGGTTGCCAGCAACGAGCGGGTTGGATGACTATTGAACTCTGCATGGCATGGGCCGGTCTGAAAGAGTGCCAGCGGCCGACGTTCTCGGCGATTATCCACGTGGGGCCGTCACTTGTGCAGCAACATCCGGCGCCACTTGATAGGTTAGTCAGCAGTGCACATTATGCACGTTCTATACCTACAGAACATCCCGAGTACAATCACTCAATAAAATGGATGACATTGACCGCCAGATATTCTCCTATGTCTAGGTGCAACACATAGATCTTGAACTCATAAACGCATAAGCGCATCCAGTCAATACAACCAAGTGAAAGTCAAGCCAAACACCGCCCGGAGAGCAGGAAGCAGAATATAGTGCCAGAATCAGGAACGCCTAGAGCATCGAATATCATCGCGCAAAATGGAACAGTCTTCGGAGAGGGGGCAATAGCAAGATGATAAAGACAAGCATGTGGTGGCCGAAGCACGATTGATATGGATACAGACAGGGATCAATGCTTTGGGCGCAATTAGGAGGTCCCAGTTAGGGACCAAACAGACAAAGGTCTGGTAGCAGGATGTGGGGACTAACAAAAGAAGATGACATGAAACTGCGGTTACTTTGACACACCGCGTAGAGGAAGGCTATTAGAAGAATCTCGCTTCTAACACTACTGCACATGAGTAGGCTTTGCTGGGCGAGATGCTTGAAAGACGCGCAAATAAGTCAGAGGCAATCATTAATTCGTCGACATTTTTGCCAAGGAACGGCACCAGGAACCATTGGTATCATCAACGCGACCTAAGAGACGGCAAATGGTAAGACAGATTTGCGCCCCTGGTTGATAAGTTTGTCAGAACTGCCGAAAATACCATCGTAAAAGCGGACGACTCATTGGCCCTTCGCAAGGACTTCCTCCATCACAAAGGAGTGGATGTGTTCGAAATAACCAGGTTCGGCAACACTATCATTGTGACCACCATTAGGAAGCGTGCGCCAAATCTTGCGTTCGGAGTTGCAGACAGCGAAGAGCTGTGTCATATTGGATGGACTGGTCACAAGCTGCGTGTCAGTGATGTGCGAAGACTCAGCTTGTACGACTTCTTCAAAGGGTTCTTACGGGACTAGCTCATCTCTCAATCCACTCAAGAATAGTATAGGCACCTGCGTGATCTTAGGCAGAACGTCCTCGCTGGTCCAATACTGGTGGCAAAAACGGGCAAGGTAACGAGCAGGGGGGAAGACACTATAGCAGTCAGTCCAGCATGATCTTAGTCAGGGAGCATGGATCGTATCGCCTGGACGGTAAACAATCGCGTCATCGGGGGCATACTTTGGGATCAATTTGCGAATACTCAAGAATGTGTTCTCCAAGATAAGACCTGCGATCGCACCATTGTCTTGGTTGTTGGCGACTAGATTGATCGCTACCGCCCCGCCCAGACTCTGACCATACACGACAATCTTGCTGTCTTTGGTTTCCGCCCGTTGTCGGATGTAATCCAGCCCTGTCTGCGCATCGACTTTCAAGCCCGTCTCATCCGGTGTACCTGTAGACAGACCATAACCACGGTATTCCAGCATCAACACATTGCAACCTAGAATATCTTGTAGGACCTTTGCGATGGGGATCCGGTGGCCGATGTTGCCGGCATTTCCATGAAACATTAACACGGTGACATCTTGGGCCGTGCGTTTGCGAGAAGGACGGATGAACAGGCCATGTAACGACTCTCCGTCCGGAGTGGGGATTTGGAGATCTTCGTAGTCTGCGAGGCCGAACTGCTGTGGTCTGGGAACATTGGTGCGCGCATCCACGGGGACATTGCGAGGATAAATGAGCTCACTGCATAAGGGGTTAGCTCCTGGGCAAGCGCCACAGATATCTTGTTGACCGGGGTCTTCAATAAGACGAACTTTTGCTTGAAATACAAAAGACCGCTGGCAACAACCGCTAATCCAGAAGATGCCAGGACAGGCAATCGCAAGAACTGGACTGCACTGTTGGCCATGCTGGCCATGCTCCATGACGGTGGGGGCGGCGACTCCGACATGGCAGTAGACTGGCTGGTAGGGTGGCTTGAAAGATAAGAGCGCTGCGACGAAGCCGGGGAAATTGCTCGAGTTAAGGGACGCAACAGCTGAGGTGTATGGAAATGAAAAATCTCAGGTGACGAGGGTCGCGATCCGGCGAGATACCCTGCAGCCTGGGAGCGGGAGATAATGTGTCGGTTCGTTTCATCGGGGCTACTTTCTATGGCTGGGGGAAGTCGTTCAGGAGGCTTGCGGGGGGATGACAATCCGCCCAGTAGGAGCGTGGCGGCCGCTCACCGCCCGGCGGAATCAGCTCCAGCTGCCAACGTAACGCGTTCGCCTGCCTTGAGCTCCGTCAGAGCTCATAACCACTCTTCCAGCCGTCCCAGTAACGCCGCACCCACGTTGTTTTCCATCCACTTTTTCATACCATCATCTCCGCTGCTTCTGGCATTAGCGGCTTATCTATCGGGACGCTATACCGGCTACCTCAATTTAATTCAGACACCATGGTCGGCCACGGAATGACGGGGATGCTCGGCGAGGGTTAGTGGTCTCGTGCTGCAATCTGATGCGCTGGGCAGGAGCTGATGGGTTATTGCAGATGGTATTCATGTCGATATGAACCACCTCAAGAAGGGAGAAGTGAAGTAAGTGCTTGCACCGTCTGCTCCAAGAGACTCCAGTAACGATGGCTAACTCACCTCTACAGCCTAGGAACTTCGATGTGAGTTGTGGTCGGCTTCGAACCCATTGATGCGGTGTGTTGACGATGAACAGTATGGCTATCAACTTCAGGGGTGGTGTTATATTGGGCGCCGACAGCCGAACGACAACCGGAGCATACATCGCGAACCGAGTCACCGACAAATTGACGCAGGTGCATGACACTATCTGGTGCTGTCGATCAGGGTCCGCTGCGGACACCCAGGCTGTGGCAGATATTGTATCCTACCATCTCAACATGTACTCAATCACCAACAACGAGGCCCCCAGTACCCAGGTTGCCGCAGCATTGTTCCAGGAGCTATGTTACGATAACAAGGATATGCTAAGGTAGGCATCCATTCCTGGCCTGAACTGGGTAATTTTCTTTGACCAATCGATCGCAGTGCTGGTATCATCATCGCCGGATACGACCCGAAGCACGGAGGTCAGGTGTACTCGATACCTTTGGGCGGGTCACTTCACAAGCAACCGTACTCGATTGGCGGGTCCGGATCGACCTATATTTATGGCTACTGCGACACACACTGGAAGGAGGACATGACGGAGGAAGAGGGCATCAACTTCGTTCGCTCAGCGCTGCAAGAAGCAATCAAGTGGGATGGTAGCTCCGGTGGTGTAATCCGACTGGTGGTGCTGACGTCTCAGGGCGCCCAGCGGCACCTCTACCTGCCGGACACGGGCTACACCGGACCCGGCGTTACCAATTAACGAATGTATCTATACGGGACGATGACTTAATTGTTGTTAGCTGCTGATTGATCTATTGATATTCTTCGGTTCTCCGAGTAGATGTGTCGTTCTCATCGGTAGCTCTATCGAAACCGATCGGTGCCTATGGGTGCCTATGGCGGTGGGGGACACGATCTTCACCGGGTGGGAATTGGGGGCGTGTGATAGTGTGGGCGATTGATAGGGCTGTTCAGGAGCCACTTCTCCTCATCTTATAGTTTGCTTGGCCGAGCGGTATCACTTGACGGGTTTCTCTTTGATTGTTGAGGCGTCACCATGCATACTCGATTAGCCCAGGTTTAGGTGAAGGAAGACGAGGTCACTAATCCGGGACATCTCCAGCTAGATACTATCTACGCAGTGTATCCCACGCGGGCATGGCACCACCCGACCTGATCGCAGGTAATTAAAGACTAAGATACTAGTTAGTTCTCTCCCGCTGCTGACCCAGTAGTCTAAGGGCGATAGCTTAATCAGGGGGAAACCAAGATGGTCGGGGGTCAATGACGGCTGTCATTGCGTCGAGGGCATCTGGCGGCGCCACCAATCAACCGGCAATACTGAACACCTGCGCGGCCGAGGAGCCGCCATTCGTTCATTGCGCCCCAAGTGGAGGATGATCCTGGCTGTGTCCATCTGGTTTGGGACTGGAAGAGTCGTCTCCAGATGGTAGTATCATGGTCGGGGTCTCGCCTTATCCCTCTTCCCATAAGGAAGATAAGTGTGTTCACTGTTGCTGTTACTTGACCTCATGACGGACGGTTTCCCATCTGGCGCGGTCGGTAAAGTGTCGTACTTGATATCGCTGCAAGGAACCTCCTCGAGTACCTATCAGTAAGGATCCATCGAGTGCAGACTGTAAGTACGTAGTTCGATCGGTCCTCGGATGAGACCCTAGGTACGCCGTACAGGGTAGAGAGATGATGGATCATCTTATGGTATCATATCATCGTCAGTCGCATTCTTCTCTGTCTCACGTCGTGAGTAAGTACTATGTAGGGATCCAGGTCTAGACGGATCTTCCATTTTTCAAAAACCATATTCCCCTATTATCGGCATCATTTTGATCCATCAATTGGGAGAGCAGGGTGCTGAAACACCGAGAGTTGAGAGGGCTGGCCAGAGAGAGGGATTGTTCGGGGTGGACCCCAACCTTGCCGGAGGAGGAGAGAGAGAGAGTCTTGTTCCCTTCCTGCATCATCCATCCATCCATTCCATCCATTCCATTCACCCCCAAATCCACTCACTCCCATCTTCTCCGCCACTCGAATTCCCCTTATCCTCCGGCCCATCTTCCCAGTCTCCATAACCTGATTATTTCCGTGCCTATCTCCTTTCCCTCCTCCCCATTTCTCCCCGGATTCTCCCTCGCTGATTCCTCGCAATGGACCATCCCATTGCTGTTCATCACTTGTGATTCCCTTCCCGCTTCAGGCCTGGGTCGGGTTCATGCTCTTCGCCCTGTTCTTCCGATTGCGCACCTCCCCCTCAGTACTCTTTGACCCTCAAGCCGCGATCTGCCAGACCAGATCCAGACTTTCCAACTCTTGAATCATTCATTGACTGAAGTTAGTTACTTGGCTGTATCTCTTCCTTCCTCTTCTACCCTTTCCACCTCTGTCATGCCGTGCAAATGAATTCTTTCCTGCCCTTGTTTTGCTGTTTTGCCTCCAACTAGCCTGCGAAGTATCGCGCTGACCCTTCGGCCGCCGGCTCTACTAGTAGGCTCTCACCCGCATCTTCCCTCTCCAACCCCGTCGGTCTGATATGGGATCGGTCCTCGTCAATCATCCGCGGTCGGATTGTATGGATACCTCCTACACCATGTTGGGAGGCGCCATCACTTCCTCGGAATCTGTTTATCGAACATCGTCTCATCCAGCCTCTCAACACCCTTCGTCACACCTGGAGACGGGCAGCTCTAGGTCCGCCTCTTCCAATAGCACCCCCACCTCATCCACAGCCCCGCCGTCAACCTCCGCCGCCGGCTCTGGTCGCCTTCCCTCCCACCCAACCCATGATGTACCGGCCTACATCAACCGGCCCTCTCACTCCCATCCCAGCTCACAACCTTCCACACGAGCCTCCTCAGCCACTCCGGGATCTGCCCATACTCACCCTCCATCAGCCTCAATGACCTCGACCACTAACCATCTATCGCGCCCGGACTCTGCCTCTCATCCTGCCGCGCATCCATCCCATCACGCCGGTGGCGCCAACCATGCAACCGCCGCGGCGCCTACCTCGGCGCCACACACGGGGAGTCAGTCATCCCCAGCTTCACCTCAACTCAGGCCAACCTTTCAGTCCCTCCGTTCGCTCGGCGGTTCAGAGGCCAGCTCCCCTAGTCGGATCAAGGTCCGTGATCTGTCACATATCCAAAGCTTTGCTAGTGAAGAGTTCCTAGCGCAGAGGGATCGGACACCGGGACAGTGGAATCAGGAGCGCCAGTACGAGATTAGTTCCATGCCGGTCACGGACATAATCGAGATGGTTGCTGGGCTCCTGATGAAAATCACAAGCACCAATGACCTGCATCACGAGTCCGCTCATCGACATATTCCTCCCCCCGATGGCAGCACCACTCTTAGCCCCCAAGCCACAAGTGTGCTTGCATTCCATGGCAAGAACGTGCCCAGCATTAGCATCCTCAGCTATTTGACGAGGATCCATAAGTATTGTCCTACCACTTACGAGGTCTTCCTCAGTCTGCTGGTATACTTTGATCGTATGACGGAACTGGTCAATAAGGGCCAGCTTGACCGATTACGGCGTCGCTGCGACCACGTGCAGGATGGTTCGCGACCAGCATCTTTGGAGCGGTCGAGTACACATCCGACACAAGCGTCGCCCATGGTAACCCCTCCATCCTCGGCTGGAATTGCTGCACAAGACCCGTCCACCCCGTCGTCTATATCGCCCTCTCTGCAACCACAAGAAGAAGAGGATCAGTTCTCGCACTTTTTCATTGTCGATAGTTTCAACATCCACCGGCTAGTTATCGCAGGCGTAACATGTGCCAGTAAATTCTTCTCGGACGTTTTTTACACTAATTCTCGCTATGCAAAGGTAACTGCTCTGGCTCGCTGTCTCGATACAATGCTAACCAGGCTGAACATAGGTTGGCGGACTTCCGCTAGTTGAACTCAACCACCTTGAACTTCAATTTCTACTGTTAAATGACTTTCGACTGTCGATCGCTGTTGAAGAGCTAGAAGCATACGGTACCATGCTTGTGGAGTTCTATGCTCGGGAAGTTGTCGCCCAACAACAACAGCAACTATCTCAACCAGCGATCCCCCGGTCAATAGACCCCACGGACAACCAATCCGAGGGGATGTACATGCGCACGCGCGATAAGCCACGGACAGATCAGCCGGAAATTCGCCAAACCCCGACTCCACCCTAGCCAGTCCATCTGCTCCGGCCATGGTCCATTTTCTGCTGGTCTCTTGGTTTGCGTGGGTATCGTATCTGTTGATTCTTCTCGTTGGCGCCGCATGTCTTTGGTACATATGTGTTAGCCCTGGCATGTTCTCATGTTTCCTCTACTCATAGATTTTACGCTCGGCACTCTGGCCCATGACCCACCCTACTTAGCCTGGGGCCTTATTCGTCACCTTTCCTGTCTGCCTCTGTGTACACAATTTCAGTCTGCATCTTGCCCATTTCTAACATTGGCTGGCGTTTCGGGGTTTCTGGTTGTTTCTGCTTTCCACTGAATACTACTGTCCGGGAGGCACTTCGGGTTTCTGGATCTGTTATGAGTCCTTACGGGAGCCGCTTGTACCTGCTGTTTTTTTTTTTCTTTCCTTTTATGCCGATCTTTGGTCACATCTCCCATCTGCCCGGTGTGTTTACTACCCGCAGCGAAAGTAATAAAGTACACGATATGAGTAGATTGAGCGCATGCCTTGGGTGGTAAGCATGCGGGCCGTGCGGAAGCGGCCTGCGTACCGAGAGCGGTATTGCCAGTATGGCTGGCTGCTGGTGGCCAACACGTCATGTATCCCCAGTGACGGGGATCGCGAAGTTAATATCGCGCCAAGCGTAGTACCTGCCTGGTCAACCAGTCCTGTCGGGGTGCGGATTACATCAGTGGCCATGCTGATCCCACATCACTATGATATTGTTCTATTGATCTTCATCCTGATCGCTGCTGACTCAGTACACTGTGCTAGTTACAAAGTACTATACAGACTGTGTAGATAGCAGGTGAGGAACATGCGCCGCACGTCATTATCCGCGTCCGGGACCCCACGCGACCCATCCCCAACCCCCAGACTACTCCCTTCACAGTTCACACAGCACGCCTTCGCCCACAACTCACACACCAACAACAACAATAACAGAAAAGGCAGCAGACCGACCTAGGTCAGCATATGAATTTCCGTGGCGCCCAGCGTGGTGTTCGGTTCCGGGAAGGGACATGGCATGTCTCGGAGAATGTTGATTCTGGACCGGAAACGGGCCGACCCCGATGGAGCAGCGAAAGCGGCTGACAAAGACATTGTTGATACCTTGGCTGGCCTTCTCGTCCAGACGAGACCGTCGTTCTTGTTCGACTTTCCAAGGCAGTGGTTTCTTGAAGGCATGTAGTCTTTGGTATGGCACGTATTCCTTATTCATATGCGCCTGCAGAACGGATTCATCAACACCGATTCATATCCTTGGTCATTTGCACGCCATCCTGGCTCTAGACCATGCCCTTGACACTCACTTCACTTCAACTGATACCGCGTTCATCGTACAATAGTACCTCCAACAAGGAATAGAAGGATATATCGAGATCACTATAAAACGGATAATATGTCCCCGTGAACGTAGCCAGATACCAGAGAATCCAGAATATCAGGTTTTTTCTGAATCATCCGTGAACAATTGTCTCAACTTCTATTTAAACCATCACTTCAACCCCACTTACCTATCTCTTCCATCGAGTCTCAGGATCATACACACAGACAGAGAGATATCTATATCTCCTCCCCGACACCACCACCACCAGAAGATATATTCACCATGCACAACAAACCGTGGCTCCTCCCTACCATCCTGCTGCTGCAGGCCCTCCCCTCCTCCCTCCTCGCCCATCCCACAGCCCTAACCCAATCCCCAGATCCAAACCCAAACAGCGAATCCCTCACTGTAACAGGCACAAACCTCTCCGTCCAATTCAATGACAATGCCACTACAACCACCCCACACAGCACCAATCCCACCACCACCAGCTGGAAAGGCTGCAGCACTTCGCTCAATGACAACAGCCACGATGTTAACAACGGGAATGCTTATGGCGACGGTTATTACACAGGCTATGTTTGTGATCATGATAACGGGAGCAGTGGTGATGGCAATGGGGATGATGGTCAAGGGGATGCTGTTGGAGAAGGGGATGGGGACGGGGAGTGTGCCGTTGAAACTATCACCGTCACGGGGTATGTATTCTTTCTTTTACCTCACTTCTTTCCTTTCTGTTCCGTTTCATTCTTTGCAAATTCCAAGATAAGTGAATGGATGGATGGGGTATATGAATACATGCTAATATGTGATGTATAGTCCCGCTCAAACCACCACCATCACCGTCACAGGTACAGGTACAGATACCAACACAAGAACTGGCACAACCCACCAATCCCACACGGCATATCCAGCCCCAACCACTGCTGCATCTCCGGCCTCTGCCCCAGCCACCACCACCACCACCACCACAGCAACCGAGACAACCACCACCACAGAAACCATCACCATCCAACAGACATCACCCGCTACCGCGTCTCCTCCGAGCGGGTCCGCAGTGGTTGCACAAACCCAAACCCAAACCCAGACCACAACCCACACCCATACAGAGACCCAGACCCAGACTCAAACCGAGACAGATGTCATCACTGCAACCATCACCTCGACTTCAAGCGTAACTCTTCCTCCGGCAACAATCACCCAGACAGAAACAGATGTCCTCACTGCGACAATTACCCAGACCGAGACGGATGTGATTACAGCGACGGTCACAAACCTAGCTACTGTTACTCTGCCCCCAGTGACAACGACAATCATTGAAACTGCTACGAGCACTCAGTCTCCTGATGCTACTGCTGCTGCTTCTGCTACCACTGCACCCGCCAACGCCAACACACACAACTATGGAAAGTGCACTAACCCTAGCATCTCTTACAAATATGCTCTGGACGGACACACCAATTGGTCTTTCACGACGAACAACGTCCTGGACTTCCCTCATAACATCTCCCCTACGATTGAGTCGTTAATGGGCTTTATCTGTAACCGGTTGGAGAGTCCGTGCCTGGCACCCCAGGAGACGGTGGATGCGTGCTGGGCGGCGGAGCAGCAGGTGGTCCAGACTGGACGGGTGGGTCAGGATGCGGCGGACTTGTGGAATGAGTTGATGGCATAGATTGATCTGGATCGATGGAATGAGAGAGAAGAAGAGAAAGAGAGAAGAAGAGAAAGAGAGAGGAAAAGGCATAAACGGATATGGCGTTGGTGATTTACTTGCTTTTGAAGGGCATCGGGTGTTTGGATCTGTGTTTCTTCAATTCTGCTTTGTTCTCATTTGAATTGGCGTATGTGAGTCTTCTATCATTGCATTCCATCTACAATATCGTTTCCTACTTGAGATATCACTTTCTTGATACTGAATCGTCCATTGTCCATCCAACTACAAACCATCTCTACATCCAAACATCAAGTGGAACGGCATTGACGATCCATTCCAGACTAGCTAAATACAGGCAATCTCTGATTCGCCGATCAAAATCCAAAACCGTAACTCCCGGACCTGGTCGAATTTAATGATAACGAGGTTAATGATATGGGTCACTCCGTGGTGGTCCAACGCCAAAATCGAAAACTGAAAGTCGAAAGTCGAAAACCGAAAATCGAAAACAAAAAGCGAAACCCCAAAAACCCCAAACGCTGATCCCAAGAACCCAAAATGACAAAAGAAAGACAAAAGAAAACCATCTCCAAATCCCGCTCCTCTCCGCCCTGCCCCCAACCAATCACCCTCCGCCCCTCCCCTGCCAATCTCCCGCTATGCCTTTGTCAGCCTCCATTCTCCCCCCGTCGTTGCTCCACGTACCTTCTTCCATACTTCCTCCAGCCAACAGAACTCCCATGGAGTATCCCCTCCATCCTACCATCTATCGTTCCATTGCCGTCAGCATGTGCTACCTCGACTAGAAGCAAATCAACATGGGAAGTGACCTACCCCCAAGATCCTCCACTAAATCCCTGAACCGCCAATGGCGGGTTGCTGGCGCCCCAGGCGAAGGTCTGCGACTTACTTCCCGCGTACAGGTGTGCGCCATTACCCCTGTTCATAGGGAACCCTCTTCTCTGGTATCCTACCCACCTCGTCAGTACATGCACTCTCAACCTGGCGATGATCTTACCTCTTCTTGATGCGTAATGCGCCACCAATACCACTGCAGGATATACGCCAGCAAGTGCTGCTACCCGGTTAGCAGACCTGGATGGCCTGATCCCCCAGACCAGAGCCAGGCCTCCTCAAATGGAAACAAAGGAAAGAACGCAGACAAGAACGAGTGGTGAATGGAAGGTCAGGGGCCAAAGAAGTGTGAGTGAGCAAAATGAAAACGAGTGACAGGCAACGCAAAGCAGGTACCAACCTACAGTCGGTATCCTCCACGTTGTCGGATTTGCTCTCGAAGCTGGTTGTAAGCCATGAAAACCGTTGCCGGACCCCACGTGGGCCGCATGTCCGCAATGCGAGCCAAGCGGTTCCACGCGCAGCCGTAACGATCGCATGGTTGGGAGGCGGAGTGACTAGAAGTTAGCATGATATAGGAGTCGGAACCCCAATACGTGGTGTACTTCTCTGTCTCACCATCCTCATCCGGCTTCGATAGTGGCGTGACTTTCCATCCCTGAAGGTAACCCATGGCGGCAAGCGGAGCGGGGAAGACGTTCTCTCGACGGTCGATCCAACGGGAAACAGGAACGGCGGTGGTCTCTCCGAAACGAACAGACTTCAACGACTTGGTCTTGCGGCCACCTGCCCCAGCCGAAGCCAGAGCAGACTTGGCAAGAACCTCATCGATCCGTCTGATCGCCCTTTGAGCCTTCGAAGAGCGAACGTCGGGCCGATGCGAGCCAGGGCAAAACGAGTGACTAGGGTGAGTCGGGGGAGACGGGTGAAGCATCGACAGGGGTCCCTCGGGGGACTTTTGTTGACTCTGCGACTTGGGCGAAACCCAAGGTCGAGATCGGGCCTGTCTAGCTGCCCGCCTTTCCTCGAGACGGGAAAGGGAGCCTTTTAGCGAGCGCCCTGCCCCAGTGGCAGCTGGGACAGGTGAAACAGTCAAAGGAGTGGGTGTCCTTACCGGGACAGGGAGACGCGAGCCAATTCGCATATTGGCAAAGGAGCGGACGCCAGTTCGGGGGATCGAGACTGGCAAAAAGGAGCGGGAAGGAACCTCGTAGTTCCGGCGAAAGACGAAGCGCGCGACGGGGGCCACGGGAAACGAGAGGAATGCGCGCTGGGTCTTGAACCGGTCGACTAGAGGGGCCTTTCGGAAGGGCAACCCAGGGAGACAGAGGCGAGCCATCTGAACACCCTGGTCAAGAAACGGATAAGAAGGCTGTGAGGGGAGTCGGGGACAAGAGCAAGGGTCACGGCAGAAGGGCATGAAGCAAAAGCTAAATACTGAATGGGCTTGAAGGGGGGCGCAACGCGATGAACACGATACTAGCATCAAGGGACCAAACGGTATGGGGAGAGAAAGGAAAAGAGGAGAGAGAAGAACATCAGAGCGCGGCGACGGGCGACGAGGGACGGCGACGCTGCCAGAGAGACAGCTGTCGAGGCAACTACGCTCGAGGAGACTTGAAGCAGCAAAAAGCAGCAAGAGCGGAGACAGGGTGGTTGCCGGGCAGGAAGGCTGACTGCACGTCAGTGAATGGCGAGGGTGAGGAAGCTGCGACAATCTTCAGGGAGAAGAGAAGAGCAGGCTCTCAGGACTATGGACGCTGAAGGCAGAGCCATCACTACAACTAAACCCTCTCGATGACCAGAACGATGCTGATTGATATTAGTACTATACAAAAAGACCTCGATGCCAACTCCTGCGAAGAACCCTATAACAATACAACCCCAATATCTCACCCTACATTCATGCACCTACAAAAACACGACACATACATCAGCTGTCATGTCCAGCCAAGCTTACATCGATCCCCCTGCATACATAGATCTGCACTAAGCCCGAAGTGACAACAATTAGGGCAAGTTCCCGCCCATATGTCCCTCCCCAGTATGTCTTTATCAGGATTGTCAGTGAATACCCCCATCGAAGACGTAGATAGCCAAAGAAATGGCTCGGCAGAGTGCAATACACTGGTACGATAGATAAAGACAGTCCACAGGCCTCCCTATCACAGTAGTGAGTGATACACATCTCGAGCAACAAGTCTCCTTTCCTCATCTTCCTTCCCTGTTACCCTCTGTCAATATTTAAAAACAGCAAAACTACCAGACTGGGGAAGAGAACCGACACCAAAGAAGTTCCAGGAACCGCTAATGAATTGAGGCTAGGTTCTTGTGATGGTGACCACAAATCCATTAATACATGAATCCGTTACGCTACGGGAGATGTTCACTATATAGTCTGAGAAGTCAATGCAGTGCATCCAGGTACTCTATTACTACAGACTCAGTTGCGGACAGGCAGAGCTGGTAGATGATGAGGTGTGGAAGCCCCATGAACTATTTATTGTTTTCTCCCCCAGTATCATATAACAGCAGAGGCCGGAGAATATTATCCTCTCTCTCTACCTTAGAGTAGTACATCTGTGCTGAAATCGGAATAAAACAAACTGAAGGCTGAAAATCAGAGAAACGTACGAATCTAATCCCCTTCTCTTATTCGTAGACTATAGACCATATTATAAACCCTAATTAACTATCTCATCCCATCTCGGCAACTTTCATAAAAGTTGGATTACCATGTAATCAATCTTTCACCATATATACTCACCCTATCATCACCGATTCTATCTATCACCTCTTAGCCTTGAAGTATCCACAAATCGTTGATTTCCCCTCCTCATACCCCCAAATCCCCATCCGTGATCGTGGTAGATGTTTTTGTTGCCCATATACTCCCACAGCGTCTATTGATTGCTCATCTACGCCCTCCCCATTGCTCACCAGGCTTCACTCTATTGTAGAAGTTATAGAAAGTCGCCCCCCTTTATGACTCACGTGATTACATCAAATATCGGTGTTAGCTGTATTGTCTAAGTTTGGATAATAGGGTGTGAATAGATGGTATCTCAGCAATCAAGCTCTACTTGTATCTTCAGGAATGAATAAGGAAGTTGACAGGGGGGTATACTAGTTAAGGCGCTAAGTATAGGGGGGCATTTAAGTAGTACAAGGAATATACTCACTGAGCACAAACCAGTATCCGATGGGTAGATTTATGAGCCAGATGGCTCAGTTGGTAGTGGGGAATGCCAATGTGTTATGTTGAACTAAAGATCCCCAGCCCGGTTTTTTTGGATTTCACCGTTGGGTGGGGGTTCGAATACCCGTGACTCCTATCTACTCTTCTAGAAATATATCCGCAGTGGATAAACATTGCTTATAATACTAAGCACATTGAACTGCTATTCTGCCCTCTCCTATATTAGCATTGCGGTGGTGAATTGTCGATGGCCAAATTACCGATTACTGCACAGAGTTGAAAGATATGTATTTCGACTGACCATATGTCCGACACCCCCTCACAGGATAGATTAAGTACAAGGCTTATTAGCCTAGACAGGCTATAAAAATATGAATCACCGAAAACAATGAGACAGTGCTAGAATGCAAAGACAGTGCGGTGCGTTATTCGAATGCCCGGCATCTCTCATTAGTCCATAAAAATGCCACAGTAGCCAATGCAACAACAATGATCATAAACAAGGCAAAGCAAAGAAAAGCAAAGCAAATCAAAGTAAAGCAAAGAAAGAAAATATAGCCCAAAGGACCTCGGGCCAAAGCGAGGCCCTGGCGTATGCATTATCTGACCTGGTATCAACTGCAATGTACAAACCTTTCTTACGCCGAGCCGAGTTGTCCGGATGAGAACACTATTCAATCCGCGGAGGACTGGTCGATTTCTTGCCTAGCGGGCTTAAGCTGGCTCTGCATGAGGTCGTTAGTAGGAGTCCCTGGCTGGGAGCAGATCAAACGTACGATCTCCGCCGTTCGCCTTCCTTCCGAAAGCCTTCAATGATCTTAGCGATTTCTTTCCGCCCCGAACGGGCATCAACCTTGCGCCCGCCAAGACTCATGCTGACTTTCTCGTTGGCGTTGGCAGTGAGCAGTCGCTTCAGCAGCAGATGACGCATGCTCAAGCAAACAAAAACACCACAGTCACTGCCATTCTCTTGGACAGGCGAGTCCTCCAAATGGACGTATCTTATCGGTCGGCCCAGCAGAGCTCCGAATTTCATCGTCACTATCCGCGCCTCCCAGATGTTGCCCGGGGGGAGCGAATCATAGTGGAACGCTACCCCGTCTACAATCGAAATCAAGAGCAACGACCAGTGCGTGCCCCCCTCTGCTTCTGTGACATTGCGACAGTCATTTATCGGGAGGAAGACGTGCGTGGTACGGGAGAAGTCCGGGAGGGCTTCACGCAGGGAATGTGGGTTTGGCGTCTGAAGGATCATGAACGACATGCTCGGCCGAAGGAGAACGATGTTGGAGGACTTGTATTGAATGAGGAATTCGTGCTCAAGATATCTGAGGTGGTTTCCTAGGTAAGCCATGGACCGTGATCGCCGTTAGGCAGGGGAACTTACTCCTCCCAGAAGGAGATGACCTGTGGCCCAGTTACCACGTTAGCTTGAGTGTTGCATTATAGGCAGGCAGTGGAAACACACGAACATTGTCAGTAAGCCAGTCATTCTTCAACGACTGCATGTCCCCTCTTGTTACTGTACCCATTTGTTAGAGACCGTGATCAACAACGTTCTTTCCCTTGGTCTTGGACAGAAAAACGTACATCGAACATCGTGGTCTGGTTCCCATTATTAGAATTGGTCTACAAATCTCCACAGACGAAGAGAAGAAATCAAACTTACAGCTTAGATATGCATCGTCCGGGTTCAACTACGCCAAGTTTAGTCCGTTTCCCAAGCCCACAAACCCCCGCACATGCACCGAAGATGAACAGGGGAGACAAAGTCCGGTCGACCTACTGTATCGCCGAATCTTCTCATCCTTCTCTGCAATTTCCCTAGGCCACCGTCTCGCATCGTGTCGAGCCCCAATACTACGTTATGCTGCTCGACTTCGACCTAGCAAGTTGTCCACGAGCGTCACCGGAGGTCCGAAGGATGGACCGGTCTAGTCCAGACCAACAAAAAGGGGACGGCAAATGTAGGGCAGAGACACGATGTAGGAGGTCCCTATTCCGGTGCGACGAGGATATATACGATTTGGTAGTCGGTCGATCAGGAGATGAGGGTCGGTATTTGTCTGCCTGGGCCGTGGTTTGCCGGAGGAGGATCAATAAGGACAGAGAGGGAATCGGCTGGTTGAAGCGATCCCCGGCTGCGATGGTCGAATCACATACGGTAGGAAACGGGCTGGCCAGTAGGAGGAGACCAAGTCGGCGTAAGAGAGATCGATGCTAAGCCCAGCAATTGACGAACAGAGACGGGGGGGGAGGGGAGGAGGAGAGGGACGAAAAGCGAAGTTGGTCGGCCGGCGATCCTCAGCCACTCCGGGGTTGTGGCGTCCAAGACGTCACCTGTGGCCGTGCCGCTCACGTGGATATATAGGTAGAATGGATAATAACGTATTTGGTAAGCGAGCCGGCCACGTAAGCGAGCCGGCCACCCCAACCACCTCAACCACCACCACCACGTCTATGAAACTGAGTGTATTCAGACATCAATTTCTCCACCAAAAATGCCTAAATCATCAAAATAATTAGTGGAACAAGAAGGCAGGCTTTGCCTTGCAATTGAGGCTATACAGAAAGGTCAAATTTCTTTAATTCGCAAAGCTGCGTTAGTTTTCAATATTCCGCGTTCAACTCTCCAGGAACGCCTTAAGGGAGTCACCTTTCGCAAAGAGACACGTGTCAACTGCCATAAACTAACTCCTTCGGAGGAGGAATCACTTATTAAATGGATTATATCACTGGATCAACGTGGCGCTTCACCAAGGCACTTTCAAATACGTGATATGGCATCAATTTTGATGCAGAAACGCAGTCAAAAACCGACTTCCTCAGTGGGCGAAAAATGGGTGTATAACTTCATTGCTCGGCATAATTCTTTAAAGAGTCGATTTACGCGTCAAATCAACTACAAGCGTGCCAACTGCGAGAATCCTGACGTTATTCAGGCCTGGTTTCAACGTGTTCAAACTGCCGTCGCTACGTACGGAATTGCAGATGCAGATATCTACAACTTTGATGAAACCGGCTTCGCCATGGGCTTGGTGGCTACAGCCAAGGTAGTGACACGTTCATCCTGCCAAGGAAGACCTTTCTTTATACAGCCTGGAAACCGCGAATGGGTAACCTCAATCGAGTGTATCAACGCCGCTGGATGGGCCTTGCCAGCGTACTTGATATTGAAGACCAAGACGCATATTCAGGCATGGTATGAAGGCAGTCTACCCTCTTCATGGCGTATCACTATATCACCAAATGGATGGACCAATCGAGAAATCGGTGAACACTGGCTTAAAGAGCACTTTATTCCCTATATCAAGGACCGGAGAACTGGCCAATATAGCCTCTTAATTCTTGACGGACATGACTCTCATTTAACGCCTCAGTTCGACGATATATGCCGTGAGAATAATGTTATTCCAGTGTGCATGCCGGCCAATTCTTCTCATCTTTATCAGCCATTGGATGTAGCTGTATTCTCACCGTTAAAGCAAGCGTACAGCCGCCGGATTGAGGACCTTATACGAACTGGATATCACCATATTGACAAGATTAACTTTCTTGACGTATATCCAGAAGCCCATGTTCAAGCCTTCAAATCCATGAACATACAAAGTGCCTTTTGGGCCTCGGGAATTGTTCCTTTTGATCCAAGCAAGGTTCTAGATAACCTTATCTTCTACAGGGAGGAGAGCCGTCCAAGTAGCCAAGGCACTACTTCAAGTATCACCAAAACGCCTATGAATTTGAAGCAATTTAAAAGACATGAATTGGCGATATCTGAATTGCTTCGACGTTCTGATCCTCCGGCTTCACCTATGCAAACGGCTTTATCGTATATTGTTAAAGGCGCAGAGGTGGCGTTGAACCGAGCGGTTCTCCTGGAACATGAGAACCGCCAACTTCGTATGGTCGTGGAGAGGAAGGAAGTAAAGCAGAAGCGAAATCAACATCAAATGAACGGCCTGAATGGTGAAGCCATTCAGGAAGCCCGTGAGGCCTTTGCAAATGTCCAGGCCTTGGAGGAAGCAGCCGGTGATGCAGGGCCTGGAGATGACCAACCACGCCGCCGGGCACCACCTCGTTGCAGCGCGTGTGGAGTCCTTGGACATATACGTACAAGATGCCCATCTAGGAGGCTTGATTCCAGCGTTTAAACAGCTATATAAAGGCTTTAATATACTGCAAATTTTGTATGTAAATCAAAATTCCGATATGGGAGGCATACCGGCCTGCTTGCCAAGCCGGCCGGTGGCCGGCTCGCTTACCAAATACGTTACACGTAAGCCTGCACAATTTCATAGTATGCGACGCAATCCATTCACTTTAATCAAGGGGTATCTAAAAGTACATATCAAGGTCTCTCTTAGGACGCACAAATGGTCAGAACAAGCAAGGGATAGCAAACTCCCCCGTAGCACACAGAGCCACCAGCCAATCCTCCCTTCAGTCGATTCAACACGATATCAAAACCACATAACCAGGTATTCGCCAACACCATATCCCACCTCGCCCGCTGAACGTAAGCAATCAAAGACACAAAAAAAGATCAATTCAAAATGACGAATCCAACGCCCGCGGCGGACGCTAGATAGCTTGATGATGAGCTAGTATATAGACACCCATCGAGAGGGGTGGCGCTGGCCAAAGTTGGCAAGCATCACCTCGAGAAAGATCACAAGGGAAACAAAGGTGCCCTGCATAGTGAGCTCATGCCGAAAGCTTTGCAAAGTGCTTGTTCCAGATCCATCCGACCTGGTGAGTAGGATCATCCTGGTTCTTGGCGAGCCACAGCTCCCCTTTCTCCGCGATGACATCAAAGATCTCCCCGACAACATACGTCAGGTAAGGGTACCCAGCCTCACGTCGTGCCCGGTCAATATTGAACTCGTAGATACTTGCAGCGAGGAACAGCACGGCTGGATCATGAGGGGGCTCCTTGCGCGCCGCTGCGTTATCCTGTGGGTTGTCCGACATCGGCATCGCAGATGAGAAGAAACCGGAATACCGCCCATCAGGAGATGCGGGCGGCTCATCCTCGGGCTTCGTCCCATCGTTCGAAGGGCCGATAACGTCAACCAGGAAAGGGGAGTCAAGACTCAACCTAGGTAGACTTGGGAAGGACTCAGTGTTGGTGTTGGATGCTGGTATGGAACCGGAGGAAGTGTTGGTGATCTGTTGCAGCAGTTGGCTTCTGGGTATCTCGGCGGTCTCATGCACCGCACGACCAGAGAAGGTCGAATCAGCTCTGTGACGCCCATGAGACACCTGAGACTGACTGTCAAAGCTGGGTGAATGGAAAGAATGAGGGCCATTGCCGAGATCTTGGGACACTTTGGGCGAATCCTCCATAATTGATCCCACGCGGGTACTGACACTGTTAACGGTGGACGGCCGTCGAGGTGAATTGATGTTGGCCCCAGTTGAGGGCGTGTTGAAGTTGACGAGGTTGACGGTGTCAGCCAGCAGCGAGCCATTGCAAATCCCCAGAGACAGAACCTGCGCCTCGGAATAGTTGAAGTTGCAGGACCAGTCTTCCACAATTTTCTGGATATCTTCGGGGAACGACTCAAATAGAGACCCGAGCTTGTTCTGGAGTTGGCGGAACCAAGTAGTCTGTATATGCACAAAATTCTTGAGACAGGCCTCCATCAATTTGGCGGTCAGGGAATAGAGCTTGGGGAGTTCGTCTTTCAGGGTCTCATTCAGCGCCACAAATTGTTCTCCTTGTTCGGTAGTCTTCTTGTCCGGTTTATCGCCTCGTTCCTTCGCGGTTCGGAAGCGAGCGTAGTCCATGAGACGCTTGTCGCGCTTTTTCATTACTCTCTGTGGGCCATCGTGGAGTTTGAGCAACGTGACCATCGGATCAATGACACTCTTTCGAACCACCGCAAGCTGAAACACAATCATCTCAGGTCAGCCATGCAAGCACTATCGACAGGTAGTCTGTCAGTTTTGGAATTTTCAACTTACGTGTTCAGGCAACGCCACGGTCATTATCTCCCCAACAGAAACCTTCAGCTCACGCCATCTGCCCTCCAATTCGGCATAGTTGGACGGGGAAACATCGACGAATCCTTCAATCGCCGCGACAAATTCACTGAACCCATCCATGGAAGTCTGCACCTCGCGAGTATACATCTCTGCGTCACGCATGACCAGTTGGAGTTGGAAAAAGTTGTCCCCAAATTTCTGGGCGAGCGTGTCATACACCTTGTCCTCGATCATGTCGGAAAGGCCCACTTGCTGTTTCAATTTCTCGGTCCGTCGGCCGAAAGCTTTAGACAGGCCCGTCCTCACATCCGACTCTTTTCGTTTTCGACCGACGACTTGGCCCACTAGGTCGGCTCGTTTCTTCATCTCATTGATACGGACAGATATATTTGTAACCTCTTCGAGGGCACTGACAAGAGCGGGATGGTCGGGATGGTCGCTGGGTGTCGAGTCGAGGAGTTCAGCTAGCAAGAGAGGGTACTTCAAGATCCTTTGCACTGGCTTGACAAGAAGGGAATCCAAATCCCACGCAGTCGTCAGATCAGACGCCCAGTCTCGGCATTCTTTGAGCCAGATAGCGACCTTGGGGTTGCGCTGCAACGTCTGAAGCTTCTTGTTGGCAGCGTCATGGTTCTTCAAATAATCGGCATAAACCTTCTCCATGTAGCCCATCTGCGCCATGAATGCCTCACCAATGTAGGTCATCCTGTCTTTGTCTAGATCGGATATTCCCGCTGTGCTCGAATTCTCCGACTCGGTCTTGGATGTATTATGGCGCGCATTGCGTTTGCTGCTCCAGCGTTGTGACTTGGGCATCACATAGACGCTCTTTGCTGCTTCTTTGAGTGCATCCTGGAACGCCATTGAAAACTGCACCACTTGGTCTGAGTTCGCAAAAAGGATCTTCACGTCGTCTGCAGAGAGATCCAAGCATGAACTCGAGGTCCCTTTGTAAATGTCGTCGACAACTTTCATGTCTCTCCCAAACGTGTACTCCGTATCGACAAGCTCCTTGATCACATGTCGGCGCTTTTTCAAACGGCGTTGCTCTGGCGAGGGAGATTGTGCCTTGAGACGGAATTGCTCCGATGTTGAAGGCACTAGAGAGGTAGAGGATGAGTCAAATGTTTGAGGGGATGAGATTGGCTCAAGCCTGCGAAGAGAGGAATCTTCGCTACTGCCGGTGCTCTGAACAGGGTCCAACGGCGCAAATATACCGGAGATGATAGTGCTGAAACGTTGCTCTGCGTTGACACTCGAAGGTAGCTGCGGTCGCTGTTGGCTGACGCCACTGTCTGTCGGTGCACCCTCGCCTAGCGGTTCCGGGGCATGAGCGGACGGAGGGGCGTAACGCTCATGAGACTCGAGTTCTTGGGGCACATGAACCTTGATGGCCAGGCCTAATCCTTCATCCCCCTCTTCTGAGCATGATGATTGCGGATTGGGTGTAAGTAAACGCGGAGTTAGCGCACTATCGTGTCTAGGGCGTGCGTCGCCATTTTGCTCTTGCAAGGCAGGCCCGTCTTCAGCAGCGGCGATTTGCATCCAGTCCATGATCGAAGGGGACGCATGTTCCCAGTCATCACGCAAAACTAGGCTTGCTGTATGTCCCGATCGCTCCGAAGTAGGAGGATCCCCAATACGAGATACAAGGACTGGGCCATCAGGCAAACTATTAGGTGCTCCGTCTGCCTTTCCGTCAAAATGGGGATGTGCCGGCTCTGGAGATGCGCGAACTGCTGGCAAAGGAAGGCCATGTCCTCTGCCGTTAGCTAGCTCCTGAAGATAAAGCTGACCAACCCTCTTTGAATCCCACCCGCCTAGTCTTGCCAAGCTCGATGCGCTAGAAAATGCGAAGCCATTTGGTTGAGATACCGGGGCGTGTCTTATCTCGGGGGTCTCGTCGGTTTTCTGGGATTCTGAGCTCGGAAGTTGATGTCCGGTCATAGATGGAGTACTGGAAGACGCAGAGCAGGATTGGGTTGCCGCTTCACTATCCTCTCCACACTGCTGAGCCTGGGAGAACTCATCCCCACTTTGTTCGCACTGCTCATCCACAGAATGCTGGTTGCGAAGAGACGACGACCAAGAACTCATGCTCCACCTGTTGGGTGTCTCACCGTTTGTCGCACCATGTCGCATATATAGATCACACGACTCTGGGTTATCGCTGCTGTCTGCGTGATCCTCAAAAGCAAAAGCATTCCTCAACATGATAGGTACGGATTCTCTGTCGTCAGTTTCGGAGAAGCTACACTCGTGCTCGTCACACGATGAGCTGCTTGGACTGGACTCCCGGATATGCATGATCTGACTCAACAAAGTCCTGTGTGAAGAATGCAAATTCTGCCGTGACAAGTCGACTTGTGGCTCCGTATCGAAAGCAGTCACATGGGTATCGTTCGACTCCGAGGTAACATCAGATGCGGGAGGAGGGTGGGACTCGGGCTCAAATCCTAGGCCTCTCTGAATTATGTCTGCGTGTCCGAGAGTTGGAGAATCCATCGTCATCATATGTGTGGCGGAGATGCCTTGTGCGTTCTCCTGTGTGTGGACATCTGTGTTGACGTGAAGCTCAGGTAGCGGTCGGGGATCCGTCGTTTCGAGCACTCGGTCTGGTTCCTCATCGGGGACCGCGTCTACTTCCTCGATCACGGTTGCGTTATCCTCGGGGTGGGAAGCAGGCTCTGCTTCTCTTTCCACAGACTGTAGTGGTTCTGGCGTAGGTGGTTGCGCAGGTTCACCCTGTTCTTCCTGGGCTTTGGCTTGACGACGGAGTTCGGCGGCCTTCTCTTCCTTCCTCTCATTCTCCTGGACGGTGCGATTGAAAGCCTGCTGGATCTTCTCTCGCCTAGTTGCAAAGTCGACATGGCCCAATTCCGGCAATCTACGTTCACGGGCTCTGGAATTTCTGAACTCCCGATCGCGGTTGATTTGTCTCTGGAAATTGGACACCGTTTCGACCACCTTGGATCGAGACGATTGAGTGTGGGATACAGGCTGGCGCGGCCGCGAGCTGCGCAAAGGTGGTGACTTTTTCGGAGGAGGCGCGGCAATGTAAGCTTCTAAAAGTGCATTTCTTTCAGGAAGCTGCTGGCGGGATCGTCCATGAGCCATTTCCCGCTTTGCGCGTGGGGATGCCGTACGACCTGGTGATTGATCATTTCTAGGCATGTCACGCGGCGATTTGGGCGAAGGTTTAGGGAGGCGGCTGGCGCCCTTTGGTGGCAGATGGACTTGAACAGCGGCACGGTTTCCGGAATTGGTACCCGCCCTTGAAGGGGGAGGAGACTCGTCCGAAACGGAAGGCGAGTTCAAGCGGTGGGATGAAATCGGAATGCGTGATTTGGTCGTCTGCGGCGTGTTGTCTAGGCATGTTTGGGAATCGGCCTGCAAGGGGGCCGGGACCGCCATGTGGGATTCGGGAGGAGGGTACGCGGCCTCAACAGACCAGTTTCCAGCAATATCACTTCTCGTCCTCCGGTGAATACTTGTATTTGATCCCGAACTCACGGCCTCCAAAAAAGGCGTACGCCCTAGGTACCACGCAGTGGGGGTCAGGGGCGTCACGCCGGCCGAGGGGTCAAGATGATCTAAGAACGCTGGATTCGGGCTCGGAATGATCCCGTCAGAACCTCGACGCCGCGAGGTTCCATATCCAGAAATCTGCGGACCCGTATCAATTCGAAGGGTTTCCCCAAGCAGAGGCCGTCGAAGGATCGCGTCCGAGGATGTCACGTTACTCGAAGGATTGCTGTCGATGTCAGTCGTCCTGAGTGGGGGTGGAATGAGGTCGGATGAAGAATCCGTATCAAATACGCTCGTGGGATGCCAGTGGTAAGAGTGCTGTCTCGTCGGAAGGTTGTGTGTTTCTCGCAGGCGAGGGAGGGCTCTAGAATGTGAAGGGCCTTCGGTGGGACTGGTCGGAGTGGCAGGCCTCGAGGTTACCCGTGACCTGACTGTGGATGTGGTTGGAACAGGAAGTACGTGATCGACGTTGTTGTTGAACTTATTTATTAAGTCTTTGAATGATGTTTGCCCTGACCTTGCCGTTGAAGCCCGCGCTGATGATGATCCCCAGGTGGATTCGTGCCCGACGCCTTTATATGATGAATCGGAAGCCGAACGGTGTTGACCCAAGTGTGCGTTTGACGATTCTAACAGGTGTAGTGGTACTGAAGACACACGCTGGAAGTGTCTGGGACGTTGCTCTGCGGCTGCGTCGCCGTTGACCTCCACCATGAGACGACCACTCGAGTCGAGATCACCTTCGTCGTTTGCAGCCACCGTGGGCAGATGTGGCCGATAATAGTCGTCTGGGTCAGGCGAGGATCGGCCGTAACTGTCGCGATGGTCTTCCAGGGTTATGCTTGTAGGTGCAGGAAAGGGTTGCAGGCTTGTGAGACCCAGCTGAGAGGGATACGTTTTACCCGACAGCGAGGGAAGAGGAGGGGAGGACAGCGCGGCTAGAGGGTCATCACGAGAGCCGTTCGAAAGAGCGTCATAGAAGAACTCGGTGGTGCTTTGGGAGGATAGGCGCCGGAACTGACGAGGACTGCCGCCATAGAGGCCAGAAACGTGCTCGACATCACCCTCGGACATCTTGCATTCTTCAGGCAGAGAATCAGCAGGAGACTCCTTCGTGGATTTTCTCTCGAAAGGAACAAAATGGGGCATTAAAAAATAATGAAAAGGAAAACAAATACCCAGCAGATTGGTTGGCTGTGATTGCTCCAGTTCAAGGGTGGCTAATCTTGCGATGCGTTGTCGACAGCTGGTAGGTCACCGATGATATTGCAGGTTAACCGGCCAGAACTACAAGGCAATCGTCACCGGGTAGTACCACCCGAGCACGGCGTCATATTTGAGATGAAAGAAGGACCACCAACAAGCCAGCGGGAACGATCCTCGACTCGTACCCTGAGGACCGGAGGATTTGTCCCACTGTTGACCGACCCCTCCAAATGGACTGAGGCGAGAAATCTGAAGCCGACAAAGGGGACTGGGTGTGGGAAGGACAACAATCAGACGGCAATGACACAGCACCGTCGGGAAGAAGGAAAAGGCAGTGAGTTGAGTGTGCTGTGATAACAGCCCAAGTAAGACGGGCGGGACAGACGTTTGCACGGCGTCTAGGTAACAGGGGAGAGGGGGGGGGGGAGGGAAAGGTTCGTTACAGGCGGGTCGGGAGGGGTTTGCTGAGGTCAAAGTGGCAGGGTAAGACTGGAGTAATATTGAGAGAAGAGAAAGAGGAGAACGGGGGGTGGATGACGAACAGGTGTAGGGTCGGTAGCCAAATGAGGCCCATCAAATAGGAATCATGGGCGACAAGCCCAGAATCGGCCTGGGTGGTCCTGTCGATTGAGAAGGGCTGCAGGTGGGCCAACAACCAGCAGCCCTGTTTGAAGGTGGTGTCCGTGGTTTCTACGTACTTATTTTTATTTTTATTTTTATTTTTATTTTTATTTTTATTTTAGGGAGGGGAAGGGAGCCCGGTTCCGAGGGCCTTCTGGATGGATTTTCATCTTATTATTATATTATTATTAGTAGTAGTATTACTCCTTGGGTATTAATTACTTTCAGTCTACGACAGTTTGGGTGTGGGTGCGGAGAAGGTGGATTAGGGGCCGACGAACAATTAAATTTGGGGGGGGGGGGGAAGAAAGAGGGAGGATGGAGGGGAGGGGACAAGACAGCCTGAAAGCTAGAGCCACCCAAGGATGATGATGCATCATGAATGGATGAATAAAGTCATGGTGGTTAACTAATTGACTACCCAATAGATCGATCGATAGATAGATAGATAGAAAACTAGATAAATAGCAAGCAAAGGAGAAGGAAGAAAAAGGAAAATCAAAATAAAATAAAAAACAGTATAGGGTCTCGATGTAGCCTGAAAAAATAGTCCTGTTCTCCCAAAGGGTGTGTTGGGGGAGCTACCATCAAAGGAAAAGACCGGGAATGTACGGTAATGTCAGTACCTGAAACTCCACCTGACGGACGATAGCATTGTCCCTTCGGAGTACGGAAGACTAGTCGGCGGTCTAGTCCTGGTCTTAGATCTTGAAAGACCGGCCTAAATGTGCAAGATGACGAAGCAGACGGCTAATCCAACCAAACGCCTTTGATCATTGGTGATCGGAGGCAATTCGATCTCTCATTCCTCTCGCAGCCACAGCCGGGCTGCCTCTATTCTGTCAACAAAGACAAAGTCAAGGGGGGGGGGTCAGCCAAACGGGGGAACCTGAGGATCTATCTATCTACCTAGATCACCATTTACTGCTGATCCCACGGATTTAGTGGCCGGCATTCCCGCACGCTGCAGTTAGTGAGGCAGAAGGAATGGCTATATGGTGGGCAAAAAGACCTATCCGCTGCGAGGCGCTCTAGCGCCTTATCAGCCATCGGATCAGGAGACGTTGGAGAGAAATCTGCTTCTAGATTTTCTATCGTCAGGAAAGAAGGAGGAAGGAAAAGCGCATAGAGTTTGATTACATGATCCCGCCGTTCACTCCTTGGACTGTTCCATGGGACTCGGTCCCATGCACCGGTCTTTGTTTGATTGGCGTTGTCAGGTCCGTGGTCCTCCAATTTGTCGAGCAACGGAGCAAGGAAGAATTCGTTGACGGCGCCCTCCCTCGTTGAGATTTCCCTTGTTTGCCGTCCGAGCGACAATGCCGGTGATGGGCCCGGTGATCCTGGCAAGCGCTAGATAAGTATCCTCGATGGCGGTGCTCTCTACCTAGGCAGATACTATACTATGTATATGTATCTATGCTTATGCTTATCCTCCCATCCCTGTACCTTACGTATTAGCGGCGTACCATGTGTGGTTTACATACCCAATACAGTAAGATATCCTCCGATGCTTGATCCCCATAAGGCATCATCAAATCGTAACGGAACCCAGCGAGGAACATCCATCCGATGGAACGGATGGCCATCATGACATGCTGATTCGCTGTGATGTGCTCCTACTGAGGGCATACGACTATATTGCAGGGAGGCCTACATTGCGAATTATTTCATAAAAATGAAGAGCGTACGGGGCTGGGATGCGACATACCTACTTAGATCTATCCATCCGGTGATCTTCCAGAAAAGGAGATAGCAGTCGTGCTGGTCTCGAAATTTGACTCCTCTCATGGAACCACGGATGAAGTATCCGGCCTGAAGCGAGTGGATGTTTTCCATCCGTTCGACAGTGTCATTGTAGGAGCAAGGGAGGAGGAAAGGGGTCATATTGCCCTGCTCTGTCGGTGTGTCGGAATAACTACATCGAGCCAGTACGACGACCGAGCACGCTTAGAGGTGTAGGTGAGTGGTACATGGTACATCAACAGTACCTATTGTGACACCTGGGTGGGTTATATTATTGGCTTGGGGTTTGCAGGCGAGGTACTACGGTATTCCTGGGGAGGAAAGGATGTGGGCTTTATCGGCCTATCCAGAACCAGCAAATGTGCTGCTGGTGGACGATTAATCTTACAAGAAGCGCCATTTTCCCTTGCCAAGCCAGTATACATTCCATCGAGTTTAGTCGATCTGCAGGTCGATTGAAGGATTTGCTAGATCTTGACAAGCGCGATAACCTCGTTGATCATATAGGTACCCTTAGGCTTAGAGGCTGTATTGGTGACTCGATTGAATTAAGTCCTTTCGCATGAACAAACGAGCACGGCGTAGAATCCATTGGGACTGGCAGCTATGGTTTGTATCGTGCATCTGTCAATATCCCGTTCGCATGTCACCGCCTGCAACAAGAATCATGACGTACTTGATTCGCTCCACTAGGGCCCAGTCCTCGAGTGGTCGTGGAAGAGTCTAATTTAGTTTGGAGTGCTCCGTGGGTACTCATGCTTAGTACTGTGTAGTATGGCGAGTCGTGTTGCGCTCTAAGTGAACGAGCTCGTCTGCTTTTCACCAAGCTCTAATTTCATCACTGCGATGTATGTATTGCTCATTCAGATACATAGAGTCAACCTCCTTCAGTCGGAAGAAGGGCCTTTTACAATCACACCGCTTATTTCCCAACTGTGGTCAATTAGCCGTCCTTGCAGTCCGAATTAAAAGTACTTACCAGCGATGCGCACGGTATGATCATACGGAGCAATCGGCAGTTTCATGCAGCACCATCTTCGCCCTCTGGGGGTTCTTCCCCTTTCCAGGGCACCGGGACTTGAATCAGGTACCAACAGGAGGCAGTCATGTCGGCATGCTTTACATGCTTGCCAGGGGCTGTCCTCACTCAGCTACTAGCCTGTCGCAAAACTCCCCCAGACTCCGCAGGACGAGAGGCTGACGCGGTGGGGACGCAATTATTTGCGATTGATTGTCCTGAGCCGGGAATGCTGGAGGTGGTGCTAGAGCCTAGCGGCGGCCTTTCTAGACCACCGTCGTTCCAAGGATCTGGCTCCTCTCCCCATCCATGTCCGTGCGAGCACCATGGCTACGATAGTTAACCACAACCTCATTATGATTTCTATTCTTATCCGCGGTGTCTTCAGGGACAAGGGATCGACAAGTCATTCGGAATTCAGCTGATTGGGCAATGTTCCGCTTCCAGCCACAGTCACATCCGCAATCCGGATCCGACGTCCACGTCCAGAATTAGGAATCCGTGTCGCTTTCACCTATCGACTGAAAGACGAGGCATGGGGAGGGAAGTGGGGGCAGAGCTGAAAACAAGCAGATGATGGATGCTGTCTTTCCTCTCAGGCTCACAGGAAGGACCGGGTGTTTTTACTCGCCCCTGCTCAAATCGATCTGCCCGGCCGCAAGAATCTCATCAATCAATTCAATATGAACCACTCAGGCGTGAGTGGTCACCCGGCGGCCCGCCGGATGTCGCCTTCTTGCATCCGCATCCCTTTGACAGACACGCCAGAGTCGCTTCTCCCGTCTGCAATGTAGGTGGTCTAAGGTTTACACATCTTACGGCCGAATAGACATCAACTTGTTGGATTGCCGGTTTCTGCGCATGAGGTCATAAAAAAAAATCTTTCCGTGTACGGAGTACTACCAAGCAGATAGCGGCAAAGATCGGCGGTCGCTTAAAGTAGACGGTCCCTTCGAGAAGCGAGATTACGGATCCGATGACGCTACTGGGTCATTGTGATGTTTGGCAGCCCATCTGGAGCCAGAGGTTTGCTTGCAGTCCGGTTCTCAGAACGGTTTTCTGTCAGAATTTGCGCGCCACAAATCCAGGGAATTTGATAGTCGCCTGTTGCCACCTTGCCCGTAGGATCTGCGTCCTTGGGACCATCTAGTTTCGGGAGGAGCTTCACTCTGAAAGTCTGAACGGCCCTGCGAAATTCCTAGCTTCGTATAGCTCGACGACACACGCTGGCGCCTCCGAGGCTAAATAGAGTTCAGCTTCAAACAATCGCAACTCTATTGCCCTGCGAGGTTTCCCACTGAGGAAGTAGGAACGTCTCCTATCGGGTTGCAACTGGAAGTTCGATTATTGACCGTTAGTGCTGCGACCTCGGGATTTGCGTCGACGAGTGGAGAATTGTTTCACTCCTAAACACCATGCCCCATGTTCTTCGATCGCTTTCGATTCAGCTTCCCTAGATGGTCCAATGAAGGTTAGTATGTGTGCAAACTGGCCAGGCAACCAAACAGTTGGTTCTTCAATGATCCTGCCTGCGAAAAAAAAAAATAAAATAAAATAAACAAAACAAACAGAAAGAAATGACCGACCGGACGAGTTGGGGATTGGTATCTAATGGAAGAAAGAAAAGAAAAGAAGAGAAGAGAGGGAGAGGGGGTTGGTTGCTAAATGCTAACTTGCTCCCGTGAACCCCTTCAGTACTGTAATCCTCGCCGGGCGGTCGCGTTGCCGGAGCGCGTCCCCCAGGCGCGTTTCCCTTTTGGGACATATCAACACTACGCCAGCGCCAAGGACTAAATACTCTGTACGCCGTAACCATGTAATGATCAGACCACCACCTACTATTGTTCGAAGCTGCAGTTCTCTTCAAATCGGCGATGTGACCCTGGTTTGATCCCTCAGGTCTTCTGCCACCCTCCTCCCCCAATGGGTAAGAAGAGGAAGAGGCCCGTCAAGGGTGACCGTGCGTCGAACAAGTCGTCTCAGGCAGACCTTGCTACAGCATCCACTTGTTTCAAGAATAAGAGCAGCCTCGGTCGTGCTCATGCGGAAGAACACGCTCATCCTGTCATCTCCTTGTACTATCCCCAAGTGGTGACACTGAGACAATACCTCTTACGACAAATACCCCTATCCTCCAGGTCTCGCCGTCGAAGAATTGTGTCAATACGGGATGACCAGCCTCCTGTCAGGATAAGCAACGATGGTCACTCAGGGGCACAGCTTGCCAAGCTCCTTGATACAACCCTGGTGGGGATATTGACGGAGTCGCCTCCCACGTGCAACGAGGAGCGACGGCAAGAGCTAGCTGCATTTACGCAGTCGCAGTCCAGGTCTGAACTCATCAGCACGGACACCGGACCACCATGTGCTCAGGCAGAGGTATGTTATACACCCTCCCGAATCTGCACATGAGAGTAGCAGCTATGTCTACTTTGCTTCACTTTCTCCTCACTTCTGTTTCATGAGATCCATTAGTATAGAAAAACGCCCGAGTTTCGCCTTATCTTGCCACAAGGCTGACAGTACACTATAGATTGTCGATTTCGTCATATCGTCTCTCTTTAATCGCAACCGCTTTTCTCGTCAGCAACCGCGTCATCTTTTGGCCAGGGGCTTTAGAAGGGCGAGCGCGGCTCATGTCCCATGTGAGAACAGCACAATTACATGCAGCATTCCGGGCCTTGTGGCACAGTTTCCAAATGGCAATGTCCAGATTCTTAAGCAGGCGCCATGGACTGATGTGCTTGGCTTGTTGGGGATTAACGGAGAAGAGATACTGATGAGGCTCCTGTTTGATTGTGGAATATTCACAGCCGTTGATCAACAAAGAGGCATCTACTTCCAACTTAGCGGTAGGCTCTTCCACTACTAAGCAAGTATAGTATACAGGCTGAGGCTTTGTTCTAGGGCTCCCTCTTTCAACACTCGAGCCTGTTAATAAGGCGCAACAAAGTGATTTGGCGCCCAAGAATACATTCCCCCCTGTCCCAAACGAGTCCGTGCCAGCTCCAGATATCAAAAGAAAGGCCAAGAGCGATCATGTGCGGGCACTAGCCCCCATCGTTTTCTTTCGTCGACGTATTCTCTATGCTTCCCCAAGTCTCGATTCAAGAGGAAAGATCCAGTTTGGAATGAATAACCGTACGTATAGTGATATAATGAGTAATACTTGTGTTGACTTGAGCAGATGTTCTGAACCGGTTTCCCTCTTCCAAATCTCTGGCTCATACTGTACATATTTTGAAATATGTCTTTCCAAAACAGTTCGGCTTGCATAATATCTTCTCGAGCTTGTCATGTGGCCAAGACATGCAATCCTGCAAAGACTACGCATCTCGTGAGGAGGAAATTGCGAATGCTGAGAAGCAAAGACAAGCCCGTTCAAAACGTATCCAAGCGGGCGAATGCGGTTCCTTGATAAAAATTCCAAAAAGACTTCAAGGCCAGACCATAGAACTGGGGCAACAGTTGCAGAACCGAAATAAACACTGCTCATATCCGCATCTACTCAACTATTACTGTCCATCAGAGGTATGCTGCTCGATGCACTCTTAAGAACACAAGTTGATGTTCACTTTGCAGTGCATTGGCCCGTGGAAACTCAGTCCTGACCCCCCTCGGGGAGATCCAAAATCGTCAGCATCAGAATCTCTGATCACTCAACCACGACTGTCCTGGCAGCAGTCCGGCTTGGGCTCAAGTAAAGAACCCTTGGCGTCCTCAGATACCTTGGTGGTCCCCGTTATTCAAAAGCCAAAGCTCAGCTTGACGGATTATGCAACGCCAGTCTCATCTGTGTCAGCCTTCTGTAGAGCAGTGTTACGGAACCTGATTCCTCCTCAATTCTACGGAACTGGCCCAAACAGGATTCGGCATCAGAACATCGTCCTCAAGCACGTCGACCAGTTCGTACGTATGCGGCGTTTTGAGAGTCTGAGCCTTCATGAAGTGTGCAAGGGTATCAAGGTTCGTTGGCAGCGTCCTTTTGCTTTCTGCTGTGTCTGACAAGCTATGTCTGCAGGTAACTTGTATACCTTGGCTTGAGCCCTCAGCTAGTCCTAACTCAGGATTCAACCCTTCGTTACATAAGCTATCGCGGTCCGACTTGGACAAGCGCAAAGAGCTGCTCCACGAGTTCATATACTACGTATTTGATTCGATTCTGATACCCCTCATCCGTACGAACTTCTACGTCACTGAGTCCCAGTCCCATCGAAACCGCCTATTCTACTTCCGGCATGATGTCTGGCGTCGCCTGACCGAGGGACCGATGACTGAACTCAAGACTTCCATATTTGAAGAGTTAGAGCCAGCTGCGTTCCAACGTGTGTTAAGTGAGAGGCATCTGGGGTATGGATCTTTGCGACTTCTACCTAAAGCGACAGGTATCCGACCTCTGTTGAATCTCAAACGACGATCTGTAGGACCTGGTCGTGGGAAGACGAGCAAGTTCTGGGGGTTCAGCGTCAATTCCATGCTTGCCCCTATCCACAGCATGCTTAACTATGAGAAAGCGCGAGCATCATCCAAACTAGGCTCATGTCTGACCTCAGTCGGAGAGATCCAGTCTCGACTGAAAACCTTCAAGGAACTCCTGTCGCGGGAACAGGCCCCGATGCCTGCATTGTATTTTGTCAAGCTCGATATCCAATCCTGCTTTGACACGATCCCTCAGCAAAGCCTAGTCCAGCTCATAGAGAGACTGACCACCGAAGCGGCCTACCACTATTCCAAACATGTCGAGATGATGCCGCTTGATGAATTCCACGGCCTGTGGCCATTGCAAGACCGGCCCAGCAAGGCTAGGCGGCGATTCGTTGGCAGAGCATCCCCTGCAGCAAGGCCACAGCACTTAGTGGACGCGATTACCAATGGCGAGACTAGTCAGAGGAGAAACACTGTCTTCATGAATACTTTAATGCAGGATGAGTTGAAAGCGGAGGATTTACTGGACCTGCTTCATGAGCACGTGCGAGACAACCTGATCAAGTTCGGCAGGACTTACTTTCGGCAACGCAATGGCATTCCTCAAGGGTCGGTTCTCTCGAGCATGTTGTGCAATCTCTTCTATGCGGACATGGAGCGGCAGGTTCTGGGATTCCTACAGTCAGACCAAGCTTTACTGCTTCGGTTGGTCGATGACTTCCTGCTCATCACCCCCGATTCGGCACTGGCCATGCGCTTTCTACGGGTGATGGTCAAGGGGCAGCCTGCATATGGGGTTTCAGTCAACCCAGCCAAAAGCCTGGTCAACTTCGCGGCTGCCGTGGAAGGAACTCAGATCCCGCGCCTTGTGGATACTCGGCTGTTCCCTTACTGCGGAAGTCTGATCGATACCCGTTCTTTGGAGATCTACAAGGATCATGAACGCATACTCGAAGGGGGACACTCGGCCGCTACTAGTTTATCCAACTCGCTCACCATTGAGCTGACCCGCTCACCAGGCCGGACTTTTCACCGCAAATTGCTTGGATGGTTCAAGTTGCTCATGCATCCCATGTATCTGGACACCAGACACAACACGATCGGTGTGGTGCTGTCAAACTTGTATGCGAATTTCATCACTGCAGGCATGAAGATGTACCGGTACTTGAAGTCACTCTCTGGCCAAGCACACCCCACGCCAGAGCTTGTGATCCGGCTCGTTCGAGACATGATGCAGCTCGCCACTAGGATGGTCCAAGCCAAGCATGGCGCGAAGCCACCGGCAGCGACGCCGGTTTCTCTTCGCGTGGTGCATCAGAGCGAGGTGGAGTTCTTGGCTGCAACGGCATTTCGATTTGTACTTGGTCGCAAGCAAACCCGGTATACACGGGAGTTGCGCTGGTTGGATATCATTGTGAGAGAGGCCCAGCCCAAGTGCAAGACACAGGCCTGCCACCTCGCACAGGTAGTGCGGGCCGGGAACTCGACGTATGGCGGCTGGAAGTTCTAGGGAGATTGGAGACGTTCGAGACCGAGGCAGCCCCTTGCTGGCTACGGATTGGCTGGGAAGACTCTGTACGGAAGAAGTGGTTACGAATGAGAATCAAGCCAGCATATTCTGTACAGGAAGAGATCAAGTATATGCACGAGGAGCAGCCCCCCAGGGCTGTAGTCAGCAAGAACTGGGTCGAGTGATGTAATTGGGTGGTGCGGCGGCCTTGGAATGGGCATGACGACAGAATTACGGTCCAGGAACAGGCGATCGAACCTTGATCAGGGCTGTCCGCGATCTACTCAAGTTCAAGCCCCATGCTGCACAAACCACCGTACCACACAGGGTTGGTGGAATGCGGAAGAAAAAAAACAAACTTTGCTGTAGCCAATTGATCCCAGTGCTGCGTAGTGTGTAGAGTGTGAAGCCCAGTGTGTACCTCGATAAACCGGTTCCGAGCGATTAGTTAGTGGGGTGAGGGGGGCTGCGATCGGGCACTTACCGTTACCGTAATGTGATGATTATTAGTGACGGCGTAGTCCTACTCCTCCGGTACTAGTAGGTGGTATCCGGCTGGACCACGGTATCGGCGGGCTCTATATGGACCATAAAATCACTTACCAGGACCATAAACTATACCTAATCAGACTTAGTGGCTCGATTAACCCGCCACTATACCCAAATAGAAGAGGCTAAATCATGTGATCGTATTTTTTTGGTCAGACAGATGTAAGGGCTGCCCCCTGCTGCCGGCCTGCGGCCCTCTGATCCCTATGTATTTAATTACTGATATCACCTCGCGTAAAACAACACTGAATTCAATACTTGATTACATTTCTTATACTGCTAAAATGGCTGTTTTTATTGATTAGAGTGCTCGATTGGCCAGAGATATCTGATAATGATTAGTCAGAATATAGAGGCAGGCAGGTAGGGGGGGTCAGGTCGGCTGGGATCGCGAGCCCTTGATGGCTTGCAGGCTCGCCGGCCTCGCCGGAGGCTGAATCGTTGAAAAACACGATAAATTTGAAACAGCATCTATTTCCTCTTTAGGCGTAGCCGTAAGACCGCGGAAGCTAGAATTAATTAGGTATAGTTTATGGTCCTGGTAAGTGATTTTATGGTCCATATAGAGCCTGCCCACGGTATCTACTAGATATGTAGGATTTAGCAGGGCACTCCTCCCGGGGTCCCACGGCTCCTTGGCCGGCAGAACAAAGATGGTGGTCTGCACATACCACGGATCTGGTGGCCATGGACGACGGGACATTGGATCAGGGGAGACAGGCAGGGGGAGTTACTAAAAAAGGGGGCGGCGAATACTTGGGCTTCTGGTTGCCCATCAACGGGAACATGTCAACAATGGGGGGAGAGGTACAACTTCTTAATCTTTTATCCTCCTGGGCGCCTACTTAGGTAGATAGTACTATGTAGCTAGTCAGTTTGCTAGTCTGTAGAAGGAGAATTAGTCGCTGCCTTAATTACGGCTGTGGCGGTGCGGGTTTCCTTTCGGTTTCCAATTCCCATACTTTCCAATTTCCATACGGCGGGTGGACTCCACCCGAAGAATAATGGATTAATTTCAGCTGGCGCTATTCTGTATTGTTGCGCTGTCGAGGAGGGAATCCTTTCTGGAGAGTAGCCAATGATGGCCGGCCCGACAGCGAGGCCCTCCGCGGTGCTAACCGGGCTGAGAGTAGCTGGGAGAGTGGGATTGGCCCGCCAGGTCCAGAACTGCTGCCGCGACGAGAGCAGCAGGCCAGCAGCTGCGTCGCCTGAGGCTCGCGGCGGTCCACCGGCGGGTTCTTTCGTTCTTTCGCGCTTTCGTTTGCAGCTTCAGGCCGGGTCTGGTCTGGTCTGATTGCATCCGGCCGTCGTTAGTTTCATCTCCATCTCATCTCATCCCATTTCCACTTCCCCATCTCCATCCCCCTTCTCCTTCTCTCATTCTTCTTCTACCCGTTGACATCCTCACTCTCGTTATCCCACATTCCAGTCTTTCGCTCCAGTCGATCGTTTCGTTCTCTTACTCTCTCATCTTGTTGTCTGCTCTGTCGGACTTCGTTTCATCATCTCCATCCCCTTCCCCCTTCGGCTCCGGCCCCCAATGCACTGTTCGCTGCACGATTGACTCCTGATCCCCTTGTGAGAAAATAAAAAATAAAAAAAGAAACCCTCCGATTATCCCAGGACCGCCACCTGTTCTGCCTTTCCAAGTGCATGCGATTTCCTGCTGGGTTTCGTCACACCTATTAATATAATAATACTACTACTACGGCCTTGGGAGATTGTCCCACCCCCCCCCCCGTCTTTCGTTCCTGATAACGGCTTCCTTTGTCACCACCACCCGCGACGCGATCGGACATTCTGCGCCGTCTTTCCCATTCCCCTGGTATTCGCAGCCCCTAGAGGTGCTTCCCTCACCGTGATCTGGGAAGAGCCTTGAACTTGCAGGTCTCCCCGCGATGACAACTGTTTTACCAACTCCGAACTCCCCTCCCGACCTATCCGGGTCTAAATCCTCCAAGTCCTCCTCCTTCCGTTCCTCGTCTCAGCACTCCGGCCCCGAGGCCATCTTCACCGATATCGCCAACTTCGAAGAGGTGGATCTCCAGGATGAGGTGCATGTGTCCTACGTGAAGGGTGCGACCCCGTACATCCGAAATGGCGGGATCACACGGGCTTCCGCGGCTATCATGCAGACCAAGTCTGCGGTTGCGACCACCCGCGATCTGACAGCCACGAAGACGAGGGCTTCGATGCCGAAGCAGGTCAATGGGACCTTGGCCCAGCCGGGACGCGGTGGCCCCAAGCACCGCACCGGCAACAAGCGGGATCCTGCCCCGACCAAGCAAGCTGCCCTTCAAGTGATGAAGGCTCCTCGTTCGCGATCTACCTCTCCACTGCGACCACCCTCGAGTTTGGGCACCTCGCCATCAACCCATAGCCTGTCGCTGACCCCAGTCAATACCCAGACGCTCAACCGCAAACCCTCCTGGCAGCGGCCTCGCAAAACCGTCCAAGACTTGGAGGATGAATACCACGACTCCGATGAGGAGTTGCCCGAGGATGCCAGTCTCTGGAATGTCCCCATCTCCCCACGGCCGGTTCAGGACCGAGCACCATCCCGGGCCCCAAGCCCGAATGGTCGGAGTCCTGGGCCTCGCCCCCTACCCTTGTCGCATTCGGTTTCCGATGCCACCGTCCCCCGGTCGCCCTCCGGTTCCCGATCACCTACCGCCCGGACCAATCGGTCCAGCTCTACCGGACCCGAACGCGGCCAGATCTCGCCCCGCAACCCGCGTGCCTACTCGTACAACAACATGATGTCTGATCTGTCAGAAGAGGCCAAGATCATCACGGAGGCCTTGGAATACCATGCGGATGAGCGCCAGCGCAAACGGGGCGAGCACCTGCAAAGCGGGCTCTCCTCCCTACGATCCAGCGAGGAGTCTAAGCGCGGATCCAAGAGCACCATTGAGCTACCTCCGTTGCAGAAATCCAACATCATGATCGACCCGTTGCCTCCCAGCAAGGAGAAGGAGAAGGTTCTCACGCGGACGCGGCCCAGCTGGCTGCCCCCGAAGGATCAGAAGGAGGAGAAACGGCACTTGAAGGAATACAAGCGCATGATGGCGCAAGCGCGGGAAGCCGGTATGTAGCTTACTCTCATCGTCTGGGCTGAATGGCTGACAACCCGCAGACAAGCGCCGCGCTGCTAAGGCTGCATCCGAGAAATGCGAAAAGGATAATACCCGCGAGACACTCCAGCAGATCTGGGACGAATATGTATACCCTAACTGGGATAATGTTATTAATGAAACCCGCACACGGGAGTTGTGGTGGCGTGGTGTACCTCCTCGGATCCGGGGATCGACCTGGCAGCGGGCTATCGGCAATGAGCTGGCGCTCTCCGAAGAAACGTTCAAGAAGGCCCTGCAACGGGCCAAGGACGTACGGTCCCGGTCCGAAGGCGACTCTGGTGAGAGCAACAAGCGAATGCGGGACTGGTTTGAGGCAATTGATTCGGACGTGTCCACGGCGTTCCCCGAGCTGAACCTCTTCCAGACGGGAGGACCGCTGCGCGATACGTTGATCGAAGTCTTGCAGGCATACTCGATGTACCGGAGCGACGTGGGCTATGTCAGCGGCTTGCATGTAAGTTCTCCTCTCCGGTGTCCATGATCTCATGACTAACGGTGACCCAGACAATCGCCGCCCTCCTCGTCTTGCAATTCCCGTCGCCCTCGTCCGCCTTCCTGGCCATGGCCAATGCGCTCAACCGGGCGCTCCCTGTTGCTTTTCTTACGTTGGACCGCGGGGCAATCGGTCGTACATATACACTGGCGTCTGCGACGCTGAAATACAAATTCCCTCGTCTGCTGACGCATCTGCACGAGACGCTCCGCCTGAGCGACGAAGAGATCTGGGAACCCATGTTCCGGTCCCTCCTGACGAACGGGCTGGACTTGGAGCGCCTCAGCCGGGTCTGGGACTGCTGGGTGTTCGAAGGCGACCGAATTATGATCCGGGCTGCGGTGGCGATCCTGGGATGCCTGCAACTGCAGCTGTTCGGGTACACGAAGCCAGACGACCAGAGTCGGAAGGCCGTGCAGGACATTCTCAGCTGGGGACCCCGACAGGGGGGCACTCGAGTCCAGGAGCGACACAGTGCCCCGGCGGCCTCTACGACTGGATTCGGAGGGGGGCAGATCGCGTTAGGGATGGGCGACTACTGGATGCTCGGCTCGGCGGGGGATGAAGACGGGTTCATGCAGGTGGTGCGGGAGGCGGGCAAGGTGCGGTGAGGTCGAGGATGACAGTATTTCCTTCGTTGCATATATTTACTAGTGGCTCGGTCATGCCGGGTGTTAATGATGGACTGGGCTCCTGTTGGATTGTATGATATATATTTGGTGGTTGGGAAGTTGGGCCAAGCCAGCCCTGTAGTACTTATTGTTAGGGATATAGATAGAGTACCAGTAGTTATATATCACAGCCTGGCTGTTTACTTTTAGCTTTGCTCTAGCTCTGCCAACTGCAGTGATGAATGGGGCCCGGGGGTTCCGCGGGTCGAGGGGCCTCATCTCTCATCTTTGGTCCGGGAAAATCCCTCTCCCCGCCATCCACGGATGAGATTCAGTGATGCGAGTCAGGAGCGGGGTAGATGAAGGAATAAATACCTCAGCGGCAGGGCCATCCCCTTGCAGGTGCATCTGAGATGACAAGTGGACTAGAATTGTATATCCAAAGTTGTACCGAATGTAGTCATCCCGTGTATCTGCGGTGGAAGGAGATGTTTATGTGCAGCCTGACCCTGGATACACTACTTTGAGTCTACCACCAACGTCACCAACAGCATGACCGTCAATGCAGATAGATACTAGCCACGGAGCCAGTGATCCTTCAATGGCCACAAGGGATTTGTCCTTACGTTGAGATGCTGCGCCGATTAATTTGTTCTCTCTTTCTGAGTGATCGACAATTGCCTCATAGATGAGTCCACGGTATATTACATGCCCATTGACCACCATCCCAATTCTATCGCAACCTGTACAGAATACAGGTAGAGATACTCGGCATGCCCTGTCTTAAGCTCCCACTACTTCCCGCTGGCACCACCACCACCACCACAACCACCAAGAAGAGCGTCTCTCCGACCGAGTATCCGAACACAGCCCTCTTCTCCCTCAACCCCAACCCCAACATCACCAACCAGAACCACAACCCCAAAACCAACCTCAATCCCTCAAAGCCAAATACGGCACCTGCACCTCCATCCTCCACTACGGCACCTCCAGCTCCATCCGTCTCTACACCACCACCACCACCTCCTCCTCCTCCTCCTCCTCCCCAGCCCGCACCCTCCACGTCGTCAAAACCCTCCGTCCAACCACCTCCACCACATCCACCAGCAGAAGAACCACCAGTGATAACACCCAACAAACCCTCAAAAACACCCTCGAATCCCTCCTCTCTTCCACCCTCACCCACCCTCACCTCCTCCACACAATCGACATCCTCCCCAACTCCCAACTCGAGACATGTCTCGTGAGCGAGTACTGCTCCCTGGGAGATTTGGGGATGTATATTTCCTCGACCACCCCATCCTCCTCTTCCCTTTCCTCCTCCCCAGAAGTTAGAGGTAGAGGTAAGAATGGAATAAAAAGAGGATTAGAGATCACCGAAGCAAACACCATCTTCTCCCAGCTTATGAGTGCGATTGAGTATCTTCATGCGTTGGGGATAGGACATGGGGATGTTTGTGTGGAGAATATATTCCTTACTTATGATCATCATCACCATTCCACCTCTGATGAAAGAGAAGGAAGGAGGATATGTGTCAAGTTGGGGGATTTGGGGAGTGCGGTTATTCTAAACCACCACCACCACCACCATCACCACCAATCTTCGTATTCAGCTCATTCTCGTTTCCCAGGTGACAAGAAATGGAAAGAAAAAGATGTCTATGCCCTCTGTCTGGGGTTATCCCTGGGGGTGGAGGAATTCGATGACCTGTCATTATCATCATCATCATCCCCTTCGTCGTCAGGGAATATCAGGTCAAGAAGGAGACGAGGACCTTACGCATCCCCTGAGATACTTTCTCCTGTTGAACATCAACATCAACATGAAGATAAAGAGAAGGAACTCGACCCCCGAGCAGCAGATATCTGGGCCGCGGGGATCGTGTACCTAGTTATGCGAATGGGCCGGATTCTGTGGCGAAATGCAGTCGAGGACGAGGATGGACGATATGCCGAGTATTTGAGGGGGCGGAGGAGTTGTGAGGGGTATGAGGGGATTGAGGGGTTGGGAAGTGTAAGTCTTTTCTTTCTTTCTTTCTGTGATGACTGGGTGTGTGGGAATCAGATGCTAACAGGATCACCTACTAGACACAATGTCACAATGTGATCTACGCCATGCTGGACCCTGGTCCGCGGAGAAGAATTCGGGCCGGGGAAGTGACTCGCTCGGAGTGGTTGTTTGGATACCTCAATCATATATAACTATCACCAACAACAACAACAATAGTATTACCCACAACAAGAAGAATCAAACAGTCCCCGCCCTCAACACATACCCCCCATCCACAACCACCGTCTGCCCATTCAAATACTGATTCGTAACCGCAAACAACACCGCACTAGCCATATCCTCATCCTTACCCGGTCGATCAGCCGGCACTTTACCCTCATATTTACTCTTCTCCAAACTACTCTTCTGCCCCTCATCACTCTCCCCCGCCGTCATCTCACTCGGAAACACCCCAGGAGCAATATTATTCACGCGAATCCTCAATCCACTCTCCGCCACCTCATGCGCCAACATCTTCGTCAAATGAATCGCCGCCGCCTTGCTCGCATTATACGCGAAATGATGCTGCGACACCTTCACGATCCCCGAGATCGACGTAATATTCAACACGGTGCCACTCCACCCCTTTTCCTTCTCCGCGGCCTTTTGCAATAAGGGCAAAAACGCAGTGGTAGTGAAATAAAACTGCATGACGTTCGTGCGGTACGTGTCTTCCCATTCGCTAAACGGCGTGGCGTCGTCGAAGAGCGTTGACTTTAATTCCGAGGCTGAGTTGGGCGACGTGTCGTCTGTCGAGGAGGAGATGCCTGCGTTGTTGATGAGGATGTCCAGGTGGGCTTCGCGGGACGAAAGGTCCGTGACAAGCTTGCTGATGGATTCTTTCGACGTGATGTCGGATACTAGGGGGATGATTTCGCCGGGGATGTTGCGCGAGTACAGAGATGCTACTTGCGTGAGTTTTTCTTCGGTTCGTCCGGTGATGTATACTTTGGCGCCGTTGGTGGCGAGTGCTTGCGTCGCCATTAGGCCGATGCCGGAGCCGCCGCCGGTTATGAGGGCCACTGGTGGGTTTGGTTGTTAGTTGGGAGGTTTGGGATATGGTGTGTGGTGGTGTTGGTGGGGGAGAAGACATGGGGGAGGGAGTGAGGGTATGGGTAGGTAGGTAGGTACCTTTGCCCTTGACGTTGAAGAGATTCTCCAACTTGAAGTTGGCGTTGCTTTCGGATGCCATTTTGGTTTGCTTTTTCTTTGATGTAGGTTGGAATTGAGGTTGGCTTGTAGAGAATTGGACGGTCGAGATGCCGAGAAACGGTTTATATACAATTGGACGGTAGTGAAGATGGGTGGGACGTGGTAATGCTGGGATGAGTCGGCGTAACATGATGGTTGCAGCTTTATTTATGGATCGAACCCAGTTTATATGGTGCCATTGAGGTTGTGTTTGTGGTGATGCTGGGACGCCATCAGTATGACGTGGGTCAAGGGTCCGATGGGTATGAAGTAATAGTGACAGCCCATGTTGCATGGTAGTCTGACTCAGTCAATTGAGTTTGATATACGATGTACGGTGTTATTGTCGAATAGTTAGAATTGTTTTCGTGCTAAGGTATATGATATATGGTATATGGTATCCTACACTACTTCACAGCTTGGCCTTGTTAATTTCCTCCACAGGCACCACCTCAACCATCATCTTGCCCGTGTTCACTCCATTGTACAGATTCACCAGGCTCTGCGGCGCCGACTCCAGTCCCCCCTTGACAATATGTTCCTTGCGCTGGAGCTTACCCTCCGTCAACCACTTCCCCAATTCCCTCAATGCCTCGGGATACTGCTTCGCGTAGTCGAACACGATATAACCCTGCATCTTGACTCGTTGCGACTATACCTCATCAGTACTGATTCCTCCCAGACGAGGGGAACAAGGATGCTTACAATCACCTGCATGATGTTGGACGGCCCCCGGGGCTTCGCCACGTTGTACTGGCTGATGGCACCACAGATCACAAACCGAGCAAACTGCGCTGCTCGCCCCAAGCACGCATCCAGAATCTCGCCTCCCACGTTGTCGAAAAACACATCAATATACTCCGGAGTCGCCTCCTTGAGCTGCTTCATCCAGTCCTTGTCCTTGTAGTTGATAGCCACGTCGAATCCCAATTCCTTGCGCAGGAACTCGCACTTGTCGGCACTGCCGGCAATGCCAATGACCCGCTTTGCACCCTGGATCTTCGCGATCTGTCCGGCCACCATGCCCGTGGCGCCAGCAGCCCCCGACACTACCACCGTATCGCCCGGCTTCGGCTTGCCGACGTCCATCATGCCAAAGTACGCAGTCAACCCCGTCATGCCCAGCACCGACATTGCGTCCGTGGGCTTGCAACCCGGCGGCACGGAAATCTTCTGTGCCTCCTTAGCTCCCAAGACGGCATATTCTTGCCAGCCAGAGGAGGCAACCACCCAGTCACCGACCTGGTATTGCGATCTCAGGCTGCTGCCGACGCCGACAACCTGGGCGATGCTCTGTCCGCGCATGACGCTGCCACGCTCGACGGGTGCAATGTAGGACCGTTTGGCCGTCAGCCACTGCCGCATGGCGGGCTCCAGCGCCAGATAGTGTATCCGGACAAGGACCTTGTCGGCGGGCACATCGTCGGAGAGAGTGGTGCTGTTGAGCTTGAAGGTGCCGCTAGTGAGAGATGGATCGATGGCCGCGGTAGGCGCATTAACGTAGAGGAGCTGTCTGTTCGTGATGGTCATTTTGTCGATGAATAGGGGATACAGATCAAGCCGGGGGGGTAGTACAACCAAAAGAGGGGATGGGGAGAAGTTGCATGTTTTGGAGTGACCCTGAGCAATCCACCAACCAACCAACCAACCAACCTCGGCTCACCCGCAAGCGAACTAGGCCTTCACTCTGTTTGTAGTAACTCCTCCGGCCCTCCCGTCTTTGAGTCCTTAGTTGTGTTGGTTCTCCCGAGGCATTTGTTGATTAGTCGGGTCTGGGTATTCCCCCAGACATCGGCATTATTCTCCTCAGCATAAGCGGCATCCACCGTGCATATTCAGATGGTGCTGATGGTGTTTTGTCATGGTCGATGTCTGTCCATGACATCATCACTCCTCCTTATCGATAAGCATCCCACGTGACTCTCTACACCATAACGAAGCAGCCATCAAGCTTCAAGGTCAGCATGTTCATTCCAGGCTCATGCATGGCTTTCATTCTCACTGGTGTCCCACAAAGTTTCACGCGAGGTGTAGGAGCTGCCAATGGCAGTGATGATCGCAGAGCATGTTGCGCTCAGCCTGACGTCACCACCCGGACGATGATGTCGAAGGCACCAAACCGTCACTCTCGCCCCCGTATACACAGTAGATAGATATAAGATCGAGTCGCGGTGGACCCGATCCCACAATATAACCTCAGATCCAAACATCATTGACCTTTAAATACCACAGTAGCCATATCATCACCATGAGCAGTACGCAGCCTCCCTACTACACCTCCACCTTCGGTGAGCCCAACCAGAACCCCAGCGCAACCACCGCGACCGGGACTCAGGTTGGCGGCATCACCAGCACCGGCCAGGCAAATACTGGTCCTGCGCGCACCACTGCTGGACCGCATCAGTCCGATCTAGCCAACAAGGCCGACCCCCGCGTGGACAGTGATCTGAACAACCGCGCCCAGTACGCCCCCGGCACCACCGCTACCGGAAACGTGCACCCCCAGGCCACCCAGGGCGTGTCCAATCCCCAGAGCTCGACCGCGGGCCCTCACAAGTCCTCTCTGCTGAACAAGCTCGACCCCCGTGTCAACAGCAAGACAGGCGAGATGTCTTCCAAGTCAACCAACCAGGCCGGCACCGGAGCCATGCGGGAGCCGACCGATACAACCGGCGGAGCCGCTTATCAACAACCAAGCTCGACCACCGCCGCCGGCTACAACAACACCCCGGTTTCCGGATCACAAACCACCAGCGGAGTGGGATATCAGCCCGCGCAGTCATCCGGTAGCACTTACGGGAATCAAGGGACCGGCTCTAAGTCGGCCCAAACAGGGGAGGAAGTCGGCCGCGGGGTGAAGTCGGCTGCGGCGGGGATTCACGTAAGTGCAAGCAGTCTACGGAATAGCTCCTGATCCGTAGCGGCCGCGGGCTATCCGGCACTAACGGACGGCTGATGCTGACCTGAAACAGGGAGCGGGGGAGTCGCTGCGAGGCGGACTGACTGCGGCAGTCGACAAGGCCTTTGGGCACGAGGAAGGGGCTGCCAAAAACGCGGCGATTGCTCAAGGGGGGGAACAGGAGATTCAGTCGGGGAACTTTAGAACGCAGCGGTGATTTGAACCCGTGTGGGGGGGACCCCAGCCTGTTTTGCATTTTACGAGTACGAGACACGTTTGTAATGGATTAGTTTGCTTTCTGAAGAGGTGTATCTAGCATGACGCGGAATCAATCGTCTGTCGGAGAGGTAGCTTGACTGCTAGGTAAGAGCTAAGACTGCTAGACACGGCTCTAAATTAGCACGTAGCCAAAGACGCGGTTCAGTGGACGGATGCTAGGTAGTGGGACAGACATGCGGAGACCATGGTAGCCATCATATCAAACCAGGAATCGTGATCGGAATTGATTTGACCTGCTAGCTAGATCGGATATTCATTAGCGAATATACTATGGTACAACCGTACAAGTGAACAAGTGAACAAGTGAAATATCGAAGTGGAAAGCGAAACGGCGAGGCTCCGCGGGGCGTCAGCTGATTGGCCATCAGGTGACAAAGAGGGGCTCTTAGTTGGTTTTTTCCCGCCGGCTTCGCTTTGCTTTGCTTTGCTTTGCTTTGCTTTGCTTTCGTCCTTCTCTTCGCTCATTCGTTTGGCTGCTTCGGCTGTCCACCACCCGATGCAAGGCACTATGACGATATGCTCGATCATGATGTGGTGGTTATGCCATGGCCTTTTCCCATGATCTCATCCCCTTGAGCATCGAAGATACAGCCACGGAGAGAACCCGTGAACCGTGTGTGGTTGTCGCTTCACGGATGCTCTCCGATTCCTCTCCACAGTCCATTCTTTGTTCCCTCGCAAACACCCACCCACTACCTAAGCCTTCGGATCTGAATCATCCAGGATCAGGATGCAGGCTCAGCCCAAGCTGACCTCAGCTCCGAAACAGCCAATCCTCCTGGTGATCGCGGATCCCCCCCAGCCACTGACTTAACCTCCAGCCAAGCATCCCACTAACGCTCAGCTACGTTGGACTATCCGGCACTATCCATGGTCGGCACCCAAGAATAGCCCGCTGTGCGAGACAGCCTGCCCTCGTTGCCGGCATTGCAAATCAAGAAGAATCGTCGCGACTGACAGGAAGCTTCTTCCGGAACGCCCGGAGGCTGTGCGGTGGAACCGCGTTTGACTTTTTGGGCCTCTTGCGTTCCCCTGCTCGTCTCTCCTGATTATTTCTGTTGCTTTTTCCTCCTCCGATTGTACCTGTCGACTGCCCCTCGCCCATATCCATTATTATTATTTATCTTTCGTGCTTCGTCCCCATCCTGGTGGTGGTTCCCTGCACTTGATTTGCTGATCGTGTCCAGCACACTCCAGTCTGGCCCCAATGGAGCCCCTCTAAAGAGCTAACGCGAATACGAATGCTCCGATGCTCCATCGCAGACACATTCGAACCGTTAGTTTAGTGCCTGCTCCATAATCCATCAATCCACTCTGGCATGTGATGGATCCTAATCGATTGCCCTCTCTAGTAGTTTGTCTCAGCCTTCTTCCATCTATTCTTATTATTCCTCATCACTCCATTTTTTAAATCCTCTCCCTGCATGGGTGACCTATAATCTCAGCCCTCCCCCCCTCTCCGTTCATCCCAACCATGGCTATTTCTGCACATCCGGCTGGGATCAACGGACAAGCCCCCGCCGTTTCCTCTCCCGCCATCACCGCCAATTCTAGTTCTGACAGTGAGGAGCTAATTGGACCGGACGCCGCCCGGGAAGATGAAGCCAACGAGGTGATCGGGGTCAGTATCAGCCGCAGCCAGAGCCGTATGAAGGCGCGTCTCACGCCCGCGGAAGAGAAAAGTCGAGTGATGGAACGCCAGGGCGGCTACTTTGAGCCAATTCCCGACACACCCGACTCAGAGGGTCTTTTTGCGTCTGAGATCACCGATGAACCCGAAACTTTGCCCGAGGAAGCCGCTGGCAAGCCGGCTGTCGCCCGCGCGCCTCCATCGGATCTGGTGGCACCACAGCGTGACAGCGCACGAACGCCCAAGGACGGCCAGCGAAGCAGCTTTACCCGGTCGATCTTGACCGGGCTCCCCCTGCGACCCCGGGCATGGTCGGGCGACTCTTTGACCAACCTACGACTGAAGAAGTTCCTGCCAGACCTGTTGACTAAGCGTTCATCCCTCTCCTTCCGACCCGGCTCATCGGCCCAGGTCCGGGCCCGCAGTCAAACCCTGAAACCCGCGTCAAAGCTGGCGCTGGGCCAAGGAAAGGACGATGCGGCGTTGCAGTCCCGGCGCAAGTCCTTTTCCGATCCAGAATCCAGCCGAGATAGCCCCGAGGAGCAAGTCTCGGATCTCGAGCCTCTCGGAGGCGCAACGACCGCTAGGCACTCATATGCGCGGAGACCCAGTGCAACCGGTCAGGGAGCACCGTCTATGCTACGAAGGTCGTCATCAGACCAGTCTCTATACTTGAGGGCCTCGTCCACCGCATCATCACTTGACCAGCGGCCTCGCTACGAACATATACATTCGCAAGTCAACAGCCGGTTCAAGGCGATCAAGGACAGTCTTCAGGATTCCAGCAGCCGGCTGCTTAGCATGCCCACGCTGCATTTGCAGGATCTGCGGAGTGACTGGGGCTACAGACCGTTCCTGTCGGATGTAACCCATCGCAGAGGGCATACTTACTCCACACCGGAACAGCCGCCCGTCGCACGAGAGATGCCTAGCGATGATCCACCGCAGCTGCGGGCTCGCTCGCCGCGGTCCAGCATGAGTACACAATACCCCATGTTGACGGAAGCCATGACTGAAATGACCGGTGACGTTGTCATCCTGGGGGGTTACCGGGGGTCTGTCTTGCGGTCTGCCAAGCCGCCACAGCGCCAGCTGTGGGTTCCGATGAAGGTTGGCTTAAATCTTCGCAAGGTGGATCTTGAGGTTGGCCTGAACCCGGAGGACGAGGAGCGGATGGAAGAGACCATCATTCCGTCCGGCGTTTTGTCCCATGTCGGCCCGGTCGATATCTGCCGTCGGCTGATGAAGCGTCTGCAGAAGTGCCCGAACGCGGTCAACGGGGATCTTCGGGTCTGGGATTACGGCTATGACTGGCGGTTGAGCCCTCATCTGCTTGCTAAGCGGCTGGTGAAGTTCCTCGAGGGCTTGCCCTGTAACTCCCCCGACACGCCTCCCGAAAAGCGAGGAGCCTATGTGGTCGCCCACAGTCTGGGCGGCCTCATCACCAGGCATGCCGTCAATCAGCGGCCCGATCTCTTCGCAGGCGTTCTCTATGCAGGCGTCCCGCAACACTGTGTCAATATCCTGGGCCCCATGCGCAATGGCGATGACGTGCTACTCAGTTCCCGCGTTCTCACCGCACAGGTGAATTTCACTTTCCGAACTAGCTATGCCCTCCTTCCCGAGGACGGCCACTGCTTCATTGACAAACGGACGAAGGAAGAATACCGGGTGGATTTCTTCTCCGCCCAGGCGTGGGACGAGCACCGACTCTCTCCCTGTGTCAATCCGGCCCTTCCAGTTGGCAACGGCAGAGGCTTTGTAGACAATCTGCCCCTGCTTGGCAAGCGCATCTCGACGGTCCTAGGCAGTAAGGACAGCCTGTCGTCATCGGACGATGCCAATAGCGAGCAAACATCGGCACATAATCCCCAGGAAGCGGCTAACCCGCCCTCTGAGGCAACTGGCAAGACAGCGCCGGTGGCTCCTCCGCATCTGGATGGCGCGATAGGCCCAACTGCTAATTTCCGGGGCTCTTCCAATACCAAGCAAACGACAGCCACAACCATTCCCCGCGCGACAGCTTTGGCCTACCTCGAGCGGACTCTGAAAGAGGTCAAGCAGTTCAAGCAAGAGCTTGAATTCAACGCCTCTCACCAGTCGCGCAACCAATACCCACCCTTTGCCGTGCTGTACGGCAAGTCCGTGCCCACCGTCTATGGCGCTCGCGTCGAATCGCGCGAGCGCATCAAGCACCAGGACGCGTACGACGATCTGGCCTTCGCAGCAGGTGATGGTGTCTGTCTCGCCTCCGCGGCGATGTTACCCCCGGGGTACCGGATCATCAAGGGAGGTCTGGTGAAGAGCGATCGCGGACACGTCGGACTCTTAGGTGACCTGGAGGGTGTGGGCCAGTGTCTACTGGCTTTGGTCCGGGGCCGGCAAGAGGGCGTCGGACTGGGTGGTTCCCACCCATCGTCATGATTCATCACCCTCGAACCTCTCCCCTCCATACATACATATCGTCATTCCTATTCCCCTCTGCATAGAAACGATACCCATATCATATGTCCTGTTCGCACTGCATCTCTTTATGACGACAACGCATGAATAATGAAAGAGTATTCATATCTGATTCCAGCTGTCCTTGCATCAATGTACTGTACTCCATACAGTGTCCATAAGAAGTATTAAAAATCTGCAAAATATATACCGCAATAATTACTATAGTATATTAATGCTAGATAGTATCTACATCATACCCCTTCTGTCATCCGTGCCGATGTAGTAATCTTCCAACCATAATTAATATATATATTTCCGATCATCTCCTCCAATCACCAACTAGAACCACCCAAACATGTATATATATATATATATTTCCATGACGATGTGCAAGCACGCTAAGAGCTACGCTTGAAGGATCACTAAGCTCTGTTAGAATGCATTCATTGGCGATACGCTCGCTTATCTAAATCAATCAATCAATCAATCAAATCCTTCCGAATGACCTGACATTGATACGACACTGTGATAAGATATGATACATATATATACTGTAGCTAATTCAAATCGGAATTATTAACTTTACTAGACTACCTAATACGGATCTAACTAGGGGGGGTAAGGGTTCTCGGGTTCCTGTAGACGGGAAGGGGGGATGAAAATTCAGGCTTTATCTCATAGATTCTAACTAAAATCTTTTTCGATAATCTCTTTGTTTATTTTGTACGGAGTATTATAATTATTAATGAAGATTAGATATAATCAGGTCCAAGCTCCGTCTATTTTTTTCATTTTGAATCCCACAGGACTCGAACAAACCCGTCTAATCATCTCAAAAGCGAATAATATTGGTCACAAAGAAAGAAAGAGAAGATCAAATGCGAGAAAACGCGCCCTAGTATACCATAGAAGAAATATAAAAAGATTGAAAAGGAAAGAGAACTAGAGTATATATGTTTCACACATTAACCCGTTCTCGAGTTGGTGATGTTCAGGACAAGGATATCCGTCGCGCCGACCTTGGTCAGCTCGTCCATGACCGTCGCGATCTTCTTCTTCTCGACCATCGAGCTGACGGCAACCCAGCCGTCTTCTTCGAGGGCGGTGACCGTGGGAGCGCGCTTGCCGGGGGTGATGCTGGAGGCAGTGGCCAGCTCTGCGCGAGGGATGTTGTACTGGCACAAGACGTATTTTTGGGCAGCTGAAGGGAGAAATAAGATTAGCTAGACCGTCTGGTGAAGGGTACGGCATTACTTACTGATGACACCGCGGATACGGGAAGCGATCAGATCAACCAGAGCGTTTTGGGTGTTCTTGGACTTGACCAGGACGGAAACGGTCTCGACAACAGTATCTATGGCTTTGAGACCAGCGGCCTTCATGGTCTCACCGGACTCTACATCATGGTCAGTCGTCGAACAAATTACACAGCCACAGACAGGGTTCCAACGTACCAACAAGGTCGACAATGCCATCAGCCACGCCCAAAGCGCAGGCAGCCTCAACACTGCCACCAACGTACTTGATCTTGGTGCTGAGTTCACTCTTCTCGCTCTTGCCCTCGAGCTGGGCGAAAAAGGCCTCGGTGAGTGCAGTGAAGCTGGTGACGACATTCCGGCCGATCAGCTGCTTGGCCTCAGTGATGTCGCCCTTCTCCGGAACCTGCACCTGCAGCTTGCAGGCACCGAAGCCGAGGTCCATGATCTCCTCCACGCCGGAGACTTCGCCGCGGGGCAGCAGCGCATCGTGTTCAGCAATCTGATCGCGGCCTGTGATACCGAGATCAACGCGGCCCTCACCAACGAAGGTGGGGATGTCTGCGGCGGGGAGGAAGATGAGGGCGATGGGGAGGTTCTTGACCAGGGCAATATCCAGGCGGGTTTCACGGCGGAACTGGATATCGCAACCGGCCAGAAGGTCCAGGGTGGCTTGTTGAAGACGGCCCTCTGTAACAGCAAGGAAGGCATTAGTCCAGGGCTTGTTTGGGGGGCCATTGGTGGGTTGGAAAGCTGGGAGCTTCTATGCGGTCAGGGAGAATGAGTCACTGCGGGAACTTGCTTTTAGGGACAGCGAAAAGCAGTCTTCCTTCGAGGCTATACGGTCGATGTCAGTAATCAAGACAATCTTGGAGGAGTATATTGGGTTCCGGGAGTTCAATGTTGTAACGGGGGCAATTGACTCACTGGTTGACGAGATCCATCTTTGACGATCAACGGCGCGGGGTAATTTGCGAGGAATCGGAGACAGCGGAGAGGAGTGAAAAGAAACAATTGAAAAATATGGGAATAATTCCGAAGCCTAACAGACCAATGGCTATCCCAAACAGACGATATTAGACAAGAAGGAGTTGAAGAAGTGGTTAGAGAGGGAAGAGAAAGAGGGAAGATGTGGTGGATGCGCAGAAAAGAGTCTGAAATCCCGTCATCGGAGGGGCCCGACAGTGCCTCAGGCCAGGAAGTCATGCCTGCCTGATATTTCTGCCCAGTATATCAGGCCACAGGGCTTAACTGCCTAATAATCCAGGCAAGAATTGATGCCTGACGGCTCAGGCCACATTAGCCCTGAGCCCTCGCCTTTAGCCCAAAACAGAAAGCCAACCCACACAAGCCGCAAATCCCTCGATTTTCACGAACGGCTTCAACTTCTGTCTGCCAACCCCCCCCCAACGCCATCTTCCTCCATCCCGTCAGTCCTTCGCTGTCGTCAAGCCCAACTTCAAGATGGATTCCGCCAAGCAGCCCGCTAAGCTCGTCAAGGTCACTCGTGTCCTCGGCCGTACCGGTACGTCGTGATTTCCTCGATTCGTTTCGCCAGGATATATACACGAATCTCTCCGCAACGCTGAACGGTCTTACTGACAATTTTGCCCCCAGGATCCCGTGGTGGTGTCACCCAGGTCCGCGTCGAGTTCATGGACGACACCTCCCGCAGCATCATCCGTAACGTCAAGGGCCCAGGTATGCGATTCTCCGTTGATTCATGATCTCCCACTACGTCTATGGTGTCTGGACCGCAATCCCCCGGAAAGAGATATCCCGCAAGAAAGAGCAAGGAAACGGGCGCGGAAGAATTTGACGGAAGGAAGAACGTGGAGGACGAATCGCCGAAATCGACAAATGCAGGAAAGTTGGACATGGGGTTTACACGGGATATTCTCAGTCCGGAGAAAGGGAGATTTCGGCCAGTGCAGCCAGAACCAGACATGAAAATTCACCATCAATTGTCGCACACAGGCTAACTCAATCTTCTTCGTCGCAATCTCTAGTCAAGGTCGACGACATCCTCTGCCTGCTCGAGTCCGAACGCGAGGCCCGCCGTCTCCGTTAATTTCCTTTTCCGCTCCGAGTTTTCTTATCTTTTTCCCTCTCGAGGCTATGTACCCTTGCTTGCGTTGGAAATGATTCTGGGAGGTCGGGAAGGCAACAATACTATTTCATGGGCTGATGCGGCATCCGGGCGGTGAATCAGTTTTGTGTTTCTTTCTACCATTCTGTCTGTGTCCAACATATCGGGATTCAAATAGAGAGAGAGAGACGAAAACAAGGATATCAACCGGAAATAAAAAAACGAAGGAAAAAAATTTGAAATCCCACGGGCGCGAGATGATCCTTCATCAACTCTGTCTAGCTCCTTTTTTTTTCTTCCCCCGTGTCGCATTCGAATCGGATGAACTTTATGAACAATGGCTGCAGTGGATCCTTGGTCTCGATCTCGCGCTTGGCGATTGACTCCCCGGGTTTGATTTCCCGCGTACTCGCACCAGCGCTTCCGGATCGTTCTGTGGAATAAGCGGTTGAGGGAGTCGCAATTGATATCCAAGGCCGGCCTTGGATGATAGTCCTGGTCTCAAGCTACCGGTTATCCTGGGTAACTGGCCTAGGCAGGTGCTCGGTGCTTGCTCCGTGATCCTGGGGATGTTAGCCTATAGTAAATCTCCTGGCCTATTTGTAGAAGAGTCAACAACCGTACGGACTTTCTGGAAACCACCACTTTTTGCCAGCCATCGATATTCATACATCTATCTACCCAGGCACATAGCTTGTAACCATGCACTGCCAGCAATGCCAGTCCCATATAAGAAGCAACAGCTTGCAACGATGCTCGGCTTGTGTAAAGCTAGTCAATCACAGCTGCTCCGCGCTGCTAACGAGTCGCTCAATCATGCCATCATCTTGGGAACCTTCCATGACTCCCCCGACCGCCGCCACAAGTCCAGCAAGTTTCCGACGGCGGATTTTCTCCTCCAGCTCTTTACTTTTCTGCCGGGCTTGCTCCAGCAATGACCCTGGCAGATTTGCTAATCGTGCGACATTCAATCCGTAACTGCGGTGTGCCACGCCCTCGCCCACCTCGTAAAGGAATGTGATTTCTTCGTCCGCCCCAGCTCCCGATTCGGTGAAGCGCATGTGCACGTTTCGTAGTGCGTGGTCGGCGAAGGAATGTACTATCGAGGAGAGATGCTGATAATGTGTGATGAAGAGGGTGAGGCTTCCAATCGACCGCACCATATAGTCGAGGACGGCCTGGGCGATTGCAACGCCATCATGCGTGGATGTACCCCGACCCAATTCGTCCAGTATGACTAGTGACCGAGGGGTCGCCTGTTTGAGTATATCCGCGGTTTCAGAGAGCTCGACCATGAATGTAGACTCGCCCGCCAACATGTTGTCGAAAGCACCCATGCGAGTGAACACAGCGTCCAACATACCAAGCTTGGCCGCTCGCGCGGGGACATACGAGCCAATTTGTCCCATGATGGCAATGAGGGCCACTTGTCGTACATAGCTGGACTTGCCACCCATATTAGGGCCAGTGACCAGAAGAGCGCGTGTCCTGTCACTGTCCAAGTCGATATCGTTGGGCACGTAGCTGTCCAGCAAGAGCTGTTCAACCATTGGGTGGCGGCCCTGATCGACATGGATGCACGTGTGGTCCGTATACTCAGGCTTGACATATCCCGGCTGGCCAGCTATAGTAGCCAGCGAGATTAGGCAGTCAAGCGAGGCCAGCGCCTGCACACAATCCCGAAAGGGTTGGTATTTGGTTGCAATATCGCCTAGGAGGCCTATAAAAGCCTTGTCACAAGCTGCCGCCAACGCCTCTTTATGTTGATCTCGTTGTCGTGTGAGTTGGATAACTTCCGGCGTGTGGAATCTGGAGACTTTCTTGGTGCCGCTCACTTTCATCCAAGATGCAGGGACCCGTTTGATAGAGGCCGAGCTGTTGTCAACCTCGATTAGATAGTCAATGCCTGCAACAGACTTGTATTCAACCATCTTCCGTCCAAGCTTCTCGCCGGCGACAGAGCGATGTTCCTGCAACTCGTGTTCAACACTAGCAATCCCAAGCTTCTGATCGCTAATATCCTCTGTCTCTTCGGCTTCGCGAAAAAAGGCATACTTGTCATCGCTTTTTGCAGCATGCATGTTGATCTTGTCTAGGAAAGCCACAACATCGTCCAAGATGGTCGGGAGACAGGTAATTGCTTCGTTTATGGCAGCAGATATGAATCCGGTATCGGAGGGCGATTTCACGCCAGAAAACTCTTGCGCAATCATCTGCATCGACTGTAACACGGTGAGAAGTTCCGGTCGAGTGCACTGGTTGCCTCATTAGCCTTAACTCAAGGGGGTCCCAAAGTGAAGGACTCGGGATGACCAACCTTGCCATAATAAATCCGGATCAAGCTCTTTTCCAAGTCGCTCTTGACCTTACCAAGCAATCCTCTGAGTCGCTCAACCATGACCGTCCTTTCTGGGTTCTTTAGCTCTTCAACGGCGTTCACCCTCTCTTCGAGCCTCGACTTATCTAACAGAGGACGTCCGACCCATTTCCTGAGCAGTCTTTGCCCAAAGCGCGTCTGCGTCCGATCAAGTGTCCAAAAGAGACTGCCTTTGGTGGTATGATCGGTCTGGTTTTGGTAGATCTCAAGACTCATGAGAGTGTTCCCGTTCAGAAGCATGTGTGATCGAGAAGAAAAGTGTTGAAAATACTTAGTCAACTCGAAGACGTATTCCAAACTGTACTCTTTCATGTGCTCAATCATAGAAGAAAGGCAGACGGTCACTTGCTCTGGCAAATTGAGAACCTTCTGGAGTAGGCTACTTGCCTGAGCGTCATCTGCAGCACTGGCCGTCTTCATCTTCCTTGCATAGAAGCTTGAAACATGGCTATGGGACTCGGCCGCAGCAGTTTTTGACTTGGTAACTCTTTCCACGCGGGTCTTGTCGCCGAAGACGTTCAACTTGCTGCCAGAAAGATGTTGAACAAGCTTCTCCGTAGCCTTAGATAGCTCGCCGACTATCAAAACCTCGCAGGGTGCAATATGCAGTAGCCTCGTTTCAATCTCGCTCCTCATGAACCCGTCTTCAAAATCATCATAGATTATATCCCCTGTAGCCGGCTGAACTGCTACAATTCCCACCTGAACCTTCTCGTCATTGCCCCAGCCTTTAGCGTTAGTCTCAGTAATGCAAAGCAGATAGCCAGTCGCTGGCGAAGCACCACCGGATGCTGCTGGCATAGGCCCTTCCAATCCCTCCACGTCATCGATATATGTGCCCTTGGTGTATAGATTTGTGAGCTTGCGCACAAAGGGTGCGTTGCGGTTATCACCTGCTGCCTTGAGCGCAGCAGTTTCTATCTGTCTCACGACACCGACTTTATGACCTGCGGCAACGAGGCGCTTCACATGGACGTGTAGTCTGTGAACCGGTATACTGGCAGAGGCAAAACGGTCGAGGTGTGCTTCAGAGGGATCTGGAATCGAAATACCAACTTTGAGCGCGACTCACATAAAAAAAAGCGTGAAAGAGATGTCCAAACTTACGTTCATCGAATCTTAATTTGCCAGGGATGCAGACTATAGACAACTCCTTCGCAGCAACCCTCGCATCTTCGCCAAAGAACCGGAACTTGTAGCCAACTTCGACTACTAAGACCGTATCCATATACTTGCGCTTGATGTCGATAACTTGCTTCTCCATTGGAGTGAGCTTGCTCCCTCCTTTCTTTCCAGTGGCCTTGCCCTTAGCGGGAGGTGCTGGTTCCTCGTCATCTTCTGCCTCTGGACCATCCTCCGCGGAAGTAACTTCGCTGACTGCATTCCTACCGATGCCAATGAGACAGTCTGCGCCACCCAACTTCCGAACGAACCTTTGGTGTAGCTCTCCTCTCTCCTTTTGCCTTTGCTTGGCTTCGGGTTCAATTGTCTCCGAAGGCGCTTCCGTTCCAGTGTGCACAGCCGGTGAGCTGGTAAACATGAACAATTCAGTCCGTTGACTACTACTTAGCGCCGGAGGTCGCTCTATGGTTGAAGCCGATGCCCAATTTGAGTTCGCGTCTTTATCTCCAGACCGAGGCCGGTTTGCTCTAGCTCTCTTGGGAGCTGGTGCCACTATATCATTGTCCTTATCATCGGCCAGGCCAGTCTTTTGGTCTTGCACTTTTTCCTGGGTTGCCGCTTTCTCTGCCCTGGCTCCTGAACCTTGGTCTTCATCGACATTGACTGAATCCCGTTGAGCGGTTTGTGGTTTCTTTGTGAAGAAGCTCGCGATGGTTGATTGTTTCCGTTTAAGTGCTGGGGAAGACGATGGCTGTGATGAGGGAAGAGGCATTTTCTCTTGCTTGTTGGGAAACCGCTGACAGGCAGCTGGTGCTGGATAGCACTGTGAAACGCACACTGTAGGGGACTCGCCGTAGGATCAGCGACGACCAGGGTAGTGGCGACGGCACATTGAGCGCCTGCTTCTTGCAATCTATACGTTCAGAATAGACTTAAGCATCCACTGTGCTTCGTACAGTAACTCAGTGTTCCTCTTTTCCAGATGTCAAAAAGTCGACCTTAGCGTCAAATGCGTGTCCGCGGCTCAGGAACCTTGACGCGTGGGGATCCGTAGCGCAGCGCGTCACCAGTTAGTTAGTTAACGTAATCGGACACCGAGCCGGCGCCGGCCGCGCCGCGTCTTGCACCCTCAACATCTTGAAGTCGAAGAACTCTTCCAAATTGCCCTATTCGCGATATATCGTGATTTCTTTGGTGTTTCTTTTCGTATATCAATATGACCGATATGAATGAACGCTTAAATCTCGCCGTTAAAGCCTTTGAGAGTGGGAAGTTCTCTACAAAGGCCGCCTGCGCTGCCGCGTTTGACGTCAAGATAAGCACTTTTAAAGATCGTTTAAATGGCATCAAATCACGTACGGAAAAAGATGCCAATGGTAGAAAGCTATCTACAATTGAGGAAAACACGTTAAAGCAGTGGCTTCTTGATATGGCCCACCGTGGACTGCCTCTTAAAATCTGCGATGCTCGATTCTCCGCCCAGCTGCTATATCAAGCAAAGTTGAAGCCAAATCAACACGGTGTTATATCAGAACGTTGGATTACTCGTTATATCAAACGTTATCTGGAACTGACGTCTAAATTCATGTCAAAGTATGATTATCAACGTGCTAAATGCGAGGATCCTTATCTTATTTAGAGATGGTTCGACCTTGTTCACAATACAGTCCAAAGATATGGCATTCTTGATGAAGATATATGGAATATGGATGAGACTGGATTTCAGATGGGAGTTGCTTCAACCGCTCGTGTAATCTGTGGCTTGGAAACACGAGAATCGCGTGTGAAGTGTATACAGCCAGAAAACCGCGAATGGGTGACTTTAATTATTGCAATATCAGCCTCAGGAATAGTTCTGCTATTGCAGATTATCTTTGCAGCGCAGAATCATCAATTGACATGGTATGAAGTCTGCCCAAGATCGTATTATCTGAGTGTCAGCGAGAATGGCTGGACTACTAATGAGCTTGGTTTTGACTGGCTTTAGAACGTGTTTGACCGGTATACGGCTTCAAAAACTGTTGGCGAGTATTGTATGTTGATTCTTGACGGCTATGGCAGTCATGCAACTCAGCAGTTTGATCAGTTCTGTACAGCGCGGAAAATTATTCCTTTATATATGCCTGCCCACTCGTCCATAAACTGCAGCCACTTGATGTCGCTTGCTTTGGGCCATTAAAAAAGTTATATGGCCAGCGTGTATCTGAGGCTATTCGTTATGGAGAGGAATCAATTATTAAGCTTGATTTCTTACAGTTATATCACAGCGTCCACGCCAAGGCCTTCTCCAATATCAATATACTCAGTGGATTCCGTGCCACCGGCCTCGTTCCTTTGAATCCTCAAAAGGTGCTTTCAACGCTACGGATTCAATTAAAAACACTAACTCCGCCAACATCCTCGCATTCTAATCAGTCTTTCTATCTTGGAAAAACGCCTGCAAATTTATATGAACTCGGAAGGCAGAGACAAGAAATACAAGAACTTGCAGATCAAGGCCTGGCGTCAATAGTTTCACACGAAGTTATTAAAAAGGTGATTAAGGCTGCGGAACAGTCTATGCAGAACGCAGTCCTGCTTCAACAACAAGTTAAGCAGTTCCAGTCTATACAAGCGAGTAAAAAAGAAAAGGGAAAGGCCTCACGTCGTTATATACAGCAGGGAGGCACTTTGACAGGCCAAGAGGGCTTTAATATAGCTCAGATGCGAGAAAATGAAGCAATTCAGGCCGCAGCACCAAGGCCGGCCAGGGCACGCCGGCCAGCCCGCTGCAGTATATGTGGAAGTGAAGGACACAATCGTTTAAAATGCCCTCATGAAAACAACAAGAATTGATGTATATAGCCTTTTCTTGGTGGCTGAATAGCCTTAGGAAGCGGCCAGCGAGGCAGTCAGCGAGGCGGCGGCAGACCGCCGCCGGCTCGGTGTCGCGCCGGCTCGGTGTCCGATTGCGTTAATTGAATTGAGATGACATAATCCTTCGTGCCTGAGGCATACAGGTACACTTCCGACTACTGTCGAAGGTACGTTCCAGACTGATCTTTTCTTCTTGCACGCTCTCTACATAAATATAACATCTTCTGCATGTTAGAGCATAATACGATAACTGTGTACAATCTTGGGGCGGGTCTTCTAACAGTCAATGTGTAACGGCTTTCAAGGGGGGGCTGGCCCCAATTCAGTAATCACCAAGTATTCATACCTCGTAATGGTAGCGTTTGTATATAGGTTGAATGCAATGCAAACTATAAAGCAGAGCCAAATCCGTTGGTTGCGATTCTTAAAAGGTGTTGAAGGGAAGTGCAATTAGGGGAATAGACCCGCAGAACAATGACTTAAACCAGAGCACAATAGAAAATTGCAACAAGAGCAGGAGTCAACAAGAGCTCCCATCTAGGTAAAGCCGTTCAAACTCACCCTCATCGACCTCCGAAACTGTTGCCTCGGGGGACCCTGGCTGTGTCCCACACTGAGGTTTAGACTTGTTGTTTACTCTCGCCGTGTACACTGGATTGTCGTCGGCGGGCACGCGGGGAAGTGAAACGGTCAAAGGGTTAAATGAGTACCCAGTGGGGCTTTCTTGATTATCAAATGGACTGAAACCGACGGACCGAGCATCGCCAAAAAAGTATTGTGGTGGATAGCCAATGTCGCTGGTTAAGTGCCCCGTGAGGGAAGGGGAATGCCAATCCACCAGAGGATCAATGCGGCCACGAACATCCAGAAGTGGCTCAATGTTCTCTTTTTCCATCGACATAATAAGAGCCCTCTCGGTCAGGGTAGAAGCATGGTTGCCAGGTGATAGTGGGTAAGCATCAGCATTGGTTGTGTAATCCCGTAGTAAAAATATAGGATGAGGGGAGACCGACGCCGCAGAATGTGATCCATCACCACGATGAAGGTCAATTGCGCCTGCGTTGTATTGATTTGGCAAATCACGGAAGACAGTAAACCCAGTGGGAGGCTTGATCTTATTGTCTTTGGAAGTCATTGCAAACTCGTCCATATCGTCCCCGTGACTGCCATAGCGAGGAGGGTGTTGAGGCGCCAAGGAGGCCCTGAGAAGGGGTATGTTACTTCCATCGATGTCTTCATCCACTATACTTTCGCTCCTCTTGGTAGTTCTCCGGTTCCTTTTCCTGTCTTGTCCACGATGGATATTAGGATCGACTTGGGAAAGGATACGCTTCGGACGATTTGCTCGTCGTTTCGGAATGGGCGTTTCCCCTTTAAGAGGGCTGCTGTCTTCAACATTGCCAGAGATCACACGCTGCTTCCGCAAGATCCCTGTAGGCGAGAACACAAGCTCCGTAGGCTCGACACAGAGGGATGTCTTTTCCATCATCTTCAAGATGCTTTCATCTTTTTTCTGGTTGCGTCTGCGTCTCATCTGTTCGGTAGCAGAGTCAAAGATATCCATTCCGGGCCATAGGACACCTTTCAGTCTGGCTATCTCATCTGCTCTCTCCTTATCTATCTCACAGATTGTTGGGAAATCAACGCTGTCATTGTCATTGTCATCGATAAACGGATCGCAGTTGTATTGGTTGGATGATAGGGGAATAACGTCTGTCTCATTGCCCAGTGTTTTAGACCAGTACAACGTGGCCTGCGCAGAAGTATCCTGATCCTCCGGGTCGGGTCTGGGCTCTTGTTTCCAAATACAGGAGATAGGTTGAGTAGGTTGCTTTGGAGTGCTTGCGGAGGTCAATGAGTGCTCTAACCCAGTGTATGTGTCGGAGAGATAGTAAGAAGAACCAGCCGAAGCGGCATGACTGGAAGTGTGAGGCGAGGTTGTAATTGCAGGCCCCGAATCCGTAACAACATAGGAGCGAGAGAGACGTGGGTCCAAGTAGTCAGGAAGTGGGTTCTGGGATGAAAGACATGCAGTGGACAGTGGTTCAGTCGTTCGGTGCTCAACTTCCCGGTCCGTGTTAATCTTCTCGTGCGTCTTCTTTCTGCGGGCTTCTTTCGAGGACATCCGATCCGAAAGTAATTTTGCTAAATTATTGGCCTTATACCACCTATCATATTCACGTAGCAGAGTGACGGCTTGTTGCTCTTGATGGCTGCGGACTTGAAGTTTGAAGTAGTGGGACAGATGTGCCTTTGACGAGATATGGGTTAGCAGGTGGGATACATCACTGAAGGTCGGCCGTTTGGGGCAAATATTGCACAAAAGTGCAGCTGCATCCATATTGGCAGGGGATCCTCATAGGGAGCAGGCTCGAACTCCGGGAAAGATATCGAGGGAAACAACAAGGAAGAATTGCTCGAAAGGACAGAGGTGATAGATCGGCCTTGGAAGGGAAGGATGCAAGCTTCAGGAGCAAAGACGTTCCCACAAGCTTGACCGGAACCTACCCTACGCAATGTTTCACTGCCAGTTCACGACTAGAGAAGGAGCCACCGATGCCATTGTACTTGTAAGGAATAATACGGACCAGGGACTCTGTTGGATTTCCAACATCAAGCAGTCGAGCAAGCCGCTCCTCCGAAGATGTGCCGTAGCGAGCATGCTTATAGGACGTTCTACGGTCTATACTACGTCAGTATACTTTGAAGGTGTTCTTGCACAGCTGGGTAGCGGAGATACATAGTAGTAGTAGTAGTAGTAGTAGTAGTAGTAGTAGTAGTAGTAGTAGTAGTAGTAGTATGCTTAGTAACACCGTCTGGTGAAGTTTACAGGCGATAGAAAGAACCACAGCTATACACTGAGTACTTGTAAGTCCCGGTGCAAGATATAATGGACAACTCCATGAGATAAATCATTGTCGGCCATGTTTAAATGCAACACCAAGATTATCTTTGAGGCAGGAAGCATAAGATAGGGATCTCCTCACCCTCGATGCTGCCGGACTGACCACCTTGGATATAGTATTTCGGCATCAGCCTTGTGCACATTTACATAGTTAGAAGGCCTTAGGTATAACAATATTCGGTCAAAACACTCTGGATTCATGACAATGTAGATCACAATTTCATCGCGTGGGATAATAAAACAATGACTATCTAGATACCATAGGTCTTGGAACATAAGTCATGTGCCACTGCGTCTTAACAGCCTCTTATCAGGCTATTGTGAGGGGGTATGAAGCGGAAATAAGTCGCAGTGCCAATTGCTCTTCTCCTGCCTTGTATCCCATAGTCCATAGACAAAGAAAAACGGGTTGTTAGATTGCAGGAGGCGATGTCTACGGGAATTGAACATAATAGTCGATATCAAGATACGACCAAGTACTACCGGGACCGACAGTTCAGTATTATTGCCTTCGGTAAACAACTGGACATAATGTTAGCTATCTGCGGCTGCATCGAGCGACTGGCCAACTTACTAGACTGGGTCTACTTCTTGGACACCATCAAACCTCAGAAGACTCAACCCAGCGATGGCGAAATGGGTATGAAATACATCAACCATGCTGCCTGGTCTGTCTCCAATGCCACCAGCCTCCGAATCCTAAATTGCGTCAGCGCCATGCCGACATGGCCACCACAAAGGTATAAACATACCTGACAACGCAAGATGAAAGCAGCAAGCTTGCCACTATCGATCCAATGCAGTCTGTCAATCATAGCTAGGCTAGCACCGACCCACCAGCTATAGCATGCATCTGGTAGTTTCTCGGGCCGTCCGTTCAGACCCCCATTGTCAACCTGTCTTTCGCTAAGCCAGCCTCCCAGGCGGTCCCTGTCCACCAAGTCTAGTCGCCCGGCGATTGCCAGAGCTCCTACACAAGTGAAGATCTGGCCGGCATGCGATTCAGCTCCAGGCTGGATTCCATAGCCGCCATCCAAATTTTCACACTGCTGGACATAGGCAACAGCTTTGGGTACATCGACGGTATCGAGGAGCCCAAGAAGGGAGAGTGCATTGAAAGCGCCATACAAAAAGCGCGTATCCCTTTCTCCCCATTCGTCGCCCATAAAAGCGCCAGTGTCCTTGTCTTGTAGCCCTGCAATGAAAGAGCCGATTTTCTCTTTGCCTCCTAGACCGCGCTTGTCCAGCTCATCCACCGCGTCTAGTGTTACGAGAATTTGCACGGCCGACACTGTATACAACATGTGCGCATCATGGCCCGGGGCAGCTCCAAAACCCCCATCTGCGCGTTGGCAGGAGAGTACAAAATTGATGGTGTCTTCACGAGGAAGAGCATCGGGACGACCAAGGAGATGTAGGGCTGTCAAGCCCCAATACACCCCATTCAGGCGAAGGTGCTCGGTGAGCCAATATTCTAGCTCATCCCTCCTCTAGCATCACCTGTCAACCACCTTCCCCACCCTGAAGAGAAGAGTTATGGTTATAGTAAGAATGACGCACGCTGTCCAAGTTCTTGATGTATTCCACATGCCTTTCGACACTAAGGTTCAAGCTGGATGGAGTCCCAACAGCCCTGCTAGGACCCGAAACCAAGGACATTTTGTGATCGGCTCGCTGAATGCAGTGTGATTAGTGGTTGAGCCTCGCAGCTAGTTGAGAGCTTTTGCTCCGGGGCAATGCTGTTGGGCCCAAAGCAACAATTACTGTGCCTGCCAACACAAGAATGAAGAAGGCGACTGAGGAGAAGCACAACCCCCACGGGAGTTTTGGTGGCTTCGGGGTGGCAAACACAGGGCCGTTGATGAAGGCAACCGCTGCACGTGTCCCCCTCACTGCAGGTGAGGTTAGTATGAGGTGACTTTGAGGTTAGTCGTGGGCAACTCGGAAGCTGGGAGGGAAAAAAACAAGCTTCGGGAGGGGGGAGACGTTGTGTGTGCTGGTCGGCGGTCGGAGACGAGGGAGGGCTGGCCATCACGTGAACGAGCGCCACCCGGTGAGCCGCTGGCCCAAAAGCGGGGCCATTGTTTCAGCCTGGCGTTTAGGGCAGGATCACCGTCTCCCACGGACGGCGGTGTGAAACCCCTGAGCGGCAAAGACTGGTTGCCCCTGGGTCCCTGCTTCTCTCAGAAATGTTCGGTGGCTGGCCCTTGTGTCGATGCCATGGAGGGCGGGTTCCCGCGATCCACCGTCATTGGTGGCCTTTTGTTCGATAGAATTCATCAGATGCACGCAAGTCCAAGGTAGGCAGGTAGCGGCAGGTAGCAGCAGGTTCATCAACGGATTACTCCGTAGTCCGTACCGTATTACGGATCTTGATGAATGCAATATTGTGCAGAGCTGCAGGTATTGACAGGGAATGTGGATTCTGTCTCTGCCCAGATGGTACTAACTAGGTACAATTACGTAGTGCCGGGCTATTGACTCGGGATGGAGAACGGAAGAGAGCCCATCTCTCCCACTGTCCCACGTGTACACCGTAGTACTCCGTAGTACTCCGTAAACAGTAAACTTCCTTACTAGGCTCCAGGCGAAAAGTCACTAGTTGAGCACCGTCCTCAACGCCTCCGCATAAGCGCAGTAAGCTACGGAGTAGGTACTACGTGGTCCCCGGTCAACGCCCACGAGTACGACTTGCGACAGCTAGGTAGGTCGGTAAAATGGTAGATACTTCTACCTCTACACATGTAGATACTTTGTAGGATAGGGCTATAATGATATGGGGCACGCCACCTTCGCTAACATGAAGAGTTGTTTTACTCCACCTCCATACCGAAGCGCTAGACCAGAGGCGAAAATCCGTGCTCTTATCATCCTCCGTAAATTACTTGGAATGGTTATAAGCGCCCATGACTACTTGGGTACGAGGGTATTTGAACATTGCTTACGGGGCAGCTGATTGTCCATGTGACATGACCAAGCTCGTCCTCGCTGCTTCTTTCCTTTATCTATATTTAGCCGTCCGGAATGTCTTATAAGTAGTAGGTAGTAGATAGTAGAGAATAATCAGTGCTATACCTACCTAGTAGTAGATGTCATTGGCGAAGCGGGGCATTCAAATCATTCATTCAACGGTAGTACCTGGTTAGTTCCAGGTACAGTCTCTCAGGCACGGAGGGAACATTACTACTTTTTTCATCATCCCCACTAACCGTATCAAAATTGTCTTGTCGGAACCATGGTTAAGCGCCCGTCGAGCTTCAAGAATCAGACAATCGTCCGAGGGATTACCTTAGTGGATCGAGATTGAGACAATACATTCTACAGGTTTCGTTCATTATTTTGATTAGGTCTTTGGTCATACATTCCCGGACAGAAATTGCTCACGAGTGGATTGTTCGGGATTACTACCGGGTACTCCGTACTAAGAACAATAACAATGATAATGCAAGTTAGTGCCATCCGACCGAGAGTCCTGACTAGTACTGCGTACTAAGCAGCCAAATAAGGTGCCACCCAAATGGATTGGATGCTATGATGGGCCTCCGCGTCAGGTACTCGTGTCTCGCGGGTTCATCTGATTTGACCCTGCGACTGCATCCCCCCGTTCAGGGGGCTGTGGTTGGCCAATCTACGGTCGCAATTGCGGTTTGCTAGCCCGGGCCTGCATCATCCCGCCCAAGGCACCAACTGCCAGACCCGATCTTTTTGGGCCAGTCATTGTCAGCGTCTCCAGTGTTTGGATGGGTCCTCCCGATCTTTCGGTGTATATCCCAGTGGCCTGTACTCCCGTCCGCGCAGGAGGAGCTGGTCATTGCAGCCCGGGGTTGCCATTATCACAAGGGTTATTGCGCAGTAGCGTGCTCAGGGGCAACCCGACAAGGAACAACGATCAACTATCTTACCTACACCATCGATGCGATTCTGAGATAAAACCGCTCTTTTGGTTTGAGAGCCAGATTCATGCAATCGTAGTAGCCATGGGATCGTAATATCATAATTTGACTTTCTGTCGGACAGCCTCTCGATTTTTCCCCAGGTAATTTTCGACCTTTTCGTTCCCACCCCCTCCTCCAAGCTGTAAGGTACTTGGGTAATTCCGTGACTATTGCAGATATTAACCCATCGATACGTGGGTTGGACCAACGTCATCCTCCTGGCACCAGCCACGAGTTCTTTTTTTTTCCTTTTTAACCTGTGGCCCTCGGATTTGGCTTAGGCTGCCTCATAATTCCTTCACTTGACCATCGTGGATCAGATCTAATCTGCTGCTTGCCGATAGCGTTTGCTTGAAAATAAACAGTAAGAGAAGACTCTTCTGCTTCCATTCTTCAGGGAGGTAGGGCCATATTGACCGTCCTTACCTGTTAATTACAGGCGTTATCCACTACCCTTTTTTCTAAAGTCAAAGGGCCTCTCCATGGCTATCAGGCTGTCTGTGCACTAAAGCGATAGGCTTCCCATAATCCCCCATAAGCACTCTGAAGCCACCCAGTAACTATTTCGGAGCCTTGCAACGCCATCCCCACTGCCGACTCCCCCTTAAAAAAAACGGAGGCTTCTTAGCCTGACACACAGCCGCGCTTGCATAACGCTGTCAAGGAATGTGTCGTCGCTGCGACATTCAAGTCTGAACACCTCCAACACCGTGCCGAATCGCTCTCGTGTTTCTTTGATCACTGCTTCCATTTCTTTGGGCAACTGCAATCGGACGGAATTTCTTTGTTCTTTTTTTTTCCTGTTCCTGTTCCCTTTTTTTGGCATCATCATTATCGCTTTTGGAATACACGGTCCCAGCAAAATCGCCGATACCTGCTCGTCCCCTTGGTACGCCGACCGCCCTCCTCAACACCGCTCCAACACACACACAACGAGCATCTTAGGCGAGCGTCTATTTTGCCTGTCGCCACCTTCAATCACCAGGCGCAACAGTCCAGATTGTTATTCAACCAAAATAGTCGCGGGGGGGACAAAGTAACACTGGAGGGGGGAGTCCTCATCTAACATGAGGGGCGGCGCAGTTTGGTATGTGTGGTGACATTTTTCTGGATTTCAGCAGGATCCCCAATCGATGCTTCCTTTGCTTTTTCTCGTCGAGACAGCTCATTCGCCCTGGTGTTGTGGTCCGTTTGAGGGGGTTGGGGATTCGAACCTTTTTCCTTGAGTTGCAGCTCTATCCAACAGATCCCTACTTTTGTTCATGATCGTGTACTAATGTGCTGTCTTTGTTATCGTTGTCGCCCAAACAACGCGTCTTAATCTTCTATCTTGCTAACCACTATGCGACTCTACATCAGAACCAATCGCTCCAATCTATCCTCCCAGAACAGCAACATTTCGCGTCAACCGTGCCCAGCAAGCCCGACATATTCGGAAATATTGGCTAAGGCTGGTCCGATTCCAATCATTTCCTCATTGCCCTCCCAACAGGCCCTTACACATATCTGAAATTTCAACGTCTTTTGCCGAGGGACTATCAGGATATTTATGCTCCCGGAGTCCGGACTATCGTGGCCCTCGATCAGAAAAGGAGTAAGTTCTAGAATCAGGAGCTTCCCGTCAGCCGAATCATATCCAAATTTAGTACAATTTGGAGACCTTATGGATGCTAACCTATTTCTGCCACTAGATCCCTTTTCATCGTCCACTTGGTGTCGCAGCCGATCCTTAACGTACTAGTTTTTGCCCTCAATCCAGACCGAATTCCCGGGCCAGCCCTTCAGGGTCACCTGCTGACCCGCGATTGACACCTAAGATGCCGTCGAGACAGTCCACTGTTCCCAATTTAGATCTAAGCACTTCCACTCTGCAGGCGGATGCGAAGATCTCGTCTCCACTGACGCCCGGTGCCCAAAGCTCCGAGGGGCCAAGTCCCCTGACACCCCGTTCCCCCAAGTCATCATCGAGTTCGCCATTTTTCAAAGGGGCCACAATCAGACCCGTCACACAAGATTCAAACAGCAAGTCGAATAGCCCTACTTTACCAGCCTCTCCCGGCATCGCCTCTGCAGAACCAGCTACTCCGGGAATAACGGCTATACCCCAGTACCCTCCTTCTCCGAAGGACACCCCTAAGCATACGCGTGACCAATCACGCTCTTTTTTCGCGAATCTTAAAGCACCCAAGTCTTCACACAGAGCTCAACGGTCGGATAGCTCAGGAAATTCGGGCGAAAAGCCCAAGAGCCGCGGTAGCTCTCGGGACCGCAAAACACAAATTTCGACGAAGTTGTACGAATCAACCCCTGACCTGCCAGGTGCTATTGAGCGCGCAGCTCAAGAAGAAAATCGTGAGTACATGTGCCCAAGCGTTGGTCGGTACAATGCCCTAACGCTTGTCTCCATAGGTGCTCAGGAGAGGTGTCCCCATCCGTCAGAGGTTAGGAAAGTGGGTACGGAGTCGGAGGCCTTCAACCTAGCCAAGAAGAACAAGCCGCGTTTCGCCAATCTCCTCTCTCGCTCCCGCTCAATCAGGCTCGACGACTCATCCATGACCAGAATAGCAAATCGGCGTCCATCTACTAGCCTCATGCGGCTCGAAGAAAATACCAGGAGGGAGGTTCAGGAACCCCCAAAGACAGCACCACGTCATGAGCGCGGAATTAAGACAGCCGGGAATCCTACGGCTCGCAACTATACCGCCGACCGTCCCGCAGAATATCATCACAACAGCCATTTGCGCAAAGACAAATACTACGGCGCATCGATGGTTCCGTCCGCCTCGCTGAGCCAGGTGTCAGGCGCTTCAGCTGCGCTGTTCAATAACCTCAAACAGTCCTCGAGTGGTGCTGCTGATCGGATCGGCAAGGCAGGGAAAGGGTTCTTCGGCAAGATTACCAGGAGCGGGAGCACGAATGAGCGGGAGCTCGTGAACGATGACAACTACATCTGCTCGGTGATCAATCTCCCACTTATACAACAGGCCAGGCGGACTCGCATCGCCAAACGGCTTGAGGATTGTCGAGACAAAACTGAGTTTTGGATGCCTGCTCTACCATATCGCTGCGTTGAGTAAGAAACATCACTTACGTGTTTGATTTGAGCCGGTCGCTAACACTACACCAGCTACCTCAATTTCAAGGGATGTGAGGAGGAGGGACTATATCGAGTCCCCGGCAGCGGCAAGGAGGTGAAACATTGGCAAAGACGATTCGATACGGGTATGCTTTTCTATAAACGCTCTTGTTTTTCCTGGTCTAATATCGTCACTCAGAGCTCGACATCAATCTTTTTGACGAGCCAGATCTCTACGATATAAACACCATCGGCTCCATGTTCAAGGCATGGCTTCGAGAATTACCGGATGAGCTCTTCCCCAAGGAGACGCAAGCCATGATCGCCGAGAAATGCGAGGGTGCGACGACTGCACCGCAAATGCTCAAAGATGAACTTTCCAAGCTGCCACCCTATAACTACTACCTTCTCTTCGCTATCACCTGTCATCTAAACCTCCTCCACTCCTATGTTGACCAGAACAAGATGGACTACCGCAACCTTTGCATTTGCTTCCAGCCTTGTATGAAAATCGATGCGTTCTGCTTTCATTTCCTTGTGTGTGACTGGAAGAACTGCTGGCAAGGCTGCTGGACGGAGAAGGAATACCTCCAGATTGAGAAGGAAATGGATGAAAAGGAAAAAGCAGCCCCAACGAATCATGAAGCAGTTCACGATTATTACCAAATTCCACATAACGACGAAAGAGCCGTATCCTCCGGTAGCAGCCAACCTGCAACCGAAGAAGAGCCACCACGCCCGGCATCGCCGAAAGGCCGCAAGCACAAGCCTAAGAACATCGAGACCTCACATGCGAGAAGCGTGTCACAGCTCCCTGAACTTGGCCCCCCACTTTCACCCATCCAAATCTAACCGAAATGACGCCCGAGTCTCAGGTGGCAATCTTGCCCTGCGCTGATCTTCACCAATATCCATTTCCTTGCCCGACTAGGCTGGCCTACATGTCAGATTTCACATTTCATCATGTGTTAGGTCTGGGACTGGATCCGCAGGTCTAGCATAATGACTGAAATTATAGCTTTTTGATTGTGATTCGGATCACTCGCCAATCCTCATTATTTCGCTCTAGACGTTGGCACACATGAATTCCCAGCTTTCGATTTTTATGCCTCCATCGGTTTTTGCTTTGCGACGACTTTCAGCTATATTGGGTCCTTCTCAGACTGCATGCCTGGCGCCTTGGAGTCGGTTTACTTTGGTTTACATGATGTTCACACTTTGTTGTACAAACCTTTCTCTTCGTTTTCCCTCCCTATGCTTTCACAATTTCTCCCCCATCTATGGCAATCTTGGCGATCTATTCCTTCACAGCCTTTTTGGAATCATTGTACGCATGTATTCTCCTATCTCACTTCCCACCGGTTCATCCATTGATTCCCCCATCTGAGCTGTTATGGCGCGTTTGTCCGAATTCGGCAACTTATGCTTTCTTTTTTTGCTTTTGCTTTGTACGATACTAGATTTCTGGAGTACTCTGATACATAGCTGTAAGATAGACCAACGACTGGCCATGCATCGAATTGAAACTTCGAAAGACTGAATGATCTATTTGTCGCGTTCTACAGGACACCGTGGACTATCTAGTACATGCAAGGTCAGAACTCAGCCCCCGGTTGTGGACCTCATGCAAACGGGAACAAATAAAGCTATGAAAAAGAAAATAGGGGTAGTAAATTGTGATATTGCTTTTTGAGCCCGGGAGACAATGGTCCAATCGGGCAGCGTTGACATCCAAGACCAGCGACTCCAAACCAAACGCCCTGATAAGCCCCAGTGAAAGAACGAAAACGAGGCAAGATTGAAAAATGTTACAACCTCATCGACTTGTCGAATCGTTATCAGACACACACGACACCCTTTATCCACCACCAGACTTCCGAGTCTTGCGCTCATTGGATCTCATTTTCCGCTCGTTACGGCGTATCCTGTCCTTGCGTTCGGCACGCGATATTCCACGAATCGAGCTTCCCTTCGCTGCCGCCTCCTCCTCCTTCTTCCAATCCTTCTCGTTCACCTCAACCAGCCAATCATCATCCGACTTGTTCTTTCCCTTGTAGCCCCAGCGAGGCACCCACTCGCCCTTCTCCTCATCGTAGACCAACTTCTTGCGGCGCTCCTTGTCGGCCAATGCAGCACCGGGCTTGCTGCTAAATTTGCCAATACCCTTCTTGCGGGCGAACAGCTCCCACTTGGTCGGCGGCTTGGGAGTAGGCAAAGGCTTGTGGCGGGGGAGCACGGTGGCCGGGGAGGGGAGGGACAGAAGGACTCCCTGCTGGGAGGAGCTGATCGGGCAGGTGGTCAAAAGCTGGTTGAGGAGAGACTGAGTGCCATCCCGGGCTGCGGCCTTTAGAGAGACGTCCAGCGGTTCCGAGCGGGAGATCTCGAGCGGGTTGGGATCGTTCGCAAGCAGGTGGCCGAGATCAAATGTGTATGGAGTGGGCTTGGAGACCGTCACGGGCCTGATCCATCCTCTACAATCAGTATATACTGTATAGATAGAGATCTGTCAACCGGGCGATAGGAATGCATTGACTTACAGTCTCTCCTGCTTTGCCTTAAAGTCAGTCGACGCCATCTTCGATTGTGGTCGCACGGAAGGCGACAAGACACTTGGATGACGGGGTTGAAAGGATCGCACAGAGACTCCGATGCGAGATGGAGAACTGGGCGCAAAGGGAAACGAATGGCTTTTGACCGATCGGGTAAAGGAAAAAAAAAAGTTCGGGAAATAAAATCCGCCCGCTGCTTTTAGGCCCCGCTCACCGCCTGCGGTTTCAGCGGCACTGGCGCTAGACCCAGACAGGCAAGGGACGCAATCTGCGTCGAGGCTCCAAAATGTGCTCCGAATTTCAATCCATTCCTTGTCTTTGGGCGACCTTCCGCGCAACCTCCGCTCCCCCATCCCCGCCGCAACCCCCGTCGACCCTTAGAACACTGGCCACGGTGCCAGTGTGCCGCAGCACGATGGTTTCCTCCTTCTGTTGGAGCTGCCTTACCCGGCTTCCCCCCGCGCCTCGAGCCATCCTCCCGCCGACCTTAACAGCACAGCGAGTAGCGTCATTTCACACGTCCACCGCGCTTTTCTCGTCGCCGATCAGGAAGAAGAAGGGCGAAGTGGCTCCGGCCAAGTTCCGCCAGGCTAAGTCCGCCAAGATGAAGAAGAAGAAGCCGGTGGAGAGGACGCGTCCTCCTGCCGTCGGAGAGCGCAAAGCACTCAAGAAACGCATTGTCCTTAGCAACCCCAACGCCCTTGAGGTCGAAGGTATGCAGGATCTCTCGGCGGAGAACATGGTGGATGCGCGCCTTCGCGGATCAATCCTTAGCCTTCCGGTGCCAATGCTCGATCAATTGAGAGCAGTTCAGGCCTTCAAGCCCAAGCAAGGCTGGTCCATATTCCGTCGGCCCGGAACTGTGGTGAGACGGGAGACGCTCGAGCTGGGAAGACTCATTGACGGCATCTCCGGTGAGGGTGAGAACAAGGGAAGGGTTGTCAGGAAGATTGTCACCGGTGTGAGGGGTTCCGGAAAGACTGTCCACCTGCTGCAGGCCATGTCGATGGCTTTCACCAAGAACTGGGTTGTTATCACGGTCCCTGAGGGTGAGTTTGTCGCAAGTGCATGTATACGTCTACATCGAAATACTGACGAGGCCATCAGCCCAGGATCTAGTCATTGCCAACACTGCCTACGCCCCGCTCTCCGATGAGAACCCAGACGTCTATGTCCAAAACGATGCCACCGCCGCTCTCTTGTCTCGCACGGTAACCGCCAACCAGAAGGTTCTGTCCACGCTGAGCGTCTCCCAGACACACCCGGCCCTCAAGTCGGCCGTCAAGCCCGGCATGACCCTGGAGGATCTTGCCAAGCTCGGTATCCAGGACCCTGCCGCTGCCTGGAACGTCTTTCAGGCCTTGTGGACTGAACTCACCGCTACGGCCCCGGCTCCCGGTTTCGAGGAGAGCTTCAAGTCTCGTCCTCCCATGCTTGTTACCCTGGATAATCTGGCCCACTGGATGAAGGATTCCAAGTACAACAGCATCGATTGCAAGCCCATTCACGCACACGACCTTGTGTTTGTCCAGCACTTCCTCTCCCTGCTGAAGCCGAATGCCAACAAGCCCACTCTCCCCAACGGTGGTCTTATCCTTTATGCCACCTCCGCTTCCAACGGCCCTACCATCTATGGTGTTACCGTCGCACTCAAACAATTGGCCGCTCGCGAGGCTGGCGTCAAGCCGTCCTCTCCAGAGTACCCCCAGGCTGATCCGTACCTCAACGCGGACAAGCGTGTCCTTGCTGTCTTTGAAGACATCAAGTCCACTGCCCCCAAAGAAGGCGCTCTCGAACTCCAGACTATGGGCGGTCTCACTCGCGAAGAAGCCCAGGGTTTTATGGAATACTTTGCCCACAGCGGTCTCCTTCGCGAAAACATCACCGATGAGTGGGTTGGCGAGAAGTGGAGTCTGGCTGGAGGCGGTGTTATCGGTGAGCTCGAGAAGCTCGGAAGACGGCTAAGAGTGGTTGCTTAGACGAGTTTCCTCCGCGTCATGCTCTGTAGAGATCACCTTGTCTTTTGTTTTTGTCCCCCGATTTCTATTTACTTCCCATCCTGCTGTGCCATTGGATGGATTCGAGAATCTCTGTATTGTATTTTATCTTTAGGCTTCTTGCGCGTGTCTGTATGCATATAATGGAATTCGAAATATATTTTTCCATCTTTCAGCATCACCATTGATAAGCAGTCCTTCGCCCTTACAATAAATATACCAAAGCCTCTATTGAACACGTAACGTGCATCATTCAACGGATCGTGATACAACACTGAAGTAGAAAGCAGAAGATAAGTCATATCAGTCTAAGACATTTCCAGTCACATAATATCAACAAAGTCAATAAACTCATTCATTGCCAGATGACAAACAAACGATTTTAGCAGGACAAGATCGACAGATGAACGAACACCATCACTACATGGCAACATCATCAACATCATCAACATCACCAACAACAGCGCATCCTTCATATCGCAGCCGCTTTAGGCCGCCTCTCATGGATGTGTGGCCCTCCACAATCGCAAGGCCGCCCGAGTACTCGCTCCAGAGTAATTTTGGTGGCTTTTGGATCGTTGGGGTGGATATATGGTATCCGAATCTCTTCACCTTTCTGGATGGGTTTGGTTGACCACACGAGCAGGCGATTGGGAACCTCAGGATCGTAACCCCACATTGCGTTGTGAATTTTAGGACATGCATGATTGAAGAGACTGAAGCCTGGGTATAGGTATAGTGCGTGGAAGGTAGGATCGAGTATGGCTAGGTCCTCGTCCTCGCCAGACAATGTCACTTGGATGGTGCCTTTGGGGATCTTCTTTTCGTTGATTATCTCTGTTGGTTTGCGCAGCTCGGGATCCCAGGGGACGATGTGCGCGGTAAGCTTTTTCAGAATGAGCTGGATTACCCAAGTGTCGAAAGCGAGGTCGCGAAAGATATCGACGCCGAGCTGCATGAGAATATCAAAAGGGACTTGCACGTTGCCGGCTAAGGTGAAGGGGAAGCTTTGGTTTTGCCAATTCTGAGGGCTTTCGAGCACAAGAAGTTCGTCGATTTCGTGTGCCATGAGATGGGGGTCACGTTCGCGTCTGTGGAGTGTGATGTCAAAGACCTCGCGAAGAAGAAGGCTCAATAATGTTGTGTGGGCCTCGTTTGTATGCGTGTAATATAATCCCTTGGGTTCGGTTCCTCTCAATTCATCCGTAATTGGCCGCATGGCGTTGTGAAGCCATTCCCAGTCCTTTCCGCATGCTCGAAAGTGATATCGGGCTCGAGCATTCTCGGCGCAGGCTTCATCCTCTTGGTTTGGCGCAGGGCAGAATGCAATGGGCATTTGCTTTGAGATGCATCGGCACGTTTCGCGTAGATTCCCTTGCTGGACCCCATTGCTGTAGGTCTCCTGGTGTCCAGCGGGGAGGCCTCTCTGGCAATTGTCACATCGTAAACGTGGCTGAACAATTTGGCCCTTCGACAGCTTGCGCAGATTGAGATGGCCTCTGATAGGAGGGACCTCAACGAAGATTATCTCCTTGGCCTTGATGTCTTCGGTAGCAACTATACTCAACTGTGCACCGTTGTTTCTTCTGTTGTCGACGTGAACCTTACACTTGTTCCAAGGGAGGCTTCCATTTTGGTTGATGAAAATCTCCGTCGCCTTTTCCACAAATTCGTCCGCAGAACGGTCCTTATCGTCTGCGTCATGTGGGTACCCTCTTTCTCCAAAAACGTTGCCGGCTCTTTTCTCGTAAAAGAAGTATTCAGGGGCCGTCTTGGACTTAGCCGGGGTGAGGAGTTTGATAATGGGTTCCATGACATCATAACGGTTTTCGGACAGTATCTCATCCCGCTCCATGTGTAGCTTCTTCCCGAGCTCTTTTTCTTTGATAGAATAGTCGTCCCAGCATTGGAGCGCGGCGAGACTGAGGCTGATAACGTGCCGGATCGCTTTCCGAAGAGTGTGACCAAAGTAATTGATCCCATTAAGGTTGCGCAATAAATCAACTTCGGCATACAACTTCCCAGTTGCAGGATCTCTATCCCGAGCTCTAATGTGCTGCTCCACAGCTTGCCACGTCCGAGTATAGAGCCCAGGTTGGCGGTTCCGGCATGAGGGGTCCACGAGCACCTCACAAAGTAGCTGCGCTCGATAAGCATCTCCGACAGCAAGATCGAAGAAGGCGTGTTGATAGTGGCAATAGGCCCGACTCAGCCAATAGGTCGGGTTGTATGGGCTGACAAGGATAGCGCAAGTGTACATGTCAAGGGGCCCTATTTCATTCTCGTCCGTGATCTCAATAGCGTACTTGCCGGTATCACCTCTTTGGATCCCCCAGTGGGACAGGTCACTTCGTGGTAAGACACGGTATTTTCGATAAATTTTGCGTTTATCGTCCCGGAGACGCTGGCGTAATTGGGCTGCTGTGCCTACATTGGAGATGTTTCGTTTTTCGAGCGCATCTCTCAGCTGCTGGACTTTCATGGCCGAAATGAGCTGTCCGGCCACACGATTAGGATCCTCCGTTATCGCCCCAAGGTCAAAGCCTTGGCCCCCGAAGATGTCGTTGAATGACCAGGTTTGGTTTTGCAGTCCAGAAGCTGCCCATCTCTGCACCCAATCTCCGGGTGCGAGTGGCTTAAGGTGGTCTCGCACCATGTGGTTATAGACATTTCTGGCCAGTGCATGCAACGGATGTGCTTGCAATTCTTCGCCGCTAGTGCGCCTGAGGGAAGGAGACTGTTCTCCCAATCCACGTCCAAGCAAAGAGTCCGGAAGTGACCAGAAACGACGGGCAATCTTTGCATCATCTCTACTCAGATGCGGTGTCCATCCAACCTCATCGTATAGATCAGGCCTTGGAGGGAACAGAGGTGGTGTGACTGTTTCATGGCCCGGAGTGGAATCGTAGGGATTTTGCCTTGACGATTGGGACGATTGGGACATTTTGTTCGCAGGCTGCAATAGGTGCCGTGAAGCGAATGCCAACCGAGTCCGGGTGATGTTTCGCAAAATGGAGCAGAAGGTGTGATCGATAGATTATATGGGACATATATTCTTTCACGTAGGCCTCTACTCGACACGAAGGAAAAGCCAGAGGGAACAAAGGGTCCAGAGATAGAGAGTTCAAACTGACGGATCCTGTCCCAGAAACAGACCTTCTTTGAACCCCTTGAAAGGAAAGAACCTCGTGGCAAAGTTTCCAGACAAAGAATGGTCCTTTGTACCTACATGTTGTTATTTTGCGCGAGAAACGGTTCTCGTTAGCCAGGAAAGCCTCATGCGCGCCCCGTTGCCATTGTCGTGCAAGCAGCGAGACCTCGTATGAGCGCTGTGGCTGGTCCTCTGGGATACCTGACGGGCATAGGTAGTACTTAGTGTTCAGAATGATGCTGATGATCTGCGAGGGTCATCATCGGCCTATCTTGGTCGGGCATACTCCATAGTGAGCGATCATTTTGAGATGCCGATTCCATTATCGGTTAGGCAGCCAGTTCGCTATATTGAATCAGTTACCAGTTACCAGTTACCAGTTACCAGTTACCAGTTACCAGTTGCCAGTTACCAGTTGCCAGTTACCAGTTGCCAGTGAGTAAAGTGTAAAGTGTAAAGTGTACGGGGAGTAGAGAGAGTGGACCTTGGATGGATGCAGAAGGTGGGGGAAGTGCGGGCGATGGCGTCGTCGATGGAAATGGCATGGCGCCCATGGATAAATTTAGCGATTTCGGCACAGCCTCCGGCGCTTGGGAAGTACTTGATGTACCTACTATGTAGTACATTGTAGATCCCCCATCTACCTAGGTACATAGTAAGTATATGCCAGGGAGAGGGAGAGGCTGAGATAAACGTAAGCCAACAGTGACTTTCATCCGGTCAGCCGATCCAGTCAGTCTGCCTCGTGGTACTCGTGTCATTCTGTCAGTTTCCCCCTGACTTCTTCTGACTTCTCCTGACTCCTCCTGACTCCTCCGCTGACTGACGACTGACGCCTGACGCCTGACGCCTGACTTGGCGCCGCCTTTCTTTTTACCTTTGTACACCTTTGTCTCCCCGCATTGGACACGACCTGTCGCATCCCGAATACCAAAAGAATTCCTAGAATTCCTGACAATGTACGGATCGCATTCTGGTCAACAAGGATCGGCTCCTCCGCAGCCCGAGTGGCGTCTGCAGTCAACGACGCAGCGACCACCACCACAACCTTCGCAACCTTCGCAACCGTCATGGCGAGCTTCGTCACCGCCTCCTCCGCCTCGCCCTCCTCGTCCGACATCGTCGCCATACGACCCCAATGCCTATGGCCAGATTTCCAGTCCTTCTCCGGCTGTGGATGTGGGTACAAGTGTATCCCCAGTTCCTGGCATTGCGGATGCCGATACCACGCCCTGGGGAGTCAAGTATAACAGGCACCAACTTTATGCGCAGTCCCCCCCACCACTACCTGTGAGTGTTAGTCTTATCCCTTGGGGCTCGCAATTCCCCGACTGACAAAGGCGATCAGCCTCGGCCCTCAAGTACGGCACAATCACCCCAGCCGCAGTCTCCAATCGTAAGTCCGTTGGATTCCACCCAGCCTTTACCAGCTGGTCCGGGTTTGGCAACCCAGCCTGCGATAGACCCCTATCAGCAGTGGTCGACAACTCCATTTGCATCCCAACAGCCTGCCAATAATCTGCCATCGCAACCTCCGCCACCTCATCCTATTCCCACGGGCTATCAGAGCTCGAATTCGCAGCAGAGCAACCCATGGCAGCAGCAGCAACAGCCGCCGCCACAGGGGCAACTACCACCTCCCCCCTATTCTGGCGTTTCTCTTGGACAGTATCACAGTTCCTCGGTTCAGCAGTTAGCAACTTTGCCAGTCAACCCACAACTTGCAGGGCACAATGCACCCGGCTCCGGCATTTCGCAGACCCCAAGTCCCCAGCAGACCACTTTTTCGCCGTATCAGGAGCAGTTCCCTGTGGCTGCGACCGTGAGTACGGAGTATGGTGTACAGCCGACCGCTGCTCCGCCAGTGCCTCCCAAGACCAGCCCCATCACTGCCCCGACTAGTGCTTCCATTCTGGGCTCTGGCGGTCCTTCCGATTGGGAGCACTTGTCACCTATTCCAGGGAGCATTGATGATTCGGGAGCTTTCGGTCCCAGACGCCAAGCGTCACCCTCTTTGAACTCGGCACTCGGGGTTTGTTCGAGCCAGCCAACAACTCTGGCTGGGCCAATTAGACATGATACGTCCATTAGCCCTACCACGCCTACAGGACATCTATCCCATGTGGACGAGCGGGGTCAGCGTGAAGGCTCTCTGGGCAGTCCAAGCAAGGTGCAAGATTATCAAAATCCACCCCGTCCAACTAGGATGGAAAGTGCTGGGTCCGTTCCTGGTCATGTTTCCATGTCTGAGCCTTCTGAAAGCATTGATGGCATCATTGAAGCTTGGACTAAGCCTATATCCTCGCCACCTTCATTTGAGCAACATCCTCAAAGCTTAGAGTCCAGGGCTGGTACATCGGAAAGGCCTAGCCCGGTTGAAACTCACAAGCCAAAGCAGGATTTCGCGCTCCCTCGGAAGCAAGTTCGGTCTGCGTCAGCCTCGGCAGAGTCAGATGCTGCCACCAACGAGGTCAACACGGAGAAACGGACAATTCTTCCTACGTTTGTATCACTCGACCCGTACGATGATCTTGATCCCTGGTCCAAATCCTCGCTAGAACGTTACGTTGCAATGTTGCGAAAAGAGGCGGTGGCCGACTCCGACGCAGAGCGTTTCAGTTTGTTCATGGCTTTTATAGCTAAAGAAACAAAATTACGAGAGATTCTATTTAATGTTGAGGCTATCTCGACGCCTGTGGACGATGATGCCGGAGGGGGTTCGCGACAACCGACGCCCTCTCTGCAGGAGTCAACCGATAAGGGTGATGACGACATTCCTCCTGTGGAATCCGGTCTGATACCAGTTGAAACCGATGATGATTATTTCATCTCCGCCAATAACCATGATGACTCAGAAGATGGAAGCTACAGCCCCGGAGGGCGCCCGATTCTTCCCATAGCACAGACGCCTAGTGCAACAAGTCTGAAGAGATCGGCTTCACGGTCCACATCGGAGCCACCCTCCATGCTGAATGACTCGGGACGTGAACACACTCTGCCCCCTCTAACCACTAACCCCCCACAGCCTATCTATACACCGTTCCGCTATACCGAAGGTCCCCAACGAGGCTCTGATGAGCTTGTGTTCGATCAGCCTGCTTATCAAGCCTATTCAGCTCTGCGGCAGGCGTCGGCAGAGAGTGGGCGGGTGATGTCAAACGCCCCCGCCTCAACTTCCCCGGAGAGATCAGGTTCCGTGGTGCCCTCAAGTCAGAACGAACGTGATGAGACGTTCATTGGACTTATCAGGGAAAAAAGCGTTGCCTACCGCAAAAGGGCACCCCGGAAAACGCCCTCCCCTCCACCACTACCGGCTTCTCTCAGGCATGGCAAACCAGCTGGTCCTATCGAGGTGTTGCGCTCAAAGGTATTATCGCCATTGGCTAAGCAATCAGAAAGTTCTTGGAACATGACCACTAGAAAGAATCTGGAAAGCTTCTCGTGTGATTTCGGTTATATTAAGGAAGCAGTAAAGACTTGGGAGATTTCGAGCAAGCCTCGCAGAGAGAAAGTGGACAAAGAGCGAATCCAACGCCAGGAGCAGTCAGAAAAGCGCATCGATGCGCTCTTCAACGGAAAGGAAATTGGCTATGCCGATATCAACGTGCTGGAGGAGGAGTTCCGTCAGAAGGAGGCTCGCGCCCAGCTAGAGGAAGAAAGACAGGAGCTGGACGAGTTTGTTGCCAATGTTTTCGAGCCTTTGGATCGGCGCTTGAAAGAAGAAGTTACAGCTCTTCAGACGCACTATGAGTCTGCGCTTGCTCAGCTCAATCATGAAAACAGCCGGATCAAAGATCCGATCACTGACAAATACAACTTGTCGCCTACGATGAAAACAGTGAATGAGATACATCGTAAACTTGAAAGACGCTTCCAGAAACGCCTGGAAATTGCTTTGGATCGCGAGCGCCGGCGGAAGAAGGCCGAGAGGCGGCCTCTTGTTTTCATGGGCGACTCTCTGGCCCTTAAGCGAGTGGATAAAGAGTTCGATCAGATGGAGAAACGAAACATCCTTGAAGCGGCTAGAGAACGGGATGAGAGAGCCAATAGACTGATGGACTCTTTTGATGATGCCATTATGCACGGTCTAGGTGAAAACCAGAGCCGTCTTGATGAAGTTGCTACGAAGGTGACCAGGGTGGATGTTGCGACCATTCGCTCGTCTGCGTTGCCGGAGTCCGAAGTTGAACAGCTGCTGAAGTCGGTTTACGAACTGGTTGAGTCTCTGCGTCAAGATTCCGAAGCTATATTACACAATTTCGGTATCGCCGATTCGATACTTAATGATGCGGATTACAGCGTTTCTGTCGCCGAGGCGCGTTACTCGGAAGCGGATGCTGACGTTTTTCGTCGGCTTGGTGACGAAAAGCGGAAGGAAGACGATAAGATCCAGGCGAGCCTGAAGTCCAAGTTGGAGAGTGTCAAGGCCGGCCCAGCGAAGATCATCACTAGCATAAACGACCTACTGAAGTCTTTGGGCAAGGCTCCTATCATTGAACAACAGGCTAACCAGCAGTCCCTTACCGACGCGCTTGCCCCAGCGTCCCATCTTCCTACGGCCACTCTTGCACAGCGGAAACCCGAGGAAGATCCAGAGCACCAAGAGCGGCTCCGTAGAGCATTGGAAAATGCGAAGAAGAGAAACGCCGCAAGGAAGAATACTGAATCAAGCTGCTCTTGAGAACTAGCAGATGTGGATCCGTTCTCGTCCCGGCTGGGGGCTTCTTTCTATCGGATAGATTACTCATGATGAAACGGATTCCTCTCTATCTTACAATTCTTTTGCACACTTTTGTGATTGTTACTCCATCTGTTTACTTTACTTTTTTTTTTTTTACTACCCATTCAACTTCTGCAATACTGTTCAAGTTTTTAGAAGACGGAAGCTTCTATTCCATAATCATTGTGTAAGCTAAATTCCAGGAGATAGTATCACTTTTTGGTAGTCAAATCCCCAACCATTCGCTGTAGAGACGGGGGGGGGAGAGAGAAGAAGCCGGCTTGAGGAAGGAGGCTCTTGTTGCCAGCGGTCACGGGGGGGAGGGAAGGGCAACGCAGCTCCCCACAACACTCACATTTGACTCCCCTCGTCAAAATCCCAGAGCTTCCAGGATGCCCAGAGCTTACAGCCACAATTGGCCTGGTTGGATAGCTCATCCTCTGTTGGTGCCACCTATCTGGCATGCCATATCTGAAACACGGTCATCCTATGTCAAGCGCCCACGAAGGAATAGCCAGTCAACCTTCACCTTGGCTCTCCTTGGGCGTGAGTCAGCAGCTTCTTACTCCTTCATCTGCGATAAGCATTCATTGCAATTATATGAGAAACATTTATTTCTACGTGGACATTTGAGCTGATAAGTTCGGTGGGCGCAGAAAGAAGGACCCAGTTTAATGAGGCACTATGGGAAACTCCGGAGCTTTTTCAAAACACCACTTATACCATTGTTACGTTATCGGAAGGAAGATACATTGATAAGAACCGGAACTCGCAGATACTCGACAGACATGCTGCTACATGGAGGTCGTCGATGATTGCAGGCCACGTCGATAGTGTGCTGCACACAGCATCCAGAAGGCTACAGAAGTCTCTGGCCCAGTGGCCCAGTGGCACAGACTTGCGCTGCGGGAAGTGTCGCATGTTTACCCATCTTGACTCTCTAGGGGCGCAAAGCGATAGGCGATCCGAGTGTGTGGTCGAGAGGAGGGGCGCCTATTCCCTTCCCGCAAACTCTCTATAAGCGAATCGTGGGTGGCCATCACCCACCATGGAAAACCATGGTAACTGATGACCCAGTTGCTGAGGCTGCGCCGCTTGTGCCACATGGATGGAAGCATTAACCACACTTCATATCGCCGCAGGTGTGATCCACTCGTGGGTGGCCATCACCCACCATGGAAAACCATGGTAACTGATGACCCAGTTGCTGAGGCTGCGCCGCTTGTGCCACATGGATGGAAGCATTAACCACACTTCATATCGCCGCAGGTGTGATCCACGATAGATTGCGGCGTGCCATGAAATCCGGCCTTTTCACACGGAGCCTTAGGGTGGCTTTGGCCAAGTGGTACCCGCGGCCCATAAGTCCCATTCAGCTGTATTACGAGGCCGAGAAAGGTCAACTTCTTTCGGCCATTGACTGGCGTAGAAATGCAGTGCCACCAGGTGCACCCTCCGAGGAAGGGCCAATAGTTTAATTCCCCATAGGAATTTCCATGTTGGATAGAAGACGCTGGCGAGGAGGGAAAAGACGCTGCCCAGCTTGCGGCGACACACAATCAAGCAGTGCTTCGATCCTGTCTTCTTTTGCAGACGGCTGCCGCCTGCTATTAGAACCTGCGCCGCTGACCTAGTATCTGCTGCGACGGCACAGCTTGCCAAAGGACTGTGCATCACCCATCCGGCACATCTAGCTTATGATTACAGGCTGCTCGGATGTACCAACTTGGCTGTACATTATGATTCGTGCAGTTTGGTGCACATGATTGCTTCTGGCTCTCAATATGGTTCAGCGGAAGGTCCTGTGATTTCCAGGTTCCCCAGTCCTGACTCCTGCTACCGGAGCTACGCCGAGAGTACAAATCTGCGTTGCCTCTGCATTCAGGACGCAGGAGTTCATGATTTCTGCGCCAAGCTGCGGTAAAACTATGATGCCATCGCAAACCAGGGATTTCCATACCATTGTGGCGCGTGTATGCTCGCGTACATCCGAGTGACAGTTCCATATTCCTTTATGCGGCGAAGTCAGGGGCTACCGATGGCGTTGCCCGGGCTCGGGGACGAGTCAAATTTCAACAGTAGATCTGGTCGAACCCTTCATTGTCACTGTGGCAGAGAGGCGATTGCGGCAAGCTTGGGGCATTTGCTGGTCACAAGTACCCGCTTCCATCCTTGGTTCGGAACAAACTCTATATAAATCGGTCTCGCCGTTGCAAACCAACAAATACAAATCCTGTCCAGGGGACACCTGAGCCAAAAGTAAACCTATTGAGAGTCATTACTCATGTCTGCCCCAACCAAACAGTTCCACGACCTTTCGATCACTGGTGATATGCCGATGACACGCTCCCAGACCGAGAGAGAGCCACCTCCAAATGACAGCGATAGCAGCGAGCTCCTTGAAAGCGGAAGCGACGAGAGTGATGCTGGGGATGGGGTCTCGGCTGTCTCCTCGTCCATACGAGGAAAATCAGGGATTACCTATGACCTCGCCAAACTTGATTCCGACTGCGAGGCCAAGGCTCTTGTTGGGTTGACAAGCCAATTCAATGTGGCCAGCTGCTGTGCGACACCAACAGGGTTTGATTTCCAATTCACAGAACATCCTCGGGTTCACATCGGTTCAAAAGGATATACGTGCACCTGTTCGACATTTTCAGCCCGACCTAGCGTGGTCTGCCAGCATATCTTTGTGAGTAACCTCACGCCCCCACCTGATTTAAAATTTTCCTCTTTCCTCCGGCGTACTGACCCCCAGCAAAAGTGGCTCCTTGATCAGCTTCATGGCTGTTTTCTCCCACAGTCTCCTCCCTCCGGCATACCTCTGTCGAGCGATGGACGTCTACCGAACTTTGGGCGGGTGGAACACCTCTTGGATGACAAGCTGGAAACTATTGCAGACCAGCTGAGTTGGCAATATATTCGCTCCGAAGCCGAGGGTGGAATGAGCCGCCAGGAGATGGTTCGAGACATCTTGTCTGCCTTCAACACGGCTATACTGCCAGAGGACTTCCGTCTCGACCTTCTCGATGATGCGAGACAGTCGCGTACTCCCGAACAGTGCGTTGTGCAGGGGGACTTCGAGGCCACGATGTTTCGGCTCGCTGTGCACGATGACGGGGTTTATTCTAGCCTCTGCAAGGCAATGCCCATAGGAGCCTGCGCGGTGATTTATTTCGACAAAGTGCACCACAGACTGCGGACGTTATTGGCAGATTTTGATCGGTACTGTCTGACAGGGCAGGCTCCGAGTGCAGCAGCCGGCATGGACGTTGAGTCTGTAGTCAAGGACATCCAACGCAGCGTTGGCCGTGTCCGGGAAAACATCATCATTCGAGCACCACACGGTATGGAAGGGGCTGCGAAAACCTTGGTCACCCTGTTGGAGGATATTTGCAGCCGCAATAGGGATGCGCTGGAAGGGAACGACTGGGGCCGAGCGACATTCCACGGGGAGGATGAGGACCAACGCAATCTATTTCATCGGCTTATTGGAGGAGACACCGATGAGACTGGCGAATCTTTTATTCTCGACGCCCTCGAGTATTTGCCAGCTTCGGATCTTCACCAATTTGTGGGTAGGCTGAAGGCCATCCTACACCGAATTGAAGTGGACCGAGCCCCGAAGGCCTATATACTCCAACTCAGCTCGCTGATCCGTGCTGCAGAAACCCCCCTGGCGAATGCTGGTCAGAAGCGACCGTCTTCAGCTACGAGTCGGGGCGACAGCAAGCGCACCCGGTGAGATAGACTGAACTCTACTGTTGGAGAGCAACAGTTGATCGATTACTGCATGATTGGGCGGCTTTTCTCATTGATACACTCTTACACCATTGTCTGCATTTTGTGAAGCGCCAGTTGTTTCAATCCATTAGCTTGATAGATGGCACAATGATTCTTGTCTACCTACCCAGCTGGCCTGGTATCGGTAATCCTCCCCCATGACGTGATACCGTTTCCTTTGTTCTAAGTTTTCCTTTGTCCCTTCCTGGGAATTGCACCGCCACCAGCTGCCACGGTATACTTCCAACCTTGTGGATGGGATGACACAAGCACCGAGGCAGTCCCATGGTTGCGTGCGTACCAAAGAATGTACCCTGGCATGATCATCCAACCTTATTACCACTCACTGTCGCCGCCGACCCGAGGGGACGGTTCAATACGATCCCAGTACCGTGGTTATTGCCCAGCTCCCAATCCATCACTGGGACAAGAATCCGGTTCTTTCTCGCACTCAGATACCCATCCCAGAAACCCCGTCTTTGGTACCAACCGGATAGAGAAAATTGAGACTGAGTCAATTACCAGCCGTCAGTTCAAGGCCGCATGACGTCTACGGACACCAGTCCTCGGTTCCACTAGGGAGGTGTCGAACTGCCGGTGGAACTTGTGTAACCATGAACGCGAACGTGCAGACCAATAGGCGCGTACTGAATAGAGTTTGGCATGTCTACACTACACCCCCATGCCTGAGGCCGGATGGGTCCCTCCCAGCTGCTCGGTACCCTGGCCCGCGGAATCGGGTATATCGCAGTCGGAGAATCTTACCCCGTGCGATGATTGAGAATTGTGCAGTACGTAGCCATGAGGTGTCTACTAGAATAGTTCATTGAATACGTAGTGGGGAAAAAAAAAAAGCTTGACCCCAGAAGTTAGGACGATTTCGGTACCCGGTCCTTTGTCCTCCGCGTATCATTAACCGTCTCAAATTCAAGTTGCCCCGAGATTCCGCCGTTCCACTAATCATGTCGCCTAAATGCCGATTGACCTTACCTAGTATCTAGCTGCTGAATAACTTCCCATTGCGAAGCGGACAAATTCGCCGCTGGCGAACCAGAAGATTACCTCTACCGCTCTTTTACCCTACCGCCTTTCAGTTTCATTTTCCTTTTTTTTTTTTTTTCGTTTGCACTCGGCCGAGCCGGAAGCGGAAGCCTAAGGAGGACCTGAGTATTGAAAGCCGTATTTATGCCTAAGGCAGAGACCAGAGCAGGTATCTTGTGTATATGCAGAACGTGCCAGACTGATAGGCAGTAGGTAGTGCTATCTATACAGTTACTATTTATACAGTTATACTCCTTTCCAATCCTGTCCCAGTCGAATAGCAGCAGAAACCTAGCATGTTCAAACTCAAGCCGATGTTTTCGTCTTCGCCGAAGAGAGAGCTCAAATGTCAAGTGGGGCAAGATTTTCCGAAACTTCTTTCTTGTGGAAACTAGGCTTTTCTTTGGAGTATAGTGTCAACTATGGGACAATAGTTTCAACAATTGGCCGGCTGGCCCAATGGTAAGGCGCTTGACTACGGATCAAGAGATTGCAGGTTCGAATCCTGCGTCGGTCATTCTTTTTGGTTTTATGTGTCTTTAGGTTTGGTGGAGGGGAAGGCGTATTTTTTCTGTTTTTCTTTTCGTGGGCTGGAAAACGAGGGGTTGGTGGGTTGCTTTTTCTTACTCGTGTGTCGTTTGTTTGGCTTTATAGTGTTTGATCGGTGTCTTTGGGCCGGAGAATGGCGCGTTATTAGAGGTGTTTGTTGAGATATACTATCATGAATGAATAAATAAATAAGCAGAACTACGCTAATTACTCAGACAAATCAAGAACTACTCGCCCCTGCAGCTTACCTAAACTCATATCTTCAAAAATACTTGTCAATGCTTCCATCTTCTCTGTCCGGAAGTGAGCCTTGATGATCCCTCGCGCTGCGAAATTCAACGTCTCGATTGCCTCTTTTCGAGTGCCCACCGCGGACCCGGTGATGGTCATTTGCTGAGCGATCAGATGTCCGGGGAATGCGGCCGCAATGGCTTGAGGTGCGTTCTCGGGGATGCCCACGCACACGAGCGTGCCGTTGAAGCGCAGGAATAGCGGAGCTTGGGCGTATGCGATGTTGGATGCCGTGCATACGAGTACGGCGTGCGCTCCCAGGCCATCTGCTAGGGATTTAATGTGAGCGGAGATACCTTCGCCCCTATCATCGCGGGGGAACTGAGTGATATCGACGAAGTGTTCGGCGCCCGAAGCCTTGACTAGTTCTTCTTTGCTGCTGTGGTCAATCCCGATCACCCGGAGTCCCATGCCTTTGCTTGCAAGTTGCACGGCCAGGTGGCCTAGGCCACCTCCGGCGCCGGAGATTACGACCCACTGGCCCGGCCGGGCGTTGCTGCGCTTGAGTGCGGCGTAGACAGTGACGCCGGCGCAGAGCATCGGGGCTGCTTCGTCCGATGCGAGGCCGTCCGGGATCGGCGTCACGTAGTTGGCTGGGCCCAGGGTATACTGCTGGAATGTGCCGGGGGTGTAGTATCCCGAGACCTGGTGATTAAAGCACATTCCGTCTGCGCCCGCATGACAGGGCTCTGTGATGGTACATCGTCAGTAGAGGCCCGCTTGTCATTGTGAAATTGATAGAATACGACACCCACCGCAATTTCCGCATATGCCGGAGACCCATTTGATCCCTACCCTGTCGCCAATATTCAGGCCGGAGGCCTCAGCCCCGGGACCCAGCTTCACGATCTCCCCGACACCTTCATGACCGCCAACCTGGCCTGGCGGTGTGGGGTGGGGGAGAGTGCTCCACTGGTCAAGTCAGAACGGGCCTGGAGCTGGAATAATACGGCTCTATGCTCATTGCTCATTGCTCACAGTGTTGGTCATTACTCCATAGTCGGAATGGCAGACGCCTGAATGAGTCCTGCAGACACCCGTTAATCGAATGAAGCAGCCCATTGACCTCGATAAAGCTGCATCATGGATGTCCTCTGAGCGGACACACCGCAATAGACACTCGATAAGCAGACTTCACGTACAGATTGATCAGCACCTCGCCCACCCCAGGCTCGGGCACATCTAACTCGACGATTTTCGTAGACACAGTACCGGGCTGATCATAGATGGCAGCCTTCTGTTTTGCTGGGATTTCCAGCACAACAGCATCGCCGCTGCTGAGATTGGACACAGTCATATTCACGGGGTTATGGTATCTTCGTGGTCGCAGAGAGAGGGAGGAGGAATAATGGAGGGTGCGGGGAGCGAGACCCAGCGAGCGCAGATCGAGGGCGCAGCCTCTCTTTATCACGGGGGCTCCCAATCGATACGCTAAATGAACTGGGATCATCGTGGAGGAGTATTGCTGATACTGGCTAAGCACAGCTTGTCTGTACGACGGGGTGGATGACTGATCCCAGACTCGTATCAATTGCAGGAAGGCAAAGAGCCAAAGAAAGCCGCCGTCAGCTGCAACCGAGGCAATTCTGGGGAATACCCCTCTTTTCTCGTAATTTGGAGCATACCTTGCCAACAAGTGAGAATCTCATTAGGCATCGAGGAATACCCACAACCGAAGTCAAAACCATCTCCGTCAGAGGTGTGATTGGTGAAGGGGTGATGGACTGCCCGAAATTGGGTCTGTCGTGGAGCTGGAGAAACACAAACCGTCCAGAAAGCACAGATGGGATCTGGGGCCATACTCCAGATATATAAAGCCACCCTGCCAAAGGTCCTCAAGGCGAGGGGAAGCAGAGACCAGTACTTCAGTTACTTAGAACTAGACCGTCCGTCGACTCGGCGCAAAGCCTCCCCGAGGGGAGGGGGCTGGCCAGCAAGCACCAATGGATCTCTGCATCTCCCCCACAGTCGGGGGTATCGCATGATGACCGACTGCATTTCCCCTCTCCGACAGCTGTTCTGCTGCCATTATTTGCACCGTAGTCCTGCCTTCTCTGCTGCTCCAGCTCTGTAGTCCTCCCAACCCCTCCCAACCCCGCATTCATCACCAATCTCGGAATCGCCGCCAAACAAAGAAAGCATCCGTCACAATGCCAACGTCAATCGTCGACTCTCATATCCATCTGTTTCCAGAGTCGCATCTCCCCACTTTGGCCTGGTATGGACCCGACAGTCCTCTAGGATCCCAGCACTCAATCGACGAGTATCGTCTCGCATCGGCCTCTACTCCCACCTCCCCAGAATCAACCCAAGCCCTCTATCTCAGGGGATTCATCTTCCTCGAAACCGACCGTATCTCTTCAGTCGAAGAGTCAGGGCGTGGTTGGTCCCACGCTCTCGATGAGGTCTCCTTCCTTACGCGAATCATCACCGGGGAGCCCGTCCCCGGGGAAGGGCACAAGGTTGTAGATCGCGAGCTCTGTCTGGGCATGGTGCCTTGGGCGCCCGTTCCTGGGGGTCCTGCTGCTCTGGAAAGGTACATGACACAGGTGCAGGAACGGACCCGATCGGAGGAGGTATTCAAGAAGGTCCGCGGAGTTCGATACCTGGTTCAGGATAAACCGAGAGGGGTCATGTTGGAGTCTGACTTTATTGGAGGATTGAAATGGCTAGGAACAAAGCAGTTGATCTTCGATCTTGGGGTGGATGCCCGACAAGGGGGAATTTGGCAGCTGAGAGAGGCTGCCGAGATGATGAAGAAGGTGTACAATGGGGTAGACAAGAAGGATAGCGTCAAGATCATTATCAGTATGCCCCCTCTCCTAGCGGCGAGTTATAATATTCCTAACGAGCTGTCGTTAGATCACTTGTGCAAGCCGAATCTTCGTCTTCCCTTCTCGTCGCCTGATTCCATAGCTACGCACCCGGATTTCCTGGAGTGGAGTTCTCTCGTCACGGCCATGGCTCAGCATCCGTTTACGTATATGAAGCTTTCCGGTGGGTTCTCGGAGCTTCCTCCGCTTGTGGGAGAGTCGGAGCCCGATATTGCGTACCTGGTTGAGCAGGTCCGGTTATGGACGGATGTCATATTTGATGCTTTTGGGCCGGAGAGGGTGATGTTTGGCTCTGACTGGCCGGTGTGTAATGTGGGAGGAGGTGGCAATGCAGTGGCCTGGAGACGATGGAAGACTGCGGTGGAGGGTATTTTGGAGAAGAGAGGCTTGACCCAAGACCAGAAGGAGGGTGTTTGGGGTGGAGTTGCAGTCAAAGCATACGGAATTGAAATCTAAATGCTTTCCATATGCGGGAGTATGTACACTGATTGTCAATATGTTCACATCAGAATGCAGTATCATGATCACACCATCATAAACTACTGAAGGTTCACGAAGAGTCCACCGTCCACAAGTATCTGCGCCCCAGTCTATTCGCTGATTAGCATGCACCCTCAAAAGCCATATTACTGGGAAACAACACAGTACTTACCACATAGCTACTCAACTCCTCACAGGCCAAAAACACCGCCGGTCCAGCCAGATCCGGAGGCTGACCCAATCGTCCCAATGGAATTCTCCCCTCCATATACGTCCTCTTCACCGGATCACTCATATCCTCATCGTTCAACTGAGTCCGGATCGTCCCCGGCAGTAGCGCATTACATCTGATCCCGTATTTCCCCAATGCGACAGCACACGACTGCATTAGACTAAGGACGCCGGCTTTCGTAGGCGTATAATGGGTCTGCTGACCACCCCCAACGAGCGCAGAGATAGAACTGATTCCAATGATCGATCCGCCAGATGGATATTGAACCAGGGCCATTTGTCGAGCGGCTGCCTGCGTTGCCCAAAAGGCCCCAGATAGGTTGGTATTTACCGTGTGACCGAGCAGAGGAGGATCGACTCTAGACCACGGGATGGACGTTAAGAATACACCACACACATGTAGAAGGGATGGGGGTAACTCACTCTAGGAATTCCTCGAATTTGCAAACCCCCGCATTGCTCACGAACACATCTAGCCTTCCAAATGTTTCCACGGCCTTTGCGACAAAATCCCGGCCCGTTTCGGGTTGTGTGATGTCGCCGGTGACAAGGAGGAACCTGTTCCCCTCGTCGTTTCCGGTGATCTCGGATACGTCTTTATGCATTGCTGTGATGAGAGGCTCTTCTTTTGGTCCGCCGAGATGGTTGACGGCTACTTTTGCGCCGTGGCGGAGGTAGTCGAGGGCGATGGCCTAGAAGGATGTTAGAACCTAGGACTTGGTACTGTGTGGTTCTGTTTGCTCGCTCCCTTACCCGTCCAATGCCAGTCAAACCGCCTGTGATGGCGGCAACTTTACCGACTAGGAGTTGTGGAAGAGGCATTGCGATGTTGGTTCCACCCGAAGGTTGGCTGAAGATTGACGTGGGCTATCAGTCGAACGGCTGCCTTGGATAAATACTATTGTTCTATGCCGGGTGGTAAGATACTACGGGGTGGAGTCCGCCTCGGGAATTTCGTGGGATTGTTGCCCCGAGGCCCCTGACACCCCCACATTCTGTATGTACCCCACACTCACGCGGGATGTCACTGGGAACGCCATTCTGTTCAAGTCACGTCCAGGATCCATTGTCCCTCCCTATCTATCATTCTGGAAGCTAAAAATGAAGCAGAATTCATGTACACATGCTTGTCGGGGCCAAAGAACTACAAATAGAAAATGCCGTCTAGCAGCCTGCGAATCAAAACAATCGATATCCCAATGACATATACTGCTTAAGCCGTGCCATTAGATTCCGGTTGGCTCTCAACTGGAGCAACCAATACTTTTTGAGGAGCCGGAGTGAGGATGGACGCTGCAGGAATGAGGGGAGCAGCCGGGTTCAACTCAAGCCCGAAGCCCGGCTTGTCCAGAATCGAAACGTCGAGATATCCCTGGGTTGGGATGGGCTCGTTAAGGAACATGTTCCCGAAGACGGGCTCAACGGTCTTTCCGTCGGCAGAGTTGGCTAGATATTCCTGAAATGGTGTGTTGGGTTGCGACACCACAAAGTGGTACGAGTAAGGCCCAGATGCATGAGGGACAACTGGGATATCATAGGCGCTAGCAAGCGCCGAGACCTTCAGCAGCTCCGTCATGCCGCCGACCCACATAACATCGGGTTGGATAATATCCAAGTTGCGACCCTCAACGAGCTTTCGGAAACCGTACCGTGAGTACTCGTGTTCTCCAGTGGTGAACTTGACGGTGGGGTGGGCTCTTTTCAAGAGCGCATGGCCATCAAAGTCGTCGGGAGTCAAACACTCTTCCCACCAATCAATGTTGATGCCTTCTGCCTCGCAACGCTTGACGAGCTCGATTGTGTAGGGGACGTTCAGGGACATATAGCAGTCGACACGCAATGGAAAGTTGGGGCCGACTGACTCCCGCTGCTTACGGAGGTAATCAACGTTCTTCAACAGTCCTTTTGTACCCTCGTCCGGACCATGGGGAAGGGCGACCTTGGCTCCCGAAAAGCCCATTGCCTTGGCGGACGCGGGCTGCGGGCCTGTGCAGTAAAAGTCCAGGCGCGAGCGAGTCGCTCCGCCAATGAGTTTGTAGACGGGCTCGTTGCGAATCTTGCCCAATAGGTCCCAAATAGCCAAATCAATCACCGATATGACGGCAACGGGGAGACCCTTTCGGCCGTAGAACATTGAACCCCGATACATCTTCTCAAATAGACCATTGGTATCCCGCGGGTCTAAGATGATGGATGAACATTAGCCTCGCTGTTCTCCTAGACGTTGATGGTAGACTTAAGGTTGCTTATTCATACCTGCACCAAGCAAGAAACGCTCAAAGTGTTGATGGACCAGCCAGCAAGCCGGAGGGCCACCGAATCCAGTGGCAAATCCCTTGGTTCCGTCGGTAGCCTCAATCTCGACGCAGAAGGAGCCCAAGACGTTGATGCCCCATGATGTGCGGGAGCCACGGTATTGTGCCCAGCGAGTCATGGGGGTGGAGATGTTGCTGTCAATTAGCCAGTGGCCTCCCTTGACCTGTTGTAACCGGAATTTTAGCTTTGTATCAAGGATACGCAAGTGCTGCAGAGCTTACATTATGGTAGTCACCTCCAGATCCCACCCCATCAATGATGAAGGTGCGGATTTCTTTGATGCGGGGGAAAGGTCCGATAGAGCCCATGCTGACGGTATTCTGGCAGAAAAGGTAGGAGGAACAAGATCTCGGATGCTTGAGAAAGAATAACAATCAGAGAGGAGAAACCAATTTCTCTCAGGGGGCGAAGGGGCCATATTTGAAAGCATACGAGCTGCTCCGCGTCGAGGGGCAGCCCGTGAAAACCTCTCCCCTGCCCCCTCCCCCCTTCGGCTGAGTCGCGATGGCTCGGGGTAATACTACCCCGAGTCTTCTCAGGATGGATGGAAGCATGAATGACGGATGAACGGACCCTGCGGAGCGGCCCTGCAGTGGTTAGTCATTTGTCATTCTGCCTCCCCGGAGTTCTTCAGCCTTCCTTAGTTCCTTAGCAGTCTCCTTCATCCATGGATGCAGATGGTGTGGAGGTGATCGGGTTTTGCGGGGTCCCGCGGGTGTTTTCTTGGCTCAGGCCATGCCAGCCCGACGCCCTTCGTCTCTTTCTTTTTTTCCCCTCCCATTTTCTCTGTTCTTCTTTGTCTTTGTTTCGCTCGCTTTGCGCATTCCCACTGCGTTGGATAGACTCGGTCCAATTTCCCCGATATCCGCCCCCTCGTGCCAGGATGCTTCATCGCCGCTGATCCAACTGCTGTCGCTGGATAACGGTATAACCCCGGGCTCGCTAAAGTACCATGCCGACCACTGCTGCAGCTGCCTCTGCTCATCGGACTCCACCACCATCCCGATTCCATGGCGATCTGGAACGGGAGCACAGCGGGGATGAGTCCTGGTCCGCAGTCGATAGCGATAATGATCGTGTTGCTCAGAACGGGTCGAGCATCTATCGTGCGCTGAAACGTAAACGACCCCTCACAGTGTCGTACGTACCAGTCTCTTAATCCCCCCCCCCAAAAGGACCTTCGAAAGGCACGGATCCTTTTTATTCATATTCCCCTTGTTCAATTCTTGGTCTCTGTGCTTAGATTTAGCTCATTGGACATCATACTAATGGACTTAGATGCGAGCTATGCAAGCAGAGAAAAGTCAAATGCGGTAAGTGTGCCCCTCTCTGTCAATCCTTGCTGTATAAACGTCCAGCTAATGAGTGTAGATCGAGCCCAGCCCAGCTGTGGGTGGTGTGCTCGCAATGGTCAGCTGTGCGAGTATAAGGAGCGGAAGAAGCCTGGTCTTCGCGCAGGTTATGGCAAGGAGTTGGAACAAAGGCTAGGTATGTCGCTAGTCTCAGAAAATGGTTGTTTGGCTTGAAATTGTTCCTCACTGGACAAATAGATCGCTTGGAGGAGGTCATCCAGACACAGGCCCGCCTGATCGAGACGCATATTCTCCAGAGCCAATCTAGCAGGAGTATTGACATCTCTCAGCAAGGGCCATTTTCATACAGTTCCCCGTCAGAGCCAGCTCAGGCCCACAGCCCTCCTAATGCATTTTACTTCCATGAACCACCCCCAGCCGCCCCATTACCGCATCATCCTGATCCGTCCATCACCAGCCCTTCGGACATCTCCGGAAAGAACACCATACATAGCCAACTTTCAAGTGTCATGCCTGCGCCAGATTCTGTACAACAAGCATCAGATAACCCGCCCCACAATGATTATACAGGAAATGAATCGTCGCTCAAGGTTCCGGTCAATCTCTATGCCAATCAGGAACAGTCACTTGCGGATCCAGAGCTTGATCTACCGCCGTATGATCTGCTGTATGCGCTGGTGGACCTTTACTTCGAACACATCAATACTTGGTGTCCTGTTCTCCATCGTCGCACCACCCTGGACACTTTTTTTGGCCCCTCTCCACTGGAAGAAGCGGATAGGACGGTGCTCTACGCTATAGTTGCGACCACACTTCGCTTTTCAAGTGACAGTCGGCTTAACGAACAGAACCGCAGACGGTATCATGACTCCTCAAAGCAGAAGGTACTGCTCTATGGGCTCGAAAACTCATCAGTCAAGGCTCTCCAAGCCCTGGTAATTCTGGCCTTGGATCTAGTGGGATCGTCCAACGGTCCCCCGGGGTGGAAGCTGCTTGCACTGATTACGCGGTCAGTGGTCCAGTTGGGACTTGCCGTTGAGGCAAAATCTTCACTGATCGCTCCTAGTTATCCCTCCATATACACTCTCAGGGCGGTTACGCTCCCAGAGCCCGAATCTTGGATTGAAGATGAGAGCAGGCGGAGGCTCTTCTGGATGGTATATCTTCTGGACCGTTATTCTACCATTGCAACAGCCTTCGATTTTGCCTTGGACGATAAGGACATTGACCGAAAGTTACCATGTAAAGATGAATACTTTCTCAAAAGTCAGCCCGTTGAAACGAGATGGTTTCAACGCTCCAGTGATCGCGCTGACTACGTAAGCCGTGCCGAAAATGTTGGAACGTTTGGCCTCTACGTCGAAGTGCTGGGCATTCTTTCTCGGATCCATGCGTTTTTGAAGCGACCCGTTGATATAGGGGCTCTATCGGACGTTGAGGAATGGCAGGCTTCGTACCGTAAATTAGACAGCGAGCTGACTTCTTGGGAATTCGGCCTCCCAGCCGACTATGCATACGAAAACTCGTCCCGGTTGTTCAGTGGTTCGAAGCCCGCCAAGGGAATCCATTGCGACTGGGTTCAGCTCCATGCCACTTATCAAACGTGAGTACGACTATCCATTCTACTGTCATGCCATCACTTGAAGAACAGGTAAACTTACACTTTCTTACAGTGCGGTTATTCGGCTTCATTCGTCAGCAGCATACCCTACCACACGATCTCCCATTTTCACACCATCTTACAGCGCAAGCCAGCGATGCTTGCTTGCAGTGGACAATATCCTTTCCGTGACCCGTTTTGTCGTGGACAACAACATGCTTGACAAGTTGGGACCACCATTTGCCTTTACTCTCTGGGTTTCAGCTCGATTGCTACTTGTCCACGGGTCTACTATAGCCCATACGGTTAGCCCCGATATACTCTTCTTTGTCGACACCCTTGCCCAGATGGGGAAGTACTGGAAGGTAGCAGAACGCTACAGTTCAATTCTGCAGCGTGTTCTCGACGAATACGGGGAATACCAGCAATCCGGCGTATCCGACTGCGAGCGAGCCACACCGTCCACTGTAAAAATCCTTGCAGACATGCGCCGGTGTGCATTTGATTTGGACTTTCTCATCTCACGGCAGCCACGCACGTCCCCAGCTAGTAGCCAGCGGTCTGCGCCAGCGGCAGCGACAGTCAGAAATCCGGCTCCCAATGAACTCGAGTACCTCGACGTGTTCGGCTTCTTCAATGTCCCGCGTGTTCCAGTCACCCGAGCTACTGACATCCTCAGCCTGGACATTAGCGACACAGTCAACAACCCCATGTCAGTAAATGGGTTGACCGGGGCTGGCAGCACGAATCATGTCGTTGATGGTGCACACTCCAACACCAACGAATTTAATATTACGAACTACCTGATTCCGACTCCTGAGACTGATTGGCTCTTTCGCCCTAGCGGATGAATGTGATTGGGATTTCTATCCCTGTGTCTCTGATAGACCCCATATCTCCAAAGTAGGGCATGCTACACAGCCAGGGAGAGGTCGAGCACTTGTGTGGAGACGCCATGTATTATCAAGACTGTCACAAGATCTGCTAGCGGCCGGCACCTGGCGTCCACTTCGTCGGCAGATACTAGCTTCATCGAGATACTCTCCGTGAGTGTGGATGGCATGGGGCTGTTGCGTCCTGGGGTTCTAACCTCAAGCGTTCATACTTCATGGTTTGCTTGAAAGCTGTCTCATCCAACAAGAAACGAGACAAGGCTAGGTGACCCAGACAGTTTCATCATGTGAAGCCATCTGAACAGAGCATCACCCGCATGCCTGTGATTTTTTTGTACACCAGGTACATAGTGTACATTGATAGACAAAGGAGCAACAAATTACATTACCCTCACGTCATTTTGTTATCCTTACACGTAGAAGAAGAAAAGGCAAAAGAAAAGTAAAAGAGAATAAAACAACGAAAAAAGAATGCCTTTGAAGACCGTGCCATGTATTCACAGACGTAATCAGAAAAGGAAAAGAGAAGGCCAGATTCCTGTAAGGCAACTTCTGTTCACTAAATCGGTTGAAGGTCCCAGCCCAGAAATCTCCAGGATAGCGAGATGAAGAAGAGCAGGGGGTGAAAGGACACCAAATCAAATGCATGCCGCATCTTATGAGGCGCGTTGTCCAACTAGGCATGCAGCACCAAGAACAGAACTTTCGTGCATTGGGATCAGTCCCACCAAGCTGGGTTCTGCCAGGACTTTTGGTGAGAGGACGTTAGAAAAAATTGAGGAAGAGTGGCTTTGCAAAATGGAGGGTGTCATGTGAGTCAAACCAAGACACAAAAACCAAGGTTGGTGGAGTAGGTGCCATGATAGCGGACGAAGATAGCGCGCCGGGATTTCAATTCTCCATCCATAGTCATCATTTTCTGGGTTAAGGACTCCCATAAGATTCAACTTTGGTTGATCTGTCTTTGCTGAAAGTGGATGAATCATTTTTCAAAACCAGCCCCTAAAGATGGAATCGGCGCTGTCAATTGCGCTGTGCTGAATGATAAACCAGAGTTGTATCTAGGCCCTACTTGGGTTCGAATCCGAGTCAGAGGGTTCGACTCGGACAAGAATCTCTTCCAGAAATCCTTCCAAAAACGAGGTCACTTGAGCGCCCATCCCCACAGGTGCCTGATTATCCCAACGCTCAAGCCTCGTAAACATGCCGCAAACATCACCTACCAGGCTTTCCATCATCGCGTGAACATACTCTTGGCGTGACTGCTGATCATACATGTTATCGCTAGCATCCCTAGTGGAGTTGCGTGAAACGAGTTCCATACGCCGCGTCCGGCGACGGATGGCTGCTTTGAGTGCAGGTAATATCACACTGTTCAGGGCTGTCATCTCATTCGACGAGAGAGATTGGCTTGTCTCCCGCGCTCTTTCGTCGAGGGCTCCATCTGTTGTATTATGAAGCTGGAAATAATCAGGCTTGACGGCTGACGGCTGAGAATCATGCACCGCAGCTTGCTGGGGTCGTTGTGACAGATGCTTTGGTGTGGGAGGGAGCCTGTCATGTGGCTGCGAATACGATTGACGTGGTGGATAAGGTTCTATGGCGGGACGAACGTTCTGATCCGCGAGCTTCGAAACTGGTTGCGCCGGCATGCGCCCCTGATACGACGATCCCTCCGGTAAATGTGCCTGACAGGCCTTTTGATGCCCTTGCACAGCTGGGGGAGCACCTCGGTCTTTCGAAGGAGCTGGTGGAAAGCCAGGAGAGCGATCGAGCTGGAGGAAACTCAGATCCTCAGCCAGCGCTTGCTGCAGGGCCCTATCATATTCGCTACCAGGACTCCCCTTTGGTTGACGCGGGACTGGCTGTTGTAGGTGCGATGGTGTTTGTGGTGGGAGCTCTCCTGGTGTTTGCTTGATGGGAGATGGTGGCAATGGGATCTTGGTGGGTGACAATGGCTTGGGCACAGCACTAGGCATATGCTTCGTCTGCAGAGGCGTAGATGGTATACTGTTCTTCGGTCGTAACATGTCTCTGCGGTGTTCTTCTTTTAAATTCCATTCGTTGGGTTCATGATCCCGCGAATTCATGTCCGCTTCTTTCATCGGTTTCAGCGCGGGTGCTCGCCCCGCAGGCCGCACGGTACCGAAATCCCATAGATCATCCTCATCTTCAGGTGAAGAGGTCTTTGCCAAGGGTTCCTGAACCACGTCTTCTTCTTCTTCAGCACCCCTGTTCCCGTGGATTGCATTCCAACGCTCGTAGCGCTCAATTAATTCCGTCAAATAGGTCGTCTTCTTTGCTCGCTTGATGAAGGGGTGCTCTAGGAGCTCTCTAGCTGAGGGGCGTTCTCTGGGATCTCGTCTTAGACAAAATTCGACGAAATTCTTGAAGGCCTTGCTGTAATCGCCTTGCAATGTCGGCGGAGGGTTCTTCGGAATCAAAAATAACACTTTCATGGGGTGGATATCCGAGTAAGGGGGCTCCCCATTGGCCAACTCGATGGCAGTGATTCCGAGTGACCAAATATCGGCCTTGTAGTCATATCCAGATTGCTTGATTACCTCCGGTGCCATCCAGAATGGAGTACCTACGAAAGTATTTTTCTTAGTCATCGTGGCCGAGAGTTGACTGGAGACTCCAAAGTCTGCCAATTTCACCTGCCCGCTGGAGGTAAGCAAGATGTTTGCAGCTGTCGATCATGTTAGTCTCGCGACAAAGCGGGGTTACAGCAAAAGTTATCGGGTGGCACCTTTGACGTCACGATGCAGCTTCTTATCGCTATGCAGGTAGTCCAGTCCTCGAAGTAGCTCTTTTATGATGATCATGATATACTCCTCTGGAATCGTCCCGGGGCGCATCAGATCAGAGCAACTTCCTCCGGAGCAGAACTCCATGATGATCCATAGACTGGACCCTTTTAAGAACGACCCATGGTATCGTGTGACGTAAGGGGAGTTGAGTTCCGACAAGATTGCAATCTCTTGGATAATATCTTCGACCTCATCTTCGGCATTTTCGACATCGATTATCTTGATTGCAACAGAGGCACCGGTACGCTTATCAACGCTGAATTGAAGACCAATGTAAGCCAACTAAATCATGAAATAGTGCGAAACAGAACGAGACGGGGGAGCTGTGGCATGGCATACCCTTTGTAGACCCGTCCGAAGCTCCCGCCACCTGTGAAAAATACCACCGAGTTAGGAGCCCTGATTCTGCGGTGGGATGAGTCCCGTGATGCTTGAATACATACCAATGCAGTTCTGCTTCATGTAGATCGTCTCTGGATCCACTAGGCCTTCCATCTTGGCTGTGCTTGTCGCGGGAGCAAGAGGATTAGATGGTCAATTGTCTCACCTGGTTCTGCAACACTTGAGTGAATATTAGCATCTGGCGTTGAAAGCGGAATGAGTTCTGTGGAATAGAAAGCCCCATGCGGGAAGGTCGAGAACATATAATCAGAATAAGGTTATGGGAGATAGCATCGCTTCGCCGATTGTGGAGGGTCCAGGGCGACATACCTATCGCCTAGGCTAGGCCAGGAGGTGTAGGTAGGGCTTAGAAGGGGAACAGGCAAAGAAAGGAGACATTGGAATGCGACATAGATCAATGGTTGCGCTCCAAGGGGGAATGCTTTTTAGAATTTAGAATTGACTCTGGCGGGAATCCCCGGGGAAGGCTGACGTTGGTTCGAGTCCGATTGTTTTGGGGGAGACAACCGACGGCCGACAAGCTGAGGCTCGGAGGAGGGGGAGGAAAGGCACAGCCACTGGTCCTTGCGTGCTGGCTGGAAACCTCGGGAGTAAGGGCTGAAGATCGGTAGGATATCTAGAAGGTAGATAGGTGGATAGGTACGGAGTAGATAGATGGAATCGAATCTAGATGGAGAATGGAGTTGGAGGGGGTTTCCCTTGCATGGGATCGGAGGACAACAATGGCCCGCCTAGGTTGGAACCGGACAGGAACAGGAACCGCCCGGTGATTATTACCACAAATACCTCCCAGTCCCATGATTGGGGCAACGCGGGGTTCTTCTGCCGGGCGGTCAGCTGGCGCCCCCACCACTCATCGGGCCCGCTTCGGTAGGCGGTGAAAGGTGGATCTATACAAGAAGGGATGGCGATACCTGTCCCATTTCTTGGTTTTTTTTTTTTTTTTTTTCTTTTTTTTTTTAATTATTATATACATCTCTGTTTATGGTAAGTTTTCTTGTCTTTTTCTTCTCCTTTCCCTGTTCTTTTGTTTTAATAAACCCATTAAATTCTCCTGCATCCTCGCAAGTCGAGGGTAATTACTAGATAAGGATGACAGGGTGTTCATGATAGAAGAAAGTTTGCCGCCAGTCCCTGGCCGGTGCTCCGCTTCCAGAGAAATGCCTATTTGTATCAAACAAAGGCATCCATCCCCAACAACCGAAGCTTCTAGAGGAGCAATAGGCCCCAGTCCCGACAGCCCTCTTGGGCTTCCGGCCAGGATCTCCAAGTTCTATCTTCAGGGCAACGTTCAATGCCCGCAAGCCATGTCCCTGACTATTCCTCCAAATATCCTATCATGACCGTGCCGTTTTTCAGTCCAGCATCAGCAACGGTCTGGCCCAGCGAGTCAATAAGGTTGCGACCCATAGCATTAAGTTCAAACCCTACCCCGGCTTTATCGGCCAACGGGGGCTCGGCCTTGAGCCATTCATAAATCCGCTGGACAGGGTCCGACAAAGCAAAACGCCGGATCACCCGTCCAGATGGGTGCCGGAACTGAATGCGCGTGGTAGTAGCAGGGTCTGCGGGGGGCTCCGTATGGAATCGATCGTCCGGGATGGAGGAGAAAGCGCTTTGTTCGGGTCCTTCAGCCTCTTCCATGCCGACATCCTCGTCTACGGCCCTTCCCTTGCCCTTCACATCTTCGGTGCTTCTAGTGAGGTCATCGGGATCCTCCACCTTCGGAGGTTGCGACGCCTCATCACCCAGACTGTTTCTCATGGCCATCTCCAACATCTCTTCCTCGGTCATTGCATCAATACCCTTCTCCTTCTTCTCCGGTTTCCGCTTCGCCACGGGGTTTCGCACATTGTGCTTCAGACTGTACCGGTCGAGGAATTCGTGGAGTTGCATCAGGAAATCCGAGACCTTGATTACGGGAGGGCCCGACCAGACCTTCATCTGTTCTCCAGTCCTTGGATCGACGATCGCAATGTGAGGATAGTTATCAGAAACGTTGCTCGCCTGGAAGTAGTACTGCAAATAAGGTCCTGCACGAGGGTCATCTTTGGAATACTGCATGAAGATGAAATGCTCCTTAACGGTTTCTTTCACCGCAGGATCCTTCCAGAGGTCTCTGTTCAAAACCTGGCAGTCAAAGACAGAGGGGTCCTGGATATTGACCATCAACCACCTTTCATTGTCGCGGCCTTCCTGTCGAGCCAAATCCCATGGGAGCCTAGACATGATGTCAAATGGAGGGCGATACATCTCGGCCAGCATATTCGACTTGTTCGAGGCCTCAGAAGCCCCTCCAGTCGCTGCAGCCAATCTTTCACGTTGTGAGGATTCCTCATCCCCAGTCCATATCGATGTGTCTCTCTGGTTGAAGATCCCAGGCCGGTCTAAGGAGGATCAGAGTTAGTTATGTCATGGTAGAAGAAGAAAGTAGAGGAAAATGGGAAATCCTAACTGTTTCGTTGCTGGCGCGCGCGCAGTTGGCCTAATATGCTGGCATGCATATCGCCATCATCAAAGTCCGCCTCAGGCCCTACTAGGGTCTCCGTCGTACGAGCCATCGGCGCACGCACATTCTCTTCAGTATCTCCTCCTCCGTACATCTCTTCTTGGAGACGACGAGCCATGGCCGCATCATCTTCAAGGGTAGCGCCGTGCGAGGGGTGGTTCCGAGGTGCAGAGCGAGTCTCGTCTATCGTGACGTCGTCATCCGAGTCGACTTGAACAACTCCGCCGCCAGCATTGGAGGGTTGCTGAGGGGTGGAGACCGACGGTAAGGGTTCGTCAGTCAGTGGCGCACCGCCATTCTCGAAGAAAAGTTGCACAGCCTGTTCAATATTGAAATCAGCCAGCTGCAGATACTGGGCGGCCAGCTCTGGCTTTGAGCCGGTGATCTCAGCGAACTGTGCCACCACATCGCCGTCCATGACGGGCACAAGGCACTGAGAAAGCTTGGAGGAAGAAGCGACGGAGGAAGAAAGATGGGGGTATCAGGTCAGTGTGACGGGAGGTCGTATGCAGCAGAAGCCAACAGAAAGGCTGAAGGCAAGCAAAGTGATGCAAACAGCTGCAAACTGCAATGAGGGTGCGAGGCAGTGATCGATGAGGACAAAGTGATGAAGTCGAGATGCCTTTGATGTATGACCGTAGATAGGAGCATAGAAGAGATGAGGGCTACCTGAGGGTTCTGCACGGGTGCTTCAGGAGACGGTGCAAGGGGATGAAGCACAAACAACCTGGATTAGTGGTGTTAATACCTAGTGCAATCATTAGGTAGAATTGGTGACGCACTTCCCAGTTCCCACGGATTGACGGATAATCAGGCGGTCCGACCCTGTGGCTTCACGCCTTAGGCCAGTCCCGGTGAGTATCTACCCCGCCGAGTAAGTTGGTCGGGGCGCGCGTCAGCTGTCCATATAATCACGTGAGAAAGATCCATCCACGCGACGCGCCCGGCCAAACGCGTCGAGATGCAACGCGGCTGAGGACTTCATTATGCCTCCTTCGGAAAAATGGCTGCTTGCACCTCTCTCCCCAGTCTCCACCCTAGTCTAATAGTAATAATAACTTACCCCCCCCCCCCCCCCCCCAATAATACCCACACTTTCCCTTCTCGCAATCGATGATCTCACCTCCTTCTCATCTCTTTTCCCCCGGTTGCTCTTGCTCTTACTGAGACTGGAATCATCATATCATGGCTGCTTCGGTTCTAGGCAAGCGCCAGCGAGCTGCTATCGAGGCGGAAGGTATAACTACCGTTTTGATTCTTCTCAGCCCTCTTGCTGACATCTTCCTCTCTTAGTTCCAGCATTGCCGGTGCGTAGGGCAAGCAGGCGCCGCACGCAAGTACCTCGCTCCCAGGAAGAAGGTGTGCTCAATGCACCCCAAACGCGCCAACTTCGGTCAAGGACGAGGAATGGCGGCTCTATCCAAGAAGAACTCCAGAGCGAACCCAAGGACATCTCGGATGAGAACGATCAATTGAAACGGACTGTACGAGTTGGCAAGACTGCGTCATCTATCAAGCGCAGTCACGATTCGGAATCGGTCAATGGTGGGATTCCTACGCAGATCTCTATTGAACTATGCCTAACTTATCTAGATGAAAACTCGGCCCCGATTGAGCTCAAGACTCCTTCAAAATCTAGATATCGCGATGCGCTCGATTCCCCCCCAATCACACCAAAACACCGGGTCCAAATTGGCGGAAAATCTTTGACTCCACGGACGCCTCGACACATAGCAACACCGACGACTACACAAACAATATACTCTCAAGCCAGGCAGCTGTTTGCGCGAGGTGCAACTTCGAGTCGAATAGTGGGCCGTGACACCGAGCGGGACAAGCTGATATCATTCATCCAAGATGGTATTGATTCACGCAAAGGTGGTTGTTTGTATGTCAGCGGTCCTCCAGGCACCGGGAAGAGTGCAATGGTTCAGGAGGTATGCCACGACATGGATCTGAAGTCCCTGAAAATTGCACACCTCAATTGCGCGAGTATGCGAGGTGCTCGTGACGTCTATAGCAGGCTCATCGGCGATCTTGGCGACGATGATGAGGTGTTCAAGAAGAGCGAGGCAGAGAGGCTACAAATGATGTTTACATCCGATGAAGAAGATGATTTATTCTTGGTTACTTTGGATGAAATTGACCATCTCCTCACCGCGGATTCCGGCATTCTTCAGTCCTTGTTCGAGTGGTCCTTGCAAGAAAAATCGCGGCTCCTGCTCATCGGAATTGCCAATGCGCTTGATTTGACTGATCGGTCACTCCCACAGTTGAAGGCCAAGAACCTGAAACCTCGCTTGCTTCCCTTTTTGCCTTATAATGCAGGCCAGATTGCCAGCGTAATTACCAATCGTCTTCGCTCTTTACTCCCAGAAGGTCAGACTGTGGACCCCAACTTCGTTCCTTTCGTCCAACCAGCAGCCATCCAATTATGCTCGAAGAAGGTGGCATCACAAACTGGCGATCTACGGAAGGCATTTGAACTCGTTAAACGCGCCATTGATCTTATCGAACAGGAAGCACTACGGAAGCTCGAGACGCAAAATGCCAACCCCGAGAGTCCTTCCAAGACAATCCTTGTGGAAAACAACAATCTCTCGTCATCTTTGAAGACATGTACATCTAAACAAACCCCTACAATAACTTACACTGCTATTACGGCGCCACGAGCCAGCATTGCGCACGTTGCACGGATCACTTCGTCGGCTTTTGGACAGGGGACGGTGCAGCGACTCCAAGGCCTCAATCTTCAGCAGAAGGCAGCCATCTGTGCTTTGATCGCCCTTGACCGGAAGCGGCGGCAAGGTGAATTTCCGGGTACACCATCAAAGACAAAATACTTGCCACCGACGATCAAGCAAGTGTACGACACATACTGTACCTTGTGTCGGCAAGACAACATCTTGCATCCCCTGACATCCACCGAGTTCAAGGACGTGCTCAGCAATTTGGAGACATTGGGCCTTGTTGGTGAATACCAGGGCCGGGGCAGAGGTGGCACTCTCGCTGGCGGCTCGGATTTGAGGCGGAGCCCCACAAAGTCTCACGGCCCACTGACACCTAGTCGAGCCTTGGACGAGCAGAGCCTTGTTTGTTTCGTATCCCAAAGAGAGATCGAGACCCAGATCACTGGAGCGGGAGAAGGTATCCTTAGGAGACTCCTCACAGGCCAAGGGCTATGAACACTTTCTTGTGCTTTCTTTCGTCCAAGAAAAAAGCATGATTGGTCTTTTGAGGGGGGCGTTCGACTACGGGCAGTTATTCCATTCTCTTGGTGTTGGATAGGGGAGTACAGATGCACATAACATTTAGCGATACTCCCAGCATTGGCATACGGCGTTTCATACATAGTCATACAAACCTATAGAATATGATAATGACAGCTTACAATAAACATCATGATGCATGGAAAAGAAGGCAGATCGTAGATTTTCTACATGCTCAAATCAAAGCACGTTAAGTCTTGATGTGATGCTATACAATGAAATCCGCAAAGGTCGCTTGTAGAGAAAACCCAACGAATTGGCAAGACAAGTCAAATCAAGTCAAGAGAGGGTGAGAAACATACAAGATGGATAGCTATGCATACAACGAAACAAAAAGAAAGAGAAAAGAGGAAGAGAAGAGGAAGAACAGAACGTACAGAAAAATGTTGGGTATGTAAAGAAGATAGGGCATATAGCTTCAAGACAAAGGAAACAACAAGACCGCCACCCAGCCATCTCAAGCAACAAGACCTGCTCCAGTTTGAGAGGGCGATGGCGTCACACGCGCGTCCACGTATCAATGCTCAACATACGGAAGCATGCTTAGGCTCCTGTCTTTCTTGTACTCCCCAAGAAGTAGTGGGAGTGGTGGTAGTAGCAACGTCATCGTTCGTTTTTGATGGAGAAGAAGATAAGGGAACTGAGGGACAATTTCCTGAGGTTGTCTGTCTTGTAGCAAGGCAGGCGGCCCTTTTAATTTTGTGTTGTCCCGGAGGCTTTTAGGTCATGTATACATCTAGTCATCGTCCATTGGCTTGTCTTCCAATGTGACACCTTTCGGCTCGGTCTCGGCAAGGCTGCTTCGCTTGCTGTCCGTTCCACTCTCCGTGCTTGCGACGGTAGGGAAGCTAGACCGGTTGCCGAGGCCAGGCTTGCGAGTATAAGAGACGCTGGACCGGGAGATCGACGAGCGCTTCTCAATTTCCTGGGTAGGAGTCGTGGTTGGGGTCACAGACTCGTCCGATTCAGCCACTGGGGGAGGGCTGGAGCTACCTGACGAGGGGCTTGCGCTGGCGGCAGCGGAGACAGGGGACTCGCTCAAGGCGCCATTGATGGTGTGTTCAGGCCCATTGATATTCACGCTTGTCATATGTTCCGACGCGGTGGGAGACTCGCTGTTGATGGGAACATCCAGGCTGCTGCGAGCGATAGCTCTTCTTTCAGTGGGGCTGGTCACGTTGATGGGGAACCGTCTGGTTTCCGAAGCGCCGCTGGAACGATCGCGGCGGTGCTTCTGGGGAGGAGCCGGACTATTGGCCCGGCTGCGGTCGAGAATGGCACGGTTCCGGGCCTCCATTGCTGCCCGGCGATTGCTCTCATCGGTGCTGATGGCGCGAGGACGGTTGGTGGTTCCGCTGATTCCCAGGACACTCGATTGGCGCTTCAGTTCGCCAAAGATTGAGTCTTTATGAGCAAAGAGATCGCGGATGAGGCGGTAACTGTGGCGCTCATTCATCGTAAGACTACTCTCTGTGCGTGGGCGGAGGATACAAGGAGACAGTGCCTGAGCAAGTGCAGACACGTAAGTTTCGTCAGCAGAAGTAAGGTCAATCAGGCGCGTGAAATGGGTCATAATAGCGTCAAGTGTGGCAATATTGTTGAGTCGGAGCTGTCCAAGGGTGCTTTGCAAGACCTTGATGCGTCCCTCTTCGGTGGTCTCATGAGCAGTGGTCGAATAGATTGTCTTGACGATTTCGTAAACCTGAGAGGAAACCAGCGAGTCTAGACACTTGTTAAGCCTGTATCTCAATTGATGACAAGATTGCACACGAACCTGGCAACTCAAGGAGATACAATTTCAAGACGCTCGCGATGATCGGGATTTCGTATTTCTCTAGGATTTCGTTGTAATCCGCTGTGCTGTTGTTCAGAGCGCTACGGAGGTGGTGCGTCGCCGCCAGAGGTACGTCATGAAGCCATATCGCACGTCGTGCCTCGTCGCCCTCAAGGTCGGGATAACCTAGTGGGCAGTCAGACTTGAATTGAGACAGTCAGGTAAACTCAAAATCAGCTTACGGTTGTCAAGGTACGTCAGGAGTGTGGTCACCACGATAGGAACCCGCTTGCGATCGGCTCTTGCTCTGGCCTCGAGGTCAACGCCAAAGTTTTGATCTAATACGTGTCAGTGGCAATTGAAAACCTCACAATACCAAAGGTGTTGGCAGGGTGTATACCTTCCACGGAGCCGTAGTAATTCTCATAAGCCTGCACGCGGGGCACGAATCCTCCGGTCCGGTAGTTTTCCAGGAGATATCTGAGATCCCCTAGGGGCTGGATGGTCTCTTGGTATAGCATCATGTGGTCTACCGTGCTTTGCAGGTTGGGAATAACATTGCTGATCGCACCAGAGAAATCCAGGATCACGGCTTTGATCGCCTTGAGTCGATCAAGTTCACACTGCTCCATGAAGCGCAAGTTTTCAACAACCTCTTCCTCAAGCTTGCACCTGATCATGTCAAGCTTGCGCACCGCTGACTTGTACCGTTCATCGGCTTCGCGAGCCTCCCTGCGCAACTTCTCCGCCGGCGTCTCGTTCGGGTACGGATTGTTAAGTGGGTTCCAGCCGGCCAGCATCTCAGAGACAGAGGATAGCGGAGACTCGATGCCGTCCTCGCTCGTTGCCGCCGAGGTTACGCGCATGAGAGGCTTCTTTTTCTCGGGAATTCCCGTGATCTGGAACACTTTGGGACGCCACTGGTAACGCATCTTGGAGCTGTTCGCAAAGGTGCTGCCCATATTGCCGACCAGGCGAAGAAAGCCATTGTCGACAAGATCCTGACCGATTGACTCCGAATAAGTGATGCTATTCGCGCTCATGTGCTTCTGGGTATAGTGCACAATATCTGCACCGGTCGACGTGTTTTGATAAGTGCCTATAATCGGCACCTTGACATCGCCAATCTTGATAGTATCCAGCATATGTGTTAGGAGCTTCTTCAAGTCCTCGGGAGGGTAGATTCGATCGCCAATCTCAACTGGCTCCTCCTCCTCCTGCTCTTCCGGCAACACGATTTTGGGAGTAGGCTTGATTTTTGGGCTCGTCTCGGGACCCTGGAAAGCGAGTTTGTTCTCTTCCTCCAGATCTTCGACCACACGACACTTGTTGAAATAATGGCTCCGTAGCTTCTTGACCAGTTCCACCTGCTTAGTGTGCTCCTTGATCCGGGCCTGGAGATCATCATGGGAATTTTGAATTCGAGCTTCGTGCTGGTCGCACCAACGCCGGAACGGCGAAACGACAAGCTCCCGGATGTTCGACGCGATCTTCTGGTGGTTTTTAGATGCCTCAACCATCTCCGTGCGAACTCCTTCATACGCCTATAAGAAAGCCCTTGGAGTCAGTATCCCTAAGCCGAAATCTGTCCGAATCATGAACTACCAACCTTTCTCACGCTCGCCCCGTCATCCTTACCAAACCCCGTTGCGGTCACCCGATCAACGGTCGGCGCAATATCCCCCAACTTGAGACCATATTGCTCTTCCGCATCTGCGCGCATAGAAGCAATAGTAATTATCTGCTTGTTCTCCACGGCGCCCTGCTGAAGTTTTCCATAAAGCACCCCCAGACCTGCGGCGTAGTCTGGGGTCCAAAACGAATCCGCGAATCCAGGCATTATAAAGGGACCAGGGAGAGTGACCTCGACAGGGAATTGATTGGCGCCAGCTTCCAATGATGCGCGAACGACCTAAAGCGAAACGGAATCTAAGGGGAAACGGGCGGCGTTCGTCACCGACTCTAGGCCACCAGGATAACTTTCCGATGCGGAAGGAACGCTGCGTAAAAGTCAAGCCCGGAGAATATCTGAAGAAACGAAGAGTAACCAGCTCTGTTCGCAAGCGCCTGATTAAATCAAGCTTTGACGGATGCTATAGTGGCACACAGCGGCTGCGAGGAGACATAGGCCCGGTGACGGGTATGCGAGGGCGGCTACAGGAGACCAGGAAATTGGAGGAGGGTGGGGAGGTGGGTAGGAAGCGCAAAACAAGGGACGATACGAAGAAGACAACGAAGAAAGATGGAGAAGAAGGAGCGTTGTGGAAAGAGGTGCCACTTGCAACGGTAGAGCTGCAGGAGGAGATGGATGACAACAGGGGAGACTGACTGGATCTTAGGTTCAGTTGGCCGAGATCTGAGGAAAAGCAACTCGCCCGCACCTTGGGCTCCGTCATGTGTAATTTAACACTTTACGTACGGCCCTGAAACTAGACCGTTGCCGCCTCAGCCTCACATGTGGTTGCCGAGGGGCTATTTTTGGTGGCCCCGTGAAATATTACTGTTTGTCTTAGATTGATTTCCCAACCACGCCTCATGGCTCTTAGGGCTGGTGGGAATTTTTGGGAAAGCCCCATCATCCCAAGGGCCGCTACCCATAATAAAGGGAGAGAGCCTCAGATCATTGCCTAAGGGAGGAAGGATCCAAATCCGACCACGACCACAGCCGGACAGAGCTGGCTGGTTGGCAGTGTTGGTAATATTATGATGGCTGGCACTTCACACCACCGCAGCACAACTATGTACGTCAGTCAGTAGTAGGTAAGGCTCGGTGGTAGTGTAGCAGATACAGACGTGGTACATACTACAGTTTTGTTTGACATGGCTGGAGTCGCTGCCACTCTGGACCGTCTCCAGATGCAAACATGCCAAGACCGGAGAGCGCCAGCAGATCCCGACCGGCAAACACGGAGTGGCCAACGGTGCCGGGCATATTCTCTCTTACTACGACCTACCTATCTACCTACCTACCTACCGAGTACCTGAATACGTACGTACTCGCAATTGGATCGAGTTGACTTCAAGACTATCAAGCAGATGGTCTGATTCGGATACTCTGGATGAGGGTCGTCTTCGCCAAGTGGCATCTCAATCAGTGAACATTCGCCTTCCGATGCATCGAATCAGCGTTAATGAACATACGAGTTTATGGACATAGACTGAAAAAGGGAGACATGATCATAATCATACATTATTGAAGGAAGAAAACACAGCCCATTGATGTAACTCCAGCACCATTTAACAACCTAACCGAATCTCAACAGAAGAATTTCCATGCCTTCTTCCACATCGGCCATTCCGCCTGCTCGGCCTTCTCCTGCTCAATGAGGGCTTGAATATCGAGCTCGCGGCGACCAGTCTGAAGATCCATGTCCTTGGCCCGGATGAAGGGAGTCTTGTACCAAAGCTTGTAAGGGATGTAAAAGGCTAACACGACAGGTGCAGCTAGGTAGTCGGAGAAAAAGTTCGAAACCAACGAAGCAGCCGACATGGTGCCATAGCCGGAGGGCGCGAATCCAACCCAGAACTGGGCAATCAGAACAAGACAGTTGAAGATGAGTCCCACCCAAGAACCAATTATGCCGGGCTGGGATTGGAAGGCCAGTTCATTCAAGCTATGCCCTTGCAATTTCCAGGCACGGCGGAACCGGATGTGGCAGAGGCAAATTGAACCCCAAGTGAAGATGGATGAGAGGCCGGAGATAGCCATCATCCATGTGAACGCTTCGCTCTCTTTGTCGGACGCGGCCAAGAATCCAAGCAAGCCGAACACTGACGCAACAACAAGAGCCGGGAGAGGACGACCTTTGCGATCGATATAGGCCAGGAACTTAGGGGCTTGCTGTTGCTCAGCCATGGCTGCCAGGGTTCTAGAAGAGCCATAAATGGATGCATTGCCCACAGAGAGCACAGCAATCATGATGACGACGTTCATGACGGAAGGCAGCCCAGAAATGCCCGCGTTCACAATGGATATGACAAACGGGGATGCTTTGGCATCGGCGCTGGACGTTCCATCGAGTAGTCGAGGGTCATTGTAGGGGACGAGAAGACCGACCAAGGTGAGAGACACAATGTAGAAGAGGGTGATACGCCAGAACACCTGCTTGACCGCGGTCGGGAGCATTTTTCTAGGATTAGCGGTCTCCGCGGCGGCAAGGCCGACCAGCTCAGTACCCGCAAATGCGAATGCAGCATTTACAAAGACACTGCAAAGACCCTTGAAGCCATGGTGGAAGGCACCTGGGTGATGCCAATACCTTCCGCCGATATATCCACCGGAGGGGCCACCACCACACGTCAAGATGATACCAAGGATGCTGATTGAAGTTAGTGAATCTTGCTAGTCATAGTGGATGTGGGTGGGGCTGATCCAATTCACTCACATGAAGCCAACTACGGCAGTAACCTTGACAATGGAGAAGACAAACTCCGCTTCACCATAACCCTTGACGCCGAACATGTTAATAGTCACAATCAATGTCCAGAAGATGGCGACCCAGGCAGCATTGGAGATACTCTGATTCCAGTAGTTGACAGTCAACGAGGCGGCGACAATTTCCGTGGGGAGGGTCACGAGCCACTGCAGACAATAATTCCAACCCATGGCAAAACCCCAGGCAGGATCGATGAAGCGAGTGGAATAGTGCGAAAACGAACCAGCGACCGGGAAGAGAACGGCCATTTCACCAAGAGCGTGCATTGTGCAATAAAGCATGCAACCGATCAAAGCATAGGCGATGAGAACAGAGGCCGGACCTCCAGCAGCCAGGACAGTACCGGATCCAACAAAAAGGCCAGTACCTAAAGACACAATCTGTCAGCATTCAAAAGACCAGAACGGCGTGAATCTTAGCACCAAGGAGTGGGCCATGCATGCTGCGTACCAATTGAACCACCAATAGCGATCATCTGGAGGTGGCGGCCTTTCAACTTGCGCTGCAGCGGAGACTCGGCGGTGTTTTGAGCGGCATTTTCAATATCAAAGGCCCTCCCATCGTGTCCAGGTTCATGATGTGTTGTAGCACGAGCATTAGGATCTCTCTTGAAACTATCCCATACCCGCTGGCCAAAGCTTCCTTTGGTTGTCTCTGATTCACCGTAGAGTGGAGGAGCGTCGCCGGATGAAGAGGGCTCCGACTTGGGTTCAATGAATTCTTTTTCCATGGCTGAGATGAAACGCGACGTGACCTTCTAAGGTGGACCAAGACAGGAGTAATATGTCCAAGGCAAAAGCCAGAAGCCTCAGTAAGATGGAGGGAAAGAGGGAGGATGGGGGGGACGTCAGATATTTATTGCAACCCGTGCAAGTGAAGGTACCTGAACCCCAAGGCTGTTGGTAGGGGAAGACAGTGAATTTTAGGCACGCCTGGGAATGGGTGGCACTTCTTACTTATTGCTGTGGTAGCAAAGCAGGGCCCGGGAAATCAAATAAAATGGAAAATCCCTCTGAGACATTACTATTGGCAAGGATGCAGGGATTTAAATAAGAACCGGAAGATATAGGTCACAATCGTAATCATCCACGTTCCGACCCAGCAGCCCATGGGTCATTCCGGCCCCGGTCCACGAGTAGTGGAGGACCACTTAACAAGCTCTCGAGACCTAGCGTGGGCTAGAGAGGTACTGTGTACTGTGTATGGCCAACAATCCATGTGGTCTAGCAGCTAGTGGAGGGGGGACGAAGGAGCGTCGTGCACCAGCTGGGCCAGCGGTCCGGATGCGCTCTGGCGTAACTATGGGGAAAGCTAAACCACCAGGCAAAAGAAGGGGCCAATCGGCGGGGGCGTCGACTGCTGATGGCCCGGGGATCTCGCGGCCTCTCGAGTACGACGTTTTGATACAGACCGGAGGCGGGGGTGCTGATTGGTGGCAGCCGGCAGTATTATTAACCATTACTCTTTGCTTTAGTCGATTACTGCCTGCACACTAGTACTTATCATCGGATTACGACTGATAAGTCTGCAGCGGCTGGAAATGGAATCGGCCGTCCGGCCAGCTGCGAGTTTGGCTAACCCAGAACAGCCAGCCAGTGAACCCCCGTCAGAAGTCAGAACTTTCCCAGCTGGAGGTCTCGGCGACCCGCTTCGAGATACCAATCCTCTATTGAGCGGTTCCCACTTCGCAGTGCTACCTCGTACTCCTTCAGATCCACTTCCTATATATTTAATTCGTCGTGGGATAAATCCGTCAGGATCCCTCCGAGCAAAAGGAGAGAACACAAACATAATGGAGGGACCCTTATCAAGAAAGTGTGCATACATACATACATTCATACATACAGTATACAGTACGGAGTAAGGTATGTACATATTTTGCGGCTTTCGCGCAACTTCCCGTTCCCAGCAACCGCTGACAGCGAGTCAACCAACGACTACTACTAGTATAAGGGGGTACATCACCTCATCATCAGTGACGGAAGTAGGTAGCATTTCCCCATTAAGGTTTCAACGCCACTGGCTTCGTTTAATTCCGAGCCAGTCCTAGGCCTAGGTTCATCGTGTGATCCTAATCGGCCCAGAGGTGAATTTCCATTTCCTCCGTGCGGCCAAGATGGTTCATCATCTCATGGTACTAAGGCCGTTTCATGTCGGAAGGCCCAGTCAGATGGCGGGCTGCTATCTAGGCTTCCGTTGTCCATGGCCCCAGGGTCCATCAGGTGGAGCCCCGTCAACCCGCCCTTATCTCCGGGTACGTACCTGCCTTATCTCTCTCTACCTACCTACTACTAACTCTTCCTCCTCCCTCCCTCTAAGGCTCTAACACCCCCCCCCCCCCCCCCAGCTAACTGCTCGTTACTAGATAGTACTCCGTACTTATCTATCTATCAGTTGGACTGGGGCAAACCAGAAAGAGGTACCTAATGGTTCGTAGTCATCTTTATTTTTTCTGATTGTCATGGAACAGGTACGGGCTGCCTACTTCTGAGTCTGAGCATCGGAGAATGCCTTTGTTTCAACCACGCATACGGTAGAATCCAATCTTGTATGACCGTCTCTTCTTAGGTAGTATCACGTGCTTCTTGGCCTCCGAAGCCTAAGAATCTCCCAGTCCCTACTCCCTACTAGATATAGACACTACCTAAAACTAATGATGACTTTCCCCGGCATACCACCTGTCTACCAGCTACCTACTAGGAAGATTATCTATTTAGACCGATTAGCGAGGTATTGCCCCTGCACAAATGGCCCCAACGCGCAACGAGGGGTGGTAGGCTCCCGGGCTTCAGGATTGGCCTCCACACGGTAATTTTACGCGGTCCGCGCTGGGGCCAATCAGGCCGCGTATGCAGGGATGTTGATAAGACCTGCCCTCGGATTGCCCGGTCGAGTCAGCTCAGGCTGACCCCAAACATGAGCTCATTATTTTCTGCCTATCAAGGCGGCCTTCACTACTCCTCAGCTCATCTACTACTCCGCTTATTCCGCCGTCGTCCGTGTCCTCTCCGTATTTATCTACTCCGTACCTAGCTATTCATCTGGATATCGCCTATAGCGACTATGATGGAGTAAATGGGTTTAGGAACATATCTACAATATATCTCCAGGTGCCAGCATGGTGTGAATTGCCAAGTACCGAAAAGGGGAGCAGATAGCAACACATCCCTCCATGGCAAATATAGTACCTAGGTAATCCAGGCAAACTTGTCTCTTCTCGCCACCCCTTTCCAGTCACTCAGACATAATAGTGGCGGTTACCCCTTGCTTATTCCGTATGGCTGGATCTTGGAACGATGCCGTTTTGCTTCGGTCCCCTTTGGTCGGCCTTTTAAGCTTTCCAAAGCATCCACACGTTCGCCCACCCTTCTGCTAGGGAGTCATGGAAGCCCGGGAGAAGCCATTATTCCTGGGCGCTATTGCTTGACGAGGCCTGCAGGGCTAAGCCACGCTAAGAAGCGTTGAATGATTGAATCAGCTGCTTACCTACTGTGTATTGTTATGAGAGAGGTGGTGGCAACATCGGATATCGCCGGCTCATATAAGCGATTCCTGGTGGCTAAATCTCCGTACCAAGGTGATTGCTTGCTTCTTGCAAGCCTACCTCCTGCCCGAAAGAGTTGGGTGAGCTCAGGTATTTGCCTCCGAGTGGTGCCATTACAAAGTATCCATAGCTTGCATCTTCACATGACATGTCTGACATCGGGCAAAAGTCAGTCAGTCGGCCATGTGGCCAGTGGAATGTGGTGCTACTCACCCTGACAAACCATGCAACTGCTTCCCAAGTGCATACAGTAGCCTGACGCATGGGCCGTTTGGTTCATTTAGCTGCTTTGCGTATTCCGAGCTGCAGCTATAGCCAACTGACAGACCCTTTTAGTGCCTACAATAGTGGGAATCCTGGCCACAACAGACTACGCGGGCCAAAACTTCTCCTTTCGTCAGCATTTGGGCAAGAGACAGCCCAATCCACGACGTCTCCTGAGCCAAGCAATATAAGGCTACCGCCAATGTCTGAGGTAGCATCGCGGTCGGTCCGGTCGCCTAGTCAAGAGCCTAGACGCAGTGCACTGGGATAACTAGTCTGGGACGGATTCCTAGGTCACCTTCAATCAGGATATCGCCATGTCTCCACGCAATGGCATGTGCAGTAGTGCATTCTACTCTTTATGTGCCTACTGCCTCGCGCCAGATGTCACTTTATCTGGATACCACTCACGGGACTGTGTGGTTTATGAGACTGGCCAATTAACAACTCGTGATTACGGCAGCGATGGTGCTAATGACCATCACGCAGATGAAATCACGCACTCCATCATTATACCAAAGAACGAAGCAAAAGTACATTGAACCTAGCCTCCAGAACCTTATCATTCAGTCGAATTGCGCCCGTCAATAAACACCTTACCCGTCAGTCTGAATAATGAAAGTATCTCGTCCGGGTAGGATAAATCCCGCAAATCATCCCGCAAATCCCGCGTCCAAATCTCTTTAGCCGCACTTCGTACTAGTCTGTTGCCGCATTAACATCCTACTACTGGTAGCAAAAGTATAGGTACATCCCTACTACATTTAAACCCCCCCCCTCTTCGACACAAAATAAAACTAATACTCATTATCCAGCTTAGTTACCCCCAAGTGGTAGTCCAAATGAAGTGTAAATTAAAGTTGATTCCACAATTGCGGGCAAGCAGCTGACTTGCCCACTTTGCGGGGATGGTGCGGGATTCTGTTATGTAACAGATTCCACCGCGATGTTACCCCGGGTTTTTGGAACATCTGGGGTAAGGAAGAACTTAACTTTATTGGATTGAGGATGTTGCGCAAGGTTGGGGTTCGTATTGGGGGCTTGGAAAGGTTAGGGGGGTTTTTGTTTGGGTGTGATGGTGGATTGAGGGGCTGGTTGGCTGGGGTTTGTGGGAGTTGTGTTGGGTACTAGGATGTTCAACTACGTAGTGGGCTGTTGCTTGGGATCGATTATATTGTCGGTAAGTTTGAGGAACTGTAAATTTTTGTTTCAGTTTATGATCTTGTAATGTCCTGTGTATAATATAGGGACCTGATGCAAATTGGTATTATAGGGCTACTGCTGGAAATGCTGCCAGGCTGTTGGGGCCAACTGGTCTCACTTTGCTTCCGTGGGTATGCTTGTACCGAGTTAGCCAGAAGCAGGCATTGGGTATGTAATGGCCCTGTACTTGTCTTTAGGGTTTTTTTTTATCATAGTTGCACAGCTATCGTGTTTTTTTTTTTTTTTTTGGGCCGTTGGGCCAACTCCCTGGACCCTGTCCACCACGGAGTACCTGCAGGTAAACGCACAAGCTACTACCAACATGCACAATCCCGGATTGAGAGCTATTATTAGGGGCGTTGCTCACTTCCTATTTTGCAGGAACATATCCAACAAGTATCAATAGTTCCATACTGCTTTCCCATGCCTCTGATTCTTTCATCCGGGACTGTCTTTTGATCAAGCGAAAGTCCCTAACCCCGGGAGACGGGTGACCAGTATATCAAGAACATCGATCAGTAGTTCTTTTTCGCCCTGTTTGAGGTAATCCTAGCTGTTTACAGCATCAGAGCAAGGACAACCCCCGATGTGACCCAGTGACATTGGAGCACGAGAAAAGAAATTGAACGTAAAAATTGAAACTGCGCCATTACATTGTTTTCTATGTGATATCATCAAAGTTCATTCTCAAAAGTTTTTGACATAGCAAGGAAGAATCGTGGATATCATGACCTAAGCGCTACCGACTGGCCCCTCACCACCGGGGATCAACTGAACAGGTGTGTTAGTCTGAAGAATCCCAGAAGGCAGGAGAAGATCGTACCATGCAGACATTGTTTCCATTCAACAAGATCTTGGGAAGCTTCACCTGACCGCCGGCGTAATCACTATCTCTAGTTCAGCTCTTCGCCCACCACCAGCCATGAAAGAAGCGAAGACCCCCAGAAAGCAGGACCACACCAGCCGGGTGATTGAAAGAGAGGAGAAAAGGAAGGACTTACAACTCGGTCACATCTTCCAACACCATATCTACAGCAGGTCAGAGTCGAACTCGTGAATTAGAGAAGCAGAAGTAGGACCACTTACTGACGTAGTCGTCGAATCCCAGCAACGTTCCGGCGAATTCTGATACAGGTTAGCTTTTACCATCCACCCCATCGCGGGGGAGGCCCAAACCTTTGTCATTCTTCATGATGACCCATATTCTGGATCCGACACACTTGTCGATCAACTCTGTCGCGTATGTTAGCAAGAAGCGCCATGTATACGCGAATGACTTGGTCTTTACCTAGAGGGAGAAGTTGGGACGCCATTGCGGATTATTTTAACAGCTACTTTGACTCAGCACATGTCACCGGGGGCGGGACATGGAACCTATCTCCATAGATGACTTACTGGTACCTCCTGGATGAAAACCGAGCCCCGCCTAGATTGCTATAGAAATTGAAGCGGGCGGACGGATGCTTTGATGATTCGATGATTCGATGATTCGGAATCATCCCGTCAATCTTGGCGACCCGGCACAAGCGTTTCTCCGGCCCGGCTTATTATTACTCTTCTTACTATGATTACTACGGACTACTCCGTCCGCTTTTCAGGTACCTCGTTTATATACACTATGATGAACTAAGTAGACTTGAGCACTCTGTTATTTTCTCAATATCATGGACTCCCTTCATTCCGACAGCTGAGCCTGAACCCTAAGGATTTGCCCAAACATACCTACCACCAACGACTTGAACGGTCCGGTGTCCGGCAACGAATTAAGCCCGGCGGCAAGCCTCACTTTATTCTCGCGAGCTACTAAGTATATTATATATATAAGATGGCTCTCCGCGAAGCAGCGATGTCGTGGTAAATTGACCTCGCATTCTGTAACAAACGTCTTACTTACACTAATACCAGTCCGTCTAAAACTTATGTGTGCACATGTTCTTTGCAAAACCTGGCTCTCATGGCAGGTGGTCGCTCAAGGCCGTTACGCAGGCGGGAAATAGCACCGAATAGCCTGATGAATAGATACTGCTCTACTGCGGATACCGATCTTGCATTTTTTGGCTCGGACAGAGATATCAGACATAGGTATAGGCAGGATCTACCTGAAAGAGAGGTGCATCGTCGCTCCCTTGAGCCTACACTTTCTCAGTCCCAAACTAGAGACTCGATACGTTATCATCATATTTCTCGATCGGCTGGCCAACACAAAGCCACAACTCCCAGGGGCTGGAAGAGAACCCATATGATCATGACCCCAGCCCGAAGAAGATTCTATAGCTCGAATACAATCCCACGACCAATGGTCGAGCATCTAATCGACAGCAAAGCCATCGGGGAAATCCACACACCAGAAACTTCAGTCCTCCTGGCGAACCCTCAAACATTGGCTTCAGAGAAGAATGCTTCAGTGCCAAAAGATCGAGTCCCAGCAGAAGAGTTCACTCCAATCCTTACCCCCACCAAGGAGTCTCCAACACCAAAATTCTGGAGCCACAATATGCTCAAAAGCCCGGAGGACAAAGACATCATCGTACACTACTGCAAAACGCTCAAGAGCAGCGAAGAAGTCTCGCGTCTCTTTTTAAACGATGAAATATTAGGATTCGACATGGAATGGAAAGCCCAGGCCTCGGGATGGGACAGCATCCAGAGTAACGTGTCCCTAATCCAAGTCGCAAACAGAGAACGAATTGCTCTCTTCCACATTGCTCTCTTCAGACCAAACAAGAAACTCAGCGATCTGGTCCCCCCTACCCTGAAACAAATCATTGAGACTCCGAACATCACGAAACTCGGAGTTTCAATCAAAGCAGACTGTACCCGTCTCCGCAAGTTTCTCAAAATCGACGCACATGGGATCTTCGAACTTAGCCATCTCCATAAATTGGTTAAATACTGCCAATCCAACCCGAAACTCATCAATAAGCGACCCGTCAACCTAAGTGAGCAGGTGGAAGAGCATTTGGGATTGCCGTTGGAGAAAGTCGAAGATGTCCGTTGCAGTGATTGGACAGTATCCTTGAACTACCGCCAAGTGCAATGTAAGTGATAAATTATTTTTGATATGATGTATGGGCGAGAGAGTATCTAACCAGGGTGTGCGCGCAGATGCTGCATCCGACTCGTATGCATGCGTCTGCCTGTTTGATACTATGAATGCGAAGCGGAAAGCGCTCGACCCTAGGCCTCCTTTGCCTGCTCATGCGGATCTAGATCGTCCTATTCGCATAGTATGTGAGCCTCCGGTGGCTACGGACCCGAATGATGTCGAAGTGGTTAAGCCTTAGTGGCTACCCGCGCACATGGTTTGGAACAAGAGCAGAAATGATTAGTTCGTGGATTGTGCATTTCTGATTTTAAGATGGAGACTCCCGTCCTTTGAAGGACTCGTTTGCCGCGTCATGTTGGTTTCGCAACATAGAACGTTTCGGCATGTTTTCAGTTGTATAAACGGGCTTTATGGTCAGACATCTCGGATTTTTGATTTAGGGACTAGAACGTGATACCCATGCTAGATTCAAAGTATGTAGCATTCTATCAAGAAAGATATTTATTTAAGATGATACTGTAGATAACTGCCTCTAGAATATAATGGGGTATAGACATAAAAATCAAGACATGGCATAGTCGTATAGGGAGAGCGTAAACGAGTTTAAAGTCGTGATATATGTGCCAGCACGATCAATGCAAGTACAGTCGCCCACATATAGGCGAGGCTATCCCCTGAGGGGCAGTACTTTAGACAAGAGGACCTCCTGCCGACAAAGGGGGCACTCGGGCTTCTCCCTTACCCAGTCTCGCACACATGTCCAACAAAAAACATGCCCACAGGTTGTGACACTTGGGTCTTTGAACAGCTCCAGGCAAAGCGTACATTTGCGCTGCTGACCGGTAGGGATCCAGGGGATGGCATTGGAGTCCTCCGAGAAATCGTACCGCGCACTGGAAGCCGGGAGGAGAGGAAGCGATGAAGGGTGCTCGAGGGAAGGTAGCACGGCATCCCCGTACTGGCTTGCGCCGCCTACCTCCAGCCCATTATTCTGGTCCTCCTGTTGTAAATCGGCCCCAACCTTCTTGATATGCAGTATTCCCTGTACAGCGATCTGCAAGACCAAGAGCACACCCAGTACCTCATAACCAACCCGCTGTTCGCTATCCTCTAATTTCTTCGTGAACACATACCGTAGTCCCCAGAACCGCTTTGACAGGTGGTAATAGGCGCCGGTGAAATAGAACGTTGCGATGCTTAGAGCGTAAACAGGCGACAGCGACGTGATTGAGTCAAGATGCTCTAATATGTATTTCTGGATCCGCAGTTTCGTGAAGAAAGACTGTTTCTTAGACGAATTGTTCTTGGCGCGCTCTACCATCCCCTTGATCTGAGCCGCTTTGAGCTGTTGCCGAGCGATGCTGCGTTCCAGCTTCGAACGCAATCGCTGGCGGAAGGCGGGGAGAATTCGCTGGAGCGCCCAGGGCAATAGAATGGTGCTGAGGATATACCCAGCTCGTCTGGGGAGGGAAGGAAGCTGGAGGGTATCATCCTCCAGTTGCACCAAGTCGCAATATTCTTCGCCCAGGGTCCGGTTGCCGACTAATGTGGTCAAGGAGAAGTAGAGGATCTCGGTCAGGTGCTTGATGGCATCGGAGTGGGTGTGAGCGTAGCGAGCGCCGCGAAGGGAGCGCACGATCGAGTGTACTTGACTCGTCAGGCTCCCTGTCAGGAAGACATCCTTTTCGTGCGACCGAATGATATCCGGGGAAGTCGCGAAAGGGTAGAAATGGGCCGAGGTACTGACGGACGGTGTCGGAGCGGAGGGAGCTAGAGAGAGGTCTTCGTCGGCCATTGTGAGGAGGGGTAGTGAAAGAGAGGAATCTCAAGGGGAATGGGGTGGATGGCCGGGTCGAAAGAGAAGGATCCTCTCGTTGGGGGGAGCTATCATGGTCGGGAGAGATAGGCGTGTCTTGTATGGCGGCCGCAGCTGGGGAGCCATTATTGTCCGGAGGCGGCGGAGGAGGAGATGCCTCGGTAGAGACCACGTGATTGAGTTCCCGTGACTGGCTATCACGTGGAAGAATATGCAGCCAAAATTGGATAAGGGAGGGCTAAGCCGAAAACGGGGCAAGGGCCAGAAGACTAAGGCGGAAAGCCGCGCGGAGCCGCGGGCCCAGTTGGGAAGGCAACCTGAAACCGGCGGTCCCTGAGCTTCTTCACTCCCGCCGGTTAACTGCTTCGCTGGTCATGATTTGAGCCCTTGCGGTCGCCAAACTCACCCCGAGTCACTCCTTGGCCTTCCTGATCGCTGTCGCTACTCCCTTCACTCCCCAATTATCTATCTGTCCTGGGGCTCGCTCGAGTCACTCCCTCCCTTCCACCCACCCACTTGGTCTTCTCGTCTGGTGCTGCGAGATCCGGTGCCGCCTCTTCGATGGAATATGGGTCCTGATCAACATGCTCAATTGGATGGCTTCAGTCTCTTCCTCCCCTTTCCCTATCGCGTGGCGGTGATATTGCTGGCTGGTATGCTGACTCCCGCTAATGATCGATCGCCCTATGCCTCGGCGTTCCTTTGGGCTGACAATTCGTTATCGATAGGTTTCTGGGGTTGGGGTGCCAATCTGCAGTACCTCCTAAAGGCGAACATTGTGGGTGGATGCCCCTCATCTTCTCCCTCCCTCCTCCCTCCTCCCTCCTCCCTCTTCATCCCCCTGCCTTATCGTTATACACGCTTGCTGATGTCCCTTAGGATGTTCCTGCCCTCATTAAATACCCGGCCCGTCAATCCTCCAGCCAACGCCCTCACCATGCCTCGACGTACCAGCTTGCCACTCTTCTGACCATCCCGCTCGCCATCTCCCTCCTCGTTTTCTGGCCGGTCACTCATGGCTCTGCACAACGGGTTGAATCGGTGGAATTTATCCCACAATCATACTTTTTCATAGGACTTTTCATTCTTCTCTTGCCTTTTTACCGGATCGCGCGCTCGGGCCGATATCGGTTCTTCATGACCCTGAAGCGCATCAGTCTCGGAGGTTTGGCGGAAGCGCAAGATGGCAAGTTCGGGGATATTCTGCTGGCGGATGCCTTGACAAGTTATGCCAGGGTTCTTGCAGACCTGGTGGTCACCTTCTGCATGTTCTTCACCACGGATATCTCCAGTACATCTAAACCGACCCGCAAGTGTCGTCAAAATGACTACGTCGTTCCCTTAATCATCGCCCTCCCCAGTATGATTCGACTGCGTCAATGTTTGATCGAATACCTACGAGTGCGTCGGGCTGGTCCCAGGAGCCATGGATTGGGTGGCCAGCACTTGGCCAACGCCTTGAAATATGCCACCGCATTTCCCGTGATCATCCTTGCCTCTCAGTTGAAGCATTACAGCCCCCTAGACTTCTATGGCTACAGTGAGATGAGCCTCTCGCGGCTTTTGTATGCGCTCTCCTGCTCTTCTCAGCAAGCAAGAAGTTGCTCAGGCTAACCGTGCTGTCTCCGCCCCAGGTTCTTCTTCATGTTCATCAACTCCGGATATTCCTTCTACTGGGATATAACCAAGGATTGGGACTTAACTCTCCTCACCCCGGCACGCCATAGCCACGAATACCCGTACGGATTGCGCCGCCATCGTTACTTCACCGATCGGCAGTACTACATCGCGATTGCGGCCGATCTAGCTATTCGTTTCTCCTGGCTCTCTAGATACGTGCCCGGGTTTCTCTGGTTGAGTGACACAGAGTTCGGACTCTTTGTTCTCATGTTCCTCGAGGTTGCACGTCGGTGGATGTGGAATTTTCTCCGCATCGAGACCGAGTGGAGTAAGTTGTCTATCACACGACCACGTTATCGTGCCACGCTAACTTGGTGGTACTACAGTCCGGAACAGCCGTGGTCCCGCCCCGGACGATATCCTGCTTGGCGAGTTCGGCGGCAAACTGGACGCCGACTAAAATCGCAGTCTTCCGCATCTTCTCGAGAATTCTGCCGTTTCTATAGATTGACATGATTTGTACCCACATGTAGCCAGCATTCATTGTTATTGTGTTAACGTATGTGAACATTCTTCTTTCCCCTTGCCTTTTTGGCTCAGCTTGGTTCAGTTCGGGTTGCCGTCTCACTTCAATTGGCTTGGTTTGACTTGGCTCCAGTACATCTTTTGTACCCACTGCTGTTGTTTTTGGCGTCTGTATCATATGGGCAGGAGTGCTGTAGAGCTGTGTCGTATGCACCAACGTATAGTAGAAATCCTCAGTCTTTTCCGTTCATCTCTTTCCCTCTTCTTGTGTTGCTCCTATCGGATGTAATTATTTTCTGTGCCTGAGGATAGCAGGTTAATCAAAACACGGCTGGTACGAAATTGGATACTTTAATGTGAAGGAAAAATAGATCTAATCAATTGAGAGAGTATGGAACGTTCTTAATGGAACTGTTATTTAAGAATTATATCAAGAACACGTAAGCCTCTTATTCCAAGAAATAAAAAAGATAGGGACAGATGTAATGAATTATGCAAAAAGAGCGACAACTCAAGAATAATAGATCAGAAAAAGATTCCAGGTAGATGAAGATGTCTTTGCAAACATGAAGGCGAACAATATACAGTACACAGTGATAGCATGCGTGATATAGGACATGAATAGGAAGAAGAAGACCAAAGCTAGTTAAATGACAAGACATAAAATCGAGGGAAGAAGAAAATGTTGAACTATACATCCCAGCAGAAGAGATATCGTTGCTCGTAGCGTCACTGATTATGGTAGCGTCAGTGTCTATTCTGGGGCGCATGACTGTCGAATAAATCTTCGAGATATGCACTCGGAGTTCGGCCCAGAGGAGGAGAGGAAAGATTGATTGTGCTGGTAGAGGCCTCTTCTACGCGGGACCGTCTAGCGCCGCGGGGGGAAATGTCTTGCTCGTTGGCTGATGCTGACAGACGTGGCGATTCAGGAGGGCTAGGTCCTGACTTGGCCTTGGTATAGCCCTGAGACTGAGGCCCCATACCCGGTAGGTCAGCTGCCGAGAAACGTGTTTCCTGACTTCGGGGAGGCGCAGCACTGCCGGCATTGTAGTATCCGGCTGGAAGGTAACTCGAGCGCCTATTGCTGTTGTGGTGCATTCCTGCGGTGGGTGAGAAGAACAAGGCGCTGTTCGAGCTAGGGGTCTTGGTGGAGGACCGGTGGTGTCTGCGACTGTGGCTGTGGCTGCGGTGGTGATGGTTTTCACCGAGTTTGTCAAGAGTTACTCCTGGCCCAGAGGAGGATCTCCTCGAGCGTGACCTCCTCTTCTTGGAACGAAGCAGTCCTTTGGTTTCTGATGAACGGATCATGGCTGCTTGACGGACGGATCGGTTCACAGACCAGGCGACGATTCCGCGCCAGGCCAGAATGGCCAAGCCAATTGCACCAAGCACAGCCCCAACCACGATGAACAAAGTCCCTTCAGGGATCTTCGACTTCTGCATGTACGGGGCATCTGCAGTGGGTGGTACAGTCACTACAGGGTAACCATTCGTCGAGGAAGATGAGGTTGAGGAGCCAGTAGATGTTGACTTAGTATTTGTCGTTGTCGCAGCTGAGGTGGTAGTACTGTCGGCTGACGAGGTTGTCGCAGACTCGGTGGTTGTAGCTGCGTCGGTAGTAGTGGAAGTGGTGCTATCGTCTGTGGTTGAGTCTTGAGCGACTGAGACTTGTGCAACGAAGATGATGATAATCAATAAAAGCAATGTGAGTGAAGGCCGGCGGGCCTTTGCGAGGCCCACAGACAGGGCTACCATGGTTGCTATAGATAGATCACTGGATATCTGATTGAGTGCTTGAAAAACGACGGGGGTTAATTCTAGCGATGCCCCGCTCAATTGAGATATGGGGTCATAGTCAACCGGAATTTGGGATGGTCAAGAAAGCAGGATTTGGATCGAATGTGTCTGGTTGTCGATGGGTCGCATCAATGATAGCGGGAGTGAGTCTCCAGGCAAGCGGGCGGGACTCCGATTAGTCTCCACCCAAACAAGAGGGTTCTCAGGGTCAACAATCAACGAGAGTCAAGATGGGCGCCAGGCAGCCAAACGAGGGACTACAGCGACAGCGGCTGTAAGGTCGACGTGTGTGTCTGTGTGTGTATGTCAGTCGCAGAAGCGAGTGATAAGCATGAGAAATCGGAGGAGCCACGACGCCATCAACCGGCCAGAAGGCCGTCGGGGGGAGAAAGAGGGAAAGACCGCCAGCCTGCGTCCAGCCTGAGGCCCGCGCCGAGGCCCACGTGATTCATGCCCAGGCTCTTATTGAATTGAATTATGCTTTACTTAGAAACACCAGGATTTGTCATGAATTCGTGATCAGAGGGAGGTGACACACACACACACACACACACACACACATGGATAGTATGCACTTGTACAATATGATAGATTCCACAAATAAGTCAACGCCGGTTCACTGACATACAGCTTATTCATAATATAGCAAATTATGGAAGAGAAGTATCCTGAATGACAGGATCCTGAAAGAACAACCTTGAATTACTGCTGCTTCTTTTGCACGCTTGCGGATGTGTCCTTTTCGAATGCTGCATAGGGGACCTCCAAGCTGCTAAGAGCAGCCAATCCAACATACATTATAATCAGAAAAACGAGGGTCGCAAGGAATCCCATAAAAATGCCTATAGATTGTCAGGTTGAGCGCTGCGATAGCTCGGGCTCTGCTGTACATACCGGGAGTGAGCAACCGGTATTCCCGGAAGAGCGTCTTGCTGGATGCAGGTATCTGCCTGCCATGAGCGGAGTAGTCGCGCTTGAGGTCCATGTGAATGGGATCCTCATCCGACTGGTAGAAATCGGCATTCGAGTTTTCAAATTCCCTGGGTGAAGTGACATAGAGGATTGTGTAGCCCTTAGACTCTGGTAGTCGCTCAATGATATCAAAGAGCAGACCATCTGCAGTTATAATAAGAATCTCTCCGGAACTACTATAGACGCTTGAGGCACGAACCGTTGTCTGAAAGCCGATGTCTCCGCTCAGAGCCCAGAGGCAGAACAGGGAGGTCGATGAGGATAATACGCGGCTCCGCACCAAAGTCGGCAGGATAGGTCCCAGCTAGAGGACACGGTCAACCAAGGCTATCATCTAACAGCAATCATTCATCAAGGAGCACCTACAGGAAGCATCGATCACAGTCGACTCGGCCCCGCACTCCTTCTCGAGCAGCTCCTGGATGTACTTCGCCTCCAGCACCCCTTCGACTTCATTAACGATCATCTTTGACCGGATCGACTTGTCCTTTCCTGTCATCTTTGCGCCGAGGTGCGGTGCAGACTTGCGGGTAGCGAAGTCGGTGCTATGCACACCGGGCTGAGAAGCGATGACATAGTAGTCGGAAGGGCAGCCGTTGAGCCCAGTAGAGAGATCTTCTAGTATAGAGGGAGCGGTCTTGAGCTGTGCCGACGTGGAAAGGATCCTATGTGAGCTTGTTAGCTGGACCATGTAATGGAGTCCCGCCATTGAGCAAGCAGTGTCACGCATACTCAGAGGTCGATGCAAGGAAAAATGGAGAGGTATCGCGGAATGCGCTCGTCGTGGTCGCCCCGAGAGCAAGCAGCGAGAAGTTTCCCAGACGCATGGTGGTGAAGTAGAGGTAGCTATCTAACAAAGCGGACGGTTATCTGGAGAACCTCCCGGGAGGAAATGATGTTGGAGCCAGGCTGGTGGATTGGTCGCCGACGGCTCGGAGGCGGTCGAGCCAACCACCGGCACGGCTTAGCTCGACTGGCTCCGGCCGTGACGTTCTGGCATGCGGCCTGGGGGTTTTTTTTTTTTTAATTTTTTTTGATTCATTGAAAACCCCACCTCGATAAACAACATCACTTTGCCATAACTAGACACACATAATTTCCTTCGTTTCTCACAAGGAAGGATGGGTCCACAAGCGAAAAAGAGAAAGGTCGCCAGCAAAGTCGAAGAGATCAGCTTTGACGCGGCCGATCGGCAGGAGTTTCTCACAGGCTTTCGCAAGCGGAAGCAACAACGAATTAAACATGCACAAGAGGTGGCAGAACAAAAGGCTCGGGAGTTGAAGAGGGAGTCGCGGAAAAGGGTATGTCTCTGCTCTGACCTCCACTGGCCACATCATCAAGGAAAGCATCTGGTTAACCTGGATCCCTCTAGATGCGCGAAGAACGAACCGCGGAATTCCAACAGGCACTGGAAGAACATCGGAGACAGCTCAAGAGGCTGAAGGAAGAAGATAGCGACAATGAGAACTCGTCTTCAGGAAGTGATAATGACGAAGGCGACGATCAGGGATGGGAAGGGTTCGAAGAACCGCCAGCCGTGGACTACGAAGCGGAATACATAGATGAAGACAAATATACTACGGTCACCGTGGAGGAAATGGATCCCTCCAAGGAAGGTCTACTTCGATCGGTAGGCGAGGATGATGAGGAAGAGGAAGAGGAAGAGCGGACTGAGGCGACCCCTGCATCGGACGCCAGCTCGAAATCTTCCAGCGAAAAGAGCAAAAAGAAGACCGATACCAAGCCGAAAAAGAAGAAGTTCCGTTACGAAAGCAAAGAGGAGCGGAAGCTCTCAAGGGCGAAAGAACGCATGTCAAACCAAAGGAAGGCCAAGGCTCGACGAGAACGCTCATAACATTCAGTCTTATACAGCACAGCAAAGCACTCATGAACCACCATTCGGTTAAGAATATAGAAGCCAGAGGGGTAATCCCATTAAATATGCTCTATGTACCTTCACAAAGACTAATATGTTATAATAAAAGGACAGACATGGTCACGAGGATGGGCGGAGACCGGTTGATGAAGAGGATGAAGCCAGCTAGATGACACGACGACAGGATACGACTAAATCCGTCTCCTGCCGACAGAAAATTATAAATCAAACTGTGATGTGCAGGAAGAGAGAGCAAAGGTAAAAGTATATTTGGAAAAAGGGCTGAATCCCACATCTTCCGGAGCTCGGCGCCATCTCTCTAGACGTTGCTGATCGAGACCTCGAGGTCGTGCAAATCCTTCTGCAGTTCGGCGTATTTCTTCGCCATCTCCTCATACTTGCTCTCCCACTGGTCACGGGACGCTTCGAGAGCCTGCACCTTGCGTTCGTAGTGGCCAGCCTTGACGTCGGTTTGGCGGAGCCTAAAGCACCAGTGTAGTCAGTACTTACGCTGTTCCGTTATGGATACAAGAAAGGGGGTGGAGGTGGGGTTGATCGTACTTCTCGTTAGTCTCCCGGAGATTCCGGTCGGCCTCCTCGGCCTCCTCTTCCAGCAGCTGCAGACGTCTCTGGAGGGCTTCGTTCTGAGTATCGTGCTGGGCACTCTGGTTGGCAGAATCCTTGGCCTCCTTAAGGGAGGTCTCGAGCTTCTCCACCTCACCCTCCAGAAGCTGGTTCCGGTGGTTGAGGGATGTGATCTCCTGCTCCTTGGCGAGGTTCTCCTGCTCCAACGTCTTGACCTTGGTCTTGAGCTCCTCGACCTTCTCCTGAGCCTCCTCAGCCTCGAGGCGGAGGTTGTTCATTCTCTACATTATGTTGGTCAGTTCCGTGCCCAGAGATTATTTTATATTTTCTTCCTTATGGCAGAAAGAACAATGGATAGCCCTGGATGATGAAGAGAGAAAGGGGAAGGCTAATGGTGGTGGTGGTGGTGCATGTGCATTTGCTGGCAGCTTGGGAGCTACCCCGCCAACAGGGGGGGAAAGGCAACTCACCTCCTTGATCTTATCCATTTTGGGCAACGAAAGGAAGTTATTTGCAACGAGAAAGCGGGAATACGTATGGCAGAAAGTTGACAGTCGCTGAGAAGGGTCCGAGAAGGCTTTCGCTCAGCGAGAAACCAGACAGAGATGCGTAGGGGAGCAAGTAGGCAGAAAGGACAAATGGGTTTTGGGTTTAGGAGAAGAAAGGAAGTGGAGGAGGCCTCAGGTAAGGTTGACTTTCTTGCCTGGCCTGGCGGTCAGCCGCGACTAGTGGGTTGGGCCCGATCCATTTTTGGTATGGTAGGGGGTGCCAGTTGCCCCCCTGGAACTGGAAGACAGCCGTGGCTCTGTCGCTCCGTGGCTGAAGCCCGACCGTCACTCGCCGTGGCTGACCCGATGGCTGGCGGTTCCCTCCGGTTCTTCCCCCCCACCAGCCCCCGTCTCCACGGGCAACCGCCACGAAAACATCTCGGTTGCGTGACGCTGCATCTAGAACCATGTCGACAGGTCCGCTCCCCTTCCTCCGTCGCTGACTCGCCGCGTCAAGCTCCTTAGTTCCGATCCCGCTTATACCTACGTCGATCCATCTTCGCAGTTGAATGTCCCGTGCGAATCTCTAACTGCCACCATGCTGGCTGTGCGCGACCAAGAGAACCTGGTCCACTCTCACCAGACCGTTGCCGCGTCAAAACCGCTGAACCAGGGCGTGAGACATTTGCAGCCAAAGACCCCAGGAGCCAGAGCACCCAAGACGCCTTTCAAAGTCCCGTTAAACGATGAGAATGATCCCTTGGCTTTTGGAAAGAAGACTGCGAAGGCAGCGGGTAAACAGAAGGACTATGTCAGCTTGATCACCAAAGATGCCTTTGTCACTCCGTCGGGTAAGCATGGAAGACCACAACCATATGATGACACACGTCTTGACCGTGATACCGAGGAGACTAACACATATCCCAGCAGATCCCCGTCACCGTGCCCCTTTGGGCATGAAAACAACCAATGCCAAAACCAAGGGATTGCAGACTCCGGCGCCACCTGGAGGGACACTGAAGCCAGAAAGGACCACCAAAAGAGGCTCCACCCAGAGAGTAAAGAAATTCGCTCCTTTTGTTGAACAGAGCGAGCCAGAGGTCCAAACGAAGCCGGTGGAGGAAGACGTCCCTGACATCGAGTACATGCCGCCCAAGCCCAAAGGTTAGCTTCTCAGCGGCACCCGCATCAACAAAAGACCAGTACCTCTGATACACTGCAGATCTCCCTGATATCCCGGACGATATTACATACGATACTACGTTCCCGCAATTCCAACCGAAAAACCTCGCTCGGGGACTGGAAAGCGTGTATGGAGATAACGAGATTGGGCCTGATGGACTCACTAAGAGAGAGCGAAAGTTTCAAGAAGACTCTGCTGCTTGCGACAAAATGGTCGAAGAAATGATTCGGAAGCAAGTTGAGAGCATTGGGTTTGAGGAGACATATGAGACAGTTCCACCTAGCGAACCGCCTGCGGGAGGCGCTACGAAACACCGAATGGAAACACGCCGGATGAGGGCAGCCGCCGGCAAGACGAAGTATAGCAGCAGTATCCCCACTATTCGAGCTCGAGATGCAGCTGCCGCCCTTTCTGGGACCCAGCGTTCCGTTACACGCGCCAGACCTGCTGTTTTGGCCAAGCCTAGGGTTACCTCCTCCTTGTTCCCTTCCAAGAAGCCCAGAAGCCCGACCAATCCGTCGAGCATGCGTCACAGTGCCGCTGCTGCCACTTCGAAGTCGACGGTGGGATACAGTCGGGGCCGGGACGTGTCGTCCAAGATACATGGCAAGACGGCCAGCCCGGTGAAGCCGGAGATGGAGCCCAAAAGAATATTATCTCCCGAGACTTATCTGCAGCCCTACGGGACTCCACCTCTGATCGCTGACACGATCGAGCTAGGCGCCGATAGTGCGGAGGAAGCCCTTCCCATCTTCGGGGAAGATGAAGAGGCCGAAAACTTCCAATTAACGCTGTGATGTACGATGTGTGAGGAGTCAAGGTGAATACAAAGTCGACTTCAGGCGCACAGTATGGTTTTCAATGGGTCGATGTTCTCGGTAGTTTTGCGGTGTTTGTGATTACAGGGGTACCCCTTTTTGATTCTATTATTTTTTTTGGCTACTGCTATTTCACCGTCCCATGCATGCCTTTCTCTCTCACCACCGGGGGGGAGGAGAGGCCGGGTAAGGGCAGGTGGTGCACAAAGGCGGAGCACAGGACACGAAAGGGGCGTTATTAATGATATTATATGACCTATTACCAACGCATTTGTGTTACGAGAAGCGTGGGGCCTGACTTCGATTGGGGAGGGTTCCATCATGATTCCTATCATTTGAGCACATGAAATTTGGCAGCATGATCAATATGGACACGTTAACCTGATGAAGCTGGATCTAAAGTAAGGACATTCGTAATGGACCCTCAACAGGTGGTTCCTTGGGGGGGGGGGGGGGGGGGGGGGCGCTGATTCAGCCCGCCGGACCAAGCAGGAGGAGCCACGCACCGCACTCGGTTTCAAGCCAACCTTGGGATGACCCCTGGAATGGAGCATATGCAGCTGCACTGCTGCAGACTAGTCTCTACCTATCTATATATACATGCACTATCTAATATCTACCTATGTATAGACTATAGATAGGTACAAAGTGGTGAGAACTGGGCAGGGAGGTGTTCCATCCTTACTCGTAGATAGGGACTGGCCAAATTGTCCGTACGGGAGACCAGGTCCGAACCCCAATACGACGCCTCCATTCGCCACGGACCCTCACCGCTTGTCCCGAGAAGCCCCAGCTGGACCAGCGGTACGTACGGAGTACAGACTATCTACTACCTAGTAGTAGTAGTACTGTGTACACAGTACGTACTTGTACTAGGTAGAGAGAGGATTATTGTAAACACCACCAGCAGCAGCTGTAGTCAATGACTGCACGATCCCCGTGTAAGTGGGAATTGACAACGTAGAACAACGGAACAAGACCAAATTCTTGCAACTGGGCTGAAACCGCATCGGTTCCTCAAGTGTAGTTCGAACCCTGGCGGTTGATCAGCTCTCCTCGAGCAATCCACTCACTCGCTCCCGCCTCAAGCAATAATCTCGCTCGCTCTTTTCTCCTTCCCTTCGACTCTCTTTCTTCTCTTCCCTCCTCCCTCCCTTCCTCCCTCCCCTCCCCTCCCCTCCCTCCTCCTTCCCTCTCCGTCAATTCGTCTCCTCTGCCATGACGAATATCCATCCCGAGTCCCCAGAGGACTTCGAGTTCATTGAAACTCCTCCCGCCTCGTGCACCACTCCCGCCGACGATTGCGGTGTGCGGACAACCTCGGTGAGTGGTACCATAGCAGCTTCTATAGAGCTCCTTCCCCCTCTGTGTCCTGGATTCTCAGTTTAAGAAGCATCAATTAGCAATCTTTACAATCCGGAAAGCTAATTTTCTCGTCCTTGCTAGTACCCGGCCATCAAAAATGCCCCCGTCCCTGCGGACTCCCAGGGCAGCGACAGCTTCTCCAACACGCTGCTCTTCGCCCTCCTCATCCTGGTCCCATGGTATCTCGCTCGTCAGATCGGTGGTGGTTTCTACACCACCATCTTCTTGGCTATCTTCACCACCGTTCCCATCCTCATGGCTTTCTGGTCTATTGCATCCTCCATCTCTCCCCGCAAGAATGAAAAGGCCAAGTATGCCGGCCGCCCCGTCGAGTACTACCTGAACTTCCACAGCGAGCATGACCGCACCGCCTACCGCGGAAAGAGCAAGATCCCCATGGAGGTCTTCTACGAGAAGTACTTCAATGGCGAGGTCGACTTCAAGTGTGATGCCCTGGAGGCTCTGGAGTTTAGACATGACTGGGCCAACTTCCGCTTCACCATGGGTCTCTACAAGCACTTCCTCTTCGGTTTCCTCCCCGAGATGCTGATGCACACCCGCTCCCAAGGTATGTGTCCATCTTTGCATCCAATTGGAGGGTTTGTCCTCTTGCTAACCCTGAGCCTCTCCTGCCAGATGAGGAGCAGGTGCGTGACCACTACGACCGCGGTGACGACTTCTACGCTTGGTTCTTGGGCCCCCGTATGATCTACACCTCCGGTATCATCAGCGACCCCGAAAAGGAAGAGACGCTGGAGGAACTCCAGGATAACAAGCTGGCTGTCGTTTGCGAAAAGATTGGTGTTAAGCCCGGTGACACTGTCCTCGATCTTGGTTGTGGCTGGGGTACTCTGGCCAAGTACGCTTCGGTTCACTATGGTGCTCAGGTCACCGGTATCACTCTGGGTCGCAACCAAACTGCTTGGGGTAACAAGGGTCTCCGTAACGCTGGTGTCGAGGAGGACCAGAGCCGTATCCTGTGCCTCGATTACCGTGACGCTCCCCGGGTCCCCGGAGGCTACAAGAAGATCACCTGTCTCGAGATGGCTGAGCATGTCGGTGTCCGTCACTTTACCTCTTTCCTGTCCCAGGTCTACGACATGATGGACGACGACGGTGTCTTCTTCCTTCAGATCGCTGGTCTTCGCAAGTCCTGGCAATACGAGGATCTCATCTGGGGTCTTTTCATGAACAAATACATCTTCCCTGGCGCCGATGCTAGCACTCCCCTTGGGTTCGTTGTTGACAGACTGGAAGCCGCTGGTTTCGAGATCAAGAGCGTTGACACCGTTGGTGTTCACTACTCCGCTACTCTTTGGCGCTGGTACCGGAACTGGATGGGCAACCGTGACAAGGTTGAGGCCAAGTACGGCAAGAGATGGTTCAGAGTGAGTCTTCCCCGTGAATGTCAAGATTATAATAGACGGTACTAATATTTGGCTACCCTCCAGATCTGGGAGTACTTCTTAGCCTACTCTACCATCACCTCCCGCCAGGGTGGTGCTACCTGCTGGCAGCTTACCCTCGTCAAGAACATCAACTCCACCCACCGTGTCGAGGGCATCAACAACCAATACGGCCTCAGCGGTGCCCGCCAAGCTGCGATCGACCGCGCCGGTCACGGCGCTCTTCCCAAGGCCCACGTTCCTCCCAAGGCTTAGACGTAACCTGCGACATCAATACCGTGGGTCCAGCAGGCGTCTACACATAGACTTCCTCAAGACCCTAGTATCGGTCAGACCAGGATAATGTGTCAAGCACTGCATCCCGCAATGGAATACATTGGAGGGAGCTGCAAAAATGAAAAATGGGAAAATTCAGAAGTGAATACGAAGGAGGATGACTATTATATCTTAATCTAAGGTATGCCACGAATAAGGGGTTTTTCATACGGAAATGACAGACTAGTTATGTACAATGATTCTGATTTATATGCCTTTCCTTATCCGCATCGGGAACAGGAAAGCTGTACTTCATATCAGAATGACATGTAATAATGAACCATAGAAAATGTGACGCATGAGTATGGTCTTTGTTTCTTTATCTTGCTTCTACAGGCCGCTACGGAGTAGTCAATCTAGACATGTAAACTTATTTTGCCATCAATGCTTGATTAACTCAATCATGGTATGTACATATCCTAGAAACGCCAGCACTATCGTAAATCATACAGGTGCCCCCTCCATAGCTAAATCTTGACAAATTTTGAGTAACAAACAATCCCCGACTTGCAGTCTAATCCAAGCGCTTATAAAGCTTAGCCTTGCTGCCCCCTGACCCAGAGCAGCATGAGGGTGCAGCAGCAGGCTCCGGGTGGAGGGTAGATTTGTTGAAGCTCTGTGAAGATTGAGGCACATCCACGGCAGGGTTCTTGGTGAAGAAGCCGTCAGGACGCAGCATCACGCTGATGCGCTCCATAGGCATGACGGGGAAGTCCTCGGCGCGAGGATTGTGGGTTAGGCCAAATGCTGGAAACGATCATGTTAGCAATTGACTTCCACTTGGCGACGAACAGGAGGAACTTACTGTGCCAGAGAACCACATCTTCGTTCTCGGTAGGGTCATTCCTCTGAGCCCAGGTCTCAACACCATATGCGCGTCGGCTCTGGTTGGTAAACTCGCCAGCTGCGTATAATTCATCATCCTGGTATCTTGTCACCCAGATTGGCTTGGTGGCGAACTCAGCCCGACCATACCCGATGGCCTTGCTGCTCTGCAAGAGCATTTGACTGGGTGCCGCGTGAAGTTTGTAGGCAATGGGCTTGTATGTGATGGGGTTGATAACATTGTCATTACGGATCTTGAAAACCCGGTTGCGGCTGATGTCGATGTCGGCTGAGCCTGCCTTGCTCATGACAGTCTGCTCGGTGGTATAACCCACTAGCCAAGGGTTCTTTTCATCCTCGGGAAGGGGGACACTCTCCTCGTAGTAGACCGTGTTGTTGAATCCATCAAGAGCCGGGTCGATCCGCAGGGAGAACATGTGCTGGTGGTAAGGAGCCATCACACCCGGGCCCACATTAGTGCCCCATTTGACAGTCTCACCGTTCTCGTTATCGAAAGGTACCGTCGACAAGATTCCAGTGGCGCGCACTTCAAGTTCAACATTCGCCGCCTGGTCGAAGATGTAGGCGAAAATGTACTCGTAGTTTGCCACGGTGCAAATCATTTGAAGGACAAGCTGGCGATTGCGAACTACCGTAGCTGCGCCTGATCTGTAGTTGGTGTGCTTGTGTTGCAAGCCATTGTCTTGTTCATGCATGCAGATGATATTCTTCAGCAGAACCGGGTTCCCTTTGCAGTCAGCCCGATAGCCGTCAAAGTACTTGATATGGCCCAGGCAGTCACATCCCAACGTTAGCTGGTTGGCATTGAGACCAAACCCGACATCGCCAACGTCGAAAGCCTGCTTGCGGTGGTACGGAGCACGAGGATCTATTATCCCATGTTAGCAAGAACCTCCATAACCATGGTTCATATTGTTGGCCTACCTCCGTAAGGGACCGTCATCTCTGAGACTGCGAGGCGGTAGAAGACACTGCGGTTATCGTAGGTGACGTTGTAAAGGACCATGCCCTCCCGGTTGTTAAAGCCCACCCTAAAGCGCCACTTCTGCCAGTAGACGAAATTGCCATCCACAGAAAAAGAGGGTCCCTCCGGCTGCTGCACAATGTATGGCTTGAGGTCTCTCCGAATTGGCTCGTCTTGCAGGTCATGGGCATATTGGACTGCCTTGACGGGCTTCCAGGGCTGGGTTTCAGCTGTCTGAGCATCTGCACCACCCGGCAGATAATCCATACGGATCAACTCATGTGTAAACGCGTCAAACACCGGGGAGAACTTGCAAGGCAAGGAGTAGTGGTTATTTTCGGGGTGGTCCACAGCCACCATGTACATGAAGCATTGGAACATCCGTCTCGACTCGCTTAGGCTCTCAGTGCCGTACATCCACGGATCATTGCAGACTGTCATGCCGGGTGGTAGCTTGAGCTTCTCAATTTCTGCCTGCACAGCTGGGTGCTTCATGCAAACTTCTTCGATAACGACCAGTTCGTCAATATCCACTGGGGGCTATGAGACAAGCTGTCAGAAAATGTGCCGGGATGCCCTTTGATTTGAATGTACATACTTGTACTCCCTCCGGTAACACTTTGATGGAGACGACCGATGCTGTGTTAGCGTTCACCAACGCCTTGCAGCACGCACCGGTATCGAGGCGATGGAAATAAGAGTATAAGAGACGAGCCGGCTTAGGGGGGAGGGGCTTCCTTAGCCTCTCAGCCTCGATATATGGAACAACATCTTTCTTGATGGGCTCGTGGATATCAATTCGATTGTATCGAAGCTTGACACCGGGGAAGGCGGCTTCCAGGACACGCGCAGCCAAGCGTATCTCCTGGGGCTTAATGGGATCAAAAGGGTGAGTGCTGGCCGAGGTGGCCAATCTGGGCCCCTGAGCTGCGAGAGACATGTTCACAGGATGTGCCTGTTGTATAGATCGTGAGAGTCGGAGGAGTGCTTGGAAGAGAGACGCTTGAAGATTCAGGTCATATCAAAAAGAGGGATGAGACGAAACAGCAAGCGGCCATTGCTCGGGGTCAAACGAGGATTTAAGTAGTCCATTGAGCTCTTCTACCTTCCTGGCAGCGACGCAGCCAGAGGCAAGAAAGGGAAACTGAAGGAGATGGTGAAGGCGGACGATTCCCCACGGCCAGGATGGACATGCCTGATTGGGAAAGGGACTAGACGCGGGTGGGGCGCGTTTAATCGGGGCTCCAGAATTCAGGGAATCGGCGATGCATGGCTTCAAGATCGATTATCTATCGGGCTCGACCTGACAGGTACATAGTAGATAGCCGGCGCGCATTGGTCATAGGTTGCATTTGCGGTGGCACTCGTCCGGTTCGGGATCCGAAGAACGCGAGGATAAGCCTCATCCATCTTCCATTGAGGATAGCACCTGCAAGGTGCACCACAGCAGTACCACTCATTATTCCATGGTCTCTACCCGCCGATAACGGCTTCTTATCTACATAGTATGAGGAGAATCTGGAGACACTTCAATCATCAGTCCTGGGACTTGTACACCGCCCTCAATCATAATCGCCTCCATTAGTCAGTGCTGAACTCACCTAGAGATCCTCAAGAGCCGACGGTTGAAGGAGCTCGGCAAACTAAGGAGACCTCACGGAGAGGGATGAAGGGGGGGAGAGAGAGAGGGGGAGAGAGAGAGAGAGAGAGGCAGAGAAGTGAAGTGAGAAGGGACTCTGGCCGATAAGCGGGAGAGCGTATCTCCTTCCTTGTTCGGTATAGCGTGGCTTCCCCGGGTGCGGTTTCCTCGTCCCATACTCCGGAGTTTCTTTCGGTTGTTCTTCCCAGCCTCATCTTTCCAACTAGCCCAAGCAAGGCGCGGTCAATTCCAATAGGAACTCCCTAGCGGTGAGTCGGAAGATTCTCTTGGAGGTCCAAACCTATCCCTTCTTGTATTCTCCCGAAGTTCAAGACGGTTGGCTACTAGTACTATATATCTACGCCGCTCATAGATCAAGACCGCTACTAATTACTACCCCAACTACTAGTATAAGAGCATCGATTAGCATTTATGCTAGACAATTCATACTACGATTCAAAGAAAAATCTATCATGACATAACTACAAAATTATGACCAAGTATAATAATACGAGCCATACCCTGACCTCGACGAGGAAAAGATGCAGGCGAGAAGGCGCCAAGTGGACTCGGTCTGGTTGCTTGACCTGCAAGCGTCGTCGGAAGCGGTGTGATGAAACCAAGCCATGGTATGATGGAGCCTATCATCCGTTAGAGTCTCTGTTCACTAATTGGGATCTTGCAACAGCTGTCAGAGCTGCGCAAGGCTGGGGTTGAATTGTGAGGGCTACGGCTCGATGTGGGCAGCGCCTTTAGACCCGTCTGCACATGTCTTCAGTCAAGACAGAGCATCCAAGCGGCGTAGAATTAGCGCACCGTCTTCTCCAACAACTTACTCTCATGGTACGGTGGAGGAGCTATGTTCGTCTGCGAGCTCCCCCTTGCCAAGCAATCCTTCGACTGCGCCGACATCACCATCTGTTCTCGAACATACAAGCAGCTACTTCTTGAGTGATGAAGACAGTAATGGCGGAGGTGACAAGGTTACAGACAGTCATGTTGGTCGCCATGATGCACTTACTGTTGCTTCGCCCATGCCAAGTAGGTTCTTCAGTCATCTTTCGCAACTTGAAACACACTATCTCCAGTATCACACCGAATTGGGCTCCAAGTTGCTAGCCAACCTTGAAAGTGACGACAATCCCCTACGTTCGTTAGTAATACCCCGAGCCCTATCATCACCTCTCGTATTGAAGGCCTTGTGTGCGGTGTCTGCGACCCATTTTGCGAATCGCTCCCGGGATAGGCTGGAAGCACAAACTGCTGCTACCAGCTACTATGTTCGAACGCTAAATGGGCTGCAGTTGACACTTTCCGAATTTTCGGCGGGAGACTTTCCTGATGATATCATCTTAGCGGTGGCTCTCCTTTGCAAGTACGAAATTGTACGTGGAAGTGTTAAGCAATGGGCGGTACACTTGAATGCTCTGCAGAAGCTGATCATGGCTCGGGGTGGAGTTTATACTCTGGACGAAGATACAAGAGAATTCGTATCTGGATTGTAAGTCTTACGGGCAGCCGTGTGCAAACTGGAAGAGAAGGCTAACCATCGCCATAGCTACATCTATGCTTATAACGTGGCCAGAATCAGCAACCGCAACCAAATAAACTCCGACTGGCTTGACATATGCGATGTCAAAATCACTAAGCTTGATATATACATCGGCTACGCAGAAGATCTCATCAAGATCTGTGCCCAAATAGCTGACCTGCCTCTGATGTCTCACGACCCCGTTGCCCTGGGCTTGGAAATCCATGGAATGTGAGTAGCCCTAGATCACCCTACATAGATACGTGCAACAGATTAAAGCACTAAATTTCCCCCGATTTACATTGCTAAAACTCGAGCCTAGAGACACATCACTCCGCAACTGGACACACACAAGGACGCAATACATCATCCCAAAAGGAATAACAGAGATGAACCTTGCTCGCCTCCGCATGGTAGCTGACTGCTTCCGTGATGCGGCGTACATCTATCTCCATTCCATCCTAAAGAAAATGAGCCAGGGAATCAGGACTCCTTTTTCGACACCATGGACAACATTCATCTCCCTGCCTAGATCAGAAGCATTACAGCAACTCCTGGGCAGAATCAGGATATCACCCCTTGATGAGCATTCTGAGTATTCTGCTCTTACATTCCCGCTTTTCATCGCAGGTTGCGAGAGCAAAGATGCCAACGATCGAGATCTCGTGATACGTTCTCTAAGCAAGTTAGAGGCAAACTTTGGCATTGGGAATGTTAGAAGAGCAAAGGACATGCTGCATATTCTCTGGCAGGGCGGAGATATGCATTGGTTGGATATGTTAGAGCAATTACAATGGGATTTAATTCTGGCCTAGATATCGACAGACGTCCTGGATATATGCATACGAAGTCAAGCGCAAAACCCTTCGCATGAAGTCTTATGTAACGATCCATATATCATTACTTTGTATCGCGCAGAGTCAGTTCCTCCTCAATCCATTCAACGTCTTGAATCTCCTACAACACTTGGACTCCCCAACATCGCTACAAGTCATCTTCGAAAAGTAGTGAGTTTACTATCACTAAATCGATTACACAGACTATCCTAGACTGCGACCCTCATTCAAGAACCAGTATTCCTTTATTGCAGGGCCAAGACCCGAGGGTATCTTCATTTCGTTAGAGCGTGAACCGCCGAGAATAAAAATAATGCGAGAGGAAGTAGAAAAGTACCCAAGAACACCCTGCCGAAGTAGAAGCCCGAAAGTCCGGTCCTAAAAAAACCCCCATACTGGACGCCACTTGCAGGTTATCTTGCTTGCTTCATGAGGTAGAAGAACCAATCAACTCAAACCCATATTGACCTCGTCGCCTAATCCCATTTCACGCTCTGCTCTTTCGGTGCCTCCTGTGGCTCGGGTGGCCCAACGGTCCAGCTGGTCCTGTGCATGAGTGACCTCTTTCTCTCTGAGACTTCCGTCTCGGCTGCTGTGGCTGGCACTCCCTGAGTAATTAGATAATTTTCGCGTGTGCGGGATGCCGATTGGTCTGGTTGGGGTCTTTCCAGGTGGCGTGTAGCTGGTAGTGGACTTTAATTTTCCAAGATCTACGGAGGAGTTATTCGTGGACGTCGGTGGAGCAGAGGAGATGCTGCTGGCTTTGTCGCTTACACTCTTCGTACTTCCAAACCAACGCCGTCTGCGGGTCTTCGATGAGGTGGATGGGGCAAGACTCTCCGTATCGGCGTCGACTGTCGAAGCGTCGTGGGCTCCAGACGCCTTCTCCTGCTCCTGCTCCTGCTCCAAGGACTGAGTTAGGCCGGACTTGACTTCCACTGAAGTGCCCTCTGTTGATGTGATCTCGACCAATTCAGCGTCACGGCACCATTTCCGACGACGAGTGTACCGATCCCAACCATCCTGACCGCGACGCCCGTCATTCCACTGTTCCCCTGGCGTTAGTAACACATGCGCCTGATAGGCTTCTTCGATTAGTGGCTCTCACCTTATTATCATAGTAGACCCAACCCCCACCATCAGCCTTGGACTCGGACTTTCCACTAGAATCGTCGGCACCTTCAATATGCCAGTCACTATTTTCGACCCAGCGCCACTGGGCATTTCCATTCTCTACGCCGGGCAAGTCGAAGTACTCCTTAGATGGGACCGGATTCAAATGCTCGTCTGTCCAAGCAGCACGCTCAGAAGGGAACAGAGAATAAGTCCAGCCAATTCCAAGCCAACGGCGTTGGTTCTCATAGGTAACAAAGGTGAATCGGACACCTGAAGAGTCTCCCCGGCGTCTCGTTGCAATGTTCACCGCATGACCGTGACTTTGCATCAAACTTGATTGAGATTTATCAACACTGGAAGAGAATGATAGCCCCATGACCATAGAGCATATCAAGCGGATGGTTAAGGATCGCCAGAGGATGACACGGGATACCCTTGCCGGCCGGGAGTGATAGGTGAGAACAATAGTGCCGAGGATCATGATGACACGGCGAGTGGTAATTAGATAAACAGGTGGAAGAGTTAAGGCGACCCAAATGGGGGTAACAAAGAGGATTCGAAAGAATAGTGTCGTAAGAGCCGGTCGCGTGGTGGCAGAAGTCGCCGTCCTCTGCGTGGATAAGAAATCGGTAAGTTCCACAAGTGGCTCCAACAGAATGTTACAGCGGGTGGTGAAGGTTCTCAAGGTCTCCACGATTTCGTCGAGTGTTTCATGACGATGGGGGAATATTTCTGACGCAGCTCTCTGATGGATATGTTTCTCACCCAGCTGCGCCCTTGACGACAAGGGAGAGTAGCGTCTCCAGTACATGCCCAAAATGAGCCCGATCACCACCAGGAGCGGTCCTGCCCACAGGATGATCACATCGCCATAGAGGACCAGCATCCAAAATGCCGCCACAAGCAGGAAGCTCTGCCACCCATCTCCAGTTGTCCATGTGAGTAAACCCACAAGTTTGTTTAGCGGCAGAATAAATGGATGCGAATAGGCTAAAGCGCGAGTGATCTGGGGAGGAGTGGCTACTAGAAGCGGTGATTTGCGGTGCACGATGATGCTAGAACGCTGCCTTGATGTCACAGAGGAGCCGGAAATGGTGGTGGGTGAGAAGGCAGCGACCGTCGGAGGCTGAGAGTCAGCCTGGTCCTGCGCGGATGATGAAGGGGCCATGGATTCTATCCACGGAAGATCTTCTGTCGCGACATCAGTATCCGGGGAGGAGGTGGATGAGGACTGCCAGCCCACGTGGACGATAGTTCCGAGACGAGGAGTAGGAGTGGGAAGGGGTGAGAGCCAAGGAGGAGGGCATCTGTTGTATCACGTACCGAGAGCTGCCATCCAACAACAGAGACGTCATATGCATCCAGGGTCATTGCGGGCGGTGAGCAGGGGAGGAGGAAGGGGAGGGGAGCGAGGGACCTGGGAGGGAGCGCACGATAGATGAGGGCCAGACCAGACCAAAATATGGGGTCAGCAACAGAGGTAGGGTCCAGGTGGGCAGATCATCTGTGGGGATTGAAGGGGACTCGCCTCAGATCCGCGGGTGCAGATGAAGCTTTTCACCTGCTTGCTCGGGAACATGTGACAGCCGGCCTCGCTGGGCCGTACCGTATTGTATCAGTTGCCTGGGGTTCCTGTGTCCGGGGGAGGAAGTCTGAATACCGTTCGTGACGGTCATGTCGGTATAGACGGCATGCATCTCTCCCGGCAAATGGTAGATACACAATTACGGAGAATGGAGTAAGTATTTAATAGTACTACCTATATACGGAGTAGGTACTCCGTACTCCGCAGGTGTAGGTAGGTGGACTGGTCACTGGAGGGACTGAGTGGGCGAGTCATCATTGGAGAACCTCCAAAGACAACCAGATCTTCCGCTGAGGTATCAAGCATGGGGATACTCTCGACCTCAACAATTTCGTGGGGTCCAGCTGCACGGGGAGTCATCTTGGTCCAACATGGCATACTATGTAGGTACTAGGTAGTAGTTACGAGTAGTTCTCCGTACACTTGGTCCAGGAACCAATCCGGGGTGATTACTGCCTCAGGCCGGCAACCGGCAACGGACTAAGGCCGCTGCCGAATTTTTCCCTCTCCGTCTGATTCAATCCATCGCCATCTGGTCCGCACCCGCAGCACCCTTCTTGACAGCCCGGGCTTCCCTCCACTGCGCACCAGCCCCAACATTTGTCGCTCCCGGAGCCTTGATTAATTCTTGGAGTCTGTTCATCGGCACACAATCTCCATCACCATGGTATGTGTCGAATCTCACCTCTCCCCCCCTCTCCCGTGAAGGCTATCGAGCTTTCCGTTCTGATCTACGTCAATGCTCAGGCAAACTGACTTTTTTTTCTTCCTCTTCTTACAGGCTCATCGTATTGTCACTCAAGTCGTCGTCACGGGCGCCCGTGTCTTCGGCAAGGCCTTCGCAGAGGCCTACAAGCAAGCTTCCGCCTCATCCCAGTACGCCAAGCAGACGGGCAAGAAGGTCGGTGCAAGCATGTCTTCCGGATTGTCTATCGACGAGGCATGCAAGATTCTTAACGTCAAACCCCCACAAGGCGGCGAGGGCAACGTCGAGCAGGTAATGGAGCGGTTCAAGAAGTTGTTCGACCTGAATGATCCTCAGAAAGGAGGCAGTTTCTACCTGCAAAGCAAGATTCTTCGCGCACGGGAACGGTTAGAGATGGAGTTCCGACAGGCTGAGCGCAAGGTTGCTGAGGAGAAGGAGCTGCGCGAAGGCTGGAAGCCCAAGGTTTACAAGGACCGGTGAATGCGGCCCGTTCACGTAGGGCACTCAGTTCGAGTTCTTCAGCCTTGACTGATTGCTCTCGGGCTGCCTCTCGGAGATCCTGCGTTTTCGATTGATTCAGGCTTGACTCATCAATATATGGTCGAAGCAGTCGCGCCGACCATTCTAAGCCCATTAGCGATCTCGTCGACCTCCTTTCTTATCCCTCTCGGTTTTCGCGGCATAGCATGGCGTTTTGGTGATTCCAACACTCAGATTGGAAAGAATTCTAGATTCTTAAATTTATATGGCGGGTTGCATCTCAGCGGGGCAGATGAACTCGGGAAGTGCGAGGTGGGCATATCAGAGCTAGGGTCGTCCTGATGGCTATGGCATGGATGCTACTTTCTTCGCCGGTCCATCTGACCTGAGACGATATCCATTTGTGTATATTATTCGAAAGAGGAAGGGCTTGCGGTCCAACCAGGGCATGGGGAGGACGAGGGTGGCCAGTCGTCCTTGTGTTCATTTCCTTTTCTGTTCTTAATGACCCCTTCTCCCCTCTTGCGTCGTCCTCGGAGGATTGATACCTGTACTTTAGGACCCAGAAGCGATAGCTTGCGTGGTCATATTTTCTGCTGGGAATTGTGTACGAATGTTAGCATCGATACACAGACCGACCTTTGGACATGTTCCGTAATCTTCACTGCACCTTTAAGCAATCAGGATCAGCCATGGCGCCATCGCGGAGCGGAACCGCAACCCGCGGGGGAATTCGCCCAGTTGGTTGATGATTGATCTCTTATCGCCGCGGCAGTTTTTCATCGTCTCCCCTCCTTCCCCTCCTTCATTCACTCTCACTCTTTCTTGTAAATCCCACAAGCAGTCTCTTCAACTTCAACCCCCCTCCCAAAAAAAGAAACAGAGACAGAAAAACAGACGGCACGAAATGGCCCGCCCCTCAGGACGCCTATCGGCGCATCTCCCGCCACTGGTGATGGGCACTGCAACGTTTAACAACCAATACAACCACGATCCGTTTGCCCTGCCAACCACCGAACTCGTCCATCGGGCCCTCTCTAGCGGAGTCCGCGCCTTCGACACATCGCCCTACTACGGCCCAGCTGAGGAACTGCTCGGTCGCGCCCTAGCCACCGATTTCGTCCGCACCAACCATCCCCGCGATACATACTACCTCCTCACCAAGGTGGGCCGCATTGCGTCCTCATCCTTCGACTACTCCCCGCAATGGGTCCGACAAAGCGTCCGTCGCAGTCTCCGTCGTCTGCACACCGAATATTTGGACGTCGTGTACTGCCACGACGTGGAGTTCGTGTCCCGCCAGGAAGCCCTGAATGCTGTTTGGGAACTGCGTCGCATTCGCGACACCGAGGGTACGATCCGCTACATCGGCATCTCGGGGTATCCCGTTGATGTGCTGAGCGAGATTGCGGAGTTAGTGCTCCGGGAGACGGGTGAGCCGCTGGATGTGGTGCAGTCGTATGCGAACTTCACCCTGCAGAATACCCGACTGCTTTCGCAGGGTTTGCCGCGCTTGGTGGCTGCCGGCGTGGATGTGGTCCCGAATGCGTCCCCATTAGGGATGGGGTTATTGCGCCGCGACGGTGTGCCTATTGGAAGTATGGGAGATTTCCATCCTGCGCCGGATGGGCTCCGGAATGCGATTCAGGAGGTCTCGAGGTGGGTGGATGAGCAGGGGGAAAAGCTGGAGGTCGTTGCCATTCGGTTTGCGCTGGAAAGTTGGCTGCGGGATGGGGCTAAGGTTGGGGCCCTGGGACCGCCGCTTGCGCGTGCCGTGGACGCCGACCCGGGGTTCGTCTCTGTGGCTAATATAGGCACTGGGGAGCGGCTCGGAGTTAGTGTCATGGGGGTGAGCAACTTTGAAGAGTTGGATGAGACGCTGCGGGTCTGGCGTAGTATCGTGGATGGGTTGGAGAGTCGGGATGAGGATGAGCAGAAGCAGGAATCGCTGCAGCCGTCTGCTGTGCAGGCGCCTACTATTTTGACCCCGTCGGATGGGATCATCACTGATCGTGCCTGGTCGAAAGACCGGCGCAGTCGGATCTTGTCTTTGGCCCAGCACATCCAGACGATCCTGGGCCCGGGGTGGACCGACTATGTGTGGGACAGTCCATCTCCGGACTTTGTGAATGTGTTGCCTGCTGATCATCTCGCTGCGCTGGAGAAGGATCCCCCGGAGGTTGCTGCGGCTGAATCGTCTCTGATTTCTCCGCCTTTGGATGCAGTTGATAGAAAGATACCCGCTGATGCTGCGTTGTAATGCTGCCGTTTGCGATTTTGGGTTTGATGTCATACAGGGCTTTTCAAGGCAGTGACAATGTTTACTTCCTTTTGCTTCAATTCTCCTCTTCTCTTTCTGCGTATAGAAAGATTGCAATGTCACATGATTGATCCCTACGATGCAACTAGACATCTGGCATGGTTCTGCGACCTCATTTTCACGTTATATGTTGATAGCCAAGCCCAGTATGCATTAGAATAGACAGACTACTATCTAAGCTCGCAATCTAAACACATCCACGGACAAGTATCAAGTCCCATGTCGACGTGCATCCTCTTCCCAAGACTTCCTCTCCAAGGGCTCGCATCTAGCGCCCCCTTGATGAGAAGGATATGGAAAGGGGGTATTGTAGTATTCACGAGAGACATAGGAGTCTCCGTGACGGGACCAATTCGATTTGCTTCTAACTCAATCTCTCTGCTGATGCTGCTACTAGCGAAGCCAGTCACGGAACAGACCCGCCGGCTCTGGACTTTGGCTCCAGGTATAGTGCGCTGTCTGGAGGTGGAGGCCATGCAATGTAATCAAAATAGAATCGGTCAGCCAGGGATCGATATCCGGCCGTGGATCTATGGCCCTGTGCGACGGTTAGCAAGGCAAGCAGGCACATGTCGTGGTTTTCACCAGGCAATGAATGCATTGCAACGTATGAAAACCAACCCGCCTTCATGATAGAAGGCCAACTCATAATGAGCTGGACGGTTAAGACAACTGAATGACAGCATATCAGACGCAGACTGTGAACATAACCAACGATGCAGCATTGTTCCAGAGATCTCGAAAGACCGCGAGAACCAGCGTGGATCATGTTGCTCTCGTGTCTTTCAGGCTAAGGAAAGGGGTATCAGACGCTCAAAGACGGACAAGAAATCAGAAAGTGAAAGAAGCCATCCCAGGGTATAAGAACACAGAACATGCACACTGTTAACCCAAGACGAAAAGAAGATGCACAGATCTAACTCGACTCCTGCACATATGCATTTAGCTCTGACTGGGTGGTATCGTTCCTTTCTCTCGCATTATGAGATCTCGGTCCATATCTGATTGCGACTTGTAGCCTCCAAGGCTCATAGCCCGCTCATTGCTGATGGAATAAGGGACAGACTGTAGGTCCGGACGCAATCGCTTGAGACGAGCCGCACGTTCGCGCGCCGCCTGTTGCTTCTTCTGCAGCTTCGTCATCTTATCTCTCTGTGACTTGGGTACAGCAGGGGGAGGGCCAGCAGGCAAAGGAGGCGGAAGAGGGGCAGATTCAGCCGGAGGAGAGGTCTGGGGAGGTGGCGGGGGCGTGGAAGCCCGACGGTAGCGAGCGAATCTGGTATCGGCGTCAAATACCTGTCGAAGCTGCCACCGCTGTTCGGTATACTCATCATAGTTTGCAGCGATGATGGCGTCCAGGATGCTGGTTTGTGTCTTTCCGGTCATGGCCGTGGAAACCATGCGTTCTTTGAGACGCCGATAAGCGTCCGAAAAGGCCCTAAAGATCAACGCAATCTCTCGTGTCCCGCCCGAGATATCGTTGTCGGCGTTGTTGGGATCCTCAATGGACAGACGAGGGCTGTTGTTGTAGGAAGGCTTGTAGATTTGCTGTAGCGCGATTCGGTTAGCCGGCAAGCATGGAACTGCCCTTGATGCCACTTACCTTGTTGAAATAGCCTGGCGGATTCAACCGAATCCCAACGGTGTCATAGTCAAATCCACTGCCATAGAACTCAAAGAAATCCATGAGAATGCTGCCCAGATTCGGTGGCATATGGCCATGTGGCAGGTGCTGCAAGAGACTCGTAACGAGACAAGTGATGGAGAATCCTCCCAGCCCGCCAGTTGGTACTTCATTGAGGCCCCGAAGGAGCAAAAACTGCTTGATGACCGACACAATCACGGGCATTGCGGGATACTCGGTCTTCCATTGCTGGAAGGTTTCATTGGCCACGAGTCCACTATCATTGTCGAACGACAAGTCCACCCTCAAGCCAGTCAGTTTATCCACAAACTTTAGGATAGGCACGCGGGCATGCGCTATTGTCTCAATCGAATTGGGCACCGCTATGTTTAGGTTCTTGATGAATGCAGCGAATGCATATATCTGGCCCTTCCGTTCCCCGAAGGTCTTGATACCGTGGCGCATGAAGTTTGTGGAGAGTAGAACAAGGTCGATATCTGCCGTGGGAAGGTATAGACCTGAAGCAAAAGAGCCAAAGGGACGGAGCTGCACCCCATAGTACCTGCCCTGGAATGCAGACTGTAGCCTCGCCACCAAGTCCTCTCGCACGATCTGTTCATAGCGTACAGGTTTGACCCAATGGTAGAAGCTCAGGATTTCGTTGTGAAGCCTGCTTGCAGTCAGGAAAGATGCCCCCCTTCTATAGCGGACTTGAAACGCACCTTGTACCCAAATGCAGACTGGGCGCCATGTGGCTTGACCATGGCGTTGCATTCTCTGAGGGACGCGCTCTCCACTCATCAATGATCGAGCCATCATCATAGTATTTACTCAACGGCTTTCCAGTCTTCTTGGAAACACCCTTTATCTCGTCATCGTACGTTCTCTTGCGGTTGCCAAACGCCGAGTCCTTGCCTTCCAACTGGCGCCTCGGTCCGGTAGGCGCGTCTTCAGGTGCATTCCGACCCGCTTCGTCTTCATCAACCATGCCACTTAGTGAGATGAAATCCTCATTAGATTTCACCGGATCCTCTTGTGTGGGCTGTGCCGCGGTTGCAGCAATTCGAGCCTTGCGAATCAACTTGACCACATCCACCCTCTTCGCCTGGGTCTCATCCGGAGGTGGTAGAACCGTGTAGGGATCGGGATTGGACCATCTGGGAGCCGGGGCAGGTACTGGAGCAGCCGTCGCAGTTCCGCTGTTGTTGGAGTCTATCGCACGCTTTTTGCGCGGGTGAGCGGCTGCATCCTCATCTTCCGAAGACACGTCCATGTCAGCCTCCTCGCTATCGCTGAGGTTCGCGATAGACGCGAACTTCAGCGCCGGTTTCGAATCGGCAGCTCCGGCGGGAAGCAGCTGCTCTGGGGTCGTCTCTCGCCTGGATCTCAAGAGCGGCCGTTCGGCCGTTCCAGGGCGCGAATACCGGAAAGTGAACTCATGTCTGGGGTGATGTGAAGACCGTCGGTCATTTCCCCGAAACTCGAAAGCCGGCGGCATGGTCAGGAGCACGGAATGGATGAAGGGAGAACAGTCAAAGGGACGGGGACTTGAAGCGACGACACAACCTCGAGATGCGAACAACCCACAGTGACGCGCTCCATTCTTTTTTTTAGTGGCGAGGCGGAAGGGTAAGGACTCGACTGCATTGAGAAGGCGGTGAGAGTGGCTCTATCGCTTCTATCTACGCCGTACTTTACTAATTCTAGTTTTGGTCTCCCATCCTCTCCAGCCCCTCTTGCAGCTGCTGGATCAACGTTTGATCCAATGCCATCTCCGCAAAGCTTACCCTTTGTGTGGCCCAATTCAACCACCCACTAGCTCTGGATCCTTCTTCTGCTCGAAGCAGGCCAACACTCACGTCTATCAGCAGCGGTCTTTCTTCGCTGTGCCAGAAGATTGATGCACCACAGCAGCTGCAAAACTCGCGGTAAACCCCCGGGGAGCTATTATATTGCTTCATGGTGCCATTGCCAAATGCTAGCGGGGCCCTGCGGATGCTGTAGAGATTCGCTCTAGGAACAAACGCCCATGACTGAATTGGAAACCCGTTGGCTAGGCGACACGATGGACAGGCACAAGTCCCTGCCAGATATCTTGTGTTTCCATGTTGCAGCCACCACTTCACGTCTGTAGGGTTTCTTGAGGACCGTGAGTGATACGGCGCAAGCAGATCGGGCCACGGTGATGTTGGCTTAGTGGATGAAGAATCCGGCCGCGTGATATAAAATTCAATCCCCCCACAATGACAGCGGGCAAGTAGTTCGTCGGAACTGCGGGACGGTGGCTCGCACTTGGTCTCGGAAGAACTGCTCGGAACGGCGTGAAGCCAACATGCTGAAGCAGGGTTCCCTGATTCCCCCGGGAGAAACGGGGTCAGACCGCCATCACGCGTCTCGGCCGCCCGCCAATGCCGTATGGATTTGGTGGAAGGACTCCGCACTAGCAATCCGGCTGCAACAAAGAATTGCCCTGTGTGCTTCGCATGCGCAAAGACATGGGCGCCACAGGTCTGACAGAAATAGCGGCTTACGCAGTCAGCTTCCCGGTATTGCTGGAGGCCGTCAAAACTTTGTGGCTTAGCCTGCAGGGGATAGTACGTAGAGCACAGCATGCCCGTGACCGTGCGACAGGCGGCGCAATGGCAGAAATTGAGGACAGAATGGTCGGCGGACAGCTCAAGCTCTATCTCCTGTGCCACACTTCTGCACAGGCAGGCGATGGGATGTGTCACCTTGCCTCCCTGCATGCTGGAAGGTCAGCCAACCGTCATCACAGTAGTTGGAACGCTTACGCAGTGGAGTGCTTTATCCAGCCCGGCTGTCGGTTCTTCTTTATCTGGTGGTTCATGATCGTGTTAGCTGGGCAAGAACAGACCCCATTCCATCGTAGGAAATCTTGCGCCTGCGCTGCTGCATCCCTCTGGTCAAGGCACAGAAAGAAGCTTGCGACCAACCTGCCAGCCTCGACGTGCTGCTGCACCACACTGGGTTTTTAGGCACATCCGGGATATCCACTCAGCGCGAAGGACTCGTACAACAGAGGGGGGGGGGGGGGGTGGTTATGATTGCATTGACTGGAGACGACGTGCAGAAATGCGCTCACATCCAAGACCCGCACCGAGGCCCGTCGCAAGTATAAATACCGGCCCAGGCGACCCCGCCCCCTCTCTTCCCGCATCCCAACAACTCCCTTGCTCCTCTTCAAAGACATCCCTCTATCGTCCCCGTCCCCAGATCTACAAGACTCGTCTTAATTCTCCAAATCAAACCATCATGGGTAGGTCGTTTGCTCCCGATATCCTTCCTCCTTGCCTGGCTTATTGGGCTGGCGGGGTAATGGCGGGGTATTTTACCCAACACCCTTGTCCTGCTTTCTTCAACTATCTCCTTACTATAACCAGGATTCTCGTCTTATTGGAACCGGGAACAGTGCCAGTTTGCTAACCCCCTCTCTTTCTCCCTGACAGGTGACCACGGTTGCAGCTGCGGTGCCTCCTGCCAGTGCCCTGCCGGCCAGTGCCAGTGCCCCGTACGTCTTCGTCCTTCCCCTGGGCTTCTCCTGGCCCAACTAACACTTCGTTTGTATGATACAGAAATAAATGATCTCTCTAAAGAACAAGAGTTGGCTTGAGTCGGAGGATTGCTGGCCTGTATCTCGCGCTAGATTCATAGGGTAATTGCAGATGATGCGCTAGCGGATCGTTCTATTCTGCTTATCAAGCTCTAGTAAAGAGAATGTAGATGATGTAATAGGTAGAACTGATAAGGCCGAGGGTCAAGGCAGAGTATGATGATCACAGACGGTCATAGTGTCCAGTGGGCAGGTGTCCTGCTGACTCCCCTTGGCTTTCCTGGAAGCTTCTGGATGTGATATAGATAAGTAACTCAAAGCCAAGAGGTTGTCAGCATGCTAGGCTACTTACAGAATAAGACACAGATCAACAGCAGCTTCGGCCTCAAATTATCTGACAGTCGACGTGATGCTACCCAATTGATAGGCATGAAACCCCCCCCCCCCAACTTGTAATCATATACAACAAGCCATAGCTTCATCATCCCCATTCCACTGTGTATACACCTACTAGTTACATACCCTCATACGAAATCCAACCAAACTACAAACCCAAGCTACCAATCTACTCCAAAAGCATCTACTAACACCCCAAAACCAAATAAAAATCAAACAAGAATTCATTATATACGTTAACTCATAACCATGTACCACATACCACAAACCACCAATCAACTGCAATCAATAATGTCTGCACCTGCAACCAATCTCACTAGACAGATGACCCTAATCCCCTCTCTGGTCGTGCATCAAGAACTGAAGCAGAATGTATATAAAACCATCGTCGAATCAGAACGGAATCAAACACCACCCCTGCAATCAACCTCTTTCAGTGATAGCATGCATGCTGGAATGGGAAATAGTCGACCCTGTCGAGAAAGAATGGCTTGATTTGGTTTGGGTTGGTGTGAATTTGGTTGTTTAGTGCTGTGAAGGGAGTGGATTGTTAGTTTCTTCCTTCCTTTCTTTCTTTCTTATTTTTTGTTCTAGTAGAAGGAGGGAAGAGAGAATGAATGGGTGGGTGTATATACCTTGCAAGAGTTGCAAGAGCAAGAGTTGCAGTTGCCGGAGCAGCAGTTGCAGGCGCAGGGAGACATGATGGTGGATAGTATATGAGAGATACTAAACAAGGATGGTTTGGAGAGATTGGAAGGAGGTTGATCTGAGTTGGGGGATCGTGAGTGAGTGAATAGAGAGAGAGAGAGAAAAAAAAAAAAGGGAAGGGGATGAGGACGAAGGGCACTCTTTATATGTTCTGGAGAGAGTGTTGCATAGCAGTTTACTTTTACCCCAAACCCTCTCCCCTCCCCTCATCTCCTGTCCCGAGTCTGGTGACTGACGGTTTATCGTGCAAGTGGATATTAGACTTAGTGGATGTACATCTGACTGGGTCCAGGTAATTCTCGCATGCAGAGAGGCGTGGTAGAGCATTGGTTTGGTACTAGAACCCTTAGTTGGAAGTACCTGGGCTGACTTGCGTTCGGGCCCAGCAGATATCTATCTACCTATCTGGAGAGATAACTGTCCCCCGTTCTGTCTGTACAAGCAGGGCTGACCTGGTTGACTGCCAATCTTTCCCGTCAATCAGCGATGGCTTCTCGTTGAGTGATTTTCTTCTCTCTTCAGGTCGACCGGACCAGGGGCGGGGGCTTGGGTTCCTTGGACCTTTCTTGGATGTCCTCGTTGCTCCCAGGCGGGTGGTGGAGGTGGGGAAAAAAAGAGGAGCAGCCAATCGGTCAATATTATAGGATTGTTCTCGTGGGTTACGAGTTGTTTGGGGGTGTTGGAAGCTATCAGGCCACGTTGGAGAAGGTCGTCGAGGTGGGTGGGGGAGCCAGGGAAAAGTGAGGCAGCAAGTGAAAAGTGAAAGAAGGGCTGCGCGATATTTGGTGGGATTTTTTGTTATTGATGCCATGCCATCATCGTAGTGAATGAGATGAATAATGATAGTAATAAACCCCTCCTTCGGCTGCCCCTCCTCGTCCTCCCTCTTCTTCCCTCGCGACCACCACCATGGTTCAACCGCCTTGACCGGGCCGATCATGGTCCACTTCGTATGACGAGTACCTCATACTCATAGTAATAGATAGGTAGTAGTACTAGAGTCTAAGGGACAGAGATGTTCTGCATTTTGCTCCATTTACCTCTTTCAGCCATGCATGGGCCAGGACCCACGCCTGGTTTCAACCCTCGTTTGTGGCAGTTGCTGATCCCAGCAGCAGGGTAGAAAACCAAGCAAGCAAACAAACAAACAAGCGAGCCAGCACGGCCTGAGCAAAAGCAGTCCCCAGCCGCGAAAGCCGCACTAATCAAAGGGGCAAGGCGAATAGAAGGTTCGGGTTTACCACTAATCAGCAGCAGCAGACATCCCCACGGGCGGGGTACCTATACGCCAGGTCACCCGGGAATAGCTGCACCTTCGGACTGCGAGCTCATCCGGTAGCGGAGGACAATCATTGCCCGGTTGGTACGGAGTTCATCCAAGGCTGTGGCATCGGAGACTTGTCTTCGTGGGTATTTGACCCAGGTGCTTACAGGATCGTCTGATCGGTCTCAATGCATAACGGCATGGTGGGTTGGGGCAGCGCGCAATGTTTGCATCTTTGCTATGGTACATGGCTGGCCTCGAACTCTTAGGATCGGAACAAGGGGACTACTGTGTTCATGCTTGGATATCTCTGCTGCATAAAAGCAAGCATGAAGGCCAGTTTGAACACGTGCTGGTCGGCTGCATCAAGGTCATCGTGTACGGCATCAATAGGTTAAGAGCCCTGGGGCTTCAATATCCACCGACTGAAAGAAGTGATACCCTGATTGTATCCGTTAAGGCGCGCCCAGCCCTTGATGCATGATGTCGTAAGTAGCCAAAACATGGCCACTTAGCAGCTTGTATATAGAGAGTACCACAGATGCCGCTGTGTATGCATTTCGGATAAGCAAAACTATAAGCTACGCTCTAAGACGACCCCTGAACATGTTTCCACACGTCACAGCTCATCCTTGCTGTTCGGAGCGGCGTGGCTCTCCTCGCTTCCGGGACACACGGCCGGTGAGGTGACATGCATGGAGTACACGCACTTTTCATCCTCGGCCACCTTCAGGATCGCGTCCTCTTCGCCACATTCCAAGATGACCGTCGTCGACCGGGCCGGACCATTCCAGCAGCCTTGTCCGTTGGCGTACTGTAGAGAGACCTTCTGCTCGGGGACGATATCTCCCGACTCATTGAGCACGTCGACACTCATGGTCCCAATGCCAACGTACTTGCCCATCCGCGTAGATCCTCCGCCCTTCTTCGGAATCTGCTTCGTCTGATCCAAAAAGCAGTGCTCATACGTGTACTCGCCCGCATCCTTCGAGACGCAGACGCCCCTGAGAGCCCGGAAGACGGATGCAACACCGTAGTCCGTTTCGAGATCGGACTGGTGATCCTTAAGTTGCTTCTGCATATCCCCGAGACTCTTCTCCGCCGACTTCACCGCGTCTCGGGCTTCCGACACAACCTTGGACTCGGACGCAGAAGAAGACTCAGCCGCCTTGGACAGGATTCCGTTTTCTTCAAGGAGACCCCTAACGATGGTCACCTTGCTTTCGACAAAGTCAACGACAGAAGGCGGGAGGTAGGCCGCCAGCTGGTAGACTAAAACTGCTGTTAAGGCGTGGGACATTTAACACCCGCTTCCAAACGAGAAACATACCGATACTGGCCTCACATCCATCCTCTTCGTTTTCCCACTGCTCCCAGTTGATGCCCGACTTCTCATCATCGGGCTTAGCAATCTCGTCCAAATCACGGTCCTGGGCACTGTTTACAGCGCCCTCAAGAGTGCCCTTGGCAGCGTAATCCTCCCAGTTGCGCACAGCGCGCTTGACACCCTCGTCGTTGAAGTTCGGGTTGTATTCCACCTTGAACTTGGACAAAATCTCTTCGAGCTCCTTCACACGGGCGCGGGTGTCATCACGCTCCTTGCGGACCTCCACCAAGGCGCCCCGGAGCTCCTCGACCCGGCCCTTAGCCAAACCCGCGAGCACATTTACTTTGCCCTCCGTCTTGCCTTTCACAACCTTGCTCTGCTCCTCCTTCTCCACCACCTCAAGCTCCGCTTGAAGATCCTTGACCTTAAGCTCCTGTGTCTGGATCTCCCCTTCAAGACGCTCAATACCCTCCTCGACCTCCTTCTGCTGCCTGTTGGCTTCCACGAGAAGCTCCTTCTTTTTCTTCAAAGCCGCGGTCATGGATTTCTGTCTCTGCTCCTCTTTTTTCCGCCACTCCTTGCCGATCTCCTTGCACTTGTCAGCGCACTTGGTGCCACCAACGCGGGCCCACTCGTCACTACCGTCACAGCAAAGCTCGTAGTCACAGATGCCGTCATTGACCCGCTGGAAGGGAACGTAGGCGGGCTTATGGCCCTTGTTCTTGCAGTAGAAGCCCGGAAGGGCGGACACAAGCTCGAGATCGTCATTGCCCGGGCGCTCAGCCGGAGTTAGGGCCGAGTTGCGAGAGAGATGTGCACAGGCTGCCGTTCCAGGCTCGTCACTACCGTCAGGACAGTCACAGTAGTCGTCGTTCACGGCGGAGAAGGGGGTTTGGATGGCTGGGCGGGAAATGCATGTGAAGGTGGCGGCATCCTTGTAGAACTTGGCAACTGTCAAACGTAGACAACAATGTTAGCTAAGTGACCTTCCCATTGCCGCGTATTCTACTCCATGTAACCAATGCCAGCACCGAGATTAAGCCTATGACGTGGATGCGACTCGGATGGTTGTGCACAGCGCCGCAGTCAGTATACTCACATTCGGGTCCTACTCCCCGGGGACGAGACGAGGCATCACCGGCAGCAGCGACGACGGTTGAGCATGCGGCTATGCTCGCCAAGAAGAGGGATCCCTGAGGAAGTATCATGGTAACAGCATTGAGCACCCTGACCAATGCTGTGATGGGCAGCGAAGCAAACTGGGGGAACAAGAATCACCAGCAGAAATGCGGAGAGAGCTTCTGGAATCTGGCCAGCTGGTGATAAACCAACCATTGGGTTCAATCCGGGGCACCTGGGCCGGCTGACTCAGCCCCTTATCAGTGTAACTAGTAACTAAGTAGTTGAGTGGCAACCCATCTTTCTCCCTCACCATCCCCAGTTCTGGTCGGATTCTCTTGGTGCCAAAATGGGTAACGACGGCGGCAGGTAAGTCTTTTATCTCGGTCACGAAAATCCCCGCTTGGTTAACTAGCTAGCTAATCGTCTCATCTCTCAGTATCCCGACCCGTCGCGAGCTCGTCCGCGAAGCCGCCCGCACTCCCAGCACGGCACAAGTAAAAGAAGCCCAGCGCGAATTACACGAACACTTCTGGACTACCTGTCCGCTGTCGCACAAGCAATTAATACGGCCTATTGTCTCTGACAGTGTCGGGAATCTCTACAACAAAGACGCAGTCCTCGAATTTCTGCTCCCCGCCGAAGAGATCGATGGCATCAGCTCCAAAGCCGACTGCGAGGAGATTCTTGGTGGCCGGGTGAAGGGCCTCCGAGACGTCGTTGAGCTGAAGTTCGAAGTCGATACCGAGCGCGAAGCTTGGATCTGTCCCGCCACGGCCAAGCAGCTGGGCCCGAATGTCAAGTCGGTTTACCTGGTTCCATGCGGGCACGTATTCTCCGAGGAAGCTATTCGCCAACTGAGGGGCGATAAGTGCTTACAGGTATGTTTGACTGGTCCTTGTACTCATGTGTCAGTAGTTAAATGGTGTGCAGTGCGATGAGCCCTATACTTCGGACAATGTGATCCCGATTCTCCCGACGAAAGACACCGATAAACAACAGCTCATTAGGCGCGGACAGAAGCTTGCCGAGCAGGGCCTCACGCATTCGTTGAAGAAGGCTCCCGGTTCGAAGAAGCGCAAGAAGCATGCCAACGGCGACGCGATCGAAGCGGGAGCCACCGCGGACAAAGAATTAAAGCCGGCAACATCGGGTGCGGGCTCCAGGGAGCAGTCTGCGACTGCGAGTCGAAGCAAAACATCGACCCCTACTCCTGGTGCATCGAGTGGCATCAAGAATGCAGCCACGGCTCTGTTGACGGCTCGGGTCCTGGAGGAGGAAAACGAGAAGAAAAAGCGGCGGAAGATGCTAGGTGCTAACGACAACATCAGCAGTCTCTTCACAAAGGACTCCAAGGACACGCAAGCGAAAAATACCGACTTCATGACAAGAGGTTTTAGTGTCCCTGCGGCAGCCAGGAAGTAATTTGATTTTGGTGCTCGCCTTCATATCCAGTTGCGGGTTTCAAAAGGCGTACGGGGTTTTGGGTGCCGGCTACGGAACTGGATCTTTTTTTTTGCTAGTATGATTGAAATATGAAAGGCTATCACTTGTATGATAAGTATCGTTCTATAACGTGCCAGTGAACAAAATGAAAGACGTCAATTCCTATTGTACAGCAAAATTCTTCCTAAATATAACATGCTACAAGAACTAGAGATAATCTTCGAGCCATTCAAACCTGCCATGCACGCAGTCTATTCAAGAAGTCCTCTCGCACGAAGCTCGGACTCAATAATCTTCCTCCGGCCCATCTCATCATCCCGGTGCAACGTGGTCTGCCTCTTGGAGAATACCTTGATGTTGGGCAGGCCTTGGAGCTTTTTGTTGTTCTCCAGGTGTTCGGCCAGCTTCGTCGGCTTCGAGTGCAACTGGCCCAGAACGTAGTCCATGGCCTGACTGACTGTGGAGATCTGGTTGACGATATTGTCGGGGAAGAAGTGCCCACTCAGCTGGGAGAATCTCTTGAGGAACTGCAGGAGAGAAAGTTAGCGACTACCCCTTCGAAGAGAACCGCAAAACACAACAGTCCGGGGTATGCAGATAGATAGGGAAACTAACAGCAAACTTGGTAGCCGGATCAGTCAACGGTAGGGACAAAAAACCCTTATTCCTGGTATCCTGGTATCCAAAGAAAGCATGCTTCGGGGCTTCCTGTGCTGGCTCCTCGAAATCCTCGACCTCCTCGACCTCGGCGTTCTCATCGGGCTGTCCCGCGGGTTCAGGCTGGGCATTACCGATTTGCTCGAAGATGTAGAAAAGAGCCTCCTTGGCCTTCTCGTTGCGATAGCCCAATGACTCGCCCCAATTAGTCGAACCGGGAATGATCTTGCATTGCCAGATCATCTTGAAAACCGACTTGTCGTGCTCGACGACATTGCAGACCTTCGTCAAGGGCTTGTTCAGCGCGTGCATCAGGCTGACTTCGACGGCCGCTTGGTGGGCAGCGAGCGACAGGGGACCTTTCTTGTATAGCTTCTTCCTGAGACCGAAACTAACAACCATCAATCAGTAAACGGACGGATTTCGAGCCATGATCTCGGTAAACCCAGAACAACCATTGAATCACTTACGAGCCATATGTATCAGCCTCCGAACGAGGAGCATCGGACCACCTTCCCAAATGACCCACACGCTCCAGGCCATTCCATGTCGTCGCAGGCTCATAGGAGACTCCGGGTTCAAGCCCATCCTGCAGGCCCGCGAGCTCGTCCGTTTCCTCCACCTGTGGCTTTTCCTGTTCGTGAGGTTTGGGCTTCCCGAATCTCTTTTCCAGGAGACTTTCTCCGTATGGATCCTCCAGACCCGGGGGGCTGTCCGTGCCCCAGATCTTGCGGCGGACTCGTTCGCTGAGCGAGTCCGCATTGGAGGAGGCATGGCGCAGGAATTGCCGGGCGACAATGGGACGCGGACGCGCCTCCTGTATGCAAACGGAGCAGACATAGAGGGCCCGGGAGCCCTGGACCTCCAGGTTCAGCAATCGAAGTGAGGGACGCATGTTGGCGGCGTTGCGGGATTGCTACGTGCCGGGGCTTCTCCAGCCAACTTTCGAAAAGTTTCAAGAATCCCGGGCTCTAGTCACGTGACATCAACCGCCGGGCTTGGCGCCGGGTAGAAGTATAACCATTAATCATGAGATGTTGATACGGTGGTCCAAAAGAGAGAAAATTACTGGTGTTGGGTATAAGAACATCAATATCGATTGTGGATGTATTTACATGCGTCTACGCTGATATCATGAGAACTATAATCGCTGTAACCGAACCCAAGCTGTACAAGAAGGAAACGCCCCATTCTTACTCCCGAACAAACATACCAGCCATGCCCATGCCAGTACCAATGCACATGCTCACAACACCGACTTCCTGGCCAGTACGCTCAAGCTCAGGGAGCAGGGTCGCCAGCTGTCTGGCACCGGTGGCACCGAGAGGGTGGCCGATAGCAATGGCACCACCCTTGGGGTTCACCTTAGCCTCGTCAATGCCCAGCTTGCGGACCGAGTACAGGGCCTGAGAAGCAAAGGCCTCGTTGATTTCCCAGATGTTGACATCCGAGACAGCCATGTCCAGCTGTTGAAGGAGCTTAGGAATGGCAACCGCGGGACCGACTCCCATCTCATCGGGAGCACAGCCAGCAACCGCAGTACCAACCCAGCGGGCCTTGATGGAAGAGGTCAGGCCAAGTTCGGTGGCAGTAGAGCGGCGCATCAACAGAACAGCAGCAGCACCATCGCTGACCTGCGAGCTGTTTCCAGCCGTGCTGGAGCCGGTGGCGGAGAAAGCGGGTTTCAGGCTAGTCATCTTCTCGACCGAGATGTTGCTGCGGATACCGTCGTCCTTGGCCACGGTAATCTCCTTGGGAGGAGCATCGGGGTTCTCGGGGTCAAAAGTGAGGGTCTTGACAGGGACAATTTCCGAATCAAACAGGCCGGCGTTCTGAGCGGCAGTCGCCTTCTTGTGGGACGCGGCGGCGAAGACGTCCTGGTCTGTCCGTGAGATTCCGTACCGCGCGGCAACATTCTCGGACGTGATACCCATGGGCATAATGCAGTCTCTGGAGTCCTTGGAGGGAGACTCCTTGAGCTCAGGCCAGAGAACGGTAGGGATGGCGCGGGAACCATAATTTCTAGTCATAGACTCCATTCCTCCACCGATACCAATGTTGATCGCTCCGGCGCGGATGCCATTTCCGACGGTCGAGATCGCCGCCAGACCGGAGGAGCATTGTCTGTTGATCGTGTGGAAAGGGACGCTGTGAGGGAAGCCGGCGTGGATCTGAGCCATACGGCCGGCCTTCGCACCACCCAGTTCCTGGAGAACGGAACCGATGGCGACATCGTCGATCAGAGCTGGGTCTAGGTTCGGGTTCGCCTCGAGAGTGGCCCGGAGAACGCTGGCGAGCAGCTCTTCGGGGTAGGCGTCCTTGAAGCCGCCTTTCTTCGCGCGGGTTACCGGGGTACGGAGGGCGGAAAGGATGACAATATCCGAGGGAGACGTTTGGAGGACCTGGCGCAGACCCCGGGGAATTGGAGAAGCCATCGTGACTGAATTTCAAGAAGAGACAGGGAGTGGGAAAGGGCTTTTCGAGGGAGTTCTCGAATTTCACCTCGCCCCGGCATAAAAACCGGGGCCTGGCAACATACTTATGTCGAAACGATGGCTACCGGAGGGAATTCCGGGGCTCGGGATGGCTCGTGTGCGGATAGAGCCATTTGGACGCTGGCTCCCAACTGCCGGCAATGAAGATCGGCTAAGCGCACTGCCGCGGGGGAAGGCAAAGTCTGGGATGCGAAGTGTGGAGAGGCGAGACTTCCAGTGGTTGGAGCTTATGGCCGGCAACTCTGGCCCAGGGCTGCCATCTCTCTGTGATCTAGATTGGAGTTTTGATTCCCAGAGATAGATGCGTCTTTCACCTGGCTCAAATAGTGATGATTCTATCCTTGCTCAGATGCTTTTCCAATCTCTCGCCCGAGGATCGTGTCTCCGGAGTGATCCGACGAACAACATCCGGCCATGGCCAACTGCGCGTTCCGCCATCGGATGCAGATACTTATGTCAGCACATTCGGAACGGCGCATCGGATCCCTAACTACTATTGAACTACTTCGAAGACCTTGAATAGTATTGACGAGTGCTCACGCGCATCATTATTGCATAATATCTAAACTGATTCTTAACTGCATTTCTACCGGTCCTCTTTCCTCATCTTTCCCATGTGGTATATACCGATAAAAGCCCGCCTATCTCCGAATCCGTTGGTATCATAAGGCAAACAACCCGGCCGCCTATCCCTGCGGCATGTCCTCTCAGAACGCCTATCATCAAAGTCATCAAGTAAACGAATAGGATGAAACAGAACATAGACGATAAAAGAAAAAGAGAGAAGCGACAAATATCAGCAACGCATGATGTGACTGTAATGACCTGGGACTTTGTGCCGACACTTTTCGCAATCCGCCCGGTACCCCATTGAAAATGTTACTTTCTTCTTCAACACAGAAGTGGGCGAGCACCCGAGCACCAAGTTATCCGCCAAGCCCGTCGGTGGTTGCAAGTCGGCCGTAGCTCCTGGATCCCATGGCGGAGGAGACGCCGGCTGGGACAAGTATGTCATATCCGCATCGCTCGCAGAGTCTTTGCTGCTGATAGCCATAGCATCTTCATCGTCACTGACCGGGCTAGGGAGGCGCTGACCGCACCACCAGACCCTATCATGGATCGAGTACGGATCTCGAAGGACACCCCGCTGCGTAGAAGATGTAGAGCTTTGATGGTAACCTTTTGCGACAGAATCCTGCGCCGCACGAACAGCATCATTTGCGGAGTGCGCCACTGGCCGTTCGCTTATGATATGCGAATGGCCAACAAGACAGTGTGTGATGGACGCAGTTTTTAGACCGTGCGTCTCTTTCCCGTTATCAATGTCCATATTTGCGCTCAGTGTATGAGGGAGATGTTGAGGATCTTGCTGTGTTGCGCTTGTTGGTGGACACTGCTGTAATCTTGCTGTCGTTGGCATTGGTAGACACCAAGGCTGAGTTGAGCAGTTGTAGAGGGATTCGCCCACTCCATTGTCATCCTTGTCATCGTCGGAGGATTCTACCGGGGTCGGCGTTGAGAGACCAAAGCGGGAGACAACACGGTTGCTTTTCTGGAACGACGGAAACTGGAGGGTAGTTGGGGATGCTCGTAGAGGGAGAGGTCTGTGCTTCTGTTTGCTATCAGTTAGATGTGGGACAAGGATGGAAAACACGATTTAACCTTGAGTTCACGAACCTTCTTTTCCCGGGTCGCATTCCCATCAAAATCATCTTGCTCCGGGTCTCTCTGGCGCTTGGAGGTAAATGTAAACATGATGCTCAAATCGCTGCGTAGACAGAGAGGGAACCGGCGAATCAGAGAATTGAAACGTGTTCAAGCCAGTATCAAAGTCACATTGAGTCTGGGACTTATACACTGTAGAGATGTGAAGGACGGTACACATAGGAGACAGCAGGGCTTTAATGAGGCGAACAAGGATCGAAGCAACAAAGAAATGAGTCTAAGATCTAACACAATGACATATCTTCATATCATGATTATTTACCAAACAGAAAGACTGAATCAGGATATTAACAGCGGAGTCAAGGGATTGAAGAAGCAAAGAATTGGAGAAGCGCAGCTGGAACATGGAAGTCCTCTGCACTTTCTCAAACAAGGGCCCGCCTGGCTGCAGCGTCAGCCGAGGTTTAGCGCGCACCGATGGTACTTACCGTAAGTACCTACATAGTACCAGTTACTACTATAACTCGTGTTGTAAAGGCGGTACATCTATCTACCCGGTCGTAGAATCGCCGAGATCCAGCCCCCTCACCAGAAATCCCCATGCTTCGAAAGTTTGGGAGAAAGTGTCGCATACAGCCAGCCCTTTCTGCTTTACCCCTGTACTGTGTAGCTAGCTGATGCACACTAAGTATACCTTCGAACAACACTACACCCAATCTGATCCACATTTCAACAGGAGCTTTGGAGAATATTATGTTATGTACCTACTCCGTACGAAATCGCAAACTTCTCGAAATACTCGGTAGCGATATGAATGACGTCACGTCGATCTGGGGTTCAAGATACTTCATGGCAAACGTAAACGAGTTGCATCTTCTATCACCTTCATACTCCGATTTGCACAACCCACGATCCATCATCCAGATTGATACTGTTACCAGATGGGACTTGCAAGAAGTGGGTTCGCCCTTGTAACCCCTGCCTCGAAAGGACTGGGTTTCGCCTTCGCGCGACAACTGCTGTCCAACACGGATCTACCTGTTCTTGTGACTGCGCGGAAGAATGGCGGGGATCTCTGTTACAGGTTACTGGGGGAGGTCACCGACGAGTCTAAAAAGGCAGAAGAGAGGCTAAGGGTCTTCGAAGTTGATGTGACCGGTATTGAGTTGTGTCATATCTCCCTTGTGCTTTCTTATTCTGAACAATGTCTTAGACGAGGCGACCATACACTCTATGGCTGCACAGATACGACAGGAATACCCCGAGGCCTCTCTACGTATTGCAATCACAGTACCTGGTGTTTTGCATGTCGAAAAGTCTCCGACACAGATCGATGCTGCCGGCGCTTTGCACAGTTTTAGAGTCAATGCCCTCGGTCCTATGCTTCTGATGAAGCATTTGGCTCCCTTTTTGCCAACCAAGTCATCCGCTGGATTTGCGGATGACCTTCCACCTCCATCTGGAGAGCGCTTGTGGAAGCTCCCGTCACATGCCATCTACGCCATGATGGCTGCGCGAGTAGGGTCCGTATCCGATAACTCAGCTGGAGGCTGGTACTCATACCGTGCCAGCAAGGCATCCGTCTTTCAGCTGGCCAAGACTTTCGATCTGTATCTGAGGTCTCAGAGCAGAGACCGAGCATTCGCAGTAGCGATGCACCCAGGAACAGTCCAGACAGATTTCACCAAAAATTATTGGGATGGGAGACACATGCTGCAGCCAGACCAATCCGCAGAGAGGCTATTACAGCACCTATGCAGGATGCGGACCGGGGATTTCGATGGACGAGGTCGGTGTTGGGATTGGAAGGGAGAGGAGGTTCTGCCATAGCAGATGTGGATGGCAAACTCGGGCGGGCATGGGTACCTGGTCTATGTATGCTATCACCCGAGCCAATCCATGTGACACACATCCGTGATATCTCACCTCAGATATTGTAGGTAAAGCTATGGCTGCTCAAGGTGGTGTTAGACGAGCGGTAAGCTCTCGAACTGCACTGGATCGAGGGGTCTAAATACGAAAATCTTAGCTGAATTGCCCAGCAGTGGACCCAGACATAGTGAGCCCCGGAGAGCACCTTGTTAGTTGTTACTCTTCAGGTAGTATTAGATTTCTTTTCATTCTTTGCAGACTCTACGGAGTACGGAGTACGGAGTACGTAGTCCGTACCTATCTAGAGCTTCAGCTGCAGGGGTATCTGCGGGTGTGCGGGGAAGGGATCATGCAGCGACGGGGAAGCGTTCTTCCCTCCGCTCGGTGAGTCCCCGGCAAAATGATTACACGCGACACCTCGTCTAAAACGCTAATCCGGGTCAGGATGCTTCACCACCCCCCAGCTCACTCTTTGGACTGGCCAGCAAAACTCGTTGGGTCTCTTAAGTTCTTAACATTGAGCATAAGTGCCCCTGGTGACCCACCAGATGTGTCTGACTCGCTGCAACCTCTTGCAGACTCGATAATAGGTCCGGTTCGAGCCCACTAACATCGGAGCTCGTCCCTCCGAACCCCCCAGGCCGTGGTAGTGATTCGCCAATGGAGGAATAATCATGCAAATCTACTAGATCAACTAGATCCAGCCGTCAAACGAACAATCCCCCGGATCCACACGGGAGCTGCCGCCTAGGGCCACTCCGTTTCACGTATAGGTAAAGATGGTGTACGTACAGGTGCATGTTACCACCATACGGGTTGCGTGACTTACTGGGATTGCAACTTCCCGGCGATAGGAATCCTACCACAATGTCTGGCGCTGACTAAATGATGTGCACTGACTGACAGTCTGACAGATCTGACACTTGCTTGACCTTAACTAAGCTGCACCATATCCCACCATCCTATGACGAAGATGACTTGGAGAGGGCGGATCCCAGGGAGATATGCAGGACAAGCAGCGTGCATGGCCACGCACATTCTGTACTCCCTAGGTACATGCTTAGCTCACAGACCCTGCACCCAGTCGATGGGCCTAACCCCATGCGGAGTGGACTCCATCGATAAGCAGTGTTACTACAGGGTACTGAGTGTGTATGAACTATGAAATACATATGTCCAATGACCAAGCATGCATAGCTTCCAACTTTCTACCTCAAGACCTAAGACCATCTATATCTCCGCACGGGGTGTCCGATAACTTTACTCCATCTGACATTGATGAGATACGATGCTTATCGCACAGGTCTCGTATAGATCGGCTATCACGCATCGAATGACCTCATTCATGTGGGAGAGTACCCACGTCAGTGTCTGACTTGACGCAGTCGATGATCTAGAACCCCGGCAAAGCCGGTTCAGAGCCTAGACAGGCGGGCCTCAGTCGCACGCCTTTAGACTGCAACGCCTCGAATCTTGGGCGTTCAAGACCTCCAACGGCATGCAAATTGACGTAAGCTTTCTGGACCCGGTCAATTCCAGGGGGTGCTGCAGTTCAGGGATCGGGAAACCAGTTGTTGAGATCCCCGTCAGACCCGACTGACCGAGACTCGGAGTATTTCCACCCATGATGTTCTCTGGGATTAGGTCATGGAACGTCCAGTCTGGGACCCTTGACTTTGATACTATGGTTTTCAAAGGCATTGAAAGTGTGACACAACCTGAGAGGGAACTTTATTCGTACCAGAAAGGAGCATGAACTGAGAAACTTGCGCAGGAATGAGCTAAGCTGAGTGATCAAGACCTGCAGTGTTACCCCTCATTGATTGATGCACGCATTGATGCATCGGTCACTTTGGGGATATGGGCAGGAAAGACTCATGGGATGATACCAGGAAGGGGTATGTAGACCGTATCCCTCTCAACCTGCTTGACCGGGTCAATCGGGAGGATGTACCAGCAACAACAGCAACAACAGCAGCTAGCAGGATAGCGACGTACTATCTACTTACTACCCAATCCAAGGGGAAGGGGGGTTCCATACGGTACGATACCGCCACTGGCAGGTTGCAGCCAGCCAACCTTAAAAACGGGGTACCGAATGCGAGGAGGATTTTCGTCACTTCGTGTGTGGGAAACTTTGCCTGTGTGAATCATCGGCTGGTCCGCGCTCCTCCCGCGGCCCACTTTTTCGCCCTTCATTTGCATTCATCCCAATTCCATCTCATTTCATTGCTCGAAACTCAAACGCTTTGGTGCCAGTTTCTTCCAGGCTTCCTCGCTTGTTCCTCGCTCTTCCCTACCGACTTCGCTTCGGCTCTTGTCTCCCCATCTGAGTCATATATATCTACCCACGCGTTTCTAGACTTTCTAGACCTTTATAAAGTCTGCATTGTTGTCTACCTCCCCCATCTTCTGACTTCTTTCCATACATCGGCATCTGCCACATATTTCACACATTCCATCCCCCCACCATGCCTTTGATCAGCACCACGGAAGTCAGTGAGGACACTCGTGGTGAGTAATTGCCCCTCTCCTTCGAAATGGAGACCGCTCACAAGTCACCTATACTAATCGCTTCCTCCTTTTAGTCCTGGGATACGATCCCCTCCTCTCCCCTCAGTTCCTGCAGACCGAGATCCCAGGGGTGAGTCATACTTAACTGCCCCGAGTTTTCCCCCTCCGTTTGGTTGCTTTTGTAACCCGACCACATCTTCAAGCTATTCTTGAATGCCAATGCCCCAGGTCGACCACTCGTGCTGACATAACCTCGTCTAGCAAAAACATTCCCTTGAGGTTGTCCGGTCTGGCCGCAACCAGGCCATTGAGATTATCGAACAACGCGATGACCGCCTGCTGGTCATGGTCGGCCCATGCTCGATCCACGATCCTGCCACGGCTCTCGAGTATGCCGCTCGTCTCAAGGAGCTCTCCGACAAGCTTTCCTCCGACATTTGTGTCATCATGCGTGCTTACCTCGAGAAGCCCCGCACCACTGTGGGATGGAAGGGTCTGATCAATGACCCCGACATCGATGAATCCTACAACATCAACAAGGGTCTCCGTGTCTCACGTCAGCTCTACTCCGACCTCACCGGCATGGGTCTCCCCATCGCCAGTGAGATGCTGGACACCATCTCTCCCCAGTACCTGGCCGACCTCATCTCTCTGGGTGCCATCGGTGCCCGTACCACTGAGTCGCAATTGCACCGTGAGCTTGCCTCCGGTCTCAGTTTCCCCATTGGCTACAAGAACGGCACCGACGGTAACCTCACCGTTGCCATTGATGCCATTGGTGCCGCCGCTCACCCCCACCGCTTCCTGGGTGTCACCAAGCAAGGTCTGGCTGCCATTACTAAGACTTCGGGCAACGAGCACGGCTTTGTCATCCTCCGTGGCGGCAGCAAGGGTACCAACTATGACCGGGAGAGTATCAAGGCCGCGCGCGAGTCCCTGCGTGGCAAGAAGCAGCGCGAGGTGGTCATGGTTGACTGCTCGCACGGCAACTCGAACAAGAACCACCGCAACCAGCCCTTGGTCGCCAAGGAGGTTGCTGACCAGCTCCGCGAGGGCCAGGATGCCATCATCGGAGTGATGATCGAGTCCAACATCAACGAGGGTAACCAGAAGGTTCCTGCGGAGGGCCCCTCCGGCCTGCGCAAGGGTGTTAGTATCACCGATGCCTGCATTGACTGGGAGACTACCGTCACGGTCCTGGAGGACCTCGCAGACGCTGTTCGTGCCAGACGCGCCGCCAAAATCGCTCAGGCTAAGGCAAGCAATGGAGCTTCCCACTAAGCAATGTTGGATGGATGATCTGATTCTACGACCCCTTCCCCCCTAAGCGAGTCTGTTTCCTTCTGTTCCACCTAATCCGATTTAGATACCATAGCCAGGGTGCTTCATTCTACCTTCATTTGGTTTCCCATCTGACTTTGCGGGCTCTGCCCTGGTGGGCAGCAGTTTCGGGTCTTTGTTCTCGTAAAAGTCTGATTGTTATTTCTTCTTCCTGTCTGTATTGGTTCCTCTTAACTTCTGTCTTAGGGTAGACAGTAATGATTGCATGATAGAAGCCCAGCCGGTCATGGTTCTTAGTAAGCCTAGTCTCTGCCCGTATGGATCCACATTTGATTGAAGATTCTATGTATTTTTATTACATTTTGCGTTTCAACACTAGACGGCGCTGTAACCAAGACACGAGAGAATAATAGATGTATATGTACATAAAATAACACAACCCAACCCAGTAATACACAGTTTCGGGGAAGCAACGACAAATACGCATACAGCAGAAAGACAACCCGAACAGACGCCGCAACCCCAGATGTGGAAGACAGGAAAAAGGACGATGCCATGCAAACCAGAAACAGGAAGTCGGATGGCCGGCATAGACGTCATCTCTGAGAGTCCTTGATTTCCTTCTCCTTTCATTCCTCCTCTATATTCGCTTGCTCCCATGCCTGTTTATTTTACCGTCCAGTAAGCCAGCTCTTCCAGCTTCGCGTTGTCTGTTTAGCAGCGTCTTCGGCATTCTCCGCCAGCGCATCCAACTGTCCTTTCGGGGCAGCAGCAGCGCCAACAGCAGACTTGGCATCTTCCGCAGCCTTTGCGTTCAGGGCTTCCAAGACCGCGGACTTGTTGTTGGCGTCACCCAGCACGCTATCGGGAATGGAGCTGGTGCTGGGGGCCTTCTCATCCTCCTTCAATCCACCAAGCAAGTACTGCTTGACCTGGTTCCAAGGGCGCTGTGCTTTCGCGTCCTCCTTCTTCTGCTGGAAGATCTCGCCGATCTTTTCGTTCTTCAGAAGCTCCAGTTGCTCGGAAGTCGCGGTGCCGTCGGTGTATGCAGTCTTCGCATCCTGCAGCCGCTGGAGTTCCTTCTCCACCCACAGAGCCCGCTGGCGGCGGTTGTATAGCGTTAGAGAGATGACGGAGTACACCGTCAAAGCACCGCAGACACCTGTTCGAAAAACGCGTCAGTTCATGCCCTCCAGACTGGACCCCGCATGCAACCTCTTCCTCCATCCATCGCGATTCATCTATCATCAAGAAATGACCTACCCGAAGCAGCAATGAGTGTGTAAACCATGGTCTTGTGCGCCTTGTTCGCAAACCGACGTCCAAGTTCGATCATGTTGTCCACCCGCGACGTCGACTGAGCTAATCGGGCCGCGCGGGCTTGGGCTCTCAACCGCTCAACCTTCTCCTTGGGAGTCTCCGGTCTGCCTCCCGGGCCCAGTTGCGGCTGGGAGCTGGAGCTCGATCCCGGCTTGGTCATGGAGCTGGGGAGCTTGTATGGAGCCGCGGAACCGGGCTTGGAGTGGGCGTAGGGCCCGGTGGCCGTGAACCGGGTCGCATCTGCAGCAGAGCGGGACATCCTGTTGGACTGGATGCGGTAGACAATGCTGGGGTGGCGGGGGAGGGAGGCGGATGGGGGTGGGAGAGAGAGATGGAGCGTGGTATGATGTGACCGGGAGGGGAGGATGGCAGGGCCCAGTTAGTCGGAACGGTACATTCGGCGGGAGAAGAGCGCGCGCAAAGAAGAGAATCCGGAGAGCAAGAGAGACGGGGCCAGAGGGCAATTGGAGGCAGGCTTGCAGCAGAAGTCGACGGGACCAGACGGGAGGGCGAGTCGGGAAAGGCGAGATGAGATGGCCGGCCGGGAAATTTTCAGCGGAACAAAACAAATCCAATGGCGTCTCGTCCATTCGCAGGCCAGCCAAGCCGAGCTGGACTCTTATAGGTAGTACTACCCCTACACCTACTACTTCTACTTTTACTTCTACATCGCCTTCCACCACTTCACATTCAATCCACACAGAGAAACAATTTCTCTCTTCATCCCACTCCCCCCAAACAATGGACTACAATTCCGCAGACTTGACCTCCGTCCTCAGAACACTCTCCGCCTTATCCAACCAGCAACAACAACCACCACCACCACCACCGCCTGCTATTGCTACCATCCAGAACAACGCCACTCAATCCCACAAACTGGAACAACAAGCAGCAGCAGCAGCAAAAGAAGAACAAGAAAACGACCCCTACGAACCATCCGAGTCTCTCCCCCACATCTCCGTAGCCCCGACCCCCGCCCCAGCACCAACAGCACCAACAGCACCATCAACCCCATCGCAAACCCAATCCCACCACCCCAACACAGCGTCATCACAACCTTCCCATGGAAATAGAACCACCGAAGACACATCCACCATCACCACTTGGCCCACAGCCCTCCGCTATGTCATGCGTACCGTGGCCCAAAACGAATCCATCCAGCAACGAATTCGCTGGCTAATGCAGCGCCAATACGACCATGAGAAACAATGGTGGCAGGGCCGCGAAGCCCTCCTCAGAAAACAAGCCTCCCGAATCGAGAAGAAAAAGGAGCTTGATGCTGTCCTGTAAGCAAGTTCCTACTTCCTCAAATCATGAAGACGCCTCTTCGATGATGATCTGACGGACATGGATATCCATTAGACGCTCCGTCGGCGCACCAGTCGACGAGAACAAGCAAATCTCTGTATGTACTCAACGCACAACCCACTCATACACACATATATCTACAAAGCGATCAAGAGAGAGGGGGGAGGCAATTACGGTGATGGATCACAGACAAAAACCAAAACTAACCACTTCATCCATGTCAAATTAACAGACAGCCGAGGAAGACCGCGCCGAACTAACCAACTACGACGCTAAAGTATACAAAGCCTCCAAGCAGATGTCGGAGGCTATGGGGGCCGAGCTACGCGCATTACGCATCCCGTTCTTCACTATCAAGAAGAATCTCGTTTCCGAGCATACTACGAGGTCCCCGGGTGCTGCCAGACAGCATAGTGGGAATCATCATGATCCGGGCAAACAGCTGATCTTCCTGTCACGCGACGAATTGTCCACCCTTCAATTGCGGATGTTGGAGTTGCTACAGGATCTATGTCGGGAGTGATTATGGTGATGATGCTCCTCCCGAGCGATGCAGAAAACTGGACCGGACGATCGGCACGAGTACGGACCTGAAGAGGTGTTACGTGTGTGCGGAGCGTTCCTGAGCGCCGGTTGCATGCAATGTACCTACTCAGTGCCCTGGATCTTGTATGGCAAGTAGTACTTATGCCAAAGCTCTTCCAGAGCAATCATGACGGATTGGGGCTGTCATTCTTGGCGTGCCATCTCCGGCACAGACAGCATGGCTCGAGCATGTCAGCTGTACAAACAGTGTGAGACTTGAAGATCGGCATCGTCATCATCATCGTCATCGGCATCGGCATCCACCGGCCAGGGTAGGCCTACAGGCTACTCTTCACGTGCACTGCGCTCGGGTGGTCTGATGCTCTTGTATTGACGATTATCATTATGTACACCCCAAAGGTTCTATCACAGGCCACCCGCTTGACCGTCTAGTCCTCTCGCTTAAGCATGACATGCGCCACCCCGATTTGGAACCTGTATATGCAATAGCAATGAATATTCTAGGAAAGCACAATGCAATGATCGGGCGTCCCCGAACATATCCCTTACAACAAACGACAAATATTCAACCCCGGAGCCGCAAGCACGAAAGCGGCCAAGTAAATGCAAACCAGACGCGGAACACCTTGAATGCGAATGTAGCCGACATGTCGAAAGGTCAAGCAGCTGTTCAGAGCACAGTATGAGAGGGAAGGCTGGTTGGACGTCCTAGCCATCTAGCGGCAGCAGTCGTTGCTCCGGGATACTGTGGTCTACTCGAGCTTTTTCTCCGCAACAGCGACCGCCACCGCCACCGCCGCTCCCAGAATAGCGCTTTCCGGCGCCAAATCAAGACGCACCCGAGGTTCCGTGATGGCATCCAAGGATGGGCGTACTGCGTTCGTCTCCTTCGCAAGGTCATTCAGATAACCCTGGCAACGATCCCGAAACCCTGGGTATTTGTTGATAACACTGCCGTCGCATGCAATCGATAGACTCAAGGGATTCCCTTCACTTTCTACCACCGTCACCGCTTGGGTTTCCTTTAATGACGGCGGTGCTGAGGTTGCGGTCGTGGGAAACTCGACCTCATTACGCAGACACCACATGCTGTGGATTGCCGTGGCCAAGTATCCCGCAGCTCGCTTGGAGACAGTCTGACATAAACGTCGGAGGAAGCGCAAATCTTCAACTGATGGGGGTACCACAAACGTATGTTCTTTTTGCAGAAGTGCCGCGGACGACGTGAGGAGCGGGGATGCATCGGCTTCCAGAGCAGCAACAATGCTGGTATCAAACGAGTAAGCATCGCGCATCGAATGAGGTAGTTCTCCTCCAAATAATTTTGCAGATTCCACCGCTTCAACTGTGATAAGCCGGATGATTTCGCCAAGATAACGCCCAGTGATCATATACTCCAGAGGCTGGTAGTCGGGCCGAAGATGAGTGCGGTTGAGAACCTCGTCCCAGCGGGTCTTCGGGAGAATGCCGCCGCCAAACATACTCATTTCGCTGTTGACGATAACATTCTTGGCATACTCAAACCAATCCGGGGGTCTGGTACCAAACTTGGTCAGTCCAATCTCATGTACCGGAAAGTGAATCGCCACATTGGTTCCAGTTCCTAGGATAAGCGACATGCGGGTCTTAGGCTCGATATAGGCCCGGGAGAGGAGCGTTGCTGAGCTGTCGTTCACAATAGCATCCACCTGGACGTTGAGGTTACGCTCCCGACAGGACTGGACGATGAGATCGCCGAGTTCTTGCCCAACAGTACCATTTGAACAGTGGAATCCCTTGCCCATGTGGATGACTAGACCACTGCTTATCGAAGTTTGTTCAATCGGAAACGACCATGACAGCCCCATTGAGAGCGGCACGGCCTCTCGACCGCAGTTGGCACCAACCTCGCGTAGCATCGAGTCGATCTTCTCCGCCATCCAATCAAAGAAGAGTGTTCCTTCGAGTAATTTCACGTCGTTATCGATATACGACGATGATACATGAAGAATGCGCATGTCTCCCTGCCCTCGTAGCTCAACCAAGGCCACCCGGAGCGTTGATCCTCCCACATCCAGCGCCAGATAGGTTCCTGTTTCTGTTCCAGATGGCAATGCATGGTTGTATGAAGGAAGCATACAGACCGGGCTGGACTCTAGACAGGATCTGAACTGTGCACGGATTTTGTCTGACATGGCGATCATGTTTTGCACGGACAAGGGCGCCGTGAAAAGATAGTCCACCTCGTCAGCAAAGGTGTCGAGGGAACGGCGTCCCCAGTAGACTCCATGGAATGGCTTCCGCCGCTTACGGGTGGGGTCACGGAAAATAGAAGGGAACAATAGCATTGCCTCCAATGCAGCGACAATATTTGTAAAGAGTTCCTGCATTCTATGCAGAACCTTGGTCAACGGAGCTGACATGGTTAGAGAGGATGGCTTGCTTGAAAGAGGTAGATGAAAGGCAACGACTGTCGAAGGGGAGTAAGACGAGGGGGGCGGGTGTATGAGTAGATATTGTATCAAAGCTCATAAGGCCAAGTGGATCTGAAGAGGTCAAAGGGCCATGGGTACTAATAACTCCCACTTCAAGATGACAAGGAAGACAGTGAAGGCACACTTCGGGACCAGGGGTTGATCACCACCAAGAAGGAAGGGATAGCAGAACAAGTGTGAAATCTAGAGTGAAATGAATCTCTATCCAACGATAGAGTCAAGATGGATGGATGAGACTCGAGGTGACACCGGTCAAAGAATGACGAATCCTTGCACCGCCTGCAGTGGAAACTTTCCGCAAGGAGGAAAGCAGGTAAGAGAAACTCAAAGGAGGACCAGGGTTGCTGGTGAAGATAGAGTCGGCAGTGAAGATCGGGAAACCTTGACGGAGAGACCCGATAGATCGAATTAAATGACGAGTGGGCGTTCGAGTGCCTGGCGGGAAGAAAGTGAATCAAGTTGCACGGAGAGGAGGGGGAATGGAGTGTAAGTGTGGCCCGAGCAGTTGTTGATGCTGTCCGGGGGTGAGTGTGGTTGGTGGTGGTGGTGGTCGAGTAGAGGTAGTAGTCGTGAGTCGTATTAGTAGTGGTTTAGTCGCAGTAGTGAGGATTATTATTAGTAGTACTGTGGTAGCGGTAGCGGTAGCAGTAGCGGTGGTGGTACCAGTTGTCGGCCGTCGCAGCGGATGGGCGGAGGGGGGAACGGGACCATGGGGCTCTCTCTCTTTGGTTCAACTCTTAAGGCATGGGACAACGCGTATGCATTCCTCGTCAGGTACTGTGTACGGAGAAGAAGGCTGGGCAGGAATTAGGAATGAACGGTGAGGGGAGTCGATGAAGACGGATGGAGAGAATAAGTAGAGATACGGTCCAGATAGATAGATAATAGATAATAAATAATAAAAACCCAGCCCCCCTCCCCTCCCAAGTGAAAAAGAGGAAGGAAGGAATCTGATGCCCCGTCACAGCGTGGTACTCGATGGTAGTTACGGGCTACTACTACTACTACTAGTTACTACTACAAATGGTACCTCCCGGTCGCCTTTGCGGCGTACCTACGTATGGTGCCTGGCAACCCCGGAGCTCGTCCCGTATGGTATTTACCTGCCACTTTACGGTCCCTCCATCGTTACCTCGGAGGTCCCTCCCTCCCTCTCCATCCATCATCATATCGAGTACATATTCAGATCGCCGGTGTGCTGATTGAGGCGACGATCGACTAGGTACCACCTTACCTTACCTCCACTAGATATAGATGGTGGGCACGAAAGCCCCCTCACCATTCATGGATGGATGGATAATGATGACAGGTGCACGGCACTATTATGCTGATCAATGGCATAGATATCTGATCCATCATCCACCATCTGGCTAAATGTCTGCTGAGATAGAGTTCTATCTGAAACATGGACCCATGTCCGGTCTAGAACTATCTGGGCCTACCTTGTCTTGTATCTACTGGGAGAGGGAAAGTCAAAAGGTCCATCATCGAGCACGGCGTCAGACCTGGACCCCAAGCAACAAGCTACTTACTGCATGATCATTGATCATACCTCGTCTGGTACGTAGCTGTCTTCGGGGCGGAGATAAGCATAATCGTTTGTTTGGGATCATCTGCAGCCAACTTATCGCCACCAGGAATAAGAAAGGAAGAACCCAAGGAGCACATCAATGACATAGTCATCTCATACAAATGAATTTACTCTATAGACACTACTACCTATCGAGTTTACTACCTATCGAGTTTCGAACCCCGAGAGAGATCAACTAAGTGGGCCAGTTGGAGGTTAACGCCCGCAGAGTTGCATCCAGATGGATCGCGTTGGCCATCGACCCTCTTTCCATGACTTAACGACAACCAGCCAGTATAACTACTGCTAGCTGGATACTGTTTAGATACTGTTTTGGTAACCATTTTACCATCCAGCTGCTTGCCAGACTTGCCAGAAGCAATCACATAACCGAGCAAGATGATTACCGACTGGAGTCGTCCTCATGGTATTCCCCCCCTCAAATTCCTTCCAGTGGCTAGTGCCGCCATCTGGCATGGATCATGGTGAATTTACATTTTACCATAAGTACTTCACAGTTCACACCCACCAGACCTGTTGGGGTATGTGACACCTTGCTGGGTGCAACGGTGGTAGTGGGTCGGCTCCCAGTGGCCGGGAGTGTTACACTCGTGCGAGGGTTACGGCCCCCGCGACCCTTCCCCCATCGCCTCCCCCGCCAATCACCACTTAGTACACAGTACTGAGACTTCGTCAGGATCGCCTGGTCAGTGTGCGCCGTACCTTATCGGGCTCGTAGTCCGAGTCTTCCAGATGCTCCGTTTAGAGCAATCGAACGGGGTCGTGGCCATGACACCGACGGTATTGAAATCTCCCGCCAGCGCCGAAATACCGCGAGGAGGTACATTTGAAACCTCCCATATCGTCCCCAGGCACCTATCTACATTCCTGCGACAATGCCAAGTACCAAGGCATGCACTCCGTACTGTCAATTAACGATACTATCTCATTTAATCTGGAACGCTCATCACACTTGCAGTGGTCTGTAAGGTAGGTACCTGGGACAATGGAACCGACAAGCTGCTAGGTATTTCCGAGTCCATTGCTATTCGCTATCTACATTGCACCGGAAGACTAATACTGTCAGTCCGGCTCAGGCCTGTAAAGTGTGCAAGGAGGCAGACTACATGTCAGGTTCACAGCACACATATCTAGCAGAGTTCGATTCTGCAAGGGGTTCTATCCTTGTTGATGTCCACATTCTAATATCTAGATGTCGCGTGTCTGATTGACTTCCCAGTCTGGCCTCATTCACCTTCCTGTGCCAGTTCCGGTATATGTACATATGATCTTGGACCTTGGCGCGCAGATAACATAACCGCACTGCTGACCATGACAAAATCCAATTTCCGCCCACGTGGCCTCTGGTTTCTCGCAACCACTCCATATTATTAGGCCATGCAGGGCTCCCAGTTTACGTCATGAACGCCATAAACTGCACACGTGTGCCTATCTACATAGTCTGCCATGAGAATGGACGGATTAGCCGAAGAGAGCCCTGCTTATGCGAATCACTTTCAGCCACGGCTCATCCCTGTTGTGAATTATCTCCGATACTAATGGTGCCAGATTCACTACACTGAGATTGGCGCTCTGCTGGGACTCTGCCATCAGCAAGAGATACCTGGAAGAGACCCCCCACACCATGGACTGTCTAGCACTGTGTTTAAGCCCCCTATGACCCACTACTCCAGTATAGTGCAGCTATGCAACCCAAGCCAGCATGTTCAGCCTCGGTTGGTCACGCATCTGCACTTCGGCCTGCTCGGGTACATGCCTCGTATCGAATCGGGCCGCAGGATACCGCAGGTAAACGAGATCTGGTCATTCAGGGTGCAACATTGTAAGACAGGCAAGCTGGCATCATACTACAACATGACTGCACTATACGTTGACTGTCGTGCGAATGTGTCCAACAGATATAGCTTGCACTACCTTTCTGCATACGACTGTGTCACGCTTGCTCGGTATTCGCGCCTAGTGTCTTTTTACAATTTGCCCGTCCTAGGATGCGTTCATGCAAGGCCTTTGCCGTCATTAGCCAACCATTGGCAGCAGTGTCGTTGCCTATATCGTATCCGGATGGAATAGCAGACTACCTGGTTTGCAAGATGCCGAGGTTGGGACAAAAGTGACTACTAAATGGAGCCATCAGCTTTGCCACACTGTTAGTTTGGTTGACATGTCGAAGTTCAGAGTAGTATCAAGAAAGGCATGGCATAGGCCAGAGGTAGGCCCCAAGCTGGTGGATCAATTAATTTCACTGGCCATTTGATCCCGGTGAATAAACGAGAGGCAGGCTAGCACCTAGTAGGTAGCATCTTGTCGATAGGGCAACTGTCATCTTGAGTCGCGTGAGGATGATGTGCCTCATCATGACATCACCCTCAGTCACAAAATGAAAGCGGTCCCCGTGTACTTGCTCTTTCAACCAGCCAATGTTTTAGTTCCAAATCGAAAATTACAGGACTCGCAAGAGGTCAATTGGGCAGGCATCGTGTCGATAGAAAGGGTCCAGGGCAAGACAGGGGAACACATCAACCAAGGGGACTATGTGCCTACAAGGCACCGTGGGGGAGGAACCCATCAAGGAGAGGTATCTCCCCGGCGGGTCATGGAATCGTGACTTGTGGTATGGCTGACTGATCCAATCTAGGTGGACAAGGTAGTCACGGATGACGCCGGAGCACACGAGGAAGATGTAGCCAATCCTCCGAAAGTATGTCGAGCCCGCAGACTGGAGTAATTGGAAATGGACGGCTGACGACAACCCAAGGTCATCTTTCTCGATCAGCACAGACACCGAGTAGCACACAATCCAAAAAACACTTGGAAAGTCGAAATAAAAGTAGCATGTTACTGTCAGTGCAGGATCACAGGCCGAGAAAAAGTGCGAGATAACAGGGGCAGTCGGCTCTAGTGCGTCAAATTTTAAACGGAAAGTCTCCGGAGATACTAGATTGATGGTGTCTGGTTCTTTGGGAGATTGCTCTTGGGATCTCTGCCAGACCAAGCAAGCAGATGACTTGATTCTGGGGCACGGTCACGTTGCCTTGGGTCCCCCGTAGCCGTGGAATACCCATTAAACCATTTCACTCCTGCCTCAACCACATGCTCTCCCGGACCTCAGGCCTCGGTCCTCAAAGGGTCATAGACCAACAGCATTCCCGTGCCAGCTGGCTATCACTGTGATGGCCGTTGAATCCACCAGGTCAAGAAGGCTCTGAGCTGTTCATGCATGGCACATGGTCACTTGATCATGGTGTTCACTGCTCTGTCGCCCATCGCCGACAATCTCCGAGTTAGAGTGATTATGGGAGTCATGCTTCAAGCCAACTGTATGACAGAAGACTGCTGATTTGCTTTATGCCCTCCACGTTTCCTGTCGGCCCGAGGATGGCTCCTCTAGTCTGGGTTTGTTGCAAAGCATAAAGTTGCCTTTGTTCCCCTAAACTCTTGCATATGGCCTGCGGGGTGAATGACCGACCATAGGAAGGTCAGACAGGATGTTGACCACAGAGTGATCATGCACATATTCCAGATGAGACGCATCCAATAGCTTCGTTGCCCGGGAAATTACGGGCTTGCGGTTCTAGAGAGTTGTCCACGACTGGTTCTTGGCCATTCCCGGCTTATGGCATCGTGAATCAATGACTGTGTGGTAAGTCGAACCCAGCATATGAGGCCGAGGTCATTCGAGAAGGCTCGGAAGATTGTGCGCGGTAAGATACAACGCCCTCTCCGCAGGTTCTCGCGGTCAGCCATTTCTCTTGCTGGGTGAGCGCCTCCATCTTCATGCGAGCCTTTCTTGACTAGCACCGTGCATCCGTTGACTTCCATAAGATGAGGTTGTCTATCTTAGTTGTTTCCCTAATCCATGGGGCGTTTTTAAGCCCTGCCCTCCTTGGCGCCTCGCCCCTTCACCATGGTTCGTCTGTATCGAACCCGGGACAAGATCTCATCTCGGTCCTGTCGAGTGCAGCAGAGAATCCCATAGTGGATGGGAGAGTATCGGACACTGTCTCGAATATCAGATCAAGCATCGCAGCAGACAGGAGCTTCCACGCGGCCGGGGACGAAACGGTGCAATTGGCGTGGAAGAAGATCGAGACGATCTTCACGAACCGCACCAGCTCAACTCTGCTCGATTTCGTGCACAGCATCGTTGTCTCCGGCCTGCTCCCATCCAATCTGCTCTCCTTTCTGAACGGTTATCTGAACAACAACATTAATTCGGGCTATAACATGAACCCTGACCTGGACAGGGAGCGCATATACCCATCCAGAGCTGCCAAAGATGCACTATACTCCATCCCAGAGGAAGCTCTCCGACAAGCTATCTATGTCTCGAATTTCTCTCCGTCGGGAAGGAATGAAAGAAAGCCAGTGATATTGGTTCCGGGAACTGCTGCGCCTGCTGGAACGACATACTATTTCAACTTTGGAAAACTGGGCAGCGCTATCCCCGCAGCTGACGTGGTCTGGGTCAATGTCCCCGATGCCTCGTTGGGAGACGTCCAGGTCAACGCCGAATACATAGCATATGCCATCAACTACATTTCCACTCTCTACCAGACCAAAGTCAGCGTCATCTCGTGGTCCCAGGGTGGGCTAAACACACAATGGGCGCTAAAGTACTGGCCGTCCACCCGGGACGTGGTGGAGGATTTCATCGCCCTGAGCCCGGATTTCCGGGGGACCATAGTAAGCACACTGGCGTGCCCCTGGCTCGCGGGGACTGTTTGCACCCCCGCACTCTGGCAGCAGGGATCGGACACCAAGTTCGTTCACACCCTGAGGGGTCTCGGGGGTGACTCGGCATATGTCCCCACGACGACTATCTACTCCTCCTTCGACGAGGTGGTGCAACCGATGAGGGGAGATCAGGCATCTGCAATCCTCCAGGATTCACATGGGGTTGGCGTGTCCAATAACCATTTACAGACCATTTGTCCTCACAAGCCTGCGGGGGGTATTTACACGCACGAGGGTGTACTATACAACCCACTTGCATGGGCGCTTACCATCGACGCGCTAACTCATGATGGACCCGGTGATCCATCGCGACTCGACGTCGGCAAGGTGTGCCAGCGATTACTTCCCCCACAACTCAGTTTGGATGACATGCTCGGCACGGAAGGCTTACTGCTCGTCTCGATGTCCGAAGTTCTCAGGTACACACCGAAGACCTTCACGGAACCCGACATCATAGGCTATGCTTCTATAGTGCCTGGGGTGGCGGAGAGCGGAATCAGAAGAGAAAGAGAGATATGAGCATGTAGGTAGGGGTACCCCGTACTACTGTATAATCACTGGAACTGCAACTGTGGGGAGTCGTCACTACGTAGTACGTATACCCGTTCAGGCCCTCGGGCGCGCATGCACCGATCAACTACCCGAACTGGTTCGTGTGGCTCATGATGGGCTTGAGCTTAATAGGCTAGGCAATGGACTCGTTTAACGAAGGTACCTACATAGTACTTGCTTGATAAGTGGATCAGTTCCAGCCGGAAGAGCAGCATGGTAATCGTCGTTATTGTGTCTGTATTGGCAGACTGCAGAGATCAAACTCACCGCAGCGGAGTAAGAAGACGAGGGTGGGACCAGACTGTTCACTGTATATGTAGACCATGCAGCGCCCAACCCGACTGATCCAAGGGAGAAGAAACAGGGAAGAGGCTTCTCCCGCTTTTCTCCTGTGCTGTACACCCAATCGGTTGGTTGGATATCGTCAAAACAAAGAACGGAACGATAAATACCTAGAAGATACCTAGTAGGAGTTGTATACTCATCACGTGGCTGCCAGGTGGTTGGTCTAGTCGTCGCCTGGCGCTTCCTTTCCTCGTTCCCCGTCATCTTCATCCCCAACAACTTTCCCCCCCCTCCCCCCGCTAGTTGTGCATCACGGTATATCGTTATCATGGCCCACTCATCCAGGGGTTCATGAGAATACTGGAGAACTCATCATTCTTTATCTAGATCCTCCACCCCCCCTTGCACCGTACGCATGCCACCAACCCAGGTGAACCAAGCTATGGAGCAAGACCCAGTTCGGTCCGCCGGACAAGGAGCGTGGCCACAATAATGACCATAATAATAATCTGTTTAGAGCAGTGGAAAAGACAGCCTATTCGTACTGTCGATCGCTTCTCCTAGATGATAGAGTCGGCGATTAGCCTGAGGCGTCCACGGGTCGAAACTGACAAATGACACCACCCGAGGAGAGGCCTGGACTCTTCTCATTCGCCAATCGCCCAGGCATTCTCCCCCAGGCGGCACGGTTCGCTCGTGGTTGCGGGTAACCGGCATGGACTCGCCATAAATGTCTTCCAGAAACGCAGGCTGGAGTCCTGGACGGCCAATTTCGCTTAGTGCGCCAAGGCTGTGGAAGGAAATGAGTACGTGGACAGTCGCCAATTGATAATGAGGGTGAAGCTTGAATCAGACAATCGGTCATGATCATGGGCCTCCATCCAGCCACGCCCATTGACCCAGCCGGCCTAGATCTTCGGAAGGGGTAACTCGGGGTGGAAACGTTGTTTCACACCCGAAGGCCCGATCGGTTCGGTGTTAGTAGCACTGCTTCTCAAACACCCACGCACCCATGCACCGGACCAGAGGCCCGCGACAAGTGGCGTTTAAAGGATTCGATTCCAGCGTAGAATTGCCGGGTGACTCGTTTGTTTGGTGTACCACCCAGTGGATTCATGGGACACTCTGTCCACGAATCTGGGTGAGTGCCGGGTGCACCTTATCCAGCAATCAGAATGGCTCCTGCTCAGATGAAGTTTGCATTGTGGCCCGCAGCTCCACTGTCCGAAACGCTGCCAAGAGTGTCCGCTTCGTCTGATCGTCAGCGGCCGTATCAGCACTTACGTTGTCACTGGCCGTGCCCGGCCCAAATTATGGAGATTCTGTAATTCTTTGCGGAGTCTTAGCCTCTGCGGATTTGTGCTGGCGGAGGGTACACAGTATTCCGTTTGGACGGCTCCTTGGATGAATGGACTGCAGGGGCGCTCCATACATTACCACTGTTTTCTGCGCGCCAGGGAGATCTTCCGGATGCCCTCGACCGACGTGCACCTGGTTGCTTGACAGATGACGACCGCCTTAATGACCCGGTCGTCTCTCGCTGTCCTCTCTCTTTCCTTTCTGCCCACCTTTGCCCTTTTCCCCTAGCTAATCGTCTCATCCTTGGGGGGAGGAACTGATCCTCTCTTAGCCACTCCTTCAATATGCTGTTTTTTTGGGTTCTATTGTTTCTTTCGTTCCGCACGATTGTTGCAGAGGCGGAATCGGACAATGATTTGATGTCCTTTGTGACGGTAGGAGAAATTACCGCCTATGGACGGACCTCTTTCTGACGTGCAGCCAGCTTCCGGAAGTGAGAGCGTTGAAGTTTAATATCGCCTACTACGATCGCACAGCCGTTAGCCCGGGTTACTGGTTCGTTGCGCCATATGGCGTGATTGATCCAGAAGCACCCACGAAGCAATGGAAGCCCTGCCAAGTTGGACCCTACATCTATGATGCAGATGGCGTATGTTTCTCATTCTTCCTTGACTCGCTTTACTCCTGGGAGGAAAGGGGCGTGCTCCTCAAAAATGAGTGAGCGCCCTATCCAGTAGCTTACTAACCGTCGATCCGCAGGTTCTCATCTGGGCTGGATCTTGCATGTTCGATAACCGCAACATCTTCGATTTCAAAGCCGCCAACGATATTGATGACCAGTATCATCTCTCATTCATCCTGCAGCATGGCTATCAAGACAATGGCAGGGACAAAGGGTACGGCTACATTTTGGACCAGCATTACAACGTCGAGAATGCTGTGGCAGTAACTAATGATCTTACGACGTTTAACATGCACGAGTTTAACGTCCTCCCTGGAGGCAAGACGGCTTTGGCTTGCGCGTATCGAAACGAATACGTCAACTTAGGAGATCTCGGTCGCCCTGATGAGTACGGCTGGATTACCGCAGGCGGCTTCGTCGAATTGGACACGGCCACCGGCGAAGTCCTCTTCGAGTGGAGTTCCCCTGGCTACATCCCTATCCACGAGTCCGTGAAAGTGGATCCTCGGTGGGCAGCGTCTCCCCAACCTGGCTGGGATTATGTTCATGTGAACTCCATCGACAAGGGCTCTACCGGGGATTACCTCTTGTCCGCGCGATTCACGAGCACGCTATACCTGATCTCCGGAGAGGACGGGCATATCATCTGGCGTCTCGGTGGAAAGTTCACGGATTTCGTTCAGGACTTTACCTTTTCCAAGCAGCACCATGCGCGTTTCGTGGAGTCCAACGCCACCCACGCGATTATTTCCTTCCTGAACAACGCCTCCGATGAGGCCGAAAATGAGGAGAGCGTCTCGGCCGCAATGTTCGTGCAGGTCGACACCACAACCCACCCCATGACGGCGCGTCTGCTCAAGCGTTGCAACCGCCCTGACGGTGGCCTCACCCGGCTGCGCGGTAACGTTCAGACCCTGCCTAACGGAAACACCTTTGTCGGATGGAGCGAGCAGGGGATGCAGAGCGAGCATTCGCCCGATGGTAAGGTCCTAATGCAGGCCAGATTTGCATCCACCCGCTTCTCGACCTACCGGTCGTACAAGTTTCCCTTCATTGGACGCCCCAGCGCACCCCCGGATGTTGTGGCCTCCGTATACGGCACCGACGAGACCGACCTTGCCACAATCTTCCACGTCAGCTGGAACGGCGCGACTGACGTCTCCTCCTGGAACTTCTACGCGCGGGCGGACCGCAGAGGTCTGCCAATTATGATCGGCAACACGACCAAGTTCGACTTCGAAACCATGTACATCGCTGACGGCTACCTCGACTGGATATCCGTAGAGGCCGTTGACAAGGACGGCAACGTCCTCGGCACCTCTGATATCCACAGGACGGAGACTCCGCAGAATTGGCGCCTGGCTGGCTTTCAGGGCGAGGCTAAGCCGACCGCCGATGACCCGTCTATTCTGTACGGGCTCAAGCAGGCCGAGGAAGAAGATGTGGTGGACCCCGAGGCCGAGGCCAAAGAAGCGGCCATCAAAGCAGCCAAGGAAGCAGCCAAGGCCGCGGTCAAGGCGAACGAGGTCATTCACGGGATTGGTGGTCTCCTGATCTTTATCCTGGTCACTAGCTCCGTGGGCGGGCTCCTGGCGGGCATCTACTGGTTCCTTCGGTGGCGTCGTATGCAGGCATACCACGAGGTTCCGTCCGAGGAGAACCAGTCCTTGACACGAGAATAAGGGGTGTGCAGATTTAAGGATGCTCGTGGGCTGGATGGGACAGAACGAATGGGATTGAAGACGATGGCTGGGTTATTCTTGCATATCGCGGGCGTTCATGCATGTCTAGACACTCTCTTTGTACCGCATATTCCCCACTTGACGACTGACGTACATATTGACTACATCTAATTGTCCTTGCATAAATAGACAGTACCTTTTTATAAATACGCACCGGCGTGGTGACTTTCAGTGGGTTTCTACCAGTTTATCTATTGCATGATGAGCCATTCTGGCGTGCAAGGTACGTAGCTTCCCCGAATAACAAAAGAAACGAATTGCAACAAAAAGCTTGAGAGTATCAACCGATTCTCAGTACACGTTTAGCCTTTACTGCCCCTTTCAGCTCTCTTGCTAGACGCTCGTCTTCCCTGAGTTGAAACAACAAAGGCTTCATAAACCTCTTCTCCAGTGCCTTGGCTACCTCGTTCAACTCCTTCTCATTGAACCCACCCGTCTGCAGACGAATGCTCACAAAGTCCAACCTATCTTTGTAATCCGCGAAGCGCATGAGGGGCAACGACCACGGTTCGCCGATCTCAAGATTGATGGGCCAGTCACGGATGCAGAAGTCGATATACAACACGCGTAGCCTGGGACAGGACTCGATGAGCTTTCCGCAGGCGCGATAGAAAGCCCAGTCGCTGCGCACTTTGAAGACTCGGAACTTGGTCAGATGTGGCTCACTGTACATGGACTGGTTGATCTCCACATGGCGGATGGCAGACTGCGCTTCTTTCGGGGTGATTTGGAAAAACCGAGTCATGGCTTTGGTGGTGTTGAAGATGAACTGGGTGGATGAGTAGAGAAGGCAGAGCGTGTCACAGTACATGATGCGACAGGTAAATGGGAGGGCGATGGGGAGCAAGGATCGGTACTTGTGCCATGGCAAAACCTGGGTCAAGGGATTTCGGGGCTGGAGTTGACGGTGGTACAGTCGATAGTGGACTCGTTTGATATGCTTGCTGGGATCTTTGTCGCGCTGGCGGACGAGTTCGACGCGATGTGGTTCGAAAATGTGCGCATATATCTTGAACCGGAGCTCTGCAGGCAGGAGCTGGAAGGATGAGAGGTTTTGCAATGCTTCGCCTTTGGCTGAAGAGGTGGGTGGTGTACAATGAGGTATGAAAAATGACGCCGTGGATATCGTCCTTGCTACCTCTCTGAGCTTGTGATTCTGGTAAGCTGCAGGCAAGCGTCCGCGGGGCCTGCTTCTTCTGAAAGGACGGCCGCAAGCGGGCGCATTGGGAACATTTGAGCGAGGTTGTGGTGACTGTGGGTTGGAGTGGTGTCCGCGCACGCTGCGATGATGTCGAGGGCCCCGAAAGGGCTGTCCGTGATGGGACTGGCTGTGTCAGTATGTGGGCTGAGATTGGGACAGCTCACTCACGTTGAGTTGAGGGCTTAGGCTGTGGATAAGGGGCTGAGGTGCCTCTACGTGAGGTGCCTGTAGGGGTGCTAAGGTGTTTCTGGGTGCCTTTTTCGGGCGCGGGCGCGGGCGCCATCTGGCAGCAGGGCCATGATGGATAGACATGTTGCTTGGGCTCATTTTGAGCGGTAGAAGTGGAAGTGTGGTGAGTAAGGATGAAGTTGCAGACAGCGAACAGGATGAGACGAGATTTGAGGAGAAGACAAGAAGAGGTAGAAAAGTGGAATCAGACACGCGGGATGGTGAAGGTAGGAGGCGATGGCTTCATGATTTTGATTGGCAAGTTCTTTATTCCTTGTTTGAGAATGGTACATGAGTGGGATAACACCTCATCTGCTATTGTTTTAGGGTATGAGAATGGTGCCAGAAGAGAGTGAAAGGTGAAGGGAAGGGAAACAAGAAATATAACTAAAGCAGTCCAGCACCTCACCAATTAATTTCCTAACCCTTGTGATGGAGCTCTTGTAAGATTGGATTGGATTGGATTGAAGTAAAGTAAAGTAAAGTAGAGTGAAGTGAAGTGAATCACAGGATTGTGGGAGTTGTGGTGGGAAAAGAGAGAGAGGAAAGAGAGAGGGGAAAGAAAGAAAGCAAGGCAAGTACTCTCTCTGTACTCTGTACTCTGTACTCTGTATGTAAGTATACAACAAAAGTATACAACAAAAGTATACAACAAACAACCCACTCTACGCTAGGCCCAACCAGGCAACCGCCCCAAGTCGGTGGCTCTTAATGGCTTTTCTTCACCTTATTAGAACAGCTTCGCGACAACTCGGGTTCCCCCATTCAATCCTTCCCCACGGCTCCTCGTCTTTGCTAGCACCATTCTCTCCATTCTCTCCATTCTTTCCATCCTTTCCATGTCTGTCTCCCTTATGCGTGGTGCCCTGCCGCCCATCCGCTCAGCCCAGGCCGTGGTGGCCCCCCACCGGCATCTCCGACTGTCTCTCCAGCGCCCCTATTCCTCTTCCTCTTCTTCTTCTTCTTCCTCCTCCTCCTCCTCCTCCTCCTCTGCTCAATCCCCCAACCCCACCCACTACAGCCGCTCTAACTTCAAAGTCCTCCCCTTCATCTGCCTGTTCGCCCTCGGCACCGGTTCCTACGTCCTGCTTGTGAAATCCCGTACCGGTGTCCACAAACCCAAGCCCGATTCCACCAACTGTGAACTACCCCTCCCCTTCTCCCCTTCTCCCCTTCCTACACATAACTAACCTAACCACCCCCCCGCCCCCAGAACCCCCTCCAACACCACCCCCTTCCCCCCCAAAAAAAACAAAATGTCCACTCCGCGCTTCTCTCCCGCCTCCATAACAGTCGTCTTCATCCTCGGCGGCCCCGGCAGCGGCAAAGGCACCCAATCCACCAACCTCGTCCGGGACTACGGCTTCACTCACCTCAGCGCCGGCGACCTTCTACGCGCCGAACAAATCCGCACCGGCAGCCAATACGGCGACCTCATTAAGACCTACATCCGGGAGGGCAAGATCGTCCCTATGGAAATTACTGTGGCTTTGCTATCCAACGCTATGGCTGATGCCCTGGCCGCCAACTCCAACCTGACCCCCGGTTTCAAGCCCCGCTTCCTGATCGATGGGTTCCCGCGCAAACTCGACCAGGCGGTGTTCTTTGAGGATACCGTGTGTCCGTCGGAAATGACTCTGTTTTTGGATTGCCCGGAGGAAGTGATGGAGGCGAGACTGTTGAAGAGAGGAGAGACTTCTGGGAGGGATGATGATAATGCTGAGAGTATTCGGAAGAGGTTCCGCACGTTTGTGGAGACCAGTATGCCTGTTGTGAAGGCGTTCGAGGAGCAGAACAAGGTCGTTTCGGTCACGGCCACCGGGTCGGTCGAGGACGTGTATGAGCGCATTCGGGAAGGGTTCGAAGCTAAGGGGGTGAATCCCTTATGATTTAGGTAGAAGCGACATGATTGACTTGGTTGCGTGTATGTAGGAGTCGTTATAGAGGGTTGGATAGATGACTGGGTACATAGGCTGGAGCGATGCTTCTTGATGTTGAATTTATCGAATTCTTGTGTATCTAAAAACCCCACCCACAGCAGTAGGGTGGGAATGTCGAGCCAGTAGTCTATCATATAGCACATGTAAACAAATTACAAACTCAATCATAGTTACACACTAAGGCATAACTCGTGTCATTGTCAGGCCCCCTTCACATAGTGAACCTGTCTAGAATCCAATAGCTACCATGATGAAAACCGTAAGTTGGAATAAAAAAATAGCCACAGCACAACATTAACAAAGAAGAACACCTCGGCCCAGTCCTACACAGTTCCTTTTTTTCATCGCCCCTCGTATGCTCTCGGTCTATCCATTACTCCGCAGTCACCGCCTCCACTGGGGCGCTGGCGGGCGCCACGGCCGCTGGCTGCTGCTGCTGCTGGCTGCTGCTGCTGCTGTTGTTGTTACCGTGACGGCGACGGTCGCTGCCCTTGCTCTTGTCGTTGCCCTTGCCCTGGGCTGCCTCCTCGGCCGCCTGGGCCGCCTGCAGCCCCTCGCGCACAAACCGCTCCCGCTCGCTGCGCACCACGCCCAGCACTTGCTCCAGGCTGCGGCGCCAGACCATCAGGCGACCTTGCACCTCAGCCCACTGCTTCTCGCCAAACACCCGGTACGTGGCCCGATGGACCAGGAACTCAGACCGCAGCTGCGACAGCTTGCCCTCGACCAGACCGGCGCGAATGGTGTCGATAACCCACTTCTCGACGTCGGTGGCTGGCACACGAAGGGCCGTGGCGATGGTCTCGTAAGGCAGGGAGCGCGACGGGGTGGAAGCGGCCAGGGAGGCCAGAGTGAGCAGGCGCATCTTATTCTGCAGGGCCTCGCCGGCCTCGGCCAGCACGCCGCCGGAGATGTCGGCCAGGGGGGTGGCGGTGACGAAGGCATCGTAGGCATCAAGGGTGTCGGCAGTGAAGATCTCGAGCAGCTCGAAGAGAGTGTTGTCGCTGGTACGCAGGGCCTGGACAGCGTCGGAGGCGGTCAACGGGGTGAAGTCGAACACGGCCGGGTGAGTGAGAGCGGAGGTCAGGGCGCGAACAGCCAGCTCGCGGGCCTCGGGGGCGCTGGCGTTGGCGGCGGGGATGGTCTGCAGGGCCTGGACAACATGGGTCTGGGCCAGCTCAGGGTCACCGGAGGCCTGGGCGGCATCGGCGATGGCGAGGTGCAGGCGCTGGGCCTCGTCGGCGTCCAGCTCCCAGGCGGCGAGCCAGCCAGGCAGCTGAGTAGACAGCTGAGACTTGAGGGCGTCAAAGGCAATGGACGAACCGGACTGGCGGATGACGGCGACGGTAGCCAGGAGGACGTGGTAGCGGCTGCAGTCGGAGGGGGCGAGGGTGTTGAAGATGGTGGACAGGATGGAGATGGCCAGGGAGGCGCCGAACTGGGGGGAGGAGATGGGCTTGGCGAGGTAGGTGCAGATGCGAGAGAGGAACATATCCGGGTCGGAGGCTTGGTGGACGAGGTGGACAAGCAAGTTGTAGGCGGAGATGATCTCTGTGAGCTCAAACGTCAGTGCCGTTCAATGACGGACTATCAAGATGGATGAATACGCACCCTTCTCCGGGGCGCTGTTCAGGACCACGGCCGCCGACACCAACTTCTTGAGGACCTCATCACGCTGCTTGCGGTCGGGCTCGGCGTCGGACTGTTCCTGCTCACGGAGGGGCTGCAGAAGCGGGGAGATCTCGGTTTGGAGGCTGCTGGCGGCTTCGGGCTTGCGCAGGGCGTCGATGTACTGGGCGAACTCGTCGGCGAGCTCGGTGAAGGAGCCCTCGATGAGGAGGGTGGTGGAGGGGGGGGCATGATGGGAGGGGGGGGGGGGGGGGGTGTTTTTGGTAGAAGAGAGAGAGAGGGGGGAGAGGGGAGGGAGATCGATCAAAGGGGAGGAGCGAAAAGGGAGCGAAGCGAGAAGGCGAGGAAGGAAAAGGACGGGCGTGGATTGTGGATTGTGGCTTTGGATTGGATTCTTTGCCAGACAGATTGGGATTTGGCGGTGGAGAAAATTCAGTGTGGGAAAAACTCTTGGCGCCGCTGAACTGCATCGGGAGATCGTCTCCTCTCGACTTTCGACTCTCGATTAAAATATCTACTGAGTTCCTTCATCAAATCAACGACACGGATCATGCATTATTACAATAATAACTCCCAGGCGCTAGGGGGAATCGTACGAAACATCAAGTCGTAGAACATGCAACTGTAACACCCTCCGCGGCTGCCCCCAGAACTCTCATCACCGCCATTACAACAACCATTACAGCCAAGCCGAGCCCATGGTGCCTACAAACAATCTTCCTTTTACTAACTCTCGCTCTTCCAGAGACTCATCTTCGCTCTGCTCCATTTACAGCACCAGGCGCAGCCCAACAAACAGCACGGTCGCCAAAAGGCCCGTGGCGTGCTCTTGCGCCAGACGCACCGCCGCGTTGGAGGTGGACGAAGAAGAGGTGCTGCTGGTCGTGCTAGTCGCAGTCGTCGACTTGTCGCTTGAACTGCTCGCAGTGCTGGTGGCCGTCGTCAACGAGGTGGCCGTCGTGGTAGTCGACGACTCCGTGGACACAGCTGACGCATTCAGGGTGCCGCAGTCCTTCTCCCGTGTGGACTGGCACTCCTCCTGCTCATCGAGGGAGGTTGAGGCCTGAATGCACTGAGCGTAGGTCTCCTCGCAAACAAAGAATGGGATGGTCTGAGTGTACTCGGCCACATCGGCAGTCGAGCCATTGGAGCAAGTGCAGGAGAAGTCCAGGGTGCTCTGCCGGACGGGTTAGCGGGGAAGGGCACAGTCGTCGGTCGAGTGACACTTACCGGATCGCACGAGTTGCTAATGGCGACACCGCCGCAGATTTCGGGGCACGAGTTGCGCTCGGCAGTACACCAGGAGCCTAGAGCACTAGTCAGCGACGACAGAATACAATTTAATCTACCTTCCATCGGGACGGTCCTACTTCGGTCAGTGTAGCTGACAGCGCTGATGTTGAAATTGCTGGGAAGAGTGTAGTTGCTGGACGCGGTTGCCACAGCGGCCAAAGACATCAAGACGAGAGGAAGCATGGTGATAGAAGAGTTGGCGAATGCAAGACGTAAGATAGATTGGTATGAGATGGGATGGAATTGGGTAGTCTGACAACGAGATAAGAGAAGCAGACAAGCAATGGGATGGAGAGGTAAGTGAGCAAGTAAGTAAGTGGACGAGAGAGGTGGGAAGAGGAGAAAAGAGGAGGTAAAGAGGAAGATGAGAGGGAGAGAGGAAGAAGGAAGCACAGGAGGAAAGAAGGAGCCGATAAGGCAGACGAAACGGGAAGGTGCAGCAATGAGAGCCGAGAGAGCAAGAGCGAGAGAGGAATTCCAGCTGTTTATTTATATTTAATTCTTCTTCCGGAGCGTGAATATTAGGACTGAACCACTGGAACTTGCTAGCGACTTTAGTGTCTGAAGAGTGTGTGCATGACAAGACAAGAACTTATCTAGCAGACCTAGTCCGTTTCAATTGGGTCAACGATAAAGAGGAGGAGGATGATTATTATGACTATTATTATTATCCGTCTCAGTCACCTAGCATCTACCTACCTACCTACAATAATAGCATCGCTCCCAATTTCCCGTTTCCTGTTTTGGGCCAGCGCCGGACTGATGATTTGGCCGGCGATTTGTTTGTTGCCCTACGCGAGGGATGCCGATGGTGATATCCACCCTTCGAGACAAGCAGGCAGACAGTCCCCTCGAGGATGCACCCGCCAGGGAGAGAGAGACACACACACAAAGGAGAAAGGAAAATTCTGATCGGATTCTGTCCGGGGCACTGGAATGTGCAACCATCTCCCCCTCTCCCCCTCCCCCAGCGGGTGGCATGAATGCTGGGCGGCTGGTAGGTAAGTAGTGGTCAGGTTTGTTCGGTGTGGTTCAGCCCTCTCATTTCTGCTTTTCTCCTCTTTGTTATCGATTCATCCCCGGTAGCGCCGTGAGCTAAAGTAGCTGGCGGTGGTTGTGACTGGCTGCTGGTCTGCCGCCTAAAAACTAGTCGAGCGTTAGTCGCGACGGGCTTCCATGGCATACGTAGGCAGGGCCGCAGGCATCGATGCTCCCAGAATGTTTATCCAGAGATTCGGCCAGTGGGGAAGTGCGCCTGGTTGGGGACAGAGGGAGTCTGGAGAGTGTCAGGGGTAATAATGATAATAGTAAAGAGCGCACCCGCAAATAATTGAGGGGGCGAATGAGACCGGGGGGGGGAAAGTAGAATATTTAGTCAAACAATAGGATACATGGATATACTCCGGCAGCTGCTGGGGATCGCCAGGCCCAACCTTGAACCAACTAACCCAGATGATATCAATCTCCATTTTTCTGCACTGGCTGTCGCCCCCAATGCGGTAAAGTCCCTCCGCTCCTGCGGTTCCGGTATCATTACCACCTTAGGTACGGAGTCCTAGGTTCCGTACCGTCCGGAACTGCGTCATTTACCAGGCACCGTATTTGCCGACTTGCATCTGATTTCCCTCGGCTGATCGCTTCTTACTCCGTACATCCTATCTAAGTACAGCAGCAGCAGCAGCAGGAGGACCTACCCCCCCTCCCCTCCTCTCAGACCAGACATATCACATTCCATCTCCATCTCCATCTCCATCTCCATCTCCATCTCCATCATTATGTCCTCCTCAATTCTCGACCACCCCCACCCCGCCTCCTTAACCCCCTTCCTCCACTGCTCCTCTCCGTCACTCCAATCGCTCCTCCACCATTCCGATTACCTTCCCATCCGCACCTACTCGCGCATCCCCAAACCCTTTTCTGGCGAGGATGGCTACTTCGCCAACACCTTAGCCACACCACTCACCATCCCGCATGTTCTGACCCTCCGTCGTCGTCCGCATCTCCTCTCCGCTCTGCCCGCCGCTCCGCCCGTCTGGCCCGCCCCCACTGGCTCCCCGACCCCCGTCCACACCCCGGACCTGATACTGCTGCTCGATCTCGCAACCCCGGGAGTGTCGGGCCATCCATCCACCGCTCATGGCGGGGTCATTGCCACTGCCATGGACGAGGCCATGTCCTATGCGGTGGCTCTGTATGCGCCGGAGACGGGCCCGCGACTAGAAGGGGAAGAGGAGGATGTCCCACCCACGCCGCGGGGAATGCTCTATACCGCCCAATTGGACATCCGCTACAAGAGTCCCGTCGTGGCGCCGGGATACTTGATCGTACAGGCCAAGGTTCTCGCCCGTGTCGGCCGCAAGTTCTGGGTGCGTGCGCAGGCGTTCCAGCCCGAAGACGGAAAGGCACACATGCGGCTCACGACCGATGCGATGGCCTTTTGGGTGCAGACGGCGCCGTCGCTCTGAGAAACCTAATATCTTCTATTGTTCTTCTATTATATGTACATATTCAGATCGATCGGTAAATAAGAGATAGTCGGTCGGTGGTAGGGCCGGGGAGTGGATCCAAGACGGGGAGGGAACCGGGCACGAGCAACTAACTCTTACTCTCTACAACTTCTGCCGGGTTCCAAGGTTGCGACTCGCACTCACCACCAAGCCTACCTGTGTACTCAATGCTACCACCTCCCCTCGCTCATTCACCAGCGTCACATCCAGGTCCGTCCGGCCGTCCTGCACCAGCTTCGAGTGCACCCGACTGTACAACCACTCCACCCCCTCCGCCGGCAACCGCCGCTTCAGATCGATATTCAACGTCACCGTCGGGTACCAGTGCTGTGCCTGCCCCCGACGCCCCGAGGCTTCCGCGGCAGCCTCGTCGAACCCGGCCAGCGCCGTGGGAAACATATCCGTCAGATAGACCAGGGCCTCGTTCGTCCACCGCGCCGTGACATCCCCTTCGGGCCGAAATCGTGCCCACTGCTCTGCGACCATCCGTCCTGGTGCCGAGCCCAACTCCGGCCCAAAGAATTCCGTCTGTTTCGTCGCCCGTCGGAACGACAGAAACGGCGCATTGAGACGCTTCCAGGCGCCATCCCGGCCCGTGGCCGCCAACGCTAACAGATCCACCGCTCCATCAGGCTTAGAGCCCCGTGGCGGAGGTGGAGAGAGATTCCAGCCCGTAACAGCGCTAAAACCGACCTCCGCATGCGCCGGACTAACGGTAATATACCCGGCGACTTTGACCTCCAGCTCTTCTTCGCCAGGGCTGGGGGGCGTGGGCTTCTTCCGCTCCAGCGGCTGCAACAGTGTCACATGCACGGTACTAGTCCGCTTCCCAAGCTTGGTATCCTGGATCATTAAAACGGCAGGGCCAGTGGCCGTGCGCCGGAGAAAGGCCAGTTGCATCGATATCGGCGTGGCGGGTTCATTGTAGAGGGTTGGATGCGTCTGCGCAAAGTGGACGAGCACCAGCCGGTAAATAATCGAGGTGGTGTAGCCGCCATGCGGAACTGTAGGGTACTTAATTAGCGCGAGAGGATCGAGATAAGACCTCTCGGTCATAGCGGACAAGGACACGCATCCTACCGGCCCCAATGCACCATTCCTCGCGAAGACAGGCAGAATACCGATGCGAGCTGATGAGCGTCACTTGGATGGCTGCCTCGAATGCGGGCCCGTGGGCGGGATTAGCACTCATGGTTGGTTGGTTGGTTGGCCGTAGGGTATGTATTGGTATGGGTATAGGTATAGGTATAGGTCTAGGTCTAGGTCTAGATGGAAAGAGAGGGGGAATTCACCTTCCGAGTGCTGTTTATAGGGAGAAGTGGAAAGATGAGGAGGAGGAGGAGGAGGCGGCCTGGCCGAGGATGGCCGAAGATGATGCCTGCCGATTGAGCAGCAACAGCAGCAGCAGAAAAGGTGCCTCGGTTGATTTCCCCGCCGGGCGATCGGCGCTGACTAACCCCGAGCAGATAACGTAATTCCCAACCGAGTCGACCGCCCGGTCGACCCGCTCACCTCTTCCAAAATTCATCGCGCGTTCAACGCGTAACTATTCAAACAACCACCATGCCACCAGTATCGCGTCATCTAAATCAAAACTCGGTGGAACAAGAGGGAAGGATTCAAATCGCTATATCCGCATTAAAAAATCTTGAAATCTCGTCAATTCGTCGCGCGGCAGAGGTTTTTAATGTGCCTTACTCAACATTACGCGATCGAATGAAGGGAAAGCAATATCGACTCGAGCAGCGCGCAAATGGCCACAAGCTCTCTAAAAATGAGGAAGCATCTCTGGTTAAGTGGATATTATCGAGAGATACACGTGGAGTTCCTCCTAGACCATCTCATGTGGCAGAGATGGCTAATATTCTGCTTGGTTCCGCAGCTCAACCTCTTGGAAAGAACTGGGTCTCTAGCTTTATTAATCGAAATCCTGAGGTTAAAGCCCGATTTGCTCGGCGATATAACTATTCACGCGCGAAATGTGAAGATCCAGAGGTTATAAAGGGCTGGTTTCAGCAACTGCAGAAGGTTCGGTCAGAATGGGGGATCCTTGACCAAGATATCTATAATTTTGATGAGACAGGCTTTGCTATGGGCCTTATAGCAACTACTAAGGTAGTTACTAGGGCTGATATACCTGGAAAGCCTCATCTTATTCAACCAGGCAACCGCGAATGGGTTACAACGATTGAATGCATGAATTCAAGTGGTTGGATGGTCCCTTCATGCATTATCTTTAAAGGCAAGCGCTATATTGAGGGCTGGTTTAAAGAATACAGTATACAACCTGACTGGCGAATTGAATTAAGCGCAAACGGTTGGACTACCGATGAGATAAGTCTCCGGTGGCTTCTAAAGGTCTTTATTCCTGCAACTACTTCTCAAACGATTGGCCGATATCGATTACTAGTCCTTGACGGCCATGGAAGCTATCTTACACCTCAATTCGACAAGCTTTGTGAGCAGAATAATATAATTCCTATCTGCATGCCTCTTCACTCATCTCATCTTCTACAACGCTAGATGTTGGTTGCTTTGGCCCGTTAAAGCGCGCGTACGGAGAACTAGTAGAGACAAAGATGCGCTTGGGATTCAATCATATTGATAAGTTTGACTTTCTCAGCGCTTATCCTAGCGCTCACCACAAAGTCTTTACAGTACAGAATATTCAAAGCGGCTTCGCTGCCGCTGGGATACTTCCATTCAGCCCTCAGCGTGTGCTTGATAAGTTGAATATCTTACTATCAACACCGACACCCCCCCAGAGCCCTGGTGGGAACTTATCTAGTTCCTCTGTACTAGCAACGCCTCAAACAGCTCACGAACTCTTTAAAAAAGCATCCTCTGTTAAGAAGATGCTTTGAAAACACTCCCAAAGTCCTTCAACACCTTCAAAAAGAACTTACAATGAGTTGCTTAAAGGTTGCGAATTAATAATGCACCAAGCAGCCTTCATGACAAAGGAACTACATGATCTCCGCGCAGAACATGAGAAAGTGAAGCAGAAGAGGAGACGTTCTAAGCGCCAGATGACTCCTAATAATGGACTATCAATACAAGAGGCGAGAGACTTAATTACGCAGAGGAATGAGCGATTGAATCAGGAAGGTGGTAGTAGTAGTGAGCCAAGTATTTCTACTTCAAATACTTTAGTTCCTCAAAAACGTGCTCCACCAAGGTGTTCTGACTGTCATATCTTGGGGCATACTAGAACTAGATGTCCTAATCGTCATATTGCTTAGTTTTATTAATTTAATAAAGGTTTTAGTTGTTGGCGATAGCTTCAAGTTTAATGAGTATTGTCCGAATGGATGGGGTGAGCGGGTCGACCGGGCGGTCGACTCGGTTGGGAATTATGTTAACTAGATACCTATTCCGTACACTTAGGAATATTGTATAACGGTATATAAGTAGATAGGAGAGTCTCCGGTGTTATTGTGGCCTCGTCTATGTGCCCCCTCCCGCAAAGACTCCCGCAAAGCTCCCGTCGCTCTCTAAATCCATTCAAATCCAGCCCACGCGCCAGTCTGCTTGCTTTTAGGGGCTCGTATACCGATGTAGATAGTACTATGTATCCATTCATGCATCATGTCCTCGTAGGATAGGCTCCTTCCGTCCAGTCATTTTCGTAAGCCTCATGAGCCGCTTCGGGGTGCAGCCAGCTTCTCCAGACACGACAGGACTCCTACCATGCCACCACACTCCGATTAGCATCATTCATGTATTTCCACCGATCCAATGGGTCTTTGAACAGATCTTAGGGATTCTTACCTGTCACTCCCTGGGTCAAGGTCGCCTTAGCCTCCGTGCTGCGAGAACCGAGCGTGACGGTCATGGCGTAGTTGACTCCCCCCGCGCTGGCCAGCTTGTTGGCCCACCGAAACACCGCCTCGTCATCGCGACCATCCCCAATAGCTAGCAGAAAGTCCGGGCGTCCGACATTCTCATCCCGCTGGCTCTTCTTGAGACATGATCGCCACGCTACTTCCGCTGCCGACGCCTTGTTGATGCCCGCCGGCTCCACGACCAGTGCGCGCTCCACGGGGACGGCATGCACCCCTTGGTTCATACAGGCATCGTTGATATGCCCCGCGCACTCCGACGCCAGCCGCGACGCCGCCCCCTGGTCCTCGGCCGACTCATAGTGGAACATGAGCGAGCAGTGCCGTTGCTCGACCCAGCTTCCCTCCGCACGCTCCTGATAGTACTCCAAGATGTGGAGCACCGCCGCCTTCCACGCGTCCGTCTGAACCTTGTCTGTCAGCTTAAGCCAGGTCTCCGAGTGCGGCTCGCGCACAAAGCACCCGTTCTCGGCAATCAGACCCAGGCCGCTGACCAAACGGAACAGCCGTTCCATCTCCTCGGGCATTCTCGCGCTCATGACGTACACCACATTCTGTGGGTCCTCGGTCAGTTCGGCCAGCGTGGTGATCGCGCGCTGCGGCGTAGTGACAATGATACTCTTTGGCGAGCCCCAGGAGGCGAGCGTGCCTTCGTAGTCCACGATGACCAGCCGGCGCGACGACCGACGATACATCTCCTCTAGTTTGTTTACCTGCAGCCGAGGTACGGCCATAATCTCTCGCGACGACTGCTCGTTCCAGACCCGGCTCAAAGTCTCGCTGAATGACTTGACCCAATTGTGGGTGGAATTCTGTAAAACCGCCTGGTGTAGCTGCGTCCACACTTCCTGACGTTCCCTTTCATCTCTCGACAATGCGGTATGGATGGCCTCTGCACATTGACGGTAGTCCCAGGGGTTGACCAGTAGCGCATGGTCGCCGAACACGGATGCGCTGCCAGTGAACTCGCTCAAGATGAGAGACCCGTACTTCTTGTTGCCCCATTTACCGTCTTGGCAGTAGACAAACTCATGGCTGGTCAAGTTCATGCCTTCACGCAAGCTGGTGATGATCAGAGCGTCCGCCACGGAAATCAAGGCGAGGTACTGGGGGAATGCCAAGTCCTGCTTCAAGAAAACCAAAGGCTGATGAGCAAGAGTGGAGTGGGTTGAGTTAATCCGCATTGCGATGTCGGAGATTGTCGCTTCCAGCTCGGGCTGTTCAGTGGTGCTGGTCGCCACTTGGATCAACACAACCTGATCTCGCAATTCGGGATATGTGTTCAGGAAGAGCTCATAGCTTAGCAGTTTCTGCCGGATTCCGCGCACCTGGTCGATTTTGTCGCGCGACACGATGAGCCGTTTCCCCTCGTAGCGGTCCGAGATAGTCTTGATCCATCGTTCCACGTCGGCGGCCTGCCGGCGTTGGTCCCATGACGTTGGGTCGATACCAATTGAGAACTTGCTCACGTTGACAAACCGATCCTCCAGCTGCAGCCCGTCATTGGTGGCTTCCACACAGAGAATACGGCTGCACGTCTGGAGGAAGTGGCGACAGTATTCCTCCGTCTGGAACCCTACCAGATTCGCGCCAAGCATTCCTTCAAGAAGCTCCTTGCGAGGCGCCAGGCACCGAAACACTTCCGAGGAGGGGAAGGCAATATGTAGAAAAAAGCCGATCTGTGCGTCCGGAAGCAGTTTCCGCAGCATGGCCGGAACGAGCAGCAGGTGGTAATCCTGCACCCAGATGGAATCTCCACGCTTCCAATTCCGCGCGATGCACTCGGCAAAGGCCTGGTTAGTCTTAACATAGTAGATCCATGAGTGATCTTCGTAAGCTTTGCTCTTGGGGTTATCCGGGATCTGGTAGTGGAACACCGGCCAGAGAATCGTCTTGCAAAAATGGGTATAGTGACCATCGAAGTCACCGTCACTGACGTAGACGGTCAAAGATCCATATTCATCTTCCAGCTTCTCGGCGATCGCCGCTTTAGTGTGTTCCGGTAGGGCATCGGTGGGCATCCCCAACGTTCCCACCCAGGCTTTGTCTTCCAGTTGTCCGGCGTCCGTGGCCGACCGCACGGCATTGCGCAAGCCCCCATTGCCCTGCTCGGCCGTCTCGATGGTCCATTCGGCGTACGAAAATGAGCTTTTGCGGCTGTGGCCTCCCCAATGGTCGTGGACATGCGCGATTGGCGGCTTGGGGGCCGGCTTTGCCTTCTCTTTTGGTGACTCTGCGCCTGGCGTAGTGAGGTCTTGGTGCCTGAGGATGGAAGGAGAGGCTGGAAATGCTGCGCGCGGTCGAGGTTGGTTCAAAGCTAACGTCGAACCCCATGCCGGGGAGTGAGCCTCACTCTCCGTCAAGAGATTCACATCACCATCTGTTTTGGGAGGGAACGGAAACCCGGAGTGCTCTTGCTCCGCTTTAGAAATGTCTGCTGCGAAAATCCGTTCATGCTCAGTGGTGGCACCCGGCGTAAGACCAACGCTTGGGCCGCCATTGTTTCTTTCGAACAAGCTCAGGGCCACGTTGGGGGTGGAAGTAGTAGCAGTCTCGGCGGGGTTGGCTGATTGGGGGGTTGTCCCTTCCGCGCGACGAGTCTTGGGGTCGCTGACGTGAAAGTTGACCGTATAGGGCAGGAATCTGTTACCCAAAAATATCAGAAAGGCTACAGGCAGCCGGAGGAGGGGGGAGCGATCGTCACTTACAGCGAAGCAATATAGATGGTCATGGTGGCAGCGGGGTAGCTGGGACCCCCGGGCGAGGCAAAACAAATAAGCAAAGTGAGGGAGAAGAGGAAGAAGGAAGAAGGAGAAGGAGAGAAAGACACTGAAAGCTAACCACCTAGTCACCGCGAAAAGGGGGATGGGGCCAGTCAATGGGAAGGGCTCAGTTGGGACGGTTGGGGAGGGATGAGAGAAAGGAAGGCCGATCGCCGCGGACAAAAAAGTACAGGTTCTCATGGCTACGTCATGTGCAAAAGGGAGCAGCAGGAAAGGAATGAATGTTCATCACTCTTAGGTAATGGGGACCTATCCATTATGGTATTGTGTACGGAGTAGTAGGTAGTGTATACACATGTACTTGCTAGTACATATAATAATATAGTAGACGGTATTATTTTGGTACTAATTCACCCCACGTAGTTGTGCCACATACCCTGCTGATGCCTATACCATCTACTACTAGATACTTTACACAGTACAGTGACATATATTCTTCACGGGTCTCCACACCGCCTGCGGATGGGCTGACCCCGACGAGGCCTGAAATCACGTGCCCTTATCGGGTCACCGCCATATCAGCCATGTGGCCTCAGGCCAGAAATTCGGCAGCTTCGTTTCCCGCAAACTGATTCACCCATCATTTTATTCTCCCCCCTTCTATCTTCTATCCCGGACCTAGCTGGCTTAGACACCCTGCCATGCCCTTGCGCATAACATCCTCTCCCGTATCTGGTGTCAAGAAGAACAAAAAGCCCGCTAGCTTGAGGCCGCGCGCCTCTCCCTTCGCTTCCCATGCTCGTCGCAAGGCTTCGGCGCCGTCATCGTCCGGTGCTTCAAAGCTCTACGGTGAGCACGAGTATGATCAAGGCTCATTGCCAGACTTCGGAACATCGCGCTACATTCCCGAAACTACACCAGTGAACGATGTGGTCCAGGCTCTCCAGTACATCCACCACAGCATGTTCGAGAGCCTCCCTCGCCGAGTGGGGATGAACAGCGCGCGCATCGCCGAAGTTCTCAATTTCCGTCGCTCTCTTCCTCCCCTCGCCTCCGTCGCACATGTTCATACGCTGCTGGATTCACCTACCGAGGTAGAGAAGGAGATCGTGGAGCTAGTGCACGTCGGCCGGGTTCGTCGCTTGATCGTTCCCGAGAGAGGAAACGATGCTGCTGGGTTAGGCGATTGCCTTGTTTTGACCGAGGAATGGGAGCGGCTGGTGCAAGATAGTTCCGCTCTGGATACACCACTGAAAGGTACGGATCTTCTTCCCTCTCCGATCATTTGCACCAAGCGGGCTGATCCGTAGCAGGCAAGTTTCTGGAACTGCTTGGTCGGATCGGAAACACATGCGCCATCCCTGGGACAGCCTTCTCTCTGCCGGAGACTATGGCCTTGGTCCGGGCCGGCTTTCTCGTCTCCTCGTCAGCCTTGGCCAAGGGTTCCTCGAGCCTTGCTTCCCTCCCCGTCTTTCCCGCGACCTCCACCATCCCAGCTTCCGCTTCCGCGAGACAAGGTGGCACTGAGCAAACCGCCGATGTCGGATCGAGTTCTGATTCGCAATCTCATACGGCGACGTTCTTCATTTCACTTCCAAATACCGGACCCTACCTTCGTCTGCTGAGCGCTAGCCGTTCACACCTACTCTCGCTCCTGAAAAGGTCGAGTTCGAGTGAGGTCCCTGGCTACCTGCTGCGTGACCGCTGGGATGGGGCAGTTGAGAGCGAAAAGAGTTTCAGCGCGGCGAAGAGAGCACGAGGCGAGTTTGCGGGTATCTTACCTGGTCGGACGAAAAGATGGAAGGAGCTCTATGGGATAAACTTCCGCTGGGTTCTGGAGGAGGCGCTCGGGGCTGGGTTAATCGAAATCTTTGATACGGGCAGCGTTGGCCCTGGGGTGCGCTGCCTATGATCTGGGTATATGTCCAGTCGATGGACGAATCTATGCCAGATGACACTGGGGCGGGTAGTGAAACCTCTTGGTGGTCCAGCTCTGCGAATCTGTAGGCCGATAAACCATGTATATAGCCTAGCACATACCCTCCAATATATAGTCGTGTAGAGAGGATGAGGACAACAGTCCGTCAGGTCAATTGACCTCCGCCCATCTCGGTGTCACTGCCACGAGATAGTATCTTCTCTTCTGCAACTCAGTGAAAGAAAAGGCTAGGAGCAAGCGAAGAAAAGGTGCTGGCTAGACTAACCACTGGTTCGCTGGTAATAGACTTAGGGTGCAAGTCATGGAGGGAACATCCGAGATCGCTTGACTCTTTCTCTTCCTCTTCCTCTTCCTCTTCGTCTTCCTCTTTTTCTTCCGCACCGTTCAATAATCCACCATGACTCTGGGATCCTACCTCCGTCTCCTCCCTCATCCCTTTTCTTCCCTCCCCACCCATCCTTCCCTTGACTCTTCCTCTTCTTCTTCCTCTTCTTCTTCCTCTTCTTCTTCCTCTTCTTCTTCCCCCCCTCCCGCCCACCACTCCGCTCCTTCCTGCACGCCCTCCTCACCGAAGCCCAGACCTTGCTGACGTCTATCCCCTCTACCTTCCACCCCGATCGCAAACCCCGACGCGCTTTCCCATCGACCGCTAAAGTCCATCTTTCCACACGCTCCATCCCCTATCCCGACTCCCCCGGCACCCCGGACTATTGGGTATGTCGGCAGAGCGTGCACGAAGACGCACCCGTGGCCGGGTCCGCCTCATGGGAGGAGTTCCGCTCCGGACTCCGGGAGGATCATTCCGAGCATGAGAAGGAGTACACGCCGAGTGTGACCGCCGTGGAGCGGTTGCTGGACTGGCCATCCGAAACAGACGTAGGTGGTGGGTGGACGAGAGTAGATGTACATGGTGAGTTGCAGGTTCGCTCTCAACCCCCCACTCTGTCTCCCTCACTTTCCCTCCATAATATGTGTAGGCATGCATGCATCTATCCAGGTCTATCTACCTATTCATCCATTTATGTCTGTATGTACCGGATGACGGGGGTGCTGCAACTACTAACTACATTACCTGCCCCAGTAAATTTGATCACACACACCTTTCATCCTACGGCATTGATCGCGCCTCGCTCGTTCATTGTCCTGGTTTTGTCGGCGGACCGGGGCCGCGATGGTGGATTTGTCACCATTCAGATCCCACTGGCGGCGGATTCGAGCCCGGAGCCGATCCGGCAAAAGATTACGGCGTCAGCGCCGCAGAATGCCATCTTTGCGTCCTATGCCAGTGTGGAAGAGGTGGTCGCTGGGTCCGAGGGGCTGCAATGGACTATGGCGACCACCTCGGATGCTGGCGGGGCGATTCCTCGGTGGATACAGCGGAGCTGGACCATGGGCGGAGTCCCCAAAGCCGTCGTGGCCGACGTGGGCTTGTTTCTTGGGTGGACCGCCCGCCGAAGGGCCTAGCCTCGTTCTTGACCAGCCACTTACTGCACTTGGGTTGTCTAACTATCTAGTTGGGGTACAGTACAAGAGGGTCGCGTCCAGGACATGTGATTGCATTACTTCCTGCTATTGAACAAGCATGTGGATTATTCCAGCCAGTCTTTCACTGACAGTGATCGCCTGAGCTAATAAATAGATATTTTTGCCCACCAGACTCCCGGCTCCTCTCACGGAAATGGGATGCGGATGCATACAAGACGTGCGGGAATAATAACGCCCAAAAAGAGAACATGATATGAAAGACAACGGTTGCCATCGCCTTATCAGAGTAGAGAAATGCCAGCGACCGGGGCGGAGGGGTGGAGGGGGGGCCCCCACCTTGTCCGGGTCCTCGTCAAGGATGGGAGAGAGGTAGGAGGTATACATCAAAGAATCATGTAGACAGAACCGACGGCAGAAAGATACAATCATGAGGACTCCAAGTGACACCGTGGAATCCAGATTTGGGGGATGAAAAAGGGCGGGTCGAATGTGAGAAACTATCATCAACGACATCGATGTGTTTAAGTGAGGTGGAACAATGTAGAGAACAGACAGAAGATGGGACTGGAGGGGAGCATCTCCCAAAGGAGGGCGGGGGGAGAAGGGAGGGAAGGGGGAAAGGGAATGGGAAATAGATAGTCATGACAGGTAAGCTATTCACTTGGCAATAAGAAGGGTATTATAGAGACTCGCATCAGCGCGTTTGCAATCCATCGCAGAAGGAATGGAGAGGACAAATATCTAATGTCTTGACGAAGGGAAACATGAGTGGATAAGATGGTTGGTAGCAATCCTCCTAGAAGGAAAACATCTATTCACCGCTGGGAAGTGCCGACAGCGCTTGTCTCTGTCTGCGCCTGTGGTGCACTGGGATTCGACATTGCCAGTGCATTGACATTCGTGGATGCAATTTGGGCTCTCAGGGCGGCAACCTCCGTCCTTAGCCCATTTAATTCTTCATGCACCGAGCGAATGTACGTCCATAGCTTGTCTTCCCGATCACGAAGCTGGTCAATGAGGTTAGACTCATGAGGACCGGAAATTTGGTTTCCATTGTTCGAAGCCCCTTCCAGGCCTGGTTTGGACGATAATGAACCACTGTGACTGTTTGGGTGGCTGTGAGATGGCGTGTGTTTCGTAGCAGTCGAAGGTGCTGGTGGTACGGATCCTTGTGAATGAAGCGCAAACCGAGATTCGGCAGAGCTCATTCCAGGCGGCGGAGGGAGCTGGGGAGCACCCGGTTGCGGTGGGGGCAGGCCCAAGCCCGAAGCGGCATGATTCCCGACGACGGAGGTCGAAGATGGCCCTGCCCTGTTGAATGGTTGCTGTTGGAACGACTGCGCCATACCGGTAGAGTGAGCACGATGATGGACATTATTCTCTGGTCCGTGGCCGAGCTGATGTGAGGACAGTGCATGTGGCGACAAAGGTTTTGGGCTCCCTGTAATATTTGTGGGAAAGACGGATGACCCTGAAGGTTGGCCAGGCGGTGGGAACGTCATGTTTCCGGACTGTGATATGGGAGACGTCGACGCGCTAGAGCCAGCATGGCTTGGTGGAGGGAAGAGGCCCCCAGGGGACGGTCTGCTTGAGGCGATCGGGGGATATGTGCTTGGCTGGCGCGTTTGATAGCTCGGCGCAGTGTTCGACCGCGAAATGGAGTCCGTCGACACGTCATGCTTCTTGATGCTAGGCATAAGTCCTCGTTCCTCCTCCTCATCCATGCGCTCCGGCTCAGCAGTGTAGACAAGTCCATCCATAGTGTCATCGGCGCCCCCAGGAGCAGGAGGGTCGCCGTATTCATCCTCGGGAACGTAGCTCCCCATGCTTGCTCTGCGCCCCGCGCATCCGCCTTGGCCCTTATTATGGCGAGCTAAAGCGTCGCCACGCGCGAACCTGCGTCCACATTTAGGGCAAATATGCGGCCGTTCGCCAGTATGAAGCTTCGTGTGTCTTTTCAAATCATGCAACCGACGGAAGCGTGATTGGCATGTTGAGCAAACATATGGCTTTTCCTGACTGTGGGTAAGCAGATGGCTCTTCAGATTATGGTGCCTTGTGAATTCAGTGGCACAGTACGGGCAACGGTGCTTTTTCGCCGACGGTGACCGTTGACCTTTGTGAAATCCGGAACCGGGTAGACTTAGACCCCGTCGGGGGTCATTAAAACTGACCGTGGGCATCGGGTATGAGAAGGCTTTGTTGCCCGTTTCTTGCGGTATGTCTCCTTCATCACGGTGGCGAGGACCGCCATCCGGAGAACCAGTATCCTCAATGGGGCCGGGACTGGCCACGGTCGAGGCGTCTATAAGCGTGGCGTTGTTATCGGCTGCCCCATACGCATCAGACGCAGTTCCTGGACCTGAATGAGGATCAACCTGCATTTGATCTGACGGCGTTTGCAGAGTCTCATTCACGGGATTGGCCTGCTTCTCGGTAGCGCCAAGAGCCTCTCTTGCAACTTGCGAGCTGTGCTGTTCTGACTCCTTCTCATGTTCCAGGGGCCGATCCGTTTGACCAGCCGTGGCCGGCGGTGCAGCCGTCGTCATTGGCGGCAGTGAAACTCCGGAGCGCGAAACGTTCAGCCCGGCACTGGCGATAGAAGTTAGGCTTGAATCAGGCCTTGACTGTTTCAAGAAAACAAGAGGTTCCGACGGAGCTGATATTATCGAGTTCGACGTCCCAGATAATTGCTTAGAAATGGTGACAGGTTCGTTGTTCGATTGCATCAACGCAGCCATGGATAAGGGATGTTTTGCGCCAGTCTGGAAGGGTGGGCGTAGGTACGGGAAAGCTAAATAGATGGAGCCCATGTCAGTTGATGAGGGTCTTCAGTGGTGGGTGGGTGCAGGGTAATGGAAGGTCCAGGACAAATCAAGGACATACAGGAAGGGATAAAGGGCTCAAAGTGTACCAGTGTATACTCAGCAGGCACAAGACAGCTAGGTAGGACAAGGGAATGAGTGGTATCCATTAGAGGCACTGTCGCGTGGGGCGCTCACCTAGGACCGAGTGTGGCGCAAGCTGACGGGTTCAGCCTTCGCGCAACGTCTTGTCAGACGATCAAGTCCCACAGAAACAGATACGGGGCTCGCAGGAGGTAAAAATAGCGGTCAGCCTTGCAAGCAGTAGAAGGACGTTGAGTCTAGCGCCCGCTTGTTCTGGATCTGGATCTGGTGGGAGGGGAGGGGACTCTAGTCCATCTGGTGGAAAGCCGTATGAGACCGGGGTTGTACGGCAGAATGGCAATGTCTGGTTAGGCTGCAGAGAGGAAGCTGGAACCCGCGATTGTCAAAGCAACGAGGCCAGGAGAATTATGCAGAGCTATGCCGTTGGAAGCTGGTCAATGTACAAGCGACATGAAACCCCAGTAGACGTTGGAGTATCAAGAAAGGCAAGGGGGGTTGTTGAGGAAAGATGGACAGCTTCGGGACACGGAGGAGACTGTTGGCCGAAGGATGTAGAAATGAGTGAGAACCACCCCAGGAAGTAGGGAGACTATTGGACGATAATGAGGCGTAGGGGAACGGATGAAAAAAAGGGGAGGGGGAAGATTGTTTTATTACGGAAGGCAGTTAATAAGGAGAGACACGACAGATGAAGAAAACGTATGTGAACAGAGAGGCATAAAACCCGATGCAGAGGGTGGCAGAATAGGATACAGGCAGAGGGCAGGTTGGAAAGAATAGTACGTAGTAGTGTACGGAGTAGTAGTAAGCAGCCCAGCCAGGTGAGTGAGTGAAGAGAGTTCAGTGAGTTGAGGGACTGAGGAGTTCGGGTCGCCTAGGAAGCAGCCGCGGGAATCGTTCCTGATTGGGTCAAGCCGTCCAAGCGAAACAGGCTCGGTCGAGGCGGCCAAATCGAGGGGATGGATGGGGCTTGGATCTGAATCGCAGAAGCACAACAGATCCAAGATGAGACAGGCAGATTATCCTAACCTAAGATGATTCACCAGAGAGGAGGGAAACACTGGGAAAATCGGTGGAGGGGGAGAGAGGGAGAGGATGAACACGAGGAAGGCAGTGGCTGGAGCAGTGGCCCGTACCAGCCGTGGCCAAGGTGACGGGCGGCTCTGCCGGGTGGGCACTGGTCAGAAACAGGAAAGTTTACCTACCTCCAAGGCGCCGCATAAATTGTAAATTGTAATGGTCCAACACCGCCCGGGCTGAGGCCCGCTGGGATTGATTATTGATGTATCCATAGACGGTCCTGTATGGATGCCAACTGGGCAATCATCTCAAATATTGACTACTTGATCCCATGCTCCATAGCAAGAAGGAGGAGGAGGAGGAGGAGGAAGAGCAGAGCTTTCGCCTCAGCATGGGCCTTTTGGGGCTGAGTAAACAAGATCTACTAACTATAGTTAGTTACTACCTGCCTTACCGTATACACTAAAATTATCAGGTTCGATACTGAGAGCCTCAGCAGGTTAATATAGACAGATGCCCCAAGGGTACGGAGTACAGAATAGTATCTCGAGAAGTTGTACGTCTTTGCATCCGGGGAGAGACAGATAGGTTTGACTTCATTAGTGACTTTCTTTCATTTTTGCCTCGTGGAAATAATTGGAAGGGATAACTACTCTCGACCATAGCACGGTGATCATATGTTTCTGCCACTGTACGTAATACCCAATTGTGGAGTTCTTACTACTCCGTTTAGTATCATCTAGATACTACAGGATATGTCTACTACTGCAGGGTACACAGTGCATTTGCATCAATGGGGATTGGCGATCTGGAGGCAACAGTCCCAAAGCTGACATCTTTTGCTCTTTTCTTTTGTATTTCGTCAGCTGATATCTGATATCTTGCCAGGGATATTCCAGAGAATGGTGAAGAGAGGCGTAAAGTACGGAGTATAATACCCAACAATGTACGGAGTAGCGGTGGCTGGTATTGAGGGACAGTGCCCTATAGCGTAGGTATGCAGTGATGCACGCAAAAGCGGGACGGGAAGACAAGCTGAAGTGCCAATAGAGTACGGTGTTCTCCGGATGAAGGACAGTGGAACTACAGCGGACCTTCTACATTGGGCCGAAGCCTGGAAAGACTATACTACTTCTAGCAGGTTTCTGCCTGTAGTTAATTAGTGACTAGTATCTATGTACGTAGTAGTAGTCATACCGGGGATCTTCCGTACAGCTGATGGAAGGAGAATGAGGCTGTGTGGCTAGGCTGAAACTTCATTGTGGCTGGCCACCAGCTGCGGAGAAAGCTGGTGGCTTCTGCCCACCTGACCAGTTGGAGGCCGTTTCTAGAACCGAGTGGGGTCCATAGGGTGGCTGTACAGTCCCCACCGCCTGCCTGCCCGACATGAAGTTCGACGCCTCTGATTTGCCCCCAAGCTGTCATGTGTGGCCTCTTCACCATTCACCATGACTTCCCCCCTTGTGACCATGAATCAGATAGTGTGTAGGAGCGTGAACATGTTCTTCGGAGATAGTGACCTTATTCAATTCATCTTCGAGTCCATCGCCCCCATGTCCGGACTCCGGCGAGGTCGGCTACTACCTCAGGCTGCGGCCGCGATTCTGGACGCTCTGCTCGATCGCAATGGCAGGTGAAAATCACCGGAATGCAAGTACTTTCTAGGCGCTTGGGATTTGCTGCGCTACTGTTCTACGCGCGCCATCGACTACACGGTACGTCTAGTTCACAGAAGTATGGCAAAACAGGATAAGACCAGGTCTCCAGTACTGCCAGAACTTAGTATTATACACAGTAGTGACCCCAGGGGCACCGACCACGGAGTACTCCGAGTCTATTGGGTGGTATGGGCTTATAGCTCCGAGCGATCATGCAGGTCTCGCATATCTACACAATAGAATGCGTTTTATCCCCTCTCTCTTGGCCAAAAAGGGCTCCGAGGCTTCCATAGTCTTCGTCCATCTCTTCACCGCAGCGAGGAAAATTTTTCCTGATCTGCCGCATAGAAAATTCTGTAGCCGTTGAGCGGATTATCAGTGACCCAGCCCGTCATCTAGGTTTTCTTAGGCAACGTTAGCTCTATTTATTCCTAGGCTTAGCTGAGGCACCCTCGGTGAATTTGGTCTTTGCCACCATATATTTAGGATGATTACTCCGTAGTGAGACCCTGCCTGTGCGTCTGGCTATTTCAATCTAGCTTGCAATGACATGCACCCAATTGATTGGTGGCCCCTTAACCAATGCCGCTACTACTACTGAGAGTTTAGTGGTATAGTATGGAGAGAAAATTTTGGTGATTCTATCTTCAAACCAGCGCCCAACTCAGAACGAAGAGGGCCACGGAGGGGAACCTGCTAATGGTTCACTGGGAAGCATCTACTAGGAAATCAAAGAAAAAAGAGTATAGGTAGAATTGGAGGTTGGTCATCTGGGAATATCACGCTGACCTGTTCTGCTGATACCAACCAATATCAGTACCTACGATATTTACATCGATTTATACTATATCCTCTTTTGCCAGTCACCCAATTATGACAGTTTTTGTGTACAGCTCCCCCCCTCCAACACAGGATAACGAGGCCACGATCCTCATTGATCAGCAGCTAAGTATATGGTAACACACATTCGAATTTGTCTTACTAGAAATATCAGGCCTGTTGACAATCATGTAAATGAAGCTTAGGGCTACTAGTGCTCCTTCTAGGCAAGGTTTACCTCTTTTGATGAAGTGTACATGTGCGCGTAAGATAATAGATTGCAAATATTTGGCCATGATAGAGGTGTAGTCCTGATTAGTGTTTGTGCATATGTCTAGCTAACCGCCCGATTTCGGTCATATGAATACATATGGTCTGGTCGTCTTCAATCATGACAAGAGTAGGGGGGGGGGGGGGTTAAGGCATGCCACCCCCGAACTCACTAGATACCAAATCATAATAATATTCGTTGTAGACTCTACGGGGCTCAGACGTCTCATTTCCCCCAAGGGTTTTCGATTACTTGACAGCCCCGAGGATCCTATAGTAGAGAGCATCGCGCGTTGGAAGCTTATAATGCTGCCAGCTGATTGTGCCGGGGTAAAGGCGCCCTTCAAAGATACATGGCATCGGGGCAGATTTTTGATCCTGGTCTCCGACCTAGACTCCGTTCTGCTGCCAGAGAACAAGTCTTTCCACTCCACTGTACAGACAGAGACGAACCCCTGGATTTTAGGTGGTCCTGGATTGGTGTTCAATCCCCTTTGTAGAACCTCATGTTCTCTCCGTCCTAAGCCCGGCCCGTTATGAGAAGAAAATCAGGGGAATTAAGGGAAGGTGGGGGGGGGTTGAGAGGACAGAGGGGAGAAGAGGGACGGGGAGTGCTTAAGCGCCGTGATGGGATGGGATGTGATGGTATTGCAGTTGGTCGCGGACTAGCCCCAACACGTGAGGGGGACCTGCCACCCTCCATCTCTCAATTTTCAACTCTCGTCTGCTCCCAACTTCCTCCATTTCTTCTCCCCGAGCCAACAAAGTTCTAGTAGAAGCCGGCTAGGGTGAGTGTTATCCAATATCTACCTACCTATCTATTTTACCCCCATCCATCCTCATATCACCTTATCAACTGACCCAGTACTCCGTATGGCCAGGAGGTCACTAGATACCCCTCTTGGTCCATCGAGCTACCCGGAAGTTGGAACATGCAGCAAGAATCCTGCCGGTGCCTCTCGCGGGCGTTGCTGGCCGGCGGTTCTACTACGGCTATGGTTGGTTGGGTCCCGAGGCGATCAGCAGTTGGCGCCGGGAAGGGAACTCAGACCGGCTGATTGACCCTTCTCATTCGCTCCACAGGTGACAGCTCGTGCATCCGGAGTCACAGCACGGGAACCTCGACGGCCTTTGCCCCGGCGTATCGCGACTTTCCCCACTGTGATAAGCCAGGCCGACTGCTCTAGTGATATCGGTCGACATCCACTCATCGTGTCGCTCGGCCTTGTTCCCCGTTGACTTCCCAAGAGGATGCCTCGACGGCCCAATGAGCTTCATCGCCTTGGTTGTGCTACATGTTGCCGGGCGCTTATTTCCCCCTTCACATACAATTCATGCAACCCAGCTCGCGATGCCACCCCCGCCTGACAAGAACGGCGAGGCCGGGGCCCATCATTGATATTCAAAGCGGCCATGCTGCCCAGCGACTGTCTTGCCGTCGCGGCTCCTTCATCTCTCCTCTGACCTTCAACGTATCATCCCCCCAGGCTTGCGTTGTGGCCCGCCTCTTGGTCCTCATATTGTGCAGGATCCAAGGAGCAATCCTAGCTGAGTTCAATTAGCCAAGACTTTGGCCATCGGTATGTTCGCCTTCTTGATTATTCCTTACCGTATGCCTTTCAAAGATCAACGTACGACTGACGATCTTTCACAGTAAGGCCTTGCTTGCCAGCCTGTTCATTCTCTCGTATCAGGTAGGCATATGCCTTTCTATTCTTTCTTTAGGGTTCCCATTTGTGAAGATATAGTCCCACTGGCCTCCCGTGGATTGTCTTGATCTGCTGTATGGTTAACAAATGTTCTTATAGTGCGTGCATAGCTGTGCTGCCACGAGTTCCTGCTGTAGCCTCTGCTCGGCAAGGTATCCCGGTACTCTTCCTGCGTTTACACTTCTTCTCGGATCACTCGCCAGCCAAGCTCTTCTGCGCAGTATTCAACGCCGCAGTTGGTGATCCACTTGTCAAAGGTCGAGAGCTGGTCCTCTTTACGCCTTTGGGCTCGGAAAGCCTCCTTGCTTCCTTCCTGGATGTCTGCATCGACCGATAGCCACAACAGCTATTCTCTGTCTTGCGAAGTAGTGTCTCCTGAGGATATTGTCCGCAGTCACAACTACGGGGCAATGGCGCAGCCTGTCATAACTGCCGGGGAACGGAGCTCTTCTGAGACGTCAACCTCCTCGCTGAAGGGTTCCCGAACAACTCGTTTCGCGGAAGCAACCATGGTTCACTCCCCTTCCGGACTTGAGGATTATGGAAAGTCCCCCTTCGCAGATCCATCCAAGCTATCGCAGAGCCCCCCTGATGTGTCTGATGTCGGCTTTGGATATGTAGCTGCAAGCGACCCTGCACAGCATGCATCACATCATGATCTTCCGACACCTGGCCCAAAAAGCGTTCTCAAAGTCCCCGGAACCCCAGGTCGCACTCTGAATCCTTTGAGCCCAACTTTCCGAGAGGAGTTCTTCGTGGAAAAGCAAGAGAAGGTGGCAGAAAAGGAAAATGCGAGGGACCTGGTGAGTGAATGCTGGTGCGTCATGTTAATTTCTCTGAATACTTACGTTCGCTGCCACAGCGTATCAAATTGCGTGTCCGGGTGGCCAAGGTATTCCTCCGCTTCATCAATCTTGGTTGCAGTCTCATCGTCCTTACGATTTTGGGAACGACGTTGACAGTCTTCAACGCGACAAAATCGCTTCCTGAGCGGAATACCTCTCCTCCCTGGGAATTTGGCACAAACCCATGGCCGCAATATCTGCTGCTAGTGGTATCATGTCTCTCCTTGCTTGCCTGTCTTGGCGTCTTCTGGGGCTACTGGAGAGGTGGCCGCAAGCGCGCTCAAAAGTACGCCGCTTACTACTCACTTCTATCGATTGGTGTTTTCATCTTCGACCTGGTGATGTGGATTGTCGCGGCGGCGATCTTCGAACATTCGAAGGCTACAGGAGACGACAAAGATCTGTGGGGCTGGTCCTGTGTTCATAATGAAAGAGAAGAGCTGTTTGGTGACCAAATCGACTACGCACTTCTTTGTCGTCTGCAGGTAAGCCAGCTAGCTACGTAATCATCTTTCCGAGCTAACAGACTTCACAGGATTGGGGATTGGTCTGTGCTGTTATTGAGATTGTTCTCGAAGTCTTGGTCCTTTTGGTCTATGCGGCCATTTTTTACCGGTTCTGGACCAAGAGAAAGCTTGCCAGGTCGATGGATCGTCGAGACAGAGCTAGGACGGACTTGTACATGGCCCAACTTCAGCAGCAAACCGGGCCGAATACTCCGGGGCTTCCTCCAATGCCCAAGGCCCCCTTCGTGTCGACCTCGATTCCCCAGGATCCTTACTCTGCCGCTGAAAATGGCGAGATGTGCGCCCTCCAATTTGCTACACCACCGAGCCAGGCAAAATCCCAACCGGCGTTCCAGCTCCAACCGCCTCCAATTCGGGTGCAGAATGCAACTCCACAGTTAGCACAGGCGGAATATCTCCCACCTATGTCGGCCCCAGATGCCCCTAACCAGCATATGGGCGCGGCACCCGGCGAGCAAACCTATGAAACTGTGCCCATTCCCGATGCCTACGCGAGTCCAATGAGCCCTAGCCTTCCTCATGGAGCTCATCAATAAACAGGATTTCGGCACTTTAGGATGGATGTGATTCATGTAACAACCATTTGTTCAGACATATGACGAGTTAATGTTTCCTTGGGCAGTTGGTCTTGGATAAACACATGCTCTCTCCCTGTCTGATTGATATGCTGTCAATATGGTGTCGGCCTTTCTTGATCCTATCAGTTTCTGGACTAGTTCACCGCCGTTTCCTCTATATGACAAATCCTTTTTCTTTTCCTATCAAGTCGGTCTTCTTTCTCTCTTTTTCTTTATACCATTGATACACTCAAGTACGCCATCCTTTGTCTATTTACATTCCTTTATCCTTAGTTTTGCCTTGAGCAAGTTTGGCGTGGCACTCAAATTTGGAAGACAAGCACTGGACATTGCTAATTCTATTGCTGTTGTTGTCGGTTGCAAACATCGAGATAATTCCATAGTTGGACGGTTAAGATCCTAAGTTGTAGGGAAGAAGGACTGAATCCTGTGGGCTTGAACAACAGACTAGAATGGTATTTAAGATATCATATAGTACGAATGTAAAGAATTGCTGAACCATTGAGGTAATCATCCCTGGCATGTAGACTTGTCGCCTACTCAAGGGAATGCGAAGAATCAGGTCGATTTGAGAACACACCAACCGCCCAACCACCAAACATAACAAAAGGGATGTCCAGCCCACCAACTCCACGCAGTAGAAACCCAAGCCTATGTCCAACCCGAAGGCATCCCTCATATCATATGTTTCGGCATGCCACATGTGAATATTGACTGTACAATCGTCCGCGTACGCGGAGAAAAGGCAAAACATCAGAGTTCCAGGTCACATAGCTCCTTCTTCAAGGACGGCATTCGCATCCTTGGAAACAAAAATCTCTTCAAGCCTGCCGACACCAATGCCGCTAGAGGCATCATCGTTTCGTAGGACTAGGCCCTGCTCGTTGGCTAAGTGGAGTAAACAAATAAACCCGAAGGACGTGCTTATGTCGCGTAGTGTGTCTCGGGGGTAAACTGTTTTCAAAGAATTCATGATCTGTGTGAACCGGAGTGTCTCGTTTTCTTGGCTGTCATCTTGGCCGCCACGCTCTGGGTTGCTGTCCAGTGGTGGCAACGTTGGCTGCGCCTCGGCTTCCGTTGCCTGTCGCTCTACTTCTCCTCGGGAAGTAGTTGCGTCCTCGGCCTGAGGCGCAGGATCGAAATGTGTCGATGAGATCAACCGCTCACCCATGCCCTTCCACATTTCCACTTTCAGTCGTCGGACATCCACCTTCTTTGCAACTCGTGCATATGCAACGTAGTCAGGGCGTGCCCTACGGCCGCCTTGTGTTACAAGCTGGGAACCATATCCCCCACCGTTCTGGGTCGAGCCAGGTGCTGCGCCTATCATATTGAGAAGGGCAGTGAGACCTGATGCCCCACCAGCGTCTCGCGCAGATGTGCCTGGAGGACCATCGGTGGGTGGAGATAGCATTTCTCTGGCATCCGCGAAAGGGAGGTTGTCGTCATCATCATCACCCAAGCCGAAGCCGTTGGGGAATGCTAGACCATCATCGTCTGCAAAGAAATTGGCGTCATACGCACCCTGAGCGCCCTCGTCAGACGCTGCAGCATCCTCCGCTTTGTGATTCGCCCAGAATGCTTCATCCATTTCGCCGTTTCCTGGGGTTTGGTCTTGTCGCCGGTGATTGAATTGCCGGGGACCCGTCAGTTTCTTAGATCCCATCCTGGCCTTCGGTTTGAGGAAAAGACGGAGTAACTGGCGGGAATTGAAGTGCTTGTCATCCGGAAGAAGGTTGCGCCCTTTGGTCTTCCATTGTGTCTTCGGCAGAGATATGGTAGAGTTAGAGCTGGCCGGTGTGTATATTAACTCGGCAAAAGTCGGGTCCAAAGGCGTAGTGAAATCGATCTCAAAGGGCTCTTTCTCCTTGCGTTGCTTGGGTGCCAGATTGGCAGTGTTTGTGGCGGTTTGCTCCTTAATGCGCCGGATCTTCCAGTGCTCGGGACCAGCCCAGTTCTTTTGCAGGGCGTTATCAAAATAACTGAGAATATTTTCATGGTCCCGGTTGTCTGGCTGGTGAGTGAGAGATATGGTATACGGATCATCATTTTCGAGCTCTTCGCCATCAGCATTCTCCTCGCCATCCATCTCTACGCGGTGCACCTTGAGCATCGGCTCAAGGGCAGCTTCACGTGCCCACGCTTCACCACCATCACCGAAACCTGCGTCTCCGCCTAAGTCGAACCCGGCTAACGTGGCGTCATCGTCATCGAACCCAACAGCATTTTCATCATCGAGCATGATACCTGATGCATCATTCGGGTGCTGCCCTTCCTCCTGGCCCTTGTCATGGCGCCAGTCTTCGGGAGCCTTGAGGAAGGGTATATCCAGCGAGCCACTTGGGTCTCCGAGATCAAAGGTCTTTAGTGACGGGCAAATATCCTGGTTCTCGAGGCGGTCCAAGTCCGGAAAAAATTTGCTCGCCAATGGAACGATGTCGATCTCCGTGTTCTCATCGGAAGTATTGTCCACTGATTGTCTGAGGTCATACAAAGAGCCTGGCTGCTGCGGATCTTCAGACTCTTGGGCATCCTCTGCCTCCTTGGAGGCCTCGTCAGCGGCATCATCACTGCTATCAAAGACAATGCGTCCTTGACTATCAATTGAAAGGTGGTTTAGGAGCAGGCCTTTAGCACCGCCTTCATCGAAATCTGCAGACGCCTTTTTGAACAGGGGATCAACTGAGAATTCCAGCTCAAACTTCTTCAGCTGGAGCGAAGCGAAGGAGGGTGCAAGTGTAGCTTCATGCGTCCGTTGTGCCTGGGAGAGCCGAGTCAGCGATCCTAAAATGATGTCCATCTCCGAGGCGCTCACGAACCTTTCTCCGCGATTTTCTGGCTGCCCCCTCATCACCGTCCTCGTCGTCCTCAGCCTCTTCCCCTTCCGCACCAGTTTCACGGGCTCTCTTGTCCCGGCTATCTGCCAGGCCACTCAGAAGCTTGCCCGTCTCCGTTGCCACACTGTCGACTCTGCTGGTGTAGATCTTCACACATCCATCCAGCGTGCAACTAGCTTTTTGAAAGTTCACGCCGTCTCCTTCCTTGAGTAGGGACATGTCGTGAAAATAGTCGATTAGGGCGAAGTTCCAAGAGTTGTTGGCATTGATCTTATTGTCGGTAGCCATCTTCATCCATTCCTCAAAATTGGCCAGGATAGGCACGCGCTTCATAGGGGTAACTGCTCTACGTCCATTGACATCACTTTCGCGCCCCCGGTGTCCCGAGCCCCGCGGCGTCGCAGGGCTCCCATTATCGTAGCCTGTATATCGTCGAGGTGGCATAGGGGTCTTGACGGCGGCCTTGATCTGGTCCATCTGGCGGTCATGTCGCGCCTGCCTAGCCTCCATGCGAGCCGCCTTCTCTCCCATGTCATCATTGAGCGGAATCCTAGCGCGATCAGTGTCATAGTTTGATTGGGGTGGGAGGGGGGTATTTTTTCTAATGGGACGTACTTCATGGGCGAGTTCTTATGGGGGGTGGATGCGCCAGTGGAGCGGCGATTCTTGGGATTCGCCACGCGGGGCATTGTGAGTAGATCCCCTGGCTTGATACCGAATCGATGGATATTGTTGATAAGGAGGACCAAAGTCGATGAAGAGAGGCGGGGAGTGTTGCGATCTGAAATAAGGTCGAGGGGAGCGGAAGTCAAAAGAGAAGTGCCCTGGTCATGTCCTCTCGTTCTATCGCGATCGGACGAGGGACAGAGGGGAAAGCAGCCAGCAAGAAAGAGGGGAGGGGGGGGGAGGATAAATCGGGATAGGCTCGCTCGTCTCGGAGGTGAACAAACAATCAACAAAAACATACGCCGCGCCACAGCAACCCTCTACGCACTTTGCGCGCTAACCCAGCCTGGCCTGGCGTCGACGTCATCCGATCGACCACTACGGAGGAATCCGTCCATATTCCATCCATTCACTACTCTAGGTACTCTCGTAGTACTATCTATGTATCTATCTACTAGTATCCAGGTAGTACCCGACTTCCATGGGGTTTGTCCTACCTACTTGATTGATTTCACACAATACACCACAGGATCAGTCAGTTATCTTGCCGATTATCTCTTGATCTATCTATATTTCCAATCCGTACAGATCCTTCCTTTGCATGATTTACAGTACACTGAAGCTGATGTGCTGCGCAACCTCCCACCGCTTCCCTGATCCGGCCGGCCCATCTGCTCTCGTCTCCGCCTTTCTTCGGACTTCTGACATCAATGCAAGCCAACTAACTATCTATCTATCTACAGGCCAGATCTAAACGACCTTCCCCTTCCCCCTTGCCTGCCCTCTTATCTTGGCCCAATTCCTCCCGCATCCTTCCTCTTCGTCTTGCTTCCCTCCTCCTCCTTCTTCTCCTCCTCCTCCTTCCTCCATCCCCCATCCCCAGGCTCTCTCAGTTATAGTGTGACTCTCCACGGACACTATCGCCCAGGATGCCGCAATACCTACCGTCATGTATCCACTACTAATGCCCGATCTTCGTCGCCGACTTGCGGCTCCCCAAAAGCGCTCATATTCCGCCCGACCATTTTGGGCATGCTTGCTGGCTTTCTCATGCCTTGCCGCTCTCAGCTGGGCTTCCGGGCGTCTGAATCATGGTGTCACGGCTCCACTAGCTCCGTCAGCTGAGCAGGTCCTGCTTCACGACGTCCATCGACTTAGGCGGGATAACGCTGTGGAGGTATAGTACTCTACGTGATCTTCCAAATGGGGAATTGCTAAGCTTACTGGTCTTCCTCCTAGTGCCGTTTAGTCCGTCAAGCCAAAGATCAATGTTCCTTCGTCCTCTCGAATTGCGCTGATCACGAGGACGGTCTCTTCTCGTACCTCCAGTTTTACTATTGTACCGCCGCAAATTTCAAACCAGCCGGATTCATTGTCATCATTCTATGGTTGTCGCTACTCTTTAGTACCATTGGCATTGCTGCCAGCGATTTTCTCTGTGTTGATTTGAGCACCTTGGCCAGCGTTCTCGGTTTGAGCGAAAGCTTAACTGGTGTCACCTTTCTTGCTTTCGGAAATGGGAGCCCCGACGTATTTTCTACCTTCGCCGCCATGCGGTCAAACAGTGGGAGCTTGGCAATTGGAGAGCTGCTGGGAGCTGCAAGCTTCATAACATCCGTTGTTGCTGGCTCAATGGCGCTGGTCCGCCCATTCAAGGTCGCCCGGAGAAGTTTCGTTCGTGACGTCGGGTATTTTATCTTGGCCGTGGCCTTCAGTATGTTTCTGTTAGGTGACGGTCGCCTCCATGTCTGGGAGTCGGCCATGATGGTAGCCCTTTATTGTTTCTACGTCGTGTTGGTGGTAACGTGGCATTGGTATTTGACTCGACAGCGTCGCGTATATGAGAGGAACATAGCCGCCCGGTCTCACTTTCACATACCCGACAACCAGGAGCTTGATATCGAAGAAGAGGAAGACGATGACCCGGGGGTCGCATCGGAGGCTACAAGTCTTCTTCGCGGCGAGGACTTTGACGCTCTCGAGAGGTCCGGTGTGCCAACTTGGCAGGAAGGGGAGGAAGATGACGAAACCCGCAATCGGTATCTCGCTGAAATCCGCGACAACATGCACATTTATCGCCCTTCTACTCGCAGGCGCAATACGTTGAATCCCATCAGGCCCAGTCTGGTGGGCGCTCTAGAGTTCCAGTCGGTACTTTCTTCTCTTCAGAGGTCGAAAAATATTCATCATCACGAGCCCATCGACCTCGGGAGTTGTTCAGATGATGAGCGTTCCCATTCTCGTTCGCAACAGTCCGACAATGCTTCTGTCGTGTCCCATCCCTGTGCCGGCCGTGTCTCTGCTGGTGACCGCTTATCTCCTAATCGAGCCATAGGTTCTGTCCGCACTCGAGCAGTGTCTGCCAATGCTGCCGCAGACCTGAAACTAGATACGAGCATGTTTAGTTCCCACTTCCAACAACCCCGTGTCACTGTTAGCCGACCTTCTGCGGACACTCACGCCTCGGTAACGACGGGCGCCTTACCACCCGACCAGGGCTCAGGATCAAACCTATCGCCTCAGTCAAACATGCGTCTCCAGAGCCCTAACCTACTTGCGCCTCCGGATGCTTTCAATTCTCCAACCTATCAAGTGACAAGTTCACGTCCTCGCTCCCCGCTTTCGTTATCCCCACGCGATACGTCCCCCTCCCCTGGTCCTGCCGATGCCTTTCCAGAGAGTTCTATAAGCCCGTTCCCACTCTTCCAAGATGCACCAAGCGGTCCAAGCCCCGCATCCTCGAAGGCGCCGAGCTTACGCCTCCCGGCCGCTTTCGTCCCTACGGAGCTGCTGCAGATACATGATAGCGTCTTTGATAGTGGGAGTAATCTGGCGACAACGCCGACGTGGTGGCCAACTCTATCGCTCACTTCTCAGCCGATTCTACCAACCCTGTTTCCAACATTAGCCGACTGGAAATCTAAAACATTCTGGGAACGACTACTGGGGATTGTTGCAGCACCTAGTGTGCTGCTTCTGACAATCACTCTTCCTGTGGTTGAACCTGTGCAACTCGACAATGGTGCAAATGCTGTTTCGGTCATAGTGACTTCAGCGGACGGTGAAAATGCGCCATCACCTGCTGTAAGACTGCCGGAGGACAGCCCACTTCTGCGTGCCTTTGATCCAGAGTCCATCATCCAAAGCCCAGTGGATCAGAATGGCAAGACGCAACCGGGACCGAGACATTTACGTTTTGATTCTGAGTTGCCGGCCATCCAAACAAATATGGACTCCCCATCGCCATCTTCGAAGGAGTGGTGCGTTTGGTTAGTTTGGACACAAATTTTTATGGGCCCCTTCTTCGTCGCCTTGATGTACTGGACGACGGTGGACTCCGAGTTAGAGGCCCGGAATCTCTTATTGCCCTCGATGGTTTCCCTTCTCTTTTCCTTGATATGCATCACTTGTCTGATGATCAGCACGCGGCACAACCTATCCTCCCAGCCTCCCAGTGCTTGGCGTCCTGTTCTTGCCTTTTTAGGCTTTGTTGTTGCGATCTGCTGGATTGCAACCATTGCCACCGAGGTTGTCAATCTCCTGAAGACCCTGGGTGTCATTTTGAACATCAGCGACTCGCTTCTGGGACTGACAGTGTTTGCGGTGGGAAATTCCTTGGGCGACCTGGTTGCGGACATTACTGTTGCACGCCTAGGTTATCCCGTCATGGCTCTGAGTGCCTGTTTCGGGGGCCCCATGCTAAATATTCTCCTCGGCATTGGTCTGGGCGGACTGTATATGACCCTGAACACAAAACCAGAAGCGATAGTCAGGGCTGGCGGCTCGTACGAGATCGAACTTTCCAAGGTCCTCATTATCAGCGGTGCTACTTTATTGGTCACCCTGGTCGGCTTGCTGATCGTCGTTCCTCTGAACAAATGGAGAATGGATCAGAAGATTGGTTGGGGCCTGGTCATCCTATGGGTCATCAGCACGATCGGCAACATTCTCGCTGAACTTCTATTATGAAACAAGAGTCTATCTCTTGTCATTGCTCTGGAATTCTGGCGTGCTCTCGCTCCAATGTTGCTTACAGATGTTTCCCTACATATTCCTCAGTCTCGGTATACATGTGTGTATATATATGTGTATATATATGTGTATGTATATATTACGAATAAAGCGATCATCTGAGACAAATTCATAGTTATTATCGTACTTCGCGCCGCGTAAACCAATAGTACAGGCCGAAAACACAGGAGTATCCATGCCTACCTGTCAATAAAGGCCATGGAAAGGATACAGAAACAGTTGGAATCCTCCTACGGCGGCTCCTGTCCGCTCTATCGCGTCTTGCACAGCGCCTTAGAACCCACCCAGGCCGCCTACGCGTGGAGCAGAGAAGAAGCATACCCAACGTTGTGCGCACTTCGGCCTCAATCCAGAACACGACCCGCGGTGGAGCTAGTACTCCGGTCATTTGTTTGGACCTTTCTAAGACCCATACCTGCCTGGATTGACGCCAACAAGGCACCTCTACCACCTCCTCCCGTTGGAGCTGCCGGAGGCGCGGGGGCGGGGGACGCCCGGAGGCGGAACTGGGGATGCCATAGAGGGAGCAGGGGGCGGCGGGGGCGGCGCGTTAGCTTCAGCATTGAAGCCGGCGGTTGCCGGCGGTGCCGGGGCTGGTGGTGGCGGCGGTGGAGGGGGGATGGCGGTCGGAACAGAGAGTGCTTCGGCTGTCTCAGCCGCTGGTGATGGGATTACTGGACTTTCCTGGACCGGAGTGGACGACTTTGACGGGGTTTTGTCGTCCATGGCACTCAGAGGCCGTGGAGGAGCCATGGTACCGAATAAGATGCTTGCGAGCTGCTTCGCGCTACCACCACCCGGCCGTTCATCATCATCATCAGACGAATCAAAGTCCGACCCTGCAGCAGACCAGTCATCATCCGCTTCTGGGCGCACTCGGGATTTGCGCTCCAGGGGTCCGGAGACAGTAAAGGAAGGTTTGGTGCTTTCTTGCTGCTGCGCCAGCCGATGGAAAGGATTGGTTGACTGCGACTCGGTTTTCGGAGCAGTGAGCTGAGGTGCAGGGGGAGGAGGCGGAACCTGGTTGTCAGACTGGCTGATTCTCTTGAAGTAAGGATTCTTGGACTCGGCCTCCGAGCTGAGGCTGGCGGGTCCAGCGTGGCTCCTAGGAGAAGAACCAGCAGGGCTGGTCACGACTTCTAGCTCCGGTACTGAAGCTGGAGCTGAGGGCGCAAGAGCCGGAGGCGTCGATGCGGTGGTGTCTGCCGCAGGGAAAACCTGACTCTGATTCGGAGTATTATCCTGAGGTGTGATATTAATAGGGCCTTCGTCATCAGAGGAGCTCTCCTGCTCCAAGCCTTCCAATTCCAACTGAAGCTGACGCTCGCGCTCTTTGGCCATTTCAAGTTCAGCACGCTGAGTTGCTAGTCTTGCTTCCTGCTCTTTCGCCGCTCGGGCTGCCTCGTCCCTGCGACGCCTCTCTTCTTGCTTCTTGATCTTGCCCTGTCTAACCTGTTCCTGAAGCGCGGCAAGGCGCGCTTCCTGGGCCTCCTTCTCCTTCTGATATTCTGTTTCACGTTCTCTGGCCGCGGCCCTGATAAAATGTTAGTGTAAATGACGGGCCTAGGAACGATAAGATAATGTCAACAAAAATTACATACTCTAGACGGGTTGTCTCCTCTTCCTGCACCTGCTGTTCCTCTCTAATAGCTTGCTCCCGGGCAGCCTGCTCTACTTTGGCTGCTTCTTCTGCTGCCTTCTTTGCGTCAGCCTGGCCTGCACTGTCGGTCCGACCCTTCCGCGAAGGCGGTGCCGGAGGAGGCTTTTTGCCAACTGGCTTAGCAGACTGCGCCATGGGCCCGCGTTGTTCCTCGGCCAAACGTCGATGCCTCTCTTGTTCTCGCTTGGCATCTTCTTCTTCCGCTCGTTTCAACCGCTCTTCGCGTTCCTTTCTTTCGCGCTCTTGTCGTTGGAGTAGAGTCTCCGTTGAGTCATTGTGAGGTTTGAGCCCTGCAGCTGCCATTCTTTCAGCAATGCGCCTCTGCGCACGTTCTCTGGCAGCTGCAACACGGTCCTCGTGCGTAGATCCGGGTACTGATCCGGCTGAGCCAGTAGGTGTTGGGGAAGATTGCACTGTGGTCGTATTCGCCAGCGTTGGCTCATCATAACGAGACCGCTGCTCTCTCGTATCTGATGCTCTTAGTTGCCTGCGATCAATGGTTAGCCCATGCTTTAGGGAGTAACTTCACATCCCATCCATAGGAGAAATATGCGCTTACTCTTCCTTGCGGACAGAGGCCGTGCGACTGTTCCTTTTCAAATCGTAAATGAAGTCTCGGATCACCTCTTCAACACCTAAGGCATCCTCCCATCGTCGCTGCTCATGCTCACGTGTTGAACTCTCACCACCATCCTTCAGGCTATCTTCTAGACTCCGCGCGAATTCTTGAACACTGTCCTCCACGTCGCCGGTCATGATCTCGTTCCTCTCTCGTTCCGACTTGACATTAGCACTTTCGGCCTCAAACCGGCGAGCTGCAGCCCCGTCGTCATCCTGGGTAGCAGGAACGGGCCTCCCAGAAAGTTCAGCGGCGCGGGCTTGCATCCTGGCACGAGCACGTGCTTTAATACGATCGGCCTCTGTGACTGTACCCCCAGGTCCCGTACCCACAATGGAAGACGCGCTGTTAGGATGATCCTTTGCATCCTTCAGACGGAACAACTCAAGTTTGACCTCAGCAATCTCGCGCTCAACACGCCTGACTTCCGATGCCACTTGAGGGACTTGGTCCTCGTAAGCCTGCAGTTGACGACGGAGTGACCTCCGTTCGGCCCCGGTATCAAGATTGCGGAAAGAAGCATCGGGGTGGGTATCAATGTCATCCTGTACCCTTCGTATCCGATCCATAAGGCTCTCTGCTTCTCTCCGATCTCTCCGATCCAAAGCATCATCCTCCTCCGCTTGATTCTCATCCTGAAAATCCACCGCATCTAACATAATCTGAGCTTCACGAATCTTTTTTTTTAGTTGCTCGACGGAAAGCTCTTCCTCGGATGCTTGAGAAGCAGCAGGAGACGGTGTTCGGCCATTGTTTCCAACACGACGACGAGCACTGGAGCGATATCCGGCAGCCGCCTCGTCGTTGTTCTTGAACAGCGTAGCATCTTTGCGACCAACCCCTGGAGACACTGCACCACCACGGAAAGAATGCTCTTTGAGGTAGCTCACCCCGGTCTTCTGCGGTTGTAGAAAGGCGCCGGAAGCTTTTCTGGTCTCTGCATCTTGAGAGAGCATAGACTTGATCGTGCCTATCGAATCGTTTAAATTCCTTGTAGATGGAGGGACAAGCTCTGGAGGTAAGCGATTGGGAACTGGGTATCCGTTTAATTTCCTGTAGATGAGATGCATCGCCACGGCGAATTCATCCATGTTCAGGCGACCTTTGTTGTTGGGGTCGGCTAGCGTCCAAATGCGTTCCAAATCCGACCGATCCAGGCCACTCTGCCCCATAATCTCTATGGCAGTATCACCTCCGATAAAGCCCTTGTGGAAACCATCCCAAGCGCGGAACAGATCATCATAGATCTTTTTCTCTTCCTTGGTGATAGCCCAGGGAATATGAGCATTTCCAGATAGGCCAACCGTAGAAAACCCACCTTCGCGGCCCGGCTGCGGCATCAGTTGCTGTTTGAGAGCTTCAATGTTAGGCAAACCGGACGATGGAGCATTCACAAATCCCCATTGGCCCGGAGCCCCAGTAGGCTGCGCAGTCAGGGCAGACATACCCCCAGTCGGTGCAGGATTCACGGGTGACCCAAATCCAGTAGGCATTGGGGGCATTGGGGGACGAGGCCCGCTGTACCCTGTTGGCTGGGGGTTAGTCATGAACCCAGTTGGTTGAGGCTGTAGAAGTTGTTGATGAGACTGTCCGGGGAACCCAGTAGCTTGCGGGGCAAGGGCGGGGTTCAGACCCGAGAAAGAGGGCTGGTTCTGCTGGAAGCCGGTTGCCTGGGTATATCCTGTAGGCTGTGCTGTGAGCTGCGTGAGAAGCTGCGCATTGCTCGGCTGCTGTGGCTGTGGCTGCTGGGGGGGCGGGGGGGCAGATTTATTTTCCAGCAGCGGAGCATCGAAGCTCGGAACATTGGTTCTCATGACTGGTTCCGGCTGAGTGTCAGGAACCTGGAAGGAAATGATGTCCACCATGCTGGAAACTTCGTTCTTGATCTTCTCGGGGAGCGAGTTCGGCAGGTCTCTACCCGTAATTCTGAGGTTGCACAAGTACATAGCCAAAGCGAATTCGGGAAAGAAAAGCTGCCCGGATTTGGTAGAATCCGAGAGGATCCTATGATGATTATATTAATTGCCCATCTCCAACGAAAGAACGCAAACCAAATACACACCATATCTTGGACAAATCACCCCCGGAGAGCTTAGACCGCAACAGAAGCTCTTTTGCTTTATCTCCTGTTGAAAGCATGTCAGACAAATCCTTCACGCCACCACTTCTTTTAAGATGGTCATGACTAACCACTCATTGTCTGGTTCTCCCCAACCGCAGACTTGAAGAGCTGTTCGAATTTGGCCTGGTCTTGCGCAGTGATGAACGATAGTCGAATATTAGGTATCTTATTGCCGACCGACTTAGGCGGTGGTGGTGGAGCTATGCCGACACCACCCTGGAACGAGTCCGCTATTTCCGACGAAGTCCGTGGCGCCGAACGAACAGGAAGGCCAGTGCTCGAGGGGACATGCAACTGCGGAGGCTGCGTCTGAGCGGGGTATCCGGTGAACTGCGGCTGCTGAGCCGGGGGCTGAAAGCCAGTTTGCTGCGACTGTGGCACTGCAGCAGGGAAGCCGGTGAACTGGGGTTGGAGTTGACCAGCCGGGAACCCCGTGGATTGAGGCTGCAACTGAGAGGCCCCGAAACTAGACAGTTGAGGGCCATACCCGGTCGGCTGAGAAGCAAACCCAGTCGGCTGCGGCGGTTGCTGCTGCTGACCGGGAGCAAATTGCGAGTATGGGGACTGCTGGATGAAAGGCTGTCCTGGACGAGCGCCGCTGGCGCCGCCCAGGAAGGAATTCGATGAAGAGTACATTACCGAACTAACGCTGGCATCAAAGACAGGGAAGACATTAAAGACGGACTAACAGAGCGAGAAGCGAGGATAGCGAGCAAGCAGGAAACCAAACGAATTTGCGCGCAATGACTGAAGGGAGCAGCGCGAAGGTAGACAGGCAACGACGGAGGGGATCAGGAGCCATCAGGAGCAGCCGCTGGTGACGCTGATGACAGGTTACATAATCAGGGACACCGAGGGGGGTCACATATGTATGCACTAGTCCCAATCGGGAGGCCTTACCCGGAGGGTCACCTTCACCATAGTATCTACTATGTAGTAAGTCCTCCCTACTAGGTAGGTATCTACAGGAGCTATGGAACATAGCAGCAGGACCTAGCATCTAGTACCGAGGACCGGAGTGAAAGGGGGGAGGATGAATGGCAGAATCAAATAACATCATTCCCGACGGCAAGTTGGAGCGTAGAGCTTGGTCCCACTAATCACAGGAGGCAATGAGAACAGGAATAGAATGAAGGGTATGACCATGAAATAAAGACACGCATGACCAGCTGCGTAGATCCGAAGCAAAAGCATGTCTGTGACCGCCGACCTAGCTCTCCTTTCCTTAGCACCCTCGTCGAACAGCTAGACACCGTCCTGGACACCATTCTGCTGCTGGGCAGTAGCTCCCACCATCTTGCGGAGTTCATACTCTTTGGTAAATTCACGCGAGAGGATACCCAGATCCCGGACAAGCTCATGGCAGGCCGCAATTACGGCTTCCTTGGGGGTGATGTCGCCATCTGTCTGAACTCGAAGCAAAAACTTGGGAACAAGTGGGTGTGGGACCTAGGACAGTGAGGTCAGACTCATACATCAACTAGCCCAGCCGGTTTGGGGAATGCAAATTCAGGAGCACCGGGAGTGCCGTGAGACATGGGTAAGGGTAGATTTCCCTGGGGAACATACCTTGTACGCAGCAAAGAGAACATGAGAGCTCTGCAACAGGCGAGCGCGAATCAGGTTTCCGAGGGTGTGGTCTTCTTTGTTGAAGGTGAAGATCGCAGACGATGGGATGCCTGGTGAAAGCAATCAACATTAGCAGTGGACACCAGTCGATCAGGCGTGGCTTTAGACTACATACGAGTGTCAATCTCCATCTCAACCTTGTTCTCGCCATTCGCTAGAACGAATGACTCGTACCTGGGTTTCATATCGAATCAGTGGTTTGGCTTCAGAAGGGAGATCTTCGACTGAATGTAAGAAACACGAGATTATCAGAAAGAAGAAACGATCTGGAGCAGACCTCGGCTGCTGGTCATGAGAGACATTGACAGTAGACTGACAGCCGCCGCGAGATCCACCACTGCCATTCTTCCAACGGGCATACACCATTTCTGCGGGCATGATGTACTCCTTGTTGGAACTCATGGTGTCCGAAAACTATTCACAATGTAACAAGATGGGACTGGGAGTGAAGAAACACTGAACAGAAAATCAAAAATTTCAGTGAAAAGACGGGACAGCCTGGACCGCCATTGGAGGAGTTGAGGGGGGAGCAATAGCATAGTCCCAGATTCTGGGGCAGTGAATGGCGGGGGAAGGTAAGAGCCCCATCTTCATGTCACTCCTGGAAATACAAACGGCCCCAGAGTCTACAATACACAAGATAAGGTAGATATGAAACAGGGTATAAATAAGCCGCTAGAAGAAGGTTATACCTACCGGTCCGGTGCGTTCATCTTGTACTGGCTGTGACGATATCCAAGGAAATACTTATCCAAAGGAAGTGAAATAATCAAAGGGGCTATTGAGTCTGGTAGTTGCCACACCCCAGAAGCAAGTGAGAAGAAGGAGTGAGGAAGCAGATAAGAGAAAATCAGTGTTCGACTAGAATGAGAACTTATTCCTTTGCGGCTTCTGGTCTTTCTCTTTCGCCTTCTCCCTATCTTCTTGCTCAATCAAGTCTATGGCATTATCAGTGTGCGTCAAATGGTCCTGAGCGATGAAAGGGAAAAATTACCTGATAGAACAACCAAAAGATGTGCCAGTAGAATAGACTGCTGTATGGTAGACAAATATGATGCTGCAGTTCTGTATGGAAAGAATGGTTGGTGATAATGAGCTCCAGTAAGGTTAGCAATCCCGTGATAGCGGGCACGTGATAGACCGCCAAGCTCTGTCAGCCTCACCCATTCCAGCAATCATTCGACATGTTAACCGGTATTCCCCATTGGCAGTCTACACCGCCAGAAACATTGATAAAAAGAAAATAAAAGAAAAAGTGGGGGAATACTATAAGCGTGGCGTGGCTCTATGGTGTTTTTATTGACTCGTGATTCCTACTGCCGGAGTATTTGTTTTAAACCCTCCATCACGGACCATTGCGTTTTGGATACTAGCAAGTTCCCCCGAAGATAAGTTACATGTAGTATAGATCATAGACCGCTGGCCTAAGCCTCCGAGGTTCTCATTTGATAAAGGTGTTCCTGCCCCATCATAGTGTCTGCCAGAGCTCGATGCTTCAAAATTGCAGGGAATCTCTGCCACTGTATACCCGTTATTATCGCGGACAGATACTGGTTTTGAAACCATCCCGAGTAATGTCTTATATCAAGAAAGATGCGGTGGACGACTGCGTGCCAGTTGTCGGCGTGCCAGTTGTTGAGTGGTTGAGTGGATTAAGTGGACCTGGTGCTATCCTTTGCGCTGCACCTGCTCGGGGCTGGTGATGGAAGCACGGCTGAGGTGAGACAAGTCAGTCTTACCAAGAAAACAGCTGGCATTAAACAGGCACCACGGTAAACATCCGCATCATGTAGTCTAAGCTATGTTGACTCCCATAACTTTGCCATATATTATATGTCATGGCTATCAGTCCCCACTGAGTATACAAGAGAGGAAAGGTACATGCACAACTTGCTCAAGAGCAACCCAATTACACCCCCCACTGGACTGAAAAAACATCACTCCGCTAAAACGCCAATCATAGACCCGTACCCTGATTGAATGATGATTAAAGAATAAGGAAGCCGGAGGGAAAGACCCTCATATAAACGTCAAGAAATATCAGGTCATGTCCAAGAAGTTATGAGGACGCGCACGAAAGGAAAATGTCAACAATAAGGGGAAATGTTGGGGGGAAAGACTGCTCACACATGCACACATGAGATATAGCTCCTTAAAAGTCCATCGGAGAAGTACTGGGTTTCGATATGGAAAAAGCACAGCCGAGCAAAACAGCACGAACAAAAGTAGCGTGGGACACGATATCCCCCGCTGAGAGGGATTTTATATCATTGACCACCTTTGTCAATGCACAGCATTTAGCAGGTCTCCGAAGCTCGATGTTTCTTTCTTCATTCTCCAGTTGTTGCGTTTGTTTTCTCGTTTCTTCATCATTTCGGCCCAGCCTTCATCATCATCCTCGTCATCCAGTTCGGTACCAATGTTCGGCTTGCTAAGGTTTATTGTTTTGCTATCACTTGTTGTTGGGCGAACGGTCATTCGAGACATGTGTGACCCAGCGGGAGCAGTGGCCGAGAAGGAAGATTTCCGGTTTTCATCATTCCAAGGCTTCGACATGGAAGGGGAACTGGCGATCCCTAAGTCAGGTTGTAGCGTAGAAACGGGCCTATAACGAGGCGCCAGGCCAACGTTGCTGCGTTCTGATGGAGCAATGGATGGGGCATAGCCTTGCCCTGCCGGCGTGCCTGGCCTGAGGCCCCCAGAGACATATGGAATAGGTGCGCTATTGAGGCGGGAAGAGACGTTGGGATCAAGCATGCTCAGCGTCCTCTGATCACCCTGGTACCCAGTAGTTGCGTTATTCATATTGCCAGCAGACGGCATTGAAGATGGCCGCACGTTCATGCTGGCACCCAGTGTGGGCGGGGGGCCTCCAGGCGGCATCAGTTGGGTATTCTGTCCGCCCTGCATGTGGATCATCTGCTGCATCCATTGCATCTGCATCTGTACCATTTGCGTCATTTGTTGGGACAGCTCGATTTGTGCCTGTTCGGTTGCCGAGACCGCAGGCGAGTTACCGGTCATATTGGCCGAGCTCAAATTCATCATCGTGTAGGGTCTTGGAACGCCGCCAGGATGAACAGGTGGTACCGACATTCCAGCCTGGTAATCGTACATAGCTTGCGTATTGGGGCTTCCTCTCCTCATTGCCCTTGCCCGCTCTTCTGTAGCGATAACGCCTACTAAACCTCCAGGGGGCAGCGCGGGTGACGGCGCACCATGGACCGACCCCCCCCTCCCAAGCCCCCTCCCAAAGCCAGAGACTCTCTGTTAGACGGGTTGACCAAGCTGGCCCCGAAGTAAGGGTCACGCGGTAAGTTCCGCGCAAAGACAGGTAGACTCCCCCGATTGTTGGGATCACGATCTGCAACGGATCCAGGAGACGACAGGTACGGCTGCTGGAAAGAAGCCCGAAGATTTGGGATAGAGCTGGAGGGCGTCAGGCGGCTTGGGGGCCGGTTCCTGTTGGGGAAACCGTGAGCCGCTAAGATCCCCAAAGGTATCTCCTCGTCCTCGTCGCCGTCACTGCTTCTTCCACTCCCTGAGATATTACCGGGCTGTAATAGATTTGGTGCGCTCTTACTGGCTCGATCCAGTTCCGGTCTCAGAGCCGGCGCGGGAGACTCCTGGCCTGTCACCTTCATCATTTGCTGGCGATAAACCGATAGGTGGGCCTCTTGCTTGCGCCGCAGTCTCTCCGCTTCGCGATCTTTTTCTACTTCATCATCCTCATCGTAGTCGCTTCCGGCTGAATTTTCACTCTTTGAGGCGTCGCTGTTCGATCGTCTGAGCTCTTGCTGCTGACGATAATGTTCGAATTGGGAGGGAGTCATAATCTTATTCGAGGAGGTTGATACCGGCTGAGCCTTCTCATACTGTGCTGCCAAACGAGCATGGATGGCAATTGAAGGATCAAGATGATGCTCTGACAGCCCCGGGGAGCTTAACGAATCTTTCGGCATAGATTCCCGCCGATCAGGACCAATCGTGCTGGCAACCCCATGGCTAAAAAGAGAGGCATCATTTTCAGCGTCTGACTCGTGATCAGACATGAATGGTACCTGTGAGCCTCTCTTGCTTGTATAGAGAGACTCCATTATTAATTTCGCATCTTCATCTTCAACAGGAACAGAGTCCCGCGGATTAGAATATATTCCACTTCTCCTCAGACCCTTATCCACTGTCGTCCTAGGCTTTTCTAAAGAACGATGAGAAGTGGTGGCCAGAGGTGCGACACTGGACAGAGTTGTAGACTTGCGCCGGTCCCCAGCGGAGACTACATCGAAATCGCGTTGTTGTAACCCAGTTGCCAGTTGTTCGCTGGGTGAATCAAGCGTGGTCAACAGTCCATCCTCGGAATGCCGACTATCCCAGGAATATGGTGATGGCTCAACTTCCTTTGATCGGTCAGTATCAATAGGTGCTGGACGAGAGACCCTTTCATCCTTCTGGAGCAAGGCATCTGGTCTGTTGGGCGCTCCGGAAGAATCCTACAATAAGATCTCAGTATTGATGTGCATCACTTCGCGTAGTGGCTAGGGCGACAAGGCGAGGGCCTGAATCCGAGGAAGCTCAGGAACATGAGATATCTCTTACCGAATCTACTGCCCGATCTCGAGAAGTGTCCTTCGGCACATTATAGCGTTTTCCAATGTCACCGAACATGTTTTGGAAGTCGTCTTCGATTTTACCAACCTGTAGTTCTGTATCAGGGAGTCTGGGTGGAGTTGTAGTGCTCGACGTGCTGGTTGTCATCCCTCTGCTTCTTGAGGGGCCAGGTGTCGACGGCTGAGGTGGGGGGGTCGGCGCAGAAGCCTTTGAGAACCTCCCACCAAATGAAAAGGTGCGACCAGCTGCACGAATCGCACCCGACAGAGGAGGGATTGGTATATCGTAGAGGTTCCGTGTGTGAGGAGATTGGGGCTCGGGTTGAAGCCCGTCCGTTGAACGTGTTGACGGGCGAGCTCGCGCAGATGATGTACCTTCGAATGTACTTTCAATTATGGTCAGCCACTTTGCATTGTGAGAAACACTGGGGAGGAGGATATTCATACAGATTCCTCGCAGGCTGAGAATTATGCGAAGCAAAGATGTTATTGTCATCCTCTGGGGGTGAGTACAAAGGCTGCCCTTCGCTTAACCTCTTTGACACTAGATTGCCATCACTGAATGACTTTTTGTCGCCAGACGGTCGCTCAAAAACTCGGAATGATGACTGAGGAGGGTTCTGCACTTCCTCTAGAGCGTTGCTAGACGACTTTCGCCGGGCGAAGCCCTTGGGAAGCTTGATTGGCATTGAGCTGAAACCGAGGCGACCACTAGTGACGCCGGAACCACTTCCAGAGATATTGAGCGAGCTGCCACCGGCTTCCAACGTCCGCAAAAATCCCAGCCCCTTCTCGGCTGCACTGCTCAATTCCCATAAACCGGGATTCCGCGACGGGTGGAGGAAGGAGGGGTATGCTTGGGAAGATTCTGGGCCTGTCCAATCCGCACGAGTTTCGGTCCTAGCGGGGCTTTGCGTCAAGAGGGCGTCGGGAAATGAAGCAAATGACGTGAATGGGCGAAAATAGCGTCAAGGAAGCTCTGTGGTGGATAAGGATGCTTCGAGCTCACTCAGGGGTCTCAGGAGAGAATTGTGAGAATAGGCGAGGTGGCCAGAGGGAAGGTTTCTGATACACCGTATAATTGATCAAGAGCAGCCAGGACCCTCCCATTCACATACGGCCAGCGGGGCTGAGGGACTAACGATTATGATAAATTAAAAAAAAAAAAAAAAAAAGGCTGTACTCCGATGTGGATTTATGTGGTCGTCGGCGATGATGGGACCTCCGATCGGTTTTAAAAGGGTAAATAAAACAAACCCACCGGGAAAACCAGAACAGGGCGAGGGGGAGGGGGGACCGAATAGGATAGTTAGAATGTTTGGATGACAAAGGCGACACCTCTTGAGGAACGCCAAACAAAACAGCAACAAGAGACTAGTACTAGAGAGATAACAACGACCGAGCGAGAAGAGGAAGAGAGGAACAAAAGAAACGAGTGGGAAACCAATAGTAGTGGACAGGATCAGAACACCAGGACGAGGAAGGAAAAGGGGGGGAGGGAAAGGAAAAGGGCGCAGATCCATGAGGTAGAAACGATGGGGGGAAAACTACACCAGACTAGTCGTACATAAGCATGATGAGAATTTGGAACTGGACACTACTCCGTAATGATGATAATAATATCATAAGATTTGAGACAGTACTGTGGAATAATAATAATAGGAATAGCAATGATAATAATAATAATAATAATATGATAATAGTACTAATAATAAAATAATGATAAAAAATGAAAATAGAAATAAAAATAGAAATAAAAATAAAAGCAACAGAGTGGAAGGGAAAGGAAAGGTCTCCCAGTCCTCCAGGCTCCAGCAGACCCTGATGTGGAGGGTGGAGCCTGGCGCGCTAGTCCGGCGGCGAGCAACCTCCAAATATAGTAATAAACCTCGGTCGGCGCCTCGGGTTGGTTGGACTGGGCTACCTCAGATTGAAACCTAGGTACCGGGTCAGAAACGACTACTGTGTACCTACGTACTACTACTAATAATAATTATGGAACGTCCTGTGCTGGCCGGGTAGTAGTAAGTATGGAGTACGGAGCAGATAGTATCTAGTGGCAACCTGCTGTGCATATATAAGTATTTACTATGTCCTTCGGCCGGGAGTCATTCCCAAGGAGAGGGGAAATGGTACTCCGTGCTACAACTCAATTAATAAAGGGTCGGAATCAGGGCTACACTGGCTGAGGTACTCCATACTACCTACTTACTGTATACATAGATAGTACCTACCGGTAGAAACTTACTACTAATCCATCTTGTTTTTACGAGATACACGGTCCATTCCTCCATTCCATTTCCACCATTCCACACCACCATCAACAATCATGTAAGGGGCGTAACTAGTACGGAGTAGGTACGTAGGTACAGTAGGTAATCACACCCAACCACCAGCCCATCACCTGGAGGCCACCTAGATAAAGCATTCCTCTTGCTTGCTCTTACCGCTCATGCAGGTAGTGTTAGGGTTCACTGTGATTATTTGTCAGATCTGTCAGATTGAACGCTTCTGTGTGCGTGTTTGGAATCCTGGACCACTCAACTCCGCACCAGGCCACCTCGGAGGTTTATACTATAGTAAAGTAGTTAACTAACTAGTCTTTCGTAGTCAGCATTACTACTAACGTAATCGGTAAGCGAGAGGAACGCGCAAGCGGGAGGAACGCCCACCTCGTGATCTCCGCATTCCACCAAAACGCGAGGTCTTTGATCAACGATTCCAACCACCAAAATGTCTATATCGTTGAAAAAACGTGAGGAACAAGAAGGCAGGATTCTCTTGGCAATTGAGGCTTTAAAAAATGATCAAATTCCGTCATTACGAGAAGCAGCACGTGTTTTTGAAGTTCCGCAAACCACCCTTTGGAAACGCGTCAAAGGAGTCAAATCACGAAGCGATATACGTGCCAATTCGTGTAAATTGACTCTTCCAGAGGAGGAGGCATTGGAACAGTGGATTCTCTCCTTAGATACGCGAGGGCTTCCCCCCAGGCCTTCCCATGTTCGTGAAATGGCGTCTATATTAATCCGGAAACGAGGAGCCTCGCTGGAGGCATCGGATGAGGCTTTAGTAGGGCAGAAATGGGTATACAACTTTATTAAACGCCATGACTCTTTAAAGACACGTTTCTCTCGCCGATATGATTATAAAAGGGCCCTCTGCGAAGATCCGAGGCTTATGAAAGAGTGGTTCGACCGCGTTAAAAATGCTATATCAGAGAACGGAATTGCAGATGAAGATATCTACAACTTCGATGAAACTGGATTCGCCATGGGCTTGGTGGCTACTGCCAAGGTGGTAACGAGGTCTGACTGCGTGGGCAAGCCGTTTCTTATACAGCCTGGAAATCGCGAGTGGGTGACATCAATCGAGTGTATTAACGCCTCGGGCTGGGCCCTGCCTCCGTATATCATCGTCAAAGGAAAGATGTATATGGAGGCCTGGTATGAAGGTAATGTGCCTCATTCTTGGAGGATCAACATCTCGCCAAACGGTTGGACGAGTAACGAGATCGGATTGCATTGGCTTGAACACCACTTTATTCCTTCAATTAAGGAACGGCGAGTCGGGAAATATAGCCTTCTGATTCTCGACGGACATGACTCTCATTTAACGCCTCGTTTTGATGAAATCTGCAGCCAGAATGGTGTTGTTTCTACCTGCATGCCTCCAACATTCCTCACATCTTTGTCAGCCTTTGGATGTTGCCTGCTTCGCGCCGTTAAAGAAGGCATACGGCGGTTTGATTGAACAGCTAATTTGCCAAGGAATCCACCATATTGATAAGGTTGATTTCTTGGATACATTTCCCAAAGCCCGAGAACTTGCCTTCAAGAAATCGTCTATACAGAACGCCTTTTCAGCTTCCGGCTTGGTGCCTTTCCAGCCGGACGAGGTGCTTGGAAAGCTGATCTATAGCCTGCGAGAGATTACTCCTACTGGAAGTCAAACTACCACTTCTTCTATACTAAAAACGCCTAAGAACACGAGGCAATTGAAGAAGCATGAAACTACAATTGAGAGATTACTGCGTGAACGTACACGAAGTCCTCCGGAGTCAATGAGAACTGCATTATCATATATTGTTAAAGGCTGCGAAATCGCGTTAAACAGGGCAGCCTTGCTTGAACAGGAAAATCGCGATTTACGGGCTGCAGACGAACACCAGACTAAGAAGAGGAAACGAAGTAATCGCTAATTGGCAGGCCTCGAAGGAGCTACAGTTCATGAAGCTATACAGCTTTTTCGCCGGGCTCGTGAGGAAGATGAAGCCCTAGGAATCCAACGGTTTGATTCTGCGGCCGGTGAGGAACAGCCTCGCCGCCGCGCGCCACCTCGCTGTTCCTCGTGTAATCAAGTTGGCCATATACGGACATGGTGTCCAGCGAGAGTAAAACACCAAGAAGAGGCGATTTGAACGGTGTAAAAAGGTTGATATTTGACTTCAAATTTGTATATAAAGCAGAATTACGAGGTGGGCGTTCCTCTCGCTTACCGATTACGTTACTACTGCTACTACTACTACTACTACTGCTGCTGCTGCTGCTGCAATATGTAATAAATAGTATGTGACGAAGCACGATATCTATTCTGTGATGTAATAGTAATGTGGATACAATCCATAATCCATACAGATCATCCATCTATTCTAGTTTGCATGTGCTCCTTTACTTGTGATCGCTGAATCTAAAGCACTTGCATGGTTGCATTATCTCGGTCACGGCCACTCGATTCATACAACTCAAAATGCATTTACTCCGCATTATTTTCATAACTTCCGCTGTGCATTGCAATAACACACAAGAATAAATGACTGTTCATCCTGCTCATCGTTGGCTAATCATCTTTGTGGTCTGGTGCAGTGATTCACAAATGGAAGAGAATAGAAGCTGGTGGTGGCCCAAAGTAACCCAAATTCCTCTTTACAATGCCCATCAAGGCCTCTCACAATGTATGTATACGACTAGACCGATTTGTTGAAAAGGCACATGTCATGTTCATTGTACTGTAGGGCAGTCGGCTGTCTGATAGTGTTGGTGGTAGATGGCAGAGAAGCAGATGCTTCCCAGAGATCTCTACTACGCTCCGCTCCTTTTACAGCTAGAGGATTGCGCATACCAAGGATGTTCATCAATCAGCAATGCAAAATTCATCGCATATGGTTAGCGTCCACCTGTATTTACACCGGACAACTGTCCAAGATGGTATTTGTATTTCCCTCTCGACGCCATCGCGTGTTGATACCTTTTGTGAGGTATAAAATAGGCTGACCAACATGAACGATGCCATCTGATGATTCAGTTCATGCTGTTCTCTACAGGTGAAAAACACACGTAATCTCCCCCGATTGTCATCATGTGCCAGAAGATCCTTTTCTGTTTCCCTTCTTCGTTTTCTTTGACCAGGAGCTTCAGTGTGAGTCAGTCCAGGAATTCTTCGTTACAATGATTAGCCAAAGAAAACGCTAAAGGTGCATACTTCGTCCTGATAGATCAAAATATAGCAAAGAGAAGTGGAGGGAACGCATTGCATTTATGTCAGTATTAAAAATGATATCATCGGTCATGTGATGCACGGGGGTACAAATCATGGGAAAAAATCTTTGGCGCCTAGTAATCGCCCTGGAGGACAATGGGGTCTTGCGCTTTCAAGCCCCCAATCAAAGCAACCCCAGCCGGAACTTGAGCATCTCGCAAGTTGAAACAGGCAAAAGCGACCAATTTTTGCAGTTTAGGACAGCATTGAAAGATTCGACCCACGACATAGTTGTCGACGACTGTATGGAATGAGACATCTAATTCCTTGAGATTAGGATACGTTGTTCCAGCCGAAAATATCTCTTCGAAAGCCGAGTGTGACACGTGGCGGCAGGATGCTATATTCAGCTTCTGTAACTTGGACCCTGAGTGGTTCATAAGAGCCAGAAGGCCTTGAGATGCGAGGCCGGTTGCATCTTTAGGACCATCCGGATTCGTGTTATCAATATCCCGCGTAGAAGAGAGATCCACAATTTCTAGTGGGGGGTTGGCCCAGCCTGTGAATAGATTGACGAAGCCCCTGTCAGTACACACTGCATTGTCGGAAAAGCGAAGTTTCGTCAGAGCGCGGCAATTGTCATGTATAATTCCTAAAAGACGATCATCCACATTAGTGAAGCCCTCCAGCGACAATGTCTGCAAGCGTGGGCTAATCTTAGAGACTGTGCCAAGAAGAATCTCGTTTTCTACCTCTTGAACGTAGTCCAGAGATAGGTGCTCTAAGGATATTAGACCAGAAATTGCTTGAAGCGAGCGATTACCAGCCTTCCAGCACTGCTTTAATTTCAGTCGTTGAAGTGTTGTACAATACCTGCACATCACTTCTATAGTTTCATCATCCAGAGAGAAATCAAGGTTGGATAGTTTGAGGATTTCCAACTGGGGACCCAGTTTTTGGAATAGTTGTTGCCAATATGCATCAGACACCAGGTTCGCAGCATCCAGCTGCAAGCGCTTGACTTTCAAACTGTGATCCAACATATATTCGATAACTTTGTTTTTCAATTGACCAGCAAAACGGATATTGACGTGCGACAAATTGGGCATAAGGGTGAAGATCTTTTCGAAGTCATGTGTCTCGAGCCCTATTACAGGTAAGTAAACTGACAGATTATTCATCATCCCGGGGCAAAGAAGAACAGGAAAGAGCTTATCTCTATGTAATGATAGATTGTAGGAAAACAAGGCCAAAGCTGGTAGGGTCCCGGGGGAGAAGCGGAGGAGGAAGGATGAAATGGGGTTGAAAACATACTGGCAGCATCGTAAATATCGATGGATTCAAGGTCTGGTCGTAGAAACAGATTAAGAGTTCTCGGAGTCAAAACCCGCCGCTTACACAATATTTGACTGAGGCGATGCAGTAACTGCGAGGGCAGGTCCCCAAATTCCTCGATATCATTAATGTTGTCAGCCACTTTCTGATGTAGCCCATAATTAGCGAATCGTTGATATCTCTCAATCATTCCGACGTACCTTCGTACACATATCGGCTAAGCTTAGAGCACCTTGTTGGGCCAGCCCATCGAGCAGATTACTTTGGTTTTGGCGCCGGCCACTCCTCGCTCCCCGCCGATTAGCTTTGGGTTTCTTCTCATCATCTGCTAATGCCTTCGAGCATTTCGCGCAGAGAAGGCCTCTTTGAGGACCAGCTTTGCTGTAGGGGGTTACCGTGAAGCGTTTACCACATATCTCACAGTTCTCAAGCTGGCCTGGTAATGGCTGGGACCTCTCGTGCATCATCTCTCGGGCAATTTCGTCGTCAGAATCGCCGGGTCCGCCCATGCGTCGAGCTTTACGACGAGCGAACTCTTTACTTTGTTTGATCTTCGCGAGAGCGACCGCCTCCTTCCGTTTCCGCTTTTTTCTGTCTTCTGCAGACTCGCCGACAGGTTCATATTCATCATCGTTATCGGGAGCATTTTCTCGTCTTTCCACAGCTGACTGGCGCTCAGATTCCCTTAGACGTCTTTGATGGTTCTGATGGATCTGGGCAGCGGAGATATTGTTGGACTAGAGTATATATTTGTCAGCGGGCTGCATAATAGAAAACTCGAACGACAAAAGGAAGAGAGGGTGCTAAAACAAAGGGAAAGCTACTTACAGCCAAGAAATCAGTGAGAGCGGAGTGCCTGATATGGAATGTCAGTAGAGCTCGTGCGTGATATAATGATCTTAAAGAGCGTACGGGCCCCTGATCTGATTCCTCGTTTGTCTTCTCTCCGCCCTATATTGCTGTTGTCAGTGACATATTTTTCATAGCTTGACAGCTGGACACGTACATTTGATGAAGCTTTTATACAATTGAAGCGTAGGTGAGGTGGAGCTGATAGAGTAGTTATTCTGATGAAGGAGGCGTAAGGTGGCGGTACTTGCAGGTCACAGGAACCCGTGGTGATTTCGCGTTCCACTTAACGCGAGAGTCCGGCCAAGCGGGAGAACGGAGAACGGAGAGCGCCACTCTAGTCCAGAAGACAGGCTTGCAGTCGGAAAGTAGGCAACAACGCCTCGATTTGGTGGCTAATGCCACTTCACTGGATGGGTGGATCAACGCAGTGAAGACTTTTTAAAGAGAAGGGAAAATTTTTTCTCTGTCGCCCAAAGTTCTCTCAGCCTGGGCTTTATTTCGGAATCCGCAGCCAAGCCAGGTACACCCTCCCTGAGCTATCTACCTACCTCCGGGTGGCGTTGCATCAACCACCTACCAGGCTTCTGAGATAAGTCGGTTGAAACCGTCCGATACAACTTCAGCTTTTTGTCTTCTGCACCCATAAACAACTGGCTATTTTTGCCTCTTCTCGCCAGAATGGGAAGAAAACCATCGACTGCAAGCCCGGGAAATCCCCCGTTCGCTGGTGAGCCTCTTTGTCGTATCTTCCTCTGTCCGTCTCGACTTCGAAGAGACAAAGGCGGCGGGAAGAGACGGGCACACACATAAATACACTCAAAATCAATGAGAACATTCATGAAACGCGACTGACACTTCAAGGATCGCTAGATACCACCTCTTCCTTGCCTAGACGAACTTCTGCGAGATTGGCTAGAACGTCCTCACTATCTGCCGCCAGGAAATCAAACACTCCAGAAAATTTGAATGATACTAGTGATTCGAAGCTCACGGGGACGACTAAGTATTCGCGGGGAAATAACTCGATCACCATCGAAGTTGCAATCCCTGTGAAGAAACATCCGCCCTCGTCCCCTTCTGCTTCTTCTATTCCAGGAGAAGATAATTATGAGGAAGATGGGACACGTTTATACAGTACTCCAGCGACCAGCATCGCTGTCACTCCTGTGGAATCAGACGTTAGTCGACCGGGGAAGAGAGTTAGTGCCTCCACGCGTGCTCGGGAACTGCGATCTAGTGCTATGTCTTTGCATGCGCCACGGAGGCTCAAAAGGTCCTCTGAAGCACTATCCACAGTCTTTATTTCATATGAGGACTCTGATACAGCTTTAGCCGGAGTTCTTCAGGCTCAGGAATATCAGGAACCGCCTTTTAAGCTCCCGAAGACATCGAGTCGAGTCGCTCAAGAGACCTATGAACCTACTGAAAATATTGATGACGTTACTGGTCATGGTTCTGATGACAAAGAGGATCGACCTGATGAATGGACCCCTTCGCGCGGAATCAGAAGGTCTATTCGGGCAGCAAAAAAGAGTAGCCTCCGTCGGCTATCTGTTAGCGATGTACATGATAGCGACCAAGAGGATGACTACCAGAGCGGCATTGATTCAGCCTCTTCTGCATCTTTCTCGGGTGAGGATGAACCTTTGGTCTCGCGAAGGATTTCGAGGGTCAGTGTGCGCAATCTGAGAGCCCACACTGACACTCAAAGGCCTCCACGCAGAGCGGCTACAACTGTTAGGCGAGAACCAGGAGAGGCAGGGATGAGCCTTCGTGTACGTTTCTGGTTGCGAAAGCATTTATCATCCTTTTTCTAACAAATACGCAGGCTATTCGTGAAAGAAGGAAGCTTGAGAAACAACATCCATACATCACAAAGATGTGGGATGATTTGAGAGACTCTCCCCCAATAGAGCCTGTAATGGCAGAGCAGCCTCCGGGCATATCGAGGACACTTAAGTCATTTCAGCTTGAAGGTTTGAACTGGATGATGCGGCAAGAAAAGTCGCAATACAAGGGAGGGTTATTAGGCGATGAGATGGGCATGGGCAAAACTATTCAAGCAGTTTCACTCCTTATGTCTGATTACCCTGTCGGCAAACCGTCACTTGTGATTGTTCCTCCAGTTGCTCTAATGCAATGGCAATCCGAGATTAAGGTCCGTCTGTTCATATAATATATATACGGTACCACTGACCTTTTCGGAATAGGAATATACAAACGGCCAGCTAGATGTGCTTATTTATCACAATTCAAATCCCAAGGTCAAAACACTCTCAAAGGATGAGCTGCAGGCTTATGATGTGATAATGATATCCTGTATGAACACTACCAATGACCGGTTAAGGTATGGCAGCTGACATCATTTTTTCAGACTCTGGCCTTGAATCGATCCATCGCAAGGAGTGGAAGGGATGGAACCGCCATGATGGAATCGTGAAAGAAGACAGTTCGTAACAGAACCCTGAGTCGGCATGAGAATCCATCATAATCGAGAATAGGTATCATTCATTCTATCCACTATCATCGGCTGATCCTGGATGAAGCCCATAGCATCAAGGTAAGATTGACCTTCTTTAAAGTTGTCCTTGCATCATTTTCGATAGCTCACTCATGTATATAGCAACGTACAACTAGTGTTGCCCGCGCATGCTTTGCACTGAACGCAAACTATAAATGGTGCCTGTCAGGTACACCTGTTCAGAATCGGATAGGAGAATTCTTTTCCCTCCTTCGCTTTCTGCAAGTCCGTCCCTTTGCCTGCTATTTCTGCAAGCAGTGCCAGTGCCAGCAGCTCCATTGGTCACAAGACGCAGAGAAAAGATGCACTGAGTGCAGACATAGGTGCAGTTCTTTCCCTTGACCCCTCTAACCAGAACGCGCTAATTCTCATCATAGTGGATTCAGCCATGTGTCGGTCTTCAATCAAGAGATACTGAATCCTAGTAAGTCCAAAGTCATGATGTATGCCAAGTCCAACCTAACACCTAGGAGTCACCGAAAGGGACAACGCCTATGCCCGAAAGGAGGCATTGGCAAAGCTGCGACTCATAACTGATCGGATTATGCTGAGACGAGTAAAACGAGATCATACGGCTTCGATGGAACTGCCACCGAAGCGGTTCGTACTACATGGCGTAATCGTGCTGGATCAGTGCTAACGTGTTACTAGTGTTGTTCTCCATAATGAATTCTTCGGAGAGATTGAGCGTGATTTTTCTAGAAGCATTATGACTAATTCTGCAAGGCAGTTTGATACATACGTGAGCCGTGGTGTCATGTTAAACAATTATGCGAATATCTTCGGTCTTATCATGCAAATGCGTCAAGTTGCAAACCACCCGGATCTAATTTTGAAAAAGCATGCACAAACCGGGCAAAATGTACTTGTCTGCAGCATTTGCGATGAACCAGCGGAAGAAGCGATTCGCTCCCGTTGTCGGCATGAGTTTTGCCGTAGGTGCGTCAAAGACTATGTTAGGTCTTTTGATGCGAGGTCAACTGTTGACTGTCCTCGATGCCACATTCCGCTGTCAATTGATTTTGAACAACCTGACATCGAACAAGAGGAAGAACATATCAAGAAGAATTCTATCATCAATCGGATTCGAATGGAGGACTGGACATCGTCGACAAAGATCGAGATGCTTGTTTATGAGCTCTACAAGCTGAGAAGCAAGAAACAGACGTTAAAATCAATTGTGTTTTCCCAGTTCACCTCGATGTTACAGCTTGTGGAATGGCGTCTACGTCGGGCTGGCTTCAATACCGTCATGCTCGATGGCACTATGACGCCGGCGCAGCGTCAAAAATCCATCGAGTACTTCATGAACAATGTGAATGTCGAAGTATTTCTGGTTTCCCTCAAGGCCGGCGGTGTGGCTTTGAATCTGACCGAAGCATCAAGGGTTTTCATAGTTGACCCGTAAGTGACCATGACCGCAGAATAAACACATTTGCTGATGCTGTTGTTACTTAGCTGGTGGAACCCAGCTGCTGAATGGCAGAGTGCGGACCGATGCCATCGAATCGGTCAACGCCGACCTTGCGTCATCACCCGACTGTGCATTGAGGATTCGGTGGAGTCTCGGATTGTGTTACTTCAAGAAAAGAAGGCTAATATGATAAACGGCACCATCAACAAAGATCAAGGAGAAGCTTTGGAGAAGCTTACCCCAGAAGACATGCAGTTCTTGTTCAGAGGATCTTGATTGGGTGATCAGTGGAGGAAGGGGGGCGAGAGAAATTGCGGGCGAACAGGAGAGTTTGACTGCGGGGGTCTTTTTATGGCTTTGATACTAAACCTTGCTCATATGCAAACGTAGATACTATGTAAATACCTAGATAGATCGAGGGCGGTCGGATCTAGGTACTGGAAAGTGGGAACTGGGAAGAGGCCAGGCTACTAATTTAGCTCCGGGATTTCCCCTGAGGGTCACCCAAACAATCGTGCATGCGTCCTATAGCCTATTAGTATCTAGTACTGTGTCACCCCTCCGTGCAGGTTGTCCCCACGTCCTAGTAGGTCCTGAATACTTGCCCAGAGAAGGTTCATGGGATGATGTCAGACCCTGCTAGGGCGCTTGGAATGGAGGGGTCCAACCCGCTTTATCCGATCTATTCATACTTCATTGACTTCCTACCTCCTCACTCTGGGTGTTTTTATTCTATTCCTTCTCAATGCCTCTGGGTCAGCGGGTTCCACCATCGCCATAGCCGAGCGCCGGGAAAAGCTAAGGCTGGCCTAAACTTTCAGTCCCTATCCGTGGGGATAGATAGGGGAGGGGCCACGCGCCATCGTATCTCCTCGCCTTTCACTCCGCAATGAATGAATGGATTAACAAATTTCATCACAGTCCTCCGTACCACTCGCATCAACAGGATCTCAGTTTCATCTTTCCTTCATCCGATATCCACTCCACCTACACTCTCCAGCATCTGTCCGCTGGTCGCAACCTCGAGCAGGCAGCAACAACAAATACTTTCAAGTGCGACCACCACCGGCGCCTCCGATGATGGAAGAAACCCAGCCGCGGACACGGCGACGGCACCCAGTGGACAAATATGGTCCGAAGTTTTTCGACAAGTCAGAGCACATGCAGGATCGGACTGCCGCCATGAAGGCTGCTCTGAATGGTGATGAACCGTCCCGGTCAGAGCCCGCTGGGGGTTTCGATAGTACTCCGTATCCTTACGCACCACCGGGCTACACACTAAAGTTTACCTTCCATCGCGGCGTCAATCTTCCTTGTGCGGATTTCGGTACTTTTTCCTCCGACCCCTATATTATCGCCCAGTTAATTGTCGGTCTACCCCAACGCCACAAGCAGGATCCTCTTCTTTCCTTCCGAACCCCGACTGTGCGCAAAAATCGGGATCCAATATGGGATAGTGAATGGGTTGTGGCGAACGTCCCTGCGTCGGGGTTCCAATTAAAATGCCATGTTTATGATGAAGACGCTGCAGACCATGATGACAAGCTCGGGAATGTGTATGTTGAGGTGGATTCGGTCGGCGAACAGTGGCCCGGCATCAAGGAGCAGAGCTTTCGTGTTAAAAAGCGCATGGGAAGCAAGCGGGTCTACTTGTTCGGTAACATTGCCGCTTTAGCATCGCGACGTCTTGATGTGGGGTCACATATAGTAATCAGTGTGCAGTGCTTGGGAAGAACACAAAGCGATGAAGGTGCTCATGTGTACACTGTTGGGCCAAACTACTGGTTCAAGCACTTTTCTCCACTCATTGGAAGAATAGCGGGAACTAAAGATGAAATTCAGAGCCAGAATGGTAAGAAGAAGATCATTACTCGCTATAAGTACGTCCCCACCCGTCCCGGAAGGTTTTCGCGAATACGTATGAGATTCTTACAATATGTCTGTGCAGTTTCCAGGCGATCCAGATACAGCTCAAGGGCCCTGTACCTGCCGAGCTCTATCATCGTTACGTCGAATTCAAACCGTTTGTGGCCGGAATGTTCACGTCTCACAGTCTTCGTGGGAGGATACTCAACCGAGCCCTACACCATCAGCATGAGCGTATCTACAACTTCGACAAGACCACTCTCAACGGACAATTTCCTTCACCGTGTATTGCACTCACGCAGAAGTTTCTTGAGTTTGTCCACTACGCGCAGGGCGGGAGGATCTTCACTTATGTCATCACCCTGGACGGGCAATTTCGCTTTACAGAGACAGGAAAGGAATTCGGGATCGATTTGCTAAGTAAGCACACAATGCATAGTGATGTATCTATCTATATCGCATATTCCGGTGAGTTCTTCCTGCGCCGACTGAAGCATCGCCATCACCGACACTCGGAAACAACACGCAATTCGGGGACCAGTTACTCCGGTGATGAGCAGCTGGAGGAGCCGGAGATATCAACTGATCCGACCGATTATGAGCTCTTTATCGACAACGATAGCGGAACCTATCGCCCAAATGCCCAATACCTTCCTCTGTTGAAGCGATTCATCTCATCCAACCTGCCTGGTCTTAACGTGACCACGCTCGATTGCAGGGGGGATGTGGTGCAGATGGAGGCTCTGAAGAATGAGCAAAGAGAATTCAAAAAGAACGAGGGAAATCACATGATCTTCCTCCAGCGCAGCAATAGCTCGTCGCTTTCTTTATCCAGCTCAGATGAAGATGAGCTGAATGAGCGTAGTGGTTCACAACCTAAACCACGAGACAGCTTTACGCAAAAGGTACATGACATGCGTGACGTGAAAGGTCAAATGATGAGATGGGCACAAGCAGACAATAATGACAGCCCAAAAAATCAGGAGAGCTCTTCTGAGCGGCAAATGACTGCAGCTGCAAAAAAGGCAGGCTCATGTAAGCCTGCCGAAGAGAACAGTGTGGTTGAGTGAGTGACTACTCTTACTGACAGCCGAATTTAGTGTGTCGTCATGCTCAGCTTGGACACTGATGGCTTCTATTGACCACACCATGTCTTATATCAGCAATGTGTATCAACAGCTTGCATACACGCCAGATGCCTAAGTCTCGATTGGGTGCTAAAAGCTCCACGCCGTACCTTGATATACTGCATGAATGACTTCGGTTATGCTTTCTTGCTCTACCCTTGAACGTTCTTACGAACAATATAATGTTATAAGGTGTGATAAGCCACACTACCATTTGTGCATAGGCTTGTTTTGTGTGGATGGACGGACCCCAGAAGTGTGCGGGCTATTACTCGTTTCCTATGAATTAATACTAGTGAAAATTTGGGCCCAACTTGCTTGTCTTTCTCATGTTCCTCTTCGTCTACCCTTGTTGCCTACATTTGTCCTCACAGTCGAACCTTATGTTACTATCTCTCTACAAATGCTCCATGGATAGACAAGCTACTGAAGCACTCCAACTGAAACCTAGGGAAGATATCGAATGGGGAAGGGGGTTTCCAAAAGAAAGAAAAAAAAGAAGGGGGGTGGAGGAAAAGAGGCTTATGTAGAATTTGAAGACGGAACGGCGGTGCCAGCGAGCCATTTAACATTAACTGAGTGAGTCACACACCGAGAGCACCATGGAGTTGATAGATATACGTCGTATGGTGGGTACCTTGTACACACATAGTACTAGTACATACCTAGTACCTAGTCCCTTCCTACTACCGAGAGGGGAAGAAAGAGCTCACGAGTCGGATCACATGCCTGTACCTGTCTCCACAGATAGGGAAGGAACACGAGCCAATCTCAGCCCCAGCGCATCGTACCTACATACTATGTAGTACGTAGCACATACCTGCGATATCCTAGATACCCGGCCCGCTGAGAGGTATGTACAATGTACATAGTAGACAAAGTAGATATACTCCGTATGTAAGCCTACACAGCACTTCGCACACAGTATCGACCGGCCGGGTCAATGATCTTACCTCACTTTACCCCCTTCGCCTTAGCCCCGATTTTCAGCCCCGGCCCGTCTGTTTCATCAGTCTTACAGACACCACAAACCACCTTCTAATAACAATCTTACTACGACACCGTAATTATTGTCCTACTTCTTTTCCTCTTCAGTCCCAATAGTCAGTCATAATAGTAATCCATTATCCGTTCCCTTCCTTCCCTTCTCCCGTCTTTCTACCTGGACGCTCGCTTCCCTCGTCTCGTCACCCCCCCAAACTAGTACCTGCTCGTTACTCCTTCCTTAGCAACCAGCCCGGGCTAATTACCGCAACGATACTCCCCGTTCCTGCCCCCTCCCCGCTTGTCGCCCTTATTGATTTCCGCCCGCGACCACCTGATACTCCTGACTCCCTCATCATCTGCTGAACTCCAATCTATTCGCATCCAATTTGCGGCAAGCACTTGGGTACAATCTACCTGACGATCGGATTTGTTCTCTGGATGACGGTCAGCACACTGGGTGGTTCGTTTATCGCCGCACTCACATCAAGCCGGCCTGTGATCTGACTGCGGGCGCGCTGACTGTCGATGGTTACCTTCAACTGCTCTGGTCACGCCTCTGACCTCTCTTTTGTGTGGTAATCGAACTCGATAACTAGCCCCGGCAACTTCACCATGGGTAATGTCGGAAGCCGTCTTGATGACTCCGGTAACTTGTACTTCAAGGATCAGACAAGGTGTAAGTTTCTAACCATCCGGCAACAGTGCCAAATGCTTGTGCCCTTAATGTCCCTTTCTTTCCTTCCCCCTGCTCCTCCTTTCTTCTGGCTGTTGCCTAGTCCTCTTGCTACTTCCTTCATTCTTACCTTCCCTGGTGATTTACTGTGGTCGTTAATGAAATGTGTTCATACCAGTCACAATCGCTTCTGTGACGATAACTAATTCTAAACGCCGTGTGCTATTAAACCTTGTTCCGAACTCATTCCCCGCCACAAGATATGCTGCCAAGCGGGAGACCGGCGATGAAAGTCCAATAGAGTATATACAGGTAATCAGCCGAATCCGCCATGAGCTTAAAAGGCTTCTTTGCACCCATGAAACATTTATGGCGACTAACTGGTGCTTTTACCGGCTACTAGGAACCTGATCTTTCGCCGTCAACTCCTGTGCCCACATTTCTCCTGCGCTTAAACAACGAAGACGAGTTGAACTTCAATTTCACGTTCATATTGAGACAGACACAGACCGGAAATGTTGCGAATTCTACAGTCAACGGTGTCTCGACGTCTCTGCCCGAAGTGACCGACACGGTGCTTACTGGTCTTACGTTTGCGCATGCGCCAAACTCCAAGGAATTGGACAACTTGATTACCAGGGAATTTCATGCCAACCCTAATTTGCAGAACAATTCAAATGTGCAGCTGGTAGGGGATTACTCCACTGGGGGCAGCCCATCAGTTCAATTCGACTGGTCTTGGAAATGGAAGCCTCCCAAAGTAGTAGAGGATAAAGGGGGTGGTTGGAGGAACAGCTGCAGTTTCCTCGATTACGATCAAAGGGCCAATCGGTTGAATACGCTCGCTCATTTCTCATTCTGGGTACAGAACACTGTACGCTCGCTCCCAAGCCCGCAGATTTCCTCGCCAAACTTGGAGATTAACGTTCCTTTCCGCAACCGCATCCCATCGTCGCAATCTATACTTTCACATTCCAGCGATGCAGACGCAACATCTAATCACCAGGTTGTCCCTGCAACGCCCCCTGAAGCTAGTGACACAACTGCCATACCGCTCCATGTCTCTATACCTCCCCCACCTGTCAAAGTCGACCTTCCTCATTCGCGTCCAGGTGAGGATATGAGTGTAGTAGAGGATGGTCCGTTATTTCGGGCTACAATGAAGGCCCTGGAACAGAAGACTGGAAATATGCGCGCTAAAATCAAGAAGGTCCTCAAGAAAGCTGAAGCTGCCCAGCAAGCACAGACGGTCTGTAACGATGCCGTGGAAGCATTCCTCTTCGCACTGACTGAAGCCTCGACCTCTAATGCGAACGCAATACAGCCCGCACTTGACCATTACTTTGAGAAGACTGCGCGGCAAATATTGAATTACGAACGATTAAATACTGTTCAGCTCCAGAAGCTCGTCATCGATCCATTGGTGAGGCTGTATAACAATGACATCAAACAAGCCGAGGCCAAGAAGAAGGAATTTGAGGAAGAGAGCAGAGATTACTATGCCTATGTTAGCCGCTACCTCGGCCAGCGGCAGGACTCTTTGAAGGAGAAGAAGCGAGTGGAAAGTGACTCCAAATACCAGGCAAAGCGACGCAACTTTGAACTAAAGCGCTTCGATTACTCATCGTTTATGCAAGACCTCCATGGTGGCCGTAAAGAGCAGGAGGTCCTTTCTCATCTCACTAAATATGCTGATACCCAAGCGAAGAGTTTCCTTGCAGCCGCCAGAAATGTTGATGATATGATTCCCCAACTTGATGCTCTTATTCATGAGGTCAGCCAGGCGGACAAGGAATTCCAGTTCCAAAGGACAGAGAGGGAAGAAAAACGGAGGAACTTGGAGAAAAGCAGCAACATGTATATTGAGCCTGATTCTCTGGCCAACGCCGGTGCGCCACCGATACTTTCAGGAAACGGCGGGGGAAATCCAAAGTCGGAGATTGAGCTAGGGCGTGCAGATAGCACGGGGTCTCAACTGCGAGGTGTCATTAGCAACACTTCTTCAATCCTACCGCAGTCCAACTCTGCCAACCCTTCAGCTGGTTCCCCAATGCTTGCCTCCACTATCAATTCACCTGGTACGTGTGCCTAGAACCGCCTACGAGGGTGTGCTCGGCTCTTCAACTCCATAGGTACAGTTTTTAACGGTCCTACAGGTCAGCAGAGAAAGGAAGGCTTGCTTTGGGCACTGTCGCGGCCGGGATCTCATATCGATCCCAAGGGAATTAACAAGCAGGCTTGGCATAAGTAAGTTTGTGTCATACGTTGACCCACTTGGGCTTTGCAGCTCACTTTATCACAGGTTCTGGATTGTATTAGATCAGGGGAAGCTTTCAGAATATAGCAATTGGAAACAGAAGCTTGACTTGCACATGGACCCTATCGACTTGCGGATGGCTTCTGTGCGTGAGGCTCGAAATGCTGAACGCCGGTTCTGTTTCGAGGTGATCACACCGCAGTACAAACGCATATACCAAGCAACATCTGAAGAAGATATGGCCAACTGGATCAGGGCAATTAATAATGCTCTACAGAGCGCAGTTGAGGGCCGCGGCATGTCTCCACCTCCGGTATCGTCGGACGGTGATGGCACATATCTTGGCCGCGACATTGGCTCTGTGCTCACCGGAAAGAGCTCTTCGTATTCCGGTCAACACTCTTATTCAACAGCTTCAAATAACAGCGTTACCCGCCGCACTACAGTAGGTGCCAGGCCAAGCTACGTACGCGGAGACGGCCTTGGTTTTGAGGAGAATCCCTCCAAATTACTTCAAGCGATCCGAGATGCGGATCAGGGCAATCATTGGTGTGCAGACTGTGGATCTACATCCAAGGTTGAATGGGTGTCTATAAACCTGGGAATTGTCCTCTGCATTGAATGCAGTGGCATCCACAGGTCACTTGGAACACATATCTCTAAAATTCGTTCCCTCACGCTGGATGTTAACTCCTTTTCAAACGATATTGTTGAAATCCTTTTGCAGATTGGCAACCGTGTCAGCAACATGATCTGGGAGGCAACTCTCGACCAAATTCAAAAACCAATAGCGACATCCACTCGTGAGCAGCGGCTGAAGTTCATAACCGCCAAATACAGTGACCAAGCATTTGTGGAACCACTTCCCTCCCTGCTGTCACGCTTCGCCACTCCGGATGAGACTCTCCTGGCCGCAATTAAAAGGAATGACATCCAGGGTGTGCTCTATGGCATCGCCCTTCACGCCAATGTGAATATTACAGATCGCTCTCGCAACACTCATGCTGTTTTCCTCGCTCTAGCCGC